CCGCGCGCCCCCCTCCCCCCGAGTCGGTGCAGCTACCACAATTCACTTCTCAGCGGGGCTCCTAGAGGCATCATCCTCCATGAGATGCGAGCAGCCACTCACTTTCAACGCGACTTTTCCTGATGAGCTGGTTGGTCTTGCTTGAAGGACTTTCTAGCGAAATGATGCTGCTTAAGCGAAATGAAGCTGCATAAGGCATACGGATGGACATGACGTCGCAAGCTTCACTGCCGAGGTCATTGGAATATCAGGGGTCCAGCTGATGTCAGGGTCCGTGTCGGGGCTGCGGAAAACGTGTCTTACGCTTAGTTGTAGGGAAGACTGATGAAAGGACTGATGTCAATCGAGGTTGTAGAGCCAGAAAGGCTGCAGGACCGCGCATCTGTGGCGTTCACTCTTAGTGACCCGAGGTGGAGCTGTCCTCCTGACCATCGGCGGAAGATATGGTTGACCCCGGCTGTGTCGGCCATTCTGCGATGGTTGGACCAACGTTGCGCAGAGTGAGTTTTTCGGGGCAAGCCTCCCTCTCGGGACCCCGGTTCCTGCCTCCACTTTCGTGGTCCGCCTGATGCTGCCTCCACTTTGGAAAGGTTCCCCACTCAGTCGAACGCATTTGCGTGAGAGTTGCCAGCACCTTGAGGCATGAGAGAAAGGCCAGAAAAGAGCGAAGATTTCTGATGAACTAAGCTGAGCAGCGTGCTGTCGGGTCGTAGGTGACTGCCGGGACCTGGGCGCGGATAGACACGTAAGCGAAGAGGCGGGAAGCTCGTGTGGAGGCTGGGCGAAGGTCAACACTGCACGCGAGCGGCGCTGTTCACCGTCTTGGCCGCTTCACTACACGGCCATTCTCATACAAGAACTGTCCCTTGATAGGGAATGTCAAGTCCGAACTTCACGTCCAAGGTTGCCGGAGTGGCCGTTTGTTCGTTGATACAATGACGATTCGACTGACGTCGAGCGGGGTGGTCTCTTTCGTGGCCTGCACAGAACCGAAGCCCTTGCTGCGCTGGGTTTAGTCGCATAGAGGACGCTGGCAACTGTGAGGAGAAAACGGTTACAAAGCTTCAGAGAGCATTAGAAGGCACCGCATGGCTTCAGCGTCCGCGGGCGACAAAAGTTAGGTCGCCCGAAGGCTTGTTCCAAAGATTGAGGTGATTCGAACCGAACCCCGCGCCCTGATTGTCGTGCAATGGGCGAGTATGGTTTGGAATCTGAAAACTGTACACTCTAGCCTGAAAGTCTAACGCCCACACAACCGCTGAGGCAGCTGTGTCGGCGGTGCACTCGGGATACTCAAAACTTCTCCCAGGCCATTATAAGGGTCCAGGTAAATACGAACCCGGCCCCGAACAACGTGGCCGCATCTACGGAGAACGTCGATATCCCTTCCTGACTCAACCTATACCTTATAGCCTTGATGAGGCTGTTGACAAACGATCCACCTCCACAACCCATAGAATGCAAGTCCGCAGTCTTCTCTTTACACGCACACGGTCTCTCGCCCACCCGATCATTCTTTGCCCCGCAGCGGCTGCTCGAGCATAGTGGAGCATAGTCATCGAACTAGCGCACTGCCCGAAAGTGCTCTCCTGCGCAAAAGACATTGACAATCGGTAAACACTGGAGTTAATACTCGGCGCGCGTAGTCTCAAGCCTCTATGGCCGCCGGTGCGTGAGCAGTTGAGCCTCGATAATGGCTCTACCTGGTGATGATCTACCTTTGGTGAGACAGGCGTGTACGGGTACAATGATCACGGAGGCGTAAGACCCTCTTGCTGCACGGACTTCCTTTCGTTCACCACACGTGTCAAACTTGTCAGTGAGAGACAACGTCTGCAACGTCCACAATCAGTGAGCCCGAAAGGATGCAGAATGGGACGCCGGTGCCTGAAATGTGAAGTGCACATGGCATACAGTACAAAGTACAAGGGAGGGAGGACCCGAAAAAGGAATGAATTTGATGATCAGCGTTGGTGACGGCGCTGTTTCAAAGCGTAGTGAGGTCTATGTTGAGGGCGGAGTGCGCGATGTCCTCAGCGGCGGCGGTGAGTTCGAACAGCTGCATCATTTCACAGAGCTGTGTCTGCAGTTTCTCCATCACCCCGATAATGCGAGCGCGGGCATTGTCGGCCTCCTCCGCCTTGCCCAAGAGCGTTCCTGCGAGAGCTCCGTGTGCGGACATGGCGAGCGCAGTGTTCGAGGAGCGGTCGCGGCGGAGCATGTCAACCTCCACCTTGAGCTCCTTGAGCTGAATCGCAAGACCGAGAACGTGGGCGTCGCCGCTAGCATCTGTAGATGCTTCACCAGAAGCATCATCGTCCGTAATCGGCTCATCAGTCGGTGCTGGCAACTGCTCAATCTCCCCCGCGTCGCTGAAATGGGGCAGGAGACTGTAGAACCTATCCCGACCGACCAGACGAATAGCCTGTCGAACGACCTTTGGCTGGAGCTTTCGTTGGTTGAGGTAATAACCCAGCTCGTAGGGCTCCCCAGTCTCCGGGATTTGCTTCTCGATGAACTGCGCCAGACCAACTGAGCTCGGGACAGCGACAGCAATCACTCCCTGAACGTATTGGAGACGCTTGCCGTCGAAGACCTCTAGGAGGCGCTCCTGCGCGTTATGTAGACTGTTGAAACTTGCAACCCAGCTATCCAGCTCACGTAGCAGGGTATACTCGGAGTGAAAGCCGTGGTAAATACTCGCAATAGTCGTGGGATAGTGGATGGGGATGACACTCACACTTGGCTGGTAGCTAGCGGCCAAGGAGAATGTTTCGAAGAAGGAACTAGTCTTGGAAACAGCCTCTGCGACGCTTGAAACTGAGTCGGGATCCCCGAGAGTAACGTGAACAAGGTATCCGTCTTGTGTAGTCTCCACCCTGTGATGCACTAGGCGGAACTGGTGGGCTATGCAGAAGTCGACGACGGCACGGGTGGCGTGTGCTTTAGAGGACACGTGCGGCGCGCATGAGACGAGGCGGAAGACACCCTCGCGGCGGCGGTCCTTTCCGGGTGACGAGGACCAAGATACTTGAAGTCCTCGAGCAGACAAACGCTGTCTGATGAAGTCCATGCTCGCAGTAAGATCGACATCGCGGTCCCATGCTGAGTTCTGCCAGGTAATCTTGACGATATCTTGATCGTGCCCCTGGCCCGTTGAGAACTCCAGCATATCAACGGACAGAGCTCCGAGGTCGACACCCGTAAGCGCCTCAGTAACTGTGGCCAGCCTACGTTCTATAGAGCCTTGCAGGCAGAACGCTGTGAGTTCAATTGGGGAGAACGATCGATGACCGTTTAGGACAGAGTTGAGAGCCGAAGATGACATGAGTGAGAGGGGTTGGATGAGCGATGGATGATGGCAGTACCGGGAGCAGGTGGCGAAAGTTGGAAAACACCTACTTGCGCGACAGCGGGGGAAAGTACGCAGATGTTGATGGACTGATGAAGTGTTGCTGAGGATGGATGTTGTCTCCAGTAGCGGTTGCATATGGTGGACACTGAGCGTTGCGGGGAGAGGGGGAGAGGGGGGAGGTGGGAGGGGCTGGCTCGGACAGGATAGAGCCGCCGTCGCGCACGGGCCTGTCAGGGTTGCCCCTTCGCGTCCCTGCGCCGCTCGCAACGGTGCGTCGCGGGCGCAGGTGCATACATGTCTTACTTTTGAACACGCCCTCATGCGCTGGTGTCTTCCGGCAACAGGCTCTGACTCTTAGACACTCAGGCATCGGTTTTTGTGGACTACGGCGCCTTCGATATGTGAGTAGCGGACATGGTTTCCGACGCCGAGCCATGTGCCTGCTCGATCTACTTTAGGCCCTGGGAGGCGTGCGCGACTCTGGGTTGCCCGGAAATTGAAATTTCAGGGGCCCTGGGCGCGACTGATTTTTATTCTGCACTTAGCTGTCCCGCGCATGGCACCCGTCGCTTACGGACCCGCCGCCGACCCGCCGCCCTACCGTCCATCAGAGCACATGATGATTCTCCTATCACTGAATCGGGATTATTCCAGGCATGCGACTGCTCCATATCAGATGAAACATGTTGCAAGTGTTCACAGCAACGTGAAGCCGCCGGCCATATCCCGAGGGGATGCGCAGTGACATCCTTTCGTATTCCTGGGTTTCAAAGGACACCGCGAGGGCCTCTTACGACTGTGTGTGGGCCTGACGCGTCCTTTCGCTCCACGACGCCTATGGACTTTGTGACGCGTCCCTTCACTCCACGACGCCGGATGGACCTTGCCGCTCCTTCATTCTGGTTGTCGCCCTTCGACACATCTCCAAGGTGTCATCCTCCAATTAAGCGCAGTCCTGCCCCAGCTGCTCCCACATCCCGTCACTCCTCCAACGGCAGACTTTTCAACTATCAAGCAGCTATCCTCCTCAACTGCTCCTTTTCTCTCTTCCCCTACTCAGAGCTTCCACTACGGACACTACCCAATAGCCTCTCGCCACCTCCACCACGTACAACATCATCGTTCCGTGCGGCACTGGCACGACCCTAACTCCACTTTGACCTCAACGTGCAAGGCTGGGACCCAAGCCGGCCCACCAGTGTCTGATTCCAGGACCACTGCTACATGGACTCCAGTGAATTGGACCGTGAGTCGTCCCCTCTTTCCACTCTTGCCAGGCTAACGATCGATAGGATAACATCGTACCCCATCCAACTCGCATCGCCTCTCTGAATAACACTCGCTTCTCTTATCCTCCGTCACATTGCAGAAGTGCTTGATCCGGGCTTTCGTCTGGCCTTTTCGCTGTACACTATCACCGCCGCCGGGTGAGAGAAAGCAAATATTGAGGCTAACATACCAGACCACCATAAGCATGGCCGAGCAATTGGGTGCCGCGACTCCATTCAGGGTGATCACTTTGAACGTCAATAATGTAGCCGCCAATCGCCCAAAGCAAGACGCCATCCGAGATATAATCAAGAATGACGAACCGCACGCCGTGATTTTGACGGAAACGGCACAAAAGAAACGACAGCAGCTGCCCCCCATCTACGATCCGACACTGTACGAGGAGTTCTATACCCCGGCCAGTGCCAGTAACTCATCGACAGGGGTAGCCCTCATCGTGCGCCGCAACCTCAACCCCACACGCGTCAGTGTTCCGTTCAGCACTGCTACAGATGGCAGAATTTGCGCCGTCGACATCTCACTGCCCGATGAGGCCAAACGGCGCAAATCGGTTCGCATTGTCGGCCTTTACGCGTCACCCAAAGCGAAGGACTTGGAGACCGACGGTGCGCTTACGCGATTCTGGGAGGGGATCCGCGCAGTGGTCAGCGCGGCCCCCGCAGACTGGATCCTCGGAGGCGATTACAATGCCCACCTCCATCCCCATGAGTCGCACTCCCTGAACTCGTCGCATGGGTACGAGCTGCACAGGCAGAAGCAGCAAACGGCCTACCGAGAGTTTTTGAACGCCTGCCATGGCACAGACACTTGGGAGGTGCAAGATGGGGTCTGCTGGGAGCACCACTGGACTCTCAGGGCCTATGGAACACCCAGTACAAGGCGCATCATAGACCGCTTCTCAGTCTCTCCCGGCATCTCCTGTGTGAGGACCGAGACACTGACGGGCACTGGTCCGACCAAGGACGACCTAGTGGCTAAGACCCCACCCTCGCCGTTGTCAGTCCGCCAAAACGTACGCATTCTACCTCGCATGCCTGTTCCCGCCACGAACCATAGGCCGGTGCGCGTGTCTCTCAGATTAGGCTGCATGGTACCCCCGTCGGACAAGGACCGATACAGCCGTGCTCCAGCTCGTTTGCGCCAGCCGAAAGGTAACAGCGCTACTCGGGCCTTTGAGAAGATGAACGACAAGCTCAAAGGTTTCATGCAGCGCTCACCACCGCCCCATCAACCTCCTCAAAGTGACTCTGAATGTGACGACCTGTATGCGTGGTGCACCGAGGCTTTGACGTCCTCGTGCAACTCAGCATTTCAGCGCTCGCGTTCTAGGGCGGTGGTCAATCCCCAGTTCTCACCTGCCACCTCCCCTTTGCTTCGAGAGCTGCAAGAGCGCCGCCACCAGATCAACCGCGGTCTTCGAGCGGTGAAAGAAGACAGGTTTCCTGCTCTCTTTCTTCGGTACGCCAAGGTCCGTCAAGCCCTCCCCGAATTTGCGGAAACATCCTTGGCATCGCAGCTGGACAAGGACGAATCTCTCCGACTCCTGGAGCGCAAGCGCGACGAGCTCGATCACAGTATCCGGAAGGAGACGAGGCGCCTCACCTTCGTCTCGACGGCTGCTGCAGAGAAGAGGGAGTGGCAGAAAGCCATTCACGGGGGCAGGCTGAAGCACCTGTTCGAACCTGCAACGGTGTCTGAACCGCCGTTCCTGACAAAACGAAGCGACTCGGGCGAGCCGGAAACTTTAGAGCATCAGCCAGAGGAGAAGCTTCATGTTTGGTCCGCTCACTTCAAGAAAGTTCTGCAGCGACCAGCTCCCCCGACCCAGCCCAAGCCGTGGATGCTCACCAGCGGGCCACTCGCAGAAGGATCGCCGGACAAGGGTGGCGAAGATTTCGTCTGGCCTCGGCCGCTCTCTCTCCCCGCACTTCGGGGCGTTCTTGGGAAAGGCAATCCTCGCCCATCTCCTGGCCCAGACGGGTGGGAGAAGTGGGCCCTCCGGAATGCCAGCGACGAGTTCTTGCAGATTGTGATTGCGCTCGCCAACTACATCATAACGCACTCGTACTTTCCAGAGCAGCTGAAGGAGGCGTTCATCACCCCCAGGTTCAAGCGTGGCGACTTCACCGACCCTAAGAACTACCGCGGCATCGCTCACTCGAATCTGTTGTACAATATCGTTTCAACATGGTTCGGCACGTCATTGAGAGACCACGTGTGGCGCAAAGGCCTCCTCAACCCTACACAGATCTCTGGGCAAGCCGGTGTTCAGCCTGGAGACGCGCTATCTCTCTTGGAGCAACTGGATGTGTGTTTGTCCGCAAATGAGGAGACTGCATTCGTATTAAAGCGAGACCACGTACAAGGATACGACCAGCTTCACGCTTCGGCTTTCGAGGACGCACTGGAGTACTTTGGCTTCAACCCGGCGGTTACCGCCTTCGAACGGGCGCGCATAGGCCAATGCAGAATGCGCGTGAAATCGCATGACGGGGTGAGCTCCGAGTCATTCGTGACATCTGGACAGACCAAGCAGGGTGATGCGCCGTCCTCGCTACGCTACACTTTGTCTACCTCTCTTTTATATTGGTGGTGGAAGCGTTCCCCTGCTCTCGATTGTCACTTCCCTCGCATTAGGACAAGGAATGGGAAGTCGGGAAGGTTCCATTTCGATAACGAGAAACGCCTTGACATCCTCATCCGCCTGATCGAGGCAACCGATGATAGTCTACTTCTGGCTCGGAGTCTGTCATCGTTGCGCGAGATCACGAAGCTCGCCGAGCAGTTCCAGATGGCGTACGGAATCGAGACGAACTGGACCGACACACACAAGACGTCGGCATTCGTACTGGGGAAGCAGCCCTCTGCCCTCCCTGAGAAGATTGATATTCCGCTCCCCGGCCGCCCAGACCTGCAAGTTACGGTGACACGCGAACCGGTATTCCTCAGGACCACCTTCAACAATCCTGGTCTCACATTCAACCGCATCCTGGACCTGATTGAGGGTTTTCCACTTCCATGGGCTAAGCAACTGCCTCTGACGCTCATCCGCCGCGCGATATTTGGACTTTTGATCCCCAAAATCAGAGGAGTGCTGAATCTCCAGCCGCTTTCGCTGCAGATGGCGGAAGAGTTGGACTATGCGATGGCTCGCAAAGTGTCCGAGGCATTGGGCGTTCGGTTCCGGCGGACAACAGCCATGTTCCTCCCGATCAGCCAGCTTGGATTCGGTTTACCGTCAATTGTCCGCATCAACGGGCAAGCAGCAATTTCAGCGGTCCTGCGCTCGCTCAACAGTCCGCTGGCTCCTTTGGCGATGGTTGCGGCGGTCACGCACAGAAACTGGAGCTGCCACGGCCACTCTTGTGGCAATCCATTCTTCCGGACCCCTGGTCCGCAGGAGGAGCTTCAGCCGCGGCCGAAACCTACGATCAAGCTGACCCAGCTCAAGATTGAGAGGGAACAGATGCGTTGGATTGCTGCACACCGCTACGTTCCTCGTGCATGGCTCGCTGCCCGCCAATATGCCCATTTAGGCGGTTTCAGCATTGTGGCGACGACGGATCAGGATATCACGAAGGCGCGACCAATGCACGTTCTCAATGCGTGTAAACACGCATCTACTCGTCAACCGCCGTCAATACTGTTCATCAAAGAGGAGATCTTTAGTCGCACGCCAACCCTGTGCCGGCTTCCTTTCAAAGATTGGGCCGATGAGGTATTGGCCGAGCTGGATAACCCCAGTGGCGCGTTGGCGGGATCGTGGCGCGTTCCGTGGGCACAGGAGATAGACGCGTTCAAATCATGGCTGACCCATTTCGATCTCTCAGATCTTGCAGGTCCACAGCCAGACTGCATAGAATCCAAAGCGAACCGTCGTGAATCGTACTCCCTGGAAGTGAGGCGCTCCTTCAACATGACGTACGGAAGTTCGGTATCCCGCTCCTCGGCAAGCACGTACGCCACCGACGGAAGCTTCCGTCTGAGCAGCAGCGGGCGGTCGGAAACGGCTGCCGCCGTGGTAGGAGCCGGCACTGCTGCTCTCTGCCTGTCACCTCAGCAGCAGACGACTTCGCTCGACGGCGAGCTGCTGGGTATTGTTGCTGCGCTTCAGCACGCTCGCGAACATTGCCCCGAGGTGTTGATCTTCGAGATTGTCACCGACTCGCAGAGCAGCGTCGACATCGTCCGCGGCTACTTGCAGCGAGGTGCAGAAGCAAACGGTCACCTCATGAAACAGAGACCGTCGTGTGAGCTTATTCGGTGGCTCACGTCGGAGCTGGAGATGACTGCGAGCCGAGGCGTCGAGCTGCGTATGACGCACGTCAAGGCGCACACGGACTCAGTGGACCGCCACAGCCAACTGAACAGAGCTGCCGATAGGTTGGCGAGCTTCGCTCACAGTGCCGGCCGCAAGCTCCCGGCTCTCACAGGCTGGATGCAGGATTACACTGTCTGGTGCGGGGCGGGTTACATTGGCAACACTTGGAAGCAAGAGCTTGATTCCTCTCTCATCAAGCTACAATGGGGGTGGCTTGGAGAGAGGGAGAGGAAGGTTTTCTCAAGAGGAGATGAGCCGACCCCGCCTGTCGCAAGGCACTTCTATTGGCGCGACGCCAAGGGATCCGTAGCCCGGACTCAGTTATTGACGCGTCTCCATGAGTTCCCCAGTAACCATCACAGAAGCGTCCGCGGAAAGGGCACTGCCGTTTGCTTCTTCTGTGATGAGATGGACCAGACCGACGCGCATCTGTTCGCCGCCTGTCCTCATTTTGAGGCTGCGCGTCAGAAAGTGATTGCCGATGCGCTAGAGAAGGAACGAGTTTCGCTCATCCGGAAGCAACTGTCTGGATCCGGAGCACGAGTTCATCATGGCAACCCGATGAGGTCGACGGCTGTGGATGTTACAGCCGAGCAGGAAGTAGGAGAGGCAGCGCCGGAGACTGAGCTCAGTGACGCGAACACCGCCAGTCTCACTGAGTACCGGCGGTACTTGATGGCTATACTGGATCCCATCAACCAATGCGCCTGGTGGCAGGGCAAAACGCTCCCTGTCGAAGACTTCGATCTCACGCTCAGCCAGGCTTATTCGGCCCATAATTGTTTCATCATCCTCACCAACCGCATCGCTGCCGAGCAATACGGCCAGATTGCCAGAGGACGGGGGGATAAGATGCTGAACAGGGGCAATGAGGGCGATGAGGGCGATGAGGATGATGAGGACGGAAGTGGGGACGAGCCGGGCCAGGGAGCCGGCGGAGAGCCCGAGGACGACTTCCCCGTGCTGTAGGCCGGGCCGACGGCGAAGACAACTTAGACTTCAGAGAAATGTGCTTTCTGTACACTGCAACTGGTAGCCTGACCATGTACATGGACATAACGCATCTATGCATAGCGCTGTCGTTAGGTGGCGGGATGTGCAACATACTGTCGCATCAGCAGTCGAGATCGTTGGGCTGCCCACTGACTCGCTACCGTGGGACGAGGCTATGATTTGACCGCAGTGTGGTTGTTCATGGATATCCGTCTTGGGTATACGGGCCGCGGAATGCTTGCCTACACCGCATGCGCCGATGATCACTCTGTTATTCTTACCAAGGAGCTCGCAGAGTCTCCCCTTCTCCGCCTGAACAAGGGGCAGACCTGCCAATTGTGCCAAACCAGTGCACATGCTTTATTGTTCTTCGAATCGATACTGCAGCATCCCGTACCTTCCGGGCGCAACCTTGCAACCTTGGCATGGCGGCGAAACACTTGCGTCCTCGCTCCACCGGAGGGCGCAACCTCTGCATTGTCCGGCGAAACACTTGCGTCCTCGCTCCAACGGAGGGCGCTACCTCAGCATGGGGGCGAAACACTCGCGTCCTCGCTCCAACGGAGGGCGCAGGTCACATTCCTACCACGTCAACGTTCCCCATCCCCTCATCCCCATTCCCATCAATCCAAGTGTACGCTTCGTCACCACACCCACATCTCAATTCACTTATCTTACCTGGGACGAACCATCCACCCGCCCCCATAAACTCGACTCCGTCGGCCACAGGCCAGAACAGCGCAAGGTGAGATCTCTCTCCGCTTGGAGCTTGGCCGTCTCCCTGGGTGGTCTTCCAGAGAAGCTGACCGCAGAGAACCAGAAAGCCTTTCCAACCATGTCACGCCCCCCACCCGCGCGACCCCCTTCAGCCTCCAGTAGCAATCCGGGCACGTTCAAGGTGACGCCGACGAAGCCGAAGTCGCGGCCCTTTGCTGCTGGCAGTAACGCGGAGAGGCCAGATGGCCCGTTCGCCGAGGCGATTCCAGTGCGTCGCAAGAATGGACGATTGCAAGACACGCCCCTCCAGCTGGTGGTCTTTGGCCTTTCCGACCATCAAGCAGACGAGGCACTCGAGCAAGTCAAGCGCACCTTGCGACAGATGGATGCTGTTGCAGGCGGACTCGAGTTTGAGGACCTGGTCATCAGCCCGAACGACCGCAGCTCCAAGTCGAAGTGTGTCGGAGTTCGCGTAGAGTGTGGAAGCTCGGGGTGGCTGAAAGATATCGACCTTCAACGCGCCCTTGGTCATGTGCGAAAGCACCTTGTCGACAATGGCCGTGAAGCGTACTGGGCCAGCTCGACGGGCGTCGACCGTCGCAACGTGGGCGTGTTTAGCTTCGAGAGGAAAGATCCTGACGAGCCCATCAGGACTACCGAACATGAAGCTGTGGACTTCGCACGGGACATCTGTCGGAGCTTGGACCACTACGTGGTCGACGCGGTCGCCCACGGCTTCGACAAGAAGGCGAAGGAGGATGAAGCGCCACGCCGCGTCGTTGTGACCATGAAGAGGGCGGACTGCATGGACAGCATCCAAAAAGCTGTTGCAGAGCGGATGAAGACGGACGCAGGCAAGGCTCTCGACTACAATGTTACTTTTGCTCGCACACGCACCATGATTCCGGTGTCGACGCCAGCGACAATTGTGGGCCTTAATCGTGGACATGTCGACGGTGCCCTGCTGCTGAAGGAGCTGCGCTTCTGGAGGGATGAATACAACACCAAATTCGGCGAGAAGCAGGAAATTCTGTCATTTCGACCGCAGCTGGTCGTCGGCAGTGTTCTGGGGCATGCTGTGGTGGTGCTTAGCTCGGTCGGGCTTGCGCAGTATATTGCGGGTCAGGAGTCGGTGAGCGGTTGTCCATACGAACTTGCAGTGGTAGCGAACCGCAACGAACTGCGGTCACCACTCGCCCTCGCCGAAGCAGAGCAAGTCCGTCAAGCCTCGGAGCGCAGGGGTCTTACCGAGGGCGTTGAGGAGCTCAAGGCGAGCACTGCGGGGCATCTGTCCAAGATCGATGGTCGCCTCAGCCAAGTCTCCAATTTCGCGCACAACTTCAAGGTGTTTGGCAAGGATCTTATCCAGAACCTTCGCCTGGAATTCCAGCAGCTACAGCATGAGTCCGAGTATGATCGCCGTATCACAACCGAGAGCGTACGTTGGAATGCTCGAGGGATGGAGGTTGAGGCGATGCGCCGGGAGATCCAGCTTCTCGACAAGCTCATCGCCGGCTCCAGTCCAGATGACCCGATGTTGAAGGAGCGCTCAGAACGCCTGGAGCTGCTGCGCAAAGAGGAGGACAAGGCTCTCGACGACCTGGAGGACCTGCAGAGCAGCATCGCTGCCCTCACAAAGCAAAGGTCCTGCCGCATCGCGCTTGTAGATAACACCGGCCTCGGCCTCCTCCAGCCTGTACAGGGCCGCTCCCAGCCCAGCACCGCGACCCCTGCGTCGTCCGCCGCGGGCCCCTCAGCTGTTCAGGCCCCCGCCACCGAGCCTCCTGCAACGACGACCCCACCCTCAGCGGACGCCGCCTCCGCTGCATCTCCATCGGGCACTCTACCTCCCGGCCACCCCCAGCCTACACCTCCACGCGGTACGGCCGCGAAGAAGCCGCGTAACCGTTGAAGCGGTGCAGCGCCCCTCGTGAATCGTCGCAGCCGCATGTACCGAGTATGGTCGAACGAATTATCGGCTTTGGTAGTCTCCGTGTTCAATTGTGTAGAAAGGCAACATCGATGCAGATCGTCGTGGTATGGCAATTGACGCATGCCCGCCATGGCTCGGCGGTCAGAGTGACCATCCGTAGAGCAACACCTAGCATGAGCACGAGCGGCATCGTCTCGGATGAGCGACTCTATCTGACCTATCGTGTTGCGCGCTGCGCGTTCGAAACCCGTGTTCAGTTGTTATAGTCTCCTCACAACAGACAGGTGAGGGTGTCGGGCGGCGAAACGGTGTTGGACTGGAAGGTATGGAGACTGTGATTGAGCGAGCGGTTCAGAAGAGCGAGGAGTGGTGTTGACATGCGCGCAAAGGGCGATGGATGTGGCCGAGTATGCGGGTGCATGTCGGGCTCCTTGACGGATGTGGGCGGCTAAGTCCTAAACGGGCCTTTCTCAGGTCCAGAGCGTAGTAGGACACCTTATATAAGGCGTTTCCGTGGCAACCCTTTGTTCGCTTGGGCTTCTACAATGTTCAGAGGAGCACCATGCATCAAGCCATATTGCGCCGAACACAGCAGTCCGAAGGACCTCGCACGTTCAGCGGCGCGTTGAGTGGCTTTGACGTAGTCGTACCTACGGTCACCTCTTCCAACAAGTTCCCGTTAGTGCCTGTGCAAGTGGTCACTGGTGCTGAGTGCCGTTGCAGAAGTTCATTCATAGTAGGCCCACTTGTTCCTAGCTGAGCGAGACAACCACTCTTCACCTTGTTCCGATCCTCTTGACTTGACAGGCGAGGGGCACACACACACGACTCACCGGATTGCTCAGCGAGTCGAGCGATCGCCGACCTGTTTGCACTCGTGGACGAGGGGCCGTCGGCTTTCTCCGAAAATTCATCTACGCCGACGCCGATCCACCGCAGCGCCTCAACGAAGCCCTCTCATGTCGCCAGACTGGGGCCAGCCGATTCGGGTGCGTCTGCGCTGCAATCTGTGCAAATGTGAGCCTCAAAGCGTGATCGCGTGGCGAGTTGTCAGCCATTTTCCCTCTTCGGAGTTATTCCACCATAACTCACCGAATTCTTACGTTATCCGCACGTTTGACATTTCTGCAGAGTCCTCGCGATTGGGTGCATCGATTTCCAAGCCGATTGGACCGTTGGACTCCCTGGAGCGCCTGCTTTCTCAGCGGGCCGTTCTTCTGGAACCAGGCAAAAAAAATCGATTATACTTACCTTGTTTGGACGGATGCGGCCCTCAGACTGCTGCCCGTCAGGTCATTAGCACGCCCATTGCACAGCGACTCACAGTCTTAGGGGTGAGAATGGCCTTGTGCTGGCTTCGGCTGGTTCACTCGCTCAATATTTGGCTCTGCCCAGCATCCTCTCGGGGGTGCCGGGCTACCATTTTGCGTTTTGCTGGTCGAGGAGGGGAAGGAGAAGATGTGGATGACGTGATGTTCGATTCGACAGGGATCTGCGTGTGGCTGACGTCAGTTTTGGCGCCAGAGTCTGCAACCTGTGGTCAGCAGTGCATGGCGGGTTGGTTGGATGCAATCTCGCAGAGAAGGATCACGATACCGATTGCATCAGCATGCACACAATGCGACGCCAATCTGGGGCGGCAGATCGGCTTGTGTGCATGTGTGCTGCGGGTGGGAGCCAGGTGGCCTCCACCTCGCAGTTTCGCCACCGAACTCGCACTACACACTGCAAGACTCACCATAGTCATACTCTTCATCAACGGTCGATCCACCTCGTCGCCTTCGCCAATGCACAGCGGCTACTGACATCTTCACAGCCACTTTCGAGACGCAATGTCGAGAGAAGCGAACGTCGGGATGGGAGGAAGGATGCGTCTGACACCCAGGTCGCCTTGATGTGCGAGGACGCCCGAGACGAACTTGCTGATGATGGACGCCCTCGGCGGTGATGGCAAGGACGATGCTGAAATCGGATATGTGGTGGATACGTCGAGGCGAGGGCTGTGGATGAAGAAGGATGACTTGGAAGAGAGATTGGTGGAAGATGAAGAAGTGTGAAGAACGAGTTGGACGCGACGTGGGAAGGCTCTGTGCGCTCATGCGGACATCGGGGGCGGAGGCTAGCGAGGCGTGTGGGTCTGGAACGGTGGTGGAGGCAGCGGTGTCGATAGCGCGGCCTCGCGTCTGCGCGTGTGTGTGCAGTCGCGCCCCGAGGGCAAGGCTCCTCCTGCCTCGCCCAGGATCCGCGGATCCGCGCCCAACGGTTCCATCCAAGTCCCATGGGCTTTCGTATCATTTCACAGCTTGGGAGAACGGTCAGCGGGTATTCGCAGACCCGCTCACGACGATGGCAGCGTTCGAGGTTGACTACGAGAGCGCAGCCGAGCGTTGCTGACAGCTGAAGCGCAGATACCATGACCGCGCAGGGCTCAGGCTGAACAGTCGACTAGTCGATCGGCATGGGGCAAGGGCGCAACGGTGCAGCGGCGCGAGAAGGGGTGTCTTAAATCTGTCACGTTAATGCACACTGACGTGTCTTCCCCCTCACTCCTTTGCTCATCACAGTTCACCATCAGCTCCCTGTTGAGTCTTCCTCGTCTGACCAACTTCGCTCAACTCATCAACGTACCCCTTTCCAAGTTCATCATCTCTTCTCTCAACCCGTTGCTCTACCTTAAAGCTCGCTCAAGTCTGCTTCTCGTCTCTTTCCACCCAACGAAGTGCGACGCTCGCCTCACAACATCTCTTCACCCCTACGCCTTCACTCCAACACCTCAGCACTCAACACCGACATCCAGCCCTCCATCCAGCCTTCAACCTGATCATCATCGCATTCCGAGTCCTCGGAGCCTGTGACTCGCACCATGTCTGCAAGTCACGCTGAGGCCCAGAACCACATCATCAGCGTGGTGGAGGGCTCCCGCGATGGTCGCCAGATCGACCTTGCCAATGGGCGGTGGATGGGCGGTGGGACAATAGCCCAATCGAGCTGATTGTTTATGGTTTCAAAGAGAGCCAGAACATCGTTCAGACGCTTCGGAGCGCCCTTTGTGATGTCGCCCAACCCCACCAAGGAATTGAGCCGTTCGCATTCCACACCGACCAGCTTCTGGTGCGTGAGCTGGAACACGTCGCAAGGCAACAGACATCGGCTCGCATCTGCTGGGACCCCGGCATGTGGACGTCTGGCCTGGATCTGGTCAAGGAAATGGGTACGGTGAAGAGTCATCTGCAAGAGCGCGGGTATGAGGTTTTCTGGGCGAGTACGGCTGGCCAGGACCATAGGTCGACCGTGAAATTCTCAACCGTCCCCGTCGAAAACAGACACTACTTGACAATTCGACCAGGGTTTGCCCCAGATCGCACAACCTGGGTCCAGACAGCCTGCTCTGAGGAGCTCTACCAGGACATCGCCGACTCAAGGGTCGTTTATGGAAACAACCGCGAAGAGGACACTGTCGAAATCGACTTTCGACACCCCTCGAGCGTCGACAAGATGATGGCCCTCTTTGATTCGGACAAGCGTCGGCAGTGGTTCAAGATGACGGTTGGCATCACACAATTCAGCCGCATTCGATCCCAGATCCCCATCGCGCACCCGGCCATGATTGCCTCGCCGGACCGCGGCCACTATGGAAGGGAGGGGCTCCTTGCAGCCCTCGACAAGTGGGTGGCGGAGTACAATGCTACCTTCAAAACTACAGAGAGGCTTCTACCATGGGAAGATGGATCGCGAGGCAAGTTTGTTTTTGAGACCAACTTTGTCGTGCTCCCCAGCTCGGTTGGTCTCGCTCAATTTATTGCGCAACAGCAGCCCAGACATGGTTATCCCTTCGAGCTGCTGTACGACCTCAACGGTCGCTGCCTAGTTCCGGCATCTCAAGCGGCAGCAAAGTTGGAGCTGGAGAGGCTGCAGGAGGTGCGCTACGTCCACAAGCGTCTGAAGAGAATCGAGAGGCGACTGCGAAACATCAAGCGACACACGAATCTCTACGCGAACGTAAGCGAACGAATCGAGGGTTCGAGTCAAGGATGGGTCAACCGTGATTTCACATCTGCCGTTTTAGATGACCTCCAGGCACGAATCTCCCGTGGCCATGGGTTGTCATACCTGTATGGCACTGGGGATTCGAGTGAGCCGGAAGAGTCCAGCGAGGAGGAACAGCCCAACAAGCTTGATAACAACGACCACCGCACCGGTCGGGGGCAGCTTGATGTCGATCCTCACTATGGAGAGCGGTCGTTTGACGATGATCCCCCCATGCGTCAAGTACCTGTGACTGACTACTCAACTGCGCCCACTGTGTCGGCCACTCGGTTCCCTGCGCAGGCTGCCAACGCCAACGGATTATCCACCAACTCGCCAGTCGAGCTCATAATAGATGATCTCCCCTTCGACATGCAGAAGCCCGAGCTGGCTGTGATCGGCGAAGTCTTGCAACAGCTGGAACACAACCACGAGTGCCAGCCACCTATCGACTGGCGTCGCCTCATCCTCTCTGAGGAACCCGGCCCCGGTTACACCAGCACGCGGATACGGCTGTCATGGTCCGAGGACAAGTGGATGAACGACGTCAACCTTGTCGACGAAATGAGCGCCGTTCGTCAGGCTCTTCAGGACTCGGGATACAGAGTGTTCTGGGCGAATGCGCCAGTCGATCTGCGCAACGTTTCCGACATTGAGATGCGCGACAACACATGGAATGCTCGACCAGTTCTGGAATGCCGCAGCTTCAAATGGCTTTACGACCAGTGCGTGAAGGCCGGAGTCGAACCGGTGGACGCATCAGGGGGACGATTATGTCCTGAATACCACAAGTATCGCCTCACCTTCCGCTCGCAACGTGATACCGACATGTTCAAGGCGTACTTGAACACCGGAAGCCCACGTTACGGTCGCGAACCTGTACTTCTCCACGAACCGCAAATTGCCGTTTCGTACCCGACGAACGTTGGCTCTCCGGGACGCGGGAACATGTCGCCCACTTATCTCCTGGCGGAAGTCGAGAGATGGGTGGCCGCATACAACGTCAAGCACAACACGCACGAGTGTCTCCTGCACATGGAGGGTGACAAGTGCTGGGGAATGACTCAGGGCGTGTTCATTGTGAGGCCCAGCTCCATGCATCTGTCCGAGTATCTCACTCGTCAGGTGCCGCGCTGCGGCCAGAAATACGAGCTCTTGTATACGCTCAATAGCCGCCAGTTCCCCTCTCCGGCTGAGGCACAGCAGGCTGTCTGGGCTCAAGACCGTTGGGAGAAATCCATCAAGGAGCACCTGAAGGAGATTGGGAGGGACTTGTGGCACATCCGCTACACCGTGTGCAACGTTATGCCCGATTTCTGGGACGGCGGCAATGGAACATACATCGTGCGCACTCCCGACCGCTGGGGCTCAGACGCAGAGTCAATGTCTTCGTGGTCTTCCGAGGCCAAACATCTCCTAGACCCGTAAATGCCCTCTACAGTCATCTCATTCGTCCACATGTACTTGAGTTCCGAGTTGATCACATGCAATCTTCATCTGCCTATAACGCAACTGCTGCATTGTCGGTTGAGCCCACTGCGAGAGCTGAATCTGGTGTGTTATGAGACTGCGGCAGAGGAGCAGATGCGGTTTGATGCACAGAGACTGCGCCCTGCCTTCTGCCTCTTGCACCACCTCCTGCACAGGCGCGCAGGATCCTCGACACCCTCCTCCAAATGTGACACTCGCGGGGTCATCCACACACGGTCGCGCTTGCTTCGCCCCCACGTCATCGTACCCCACAGCGCTGCACACCAGTATCACGATGTCAGGAATGGACTGCTCGTTCCCATCGTCAATACGCCAAGAGACGGCACCATATCCCACCACCATATACTGTCGACAGCCTGGCCGACTTCACCATGTCACACGCGAGCGAAGACGATCTCCCAACACCGTCTCACCGGGTATGTATCCCTCGTGACCCCCGGCAGCAGGATCTTGCCAACGGCGAATGGCAGAACCACCCCATTGAGCTGATCGTGTACGACCTGGACACTCGTCGTCACCCCGACAACAACGGCTCCCTAGTCAAATCCATGCGTCACATCCTCTATGACCTCGGAGGGAAACTGCCCGAGGACATTAAGACAAGTCGCGGAGAACTGGTTGTTTCAGCCTCACCTCCGCATCCCGGCTGCCTGCAGAAAACAGTCCGCATCACCTGGGCTCCGGGCAAGTGGAACCAGAAAGTAGACTTGGTGCGCGGCATGGAGCTCGTCAAGAACGAACTGGAAAAGCTCGGTCATGAAGTGTTCTGGGCCAACGCTGCCACGTCAGACTGCCGCACCGCCGTGCGATTCAAGACCTGTCTCCCCGACAAGGGCGGCGTCAACAATACGCCCCGGTGGCCGTTCCGCGAGCGCGAGCCCGTCGCCTGGATGTGGACGTTCTGTCCCTTCGAGCTGTGCGATGACGTGGAGATCACCGTCGTCAAGGGCGACTTCAAAACGCGTTATGCGGGCAACACGATCGAGATCCAGCTCAAGCGCCCATGGATGGTGGACAGAATGGAGGACCTGGCGCAGACGGGCCAGGAGTGGTTCGAGCGGGACTACGGCCTGACCGGCTTCCACCGCTCCCCCGCCCAGATCCCCATCACTTATCCGACCATGATTGCCTCGCCTGGCCACCTCGAATTCGATGTCGACGGCTCATTGGCCGAGCTCCATTGCTGGGTGTCAGCCTACAATGAGGCCTTCCACACGAACGAATGTCTCCTCAAGTCCGAGGACGGGAAAGAGGGCGTCATCGTGCGATACCCCAAGATCACCAACTTGGTCGTCACGCCTAGTTCGCTCGGCCTCGCACAGTATCTGACGCAACAAAAGCCTCGCGCTGGCCACCCTTTCGAGATGCTGTACGAGTTGAATGGCCGGTTTTTGTTACCCAAGTCGGAAGCTGAGGCGGCGATAGAAAAGGAGAAGCACGAGGCGGAGAGCAAGAAGATCGACACCATCCTCCGACGTCTGAAGAGGATCCAGGACCACCTCGGCATGTCGGACAGCGATGACGAGCCAGTCGAGCGCAAGAGGAAGCGCTGTTACTCGGTGAGCTCACAACTTGACATAATCTCCTTCTGCCTTGCTTACACAAGCAGGATGTCGAGACCGACTCGGACGAGGCTAGCGCCGAACCAAGCGAAGAGACAGCGGGTGGATCAAGAAAGAGGATGTTCGGGTCAGGACGGGCCCTAGCGCTCGAACCCTTGGTCTGGCCAAGTGAAGAAGACGACGAGAGCTACATGCAGGCTCTGGATGACTTCAATGACCAAGCGGAAAGAGATTCGGACGGTGAGCAAGGTACTGCGATCGAGCCCGAAAACGAATGGTATGACGGCCACGACGCGTGGCACGACGATGAGCCTTGGGGGATCGACAATGACCCTTGGGGATATAAATTTGACCAATGGTGAAATGTAGCATACGGTGTTCATGATATGTATAACAAGCGTGAGAGGCCGACCAATAGAACACCTTTGGAGCTCAACAGCGCAACTGGTCATCGTCAAGGAGGCCGCTGCTGTCAGTCTGCTCTCACCAAGCCGATCCGGCTATCAAGCGTCCGGGGTCCCGGATCATCGGCATTCAGCGACCGGCAACCCTGCATCTCTCCGAGGTGGTGCGGGCAACTGGGCTCGATCGAGCCCACTTCTCCTGGTATCGCACTCTCCACCATGTCCATCACGCTGCATCACCTGCGCGCGTCGCGCAGCGCACGCATCTTCTGGGTCCTCGAAGAGCTTGGACTCAAGTATGACGTCTCCGTGCACGATTTCGGAAGCCCCGAGTGGGCGGAGTTGTCCCCGTTTGCCAAGGTGGGTGTGGGTCTAGGTCGGGGGGCGTAGCGTGTACTCTCCCTCTATCTATGAGGCAGCTTGGAATACTCTCACTCCAGAGCTAACGCCAGGCGCCCGTACTCACGTACAATGGCAAGAACCTGACCGAATCTGCGCCCATCATTCTGCGCCTGCTCGCCGATCACCCCTCGTCCAGCGTCCAGTCCCAGCCCACCGATGACGACACGTTCTGGTCGTACTTCTCCGAAGGCTCGCTCATGCTCTACGTCCAGCCGAGCGTGTTCATCAAGATTGGCCGCAAGCAGATCTCCCGCGACAAGTCGCTCGGCGAAGACGCGCAGAAGGGCGCCGACGCCATGGAGGGATGGGTCCAGCAGTGGGCTGCCAAGAACACAAAGCCGGGATACGAGCAGGCCGAGAAGTACCTCCAGGAGCACGAGTGGTTCTCTGGTACCGACAAGCCGGGGCTTGGTGATGTGAGTGGCCTCCTAGATTGCGCTGACGCCAGTTCATGCTCTTCACTGTTATCGGCGGGCAGAAGTCGCCGGCCATCTCGGCGTGGAAGAAGAAGATCGGCCAGCGGCCGGCGTACCAGCGTGCCATGGCGCGGATGCGCGACGAGGAGGCGAAGCAGAAGAAGGCCAAGGCAAAGCTTTGATAATCACATATGCTACAACAGATCTAGTAGTGTCTCTCGAGACGGCGTGCGCGGCCCTCTACGCGGCCGAGCCAGTCGAGCGAATCGCGCATGAGACCCTGCGAGTCCATCCACTCTGTTACCTCGTCGACGTCTTCGACGTCGTTTGGCAGCGGGCCACGAGAAAACTTCCGCACAAGACCGGCAGAAATGCGTCGCCTGCTCGCCAAGTCACGCTGTTCACCGCTGCTCATGTCTGAGTCAGATGCCAGGGATGACTCGCGGACCTCTCGCCCTGCCGCACGTACAAGGTCGTTGTACTGCGACTTGATAAAGCAAAACATCTGGTGCTCCCAGTGCTGGAGCTCGTGAAAGTCGTGTGCCCTCTGCAGGCACTTGTTGCCTGATGTCAGCTAGGCCGACAGTCAGGTAAGCTTACCCATATTTCCAAGGACGCGGTCGTCGTCCTCAGTGTCCTCCTCAGCGTCCTCGCTGTCGGACGCATCGAGCACCTCGTGTGACTCGCGGTCATAGGGCTGTCCACGCAGCCATGCCGTGTGATAGCAATGCTGGTTGCGCCGATTGCACCCGTCGCAATACTGCTCGCGCTCCGTCAGGTCCGCCTGCTTCCAGATGGGATACGTCTCGAGCGCCTTGCGGAACTCGGGTTTCCAAAGGGTGCTCGAGATCGAGTCGCGGAACCCCTTCATAAGGTTGCGCACGTCACGCAGCTGGCGGCCAAAGTAGTCCGCGTTCGACTTGCTGAGAGGAAGAATGTCGGGGCCTTTGATCGCCAGAAGAAGGAGGTACTGGAACACAACCTTGAACTTGTATTCTGTTGACTCGCGTTTGTGTGAGAACTCCTCTGGCAACTCCTCCAGCATCTCACCGTCGTCGCTGACGAGAAAGTCGTCGAGCTCATCCTCTCGTTCGTACGCCCAATCGCCCTCGTCCTTATCGGATCCCGAGCTGACGTACTCAGCGGCGTTGCCTCCGCGGCTCTCCTTCAGGCGCCGTAGGTTCGCGGCCCAGGCACTCTCCTTGGTTTCACGGAGACGAGTCGTCGCAGTGAAGCGTTCTGGTTCGTCCATCTCGATCTCGGCGCGCGCATCTTCGTCTTCGGTTGCAGCGGACGCTGGTTCATCGTCTGGGTCCGGGTGGAGGTTGGATCGGCGTCTCTTGCGAGGCTTTGGTGAAGCACTGCGACGTGATCGCGGTGCCGGCGAGTCGCTGTCTGAAGACTGATGACGTCGTGGGCGTAGTTTCCGACGGGGAGCCTCATCTTCAGAAGCAGAGTCGTCACTGTCGGGATCGACACGGCGGCGTGTCGCCTTCCGCTTCCCTTTCGACTTTGATGGGCTGCTCTGGGGATCCGAACCCAAGAACTCTATTGAGGACTCATTCTTCCCAGAGCCTTCATCTGATGAAGCTATCCTCCTGCGTGCGGTCGGCTCTGGAGCCTCGTCGTCACTGAAAAACCTCCCTTTCCGTTGAGTGGGCTTGGTGGGGGAGCGCGGTCCGAGGCGGACAGCATTGAAATCGTCATCGGACACCTCTTCACTAGAATCTTCTAACTTCATCGGTCGTAATCGCGTCCTGCGAGACTGGGTCGATCGAGGTGGTGTGCGTTGCGGGGATGGCTGAGGCGGGGAAGAGCTGGGAGGAAGAGGGGAAGACGCCGGCGAGCTCTGCTGGGAGCTTCCCCTTTCGGAGGCTGCCTTGCGCAGGGGTTCCCATGACGAAAATGTGAGTCTCGACTGTTTGAGCTTTGAGGGCGTCGGCATCATGGACGGGACATCGTGGATGAAGGGTTGGGCGTTGTTATCAGTTGAGTCAACCACCCTCAACGCGTCATGAAACGCGCTGCGGGGTCCCGCATTCGGATCCGGTGCGCCTGGTGGCGATGAAGCGAAGCACAGTGACCTCGACAGAACGACACGCACTCTCTCCACGACATCATCTACGACATGACTGCCGACAGTGAGACCCGCTTAGCAAAAGCAACCCTCGAAGACCGCATCGTCGGCACGCTCATCGGCTCGGCTCTCGGCGATGCCGTTGGCTTGTACACCGAATTCCTGACGAAAGAGCAAGCCCAGGCGGCGTACCCCTCAGGCGAGTTCTCGCTTCTCCCCAATGCAACCCCGTTCAAGCGCGACTTTCACCGACTGAAGCACCGGAACGGCGAGTGGACAGATGACACGGACCATTCGCTGCTCATACTCCTCTCGCACCTGCACAATGGACAACCAGATCACAAGGACTTTGCCGCCCGCTTGCGAGTGTGGGTGGAACAAGGATTGCGCGCGCTCGACACAGCACCACTCGGCCTGGGTCGAACGGTCGGCAGCGTTGTCAGCAATGAAGGCTTCCTCGACAACCCATACAAGGTTGCGGCTGAATGCTGGCGCAGAGGGGGCCACCAAGTCGCTGCCAACGGCAGTCTCATGCGCACGCACACTCTCGGCCTTGCGATGCTGTACGAGACGGAAGCAGACACTTTTGAGGTGGCTGCACGCTTCTCAGCCGTCACGCACGTTGATCCGCGTTGTGTGACATCCTGCATGGTCGGCACTGCGTTGGTGCGTGGCTTGGTTCGTGGCCTGGTCACGACCACCGACGACGTCGATGCATTGGTTCGGCGGGCGGTGGACGCCTTCCCTCGTATTAGGGAGCTCCTCCTGGCAGAAGGCGTGTACGAGGCCGACGACCCGAGTCTGGACGAGGACGAGGTAAGCTGGCCCGCGTTCGAGCTAACACCAGTTCAACAAGCACGCGTTTGCTACATCTCTTGACGCTCTCGAGCTCGACGGAGCGGGAATCGGCTATGTCCTGAAGGCCCTTGGCTCCTCGCTCGTTGTCCTTCGACGTGCTCTCAATCAGCAGCCGACGCTGTACTCGCAAGCTACCTCCTTCCAGCCCCTCATTTCAGAGCTGGTGATGCACGCTGGCGACGCAGACACAAACGCCGTCACGGCCGGCGCCTTTCTCGGAGCCTGGGCTGGATACAAGGCGCTCCCATGGAAGGGCGGCTTGCGCCACGACGCCTGGCTTCTGGGCAAAGCGGACTCGCTCTGTCTCGCTCTTGGAGTCAAGGAAGGCGGCTATGATGGCAGGTCTGATCCAGACACGGCTCCTGATGGTGGTAGAGGTTTCATCACTCCTGAACAGACCAAGGAGAAGTTTGAGGAGATCCAAAGGCGGATGGACGCTGATGTCAGAGAGTTCATGGAGGCCGAGGAGAATGCCGCCAAGGAGCGCGCCAAGAAGAGGGGCTGGTTCTTTTAGACACGATGTACATCCTAGCCTTTGACCAAACTGCTTCCTTCTACTCACACCTTCATCGCTCCGCCCGTTTTCCGATCGTACCGCGAGTAGTACGGCATGGCGAGCATCCACGCGTGATGCTCTGACCCGACGTTGTCGAACGTGAACTGGATCTCCTCCTCGCCAATCTCAATCATCTCCTTGTCCTTGTCCTGTCCGAGACCCTTGCACGCACTCTCGACGAGAAGCTGTCCGCCGAGCAAGTTCTCGAGGCGGATGTAATAGCCGAGCGCGCCCTCGATAGTCGCCGAGCACAGCAAAAGACCCCTGTGCTGCAATATGAGCCCCTTGCCGTTCGTTCCCAATGTCTCGGCAATCTTGCCCGCGTTCGACACTGGGTCAAGTGCCAGCTCAAACGGTAACGGATGAATACGCTTGTAGAACGTGCAGCTGTCCTGCCAGCACATCTTAGGGCGCTCCAGGCGCGAACTGAACACGCGGGCGTGTGGCGTGTGACCGGTAGCAATGCCGCCCATGTCCGGGCGAACGGCGTAGATGACGAGGTGCAGAGACGTCCACTCTGGGTCGGCTAACGTTAGCTGGTATCTACTGAAGAGTACTCACGCTCTCTCCCCTCGACCGGGTGAGCAATGCTGCCGTCCAGTCTCACACCAATCAGATCCATACTGCCCATGGCGCGCAGAGGCTTGCCGCGGGGAATGACCCAGACGAGATCCGCCTGGTTCGGATCGCGACACGACAGTCCAACGCTGCACCCAACTCCCCACCCCTCGCCATCCATAATGCGCGCGGCGAGCGCGAGTCGGCCCTTGAAGTACTGCCTGCGCTCTACGGGATCGTCAAACGTCGGCGGCACGGGTTTGCGGAACTTGCCAACCTTGGGGCGGCTTGCGGGGTCGGCGTCGGGGACGCTGGCGTCGAGCACGAGCGAGGCCATGTTGGTGCAGCAAGCTGAGATGGAGTGAGAGGTGTGAACAACCTTGCACTACTGTGCCTTCCGGCTAGCGGACCGTAGCCCACCTCGGCATCTCAAGTCCGAAAGGAGTCGGCCAACTCCGACAACCGTTCCCAGTAACGAGACAAGCGCAACCTTCATGCATTCATATCAACCATCATGGTGACGGTGACGCAGACGACGACAAAGCCGACGCAGGCCATTCTGAAGCTCCGGGCGGAGGGTAGGATCGCGGAAAGCGACCTGCCGACAGAGGCCAAGATGGCCGAAGTGAGTTCTCCACCCGATCGAGTTCTGACGACAGCGCGCACACCTCAAGGAGCGACTTGCGGGCGCGTTCCGTATCTTTGCTGAACTCAACATGGATGAGGGTGTCGCTGGCCATATCTCCGTACGTGACGTTGTGAACCCGCATGCGTTCTGGGTGAACCCGTACGGCGTGGCATTCGACGCCATGACGGTGGACGACCTGGTGTTGGTCGACCACGACGGGCGCGTTCTCGAAGGTGGCCGTCCGGGATTCGGCCAGGTGATCAACGCTGCCGGCTTCGCGATTCACGGCTCGATTCACCGCACGCGACCGGACATTCACGCCGCGGCGCACTCGCACTCGTTCTACGGCCGCGCATTCTCGAGCCTCGGGCGTAACATCGACATCACGTCCTACGACGGCGCCAAGTTTGCGCACACCGTCAAGCTGTATGATGACTTTGGTGGTGTCGTGCTCGACGACGAGGAGGGGAAAAACATCTGCAAGGCACTTGGCGATGAGGGCAAGGGCGTCGTTCTCCAGAACCACGGGATCTTGACTGTTGGGTCCACTGTCGATGCCGCTGTCGCATATTTTATTCGCCTCGAGGCACTGTGCCGTGCCCAGCTTGAGGCTGACGCTGCTGGCGGCGCTCGTACGCTGAACAATCCCGAGGTCAGCGCCGTCTTCGACCGTGCAGGCGGCGAGAAGGAGGCGTACCGTCAGGCGCAGGAGCTGTATGAATGGATCGACGACATCACAGGCGGCGATTACAAGTAGAGTCTAATAACTATGCATAAATCTAGTAGTCAAAGGTCTCGCGCTCGACGCCGTAGACGTCCTTGGCGACCTTCCACCACTGGCCGTTCTCGCCGCCGACGCACCACCGTCCGGCAAACTCGAGCTCGAGGGGGTGGATGCGCTTGCCGACGATGACAACCGAGTGGAGGGGAGCTCCGTAGTCCTCCTCCGTGAGCTCGGAGAGCTCTTTGAGCGTGCCGGCGATGATGCGCTGAGAGGGCGTACCGATACGCGAGAGGGACATGGCGAGCGTCTCCTCGGGCTTGAGGAACTTGTCGCCGGGAGCGACCGCCTCGTCGTCGCTGTCCTCGGGAGGCGGGGGGTTCGTGCGCTTGTTCTCGGTGAGGAGGATCTGCGAGAACGCCTGAGCCGGGTTCATGAAGCGGGGAGGCTCGTAGATCAGGCGTCCGCGAGCCATGTTCTCCTCACTCTGCTCGCGCACCTTGATGTCGAGCAGCACAAGCGTGTGCATTCCGTACCGCACGTTCTCCTCGAGACGGTCGTACCACGAATCCGGCGTCCAGGTCTCAGTGTAGAAGGGCAGCGAGACAGACTGGCCAAAGTTGTACATCTGCAGGCCGGTCGAGCCGAGCGCGGTCATGATCGAAGCATTGTGAATCGTCTGCGTCGGGATTCCGCGGGCAGAAGCGCGGAGCAGGAGGTCGGTATGCGTCGTAGCACTGACGTTAGTCGTGCTGGAGGGTCACACTCACCCGAGAGGGTCACCGACCACAAGGAACGCGACGTCGACCTTGTCGGCATCCTTCAGAATGTCATCGGACTCAAGCTCAACCGTCTCGCGAGTCGCAGTAATAACCGGTCGTCCGTAGAACTCTTCCTGTGATTGTTAGGGTTTCTCAGTCAACAGTCTACTTACGAGCTTCTCCTTCTCGACCATTAGGATCGAGGTGTACGCCTCGAGGTACACACGCTCGCTTTTCTTTACAGCCTATCATCAGTTGAAAGCTTCAAAGCACACACACCTCGAGGCCCTTGACAGTAATGTCCTTCTCATCGCTGAGACCAAGGCCGATGACATACAGCATGGTGAATGGAGTGGTTGGGTTGAGGATTGTTGCGATCGAGCGATTTTCAAAATATGACCAGAGCTCGTTACCCCGCATTCCCCGCATTCTACCCTGACGATCATCCATCCACCACAGCGTATGCATGCATCAAGCACTACAGGGAGCGACAAGCTCGTGATTAACTTCTACATGAAAGGACTCTTCACCACCTGTGATCGTCAAAGTACTGCTTGACGCTGTCTCGGAGCTTCTTCTTGGCAAAGCGAAGCTTGCGGAGCACGTAGATTTCGGGCCAACGGAGGTGCGATTCCTCGTCGAGGTACCTGTCCGACTTCTTCATACCAGCCGAATTCCAGCCTCCGAGCTCCTGGACTCGGGCAACGAGCGCATTGTAGTCGATCACCTCGGCTTCGTTGAATCCGCGGATCTCATCATCGGACCACTCGAGCTGGCGGAGGAAGCGCTCAACGTCGTTCTTGTCACGGTACGTGCGCGTGTCCCAGTCCTGGAGCTCGATGTCGCCCTGGTCATTGGGCTTGAGCCAGCGCTTGCGCTGCTGGTGACGCATCTCAATCATGAAGGTCCAGAAGTCCTTCGTCCATTCGCCATTCCAAATGCCGTCATCTCTGCTCTTCTTGAGATGGTCGAGCCATCGAAGCTGCGCGGGGGAAAGGCGGTAGCTCGGATCGTGCTTCACCTCGTCGAGCAAATAGCCGAAGAGAGAAGCGTATGTTCCAGTTGGCTCCCAGGAGGAGGTCGTCGGTGAGGGCTTCTTCGCGTTGGCTGGGGGACCTCGGAGAGTCGCGATAGGCGTAGGGGCGGGGCCATCGGCCTGCTTTGTGTAGACACCCTCAGTCTTCGCCTCCTGCTTCGCGTTCGGATTGAAGAGGAGGAGCTTGGTGGTCTGAACGTCCTGGAGGGTATTCACAAGAACCTTGTCGGAGTCAATGTTCATCTCACGCTTCGGGTGCGCAGGCAAACGAGGCGCAGGAGTGGGATGGGGCTCGCCACGCTTCAACTTGCCGGCGTTCTTGATCGCGTCGATGATGCTGTTCAACCTAACAGTGTTAACGGATGGGTTGCCGGTCGTCACAGGCGTCGGTGTCTTCCAAGGCTCAAACTTATCCTGAAGCGTCTGCCACCACTTGATCATGTCGGGAGGGTAGTTGTCGTCGGCCTGCATCTCCTTCCACGACTCCTTCAGGTACTCGATCTGCGCCATGGCGGGCCCTTGGCCCTCGCGGCGGAGCTTATCGAGGTACTCGTTCAGGTTGGCGAAGCCCCAAGAGTAGCTCGTAGGGGCAGCCTCGCTCCTCTTGCTTGTCTCGTCGGCCTTCTTCTTCTCCTCTTCCTTCTTCTTGTCCTCGTCGGCCTTCTTTCTCGCCTCCTCGTCCTTCTTCTTTTGCTCCTCCTCTTCCTTCTTCTTCTGGTCCTCGGGGTTCTTCTTTGCCTCCTGCGCCTTCTTGTTGGCCTCCTCCGCCTTCTTCTTCAGCTCCTCTTCCACCTTCTTCTGGTCCTCGGGACTCTGCTTCGACGCCTCCTCCTTCGTCTTATCACCCTCTACATTCTTCGGCTCCAGCGCGGCGGTCTTCTTCGGCTGCTCGGCACCCTGGGCCTGGGTCTTGACGGCCTCAGTCACCTTCGCCTCAGCGGCGGTCGGCTTCTGCTCAGGAGCCTTGGTCTCCGCGGCACCCGGCTGCTTAGTCTGCGGCATCTCCTCCTTGGAAGCCGTGGCGAGCCAGAGCTGAGCACGGAGCTTGCGCACGACGTACTGCGCGGGAACGGAGAGCGAGTTCATGTCGAGGTAGTTGTAGTCCTTCTCGGACAGGATGTTGTCCCAGTGCTGGTGCACCTCGCGCTCGATGTAGACACGCTCCTCGTCGGTCCAGGGCTGGCGCAGCTCATCCAGCGTCCACGTCTGCTTGTACCACTTCTGGTCCCACTCCTTGCCATCGTTCCCGCCGTTGTTCTGGTTGTCGCCACCCTCATCGCGACGAAGCACCTTGGCCACGGGCTTCTTGTCGTCGAGCTCCCAGATGTCAGCCTGGGCACCGTCCGCGTAGCCAAAGTCGTCATTGAAGCGACCGTCGCCAACGACGTTGTTGCCCTCCGCCTGGCCCCAGACGACCATCTGCTTCGCGCCCTTGGTGCACTTCTCGGGGCGGCCAGCGCACGCTTTTGGCAGCTGCGGGACGGGGAGAGGGTCGGCGCCGGGCTTGCCCTGCCAGCCACCCTTGATCTTGCAGCGGTAGACGTTGTAGTACATCTGCATGTCAGCGCCGTCTAAGATCAAGCACTCACGTCGCCATCGTCAGCGGCACCCCAGAAGCAGTGGCAGCCTTCCTCCGGGCAAGCGGGGAGGTTCTTGGGAATGTCAAAGACAACCTCGGGCTTGGAGCAGTCGTGGCGGACGGAGATGGTGGTGAAGTTGGCGGGGTCCAGCTCCTCGACGTTAGCTACGTAGGCGAGGGCCAGGCCACAGCTGATCCGAGGGACCTGGTCGTGGACGGCGCCCTCCTCATCGCACGAGACCTCGTTGCCAAAGCTCGTGAACGACTTCTTCGAGGCGAGCTCGCCCTTGAACTGTCCACCGGCGGGAAGCTCGAGGAACTGACCCTCCTCCGGGGGCTGGTCCTTTTCGCCGTGCAGCCACCAGCTGCCGACCTTGGGCTCAGCCGCGCGACCGGCGTCGTCGACACCGGCTTCGAAGCCGTACATCGAGGGGTGCCACATGGCCACGTTCGCGGCGGCTGGCGCAGCGAGGAGAGACAAAACGCCGAAGAGGCGGATCGTGCGCCCGGCCTGCGGGCGGGAAAGTCGTGAGGTCATCATGTCGAGGCGTCGAGCCAAACTAGGCCTGCTAGCGTGCAACCGGTGCGGAGGAGTTTTGGTGATTGGAATGTGGGCTATTTTTGCACCGCACATGCTTGTTATATACGCGGTTCGTGGACGGGCATGCTTTTGCACAGCACTTGGTCGAGAGCTACCAGACTCCGACATCCGCGGACCCCGAAGTCCTCCGCCGACGGGGGACAATGAGGCAACCGCTCTGAGAGCCGATGAAGTTCGTAGTTGCTGGAAGTCGCAGGTGTCTCAAGGTGAGAGGCCCGGCGCATTCGGCTTCTCCGCCACCTTCGGCGAGTACAATGGTATCGGCCAACAATGGTCAGTCGAGACGTCTGGCTGCTGGGCATCGAAGGATCCCTAGAAGCAGTTATTTCTTCGCTCTTGAGACACGTCCGAGGCCCTGGATGCCTACTCCTGTTGTTTCGATCAAGAAGCCGATGCAGCCGGTGGAGTCTTCTTGACCACCACCCGAGTCCTCACAGCTGGACGGTTGCGGCCGATGATTCCAACCAACGATTGCGGTGTCTTTGTCCTCGATCCGATAGCAGTCTACCGTGAGCCCACATCCACGGCTTCTCAAGTGCCAGGACTTTCCACCATAGTTATCAGTGTCAGGTATCAGCGAGGTCTCGGCTCGGATGTACAAGGGTAATGGGCGGAAACCTCTAACACCGCTGTCAGGCAGGGCTGAGGTTCACCATCCATTGTTCGCTACAGAGCGCGCCAGCGCCACGACACTCGTCTCACCGATGGCCTTTAGATTATTGTGAGTGACATTATGCGTATATCGAAGGTCGAGGGGGCGAGCTTGTAACTGGCGTCAGTCGCATGGTGGATGAAGCGATTCTAAGTGAGGTCAGTCACTGGAGCTGACGTCAAGGCTGGAGCCGTGGTGTTACGTAATATCATTGACCATGGTGCGGGCGACGGTGGCTCAAGAATCCAAGCAATCGCCGTCCCGTTTTACACCTCATCATGAACATGCATACGGACGCCTTGATCTCTACTCTCATCATGTGCTGGGTGCAATCCCAACTAACGGTCAGATTTGGCGGGATTGCGAGCCGAGCGCCTCCGCGAAACGAACGTAGCGTGCCCACGCGGATGGCATGGGCTTCCCAGCCGAGAGAGCAGAGAAATAACCGCTTATCTCGGCCGGGCTGAAGACGTCCTGCCAGTCTGCCTCTTCGAGCCACTCCTCAAGGGAGAGGAAGCGAATCTCGTCCGACGGGAGCACATTAGACGGCTTAGGGGCCCGCCACTCGCGAAGTTCGGCCTCATAGGCACTGAGGAAGAAGTCGTGTACAACGGATGAGGTCGTACCACCAGCCTCGAGCATGCCTATGTGCTGTGACATTGAGCGATGAGGAGGAGGCACCGAAGCTGCATTCACGATCGTCAGACATTTGATGCACGAGGACGCGAGCTGTGAGGCGAGAGTCGTCCACAGACTACTTTGAAGCCAGCAGTTGTGCATGTCCAGATGGTGAGGACTGCAGACCTTGTCGTCACCGTACCACTCGCTGCATGAAGGGAACCAGGCACCACCCATCGCCTCCAATCCCGGCCAGAAGATCAGAGTCAGGTTCTCCGTCGACTTCGGGAATTGGAAATGTGGCGTGTCGGAGTAGCAGTGCCAGCCGGCGGTGGTCTTGATGTTCGGCATCCACGGATAGCCGCTCGTGAGGACTTGGATGCAATTCTTCACGGCCGGGAACGACTTCACAACTTGCCTATAGGAATCCTTCGCTGTAAAGGGGCGCGGAGACACCACCACGCCGCGCAGTAAAAGCGTAGAGATGTATGGCACGGCGTTGGCGATCTTGTGCAGCTGGTCGACACCAAGGCAGTGGGCACGAGGGCGGTTATAGCCGGTGCACGCCGAAGTGCACATTGATAGCTGGGTGCGGTTACGTACCGCCGTGCCCCCTCCGTGGATGAAGTCTGCGAGGCCTCTGCCTCTCGTTGGTCGGGCTTTGGGAGGGAAGTTGATGCACACGACCTCGACCGCGTCTGGGATACCCATCCTGTCGGCGGTGCAGCGGCAGTATCCGTCGCAGTCCTCTTGGCTGTGTGGTGAGAGTGCTAAAAGCCTAAAGCTCGAGCATACCCCCTCCTGCTCTGTCCTCGAGTTGTTGCCGGATAGCAGGGGGCAAGTGACGTTGATGGCGCCCAACTTCCCATACCGTTGAAAGAGCGGGCGGACAAGAGCCGACATGGTCGAGTTGGTCATCATGACGCTCAGAAGATCGTAGTAGCCCAGGCGGTCGAATGCGTTGAGAAGAAGCTCTGCCGGGAGCAGAGGCCACAGGCTACTATAAGGGGGACGCGCCATAGCAATGGATGCCGAGGCAAGAAGCGAAAAGGTAAACTTATGAGAGTGGAGAGCGCACGCTGGCGTGTCTGTGTATCTATCGTCACCTGTAGTGAGTGTCGCAGAGTTGCGCCCCTACACTGATTCCGTGATCTGCCGTCGGTAACAAAGCCCCACCGACTTTTCAGTACTACAACTGTCCATCGTTGCCTTTGTCATAGTCGAGAGTGGGTGAGTGGATGGCAAGCAAACACTGCTAACCCAGGCTAAAGGATCAAGGTGTCGATGGACCCGTCGTTACGTAATTCCTCGGGCACATGTTGTGGTCACTGGGTTTCTTCATCTATCGTACAAACAAGTCGTCAAGCCCTTCTATCCCTTTTATTTGTCTAAGCGGCACCAGCGTGGAAAGCCTCAATGTTGATCTTCTCCTTGGGGACACCGGCGGCGATGAGGTCGCGCTCAATGTCCGTCATGAAGGATCCGGGGCCGCAAACGTAATACACGGCGTCCTTGTCGGCAAGGGGAAGCGAATCCTTGATCTTGTCGACGGTGATGCGGCCGGTGTTAGCTCCGTCGTCGCCGTTGGAGTAGAACGCCTGCTGGGTGAGCTTGCCGCCGCTCTGCTCAGCAAGCTTGGCGACGTGGTTGCGGAAGACGTGCTCGGGGGCGGAGCGGACGCCGTGGACCCAGGTGATCTGGGGCCAGTTCTCGGCGGGACCAGCGGTGAGCTGGTTCAGCATGGCGAGGTTGGGGGTGATGCCGACACCTCCGGCGATGAGGACGACGTTCTTGGGGACGGTCTCGGGGAGAACGAAGCTGCCGGCGGGGAAGGCGGCCTCGACGGTGTCGCCAGCCTTGAGGCCGTGCATGATGTTGGAGACGAGTCCGTCGGGAGCGGCGTCGGCGCCAGTCTCACGCTTGATGGTGACACGGTAGTGGTCGCCGGAGGGCGAGTCCGAGAGCGAGTAGTGGCGGTTCTGGTAGCAGCCAAGCTCAGGGACGTTGACACGGAGCGTGATGAACTGGCCGGGGAGGTAGGGCTTGAGGGGCAGCATACTCTTGTCCTTGGGGACGAGCTCGAAGGAGGTGATCGTGGGCGACTCGTTGTGCACGGCGCGGACCTCAAAGTCCTTCCATCCCTGCCACGCCGCCTTCTCGTAGAGACCAGCCTCGACGTCGATGAAGATCTTGGCGAGCTGCCAGTAAGCGTGGTACCACGCCTCCTGCAGGTCGGGGGTGAAGGCGTCACCGAGGACGTGACCGATGGCACCCATGAGGTTCTCGGCAACGACGGGGTAGTGCTCGGGCTTGACACCGAGGGCGGCGTGCTTCTCGGCGATGCGGACAACGACGGGGGTCAGCGGAGACAGGTCCTTAATGTTCTGGGCGTAGGCGAGAACGCTGCCAGCGAGGGCCGCCGGCTGGACACCGGTGTTCTGGGCAGGGATCGAGAAGATGTTGCGGAGCTCGGGGTTGTTGGAGAGCATGGTCTTAATGTTAGCGCAGCCGTAAGTCTAACGCTTACCTTGTACATCTGCTTGGTAATGGTCAGACCGTGCTCAGCGAGGGCAGGGACGGTCGCGAGGACGGCGGCCTGGTGCGCCTCGGAGAGGGGCTGAACATCGGGGGGAACAACAGCAGCGGAAGCCATGGTGCGGGAGAGTTGAGTGATCTTGGAGAGAGTCTGGGGACGCAGAGTGCGCGAGCGAAGCATTATGTATGTGTGAGTGTTGGTGGTGAGGACGGTGTTCAACGTCGCTGACTGTCTTTTATCTCGTCCTTGCGGCGTCCAACTCAGGATCATCGCACCCTTTGCTCAGATCCGGCCAGGGCTCTTGCAGGAACTCCCCGATATGCTTTGGGCCCACAAGCATAGACGTAGGTGGCTATAATCGGCGCTGCAAAACGCCATCGCGAGGGCCTGCAAAGCGACGGCGCTAGCCCTGTCGCTGCGTTGGGTGGGAAGTGTCAACAAAATCTCGTGAAATCTCGGACTCGACATTCGTCAATTCTGCGCGGCGTGTGTCATCGCAAACGCGATGGAAGATCAGCGCCGGGACGCCACCTTCGCTTTGTCTCTACCTCGATACGGGGAGTACGCCGCAAAAAAACAGGGGCCGGCTGAACTCGTTCTTCTGTTTCCTGCATTCCTCCTCTGGTTCCTGGTAGCTTTGCTCCGGTGACAGGTGCAGAAGAAATGGCGCATTTGAAGCAGTCTCTGAGCGCGCGTAGCAGTCACCGAAGCGATGACGGCCGTATGAACAAGGGTCCTTTAAGATTTTCCGTGTCGGACGTCGTCTGGGGTCCCTTTCGCTAGTCGCCAGTTGTCGGAGCGGTGAACACCAACCACGCGAGGTGGCTTGACGGCGGTCCAATCCGCGTCAACGCGTTACGCATCTCTCCCACTCGACAGTGCAGGGCTCGGACTGCTTCGTTCTCGGCCATGTACCTGGGGACAGCTGGAGGCCGTTGGAGACCTCGGACTTGGGCCTGCGTCCCCCCATCTGTGTCCTGGATATCGAATGTTTACCCCATCGCACAGTCACCTGTGACTGGCCTCCGCAGTGGGACGAGGTGCAAACTGCAACCCCGCAGGGTTCTCCGTGACGGGCGAGGCTGCTGAGGCTTGCTTGCTGAATAATGCTGATCATCACTTGGACACTTCAACCTGCATGTGACTGTTGATGTCGGGAGGAGTCGCCCAAAATCTCGGCACAAAACGTTGCCCGCCCTAACGTCTCCCTAACACCACCCTGTGACCGATGGTAAACGTGCAAAGAATTCTCTGAAGTCCGGGCAACCCGGGCAACAACCCCCAGAAGACCCTGCAGATCTTCTCGGTTCAGGGCTTCAGCGCGTCGGGATTATGGAATGCGCGTCGCCCACCAACGAGAAGCGCGCGGATTGTCTTCCACAGCGGGACTGAGATTGTAAAGGCCGGAGCATCTTAGCGACGCAGCCGACGTACGGCCGCTCGGCACCGTTGTGCCAGGATCCGACTCCCGGATGCATCGACTACACTTTCGCTCTATGTTAAGGTGGGGATGACTAAAATTACTAACTTTGAGGGTGTCAGGCTGAGACCTGCAGTGGGTTGCCAGCTTAGGCGGAAGCGAGGTCGACGCCAGTGTCCTTGCACCACTTGGCGCCCTCCTGCTCCTCGACCTGCTTGAAGTACTCAGAAGCGCCGCTGTTGGACTCGGGGTCCTGGCCGAGGGCACGGAACTGGCACTTGGAGCAGGTGAGCACGTCCTTGAGAGCCTGGCAGTAAACCTTGCGGCAGTTGGCGTCCTCCTTGAGCTTGTCCTCGGGGAGGGACACGCAGGGCTTGGTCTTCTCGTCCGTGAAGAGCGTGGTGACGGGCTTGCAGGTGTCCTTGCACGCGGCCTCGACCTTGTCAAGCTCGGCGTTCTTCTGCTCCTCGCCAGCGGGCGCCTCGCCGCCCTGGGCGGTGCCGTCGCGGGGAGCGATGGCGTTAACCATCAGGTCACGAGGGGTGAGGATCGAGGCAGAGGCCGAAGCGGCGGCGACGACTGGTTGTCAGCTATGTTTGAAGACAATGACTCACGGAGAGCAACAGCGGAGAACTTCATTATGATCGTGAGTATCGTTTGCTGGCCCGACAAGACCTTGATCTCAGCTTCTTATATATCCTCCGTATTCTGCAACGCGTGCATTGTGACTTGAGCTCGAATCCCGTTTGCTTCCCAGCGTTGCATGTGTCCCGTTCTCAGGCTGCGACAAGGGCCAGACACAAGGGCGAGAGACCCGAATATGCGTACCAGAACCTTGGTCGAGGGAATCATGGCCAGCCGAGGACCGCTGCGCCGGGTCACTTTGTGTTGTTGAGCGCGGGTGGAGATGTTTCATCTACGTGATCAGATTCCCATCGGTTTCTATCTATGTCATCTGTCAGCTATTCGGACCCGCATGTGGGTCGAGATCGGCATGGCTGACGTTGACAGAGGAATCGGGTTGCGAGGACCGCGGCTGTTATTGGAATCACTTGGAACACGGTGACAGGGTCACGGGAGCGTTTGGCGCTCTCCGAGCGAGTTCTGAAACGTATCTTCCATGCTCTGCTTGGAATCTCGCAGTCACACCTGGCGAACGTGCAAGCAGCATGCAGCATGCGGCCAATCAAGGTTTTGTCCGTAATCTTATCGAAGGCACATGGTCGTGTGCCCCTGTCTGTTCCGGGACCTGTTGGGTCTGGAAACTAAGAGTCAGTGTATTCGGAACGCGTACCAGGGCGACCGGTTGCCGAGGCGGTGAGCTGGGCGCGTTGTGTACCTGTGAGAGACGCGTTTCAACCCGACATGCTTTGATACTCTTCGCTGCTCGAAACACGTTGAAGCTTGAGGTGGCCGGAGGTCCTGACAGGCAACACCTTCACGACGCCCCGCACGACTCGCAGCTTGTCGCTGGTGACAACCACCGATACATTGCTTCCAGACTCTAAGCTCGTGGAGCATGCAAAGTTCAACGCTGGGGTTCAGAATGCGCGTCCGCTGCGCCAGCTGACAACTCCGTACCTTCGTGAAACAGCACGCAGCCGTTGATGACAGCGCCGCAGCTCCCCGCCGCATGCGCTGCGCGCTCTGCGCGTCCTCATTAACTCCTCTCCATGCGTATAATCGTACATGTGACACAGGCAGTCGCTAGATCTGTCTATTTGCGGCGCTCCCAAGACGGTTGGCGCTCTCCGATCGCACTTCGGCGACCGAGACTGCGCAACGAGACTGCGCCGGGCGCCTTACTGCCAGAGACCCAGCATCTCGAGCGCCGCATCCTTATTATCGTGGTCTGCACTCCAGTCCTCGATCGGGAACGGTTGCCCGACCGGGGCGCCGAGCAGTTGCTGCAACTGGTACGTTAGCTTTCCTGCCCACGTTTTTCAGCTTCCTCCGTCATATGCGCATCAAAGCGCCAACGTTGCGCTTCACTTCACACTCACAAAGTCTGGACTAAGGCCCGTTGCATCCGGGAGACGGCTGGTGAGGAGTGTATTGTCGTACCAGTCGGCTGGCTCTGGGAGGCTGGCAGCCGGCATGCTGGGAACCGGCTCACGGGGCCTGCCCTCGCCGAGCTGGATGAGGCGTGTTCGCCATCCGACAAGCGACAGATGCTCAAACGCATCTTCGGCGGGCTGCGGGGAAGGCGCCGGCGCAGCAGCAGCGCTGATCTTGGCCTGCGCGCGCTCGCGCAGCTGCAGCAGCCAAGCGAGGTTTTTCCTGAGCTCTGGTCGGGGCAGAGATGCGAGGATGCTGTGCAGAAGCGCAATCACACTCTCCAGCTCAGTCATCGCGAGCGTCACTAGCGCACTGCCTGGCGAGAGGATGCACACTGTCGCCATGCATACGGCTCCACTGAAAGCGTGTGACCAGAACTGCCAGTGTCTCGTTGACAGCAGCGGGTACAGGCCGTGGATGCTGCGCAGCATCGCAATCATCATGGAGCTACGCTCGATCACGGCAAGGTAAGCGTCACCGTACGGGGACTGCGTCGGGTCCTCTGGGTGCGAGTAGAGAGCATGCACGAAGTAGGGTCGGAGGAGAAGGAAGACACCAGCACAGTAGTCAAGCGTGAGCGCATGTTGCTGGAATGCAAGGCGGACGTCCCGTCGGCTTGGCTCAGGGGTTGCTTCGTCCGCGGCAGCCGTCGTGGTGTAACGTGACACCATGGCACGGGTTGTCGCGCGGCATCGCAGTTCGAACGGAACATCCGCCTCCGCCTTGACGAGGGCCTGCCAGATCTCTACGATGCGCGAGTACGGCGAAGGGGTGATGCGCAGGCTCTCATCCAGCGCCTGCTTCACCAGCACAGCCAGCTTGTATCGGTACAGTTCGTACGGGCTGCAGGTGTCTGGAAATTGGGTGTCGTACTGATCCGCGGCGATACCAGTCGGTGGTCGGTCCCAGCATCGCGACAGGAAGATGTCCTGACTGTAAGCGTCCCAGAATACTTGCCGCCGGTCGTTGAGGTCGTGTGGCGACAACTTCCACGTGCGGCCGTCTCGATGCAGGCCCATCGAGATGATGAGGCGCATCGCCAGACCACGAAGCTGCCATGCCAAGTCCCATCCGCGGCGCATCGCGGCGTAACAGCAATAGCGCGCCATCATGGAGACGGTCTCGACACCGATCAGCGTCGTGTGCGTCAGGAATCGCCCATTCACGAGACACTGTCGTGCCATGTCGAAGTAGTGTCGTCCGGTAGGGTCATCAAGCGGCAGTTCCAGCGACACCAGCGTGCCGAGAGCCAGCACGATGAACACAGCAGCCAATTTCTGGAAAGAGAGGTGCGTGTCCTCCGTGTTCTGTAGTGACTCGTAGAGCTCGGCGAAATCTTCCCGGCTGAGAGCGCTTCCGCCCCACGCGAGATGCCGGTAGTTCGATTCCGCAAGCAGCCATCCCTCTTCTCTTGGCGGAAGCTGAGCGAATGCTTGGGCGTAGGTGAGAGCTGAGGCTGGTCCAAAGAGGGAGGATGACGATGCATGTGCCGGGGATGTTGATGGCGAAGGCGGCCGAGTGTCGAGGGCGTCCTCTTGCGACAGCCAGAGCGGCATGGCTGATCCACCTAGATATCGAGACTGGCCATTCGCGACAACAAGAGTACCCGAGTTTGCAACTGGGGAGTCCGCTGATGTGCTGTCCTTCACGGATGCTGGGATCGGGGACGGCTGAACCGGCTGCGGGCCTTGCGGCGTTGTTGAGGTCGTCGATCCCGTCTTGACCTTCTCTTCCAGCTCCTTGATCCGCTCAAGAAGCTTCTCGCGCTCGACGAAGAGATCCTTGACGGCGAGAGACTCTCCGGGACACATAGCCCCGCAGCCTCGCTTCGTGCAGTTCGCGCATGGGACTGCGCGTTAGCGCGTTCTGACCGCCAAACCTTGCACCTACCCTGTCTGTCGCACTTGATCTGCGCCGGTTAGCTCTTTTTACTTGATGACGGTCCATACCTTCAGTCTTCGGCACTCTGAGAGGTCAGCTAGTCCATAACCACGGTTAGCGTACCTGCGCAGTTCTTCCCTGTGCGCACCGGCGGCATGGTTACGGGGATGTTGCAATGATGATGAGGTTGTAGTGGGCTGAGAACCGATTTGTCGGGCTCCGGCTATCAGACGCCGTTGAGGCGGACTTGGCGCCGATGATCCGGAGGACTGTCACGTGACCACTGATGCGGAGGGTCGAGGCTACGTTGAGGTTGATTGTTTTCGCACTGGCTCCAACATGCAACGGGTCGCAGTGGAAGTGAGCACGAGTAGTAGAGGAGTGATACTTGCGGCGATACTGATGGTGATACTGACGGTGGAGCTGACCAAAATTCAAGAACTCCGGCCGCAAGGGCGTTGGCAGATGTGCGGGATCATGGTCGCAAGAGTCAAGGTGCTCAGTAGAGTGATGCCCTCTACTGCGAGATGCTGGTGATGTCGCAGCACCGTGACGCTGCCACGCAGCTTCACAGGCTTTGCAGAGCTTGGAGGATTGATGCACAGCTGCATAGTTCTCGTTCCGGGTGCTGCGCCGCGAAAACACGCAATCGGGGGGAGGGCACAGGCACAGTCGCGCCCCACGCCATATATGACTGTCAAAGCGAAGCGTGTGATCTTCTCTCCCACCTTTGCTCCATCGCTCCACTTTCTTGGCACCTTCTGCTTGCACTCATCTTCCTCAAGCCAACTACTTGTTTCTTGCATCATGACCGTCCCCCAAACAACTTGTCATAACCACCCCACCGGCAGTGGTGTTGACGGCCAATCGGCGGCTACTGTCCCTGCCCTTCCTGCCGAATTGCTTTTCAAAGCTTTTGAGCATCTCAATGTCAACGACCTTCGCCGCATTGTCAAGGTCAACTCCTTCTTCAGGCTGGTCGCCCAACCCTTGACGTATCGCCATGGCGTCTTCACCCAATTCGGACCTCTCTTCCCCGGTGCCAACAATGCTGCTCCTTTCCTCAAGAACCCCAACATCGACAGTCCTCATCTCACCGAAGACGAGCAGCACCTCCTCGCCTCTCGAGTGCGCCGCCTCGACGTCTCTCTTCACTCCTCAGAGATGTGCCGTGCTTTCTATTATCTCATCCCCAACAAGCTCAAGTTCGATCTCGATGTGCTGAGCATGTCGCTCAAAGGCTTTGGGTGGTTCCGGAGCGACGACGAGTGGGATTAGTACGTCCACCACGACTCTTACCCACCCTTGCCTCCGCCCGAGGTCATGACGTTCCCGTTCGTGTACGATCCCCTCGACGAAAAGTGGAAGCACCCCGCCCCGTACGCCAGCTGCTTCTTCCTCGAGAAGGCGTACATCGACTTGAGGTGCCGGACCCTCGTCATCCGCAGTCTCCCCTTCCTTGCTCGCTCAACGGTGCACCTTCCCGACTCAATCAGCAAGCAGGAAGACCACCCGAAGAAGATCATCGGCATTGTTCCACCTGACTGCATTGTGATGTCCGAAAACGACGAGTACTACGCTGGCATTGACGAGCGGCGCTGCAACAGTGGCATTTGCAATCATAGCATCTCCAGCGAGGCGTCAAGCTCGGCGCCGAACGCGATGATGTGGGGAGGTGCGCCCTTCCATGCCGCCCGCTTCATCACGCTTGTATTCTGGACCAAGTCGCCCGAGAAGGAGTGGAAGCCTCCCCGCAAGCACTTCCACCCCCTTTCCGACTCTGAGACCACGGAAGACTCCGACAACTCGGTCTGGGAGTCGTACAAGAAGCTCGACGATTCGGCCGGCAACGTGTACGGCTGTCGCTTCTCGGACTGGATGATGCGCGATCTCGCCCTGGGGCTGAGTCGGCACGTCACCGAAGGCGACGAGCCCATGGGCATCACGATCGTCAACGCTGTCGCCTTCATGCCGCCGCACTACTTGCGCAGCCAGAAGTATGCCGAGCGCCTCCGATCTGGCGAGGCAACGCACGCAACTGCCGAAGAGCACTTCATGCAAGCCGTCAAGTGGGAGCAGATCCGCGAGAAGCGTCCTCTCGAGATCAAGTTCCTCACGATGCAGGAGTGGATCAAGACTGGCGAATGGGAGGATGCACTCAGCGAGAGGGAGATGCGTCCTTGGCTCGACTCGATGGCGAACGAAGCGTGAGCGACTTGTGCACCAGCATGCAGCTGCCTAACCGCAATTGCTGGCACACTGGGCTTAGCGAAACACTCCATCCTTGTCTTTCAAACCTCGTAGCTTGAGATATGTATGTCTTGCTGAGAACGACGCTGCAATAAAGCAAACAGCGAACTGGACACCTGCCGAGGCTGCAAGTGATGGTGCCACACTCACCCTCTGCCACGAATGCAACCGCTAACCTTGATCGGGATACACACTTTTGTTACATAGTCTTTACTACATGCGATGGAATCAATGTTTGTGGGAGTGGTTGAATGCAAGGGTATGTTAATATGTGGGGGGGGCGGGGGCGGTTGAATGCTTTTGATGAGGATATTACTCGGTCTCGACCTTCTTGCTGTTCTGGCCCTCGACCTCGTCCTTCTCCTTGGGGGGGCTGATACCGCCGTGCGACTGGCCAAGGAGCTTGCGCTGGCTCTCGACGGCAAACTGGGCGCTCTCGTCACGGGTGAAGCCGAACTTGGTGCCGCGGATCTCGGCAGGCGCCTCAGCGAGCGCGAATGGGTTAAAGTCGCGGGTTTGGTCGAGATCGGCGAGGGAGTGGTTCACGAAGCGGTGCGTGGCCTCGTCGGCGCGGACGGCCTTGATGACATCGAGGAGCGAGGCATTGGGCTTGAGGCGCCAGTAGTCGATAGCGATCTGGGGGGCGGGCTTGTCCGTCCATTCGGGGACGAAGCCCTTCTCCACGTCGTTGATGCAGTGCGAGTATGTCCTCACCGCCTCCTCCTCGAGCGCGCCGACGAAGCGGTGCGCAAGCTTAGGAGCAACGAGGTACGTGAGGAAGAACATGGGGTAGAACACTCCCTGGCCGGCCATGACGAGGGCGCGCGTGAACCATCCTGGCTGAGCGACCGTGAGGAACGTGAGCAGGTGCATGCGCTCGTTCTCGGCCTCCTCGAGGAGGGTGTGGATCCAGCCACCATCGCGGCGGAGCAGACGCAGACTCCTCAGATGACGAAGCGTGCCGCCCACCATGCCAGGGACGCCCGCGATACTCTCCAGGAGGATGATGCGGGTCATCCAGTCCTTGTCGCTGAGAAGCTCGCCGGACTTGCGCAGCTCGGCGATCGCGTTCGGGTTCTCCTTCAGGACGCTGGCGGGCACGTCCTTGGCAATGTAGCCCGAGAACATGTCGAAGAGGCGGCGGAGCATCTTGACCATGCCGTGCGCCGCCTTGTCGCCGACGGTCACCGGCTCGCGGCCGACGACCTTGACGCAGTCGAGTTCGGGCTCGGTGTAGATCGGGTTCATCATCGTCCAGTTGCCGTGGTCGTGGGTCACCGTCGCAACGGGTTCGATGCGTTCTGAGGTGTCAGTGGCTGTAACAACTGGAAGGAGGGGGAAGACGTACCACTCGGGTGAGGACCGTCAGCGCCAGGACCGGTCGTGCCCACAATTGGGCCGCGCTGCTCGTCCCGCTCGACCGTCTTGGGCATGAGAGCGTTGCTGGGCTCGTAGCGGGGGATCGTGGTCGAGAGGTGGCGGAGGGGGAGGGGGGTCGATGCCCTAAGAAGAGTAGAGGTAGGCATCCGGCCCATGAGGCGGATGCCGGGGCGAACCATCATCGTCGACATTGTCGGTTGTGGTTTGGGCTGGGTTGAGTAGTGGTTGTAGTTGAGTTGTGTTGTTGTGGTTGGGTGTGGGTGGCAGCTCGTCGTCGAGGTCGTCGTTATATACTCTGCACTGCTCGGAATGTCTTATCATCCGATGCCGGCCTTTGTCCCACCGATTGCTGAGTCAAGGAGTCTGCTCGATGCCAAATGTCTTGCTGAACGCTGCTGAGAAGAGCTGTTCGGGTGTAGCGCGTGATGCATTCCGAACCGTGCTTCAGCTACCGGCGGCAAATGACATCAGTGACTCACTCGGCAACCCTAATTCACCGCCTGGACGCCATTAGGATTCTTGTGCCTGCGCGTGCCTGCTCGAATTAGTCCTGATTACTAACTCTCGAGCCTGCGAATTAGTAACTGTGCGCCGCGTACGCCGTACCCATCGGAAGTTCCCGGGACCGCTACGGTGGGCCATGCCAGCGTACGGTGGGAGATGCTGGGGCTCTCTCGGAGAGAGCCCGGAACGTCCCGGGTGGGAATAACAGATACTGCACCGCCAGATCTGTCGCTTACGCTCAACCGCCGAAAGAACGTCGGTTATGCATGCAAGTGTCACCCACAGCTCGGAGCAGAGATACCAAATCGTCGTCCCGCCGAGCAAGGGAAGCTGTCAGCGGGTACTAAGCAGGCGTTAGCCATGCCAAATTGTCTTTCCGAGAGGGCGAAAGTCTCTCGCAGACTTGAGGCTCGTCGAGCTCCAGTTCGCACGTTTCTATTTCGCTTGCCTTTCGGTACCGAAAGCTCCTGTCGCTGCGCTCAGTTCGTAAGTTATCACAGTCATGTGGTCTCTCAACATCAGTGGTCATGGACGTCATGCCAAGTCATGTCAGTCGCAATCTCCTGCGTTGTGTGAAGATCTGTCGCAGGTGTTGATTAGACAATCCGGGTCTCGACTTTGATCTCTGGAATCACACAATTGAGAGGCGCCCAGGGACGTTCAGGTTATCGGATCGACATTACCAGTGAGATTGCGCGACAGAGCCTTGCAAAAGCCTGCGAGAGTTCTGCGGAGTCTGCGGAGGTTGCGGAGTCAGGGCGTGCCGTGTCCTGTGCCGAGGGACGAGGGACGTACGGCGCGCGGCCGACGCAGGGCCGCAGTGCTGAATCTCCGCATCTCCGCCACTGCCGCAAGAGCGATTCGGAGTCGGCGGCGTCTGCCATGGACGGAGTGGCTGCAGCCACCAGACATGACAGACAGCTGTTACAGATCGACGGAGTTCTTCGTAGACGCGGTGGAAAGTTTCTGATACGCGCGCGGACGGATGGAGGTCTATCGGGCCAGGAATAGATTCGTGGCGCTCGCCCGCACCCAGCAATCGCCAGAGTTCGCGAGTGTCTTCCAGTGAAGACTATGACATATGACATGCATGGCAGACGCTAGAAGCAGTGGGTCGCATCGCCTCTGCGAGTGTTGGTGTGAGTTTCAGGCTGTGCAGAATGGCACTCCGAGGACTATCGGCAAGCGAACAACGAGCTCGACACGGTCAGAGAAGGCCTCGCGCTCAACGGTGAGCACGCTGTTATCAGCCCGCTGCGGCTGTTGCAGCAAGGGTTAGACGGCTGTGCGCAGTATTCTGCGGCTGCTGCCTATCACTGTCCTGAGTGTCAATGCGCCGGCTCGACCGGCTGGCTGGTGCTCCATGCTGTAGTTCACACCAGCTCACACGATCCGGCAACTCTGGCAATGCTGGTTGGTCGACGTCCGATGTGCGACTGCGGCGCACATCACCGGCAAAGCGTTCGACCCGATCACAAAGGAGCTCCATGGCCTTTATTGATGTGCGTTTCGCATGCATTTCATGGTTCATGAGTCTCCGGCTGTCTCCAGATGCCCGGGCTAAGGACCCCAGGTGCCCCAGGACCATCCGGTGCGAAGGGCCCCACGCAGAAGGCGGAACATGACTAGTGCTCGGACTAGTGAGCAGACTAACGGAATCCCGGTCCGGAGCCTAATAGTCCTCCTCCGCCGGGACTGCTCAAGAACAGAGGGGAGATAGATGGGTCTGGTGAATGCAAAGCAGACTAAGCATAGAGTTTGTTGGGGAGTTCTGCGCAGCAAGTGACGAACGGCTAAGACCAGGTAGGCTAGCGTGCATTCCAGGTCTGGGCCAGCCGGGCGATTTGGTCTTGGCTTAGCTGAACAGAGGCAATAATCCCCCGATTCCCGGCTCCGCCCTGCGTTTCGTGAGTCATACTGACTTGTACCTCTTCCCATGTCAGGAGCCACTCGAGAGCATGGGAGAAGGCAGACGTCAGAAGCCGGGAGGCGTCGAAACACATCCGGAAGTGGGCCGTAGTGCAAAGTCTGGGAGCCGGTTGCTCGGTACCGCTGCAACTCAGGCCTTAGTCACACCACAGGAACAAGATGTCAACAAAGGGTTAAGATATCCTAAGTATCGAGGAGCGTTTGGAGACAGCATGGAATCTCTTGTAGGCCTGCTTGGCACTCGAAGGCATTCGCCGCAACCCGCGGTCCACTATCGCGGCCCTGTACTCGGTGAAAACGAGGGCCGCTGGGCCAGTCCGCACGCAACGCTCCGCACAGGGGAGGGTCGCGCTCGACAACTCCGGCGGAGGTGCACTGACGCTCTGACGACCGCGCCACCCGGCTCGACTCGCTCTCGGCTAGTCAGACGGCTGTGATGCTCGCATCCTACTTGGACCGGGGGCTGGTACTATGGGTCAGCTCGAGCCGGGCTGCAACAAGTCACGGGCTGGGCATGCGCGGGCCCTACGTTGTCCAGGTGGACCAGCTGATTCCAGCACCTGCACCGATTGCATTCCCGTGATCTACAGCTGTCCCACTAACGACTGTTAGCTGCCCACGTTTGACACTCTGGCATGTTTGGGTCGCAGGTGCTCTATGCTGGCTTCGCCCAGCGGCCACCGCACATGAGGCAGGCGGCCGCAGCCTCGAGCGCGCTCTGCACAAGCGCATCGCCCTCGCTCTCCTCGCCCCCAAGGCTACGTGGGAGTAGGGCGACGGCAGGGCAGATGGTACACAGCCGGCACTCAGGCGTGGTGATGAGGAGATGCGTGACGGAGCACCGTTCTGATTTGTTAGCTTGATCCCAAAGTACTAGATTCTCACCCCATTTGTGTCCCTTGATGCAGGCGCCTTGGCCAGGAGGAACGACACTGCCGCATGCAGGGCATGGATCACCAGCGTCATCTCCCTCTGCAGGGACCCGCAGAGACTCGGGCAAGTCCTGGCTGCTGCCCGCAACAGTGGCTAAATTGCGCAGGTACTGTGCGTCGAGCTTACCGAGATCGCCCTTACGCTTGGATGCCCAGTTCAGTTGAATGGCAGCAGTGAGTCGCTGCAGCGCCTCAAAGTACGTGCTCACGACCACGCCAAACTCGCTGCTCACGGCTGGGAATGTCCGCTGCGTTCGTCAGCTAAGCCTAGTCCGCCTCAACTCACCTGCACCCACTGCGCAAGAACGTAGCGCAAGCGGTTCACGTCCAACGGGCGATGACCCCAAACGGCCGTCATCAATGACTTGATAGGATCAGCTGCCGGTTCAGCCTCCGTGTTCATATCCCGCGGTGGGGCGGAAACGACATCCAGTAGAAGATGTGGGATCGGGTCGACATCCGATGTCAGAATGAGCAAGAGTTGCGGCATTAGAACCGCCAGAGGAGAGTAGAACAGCACTGCCTGTCAGCTACCAGAGATGAAACGCAACTTACGATCAGGAGGGTGCTCAATGATGCGAGCGAGCTCTTTGGTCAGATCCTTCGGCTCTTGCGCTGATGTCTGAAGGTTGGCCACGATGAAGTCTGTCACGCGATGCACGTCTGTAGCACTGTCGAGATTGTGGAAGGGAATCGGCCTGGCAATATCAGCTCTGAGGCATAGACCCGACCTACTCATCCAAGAACGATACGATGTCGCCAGAGGCATCCATCGCATCCCACCCGACGGCGTGAGTCGTCAACTCACGGTCAGACGCATAGTTGTACTTGCGTCTGCGGTTGCGGAAGCCCTCGAGAGCGATGTCTCGTGATGACAGTGTTGACCGCAACGAATCAAGAGGTGCCAATGCCGGCTTCGATGTGATGTGTTCGATGACATGGTAGGTCAGCGACGAGAGGACAACGGTCAAGGTGTCGGGGGCTGTAACGTGCAGTCCTGGAGGCATCAGTCTCGCATACTGAGTCGCACATACCAATGCAAGGATCGAGCGCATTACATCCAGCCCAGTTGCCCACTCGCTCCAGGCGAACTTCGGTGATGCCCTTCTGGGTGGCCATGTGAACGGTGCCCGGCCTGCACCAGACAAGCATGTTCTCTTGCGGAGCTGGATTGTTGGGGTAGCCTGTCTTGACCCACTTGATGAACGTGGCCAGCCGCTTGTCGGCGGGAAAGACCTCGTGCGGGTCCTCGACCTCAATGTCCCACTTGCCCTCGACTGCGCTTCTCCTAACATTGACCGTGGAGATGGATCCGTCGGTCGCAGCCAGAGCTAGTGATGCGAAACCTGACGTCAGCGAAGTTTACCAAGCTGTTCTCACAGGCATCGTCCTCCAATGTCCAGCCGGACCAGCTCATACGCGAGACCCATGGACGACTGATGGCGATCTCCCCCACGTGCGTGAGTTTGGAGCCGGCGTAGCTCCAAAAGTCCACCCCGCCTGCGCGGTTGGCGATCGCCAGCAGACTACCGTCTTCTCCGATCATGCTTTGCACAGGAATAAACTCTGACCATGCCACACACATGGCTCGCAGCCTCAGCATTCCCCACGCAGTGAGCTGCTCCTGCTCGTCTTCCGGCAGTCTCTTCCGAGTCTCTAGCGTGACATCCGCGATCTGAGGTCAACTCAGATGTCCGTCAAGCAAAATCTCACCTCGACAAGCTCTGTTCGGTATGGGTCCAAACCCGGAGCAAACGGCGAGACCTGAAACGTGTTGCTAAGCACCGCCAGCAGGCTGCCTGCGTTCTTCCCCATACCAGAGGGTGACCAGACTGCTGCCCGGACACCTCGCTCCTTCTCCGTGATCATGCCAGTGACCTCGTCTGCGGTCAGCCAGTGCCCCAACGAGTTCCACCCACCCCCAACGTTGGTCCATCCGTATGCTTCCTCCTTCTCCGTCGACTTGTCAAACTCTACGCCAGAGATCCAGAATTTGACTTCTCCGCCATGAGCTCGTTTCAGGTTGCGATGCGGTTGCCGCGGCTCATCGACATCCATGTCGTTGTCAGAGTCGTCAGACTGGTTTCCTCCTCTGACAGCCTTCATTCCCTTTGCGATAGACGAGTCGAGAGGGATGGTCGGGGCAGGGAAGGTCGAGGTCAAGTATGGTGTCTGTCGTTAGCTGCAGACCACGACCATACTCACAGCAATGATGACTCTGTCCCTCATGACTAACGCACACTGGCCATCGTCGCTCCATGTCAGTCCCGCGGCTGGAGCAAGAGGCACAGTGGCCTCGAGCTGCCGCAGGGTGATGATGGTTGGAAGTGTCCTGGACATGAGCGGGGAAGGCGAAGTTGGTGGAAGTGAAAGTGGAGGCTGTTGTTTTCGCTGATCTCCGCGGCGTCACAGGCACCACCAAATTCACCCAGGCTGTTGCAACCACATCAACCACCTTCCCCATCACCTCTCGCTTGCTCGTTGCCCACAGTGTTCTTGTCGTGATCTCCTCGACATGGTCGCGCAGGTGGATGATTGCAGCGGCGCGCGTATGCATGCACTGCACATCCCACAGGTCGCGTTCCAAATACAGCCCGCCTGGTACGTGCCGCTATGCCCCCACCTCCCGGGAGGGGCGGCTCCTGGACTACTGCTACACTAGCGTGTTGCGAATAGTTCGGCATGGCCGGGACGCGCTATCCTGCGTGGGTCACAAGGCGGTGAGCATGATGACGCAGATGGCCGCTTGTCATGCTTTTCAGCGCTAGCGAACATGGATTGCAATGGACCTACCTAGCAAACCTAACCCGGATGAACCGGTCCATGGATCCCGGACCCCCACATCCCCGGATCATCTGGCAGCAAAACAGTGCGGGGGTGCATCGGGCGAGCAACCCAACTGGTGCTAACCTCTGCTGCGGCGCTCCGTCCGCACATGATCAGCGCGCTTGTTCTCCACGGCCAGACCAACTCTGGATCAGGCGTACCGACGCGTTATCGGCCTGACCTTCCTTTCCTAACCCAACTAGGCGACTCCGGATGTGACTCGGACCGACCCCTCTTCCACACGCAGCGCCGCAGCGACATCTACTCCTGCGTGCATCGTGTTTGGGTGTCTGGATCCGGGGCGGCTTAGCCCGCTTGGTTGGAAGAGCTGCACTAGCTCGCGTACCATGCATGGGTCCCCGAAGGAATCTAGCTCGATCGAGAGAAGCTTTGCAGTCGAGGGCTTACGTTCTGCAGGTCTGCATGGACTGACGACGGGGCGTGGACTTAGCGCAGCACTAGTCCGACACCCACCATCCGCCGGGCAGAGTGCCCGCCAGCTGAGCGTCACAGTGGTGCGCGCCAGTGAAGCGTCTGCTGACTTTTAGGCCCATTCCGCGCCACTGATGCACTCATTCTGCTCCTTCGGCATCCCGACGTCCACCGGGGAACCGCATGGTAGCCCAGCATCGAGACCACCACAGCCGTCGCGCCAAGCCTCCAAGTACGTCTTTAGGCTCACCACAGCACTATTTCGGCCAACGCGGTCAGCAGGGCCAGCGCGGCCTACGAGCCCGAATCCTGGCCCACCGTTGCTCGCTTAGGCCGGATCATTAGCTGATCCATTAGCTCGCAGGCTTTGGTTTCTGTGACCCGCCTTCGAGTCAGAGACGGCGGCGGCGGCAGCGCTCCAGCCCCCGGGCCGGGATGTACGACGCTTTGCGCAGCACCTGGGCACCCCGTGCTCTTGTCCCCTTTCAAAGAGCAGATCGAGCTATCTTGCGACTAGCTCACTGTTCTACGGCGACGTCCCTGTTGTGGGCCAGTCTAAGCAAGGCACTCTCTTCGGGGTTGGCCACAGCACCTCCAACCCCCCCAACCTAATTTGGGGCAACCACTCGTCCTACGCTGTACTCACTGCAACGGCTAGCAAGGTCGCCGGCAACCCGGTACCGCACCATGGGCGCCTCCTGCACGATCTAGCGATCTGTGACTAGCTCTGTTGCTCTCTGGTGCAGGTCCTGCACCGCCGACAGGCTGCAGACGAGAGGAAAACCTGCTCTCCGCTACCATCGATCAACAGGTATATTAGAGCGCTCTGCTCGTCGATTCTCTGTCTTTTCCTCACTCCACTCTTGAGCTCTTGTTTCTCTACAGTCTCCTGTACTCTCACCCTCCTTAATCCTCAAAACCTCAATCAGCAACAATGGCCTCCCTCGGACCCCTTGACGCCCTTCTCGGCAACGTCTCTGCGTAAGTGTGGCGTGGCACTTTTCCTTTCAGTGGCTAACATCACCAGTCAGTGCAAGCAGGCTGCCCTCCCCGCCCTCCTCAGCGCTCAGTGTCTCCACCTCACTGCCCTCGCCCCCATCCTCTCGGGCAGCGCCGACTCCGACGTCACCCCCGTCCTCGACGGCTGGATCAAGCAGATCTGTGGTGCCGCCCCCTGCCAGTCTGCGGACCTCCAGCCCCTCGGCGACCAGCTCCAGCCCGTCTGTGGTGACCAGCACTCGCCCATTGTCGACACCCTCTTCTCGATCAAGGACCACTACGGCGACTTCTACGACGCCATCTGTGCCAAGAAGGATGACGGCCAGTCGTGTATCATCGAGGTCCTTCAGAACTTTGCCCAGAAGACCGGCAAGACTGCCTCGATCTCCTTTGCCGGCTCGCTCCTCAACGACATGAACGGCTTCATGTCCGCCGCCACTGCCCTTGCCGACGGCTCCATGTGCACCCCCTGTCTCGGTACTGTCTTCTATGAGGGCAAGAAGTTCATTCCCCTCATCCAGAACGACAACACTCTCGGCACTGCCCTCGCTGGCCTCTGCGAGAAGCCCGACAACAAGCCCTACGGCGGCCAGGTCGGCGTCGGCGTTACCGTGCCCTCTGGTGAGAAGCCCAAGAACACTGGCGGCGGCTCCACTGAGTCTGCCTCTGCTTCGGCTCCCCCCACCTCGGACTCGGCCTCTGCCTCTGCCTCGGCCTCTGGCGCCCCCGCTCCCTCTGGCTCTGCCTCTGGTGCCCCCGCTCCCTCTGGTGGCTCTGCCTCTGCCTCTGGCGCTCCTGCCCCCACCGGCTCTGCCTCTGGTGCCCCCAAGCCCTCTGGCTCTGCCGCCCCCGTCCCCTCTGGCAAGCCCTCCAACGCTGGCCCCGGCCCCGCTTCGGCCGCCCACACTGGCCCCGTCGCTCCCCTCTCCAAGTCGTCTGACGCTGCTCCTTCGTCGTCCGCCAAGGCCGCCGCTGGTGCCGGTGCCGACCACGCCAAGTCGTCGGCCGGCAAGGTCACCCTCAAGGGTGCCGTCGCCGCCGCCGCTCTCGTCGGCTTGTTCGTTGCTTTCCTCTAAGCAGCATCAACGGTGTGACGCGCGCGCGGCTCTCCATGGTCGCGCACATTCACGAGAGTATCACCACTCTCCCAAGCATTTGTTGTCTGATGGACTATTTTTCCTTCTTCTTCGCCACCCCACTTCATATTTTCTGTAGCGCGTTTTTAATGCAAAGTAACCTGGTGATAACTTCTGAGCTGCAGCAAGGAATCTGAGCGTGAGAACTGGTCGGGTAAGAGGAGATGTCAGTTGCCGATGGTGAGCAGAGTGATACAAACATGTCAAGTCTACAAGTCTATTGCGAGTCTAGTTGTTGGGTCTCAGGCGGTGCGCGGGGTGGCCTGCTCCTTCTCCTGGGCTTCAGGCCGCCAGAAGCCTTCCACCATGCCCTTCAGTGTGCGAGGAGCGGGCTCTGGGTCCGAAGACTCGGCAGCCTTGTTGAGCTCGTTCTCGAAGCGGCCAAGGAGAACATCCTTCCACCCGAGGTTCAGGCTGGTGACGTGCTCCCACTCCTTTGGCGTGATACCTCGCTCCTCGATACGCTTGCACGCCTTGCGCCAGCGCACCATGAGCTCAGCCTTGTACCGGTCCCTCGACAGGCCTTCCGGGCGGTGCTTCGCGAGTTCCTCGATATCCTCCTTCCTGCTCTCAGACGAACCATGGCGCACCGTCCAGATCTGGCGAAGAATGTACCTCGCGAGCGGCCTGAACCCGACACCTTCCGTGCTCTTGCACGCCCAGAACATGACGGGCTTGGTGCCGACGTACATGAACACGAGCTGGCCAATGACCCACGGGATGAACATGAAGTAGAACAGCGTCCACGCAAAGGCGAGGCGGCCTCTTCTTCGTTCGTGCGGATTCGCGCTGCCACGCAGAGCTTGCTGTTCTCGGAACGAGAGGTTGAGGAGGTACCGCATGCGCGCGCCAGGGAGGAGCTCGCGCGCTATGCCCCATGTCGTCGATGGCTCCGAGACCCACATCGGGTGCGGCGTGCCGTCGTGCCGGACCACGCGCTGGATGCCGCCCCTTGCGGCCCTGTGCTCCGCCTTGGACGCATCGTTGAGTGGCATGACGCCTGGTATTGTCCGCGCTCGTCGGCCCTGCAATGGTCGTCGAGGAGGGAGAGGCTTGCCATTCTCGGTGTACGGCGGTCGAGAGGGGTCGGGGCCCGGAAGCTCAGAGTACGGGTCGCCAGGGAAGCGCGCATACTTGTACTTGTAAGTGGGGGCGTCGGTGCTGTATGCGAGGCGGAGGCCGAGGTATCCGAGTGCTCCTGGTCGAGGTGGTCCGAGCTCGTGTGAGGGGTAAGGTAAGAGCCGTCGAAGGGGTGTAATGAGTGTCGGTCGAGTTGGTTCAGCAGCGGCGTTCAGCAGTCGCGATATCGGCGGCGGTCTCGATAGCGACCACGGTATCCGCGGCGGCATGGCGAGTGTGTCGTGTGCGTTGGAGAGAGTGTGGACGACGCCGAAAACGCCTGTCGGAGGACGGCGGCGTCGCCTCCACCCGCCTCCACTCGAGATTTCAGCCAGGCACCTCCTTTCCTCCGCAGCGATCGATGATGGAAGCGTTGTGCGGGGCTCTTTTCTGATCCCTCTGTTGTCGACTTCAGCTCACCGCCTCACACTTTATACCCCGTCCGGACCTCTCCAGTGTATCAACAGCACGATCAAAATGCGCGCGACTCTTCGGCTCGCCGCCAATGTGGACCGATCCGCTTTCAAGCAGGCGCTGAGGAACGCCCAGCAGCACCAGCCAGCGCCTGTCAACAAGCCGCTGCGACCTGCCAAGCCGCTCATGGAGAAGCTCACGGGGGAGCCGGCACCGAAACAGAGCCTGTCCGATCGTCAGGCTGCCGCCGCCAAGGGCAAGAACAAGAGTATCATTGACTCCTTCCGATGTGAGTGGGCCTTCATTCTCGCACCCGATTCTTCCTACTCTTTCTCTCTCCAGCTGTCGTGCCCTCGACGTTAGCTAACACACAGCCCTTCCCAGCAACCAGCGTATCCTTGTCGGCGTCGCGTTTGGTGCCGTTGCTATCGCTGGCCTCTTCTGGGACCGGACTATGGAGGAAGCCGAACTGAAGCAGGAGGAGGAGTACGGCTTCGAGCGCGTAGCGGATGAGATTGCAAAGCGCAAGGCTGAGGCTGGCAATGCTCCGGCAGCCAGGAGGTCGTAGACTGTCAAAATATATGTATCACTATCATCTGCTCATGCTCTGTGTCATCAACATCAACTCATTTGCCTATGCTCTCCTTTATTGCCTTGTAATGTCGCATCTAGTGAATCTATACATCCTTGCGGGCACCCCACCACCCCTTGCCGTAGGAGATGAGCAGCTCATCGCCCTTCTTGATCTCTGTCAATGTCCAGATCTCCATTCTGAGGTATCCCTCTGTCGAGCTCGTGCGAAACTCGCAATTCGGTTTCGATCCAATGCCTCTGTAGTCGTTCACGAAGCGCGCCGCGTTACCCATTTTCGCGGCGTCGATGCCGATGGACACCTCCGCATTCGTAGGGTTCGAGGGGTGATGGGCCGCCAGCCGGAGAAGTGAGAGGTCGTAATCGGACTCTGCGTGTGGGTCACCGGTCACTGCATCGTCAGCTCGCCATCGAATTATTCAGAGCTGGCCACTCACCGTTGCCCTCACCATCCGTCAATGTCGCATGGATCTCGCCAAGATAAGGAATCACAAGTTCCTTCGGAGCGAGCTTCTTCTTTGCGACGAGGCAGCGCTGTCCGTTTGCTGGGTGCTTCGGGTCACTGACCCGCTTAATCTGGATCAGGTGCGCGGGGAAGGTGACTGGTTTCGGGTTAAAGCCATTGGGAGCTAGAAGGGGGAGAAGCTCGCGCGGAAACGCTCGATCAACTCGCGACCGCGTCAGGTAGACTACATCCTCCGGCCACGTCGGAGGCGGCGCGGAGTCATTGGCGAGCGGTATGTTGACGGCGAGTAGGCAGGGTCGGCGAGCAGTAGTGCAGTCGTTGTGATCGGACTGCGAGTTGCTGAAATGTTGACGGCGAGGAAGGCGAACCGGCGAGATCCGAAAACGGCTTGTTCACCGACGTCACGCGTGGTACGGTCACCTGTCACCGAGCCGCGTCCTTATCGACGCAGCGACTGGATCAGCATCAACAACTCGCCTTGTCACTCACTCTCGCCCGCATCAACGGAGATGTCGAGCGAGCGTATCGGAAGGGACAAACCATTGTCCGTCGGGGACTGGGAGGTAAGCTGATGTACCCCGCAGTAGCTGACGTCAGGTCGTCGGACCGTTCCCCGCTGGCATGCGCGAGCACCCCCTCACGCACTCTCCGGTTCTGCACCAGGTGCGCCAGAATACAGACACTGCCCAGCCTGCAGTCTCATTTGCGCGCGAAACGAAGTATGGAGACCCATTCACGACCCAACTCCGAGCCTCCGGCGCCGTTTGGAAGCGACTGCCTGGAACCGCACCTGTCCAGATCGCCTTCCCCGAGGTGGACTGGATGCTGCTTCGAAGCGACCATGGCTGGGCGGCGTTGCAGTACGAGATCTTAATGCGAAGCCACGTTGATGTCCCCGAGGACATGGAGGTGCGCATCGACTCGGAACAGGTTGTGGAATACGCGATCATCCCCAGCAACGACCCCGAGCCCATGGTCAGGTGGTATGTCGGAGACATCTACGGCTTTGGATCGACTCCCACTGGCCGTCATCTGAGCGAAGAGGGACCGTCCAACTTTGCTCGCAGCGTGCATCTCAAGAAGGGGCGTCACGCTCTGCTTGTTCGCGGACTGTACGAAATCAGAATGTTCGGCGACCCCAAGGACCAGCCTCCAAAGATCAAGATCGACTTCAAGCTCTGGCCCCGTAAGCAGCAGTCTGGACTTGTTCTGGAGCCTGGCGTCGACATGTTCCCAGACATCCTTCAGGGGCAGTATGCGGGAGATGTCTTCGCCGTCGGAGTGCGACTGCCGCCCAACGTCGAGCCGGTCACGATTGATATCGAGAGTGAGCACGCCAAGGCTGCACTTCCCAGGTATCAACTGTTGCCCGGTCAGACTCGAGCCATCCCACTGCGCTTTACCTTCCACAAGGCAGACAAGAATTTCAGCGTGAAGCTCACCACGCGGCCGATCAGCATCGAGGACCCCGACGAGGTCGCCGAGGCTCATGAGACGCTTGAGTGGAAGCCCCAGCTCGACTCGCTGTACGACCTGACCGCGGACAACTGGCTGCAGTCCGGCAAGCCTCTACGCATCACCTTCGGCACATCCGGTTCGGGTGACACGAACGTCGCGCGAGCGGTGATCCTCCCGCCACCAGACTTCCCCAAGATCGAGAAGTTGCAGCCTGTGCTCCTGTGCTTGCACGGTGCCGGGGTTGATATCGAAGCTGAGGGATGGATCAAGGAGATCCCTCGTGTGAACGGCATGTTTGCTGTCCTAGCCACTGGCAGGAACGAATGGGGCGAGGACTGGCACGGAGGCGCTGTCACCGAGGTTTGGGCAGCTCGCAAGGCTGCAGACCAGATCCTTCACCGCAGCGTTGGCATGCAGCACAACCACGAGACTGTCCTACTTGGCCACTCCAACGGCGGCCAGGGCGTATGGCACGTCGGCCAGCGGAACCCTGACCTCGTTCGCGGTATCGTCGCCCTCAGCGGCTACACGACAATCAACAACTACGTGCCGTTCACGGAGCAGAGGAGCAACCATTTCGCAGACCCGGCGCTCATGGGCATCCTGCAGTCGAGCCTGACCCCCTACAACAACGAAATCTACGTCAGCAACCTCGCATCTGTGCCGATGGTCGTCGTCCACGGTGCTGAGGATGACAACGTGCCTGCCCACCACAGCCGGACGTACGTCGAGACACTGCGCGACTGGGGCAAGAAGGCGGCAGACGTGACCTATGTCGAGGTTCCGCGAAAGGGCCACGTCTGGGACGGCATTCTGACACACCCCACGATCATGCACTTCATCAAGAACCTGCCCGAGAAGAAGGACGTGTTCGCCATTCGTGACGCGGGCTTCTCTATCGCGTGCGCAAACCCGGGACGAAATGGGACCCAAGGGCGCTATCCGCATTCTCGAGCTCGCCGTGCCTGGTCGCCTCGCTCGTCTGGATGTCAACATGAAGCACTGGCGGCAGGACCCCAAGCCCGAAGAACTGCAGATGTACGGCATGAACATCAAGCGCATCGCTGTAGGAGAGGGCGCGCAGGCACTCGTGTTGGAGCCCTGCACCGGCATGACTCGCTCGGCCAGCAGGAGCGGCTCAGGCCCCTTCCAGCCGTGGGTCGCCTCTCCTGCCAACACCGGAAAGCCGAGGCGATACGGTCCCATGATACGACTGCTGGATAGCGACGGACCGATGCTCCTCGTCATCCCCATCGAGACCGGTAGAGGTGACGACCTGCAAAAGCAGAGGCACCTCCGTGAGGTCGCGATCCGCTACGCGCACGATGTTCGGGTGTACCAGCGACAAGACGTAGAGATCCTCTACGACATTCAGGCTCTGCGCGCCGTCATTGACGGCTCGATGCAGCGCTACGGCAGCGTCATCGTCTTCGGCCGACCGGACGAGAATCGCTATGCCAAGTGGATGCTCCGTCAGAAGCGTATCCCAGGTGAGATTACATCATCCGTCTCAAGCTAACAGCCCAGTCGACTTCCCAACGCGGAGCACCTTCACCGTAGAAGGTCGCAACATCTGGGAACCCGGAACCGGTTAGTTCCAGCTCCAACCCTCCCGTGCTGAGCTGACAACAGGCATCATCACGCTGCACCCGCACCCCGTCGAACCGGGACTGGCGTGCCTCGTGGCGGGCAACGACGACCTGGGACTGGAGGTGACCGCGCGACTCCTCCCGCTCCGAACCGGCGTCATGGTCCCCGACTGGGTCGTGGCCAGCAAGCGCTGTGAATGGCAGGGCTATGGCGGACTCGACGGCGCCGGATTCTGGTCGGCCGACTGGAAATGGAGCGAGGCCATGAGCTGGATGGACAGATAAGCTTACGCCACGCGGAGCGGACGCGCGGCGGGGCAGCCACTCAGCATCGGTTGTCTGTAGTTGTGTCGCCGCCGCCTCGGCGCCAATCTATCATCTGTGTACTCAGGGCTGACAGCCCCGCAGCAAGGTTGTATCGAGTGATCGGCAGATTGTCATGTCTTGTTTTGGGCGGTGCTGGGCTGGGGGCCAGACTTTTGAGATGGAAGGAGTTTGAGTGGGAACCGGAGGTGAACAAGGGCACTTGCTGTGCCGTTGTGGAAGATTTAAACTCTGTTCCGGCGTGCTTTTCCTGTACGCTGCCTCTGGGCTCTCTTGCGTGCTGCGCAGCGCGTTCGGGCGGCCCGGTTGGCCACGGCAGAGCAGAGGCACACGAGAGGCACGGACGAGGCACAAGGAACGCAATGCAGGAACGGAGGTACGGAGGGACGGAGGTGCGCAAAGGGCTGGCGCACTCCGCTGTTCGACCCCCGTGTTCGTCTTGTTTACGTTAACGTGCCAGGCCCGAAGGGCCCAGAGGTTCAGAGGATTTGCCAGGAGCTCAGATTTTCCGCCCCTGCGCGCATTGAAGAGGTAGCAGAGTCAGCAGAGCCGGAAGATCCGACCTCGACGGAAGGAGGACTCTGCGGTCCGTACGGCGGGCGTGGGGTCTGTCAGACAAGACAAAGGCAGCGGGGCCAGCGGCGGAGACCAGCGGAGAGTATGCATACGACCGTTGCCTGGTTTGAGGCGTGCGCAGAACGGCAGTCCTGAGCCCGTAGCCAGTCAGAGCGAGCGCAGACTCGTATCTGATATCTGTTTCCAGCAAGCAATTCATGCCTCAGCAGGGCATGACGGGACATGGCTGGACGGCATTCTGGCCGGTTTGTACATCGGGGGTTCCGGCACTCGCGGTGCGTTCTGGCTGGCTGGGAGCGGCGGCGGACTTGTTCTGATTAGGAAGGTTGTCAGCTGTTCAGGACGAGGTGGTCGGGGTCGCAGTGCGACGACAGCGGCGCTCGCGGCGCTGGCTCAGACGATTCAAAGCCAACAAGCCAAGACGCCCGCAACGCCATACTGACCGCAGTCCTGCATGCAGGATGCTACAGGATTGCAGGACGAACTCAGGAGTCGGGAATCCGGCCTCGAAAGCGAGGGGGCCAGACGAGATCGCATTCAATCCTCAGGGCCGAGCAAGGCTGAGCAAGGCTCGACGAGGTACCACCAGAATTCCTCTTTACGGCCCGCGTCCTCAAAGCGTCCTTACTCTCGAGGCTCGGGGCATGTCAAGTATGCTCTATGACTTGCATACCGACTTGCCGCTGTGCCGCGCGATGCACGAGGTCGGCTGGCCAGCTGGCCGGCTCGGCAGCACGGAGCAAGAACAGGGAGCTGAAATGGAGTTCATCAAACTTGTCTGATGTTCTGAGTCAGGATCTCATCTAGAGTGACATGGCGGCCCGAGCCCAACTTGGCGCCGACGGGATGCCTATCGATGAAAGCCGTCGAGTCAAAAGCTAACCATGTTGAACGTGTCCGGTCCATCGGCGGCGCAGACCACCACCAAATCAGACACCGAGGCTGCCGAGCACACGTCTTGGCCGCTTACTGTGGAGCATGTGTCTCGGCCCTGCCGGGTGGTCGGAAGCTCGGACGGCGGACCGGGTGATCGATGTCGGCATCGATTCTCACGCGTGGCTCATGTTCCTCGGACGCGCGGTCTCGCGGTGCTTACAGTATTCCGGGGTGAGTGTAAAACTGGCCGGCGAAATAAGCAATGTACACCAGGGCGCCTTGTGTGTTCCCAAGCGTCAGCAAGTGTGTGCGCGGGTGCATTCTGTGTTCGAGACCAAATGTGGATGGAAGCATTCCGCTGTTCGAAGAGAACGAGGGAAGACGAGGAGCAGAGCAGAGAGAACAGACGGAGACGCGTCGGATGGTAAGCGTGATTGATTAGCCTGATTCGGCGTGGTATTGGTACACTTGGTGGTGAAAACGCGACTAAGCAAAAAGGACCAGCGTTACATTACAATCCAGGGTCCAGGCCATTAGCGACGGCAGGGCGGGGATTAGAAACGCGGTTAATGAGAGCCATGAAAAAGCGCAATTTGCTCCCGCGGCCCCTTTGGCGGTTGAGGGGCACTGACCCCCCTCCCCCCCACACGGCCCACACCCGCCCAACACTGCGGTTCAACCCTGTCGCCCGTCGCTGTCCTCTCCCTGTCCTGCACGCCCGCACGCCTGCACAGCTCGAGCCTTCATTTCACTCTCCTGCCTGTCCAACTCTCAACTTATCCTCATCCACCCTCCTAACCCCTTCTAACCACAAACCCACATCCATCTCGACGCTTCCCCCGCAGTCGACCCCCCCACCCTCGTTGATCCCCTCAGCACATACGGCAGAGACGACAACAATGTCCAACGTACGCGTCGCCCGCCCTGCTGCCCGCACGACAGCCCGACACTCGAACAAACGCTGACACACCAGGCCCAGTTCCTTCGCGAGTACCGACTCGTCGTCGTCGGTGGTGGTGGTGCGTTGTCCCATGGCGACGGGAGCTGCGAGCCGAGCAGGTAGCGAGATCTGAAGAGCAGCGGGGAGAGAACAGCCGGGTTCGCCGAGGCGCCGGCTAGCCCCGGGCGCCCGCGAATCTGCGATGGCCCAGGCAATCCATGCTGCAGCACGCCGATGCGGTGTGTCTCGGTGGCAACCGCTGTGCTGTTGTTGCTGCTGCCGCTGGGCTCGCATGTCGCCGCCGCTCTGACGTTTGCTCCAGGCTCTTAGGCTATCGCGCGGCTCGCCGCAGCTCTCATTCGCCGAACCCTGCGCCCAGTAGCTTGCTGGGCGCACGGGGCCGCTCTCGTCCTTAGTCCCTTTGCTGATGTGCAGGTGTCGGCAAGTCCGCTCTCACCATCCAGTTCATCCAGGCCCATGTGAGTACCGTGGTTGCTGCTGCTGCTGTCCGGCTGTCGGTGTGTGCGGTGTGCGATTGTGATTGTCTGCAAAATCGCTCAATCGCACCTGGGTCCCGCACATGACCGGCGGCGCAGCGGCGTTGATCGTTTCAATTGCGCGTTGAATTCCAGCTGACATGTGCAGTTCGTCGACGAGTGAGTACATTCAAATGTTCCTCGCCGTCCCGCGCACTCGCGGTCGGCTAGAGACGAGGAATTCAGGTGCGAGTACCAGGACTTTTCGCTGACGCCACCACAGGTATGACCCCACCATTGGTGAGTGCGGGCGCGCGTTACATTGAGTGCAATTGAACTGACGACCTCCCAGAGGACTCGTACCGCAAGCAGTGCTTCATCGACGAGGAGGTCGCCCTTCTCGACGTCCTCGACACGGCCGGCCAGGAGGAGTATGGAGCCATGAGGGAGCAGTACATGAGGACGGGTGAGTGAACTGTTCGGGATCCTGTTGCGCCGGGGCATTGTGTCACGCTGCCACCATAGCGGCGCGGTATGAGGCGTCCAGCGCGCCCCGGCTCTGGCACGGGGCGAGAACAATCGAGAAGCCGCGGCGAGAACCGCGAAGCCGTCGACAGCGTCGAGAAGCGGCGAATACGGTTTCGGAAGTCTCAGAATAGTCGCTAACATCCACCAGGCGAGGGCTTCCTTCTCGTGTACTCGATCACCTCGCGCAGCTCGTTCGAGGAAGTCTCGACGTTCCACCAGCAGATTCTCCGCGTCAAGGACCGAGACTACTTCCCCGTCGTCGTCGTCGCCAACAAGTGCGACCTCGAGTACGAGCGCCAGGTGCAGCCCCACGAGGGCCGCGACCTCGCCAAGCGCTTCGGCGCCCAGTGCATCGAGACCTCGGCCAAGCAGCGTGTCAACGTTGACGAGGCCTTCGTCGCTGTCGTCCGCGCCATCCGCCGGTTCCAGCGGGAATCCGGTCCCGGCCCCGCCAAGCCGCCCGCGCAGCAGGGCCAGCGCCCCACCGCCGGCGTCGGCGGCCGCCCGCAAGAGAAGGACACTGACGAGGTGTCGGGCGGCTGCTGCTCGGGCTGTGTCGTCCTCTAAGCGTGTCAGGACTGGACTATTCTGCGACGAGTGTGGTTAGCGCGACCAGCACAGGACTTGAGGACGAGAGCAGGTGTGCTTTGTTCCTGCGTGCTCTTGGGCAGTTGGCGTACGACGGCGGAGGAGCGGTGCGATGCGGTGCGGAGTGCGGCGCAGTAAGGCGTGCGACGGTGTGGTGTGCGGTGTGGTGACGGTGACGGCGTTGACGTTGTAACATGCGTTTCTCCTATTTCTTTCTTCCTTTTACCCCCCTTCCCCACCTTCCACCAACCACCCACACAAACCCCAATACGACGACGTTTTCTTCTTCCTTTAACTTCTTTTTCTCTTTTTTTCCACAATCTGCTCTTTAATACAGGTCTATCCCGGGCCGAAGGTGCCGCTGGTGGCGCTCGTGGCCCAGCGCTCGCACACGGCCAGCTGCTGTAATGACTAGTAGCGTATATGCATATAGGTGAGCCCCGCGAACCCAGAGCGAGCGCAGCGAGCGGAGGGCCAGACGTGCTCGAGTGGAGCGAGGGCGAGCATGATTGAACGAGCGTGGCGAGTGATGGGCATGAGGGGAAGGGCTGTGAACAGGTCGTCGAAGCAAGGGAAGGAGGAGACGTGTGAGGGACGTTGGCAGGAACGCAGGGCAGCTGTGAGGTATTAAGCCACAAACCAGCGCGCGCAAGCGGCGATGGCTTGAGGAATTGAGGAGGGGTCGTCGGAGGTTACCGTCTCGCACTAGGTCCAGCGCACAGTGCGCACCGTCAACCTCGTGTGTGGGGCAGATTGGGTCAGCTGTGTGTCTGCTGTCAGTCGACCTCTGTCTGCTCATCAGCTGTTGAATGCTCGTCAGCCAGTCCTCAATGATGATACATATGCTACAACAGCATTACACCCAGCTCCACTCGTACCCGACCTCCTCCGTCCCCGTCCGGATAGGCGGGAGGGCGTACTCGTCCTTACTCACTTCCCTCCTCCTCATTCTCCACATCTCAGTCCCCTGGTGGACTTCGTACTCCCCTTCTCCCTCTCCCTCAGATTCTGGCGTCAGCTAATGTCGAGAGAGGAAATGTAGCTCACTCGTCACAGTCACGACATGGCCTAATAGCTTTTGCAGCGCGTCCTTCATTTCCAAGGAGCGCGAGGAGTGGGCGGATGAGGGGAGGGGAAGAGACACGGGGTCATGTTCGAGCACGACCAGGGCTGCGTCCATATGAGACGCGGCCTGCTTCGCTGCGCTGATGAGGGAGAGGTACTCCCATGCGTCCTTGCCCAGTTCCCTCTTTGGCTCCTTTGTCTCCTTCTCCTTCCCGACCTCCACGCTCTCCATACCTTCAATCGCAATGTCCGTAGTCGGGGGCGGTGGCGGGGGCACATTCTCCTTCGCCTCATCCACGTCTCTGTCAAACAACGCACTGAGGTCCGAGAGTACGATCAATCCCGGCTTCTCGACCAGTTCGGCCGATGAGGGGTTAGGGTCAGCACTGAGGAGAGAGAGGAGTAAAGCGGCGTGTCGCCAGGTAGGACAATACCGCATATCCACCTTGCTCAAGTCTGGTATGGGTTCCCGAAGTCTAGGCTCATCTTCGCTGTCGATTGCGGATTGGAGTTGGTGTCGCGGACCCGTGATTATGAGTGCCCGAGAGGGATCTGGGGGCTCGTCCTGCTGTCAGCTAGACAGGTTTAAGGTAGCTATCATGAGGAGGGGGAAGACTCACAGAGTTGAAGGACGGAAGAGAGGCGAGATCGAGGAAGCCGAGACAAAGATGTATCGCTGCTGCAGGGGAACAGGGACCGAGCACTGCGCCGTGCTCCGGCAGTTGCGTCGGAGCGGGGCCAGGACACAGCGACAATGGCACCGTCCTTGTCCTCTCCATCTTCACTCTCTCCTTCCTGTATCCTGTAGTCGCTGGTTGAGATGAGGGAAGGTGGAGGGTGGAGGCGAGATGAGGGTGGTTGACGCAAGTGGAGGTCAGTTGGGCCAGCCAGTGACCGATCGGCCCGACCTGAACGAGGGTCACGGATAACTCCCGTCCGGCCGAGCGGAGTCACCCAGCGGATCCTGGCGGACGATCCGGACGACGGACCCAGATATCGCGCTCGCGGTACATAACATCCCGGACCGGGGAAGGTCACCTTCAACTCATCGACAATCATCATGGGCAGTGAGTATTCTGCAGCTGAGATGATCTCTGTACTCAGCTGTGACTCCTTACTCGCGACTCTTGCAACGCGTGCTGCTAGTCTATGGACTGTGATCGCCCACCTTCCTCCCCGCCTCACACGCGTCCTCTCCTCGTGATTCCTCCGCTCCTCGCACTGCAACCAATGCTCCACTCGCTACGCTCGTTCCGCTAACGCCTGCAGAGATCGTGCACATCGTCCTCTTCAAGCTCAAGGAGCAGCCTGACGCCGCCGCGCTCCAGTCGGCCAAGGACAGCATCAAGAAGCTCGAGCAGGTGCCCGGTGCGATCAGCATGTTTGTCGGCGAGCCCCAGATCGACGCCCGCACCAAGGGCTTCGACTATGGCCTGTACTCTGTCTTCGCGAGCCGCGCCGATCTCGACAAGTACGATGTCTCCGAGGCGCACAAGAATACCGTCGTCAACTACGTCAGGCCCAATGTTCAGGGTGAGTACGGAGGCGGCGCGGAGCGAGGCTTTGGTTTTGAAAGAGTGTAAGCTGACCTCAGACGTTATGGCTTACGACTTCGAGCTCCCCGAGTAAATCATGGTTGTATGCAGAACGTGTCGGAAGTGAACGGGTACATGCTGACGGATGCCCACTGACCCTCTTGGCGTACTCATATTGTCTTCAGCTGACGCAGGCTGACAAACATGTCTCACAGCCGCCCCCGCCCGCACCTTGCAGAATGCCAATGACCCATGCATCTATTCTACCACGACATAGCTGTCTCCCATCTTCTCGCTCGTCGGTGTGCTGTCGCTGTCGCTACTCTCCGGCGTCGGCGGGATAAATCCCGTCTCCTGTGCCGTCGCCCTCCACGCCCTCGTGACGTCTCCGCCGCAACGGAGACACGGCCAGACAGGCTTCTCCTGCTCGCCCTTCTCGGCGCGCTTGCCGGCGCGCGCGAGCTCGTCGGCAACACAGTAGTAGCAGTACATGCACTGGCCCCAGCAGTCCGTCTGCGCCGGCACGAAGATCTTGTCCTCGTCCTCGGTCTCTGCGTTGTCGAGGGAGGGGAGCTCGATGTCCGTTCCCGACAGCGCCTGCGGCTGTTCTGTGCGGCGGACGTAGCACACTGGACACACGCTGGCGGGCAGACGGGCGAACGGTCCGCTGTGCGCCGATGAGGGGGCAGCAGTGCCCGCCTTGCGAGCGGCGGAGAGCTCGCCCGCCGAAGCAGACAGCGCAGCGTAATCAATCTGCGTCGGTTGCGAGAGGAACTGGCGGACTGGTGCGAATGCCGTCGCCGGGTTGAGAGCGGGCGGCAGGCTCGGAATGCGCGGAACAGCAAACATGAGGAATTCCTGGAAAGTCAGCTCTGCACACATTCACTATGTTAGCTGTACTCACTGTCATGACGCCCCAGACGAGCTGACGGTTCATGAACTCGTAAGAGACCATGCGGGCGAGGCGGGGTGCAGTTGGCGCAAATCGCAGGTGCAGGATGCGCATGAGAAGGCTCGGCGCAGCGCCGTCCCAGAGGAAGAGCGTCCAGCCAGCAAGCTCCCAGGCTCGGGCAAGCGTCTCAAGCCGTGTCAGCAGTCGCCACGCACGTCTCCGCCAGTCATGTGCGGGCAGGTCGGGCCACTGCCGCGACAGCGCCGTCTGTCGCACACGCTGCAGGATGTATGCCGGGAAGAGGGGAGGGTGCAGGAGTAGGTAGAGAAGGAGAGTGCGCCGCGTCGCTGGGCAGTCAGTACACGATTCCACTTTGGGCCGTCTGTTGATCCATAGATCACTCACGCCTCGTCGGGCCCCGGCTCGATATCAGCCGCAGGTTCTGCATCGCCGCGCCCGGGCTCGCATTCGACGGCCCGAGCACGCCGGCGCCGAACACGAGCAGCTTCAGCAGCAGCGTCAGTTCCGGCTTGATGTCGATGTTCGGCTGGGCATTAGCTTGACGTGAAACACCGGTAGCTCATTCGACTCACCTTGAAACGGCATACGGCCTTCTCCACGCCGTCGACAAGCATTTCCACGACGCCGTCGTCGAGCTCGTCGGCGTCGACCTGGTTCACGAGGGGCGCACGCGGCTCATATGCGCGCTGTCTTCGCGACACAGAGGCCTCGCCCATGTCGGCTGGGTTGAGTGAGTGTGGGTGGAGTGAGGAATGAGAGTGAGTGATGTTGCAAGCTGCTGACAATCGCCGTCTGAAGAGTGGACTCCTCCGGCCCGTGCAAGTGGGCAATAGCCGAGAGGCGGGTTGTAATCGGGGGGTAAGTCTATGTTTGGATCCGCTAATGGAATCTGCCTCCGCTAATCGGAGCACTTATCGGCGTCTTGCGCCAGCGTTGAACGCGTCACTCGCTCGGTACTGGGTCGGTACTTGACCATCGCTCCTGACCCTAGCTTCGACCACGCTCGACGATTCTCCAAGGACCAACAACAGCGCCATTCCGCCAGCAACCTAGACTATGCGCGCCGGCCTCCTCGCGCTCGCCCTCCTCGTGCCGGGCGCGAAGGCTTTCTGGCCCTTCAAGAAGGAACGCTTCACTGCAGAGACCCTCCTCGATGCAGGCTCGCTCGGTCTCGACCCCGCCGTCGGTCGGATAGCAGCCATCGGCGACGTCAACGGCGACCAAAAGTGAGCCACCACCTGTCGACTTTCTGACACTTCTTAGCTCCGACCTCTTCTCGATCGCGCCGGATCGGAAATCAGTCCAAGTATGGCTCTGGAACCGCGACAAGTGGCAATACGATGCTGGGCCGCTGCTCGAGTTCGACAAGGTCGTGTACAATGTCATCCCCGCCGACTTTAATGGAGACGGACGGCTAGACCTCCTTGTCATGACCGGAGATGAGGACCAGTGGTGGTCCAAGTCCGACAAAAGCCTTCACATGACCGTTGTGCTCGGTAACGAGTCCGGCTTCGGTCAGCGATGGGACCTCGCAAAGTCCGGCCGGCATCAGCCCTTCGTGTTCGACGATGAGCACAACCTGCTGCCTTCGCTGCTCGGATACCTTCCGGACGGCGACCGGGACAACAATCTCCGCTCGTGGAAGAACACCGACGGCTCGCCCATGAAGATTGGTCGGCCGAGCTTGTTCCCGATTGACTCAGGCTGCACGCTTGCGAACCCGCACTCGTCAGCGTACGTCGACATGGACGGAGACTGTGCGCCGGATGTGGTACTGCACTGCCAGTCGCCGAAGGCGAACAACCGCAAGCTGCAGGTGTACGAGAACCGAGGGACGGAGGGCTATGTGGTTGCCAACGTGATCGACCTGCCGACGTACAGCCGTGCTGTCACGTTCGCCGACATGAACCGGGACGGAGCCGTCGACCTTGTGTTCGCAACGTGCAAACGGCACATGCCGTCGTCAGGCCTCGGAGAGGAGTGCAGCATCAATGTCGCGTACAACATCCAAGCGCCAGTGTGCTCGGGCGAGTGGTCGCAGTACGAGAAGGACGGACAGCTTCGGTGCCGCGGCTGGGGTGAGCTGTGCCAGTCCGACCCGAACTGGAGCTTCGACTTCTCCGAAAAGCGGGGCACGTTCTTGAGCGTACCACTCGAGGAGCTTTTCCCAGGACAGAACGCCGAGCTCCTGCTCTCTGTCCCCGGCAACGCTCACATTCCGCTTCCGCTGCGACCGGGAGACTTTGACGTCGACGGTTTCCCGGATCTTCTCGTCACCCTCAAGACGGACAAGGGCACGCAGGTGAAGATCTTGAAGAACGTGCCGTGCGGCAAAGGCGTCGCCGGTTGCGCCGGCCTGCCGAGAGGCAGTCGCGGCCTCATCGTCGCCCAGGGCAAGGGCTATGAGGCCCTCGACGCCATCACTGATGCCGAGGGTGCGTCCTGGATTGATCTCGACGACGATGGGTCGCTGGACATTCTCGTGCAGCGCTCTGGAAAGCAGAAGGGCAGCAAGGCGCACGTTACTTTTATTCAGAACAACTTCTACCACGACGCTTTCTTCCTGAAGGCTCAGGTGCTGAACGGCGCATGCGACCGCGATTGCGAGCCCACGGACGGAGGCAAGAAGTACTCGTCCCTCGGAGCGAGCTACTCGGGTGCGACGTTCAAGTTCACCGTGTTTGATACGGCAGGCAAGCGGCACGCGCAACAGGTTCCCCAGCTCCCGCAAGTTGCTCACCATGCCCTGTATTCTCCGCATACGTATATCGGTCTGGGACGAACCAACAACTACGTCGAGGTGAGCTCACTTTCCAGCACACATAGCTGACCACAGAACCTCGTCGTTGGCACTTCGCTCCTGCCGCCAGGCAACACGCACCACCTCGAGTCGCTCATCCCGAACTCGCAGGTGATCATCAACCCGCCCTGGGCGCTGAGCCCGAAGGCGAACACGAATGTGAAGACACGCGCAACCGAGTGGCGCTCCGAGCTCTTCCTGCACCCGGGCGACTGGATCCCATGGGTCGCAGCGGCAGTGGTCGGCACCGTGCTCTTCCTTGGCATGGTCGTCGTGTGGCTGAACGACAGGGAGAAGAAGGAGGACGAGAAGGAGCGCAGGCGCGCGCTCCACGCTATCAACTTCCAGGCTTTGTAGACGATTACTCGCTCACGTACTGACATAGACTACGATCGCATGTATCATTAGCTCAGGCTTCGGGTTGTTCACTGATTCCAGCTTCTCGCATTCTAACACCCCCAGGTGACTACATTTAGCACTACGGAGCTGCGCCAGCAACGTGATCATCGTTGAGGTCCGCGATAAGTCGACTCATCTCCGCCGATGAAACGAACAAAATGGTCATGTCGAGCGCACGCACAATCTTGGCGTAGACAGACAACGAGGGACCCCGTCCCTTTGGCGTCATCATATATCGCGCACCAAGGTACGCGTTCGTCTCGTGGTCGATAACCGCCTCTGGCATCTCGATGGGGCTATCATCGATATCCATGATCTGGTCTTCTGGCTCCGAATGCTCCGATTCCGTGTAGTGAGCCCCTTTTCCCGAGTCGCTTTCGCTTGCAAACCCCTCGTCATCGCCATCGTAGCCCATGTCTGTCACCTCGCCAAGAAAGCTTTCTGCCTCAATCTCCCGTGCCCATTCGTGTCTCGGTGGCTCAAGCCGCCTGCATTTCGTCGCCGAGTCGCAAGGTGAGGAACTCGGGCTCTTGCGTTTGCCCGTTGAGGGGCGGGACATTGGTGATGTCCCCGGCTTCGCAGCATCCACACGGGCTAGCAGCTCCTTCACAAGGTCTGACTTGACCGGTGGCAGGCGCGAAAATCGTCCGTTTCGAGGCTGTTTCAGCATCAGGCGGTAGGCCGCATGCGTCCAACTACTGAGCACTTCGAGTTGCGCATCGTTCGTGCCTTCCTCTTTTCTGAGGAAGGTGAACGGGAGCCTTTCCTCGATGGTGTCGTCCCTCATGCGAACCACAAAGTGGCTGAACTCGTCTGCATCGAGGACGTGGGACACTCCGTCCGCTGTCTCACGCTCTGAAGGGCTGCGGATATCCTCCATGGCGATGACACGGTCGTTGAGTGTGAGCATCCGGCCGAAGGAGGCTCGAAAGACGCAGAGCCCGAGGGCAGCGCCCGTGACCTGGTACGTGAGAGCGGCGTACATGACGCTCTGGAGGATCGCTTCTCTGCCCAGATCGATCCAGCCTCTAACGCCGCCAGACGCCGTAGCGGTCATCGGCGCGTTTGGGGCAGGCGATGCGGTCCACAGAAGTTCCGGGGTGCGGGCATGTTTCAAGATCCAGCGCTCGAACCGGCGTGTCGAGCGTCGCCTTTGGAGACGGGGTTCGAGCGGCCGTGCGAGCTTGACGCTCCGCAGCGCAGGGCGACCGTCCACCGTCAGACACTTTAGTGGCATAGCCCTCTGCAGGCCACTGTGCCAGCTGCGTTTTGGGAAGGGGAGATTAAGGAGGTTCTCCCACGGATCTAGGAAGTGGACGTCGGCGGGGTACAAGTCGTCGTTGCACCTACGCGCAAGGTGCTGCGCGAGGTAGTGCGCTTCTTCGCGGCTTGAGAGCGGTGTGGAGTCGTAAGGCGTCGCATCGGCGAAAGTACCTGTTGCTTGCTCGTAGTTGGCGTCGGGAGAGCACAAGACATGCCGGATAATGAAGGGGAATGGTTAGGAGGAGCGATCATGCATACTGGGCTGACTGCTGACTGTGGCCCTTCGAGAGTGACGCGTATGACTTTTCTGCGCTAAAGCTAGCGGGTGGCGAACCTGTCACCCGCGCCTGCATTCTGCGTCTCGAAGTGCATCCTCGGCTATTCGCAAGTACACGTCGATGCATAGTCCATGCTATGCCAAGTTATCGGACCTAGTTGTCATGGAGATCAAAGTCCCAGACCTGGTTCGAGTTGTTCTCGACCCACTGCCACAACTGCACAGGTCCAGGAACGGCGCCGTCCTTGCGGTCGAGGGCGAAGACTGATGTCAGTTTTGTCCAGAATGCGCCAACTAACGAGTCTCATCGAGACTGCCAGCGATGAGCTGGTTGCCGTCCCGTGCCCAGTCCTGCCACTTGTTGTACTGGCCGGGCGTGCAGGCTGCGACGCGCACCTGCTGACCCTGCTGGGGCGGGTCCGAGGTGGCTGTTGTTAGCTTATTCAAACACCTGCTGACGAGGTCACTCACTGTTGCCGTTGATGCAGCGGTCCGCCGCAGAGAGCGGGTACCAGGTGATCGTCTCCGTGTCCCCAATAAGACGAGTGCCCCACTTCTGGCTGTCGCTGTTGTCGCATTCGGCAGTCACGAGAGGGAACTCGCGCTTATCACCGCCGGAACAGGGGTCAATGGCGAGGCAGAACTGCGGCTGGCCCTGAGGGTGCAGGTAATGGAAGCGCGCCGAGGCCGCCGAGGCGAGGAGAGCGACAGTAACGGGGAGGTGCAGCATGCTGAGGAAATCGAGTTGGAGAAGTTGGATAAGTTGGAGATGAAAACGAGGAGGTGAGAGTCAGCCGTCATATAAGGCTCAGATCGAGTGGGTCAAGATCTCGGTGAGTTCACTGCATGGATAGACGGAGAGAAATGACGACGCTCAAGCGCTCGGAGCCGGAGTGAGTTCTCCGCAACTATCGTCCGCATTCCGACGCCGCGATTCTTCGGCGCTGGGTACGGCGATGCAGTGCTTACAGGGCTCGCGGATGTACACGGAAGTCTTCCTCCAGTGGTCAGGACATTGTGAGAGCGATCGAGAACATGACGTCGCCGTGATGGGATCGTGATTGAGCATGGACAGTAATGTTCCCACGGTTGCTGCGTTGGCTTTTTGGTGTCCGGCAGTTTCCCTTGTTTAGTTGCCGCTCGTTGAGGACCTGAAACAACACTTGCTTTGCTGTCCTTGACTTCTGACTGATGCGCTCTACGCAACTACGACGTACGACGCACAACTTGCAGCCGCGCAATGCCATAGATATCGTTGGTCCTTCGTCCGAGACTGACGCAGCTCCTGACGCTCAGCGTGACGACCAAGGACTGACGGGGCGCACGGCTTCAAATGACCGACACACCGGATCTAACGTCGCGTCAACTTCGTCAGCTCAATAGCATGCAGAGTCACTTCTTCCTCTATTATTCACGACTGCCTACAACAGCGGATGTGGTATCGCTATGCCTCGCCCGATCGCTCAGAGAAGACTCTGGTCTGTCCTCCCGACCGAAATTCTGCTCTACATCTTCGAGCAGCTCAACCGTTACGACCTCCGGTGCGTCATACTCGTCAACTCAGCGATGGCAGCCATAGCAAGACCTCTTTGCTATAGGTTTGGTACGTCTAGCAAGTCTATCATCGTCTTTCCGCTGGCGCCCGCCTCGCACCCGTTGCTACAAACCACCGATCCCCGCATCAGCCTCTCGAACGAGCAGCAAAAGCGCATCCTACCCAAACTGAGAACACTCACCCTCAACATGCACGAGTTCAGGGAGTGCGTTGGGCATGATGTGTCTGTCTTCACTGGAAAGATCAACGCGTTGAAAGTCCTGCGATTGCAATACTCTCGAGATCTCCCCAGTGAGCCCGCTCCAGAGGATAGTGCTGACTGACATGCAGCGGGCGCGTCTCGAATTATATACTGCTTTGCGACGCCAGAGCTCAGCAACCGCTGTCTCTACCTCACCCACGTCTTGGGCGAGCACACAACTATTGACAAGCTTGTCATCCGCGACGCCATGCTGGGTGCCCGTATCCCCGACTTCTCACCCTCCACTTTCTTCTCAAGATTCCAACCCATACGGGAGTGCGTTCACGTCCTTTCAGGCAGCGCTACCAGGGGCGACATGAGTGCTGAACCGATGCACCGGGCCGAATTCTGCACGGTAGGCTACGCAGCCCACACCATCGCCCTGCCCAAGACGACAGAGCACCTCACCATCGTGTTCTGGACAGGAGCGTCGCGCAACTGGCGGCCAGCATGCTATCATATTGGCTCCGCCAAGCTATCGGATCTACACGTCAAGGATTTGTGCCCGCGCTACAGCTCTATGTGGGATGAGCTGGCGCAGCTGGTCTGCGGTTCTCACTTGCAGCGCCTGACCGTTGTCAACGCAGACACTGTGCCGCCCTCTCACACAACGTACTGGCAGCACCGCAGGGACAGAAGAGACGGGTTGGCCAGTCACAACTCCCTCCGTGAGCAGTTCTACACGACCTATCGCGAAAGGTGTGGCCGAGCCAAGAAGACGCCGCTGAGGATTACGGACATGCCGTTCTTGACGCTCGAAGAGTGGCTCGAGACGGCGGAGTGGCAGGATGTCTTCTCCCCTCTCGAGATTAGCGAGCACTTCATTGCCCGTGCTGGCGGACAACCGATGCCCGAGACGTGGGCGCGCTACGTTCGTTTCGCCGATGGACTGGGCTTCAAGATCAGCGAGGAGGAGTTGGATCCTCCAGCTTTCACTGCATCTCAGGCGTCAGCATAGCATAGCACCATGCAATTGTACATCTGTAGCTCTTGCGCTGGGTAATATGGGTTATGAACGGGAGCATGATCGTGGCAGTGACGAGGCTTGTTGGCCGCCGTTATTCAGGCTTCACGGTTCATCGAACTGCTTCCGTCGAAGGCAAGATCGGCGAACGTCGTTATCGGTAGCGAGATAACGAGGCGCTGGATTGTGTCCCTGAACTTCTGCGTTGCCCACTGCCTCACCTCTGATCTGTTCATCTTCACCTCAGGCCTCGCAATGCAGTCCAGCTTATCACCACGGCCATGACACTACCCTTACGATGCACCATCAACGTTACAGCCCATACGAGGAGTAACAGCAGCAGGAGTACAGGCACGAGTTTGTCGCGGCATCAAATAGGGTTCGGACGAGCTGCCGTGTTTCGGCGTGTTGACACCGATATCTCTCCATCGTCATAGACATTAACATCACCATGACCGACGGGCCAGCTCGACTACCTTCAGAGCTGCTTCTAGAGATCTTTGGTCATCTCTCGCACCAGGAAATGCGCACCATCTTCCAAGTGAACTCATACTTCCGCCGCATCGCCCAACCTTACGCCTATCGCTACGGCACGATGACCAAGTTCGGACTACATTTCCCCGGAGCCACGCATCCGTACCCCTTCTTTGATGACCCCGATTCTGAAGCCTTGAAGATAACGGAGAAGAAGAGGGAATGGATCGCAAGCCAATTGGAGCGCATCGATGTTGTGCCGCACTCAGAACTCGATTGCGCCTCCCCGCCCCCGCATACCCTTTGCCCGGTCGTGCTCGATGTCCTCCGTCTCGACTGGCATATCTCCTCCGATCCTGGGTTCTGCATACCTGAAAATGGCAGCGGTCGCATGCACGAGTACTCCATCAACTTTGGTGGGTGCGCATTCCTCAATGCGGTGCTTCAGAACTGCCCGCAAGGCTACAGAGAAGTCATTGCTAGGGGTGTGCCTCGTCCAGACGGCTCGGGTGCGATGTACCCGGAGAACTACCCAGTCACTACCCGAAGACATGTATCGGTACTCTGCAGCCAGCCGCCATCGGTCCCGCGAACAAGTGATTGTCTCACCCAGCCTGACCTGGAGACATTCGATGTGAGCGGACGACAGTGCGGTGAGCACCTGGAGGTAATATTCTGGACCACCCGCCCCGGCCTGGCATGGATCCCTCCTTGCGAGTTCTATGTCAACGGCGACATGCTCAACGCGAATGTCTGCCACCCCAGAGGGGAAACGGTGTGGTCCCGTCTCTTCGACATTGCCTACTTCCACCGTCTGAAGACGGTTACAGTCGTCAACGCCACCGCTATCGTCCCACCCGGCTCCATGCCTGACGAACACGAGGTTCGACTGAGCCGAGGAGAGGTCAAAATGAAAGACAACGAGGATCTCTTCAATGCGAACGCGGAGCAGCAGAAGGAGTGGCTGAGTAACCCGATTACAGCTACGTTCGAGTTTATCACGATGGAGCAGTGGATCAGACGAGACACCTGGGCGGATGTCTTCACCTACGCTGAACTGGACCCTTGGCTGAAGACGATGCACGAGGAGGCGTAAGTAGGGAGGGGTTCGTCTGAAGACGATGATGGAGTCACAATGGCACTCACGCTGCGTGTAACCCGTCGCCAATACACTGGAACGAATCTAATGCAATCCTTGGCTTCATCACAAGACTACGATACGGAGTAGAAGCGACGCCGCAGTAGCATGGACGGATTAGAAGGCTCAGACTCGCCATCGTGTCGGGAAGACAGTGGGTGTAGCACGCTTTGGAACAAGAGGCCGTGTTCGGTCACGCTGCCGCACTCGTACGGTCGAGGACTTCTGAGGGGTCGCCAGAGACAAGCCTCGTCAGAGGGACGAGGGGCTGCAATGCTGAGGTGGAGGAAGGCAGGCGACCGTCGATCTCTGCACGGTGTGGGCGGCACCAAACGTGGGGCGCAAGCACACATCATGCCTGGCGAGAACATTTTCTGCTTGGCCGTGCACCTTGTTATCCCATTTCCAACGCTACTTCGACCTCAGAACTCCAACACCATGCCCTCCCGGCGCGACCATCAAGCTATCACAGCCTTTCCGATCTTTCCTGTCGAAATCCTGAGCGAGATCTTCAGCCACCTCGACCCGTCCAGCGTGCGCCGCGTCCTCTGTGTGAACTCGCTCTTTCGCTCTCTCGCGCGACCCCTTGCTTATCAGTACGGCACGGTGACTGACCTCGGTCTGTTCTTCCCAGGTGCTCAGCACGCCTACCCATTCTCGCAAGGCTTTATGCCCGGTCTTCCCGTCAGCGAGCTGTCAAAGGAGAGCATGGGAGTAATTCTCAGGCAGCTAAAGCGCATCGATGTAAAGCAGTACCCTCATCAAGACTGCAAGGCGCTGTTCATTCCAGTTCAGAACCCCAAGTCGTCATTTAGTCGGCGGAGCACCAGCTATCCTGAGCTCGACGTGTTGAACCTCGCAGTGCAATCGTGCCCCCCGGAACAGCGCATTCTCAGGAATCCACAGCCTGGAGACGATGACGTTGATATGGTGCCGCTCTGCCCGTGCATCTTGGAGGTGCTAGGAAGTCATTGGTCTACAGGCAGCAAGCTCGTAGCAAAAGATATTCTGCGGCAACCAGGGGACTTCGAATACAGTCATACTAGGTCCACTGACACCATCGACACACACATCAGCGTCGTGTACAGCCAAACCTCGCCGTGCGCCCCAGAGATCCTGCATGACTATGTCAACCCTGTGCGCGTCGCCAGGGAGCTGTGCATCGGGGACTTCCGCCACCTGGAAGTTGTGTTCTGGACCGAGAGGCCGGGTCAGGCATGGATTCCCCGCTGCAAGTATTCCACAGAGCGTGGGCGCACTGGTACCTGTCTCCAGACGGAGGGAACGATTTGGTCTGCCCTAGCAGAGCAGATCGCGCCCTTCGCGCCCCACTGTATAACCAGCGTCACCATTGTCAACTCTGCCGCCATCCTTCCGGCGGCCTCCACCATTGTTGAACACGAACTGGAAGTGAACACCAACCAGGCCCGCTTGCAGGAGCAACACGCCTGGTGCTTTGATGAAGAGCTCAAACTGCAAGCACTGTATTGCGGAAGGGGTCCTGGGAGGGATTCTACCCCAGAGACGTTCGAGTTCATCACGATGGAAGAATGGATTAGGCGCGGTGGATGGGAGGACGTCTTCACTCTCGAGGAGATAGGGCCGTGGTTGGCCAAAGCTGAGGCCAGTACGGGGAACTCGCTGCCCTCTATTGTGCACGTGTATAGCCTGAAGGAGCTCGCGGGACTGTCCCTCTGACGCGGACCCGCCCGCAACAGCCTGAACGCGTCAAAAGTCGTATCATGCCTGGTCTATAGTCTGTACAAAAATGATCTACAACGGCCGTCGTCATCTATGCAGCCTTTTGCTCAATCGTAATCTCCCTCTCCGAGATCGCGCGCCCACCCACTCAACGTACGGACTACACATTGCACCACCGGTTCCCGAAGCGGTCGATGCTCGGCCGCCCATTCCTCGCCTGTCCATCATTCACCCCATTCTTCCTCCCTTCGAACGCATAGCTCTCGTTCGCGTTGAAGTTGCGATGCGGGCAGATGAACTGCAGATTCAGGGGACACACGCGGTCGACCTCGGTGCACACCGCGATGCAGGGCAGGAGCTCGCTGTATTCGTACGGGTAAGAGATCGCCGATGATCGCGGTGAGTCGGTGGAGCGGGGCACGACATGCGGTGCTGTTGGCAGGGTGGTGATGTTCTCGAACGGTGCGGGATCCGCATCAGCACACTGCGGCAGGACCATGCGGCATACCCAGACGCGGTACGCGTCGTAGCAGTCCGCACACGTGCTGACGTAGCTGTACATGTCCCTTCCACACGCCTGGGCCGTTAGAGACATGCTGAACGTGTCGAGATTCTCGGCAATGACGTTTGCGAATTGGTCCGGAATGTCGGTCAGATACTTCTGTCCTCCTGGCTGGACGTCGGCGACGGGACTGGCGTACCCGATCCCCGGACACATGGCGGTGGGAAGCATGAGGGGGCATCGGAAGCCGGGCTTCTTCGTCCGGAACAGCGCAGGAGGGTAGATGACGAGGCGGTCGCGGTCGTAGATCCAGAACGTATAGTTGGTGTCGGGCTTTAGGCCATCAATCACGGCGTACTTCCTGAATCCGCTCGCGAGGTTGATGTGCGTCCAGCTCGTGGCTTCGAAGACGGTGTTGTTGCCCGCAAGCGCCAGCGCAATGACGCTCTTGCCCAGCGCGCGGGTCACGAGACTGTCCGCGCCTGCTGTCTCCTGCACGACAAACGTGAAGTTGCCGTCTGTAAAGTTGCCAAACATGCCTGCCGTTGGCCCGCTTCCGGCGTCTGAGTGCGGCTTGAACTGCGGCCAGTCCGGATACGGCCCCGGCAGCGTGTAGTTCGGGTACTGGGGCTGGGGGAGCTCTGGCGCCTCGATGACGGGCGAGAAGAGGAGTACATTGCTGTCTGTTGTGTCGCCGAGGAACCCCGTCTCGGCACGGTAACTCGTGATGCGCACTGTCGGCTCGGCGTCGAGCAGGTCCACGACCTGGAAGTATACTGTCACGTTTCCCGGTGGTGCGGTGCTCTCAGCGTCGGCGGCCAGACTGAACCCCATGAGAACCTGGTGCTCCACAGCGTCCTCAGTCGTAACGTTGAGCGACTGGTTCTCAGCCATGTCCCACCCGTACGTGAAGTTTGCGAAGCCGTCGTCGAACGCGAGGCGCCACGTGTCGCCGCCCCTGTTGACATGGTTCGCCTTGCCAGGTGTTCCGCCGCTGGAGAGGGCCTCGACGCTTCGCCGCTCTTCAAAGGCAAAGTTCTTGCTCGGGTCGGTCGTAACTCGGACGTCGGGGACGTAGGCGGGCAGCAGGTCTGGCGTACTCATGTCGTATCCCCTGTCGGCGATCCAAACGGTCATGGACCATGCACGCAGCTTGGGCAGCTTTATCAGTGCCGCTGGACGGGTGCGGTTCAGAGTCAGTCCGCCGCCAGAGGGCAGAAGCGTGCCGCTCCGCGCCTGCGCTGTCGTGACTGTCAGCGGCGCATAGGGCGGTTTCGCCAATGCTGTGCCCTTGGCCGGTTGCGCAGAGCTGCTAGGTGCTGCCCCGAGGACGCCGAGGAGGAGGCCGAGGAGAAGGAAGAAGCGGACAAGTCCCGGCAGCACCATGTTGGAGCTGGGGACTTGTTGCTGTGTCGGAGTAAAGGGAGGTGGTCGGGGTAGAGTGTATCGAGATGCGGTTTGAGAAAGTCGGAGAGAAGCACGTACGCACTGACGGTTGCGACGCTAACGGACGGTCCAGGCTGGCTGTGCAAGGTGGAGGTGCCTTGACTGGCGGCCCAATCACGTGACTGTGACCCATGTGCACCGGCAACGGCAGCGCAGCAAGGGACCAAGGGACATGTTGTGTGCGCCAACTTGCCGACGAACCTCTCAAGTCGCCGTGCATCGTGACCGATCGCATCGCGCACATCCATCGCACCCGGCGTGCTCACTACGCACCACATCCTCGACCTCAATCGCATCGCATCAGAGACACCGCACACACACAACTAGCAGGCGACATCGCATCCTCCCCCCTTTCACCCCCCCCACCGCCCGCGCCCTAGCTCCAGCCTGGCCAGTTCAGCCAAACCACAGCTAGCCTCCACCGACGCCCCCGCCTCCTTCTCCATCCACCTCGGACCCGCCGTGCGTCCCGACGTCTCGCAACCATGCCGCGCAAACACAGACCAAGGGATACCAAGATTTACGTCCCGGCCTCTCCGGCACCGCAACCTCCCGGCTCGCCGTCCGATGGGCCCTCAGAGTCCGGCCCAAGTCTCGAGGTGCTCCTCATGGCGCAGCAGATCGCGCACCAGCGCGGACACACGTTCGACATCGAGTCCTTCCTGACCCCAGAGCAGAGGGTGGAGTACGCCGCGATCCAGGGCGAGGAGCCGCCAGACGTGCCCTCTGGCTCGACGTCTGAACGATCGGGCGAAGCGTCCGGGATGTCCGGCGTGTCCGGAGCGTCTGGCGTGTCGGGGGAAGGCCACTCGAACTCAGGGGAAGGCAGCGAGGAAGGCGGAGCAGGCAGTGAGGGGGGAATAGGGACACGAGAGAGAGAAGACGAGGACGTTATCGGCACCCCGCCAGCGAAGCGGATCAAGCTCGGCCCCAACACGCCCCTCTCGCAAGTATACTGGAAGCAGCGCCTCGACCGGCTTGCGCGCGTGCGCTCGCGCTCCTTCTCCCCCTCCTCCTCGCCCTCAGCCTCGGTCCACCCCCACCTCCCGGGACATCCGTCACACCTGCCCCCGCCCTCGCCCGCGCGGTCCCGCGAGGCCTCGCCCTCCCCCTGGGCTCGTCGAGAACTGAGAGACACCCCCGTGCACCTCCGCAAGCTCGCGCCCGTCACCGAGGCGGACAAGGTCGACATTGCCGCTTCAGCAAGCTACTGGAACCACCTCCTGTGCCAGGCGCGTGCGGCCCGCGGGCCGCAGTACGACTACAACACGCGCCAGCTGTTGTTCGACCGCCAGTCCGAGGCGTACTACACCCAAGGCCGGCCGCCGAGGGAAGACACGCCGCCGCCGGAGCCGGCCCCCGAGGCTCCTTCCTCTGCCGCTTCCGCCTCCGCGTCTGCTGGTGAGGGTGGTAAGGACCGACCCGCCAGCAAGGATGGTTCCCAGGCGGAGAAGAAGGACGCCGGGAAGGACAAGGGAGAGGAGAAGAAGGATAAAGGACCACCCACACCGAAACCGAATGGGGAACAGCAACCAAACGGCACGCCCAAGAGCCAGCCGCCCCCAAGCCCGGGGCCGCCGCATGCCCGGCTTGCTGCTGCCCAGGCGGCGCAGGCGAATGTGCAGGCGCAGGCGCTCGCTCTTGGTGGAGTTGGGCCAGGACAGGAGTCACCTGGAGGACCTGGCGGACCCGGGGGACCAGGCGGACCAGGGGGCATGCCGCCTGGCATGAACCCCGGCATGAACCCCGGCATGATGATGCCGCAGGGCGTGAACCCGATGGCGCTCATGGGCGGCGGGCCGCCGCCGCAGGGTCCCATGGTCGGAGGGGGACAGGGGCCAATGCTCGGCGGAGGGTGGCAGGATAGTTAAACTTGTATTGCACGATGTACTCTTCTTACATCACATTTGCGGTCATGGTCACTTTCTACAACGGCACCCTATCTTGGAACCTTGTATGCGCAAAAGAGGAAAGGAAACGGAAATCTAATATCACTTTTGGTGCTGCACCATCGCGTCGACGAGGGCGGGGAAGGGAAGGCTGATGTTAGCTAGTCTGAAGTAGTCCACAAGCTTACAGGTCGCGCATCGCGGCCTCGTCCTCGGCACTCAGACCGTTGACATAGTCCTTGATACGCTGCAGGGTCCGACTCTTGCTCTCGCCGGGCGCTGACGTCAGCTGAGCTTGGGGTAAGGCGAGCTCACAGGCAGTCTTGTGAATGTGGCAGATGATGTCGACCTTGGTGCCGGCGGTGATCTCGGCATCGCTCTTCTCGAGTCCGAGGCGGTTGCAGAACCTGTCGCCGCCGCGCTTCACAAAGTTCAGAACAGCCACGGGGCTCTTCGCGGCCAGCTCGGTCAGAGTGATGCCCTCGAGCTCGCCGCGAGGGATGAAACCAGTGTTCTTGCGGTCGCCGAACCCCTCGCGCTTGTTGCCGGGGTGCGTAAACGCCTTGTTGTACTGGCGTCGGGGCTGGTGGTAAGCGACGTACAGGGTGCCGCTGCCGAGCTTGGCGCCGTTATCGAGTTCAAAGCCTGCGACGCCTCGTGAGCGCGCAGGAAGGAGACGAAGCCGTAGCCGCGAGAGCGACCACACTCATCACGCATGACGCGGGCGTTGACGACCTGGCCGAAGGGCGCAAAGGTGTCACGGAGGAAGGGACCGGCAATGTCCCCATCGAGGTTCTGTCATCAGCTGAAAACTCTCAGAAGTAAGCTTACCTTGACAATCAGGTTGCAGTAGTCAACCAGACCAGTGTAGCTGTTGGAACCGGGACCCTGGGTAGGCGACGGGTGGATCTGCTGTCCGGGGCCGTGCTGAATGACGGTACCATCGTCGCCGACAACGCCGCCGGGAACATGCCTCCAGCCGACGCGAGAAGTGCCCTTGTGGTTGCTGCCACGACGCTTGCCAAAGTTACCCTGGCGACGGTCGCCAGGCAAGTTCTCGTTCGGGTAAGGAGGAGTGAGAGGCATGGGCGCGTTCGGGTTGTGCGAAGCCCACGGCGAGATATATTGGTTGGCCGAGTTGGGAGGAGACAGAGGCGGCACGGGCTCGAGCGCAGCGGCAGCGCCGTTAGGCAGCGTCTGTCCGGTCCCTGGCAGGAAAGCGGGCTGCTGGATGATCTGGACAGTCTTGAAAGAATCGCTGCCCTGCGCACCTGGGGGAGGCGCCTTGAGCACAGCACTGTACGGGGGCGTGACTTTCACCTCGCCAGCCGACTCCGACTCCTTCGCCTGCTCAGGCTTGGGAGTCTGCTCTGAAGCAGCATTCTCGGAGACAGATTCGACGGGGGGAGCCTCAGACATGACGGTAGTCATGGGAGGGACTTGCTGACCCGGGGGACCCTGAGGGGGCTGCTGGAACGGCATCGGCGTGAACGGGATGTACGAGGGATCACGGCGAATGTCGCTGGTTATGTCAGCATCGGTAGACATAGACCGCACTTACACTTGCCAGCCCACAACCGTACCACCCATGCGACTGAAGCCCTGCTCGAACATGGCAGCTTCGTCCTCGTACCAGAACTCGACCTTGGCACGCCAGCGGTACTCTCCGACGCCGGGCGACGAGGCCCCTCCCTGGTTGACCTCCAGGAACACAGAGATGTGGCGAATCGAGCCCCAGCCGCGGACAGTGTCCCAAATCTGGCCTTCAGATGGCATGGTCGCATGGTTGATGTCACCCTTGAACACCATGGGGCGGATGAGACGAGGTGCGACAGGCGCCGGGGGCAGAGGGTGACAAATGGGTGGCGAGAAGAGTGAGACCACAATGTTCAAGTGGCTCACGAGATACGAGTGGTTGACGAGAATGGCCTGAGCCTTCTCAGCTGTACGTCAGGTCGGATCGCCATAGAACACATACCATCACCAAGGGATCCAAACGTGATAGTGCCTAGCAGGTCAGCTACAAACATCTCAGCAACTCACCAGTCTTGTTCATCCACTCGTAGTACGCGTTTGGCCAAAGGCGCTCCTGGCGCTGAGGAGCCTCACAGAGGTGGATGGCCACGGGGGGCACACCCTGCCTTTCCAAAATGCCAGCGATGTCAAACTCGCGCACGCTTGAAGGCACCTCGCTCAAATAGATAACAGGGTGACACTGATGTCAGCTTACTTTACGCAGCCCAGAAGCTTACGAGGAAAGGGTGAGGGCGAGGCATGCGTTGACCGGGAGGAGGCGCGGGGACGGTGTTCTGACCAGGTTGAGGATAGGCGACCGGCCCGGGAATGAAGCCCAGTGCAGACTGGCCGGTAGGAACGCTCTCGATAGGAGGAGCCGAGACGGGGTAGAAGGGCCCCATGAGCGTGACGGGTGGGAGAGGGTATGCCTCAGCCCAAGGAGGCGACGGCCTGTCCATGGAGCCGTTCATGTCCGGGTAGGCCTGCGACATGCCCAGACCAGACATGTTGGCCATGCCGGCAGTGAGCCCCATCATTCCGTTCCCATGGGGGAACGGAGGTAAAGGCAGCGAGGAAGGAACAGCCATAGGGGTAGTGTACGTGTAGGGTGCACCCTGGGCGAAGGAAGGCATGGTTGGGAGAGCAGGCGAGTTGCCGCTGACAGACTCGGAGGACGTGTCAGAGGCCTGCTGCGGCGCCGTGGGCAAGAAGGCAGGGAGAGGTTCAGTGGTCGTCATGGTCATGTTGATGCTTGAACGATGGGAATGATGTTGAAGCTAGAGAGCTAAAATGGCTCAGTCAGCACACGAGCGGCATCAACAACACACCTAGCCACACGCGACCTGGGACAGCGGCGATCTGGTGAGCCCCGCGAAGTGAATGATGAAGTGCTAGTCGGCAAGAAGAGGAAGGGAATGAGAAGAAGGAGGGAGTGAAGGAAGGTGTTGGGAGTTGGAAAGTGACAGGACGGTGGAAGAGTTAGAGTCCAGTCGAGTTTTGTGAGTGAGTGCGCCCCTGTGTGCGGCTAGCCGATGATCTTCTTCGTTGATGTGATTCAGAAAGGCATTGCACGGGCCCACTTGTGTGGACTACCTGCACCAAGCCGTTCGCCACCGCACCGTAGCTTCAAGGGGTACAGGGAGCGAAGAGCGCGCGAGCGACGCGGATCGCAATTGATGTGGGAGGCTGATGCTGATCTCAGCTACTCAGCCCAGTGCTCGATCTCGCGCACGCTGTCTTCGAAGGCAATCGGCTATCCCGACCAGACCATGGAAAGCTGATAATTCGTAGAGATATCAGGCTGCAAGCATGGGATCGACCACTGGCGCAATCCGAGTCGGTTGGGGCCTTGGCGCTGACGTTCTCCGAGGTGGAATGGGTGGGCAAGGCGGTGGTGATCGAGTTGCGGTGAGTGATCGCGGTATGGGGGGAGACGATGCCGCCGGTGACTGCGAGTGCGCTGTGAGTGATCGATCGAGTGAGGTGAGGTGTGAGTTCTGTGTCAGTCTGCAACGATGCGGAGTGAGGAGATCGAAAAGCAGAGTGATGCGCCCGGGCCATGCGGGCCATCGGCTGCGCGCGACGTTTTCCTTTTGGCACTACTGGTCATAGCGTCCACCGCGCAACGCCATCGGCCCTCGTCCGACAAAGGTCTGTGCGTCGTCCCTTGATCCGCGCAGTCCAGTCAACCGTCCCCGCAGCCACCGTCGTCTCCCACGTCCGCACTGGCCTCCGCAGATGCATGCAGCGGAGAGCCCCCCTCCTCATTGTCCAACAGCCTCCTTGCAATGCTGCGAGCTGCGAGCACTGCGAGTCCGTGGCAACCGACCACGGTATCTGGCCTCTCCACCCAGATCAGTCCAGCTGCGTCAATCTCCGTTGTTGACTGTTGACCATCCCCTCCCCCTCACACTGCATCTAACTCACCCGCTGCGAAGGCACTCACCCACCCGATGGGCAACGCGACTCCGAATCAACCACCTTTCGGAAGCACACACATGCGCCCCGTCACTCTGTGGAATGTTGTGCTGCGATCTTGCCTCCATGCCTTCACGGACAGTCCTCTGTGTATGCCAAACGGCCGTCAGTCCGGTAAGCGCATTCGTCGACTTCGATGAGCAAGAGTATGAAGCAATTCCGATCGTTGCTGCGATTCCTGGAATGGAAGAGATGGTTAAGGCCAGACGTCGTACTCGGCGGAACAACTCGCTGCGCACTTTAATACCGCTGGGACGTTGCGACCCATCCCAACCCGGTACCTGCTTGGCCATGCTTGAATGTCCGTTCTGCCCGCTCGGCGGCTCGGGCGGGACGGAGTGACGAACAAAAGACAGGACAAAGTTCAGACGAAAAACTGTCGGGCAGGACTCGGTGGATTACGAGGCACGCTCTTATGTGGGTGAAGCTTGTTAACGTTGGAGTAGAGTTTCACCGTCGTCATCGATTTACGTTGGAAGGCAGGCTTTCGCAGTGGGCAGTCTGCATCCCGCTGCCGTCAACGTTATGGAGAGCTGTCCCGTCGTGCCGGGTGGTGCCTCAGTTTACCCCTCGTTCCCCCTCATATTCCCCTCGCGGCCCACGGCGGCTCGGGCAGGGCGGGTCCGATGGTCCCAACACTCGACCCTGTCACCGAGTGAACTCATCAATTTACCTGCGCGCCGCGGCGCCGAGCTGCAAGGGGGAGTGCAGGCAACGCGTCCAAGCATGGCCAGCAGCACGTGGGGATACGGTTCGACGTTGAATGGATGTCCCTGAGGCTAATGTTCCTAACCCTGGGGAGACCCCAAGGCAGAGTGAAGTTTGTTATCGTGAGCGACGCAGCATCCGCCGCTGCCCCACTACGGTCCAACAAGGTCCACTCAAGCCAGCCTTAGCACAAGCCATATGGCGCCAGCGATTCATCTCCCATGGCGCAGGGGCAACCACCTCCCCTATGCCGTTGCGCACATCCTTCGCCGCTCCCATCGGCTGCTCCGCTCTCGCTACCCCGCCGTCTCTCACGCCTCCGTCTCTCGTCGGCGGACAGGATGTCAGGACATCAATTCATCACTTGACCTTGCGGGCACCTCAACCTGCCATAACACACACAAACGGTCGCTTTGGATGTGAAATATTTCCTCCTGGCCACTGTCTTATCACGATCGCCCTCACCCCTGTCTGCCCGTCCGACCGGTACGCCGGAACGAGATCGATCACCCAGACATACCACCCGCCCGCAGGCAGACGCGCCATCGAGGCTCGCACACAACACCTCGCTTGATCAAAGTCCTTCTCTCACTCCTCACTCCATCATTTCCGACAACTCCTGTGCTCGCCTCACTGCCTACCCACCTGCTCCTCTATAATCACTTGCACCACACCACCACGAATCTGATCACCACCTGCAGCTGCGCTTGCACCAGCCAGCTTGCCCGCCGACAGCCGACAAGATGATCCGGTCTACGAGGATATTCATCTTCCTCGGCCTCGCCTGTTTCCTCTTTACCCTCCACCTGTTCTACTCTGAGCACCATCGCCAGCAGCCAACACAGCGTAGCTTCACCGACGATGTCGAGCCGGTCAACTACATCGGTGGAGGACGTGCCACTGCCGCTGCGGCTGCCGCCCGTGCCGCCGAGGAGCCCGCGTCGCTGTATGACAACCTCGAGCTCGAGCAGGAGTACTTCACGACCGACTCGCGCAGCCAACCGCAACATCCCCTGAAGTCGCCAAACCAGGACTTCCACTACGAGGGCGTCTCGATCGACGAGAAGGGACTGATGGCGTTCGACCCCGCGCTGCATGACAAGCACCCGGTCGAGCTCCTGATTGAGCGCGGTCGCGCGCAAGCCAAGGCGATCGACGAGCGCATCGCGAGCGTCAAGACCCTCGAGGACGCTGTCGCCGACTACGAGAAGGCCTGGGGCATGAAGCCGCCAAAGGGCTTTGACAACTGGTTCAAGTTTACCCAGGAGACCGGCAGTGTCTCCGTCCCGTCCATGTTCCCCCTCGCGCACCGTCCGTTTCAGCAGTTCCTCTCACTCACACCCAAGGAGATCAAGGACCGCATCGAGGTCGGCGCCAACAAGAAGGGTCCCCTCTGGACGTTTACGTTCGTGCCGGACGGACAGGGCGACGAAGGCACGCAGACCGACGAGGACGGCACCTGGGAACCGGAGGACTGGCACACGCGTGGCCGTGGACGCGTCAAGGTTGGCGGCAACTTTGCCTGGAAGTGGCGCTGCAAGTGAGTTGAACGGTGAGAGTGTGAACTGACAGCCCAGCAACACGCTCACTCTGATCCTGCCTATCCTGGCCAAGCTCCCCGAGGAGTTCTTCACGCAGGACCCGCCAGTGACTATGCTGTTCAACAACGAGGACGGCCCCGCCGGACGCATTCAGTGAGTAGCGCGTCGTTGTGGCGCGCAGGAGGCAACCCCTTCGCAGGCACAATGTGCGATAAGGTCGCTGACATGTTTCAGCCAGAAGGTCCAGGAACGCGGCGAGACGCTCGGTCGTGCCGGCAAGCACTGGCCTGAGACGCAGCTCAAGGCGGCCGAGCAGGCCATGCGGTGGACGGCGGGCTGGCACTGGACGTGTCCTGACGGCTCCCCTCTGCGCGAATCTGCCGCCGACAAGGTGCTGAACGACGAGGGCGGATCCGACTCATCGAGCCAGCTGAAGACGTTTGTCGCCGACTTTTACAAGTCAACCGACATCTGCTACAACCCCGAGATCCGTGAACTGCACGCCAGTGCCATCGCCGACTACCGCATGCCGGCGAACCCGCTCGTGCCGCAGATTAGTGTCTGCCGCATGATGCGGAACAATGACATTGTCGGCGTCCCGCTCGACGCCGTGTACCAGAACCCGCCGTTCGTTCCCTGGGCCCAGAAGTCGAACGACAAGGTGCTCTGGCGCGGCTCGCCAACGGGTATCTTCCACAACAAGCAGATGCCGTGGCGGCAGGCGCAGCGTGAGCGCCTCCACTTCCTGGCGAACAACAAGAGCGACGCGGCCGTGCCCGTGCTCGTGTCCGGCCTCGAGGGCTTGCGCGTGAAGGAGTTCCCCGTGAACCAGATGAACGAGGCGTGGTTCGACATTGGTCTCTTTGGCGGCCCCGCCCAGTGCTCGCACGAAGACGGGAGCTGCGCGGAGATGGACGCCGAGTTCGAGTGGCGCCCAAGTGTGCGCGGCAACCAAGCGCTCGAGTACAAGTACGTCGTGGACGTGGACGGCAATGGGTGGAGCAGTCGTTTCCGGCGCCTGCTGAAGAGCAACCACGTCGTGCTGAAGAGCACGCTGTTCCCCGAATGGTTCAACGACCTCCTCGTCCCGTGGTACCACTATGTGCCGATCCGCTTCGACTATGGGGACCTCTACGACGTCATGGCGTTCTTCAAGGGCGCGCCCGATGGGAGCACGAAGGGGAGGGATGACTTGGCTGAGGAGATTGCGAAGAATGCGCACACGTTCGTCGACTCGCACTGGCGCGTGCCGGACATGGAGAGCTTCATGATGCTGGTTATGTTGGAGTACTGGCGTCTCGTGTCGGATGACAGGAAGGCCATGTCGTACCCGTAACTCGCGCGCGAGCGGAGCGAGCGTGCAGACGGCGTAGAGCAAGGGAGTTAGGACATTCACTTGCATATACATAGACTTATTAGCTTTGTTTTACTTATGGGATATTTGTGAAAGTACGAGCGAAGCGAGCACAGCGTAACGCAGCGTAGCATGAACGAGCGCAGCGAGTCCTTCCCCCTCCTCCTTCTTGATGCCTCTCCCCTCGATCTCTAATGATAGGGAGGACTAAGCGTAATGCCGCTTCAGGACGCGCTTCGTAAACTCGCCAAACGTCTCCCCGCCAAGATCATCCCCAACGTCGGGCTGGAGGAAGAAGGCGAATGTCTCCCTACTCGAGCTCTGGCGGCCACTAGCAACAAAGTGCGGCGTGGCACTGAGCCGCCCCTGCGTGAGCACGCTCAGCGCCTCGCCAGTCTGGAACGCGAGGCAGTCCTTGGGTATGCTGACTTTGACGGGGGCCACGCTGCTCTTGCCCTTCAAGGCCAGGCCGATTTCCTTTTCGGATTGTTCTGGGGACAGGCGTTGGCGCGGGTAGATGTACAGACCCGCCTTTGGATTAGGAGAGACTTCGTCAAAGCTGGGTGGAGAGGTAGGGTTGGGCGTTGGAGAGAGGTATTGCGCCGAGCACAGCCCGGTGAGCAGCGAGTGGTCGAGATGCACGCCGCAGGCGTCGTCCTCTGCCCCCTCCGCTTCTCCCTCGGCCCCCTCGGCCCCCTCGGCCTCTGTTTCTGAGGATGATGAGGTGGAGGGGAAGTAGTGCAGCAGTCTCGCCTTGTTCGCCCTAGAGCGCTCGATCATGGGCGCGATAGGGGTGGGTGAGAATCCATTCACGTCGCACGCTTTGGCGAGTTCAATCCCAACTTGGGCAATCAGCCCGCCCAACCTGTTCCTATCAGCATGGCGCCCGTTAGAAGCACGTACGCCTTGAAGTCCCGCTCAAAGTCGGGCAACACGGAAGCACTCGGCCAAGTGTTCCCCTCGTAGTATTCCGGATACTGAGCCCGGAGATCTGAGGAGACGTTGGGAGAGTCGAGCAAGGGATTCGCATAGAAGGATCCCTTCGCAGTGTCCGGGCGCCCGTTCATGACCTCTTTGCCGTGGCTCCAGCCGAAACAGTAGCTGCTCGAGGGTGACTCGAGCTCGGCCAGCGAGGATGGATCGAGGGCCGCAAGCCGGGCAGATTGCTGGAAGAGGTTGGCCCTAAGCTCTGGAAACTCCTCGGGTAGGTCTGGACATGTCAGCAAAGCTTGGGGAGCGTGAGAGATGTGAGGCTCACCTTTGACAAGAATGACGCCGAGACAGCCCTCGTCCGACCCGAGGGCGCGCTCGATGTCGCTCTTCAGAGATTCGGGCCGCGCGAGCAGGTCCTTGTAGCTGATCGTAACGGGCGCTTGGGTCTCGACTGTCATTTCGGCTTGTTGTGTCGTCTGCGTAGTGAGAGAAAGGAGGGGAGTGACGGACGTGGACAGCTGAGACCAAGCAACGACACGAAAACACCGGCGACCTTTCAGGCAATGTTCAGTTGAACGCCGGTCGCGTCGCGCATGGCCGATGCACCGCGTGCTTCTTCCGGCGTTTAGCCGGAGATCACTCGGGAGACTCGGGACGCTCGCCGAAGGTACCAGCCAGATTGCTGCATATGCCAAGGAAGACGCTTCGTGCAGTCTCACATCGCTTCCCTCGCTCGTTCGCTGCTCGCTGCTCGATGCCCGGCCATGCCATGCATTGCAGAATATGGGTACTTGACTACAGACACATTTCGTTACTCTTCAGTTGACACCATGCTTGCCTCAGACTCGCTCGCTTTCGCTCGCTCAGTCCTCGGACACATCTCCAAACTCAAAGATACCCAGTCGGTCTGCCTTGGCGCCCTCGATTGCCTGGTCAATCTTCTTGACGATGGCGGGGTATGCGCCGAGATACCTGAGCGACTTGTCGAGGGTGGCGAGACCCTCGCGCGCGAGGTCGGCGTTGAGGCACGCGAGCGGGTCCTCGGCCGCGTTGGGGTCGGACGGGTCGATGAGCCTGAGATGCAGCAGGTTGCCCTCGCGCTGGTCAATGTTGGCGACGAGCTTGCGGTTCTCGGCCCACTGCGAGAAACGGCCCCAGGCCTCGGCGCCGTACTCGCTGTCGCGGGGGACGAGCTTGACGAACGACAGCCGTGCGTCCTTGGCCTGCGCCGGGAGGGGCTTGAACTTGGCGTCGAGCGGTCGCAGGCGCGAGAACGGCGCCGTCTCCTCGTTTCCATAGTCGATCAGCACGATCTGGGCCTCCTTCTTGATACCCGAAGCGCGCTTCACGCGGGCACGGTACCACTGGTTGTCCTCGGAGAACTTGGCCGAGACCAGGTCGCCAGTCTTTGGCGTCCAGCCGGCCGGAGCGGCGTTGGCCTGGTTTCGGTGGTGCAGCGCAAAGTCGTTCATGAGCTTGTCGAGCGCGGCGTCGTTCTTGCCGTCGAGGATCTGGATAGAGAACTGGAACGGGTCGTTCTTGCGCACGGCGGTAACGACGACGTCGAGGTACTGCGGCGGCAGAGCAGCGCCAGTGTCCTCGACGACCTCCTTCGCCTCCTCACCAGTGTAGTTGGCCCAGAGCTGAGGTCAGCTACACTCACCAGATAGATGGCAGACTTACGTTCTTTCCAGACTTCTTGGCCTCCTCCTCTGCAGCGAGAAGCTCGCCGCCGAAGGGTAGGTGGCGCGCGCTCGGCTCGTGAACGCTGGCGAGACCTTCCCGGACAAGCTCGACGGCGACGTTCTGACCGTTCGAGTACATCGCGCCGATGAAGCCACCAGACTTGTCGTTGCTGTCGAACGCGACCTCGACATCACGCTGCATGTACTTGTTGGCGAAGGCCTGCGCCTCGGCGCCGAACGGCTCCGACTTCTCGATGGCTGAGCGGGCGGTGCGAGGAGCACGGATACCACCGAGAACAAAGGTGATCTTGGCGTTCTCCTTGGGAAGCAGCAGCTTGAAGCGCGAGCCGGACGAGACAAAGTCGACGACGGCATTGTGCTTGCCGGAACGCTTCCACGAGGGGAGGTACTGCGTAGCACGGTTGTGCGACTCAGAGGCATCAACGATGCGGGGAGGAGCGACGTCCTTGGTGGAGTGCAGGCCCTTGCCCTCGGTAGTCGCAGTCTGCTCGGCGATGATGAGCTGGTCAATCTCGGCCGAGCGGTCCTCGTCATCTCGCCTGTGGCGCAGCACAGTCGCAAGACCCTTCTCGATAAGCTGGGTAGCAATGTTGTTCTTGGCACCGCCGTAGTGGATCGTGACACACTCGCGCTCGTCAAAGTCGCCATCCTTGGGCTTGACGTAGTCAACAGTGACGTGCACAGTCTTGCCAATGAGACGCTTGCGGAGGAACTCCTTGGCCTCTCCGCCCCAGTAAGCGTTCTTGTTGTCAGTCCCACGAGGGCCACGAACAGAGGACAGCTGGACGCGGCGCTCAACGCCCTTCGGGTCGTTCTTGTCGACAATGCTGAGCTGGTCACCGCTCCAGATGCGGGTGACAGTAGCGTCAAAGGTCTGGCCCTTGGTCGAAGCACTAGGAGCGGCGTGACCATTGCTGCCGGCGCCACCAGCGGCGGCGGGAGTGCCGTAGCCCTCCCAGATACCGGCACGCTTAGCCTTGGCAGACTTCTCCGCGGCGCGAACCTTCTCAAGACCGCCGTAGTTGGCGAGGATACCCGCGTGCCAGTCGATGACCTTGGCAAGTCCAGCAGCAGCGAGGAACTCAGCAATGTTTCCGTTGGGGTGGAGGGCCTGGCCGATGAAGAAGCTAGCTCCCTGGCTGGGAGCAGGCAGGCCACCTTCGGACGAAGCGGGGAAGGGCGCAGGTCCGGAGGCCGGGGCGCTCAGAAGACGGACCTTGACCGGGCGCTGAAGCAGGCGGACCTCGGTGAAGAACTTGGCCTCCTCTCCCCATGGCTCGGCGGAGTCCCCCTCACGACCAGCGGCACGGGGCGACTTGGCACCGGCAATGACGAGGTTAACAAACTGGTGGTTCGTGTCGTCAAGCAACAACCGCACACGAAGCTGAGTGCCATCGCGGACCTGCTCGACAATCGCGTTGATGTCCTTGCCCTTGTGCTCGTTAATGAATGCGTGGGCGTCGGCAGGCATCTGGTAGGCGACGGTGCGTTGCTGCTTGTCAGTGGTAAATCAGACACTCAACTTACAGTCTCGGCGTCCGCCCAAATACCGCGCCCCTCGCTCTTTGCAGCAGCCTCGGCATCCTTCAGCGGCTCGCCGGCGTTGTCACGAGCCTTGGCCCATCCGTTGCTGACAACGAGCTGAGCAACATCGACGGGAGGCTGACCAGGCCCGGGAGGAGCGGAGAAGACGTTGGCAAACTCGCCTCCGTTAGGGAGAGTGTGAACGACGTTGAAGGCGACCTCCTTGCCGACGAGGTGAGTGCGAAGGAACTCGCGGGCAGGGAAGGCGAACGGCTGCCGTCAGCTGATCGTCTGTCTCAGGCGGCTCACCTCATCATCGCGCTGGGCAGTTCCGAGTCGCGGAGCAGAGATACCAGCAAGGTGGAGGACACTGCCGTTAGCTAACGATGCCGTGATAGCTCACCGCTCCTTGGCAGGCTGTCCCTTGGCGGGCGCCTCCTTGGGCCGCACGATGACCGTGTCTCCGGAGAGCACGGCTGAAAGTCAGCGGGATACCGTTCGATTTGCAGCTTACACTTGACGATCTAAACATTAGCTCCAATACACAATTTTTTGACTTACCGCGCGCGTAGACATGAGTGGTTAGAGGGATATGCAGTAGAGGTGGAAGCACAAGACCTCTGGCGATTTCGGTGGACATTGACGTCGCGCTGGCTACCAACGTCGCACGCGACTGACAGGCACGAGGTCCACTGTGGGCCCCGCACACCTCCTCATCCACCGATCGCAGATTAGAAATGTTTGTTAATTCGCTCATTAGAGATGGCTTTGATCCCGTTAATGTACTCGGTCACGGCACTTGAGCGTCGGTGTCGCGGTCTCCGATGACGCTTCACGACTCCTGGCCCACGACTGCACATTCAACAGCAGCCACAGCCTTCCTTCCCATCTCCATTTCCGCAACACCTTGACCAGCTGCACTCCCGGACTGCCGAACGATACTCTGATAACGAACTAGTCGGACAGCAGGTACAGCTCCAAGTTCCCGAACCGCCTTCCTCCCGTCGAACACCAATTATGATCCTCTCAACTGTCGCCATCCTCGCCATGGCGCTGCAGGCGCAGGCAGCGGAGTACACTCTCTCCCACCGTTTCTTGGACGGCAGCGACTTTGCGCCCCGAGGTGTCGTCCAGATTGACAACAACAAGGTGACTTATGAGCCTTCCGCCCAGGCCGTCGCGCCTTCCTCTAGCGACGCCAGTTGGTACCAGATCGCCCTCGACATCGGTGACCAGCAGTTGACTACCTCTACACGAGCTGTGAGCAATACTAACGCGAAACGCATCTGATGACAGTGCTTTGCCTCCTCTCCAGCCTCTTTGACCGTGCACTTGGCAAACGGTAGGCCAACAGATATCGAGTACAAGCCGTTGGATGCCCCGGTATCTGGGGAATGTCCCGAATCCGGCGCGGCCAGCGCACAGTCGAGCGAGATTCCGACGGTCGAGATCGTTGTTAAGGATGCTGATGTCGCCCACAGGTTCGTCATGATGCGGAGACGTAGCTGACTACAGCCCTTCGCTCGCGGCTCCGGTCGTAGTGGACCAAACGGGGCAAGAGGTGAAGCCGCCGCCTGAGAAGACGTTCCTGCAGAAGTACTGGTTCGGCATTGTGGTCGCCATGCTCTTCATCGCCTTCAACATCGGAGAGGAGCCAAAGGAGAACGCGGGCGCGGCCGCCGGCGGAGGGGGCGGACGATGAAGGACGACCGTTTGAGCAGCTATGGATGGTCACTGTAATTCCCAGGATGCTCGGAACACCCGTCTCAAACTGCAGCAGACCGTCTCCGAGACTGGAATCCTGCCGCTAGCGACACATCTACTCGGCGGCACAATCACATACCCGGAAACCGTTCGACTGATGGCATCACTTACCGTTCCCGTGGGTCCACTAGGCATGCTAAGGTTTAGGGCGCGAAAGCCGAACGGACACCGAGGTAGAACATATTGTACGGCAGAAATCGACAGGACCATCGGACACCCTATGGCGCCCAAACCACTGATTATTTTGGCGTCGCTAATGAGAGTGACGCTGACGGACGGCGATGTTGCTCTCGCTGGCTGTCAAATAACGAGGCTCAGCGGCCGAGACGAGTTGCCGATGGCTGATAACGACGGCATCTGCAGCGCTCAAAAACGGTCGAGGATGACTTAGAATAAGTCGTCTGGACTGTCAGCACGACAACCATACGGACCCCACTCGGCACCGTGCTCGGCAGGTCGAGCAGCCAGATCCCCAGCAGTGCAGCCACTCTACCCAACCGGGAGGAGCGTCAGAGGGGTACCGCATTTTGCGCAAGAGCCCCGACTAGCGGTCCTGCTGCTCCAGCGGCGAACTGGCTCCAGAAGATCGGGTAGCGGAGGTGTGACGCAACGAGGAATGGAACGCAGGAGCGGAACAGCAGGACGCAGATGCTGCGGTGGCTGTTGTGTGGACTGAGCGGGTTCTCACGGTGTTGGGCGCTTGAGACCGTTGCACTGCTCGACGTTGTTGCTTACACGTCCACCGCGGAAATTACGGAATTGGCCAGCTGCATAGCAACAGAGAGCACACAGCACACAAGAAGTTATGGGGTAAGTGGGGCGACTGTGTTTGCTGCTTGGCACCACTGACACTTCGCTCACCAAGAATGTGAAGAATGAGGGGCGCTCATCTGCACTGACGAAGCCAGGAAAACGCACGCGGCTGTGTCGATCAGCGTTACGCATTGACAATGACACGATCTCAGCTGGAGCTGTTTGGGTGGAGCGATCTCTCTGATCCCTGAGCCTTAGAAGCAAGCCTCGACTTTGACAGAACGTGCACGCAGCCAAAGAAGTGCCCACATACCGTGCTGAGGTTCTGGTGACATCGCTTGCTCCACGCCTCGACTGCGAGCGCAGATGTCTGCAGATTAGAAGCAAGACCACCCATTGCACTCCAGCTCGAATGTGGTGCCCCAGGCCTGGCCACATTGGCCATTGCCCAGATGTGCCAAGCGCCCACATCGAAACACTGACCCCACACACAGCGTCCGATGGTTATTTGTAATTGAATCTGTGGAATGCCCAGACTCGCCTAGCCTCGCTTCAACGTCGACATCTGCACACCAGAAAGGTTGCACAGGTGGCGGCGCCACCGCTGTGGTCGTGTGCTCCACAGACTCCACGAGAAGTCACCTGGTTATAGGTACGTGCGCATGCACAGCCGGTGGATATGAACCATGGCGTGGGCTGCGAGGGTGGTGCTGGCGATGCTGGTGGAGCGAGACGGCATGGAACGCGAGCTGGAATGGATCGACATGTTGGAAACGGGTAAACACGGGGCTCTGGCCGTTATACAAATTCTGCGAGAAGGCTGCTCGAGGGGCACGATCAGCGGGGATCAGCGTGTGTCGCGCAATGACAGCGGAGTGAGTTTGGGCAATTGTCAAGGGGCAGAGCCGAGGCCAGAGCAGCAGTGAGCGAGGGGGTGAGACCGACGTGAGACATTGTGTCGAGCACAGCACACAGACGGCCGCCGGTGCTCGACATGGGGAACTCTGTGGTCTCTGCAACCTCCGGCGGAGTGCGCACAACCCGAGCCACTATCAGACCAAAGCAGCACGGCTTACGGCGGCAGAGAGACACCCGAAGCGACACCCCGACACTCCGATATTCTGACCTCGCCATACCCCGCTATACCCAAGCCTGTTTGCTGTGCCTCGCACCCCGTCCTGGTCATCGCAACCTTAGACTATTGTTCGCACGGTCCACGTCCTGAATGTGCGCTGACTTCATCAGCCGTGTCACCTGGACTCTCCACGGGCATGCCCGCGGCGAGGATCCGGGACTGTGCGCGGGGGAGGCGAGTATACAAAAGTGCATGGGATTCGAGACATGTTGCCAGGCGTTCGTTTGTGTACACGCTGCGATCAATTTGCGCATCAGGAGCACCCAGCAATCGGTCAATCCGTTTTTCGTTCCATACCGCCGCCCTCTCGCCGTCGAGCACCAACGTCCATCGTCACCAACGCCCCATCCTGCAATTCAGAGCACATCGCACACGAGCGTCATCGTCGCCATCGTCATTGTCATCGCCGTGTTTGTGTGTTCAGGCGTCGTGGCCTGACCAGGCCCCCGGGCCTCCAGAAACAGTGTCGCTCCCGCCGTCGCCCTGCTCACACAGAGACCCGGCCGCTCATCAAGTCGCACCCAACCATCGACCGACGAGCAGGCGAGGATACACACGCACACACTGACCAGTACACACGGATACACAGAGCACTGCTTGACCATCGGGTGCTCTGCTTCTCCGATCTCAGCCCTCGGCGGATCACCAGGCTCTCGCTCGCAATTCCCCCCCATCTTGCGCGCCTTCCCCGATCCTCCGTCGTGCCGTCGCTCCCCCCTCGTGTCTTCGTGTCTTCGTCCCGTCCGACCGAATCCACTCCCAGCCGCTGAGCAGCAGCAGGGTACGTAGCCCCTGGGGCGATCGACAATCATGGCTCGCCCAAGCCCAGCAACGTGTGCATCCTGCGCATCTCAGGCTGAATCCGCGGCATCTGCGTCGACAAGCGCACTCCCACACCAACACCCTGCAAGAGGGCGCACCCGTCTCCCTCCTGGCCCTCCTCCTCCCAGTCGCCCCCACCTCCCCTGTCCCACACTCGCCCCTTCCTCTCTCCGCTCTTTCCTCCTCCCTCCACAGCACGTCCCCAAACCAACAAAGACTCCCATAAGTACCCCTCCTTCCTCTCCTCTCCTCTGCAGAACAACAGCGACATCAACTGTTGCCCCCTCATTCACCCCTGCCCCTCCGCCAGTCTCATCTGCACCTGCAAAGTCTTTCTTCTATCCTTGCCTGGCCACAGACCCTGCTTCAACAGCTACACACCCATCCACCCATTCGCCGCCCGGCCTTCTATCCTTAACGTCGCTTTCTTCCTCGCCTTCCTCATCACCTTCCACTCCCTCCCCTCACCCCTTTTCAAGGTATTCTGTTCCCTTCTATCTGGTTATCACTCCCATCATGCGTTCTACCCGATTCAGCAAGGCCGATGCGCCAGTTTCACCTCCCAACACGCGTTCAAGAGCACGCGCGCGCAACGACGGCGGCGTCCCCGCGGTCACCGGCAAGAGGCGGAGAGTGGACGACACCGACGACGACGAGGCCAACGGCGCTGACGACAACGTGGTCGACTCCAAGTCCGACGATGACAACAGATACATCGCTCGCGACCGTTCCAGCTCTCGTTCTCGTTCTCGCTCGCTCTCGGTAATTCCGACCTCCGACATGCCGCCCCTGACACTGCCTGCTCCGGACGATGCCGCCGTCCGCGCTCTCGGCCTGACCCAATCTGCAAAACCAGGTGCCCAGCCTGTCACTCTCGAGTACGAGCACCTCGTGCGCATGCGCGAGGGACACTTCTACCGCCCGCGTCCGACGACGCCGCCCGAGCGCGAGCGCAACTGGAACGAGCTGTCGATCTCGGAGGCAGCATGGATCAGGCTGGAGGAAGCCGGTGTCATCAACAAGGGAAGGTCGTGGACGTCGCGCATCGGACTTGATGAGAACGGAGACCGTGAGTATACAGTACACACCCGCCCCCTGATTCCGCACTGTCATCCATTCCTTGCATCTCGCACTTCTCGCATCCGGGTAATCCAGCCTGGCACATCTTGCTTGGGCACAGCTGTGCATTCGCTGCTCCGGTGTTCTTCGGTGTGTCCGGCCGCAGAGTGCCAGATCTGGTCGCGTCTCGTCAACTGGCCGCCTACAATGTTGTCACCCCGGGACGGTTGCGCACGGACTGGGTCGAGGCCAGGGACTGCGCCGTGGGGCCGCAGAGCGAGCTGGGGGCCTCGGCCTGCTCTCTGGATGCTCACTGATGCCTGGCGAGCCGGCCGATGCGCCCCTTGGGGCGTCAATGGCTGGACTCGGTGTGGCCTAGGCGGGGTTGCTGCAGGGCGCGGCGACTGGCCCCGAAAATGGACCGAGCGAGCACTGCGATCCTCGTTAGGATCCGTTTGGGGCGTAAAAGAAGTCTCGGTGAACGGCTCACCAGTGGCCCGACGAGGGGCGTAGTTGCAAGTCGTTCGTCTTCTTCTTTCGTGCATCCTGCGTTATACCCCGCATGCGTCGCCCCACCACCCCCACCCCCCTCCCCCCTTGGCCACCTCCCCGGCACAAAGAGCGCAAACTTACCCGTTACAGCGGTCAAGCCCGACCTTCCCTACGTGATTCTGACCAAGCTCGTGATCGCCTCGTCCCCCCGCAAGATGCTCACCCTCAATCAAGTGAGTTGCTCCTGCGGGCGGCAAGCTGACTCTAGATCTACCAGGCGATGGAAGAGCGTTGGCCCTACTTCCGCGTGCTCGGACAGACCTTCCGCGTAAGCTTTCCGGGCTACTCGTAGCTGATGGCAGAACTCGATCAGACACAACTTGTCCATGAACCCGGCGTTCGTCAACGTCGAGCGCCCCGTCACCGAGGGAGGCGTGGGCACAGGCAAGGGTGGCTACTGGCGTGTATCCGAGGACGTGAGTTTCTGCTGCCGGGGCTTCAACTGACGGTCAGAAAACGACCTCTCACCGCGGCCGCGCGAAGAAGCCCCGCACCGGTCGTGGGAATGGAAGGCGGTTTGAGAACGGTGGAGCAGAGTTTGCGCAGCAGGAGTACTACCCCGAGCACCAGCACCAGCAGTATCAGTACACTCATCAGCCTCCTCTGCTTGCACCTCGTCCTGCCCCAGCGCACGCACTGCAAGACCTTGCGCAGCGCACGCCGCCGATGCCTCACAGCTATACCACCTATCCTGCCCAGCAGGATGAGCAGCCTAAGCGCAGCACGAAGAAGACTCCCAAGCCGCGCCGCCAGCGTAAGAGTGATGAGTCCATCCCCTCGCTGGTGCCTCCCTCGCCGGCAATGGCTGCCCCCTCGCTGCCCGCTACTCGTACGCCCGTCTCGGCTACTTCCGCTCCTGAGCCGTCGATCAACAGCTCGCCGATGACTGCACCAGTGTCGCATGCGGCGCCCGCCAGCTCCCTCTCCGCCACTCCTGTACCTCAAGCGCCGACCTGGTCACCCCTCCGCCCGAGTTACGCCTCCTACCCTGGGCTTACGCTCCAGCGCGCCGAGAGCTTCGTGCGTGGCTCAGCCGATTGGCCTCCGAAGCTGCCTACGCCCCCCAGCGAGCGCGGTGGCGTCCTTGGTCCCTCGCCTCTCGAGGTGTTCGCAAGCACCGCACTCGAGGAGGAGAAGTACTCGAGGAGGGGTCTCCCCGGCATTGCGACGCTTCTCGCCCCCCTCAGTCCCGAGAGTCCCAGTGTGACTCCGCCGCAGCTTCTCAACTAATCACGGGTCAAAAAACTCCATCTGCCTTCACTAATTCATTCGCCACCAACCAGGACCACCACACCGACCCACCTCAAGGCGTAAACTTTACGCTTCTGGAAATGACAAAACGGCCGAAGCATGGCCTGTGCATATCACCCCGCACACACACAAAACTAAACATACACGCCTCAGCAAGCTTTGGGACTCTCGGTTGTACATGCGATCATACTGTGCTCTATAATGCATTCTCTGGATACTGCGTGAGCCCCGCTGACACCATGCACCGACCTTGAAGATGAGGGGAATGCGGACTGACGATGTCCCGAGCACGTGTAACATCACATGGGCCATCGAAGCTAAAGCCAAAAGTGCTCAGACAAGGTTCGAATTGCATCATGTGCTCGTTAGTACGCCGAGACTTCCGAACAAAGGACGCGTGCGCGTCGCTATCTCGGTATCATGTGAACAGCACCGCCTTGATTGCACTCTAATACCAGCGGATCAACTTGGCAAGGCCAAGAAATCTAGCAGCATTGACACCAAAGCACGGAGCTGTGCCGAGTCAGATGCTAGCGGAGTACACCGGCGATGTCGCCGAGGCTGTCTCGGCACCATGTGCTCCGCTACTTGGGTACTGATGCATATAACCTGCCAGGTCTTACGTCCGGACCCCCGACTCTCAACGGCGACAATGTACGTACTAATCGTCCTCACTATCCTTACGACCTTGTCGGTAGCCGCCTCAGAGACGTCGGGAGGAGTGACACTCCCTCTGCGTCGACACGCCCGCCCCCGCCCCCAAACCCTCTCATCCCACCATGCACTCCTCGAAGCACACATCCGCACCTCCCACGGCCTTGAGCGGCGTCACCTCGAGTCCGAACTGGAGAGCTATCTATCTCGCTCCTCCTCCACCCTGGCTAAGCGCAACGGCACGACGAGCACCGACGCCAAGAACTGGGGTTACGTCTACACCGTCCCCGTGTCCCTCGGTACGCGGCCCCAGCTCCACGAAGTCATCTTCGATACGGGCTCCGACGCGCTGTGGGTCTGGGGCGCGCCGCCTTTCTGCAATACTAGCGCATGTACGGCTGTGCCGGGTTACGACGCCAGCAAGAGCAGTACGACGGCGAAGGCGGAGTACGAGCGAGAACTGAGCGTGGCGTATTCGGATGCGAGTGAGGCAGAGGGCGAGTTTGTGCGCGATGTGGTTGGCATCGGCTCAATCTCGTTCCCGTATGATTTTGGTGAGTCCCCCTCCTCTCCCTTCCCCATCCAGAGTGGGTACTAACGCCCAGGTCTCGCCAAGACGGCCAACATGCAATACTGGGTCAACACGACCACGGTAGGGATCATGGGTGCGCAAAGAGTAGCCGTGAAGAACGGGGACAAGCCGTGGGAGGTCGTCACGGACGAGAAGGCCGAGGTATGGTGGGTCGAGGGATGGAAGAAGGGCCATCTTGCCGAGAATCTGATCGGTGTCGAGATGTCCAACCCGGATCACGACGGCCTCGAAGTTCAGAGGAACCACAGCAGTCCCGGTGGAAAGCTGACTATTGGGTACGTCCCTTTCTCTGCAACTTGAGATAGCCTCGCTTCGCTCGGACACGCTGACATCCAGCGGAGTCGACAAGGCAGCCTTCGAGGGCGAGCTGCACTGGGTCCCCGTCGTGCCCTGGTCGCCGCAGCAGTGGAAAGTCAAGCTGGACGGCGTCGCTGGCCCGAACGGTACAGTCCACAAGCTGGAGAACTGCACAACCCTCATCGATACGGGGAACACGAACGTCATCCTGCCACAGGTCGTGCTCGACCCTGCCATTCTGTCCATCCCGGGGGCCAAGCACGTAGCGAACGGGAAGAAGTACGGTATTCCCTGCAACACGACTGAGTCCATCTCGCTCGTGTATGGAGGGAAGCCGTTCAGACTGGAGCCGAGCAAGTTCCTCGGCAAGAAGTTGACGGGAGTGGGCGTGGAGGGACTGTGTCTTGCCAAGATTGACCCTAATCCCGAGGTCCAGACTGCTGGGGTTGTGGGCGAGTGGTTCTTCCATAATGTTTATCATGCTTATCGGATTGAACCTGCTGCGGTCGGGTTTGCACATTATAAGCCGGGCCACTGAGTGACTGTGGCTCACTGTTGGGATGCATGGTCGGTATGCAATGCACCAAGAGATACTCTACCTCTGCACAGACAAGCGGAGATGGACCTCTGTCCAGGAGGGGGGGGGCAAAGATATCCATGGGGTCGTCGACGCGCATCGTGCTCTTGAGGCGGGTGGCCAAGTTGGACACGACGGCGGAGACGAGACCAATGAGCGCGGCGGCGGGAGCGCCAACGAACCCGGCAGCGGGGGTGATGGCGACGAGACCGGCAATGGCACCGGTACAGAATCCGACCATGGACCACTTGTGCTCAAGAAGATGGAGCCGGTCACCATCGTCTTCACGTCAGCCGTCTCACCGTCAGCCGCCGACTTCACCATCTATCGGTTAACTTTACATCTTTAAGATGTCATTATAGAGCTGCTGCATGAGAAGAGTACTTTATGGTCCATCTGCGACCTCTCACGAGCGAGTACGAAGGCACTGATGATTTTCCGTATTTCTGCTAATTAGTGTAAAGAAAATGGTGCTTGGCTTATGCTGCCGGGCGGCATTGTGCCCGTCAAGAAATGACATTGCTGCATTGGCCAAGCGGTACGGCGTCCGTTTCCTACTTAAGGAGTAAGCGGAAGATCGCGGGTTCGACCCCCGCATGCGGTTTTCATTCCTGAGCTTCCCGAGAGCGACGACGGATACTCAATTTTTTCGCATTTTGCCTTCCCCAAGCGTTACGATGAACATCCTCGTGCCACAAGCATGCTCTGCTGGAGATCATGGAAGTTATGTGTCTTCGCAGCTGGTTCCGATTGTGAGACATATGGCTCTCTGTGAGTTGCACGCGGAGTCGTCTTTTGTGTGTAGGTGTCAGGGTGGAGGGTGGCGAAGGCACGGCCTGTCACGTGCCGACCAGCTTTCGAAAAGTCGGGCTGGCTGTCACCTCTGCAACATCAACAACAATGAGCGTGGACGCGGTGCGGAACGGCGACGCGCACGATGCGGCCCCCGAGCTGCCCGAGCCCGAGGTTTTGCCCGTGCGCACGATGCTGGAGGAGTTCGACGTGAACGTCCTCGCGCCGCTCGTACGGTGTTCGAAGCGTGAGTCTCCGCCGGGCGAATACAGTCGCGGCGCTAGGCGCTCGCATCGAAGCTGTCTGCGGTCCCATCCAACATAGCTGACATCAGTGCCCTTCCGCCACCTGACATCGCTGTACGAGACGCATGTGACGCACACGCCGATGATCCTGGCCGAGGAGTTCTCCCGCGCGCAAACAGCACGCATCTCGGACTTCTCGACGAGCGCAAACGAGCGCGGCGTGTTCTGGATGGACCCCTCGGTTCCCTCGACATCGCTCCTCGACTTACCCGAACCGATCCCGACCGACCCCTCACCGTCGCTTCTCTCGCCCCTTCCCCCACAGCAGTCGCGCTACGTTCCGCGCAAGAGCAACCGCCTCCCCGCAGGCCAGCCGGGGCGGGACAGCCGGTTAGTGCGCGGTGCGCTCGTCGCGCAGCTCGCGAGCCCGAATGGCGCCTCGCTGGCGGACGCTACAGAGCTGCTGTCGCCGTACGTCGACGGTGTGGACCTGAACTGCGGCTGTCCGCAGCAGTGGGCCTTCAAGGAGGGCATTGGGTGTGCGTTGCTGCGGAAGCCGGAGCTCGTCGCCGACATGGTGCGCGCCGTGCACGGCCGGATGGGGTGGGCGTTCCCCATCAGCGTCAAGATCCGCATCGACCCCGAGCTGGAGCGCACACACACGCTTGTCCGGAACGCCATCGCTGCTGGCGCGAGCTATGTCACGATCCACGGACGGACGCGCCACCAGGCGTCCACCGAGGACGTCAGCCTCGCCGGCATCCGCTTCGCGGTCGAGTGTGCCCGTGGCGAGGTGCCTGCTGTCGGCAACGGGGATATCTGGAGCCTGGGGGATGCGCACACGATGCGCGCCAAGACGGGCGTGAAGGGCGTCATGGCCGCGAGAGGGCTGTTGGCCAACCCCGCCCTGTTTGCGGGATACGAGCGCACCCCGAGCCACGCCGTTGCCAACTTTGTCAACCTCGCCACCGACTATGGTCTCATCTACTCGCTTTATCACCGCCATGTCGCGTACATGCTCGAGGAGAGGTTTAGCAAGCCGGAAAAGGTGTGGTTCAACTCGCTCGGGAGCACGGTCCAGGTCGTCGAGTATCTCCAGAACCGGGGGCTGGACTTTGCCCAGCAGCGCGAGATCAACGACGCCGTGATGGGGTACAGGCTCTGAGGCGGGGCATAGATTACTAGAGCTAGCTGGTCTGACGTTGTAGCCTTCAGGGATGGATGTGTATACTAGTCGAGGGCGCCGGGTCATGTGTGCACTCGGTATGGTGGCGACTGACTTTCTTGCCATGGCAACTCTCAACTCGCGACGATGTCAGTGCAAAAAAGTATAGCTGAGAACAAATTGGCTGAAAATGCATGTACAAAGTTGTGTATACAAAGATGATGAGAAAAAATGACCAAGACAATGTCGGTTTATACGGGAGGGATTAGGGTGGTCTACTGTTGTGGCTGTTTAGACACAATCCTTTTTACTTGCTTTCTGCTGCTTCTACACTTTCTAAGCTTCTAACATGGGGCGCCTCGCTGGCCCTCACGTTGCTGGAAACACATCTCGCGCTGCCCGCTCGAGCTCGAGCTTGAGCTCAATGGCGATCGGCGACATCCTTCTCGTCAATCGGCTTGTCGAGGCTCGTGGCCGTCGAGGACGTCGGCGTGCCCTCGAGCTTCTCCTGCTGGAAACGGACCTGGCCCTCGCCATGGGCCTCGTTGATGGGCTCCATGGGCTCAATGTCGCCGGTACGCGTGCGGGAGCGGCTGCGGTCGTGGCGCGGGTGAGGGGACAGACCGCGTCCGCGCTCGACGTCCTCCTGGCTCATGCTCCGACGATAGGGAGCAGGGGTCTGGTTGAACTGCGGCGTGAAAGTACGCCACATGCGCATATCGGGCTCCTCGAGGTCGCGGCGGAAGAAGGCATAGTCGGCAATGTACTCGTCGTGATCAGCCTCGTCCATGCCGATGATCTGCGCCTCCTCGGACGCGCGGAACTTGCATCCAGGGATCAGGTTGATGACAAACATGATCGCAATGGTCACGACAAAGGTCCAGCCCGCGCCGACGGCGACCCAAGCAACCTGCTTGCCCAGCTGGATCCAGTGTCCGTTCAGCCATCCGCCAGGGATCTCGGTGAATCCGTCGTTAGCGGCCACGGAGGACTGGGCAAAGATGCCGGTCATGAGACAGCCGACGACGCCGGCGAGGGCGTGCACGGCAAAGATATCCATGGGGTCGTCGACGCGCATCGTGCTCTTGAGGCGGGTGGCCAAGTTGGACACGACGGCGGAGACGAGACCAATGAGCGCGGCGGCGGGAGCGCCAACGAACCCGGCAGCGGGGGTGATGGCGACGAGACCGGCAATGGCACCGGTACAGAATCCGACCATGGACCACTTGTGCTCGAGACGGAAGTCCATGATCATCCAAGTGATGGCGCCAACGGAGCCGGCGAGGTTGGTGCAGAAGATGCTCATCGCGGCCTTCAGGTTGGCGGCGTAGCAGGATCCACCGTTGAAGCCCATCCATCCGAACCAGAGCAAGACGGTGCCGAGCGTGACGGACGAAACGTTCGAGGGCTTGAAGAGCACACGTTCAGTGCCGTAGCCGCGGCGCTTGCCGATGAAGTAAGAGTAGGCGAGGCCGCCGACACCAGAGGCGATCTCCACGGGAACACCGCCGGCATAGTCGAGGACTCCCCACTTGGCGGCCCAGCCGTTCGAGGACCAGATCCAGTGAGCGAGGAAGTCGTACACGAGCGTCGTCCAGCAGAAAATGAAGAGGAGGGCGGGAAGCGTGCGCGAGCGCTCAGCGGCGGCGCCGAGAAGAACTGCCGGCACGAGACAGGCACTGCAAGTGTCAGTTTTGATAACGTGCGATAAGGAGGTGCGTGACAGCAAAGAGCCACTTTATGCGGCTCAGGCACGACACACTTGAGCGGCCTCGGATCCAAATTTCTACTCACAACATGAGCTGATAAGTGGCCAGGACGATGCGGGGGAGACGGCCACCAGACTCTGGCGTCGGCTCCTCGAGGACGCCGCGCATGCCGACGTGGCGTCCGTCGCCGAAGAATGAGCCGCCAGTCTCAGAGAAGACGAGGGAGAAGCCGATGAAGAACCACTGGAAGGAGACGACGGCGAGGGACGCCATGGAGAGGAAGAGAAGCTGCAGCGCATTCTTGCGCCGCGCCAGCCCCGAGTACAGGTACCCGAGGCCGGGGATCATGAAGATGATGAGCACGGTGCATGTGAGCACCCAGGCGATGTCGCCGGCCGAGTAGATGGCCGTCTCGCCGTCCTTTGTCGTCGCGACAATGTCCGTGCCGAGCTTATCAAAGCTGTACGTCCCGTCCGCGTTGGGAGTGAGGATCCCGTAGGTGACGTTGACCATCGGGGACGGCTAGGGAGAGTAGTGGCGGTGTTCTGAGTCGGGATAGGGGATAGGGAGATAGGAGAAGTGTGTTGAGATAGAGAGTGTGTGGGTCGTGTGGGGGGTGCTGATGCCAAGTCGGAGAGTCGAGATATAGAAGATAGATAGCTGAAAGTGACAAAGGCTGTATCAATCTGTAGGCGGTAAATCAGAAGCTGGGCGGGCGGGAGAAGAAGATCGACAATCTAAGGTTCTTGTCGGCGGCCCGGTGGCGTCAATAGCACGAAGGTAGGTGTGAGAAGAAATGCGGGGTATGCGGGTCGCTGTTCTTGCTGAGAGAGGAGATATAAGAGAAGAACGAGGACAACGATCGATGATCGTAAAACATGCATGTCGGTACGCACGCCAGCACGCCAGATCTGATCGCGCGCCCTGCCCCGCATCGCGGCGACACGGAAGCCGGAAACGGCCAGGCAAGGACTTAATCGGCGACCTGGGTAGTGCTGGCTGCGAATCTGGCTAGGCGGGTAAGGGTGTGCGTGTGCGCTGGGCGATGGCGGGTGGCCAACGGCTCAGCGTACTGATAACGCTAAGTCGGACCCTTGGCACTCGTTCAGCCCCGGATAGTTGATGGTCGCTTACGGCTCGATTGGACAAATGAGAGCGGGGCTGGAGCGAGATCCACCTGCTTGACCCTGGGTCGCCCTCCCCCGCACGAGCGGCAGTTTTGCATAGATAGCGGTCAGTAGTGCGTGTAGTGCGTGGGCAGGGGCTGCGGCTGGCTGGGCCGTGTCTGCCCGTCGATCTCCGTACGGGCTGCAGGCGGGCGACGCCATCGAGTGGCCGACCCTACGCGCCCTTCCGTGGAGTGCGGAGATTCTTGCGTCCGAAAGGCAGCGAATGAGTGCTCGCATAGGGAATCAGTCCACGCGCGCTGTGAATGGACGATCTGGAGGGAGGGGGCGACGATTGCCCTGGAGAAGTGGGGCATGTGGATGACTGCGGGTGGATAAGTGTCCCCTTGGCCCTTGCAGTGAGGATTTTCTTCGAGTAAGAGTGATTGTTATCTCCCCCGCATCGCCGGCGCATGATTGGCCGACGGAGCCATCCACGGTGCAATCGGCTGCACGGCCCTCGTGCGGGCCTGGAATCGAGAGATATGCACTTCTCCTGGCATCTGATTGGCCAATCCGGTCTGTTGGTTTACAACCTCCACCCGTCACGTGCAGATCCGCCCTTGTCCTCTCTGGTCGCTGACAGGGGCTGCGCAGGGCATGCAGGGCATGCAGGGCACGCAGGGCACGCAGGGTGAGCGATAGATACGGAACTCGCTGGTATCGACCATTCCGCGATACTCATCCTCACTGGTCGGTCAGTGCGTATCCGTATTCCCCTGTATGCGGCACTCGGCACACCTGGGCTCGTCGGTCACCCGTATTTCGGCCTTCGCCGGTCGCTGATAAGGATCCATCGTCTGACGTATCCCAAACACGGAACCCCGCCCAGCCTGCCCAGCGCCCAGCAACCCCTTATCGCGGGTGATGGCGAGTGAAGCAGTCGATATCCTGCCAAGAATCACCACGCCTATATTACGACCCGAGCGGCGGTCCATGCTGCATCCCTGTTCCCCTGTCCTTCTCGAATACTCGTCTGTTCACTCGCCCAGCTGACATGCCGAGACATGCGGCATCTGAAGCTCGCCACTGCCGTGTGGTGGGCAGCTGATTACTGATTACTGACCGTTTCGTGATTGCGTGAAGGGAGTGAGGCAACGGGTGAAGCAAGAACTCAAAATGTGCCGAGCACTGATACAAGCGTCAGCCACTGTTTCACTGACGGCGTGGCAGGGTGTTCCACGCAACATGGCCCCGCACAGACGGCAGATTGGTAAGATTGGCATGATGGTATGGTGGGCAACACAGAGATAAGGCCGCCTACTGAACTCTTGATCTCACAGTGGACGGTTGGGGGTTATAGCCGAGAAAATGAGCCCGATTACCAGATTAGGGCGAAATATATCGCGCGCGAGGCATTCTTTCGACTTTCGACTGATGACGAGCGGACACTCACTGCGGCCCGGGTTGAGCCTTGTGGCCCTATGTCCACTCTGGAAATTGGTAGCAGATCGGCTTCCATCAGAAGCGAATCTGACCAACTACGGCCGCCTGCCACCTCCGGTCCACGGCACATCGTACGTCGCACGGAACAGTATTGTCCTAGAAGTATGCATGCAGCAGTATACAACGCGGCCTTGCCCTGTGTGGGGCATGTGGGGCCATCAGTCTAACATTACAACGGGTGCGCTAACGGCGCTAAAGGTCCTAAAGTTTGGAACGACTGCCGGTGCCCGAGCAGCCCGAGTAGGCCGAGTGCCGGGGCCCAATAACCGGTATAGGTGTCGCAGGCGTCGGCGCGTACGGCGCGTCACCAGCGCCGGCTGCGTCGCGTGCACACTCGACGACTGTCGCTAAAGCGGACGTGCCGGCGTCAACGGCACTGGGACGCTGGCGGCCCCGTGGCCGCTCCCGTTTTGCGGGCTCGTGGTTCTCGGCAGCACGCTTCTCGGCACCTTCGCGCGCCAGACTCGCTTCGTGAGTAGCCTTGAGGTTATCGAGCACCAGGTCCAAGACGTAGGCACTCGTCTTTGGTTCAGCATTGGGTCGCGGTTGCGGCGGCAACGGAGGCGGCGTGAGCTTCGCTCCACTGTCCTCTGTACCGGCCAGATCGAAAGATCGCGGCGACCGAGACACTCGCGGCACACGCGGCGTATCGGGCGTCCTGGGCGTGCGCCCCCTTTCCTCGTCTGTACGCGGGACGTGCGCAGGTAGCGACTCGCGCCGCTTCGGCCGGGAACGCGGCGTGCGCACCATTAGCACTTGCGGTGCGTGCAGTAGGCTCGCGTCGGGGCTTGGTTGGAGGACGGGAGTCATCCGCTTGTAGCTCGTCGTGTTCGGGGGAGGGAGAGCGAAAGTGTCGCCGGAGGGTTGGGTTAGGAGGATGGTTATGGGGCTCATGGGCCAGCGGCGAGCGCTCGGATGGTAAAGATGAGAGTTTCTTTTCCTGTGCTCTGAGTCGAGGAGAAAGCCGGGAGTGTGAAGTTGCGGTGAGGTGATGCAAGCTTGACAGCAAGAGTTCAAGCCGTTGATGTAAGTGTTGCGTGTGAGTAGGGTTGATGGTGGTGAAACTTTGCCGCTAGCTATATGAGCGTTCGCGTCGGCTTGCCCGCCGCCGTGTTGCCGTGTGTGCACGCGTTGATGCTTCCGGAGCTAGTGACGAAGCTACACTGGGAAGGCTAGTTGCGGTAAATTTCTGATGGTGAGAACACACACTATGCACACACTTGCACACTACTCGCATCTTTCTCCGTTCAGCCTGGCCTGCCTTTCACCGGCCTTTGCAGGCGTCAGCCACGGCAGATCGGACCATCACTCTGGCTAAGACTGAGACGCACATGCCCTCTTGCCATCGTCAGCGCCTGACACCGGCGGGCTCGAGCAGCGGCGTCGTGTGTGAGCCGCCCAATCTAGTGTTCCAGCGAACTGCCTCTGCATTTGACTGGAGGGCACTGCAACTGTTACCCAGATCGAACGAGGACGAAGATGCACGCATGCAACGCGGGCAAGGGATTGAACACATGCACGCAGAAGCCATTGAGACACGACGGTTGACTCGAACCGGCCGTTGCCGGATTGCCGTAGGTGACGTTGGGTGGCGAATCACGTGACGTCGGTGACGCTCACGCAAGCGGGTCATCGACCCACCGCTTTGAGCTCGCGCTCGCCTCTCAGTCGGCAACAGCACACAACTAGCAATAGCGACGGACGATGCGCACGTCTCTGTTCCTTCTTCTCTCGACGCTGGCGGCGGCGGCGTCAATCCCGCAACAAGTCCCGTTTTCCGATGACTCCGTGACCAGCGATACCAAGCCCATTCCGAACCCCCGCCCGCTCGTGATCTGGCACGGCCTCGGCGACACGGCCCACTCAGACGGCATTGACGAGTTCATCGGCATTGTGCGCACGCGATACCCCGGCATTTACGTGCACAGTATTGTCGCGCCGCTGAACTCGGGCCCGAGCGAGGAGCAGCGTGCCGGCTGGTGGGGCAAGGCCGAGCGGCTGGCTGAGGACCAGTGCGCCGAGCTCGAGTCGATTCCGGAGCTGCAGAATGGGTACGATGCCATGGGATTCTCTCAGGGCGGGCTGTTTCTGAGGTACATCGCGCAGTACTGTGAACACGGCGATCGTATGCGCAACCTCATCACTGTGAGTACATTTCACCCCTCTGCCTGCTCAGCTGTTCAGCCCTTCCTGTCGAAGCTGACTATCAGTTCGGCACACCGCACTACGGCATCAACGCGCTCATACCCTGTCCCGACCCACCGACACTCATGTGCAAGCTGGCGTACAACGCCGCCCGGGCGGGAGTGTATACCGCGTTCGCGCAGCGCCGTCTGATCCAAGCCCAGTACTACCGCGACGTGGACCGTCTGGACGAGTTCCTGACGCTGAACACATTCCTGCGCGACCTGAACGCAGAGGGGATTCTGGACGACGACGGCGAGCCAACAGGCAGGGAACACGGCGGCCGCGGCCTCGACAAGCTCGAGAACCTTATCGCCGTCAACTTCCTGAACGACACGACCGTCTTCCCGGCCAGGAGCTCGCAGTGGGCCACCCTGGCGCCCGAGGAGGAGGACCCCGACGCCGAGGCGAAGACGCTAGAGGACGTCGGGACTATGGACGTGCTGGAGAAACGCCGTGTGATTCTTCTGAAGGATCAGCCGCTTTATGAGCAGGACTGGATCGGGCTCAAGACGCTCGACAAGAAGAAGAGACTCCACCTCGTCGACTGCGAGGGGCAGCACATGCAGCTCGGAGGCGAGGGGGGATGTGCTGACAAACTGCTCGACAAGTGGGTCGGATGGGACCAGAAGGAGAAGCAGTGAGCGCCTGGGGCGTACGCCTCCCAGATCAGAGTAGAGTGAAGGCGAAGAAACACTATGTGTAGGTTGTAAAATGTCAGAAGTCATGCCTAAGCACAGTGAGCAGGACCGAAATAGGAGACGGAGCTCGGCTCAAGAGGGACAGCCATGAGCTGCCAAATGACGCCGCTCTCCTCTCGGCAAACTATTCCTGGACCGCTGACAATGCCGAGCACTGATGCAGCGGCGGTCCTCGCCGCACGTCGATCGATCGTGGAATCGGACCATAGGCTGAGAGAATCCGAAACGTAGCCGGAACGACTGGTAGAGGGAGTCGAGATCGCGAAACGCACCCCACTTTCCCTCAGTGCAGTGTTGCAGTGCTTGCCCACGACACTTCTCCTCTGCAACGTGCATCACATGTCAAACTCTACAGTTTCCAAACGGTGAAAAGGAGCAACGTTTTTGCTTGCATCGCATCACGTGCCTCTCACACTGTGAGGGAGTCGTGCATGTGCTGATAGTGGCGACGTCTCAAAGTCGTGAAGGCGGAGGAGTAAGGCCGCAGGTACAGACTGCCTCGCGATCGAGACCTCGCCAATCTGGCATCTGACAGCTGTAGTAAGATGCAATCACGCGTGCTGCTCGTTGGGCGATCGGACTCTCCAAGTCCGGGGCGGCCCGACCAGATCTGCCAGACGACAGCGCAAAGCGTCTCGCAGAGCGGCCCACAGCTCAGCTTGTCCGCAGCCCATACCCTTCACAGACATGTGGACATGCAGCATGCAAATATGCAAAGGAGCATGGGCACACGCGTCCGCGATCGTGCGTCGGATGTTAATGTCCATCTTTGGAAATGTACACGGCCGATCTAGGAATAAATAGTAACGCGCAGATCAGATTTGGAACATGGCTGCTTGTGCCACAGCGCACGGCGGTCCGCCGTCCCTCCCGTGCGCAGGACATCGGTGACAGCTCCAAACATAGACTCCGTGCGTGGGCCGCAGTACGAGCATTTCGAGTGGAGCGCTGCGGAGCGGAAGAGTAAGGACGTGAGGAATGAGGTCCTTGACGTTGACACCACGTACCACGAGGTGCAGGCGGCAAAATGGGTCGACTCTCTGATCAGCAACGACGATGCAACACACGAGCAACCGTGTGCCTTCGTGTCTGTGTACTCGTGCGTACGAAGTGGTGAAGCCGACGAGCGGCTGTCACCGCGTAACGGGCAGGAGACCATTCGATCGAGGGGCCGAGGGGCCAGACCATCTGGACCGAGCCCACATGCACAGCACGCAGCGTCACCACCACCCCAAACTCCGGTATCACCTCCAGGCCTTCCAGGGTCGGTTGTTTCCGCTGACCCCGATTTTGAGACGGCCCTCCTTGATCCCCCTCAACATGTCATGAACCCCTGCGGGCCCTGCGGCAGTGTGCTTTTGGCCCTGTCGCTGGCGCAAACTGTGGCCTATGAACGATAGCGGTAGTGCACATTCGGATACTCGTCGCTCACTACGTCTCCTGCCAAGATGGAAGATGAAGGTGACGATCTCAGTGACTTGGTAACAACGAAAACTTCAGGGCGGGCAGATCAGAGGCTTTACTGGCCATCTTGGCCGTTCCTTTGGGAGCAACCTCATGGCCGCGAGCAACGACTCCTAAACAGACCGAGTTGCAAGTTGCACAGTCGTGCAGCGCGTGCAGTCAGTCACCCCTGCCTCCGTTGCCCGCCGCCACACAGACACCCCTCGCCGCAGCGTAGGCCGAGGCCCGACTGGAGGCGCACTCTGGCTCCACCCCGTGTACCGTGTGTAGGACCTCAGCGCTGCGGCAGCCTGCTGCGTGCCGACGCCCTCGATCTTCTCGATCTCCATATCTCCATATCTCCATGTGAGCATGTGAGATGTGGTGCCGGACGCGTCCAAAGGTGTGGCCAGTGCTGAAAATAGGGTTCCCGGCCCTGACCTGGGCCCTGAGAGGGATGAGGGGGTGCTGACGCGCTTCCACCATACTGCAGCGCTTAGAAACGAGGATCCGACATGGCGATTCACCCTGTTCTGCGCCCGTCGTTGCGCCCGATATGCGCCCTTGCACAGACACCTTGAGCTGAGACCGTCTCTCGCAGTCTTTGGATGTGGAACCAGGCCTCGATCTCGAGCGCGGTGGAGTGGTGGCCGCGATCCAGTGCGGCGCAGCGCTCAAGGTGACAAGAAACAATACACGGTCTGTCATATCCAGGGTCCAATCTCAGGGTTTACAGGGCCTGGAAGGCACATCGAGTACCAGATTCCTGCGAATCCCCCCTGTGACCAGTGCATCGCAGCTCATCCACTGTGCTAAAGTGGGATCATCCTCCCTCGCGTCGTCAGAATCAAGGTTCACCCTTCCCGGTCGCAACCTGGCGAGGCGCAGCCAGACCCACATCCTATATACCTCGTCGCGCTGCACGTTCTTCCTCCTTTCGCTCATCCCTCACACTCACCCCAGCGACGCACTTGTATCTTTCCATCTTTGAACAGTCCCGGCCGGTCCTCGCCTGTTCGCACACTCTCCTTCCTATCGCTCACTCGCTCACTCTCTCTCTCTCGTCACGACATCGTCCTAGACCAAGCGCTCCGCAGCACTTGACCTACACTCCTTTTTGTACCAACACAACTCAAACTCAACACATAAACGACAATGCGTCTCGCTCTCGTCGCCACGACCCTTTTCGCGGCTCTGCCCGCCCTCGCCGCGTCCCAGAACGCTGACGGCGCCGTCGCCCGCGGCATGGGCCACACCGTCAACTCGCGCCGTGCCGCGCACCGCGCCTTCGCCCGCCGCGGAGACGACGGCGAGCGCCGCGGCCCCAACGGCAAGAAGTGCCGCCCCAAGAAGGGCAAGGGCTCTCACGGGGCCCATGCCGGCGGCAACGGCCTGCTGCCGGCGGTGACCAGAACCAGAACTGGATCAACACCGACGCCAAGGACGGCCAGTCCTCTGCCTCGTCTGCCTCTGGCTCCGCTTCGGCTTCTGCTTCTGGTGCCTCGGCTTCTGCCACCAGCTCCTCCGTCGGGAACGAGTTCTACCAGTCCGAGCCTAGCTCTTCCGCTGCTTCCTCGGCCTCGTCCTCCGTCGCTCCTTCCTCGGGTGCGCCTTCCGCTTCCGCCTCGTCTGAGGGTGCCGCCCCTTCGTCTGAGGGCGCCGCCTCCTCGTCCGCGGCCGCTACCTCTACTTCGGAGTCTTCTGCCGCTCCTTCGCCCTCCGCCTCTTCCGGCGGCAACAACAACTCCGGCGGTGGCGGCAGCAGCGGCGACCTGTCGTGGCTGAACGGCGCTGACCCCAACGTCGGCGAGCAGGGTGAGGCCTCCTTCTACGACGTTGCCGGCGGCAACACCTACTGCGGCGGTCACTTCAGTAACGATGACGCGGTCGTCGCGCTCTCGCAGAGCTACTGGAACCAGATCACCGGCGGCGGCTACAGCACTGGTCCCCCCTGTGGCAAGAAGATCTCGATCACCTGGAACGGCATCACCAAGGAGTGCACCGTCCAGGACATGTGCCCCGAGTGCCCCCCCAACAAGCTTGACCTTGCCAGGGGCTTCTGGAAGAGCTTCACCGGCGGCGACGAGAGCCTCGGCATCCTTGGTCTTCAGGACAAGCCCGAGAACGGCGGTCTGCAGTGGAACTGGCTCTAAGCTCCTCTCCTTCGCCACATTCAAAACACGTCTCATGACATCTATACCAAATACACTTCGATACGGGTTTGGACTGGTTCCGCCTTCATGTGACATGATTCATGACCACTTTGCTGCAGCTTCCACTGACAACAAACTGGAAGCACTACTCGGTGCCTCACAGACAGGTCCATTACGTTAGAAGGCTTCGCTCATGTGGCTGAGGTCATCGCCGCGCACCTACGCTGACAGGCTTCACAGCAGTTAGGCGACGTTCTCAGCTCCGCTTGCCGAATCTCTCCCGTGTTCAAGCGCACGTAGTACATGCGGGGCCTCAGTGCAACAGTCAAACCCCACAGTCTGTCTCGGTGCGGCCGTCAGTCCACATGTGTTAAGAGTGCGGGGCGCAGCGTAACTCGGACCCACGGGGCTCGAAAGTCCACTCCGGCCACCTTGCGCCGAGGACGGAGCATCGTGCGGGAAACACGGGCAGGCGTGCCTTGCCCATTAAGAGATGCTGATTGCTAAGATATCGTTCGCGTACCGGCCTGCAACCACATCACGGCCTGCGAGAGCTCGGCCGGTTAGGCCGACCACACCGGCGAGGCACAGGCACACTCACCTGTCGCAGAGACGAGGTTTCCCACGGTGCGATGGATTGCAGAGAATCACCATACTGCAGCCCACAAGCTCACCAGAGTTATGCATGACAAGTTCCGGCACAGCGGTATCTGCGGATCTACGCTGCGCAGATCATGACATTCTCGGCAATACCACAAAGTATCGAGCTTCGTTCGAAATGAACAGCAAGCACGAGCCGAAAGCGTACCGTCCTGTACACCGTACGGTGATCCGGTGAGGAGAGATGCAGAATAACGGGCTTATCTCCGCGGCCCGTTGCGCCGTCGATTCAGGGTTTCCCACCCATCACACCTCCTCGCTGTGCTTTAACCGTGCTCATTGCCGCCCACGCCTGACAGGCACGCACCTTAGGCCAATGAAACCGCCCAGATTCCAGCGGTCTGCACGAGCTCGCCGCAGAGTCCGCGGAGGCCTGCGGAGTATCTTCGTTTTTGTTGGGCAGCTGACATCTTCGCCGGGCCTGGCCCACCAAACCTCCTCAACGTGCTGCAGACATGTGCGTGGATCAGCGAGGACGAGAAGCGCAGGTGGGCTTGGCTTTGCAACGCTAGGGTAAACCGACCCAGGGGGGCGTGCGGGGCCTGCGGATGAGTCGTTGACAAAGCTGCACAAGGCTGCATCCCGTTGGCGGACCTCATGACTCAACGCGGGGATCATCACGAACACACCTTTGATACTTAAGAACTGGCGGCGCGCACAGAGTGGTCTTAGTCCCCACCTGTCAGCCCCGCTACGGCCCCGCATCTGACACTCACATCTCACATTTGGTTGACCTCATCACACCTCGACTTGGCTCGACCTGACATCGACTTGAGATCACTTGACTCGAACGACAGATCGAACGACCACCCACCACGAACGAACTTTCAGACAGGAGACACACACAGTAAACGACCATCAACGACAGCACCATGCCCGCATCCATCTGCTCCATGTCCACCCTCGAGGCGCCCTCGGTGCGCTACCCCTGGTTCGACGAGAAGTCGGAGCAGGAAGTATGCCAGCGCCACGAGCGCATTCTGTGCCCCGACGGCGCGCCTGCCGAATTCGACCAGCCCGGGATCCCGAAGCAAAACGTGAGTAACTCAAGCCCTTCTCGAGCATAGCTAACCCGCAGCGCATCTTCGGCAACCCGACGCCCCTCGGCCTGCTCTCGTGGGGCTACGGCCTCTTCCTCCTCTCCGCGTGCACCTTCCACGTGCAGGGCCTGCAGACCTTTGCGGCCGCGATCCCGCCCCTCATCTTCTTCGGGGGCATCTCGCAGACTTTCTGCGCATGGTGGGAAATGTCGCTCGGCAACACGTACATGGCGACGATGTTCGGCGTCTTTGGCGCGTTCTCGCTGTCGATCGGCTGTCTCCTCCTCCCCGCGTTCGGGCTCGTGGGCCCGGAGCGCGATGCCGGCCTCGGCCTCGTGCTGCTCAGCTTCATGATGCTCTTCGCGTTCATGCTCATGGGCAGCCTGAAGTGCTCCTTCAACGTGCTCTGCATGCTGACCTCGACGCTTGTCTTTGTCCTTCTGCTGGGCGTGCACTTCATCACGGGCGCGGGCAGCGATGGGCTCCGTATCGCCAGCGGCGTCTTTGGCATGATTGCCACGGCACTCACGTGGTGGCTTGCCGTCACGAATCTGTGGACCAGCGACGTCACGTTCTTCCGCTCCCCTGTTGTGACGCTGTACACGAAGAGCGAGGAGGAGATGGTCTAAACTCCCTTCGAGCAGAATGCTTTAGGGGGAGAGGCGCGATCACGAACAACAATCAGAAGAATCCTGTACACACTGTATATTAGCACGCCTGAAGGCTCTGTAGTCAAACACCATGTAACATCTAGTCTGTCCTCTCCTACAGTGGGATGTCAGGCTCCACCGCGCTGTCTTGGAAGTCCGAGCTGCATTTCCGAGTTTCGGTTCTGGTGAATCCCTGTCGTCGGGGTCGCCGGGACGGGTGACCGGCCAGCGCTTCGTCAGATCGTCAGCCCGTCACGATTAGCGCACATCAGTGGGAACAACGGTAAGCTGAATAGGGGACAGAAGAGGAAGCCTCTGAGAGGCCGTGTTGGTTAAAAGGAAGTCAGAAGAAAAGGTCAGTGCGAGCTGGCTCGGGTGAGGTCGGCCGGCGACCCCGGACCCGAGATAACAGCCCTATCATCTTCGTTCCGTCTCATTCCTGCGCCCTCCTCATTCTCTTCGCAGCTGTCTCGCAGATATCAGATCACAGATGCATGCCTACGTACGGACCGACATCCGATACAGAGCCGTATGCGCAATGTGCGACGGTGTCGGTCCGCGCACAGTTCGCTTCTCGCGGTCCGATGTCCGCTGTCTTCTTGCACACACTCACCGTGAACAGGATGCCGTCGTTGGTGTGCCAATGGTCACAGTCAACGTCGCCCACACCGGCATGCGCAGTAACGGGGCAAAGTCGCCCCGACGCCCAACCCTTGGAAGTTTTCACGACCTCCGTAGTCGCTGCCGTGTCCGCCAATGGCGGCGCCGAGCGGCGCGTCCCGGGCTGGTGGGCTGGTGGAGGCGGGCTCGCACCCCACCTCGCTTCCGACGGAACGCGACGTTCGTCGGAGCAGCCGGTGACGAGGACTTGAATGAAGGCAGAGGTCAATTTTGATGCTGGACTGTTGGTCAGAGTCATTTGCAGTGGACAGTCTGTGAGTTGCACCAGGGCACGAAGGGCGCTAACGGCATGGCAGGTGTGATGCGAAAGAAGTGTTCGGTATTGGTGGCTGGGCAACGTTGAGCACACCCTGTCCTGGCTTGGGACCTAAGGAGCAGAAGTACCACAGCACGAGAAGACGCGAAAGGTCAACCTGAACAGCAGCAGCCACACGCGGGCCGTGGTCTATCCGCGTTTCTGAGCAGAAAGGTCGACACCTGATATAGAGATCGGCACCCCCTCCTCCGGCAACAAGCAACAAGCACGAGGGAAACGGACACCGTCCGGCTGGAGTCTGGGCCCATGTCGACGGGGCTGTGAGCCTAACTCACGAGGCGTTGGTCGAGCGCAACCGTCACTGAACAAGCTGCTGAGTCCGAACTCGGCAGGCTCTGGTGCCCCGATTAACTCGACGAACACTAAACGTAAGCGCCATACATGAAGTTGAATGATTCCAGAACTGTCAGTACGTTGGTGCTTAGCCTTCGTGAGAACTTTAGGAGCGCGGCATGATCGGACCGTCGATTTGCAGTACATCACACAGACGGCATCATCACACTCCGGCGTGCGCCCGACAGCATTGGACTGGCCCTTCCGCACCCCTCTTCAACAGCCATCACGTATATCCCCTCACATCCGCAACGACCTCACACGCCAGGCCGCCAGCGTTTGCTACTCACAGCATGGTCCGAAGCCTTGAACGAAGGTGGGCATGCCAAGCCCGCCGTGGCGCACGAGAGTATTGTGATGATGGTCATGTGAGCCGTCTCCGGGATACATTTGCATGCTGTCTCGAGTGTGTCTGAGACATTGGGCTCGCCACGATTACGCCCGCCCGCTCTTCCTGCCCGATCGTCAGCGACTGCAGCGCATACACCACTATCGGTGGCCAACCGAGGCGATCGAGGGACTCTCTCTGAGGAGCGATCCGTCACAATCACAACACACCACGGGGAAGTACAGTAGTGAGCGACGCGACAGGCGGAACGAGCGTCACCGCCACCTCTTCCCCCGCTCATCCTGGGATGAGGCTGCATTCACAACAGTTTCAGAGACAACACCTCACAGCAGGACAGCGGCTATCTCGAAGGCAATGTCATTTTCGATATGCGAGAAAGAGGATTTCCAGTGGCTCAGTAGTATTTAGTGAGTACCTGCTCTCGACACGCACCTGCAGTCTGGTCGACTCTCCTTCGAGTAGAAAGCCGGACACCGTTCTAGAGAGAAGGTCCGTCTGTGCCTTCGGCGAGTCAGCGAGTTCCTACTGCCTTTGTCACTGTCGCTGAGGATCTGTTGTGAGCAACACTCGCGTTAATGGGACCACAGCGTCAACCATCGACCTAACTGCCGGCTGATATGCCCGTGACAAAACGAACGGACGATACGTCGCGGAGCCCAAACTCCGACCTCGTCATCGGCGCCCTCAGCGACAGCAGGACTATTCCCAATCTCAACAGATAGGCTTGTTTCTTTCCAGTTCTTCAGCCACTCCCGTTCACGCCCGCCCCACAGCCAGTCTTATCCCCGCCGCTGCCTCGTCCAGCGAGCTGCCAAACTGCCACCCCCACCCGCCTACCACCCGCTTAACACCTCTCGTTTGCGCAGCCCGAGCACGGCTCTTGCGCAGCTTGACGTGCTGCTTGTGGCTCTTCTGGAATAGTGGCATGGGGCGGGGTTTCGTGCTTTAGGCGACTGGTAGCCGACAGCCGGAGAGTCGGCCGTTGCCCGGATTGCCCGGGCGGGTGCTCGGGCTTGTGTCTTGAGTCCGCGAGTCGGAGATTCGCTTGCCCATGCGGTCGATTGCGGTCGAAGCGGTCGCCAGGCGCGGCCAGCCGGGGCCGATAGCTGAATTGCTGGCCAAGTTGGCCGATCGAGGCTGCCCAGGCTGCCCAGGCTGCCCGATTCAGGCAGATGTTCAGGCAAAGTCAGGCATCTCCAGGTATTCCAAGGCTCATTCCCAGGAGATGTAACACAGTTCCAAAACAAGTCCGAGCGAGAGTGGGCCGAACGCACTGGGCTAGCCCACGGGGTGCACTGTGGTGAGTTCAGTGCCACCGACGCCTTGTGCGCCTCTGAGCGCCACATAATGCCTCGGAATGTGGATCCTTGGACCCTTTCCCTGGGATCCATTTCTTGGCTCCTGGGTACCTGGGTGCACTTCACGCAACTCCTACGTGCACAGGCTGCGCACAGGTGCTATACCCCTTGCACGCATCCTGAGCACCGTAACGAGCTCTACATGTGGGCCGGCATCTCGGTCGGCGCTCAGGTGTGCTCAGGTGCGTTCAGGTAGCCCAGTGCCGGTCCGAGTGGCGGGCACCATGCATACGCTGTCGCAGGCTCGCGGCTCTCGCGTATCTCGCTAACTGCAGAACGACATTCGGCTCTCACTGCAGTTCCAGTTCTCAAGTGGCGCGGACCAAAACCCGCGAGGTGAGCGTGCCGAAGCGGCCGACATGTAGCAAGGTCCGTCCAGCTTCCAGTGGGCTCTGTGAGCTTGGCGGGCGGCCCTCGTGCGGCATTTCGGAGCACGGGGCAGGCATGTGCCAAGACACAGTGGGGTCATGTTGTGGCAAGTGGGCTAGTGTGGCAGGAGTCGTGAGGGTGGCTCGAGACGAGTCAAGCTAACAACAGGCTGTGGCATTTGCGTGCAGCTGCGGGAGGCGGGCTCGATCTGGCAATGCACCGTGGGATGGATCTCAACGACTGCTCCAGAGACTGAAGGAACGTTTCGCAGCCCACAGCTTTGATCCACGAGCGGTTTGCAGTTTTCTGTTCCATGAAGTCGCGGCCGAGGCGGAAATCCGACCGTGTGTGTACCGAGCGAGCAAGCTGGCTTGGGTTGGCCCTCAGGCTGCTGGCGTCCATTGGCGAATTCATGCCTCGATCCCGTCCGCTCCTGTTCACAGTCGTTCGACCACACATCGGATAGCAGCAGAGAAAACTCCACGTGCCCATTGCCTGAGACGGTTTGGCGCGGAGGTCTCCCCGTCTAGCCAGCCAGGGCGGTGTGGACCGTACCGGCAGATCGCGGACCCCAGCGGCACTCGTCGACGGCGACCAACCATGGCACGCACGCCGCCTGCATCCGCAATATCCTACTGCGCAAACAGGCACGTGTATCGCGATCGAGTCTGTGTATCAGAAGCTGTGCAACACAGTGCAGCGTAGCGTCAGTGGCGTCAATATCGTGAATACCAAGCTCAATCTTGCCACCATTTGATCGACTGGTCTTCGTCATTTCTGTGGCTCCTGCGTGCTCACATGCTGCTCTTGCTTCGTATCGACGACGTTGCTGGTATCACGAGTCCGACCCCGTGCTCAAGATACGGCGGGACCCACTCCGCTCTCCTATCGCTAATAGGAGGTTGTCGCAATCGTGGTAATCGCCTGCGTCTCGTCTTGAAACGCATTCGAACACGGTAGCGACCAATTCGAGACAGCGGTTGGATGGATACGCCTCGTTGGCTGTCGGCAGCGGCCGGTACCCCCCCACCGTCCCGAAACGGACTGCGCGTCATGCGCAAAGCGATCGTGCCAGGTCCACTATTGCATGCGACGCTCTTCTCTCATATCTGCTGTCAGTCTCTTTTATCAGGCCGTAAACGAGGTGAGGTGAATGGCAATACGAACAAGCAACCGATAAGCACATGTGCTCGGTCAGAGCAAAGGAAAAGCGGCACATTGAGTTTCCCGAGCCCTCGTGTCATTCTCGGAGACAGCGTCGCCGCCAGTGCCGAGAATAGATCTGACACATGCAGATCGACCCCCGTCGGCGGAGTGAGTTCCGCCCCTCTCCGCGCGTGGCCTCCCACTTGCCGCACCTCCTGCCGCCCCTGCCGCTGATCCGCTCGTCGTGCGCAGCAAGTCTCGTCGATCACACTGAACCCCCGTTCCTCTGTTCCTCAACATCTGACCCGTGCATGCACGCTTCCGTGACAATGAGTACATCTGCCCGCGCCGTCGCGCGTTGCCGCGTCACCGGCGGCCAGCGGGCATACCTTAGGTGTTGCGCGAAAGGCACCTTTGGCTCGCTTAGGACCAGTCACCGGTAGAAAGAGCCAGGCAGCAGGCCCGAAACGATCGGAATAATGCCCAAAATTCGATATCTCCCCGCCGTCTTCCGCGTAGCTACCCTCATGGACGCTCATTCGTCTGGACATGGTCGAAGGAACGAATACAGGTCCGAGGAACGAGCAGGGGTGAACTTTCCAGCGAAGCGAGGCGGCAGCCTCACTGTCGGCCCAGTGATTCGGGCGAAGCGGCGTCTACCTCGCTGCTATGTCCGAAGCCTGCTGGCGGCGGACACAGAGGTATGAGGAGGGTATGTGTAAGACAGTGCTGCGCATAGGACCATGCAAGGATAGGTCAGCGGGGCGGAGAAGCCGGAGAGCAGGCGGATATGCAGGAACAGCACACACTGAAACGACACGCCAACCAGTGTCAGACTATTGCCCGCGCACATCAACCTGCTCGCACAGTATCCCACCTCGTGCTCGAAGCTGCACACAGTCTAGCCTCAGCGCAGCTCGAATGACACTGTGGGTAGAATATTATCGAATATTCGAGCAACCAGTTCCCAATGCCGCCACGTCCTCACTTCTCGACCTGACTCGTCGGCTGTCTGCTATCGGCTGCAGTTTATCGGCTCTTCGTCGCCCGCTGACAAGCCTGTGGCCAGTGGCACGTTGGCCGCCTCCCCCTCATAGCCCCTTGACCCTTCTTTCTGACAGCTTTGCCCTGCCGCCCGTACCTGCCTGCCCCTTTGGCGCACAACGGAAGGCACGAGCAGCGCGACGCATCGCACAAGGAGAACTCCCGCGCAGGCGGGCAGACTCTGGTTCTGACACAGATCACAGCTCCTCTGGCCTTCTCTCCGATAACTTTGTCAGTGTTTCGCGGCGGATATCGCAAGCGACCTCGGCCGCGCCAGTCGAACTGCGAGAAATGGGTGGGTTCTGCATAGTCTGTCTGTCAATTAAGGAACACGTCAAACACCAGGCGGTCGAGGTAGGCGGGAGGTGTACGAGTTGCACTAGGTCGTATCGCCTGCCAACTGTTGCAACGCGTGATGAGCCTACGAGCTTGGCAACCTTCCGCTCGCGTTGGACCACCAATGTTCGGCCTTACTCCGCAGCAGATCGTGCCCGCAGCGGGCTCGCCGGGGCTGGCGGCGGGCTACAGCCCGACTGTCCAGCCTCGCCCACATCCAGATCAGCCCGCAGCCTATCCCATCCCCTCCCCTCTTCAGCTGCTATATCCAGATCAGCCTGAATGGCCCATTGAATCTCATCTGCATCTTGGGATCTCATTCGCAAGGATATGGTATGAATTCGGTTTTGCTGTCTTCGGACTGGTCAGCTGTCCCACCCACTCAACTTGCCGCGTGATGATTGGAACTCAACCTTGCCATGGCATGGCCACGGGAGGGCTCGTGTCGCCCGCTTAGACTTCGGCGGGGACGGACGCGAACCGTCCAACGTCGAATCAGAGTGCGGATCACGGACTTGTGCTGCGTATCTGATTGCTGGGTTTGTGGTTGGGCTCCGTTGGAAGTGGGCATGTGACTGTTCCCCATTCGACCCCGCCATTCGACCCCGCCATTCGCCATCTTCGACTTGTGTGGTCAGCTGGACGGATGACGGATGAGCTGCGAGAGCTGCGAGGGGCTGCAGGAAACGGCCAGGATAATGCGTGTGGGCGTCATCTGGCGCATTCCTCTGCTTGCCCTGCCCCCGCACCCGCCCTGCGCGCAACGCCGCGCCCACGATCACCGATTGCAGCCAACCACTGGCGCCGCACGCGCCGCAAGCGGCGTGGTTCGGATGCCGGACCCGGCACGGACACGAAGATACGGGGGCGGGCAGATCGGCGGCCAGTCAGCGCACTGTTCCTCGCCTGCCAGGAAATACTGTACAGGTGCGGAGACAGGGGGTGTCGAGTCAGGACGTCAGCACCGTGGGCAGAGCACGCAGGCTCGTACACTCGGCGCAGTCAGTCGTCAACAGCCAGCAACATTCGGGCCAAGCGTCGGCTCGTCGGCACGCCCATCGGCAAGAGACCCGGAGGGTGGGGTCGGGGTCGGTTAAAACGGGCCAAGTGTGCGGGCCCACAATGCCTGCTCCCAGCTTCCAATAGACATGAGCACGCTCGAAATGTGCTCATCACGATGCACGATGGATGATTCGTTCAACATGACTCTTTTATCGAATACCTTTGGACACCTTGGGCACCTTGGGCCACAAGGCACAGGTCGACCCGCGTGATACCGTGGTTTATATCCAGAACAGGGTTCCCTGAACCCTGTATACCCTGTGTTCCCTATCCGCCCTGCCCTGCCCCTGCGGCCAGCTTTGGATGCTGGCTGAATACCCCTTTGCTCTTTGCTTTTTGCTGAACAGGATGCAATGCAGGAGACAGGGGGATGAAGGCAAGGCACAAGGGATGGACTGCCCAGGCACGACGAGTTGCCGAGTCGCCGTTTCGTCAAGATGTTGTTGGAGTGGGGGACCCGCATACACCAACTTGCCAGGGACCAATCCGAGCGACAACAACGGCCACCCACGTGTGCCGGGTCCGCGGACCGGGGCTCACAGGGGTCTCTTGGTCAAGGGCGTCGCTTGACGGTCGCTTAAGTCGCTCGTCGATCGCGAAACCGACAAACGAAGCCTCGTAGCTCGTTGGGCCCATCTGGCCATTTGCCAGCGACGTCGGCGGGCTGAATGCGCATGCCTTGCTGGTGGATGGGCTGATGCAATGCTCTCTCAGCTTAGCTTTTGGGTCGGGGCGCCTCCGAGGGCTGACTGGCTGGCTGGGCAGAGTGATGCAAAGGCATAGGAGCACCTGACGGCGCGGCGTGCCTGGGGCTGAGAGAGGCTTGCTGGGCTTGCTGGGCTGGGTCGATTTCGGGCCTGACGGCGCGGCCCAGGGAAGAGGGTAACTGCAGAACGACATTCGGCTCTCACTGCAGTTCCAGTTCTCAAGTGGCGCGGACCAAAACCCGCGAGGTGAGCGTGCCGAAGCGGCCGACATGTAGCAAGGTCCGTCCAGCTTCCAGTGGGCTCTGTGAGCTTGGCGGGCGGCCCTCGTGCGGCATTTCGGAGCTGTCTTGGAAGTCCGAGCTGCATTTCCGAGTTTCGGTTCTGGTGAATCCCTGTCGTCGGGGTCGCCGGGACGGGTGACCGGCCAGCGCTTCGTCAGATCGTCAGCCCGTCACGATTAGCGCACATCAGTGGGAACAACGGTAAGCTGAATAGGGGACAGAAGAGGAAGCCTCTGAGAGGCCGTGTTGGTTAAAAGGAAGTCAGAAGAAAAGGTCAGTGCGAGCTGGCTCGGGTGAGGTCGGCCGGCGACCCCGGACCCGAGATAACAGCCCTATCATCTTCGTTCCGTCTCATTCCTGCGCCCTCCTCATTCTCTTCGCAGCTGTCTCGCAGATATCAGATCACAGATGCATGCCTACGTACGGACCGACATCCGATACAGAGCCGTATGCGCAATGTGCGACGGTGTCGGTCCGCGCACAGTTCGCTTCTCGCGGTCCGATGTCCGCTGTCTTCTTGCACACACTCACCGTGAACAGGATGCCGTCGTTGGTGTGCCAATGGTCACAGTCAACGTCGCCCACACCGGCATGCGCAGTAACGGGGCAAAGTCGCCCCGACGGCGCTACCCCCACAACCTATCCTCGCTTCCTCTTCGCGTCCGCACATACACTACGAGCACAGGCCGCATGACCCGGTCATGACCACGACCCCCAAGCCTGGCTCCTCGGGCGGATCCGTGTCGCGGCTAGACCCTCCGCCTCCGCCTACTCCTCCAGTACCTCCTTTCCCCTCCTCCTCATCACGACAGTCCGGTCCACCCGGACAATCCGGACCGTCGTCTTCGGAGCGACAACCGTCACCTCCCAGGCGTCCCGCTCCTCAACCCGTGCAGTCGGGCAGCCAGGGCAGCCAGTCCGGCGGTGCGGGCCCCTCCTCCAGCTCCTCGGCACCAGCCTCCCGCCCCTCCCTTTCCAACCTCCTCAACACGTCCGCTGACCAAGACACCAGCCTGCGACCCAAGCGTTCGCGCAAGGACAGACCATGCGACCACTGCCGGCGCTCGAAGCGGAGCTGCTTCATCGCCGTCCGCGGACAGGCGTGCGCAAACTGCGCCCGTTCCGGTCGGGAATGCAGCTTTGTCGCTCCGCCGCTTATCCGGCATCCAAAGGAGGGTGACCAGAGCCCCCTGAATCCACCCGATGCGCTCCAGTCTCCGCATACCCGCTCTCCGCATCAATCGCAACAGTCGCAGCAGTCGCACCAGTCCGTGGGCCACCAGTCCGCAAGCAGCAGCCTGCAGTCGGGCAGCAGCTCGTCGCTGGGCCTGAACGGTCTCTCGCGGGACGGCCACTCGCGCGAGTCCTTGGGAAGAGATATACTCCGGGATACGCCTGTGGGACCACCAGGTTCGCGCGATCTGCACGAGCGCGAGCGTGAAGCGCGCGAGCTAGAATTGCGGCATCGCGACGCCGAACGAGGCAGGGAGAAGGACCGGGAACGTGACCGCGAAGTGCGCGAGCGCGAGCATCGGGAACGAGAACGAGAGCAGAGAGAACGAAGGGACTACTTCCACCCCGGTCACGGATCTCACGGCAGTCTCGGAGGCCACAGCGCACACGGATACATGCACTCGTCCCATTCCCTGGGCAGTCCGAGATCCTCGGCCGGGGACAGCAGACACGGCCCGAGCCCCATGGTCAGCCCGCAGCTCAACTTTTACCCGCCCGCGTCGGCGAGATCACACTCGCGAGATGCTCATGCGGCCCCCGGACCCGGACCTGGGCCTGGACCCGCAGGTCCGCCAAGAGACGGAAGAACAGGAGCGGACGGGTGGATCGGAGACCGCAGCCTGTCGTTCACGGCTGCCCGGCCGCAAGTCCCTGGAGCGAGCGTGCTCTCGTTTCTGGACAGTTTGGACGATGCCGCGATCGGGGCGCCGAAGGTGGGTTTCTCACGTGGTTGCGGGGCTGACGAGAACAGGACGGGGACGGATACTCCTCGCTCGACATGGACGTCACGGACGAGGAGGAGAGTCACTATCTCGGTACGTTTTCCCCTTACCTCTCGCTCTTCTGACTCAACTTACTGACCACCAAGGCTCCGGCGCCGTCGCACAGCTCGCGAGCGTGACATTAGGCTCGCTCGGGGGCCGTCTCCAAGGTCCCTCCGAAGAACAGACTCTCGAGTACAGACAGGTCGCTGATCCGCGGTATCCGGCGTACTTTCTCAAGAACCCGAGTAAAGTCTATGGACACTCGAATGCGGCGTACCTCGCTGAAAAGACCTATGCCGAGGTCGCGAGGCAGATCTCGCATGGGGATCCGAACATGCCGGAGAAACTGATTCAGCAGTGAGTACTCCGGAGCGAGGGCGATATGCCGCCGAGCGGAGGTGGAAAATTGAGCGCCGAGAATGTTGACAGCTGCGTGAACGTTGTTTCGCATGGAGTCATGTCCGGAGCTCGGAGCCTTTACCGGCGCTCAGCGCTCTGCGCCGAGTCCCTTTGAGCCTTTTGCTGACCCCAGTTTCCTTACCCGTACGCTACCGTACCTCCCGATCGTGAACCGAGCTCGCTTCGAAGCGAGCCTGCACGGCTGGAAGGACGGGGGCACCTTTCCTGCGGCTCTGCTCGTCGGCATCTTCGCGCACAGTGCCGTCTACGAGCCTTCCCTCGCCAAGCACTACAAGGATCTCTGGAGCACCGTGCTCCACATGGTCGACAACGAGTACCGGCAAGCGCGACTGCAGACGATCCAGCTCGAGATCCTCTGTTTCTCCGGCTGGCCCGTACACTGGGCGGGGGGCAACCATATCGGCATCTGCCGCGCGATTGGGGCTGCGCAACTGATCGGGCTGCACCGGGACTGTTCGCGCTGGAAGCTGCCGCGGTGGGAGAGGAGCCTGCGCAAGCGGCTCTGGTGGGTGCTCTACCTGCACGACAAGTGGAATGCGTACACGTACGGCCGGCCTGTGAACATACCCATGAGCGGCGCGATCCCGCCCGTCACGTTCGAGGACGACGACTCGGCCACGCCCGAGGGCCGCGCCGAGTTTGCAGTCTTCATAGCGTCGACGCGCCTCGCCGTCGTGCTCGAGAGCCTCATGCCGCTCCTACTAGAGCGGCAGGGTGTGTGTCGTGCCCTCAGCGATCGGACGGTGATGCGGCACGCGGCCACGGAGCTCGAGAGCGTGTACCGCGACCTGCCCTCTGATCTCATCTTCGACCGCAACTCGCGCTACCCGCCTCGCCCGGGCGTGAGGGCGCTGCAGCTCTCCCACATCGGGCTCGAGATCCTCATCTGCCGCCTCGGTCTGGACCAGGACGAGTTCACGACGCTCGGGTCCCTGATCCAGTCCAGCAGGCATGCGCTGCGTATCGTCGATTCGCTGATTGCGTTCCTCGAAGTCCTGACCGATGCCGACTACCATGCGCCGTGGAACCCCTGGTCCCCGGCTCAAACGACCAACGCCGCCGCGCTTCTCCTGAGGCAGGCACTCAAGATCCATCAGTACGAGGCCAAGCCCGCCGACAGCCGCGAGCGCGATCGGGACGAGCACGACCGTGTCCGTGCCATCGCCGAGATAGTCGACGCACTCGCCCGCCTCATCGTGCTCGTGCAGGGCCACCATTCACGAGGCTGGGAAGTCGCCGGGAGCTCTATTGGCAAGATTGCTGGACTGGTGCGGAGCAATATTGCAAGCTCCGTACCGGGGATCCAGAGCGCGCAGGTGCTGCTTGACAAGACGCCGGGACTCGGCGCGGGCGAGTGGCCCAACGACCCCGCTTTGGGAGACCAGGATATCCTCGCCGTGTTCGAGTGGCTGCATAGTGACATGGGCGCGGTGTTCTGAGCCCTTCCTCAGGCAGTTATGACAGCGGGAAAAAGTCCTGAACTTGGCCACTTATCATGGACGCACCGCACGCAAATCTGGAGCGAGGACTGGGCGAGAAAGCTACGGGAAGAAGAGCCCCAGGAGGAGTCAGGAAACAGGAGATCAGGAGATTAGGAAAGAAGCAGAGGATAAAGATGGAGTAAGGAGAGAGTGAAGGAGAGAGTGAAGGAAGGAGTAACTTGTGAGCCGACATCAAGTTCAACACGACCGTCCGGCCCAAGTCCAAATTTTGGGTATTTCATTCAACTCTAAACGCGAAGCTCACATTCATCTGTAGTTGTTTTCCCCCCACCCCACACGTGTTTCACCTGTTCTCGTTGTAACACCTAGGTCTTATGTTCTTTATCAACTCCATTGGGGCGTGGGAGACCGCGGCAGCGCGAGCAGCGGGCGCAGGGGGCGATACCACGCGGAGTGCGAGTGCGCGGGAGATTGCACTCATAAAACGGGAAAAGAGCAAGGGAAAGAACGAAGGACGCGAGGCGGAGGTCAGTGTTTGCTCACAACAGATTCGCAGTAGTCAGCGCCGAAGTCAAGGTCAGCAAGAAGCAGTATCGGGTTGGACAGTCAGTGGCATCCCGAGAGTGGCACTGAGCTGCGCACCCGTCTCGGTTCAGATCCGAGCGCTGGACCCGAGATAGTGGATCAGCGCATGTGCTTGAGCACATGTGAGATAGGTGGCTGCGGCGCGGTACTCGGTAGCAAATGTCTGGCGTTTGGGCAAGTTGGCAGGTGGCTGACGTGATTGCGGCCGTGATGCGTGAGTGTCATTCTCGGGATGATGCTGACGTCTAGAGTATAGAGTATATGTACGCGGAATGAGGAATGCGGGAGCTTGGACCGCTGGATTGCTGTGACCGAGGTGGCTTGATGGGGATTGGCGAGGACAGCGAGGGATTCGCGGTTCTGGAAGGCTGCAGGGAGCTGACTGAACAAAGTACTGACACTCTGTGATCGAGCTGACATATGTGTTGACTTAACAGTAGACTACAAGACCCAAGAACGACATAAAGGGTCAGCCACAGTCGACAATTGTCATCGATGTAGCGAGGTCATCGCGGTCCAGCGATGGAAACCTCCGTACTGAGGGTGATGGTGGCCAGAGGAGAGTAGGCTGCCACAACCTGCACAACCTTGCAATTGATCCCTCCATCCGCCGTTCTGAGCGGCGGTATCCGCCTCCGCGACTTGTGGATAGGTCCGACACGCCGTAACCCACCACCACGGACACTCCGGAGAGGCGCACTAGGCGCGGGACAAGTAGGCGGCGATGAGCGCGGGGCAGTCACCACCCCGGCGACGCGGTCGCGTGAGCGTGAGCGTGAGGGATCGGCGATCGGCCACGATCGGAGCTGGCCAGCCACATTCCGCGGATCCCGGCTGATGTACGACCGAACCAAGGTATCCGTTGCTGGGGAAGCGGCGATGTGCGCTGGGTATCATAGTGGTAGTCACCATGACCTACTGCGGCGATGCGCGATGGTGCTCGCAGAAGACGTGATCGGCGTGAGGGAGAGGAGATGGGCAGCCACATTCCGTGCCCGTCTCGGCGGCCATCACCGCGTTCTGGTGCGGCGAGGTCCGCTCAGTTGCACAAACGACACAGACAGACACTACTGGCCACGACAGAGGAGAGAGTCGCTCTCACTGCTGCGAGCCTTGCGAGCATCTTCACGTTTCGCAAAGAGGAGAGGTAGACTGCTATCGCCTGGCTAACCCGACAAGGCTCTTTCCCCGTGTCACGGCCACCGTGGAGTGTCGGCCTCGGGACATGTTCAACCTCCTTTGCTGGACATGCCTGTGAGGTCATTCTGGGACAGTGACTCTCTATCGCTACCGATGGAATGCTACACGGCTAGACGAGCGGTAGGTTCTGTGCTACAGTATGGCACGCTACCTAGACGACGGGCAGTCTGCAAATCGCCAACTTCCGATGACAGCCCGAAACGGGGCACTGAAGGGCATGAGAGAGACGAAGCCGTCGGCATCTCGTTCGGCATGTGCAGGCTATCGGCGTTTCCTCGCCATAGCCCTCCGAGACGGACTGCGAGGCGTCCAGAGAGACAGAACCCGTCGACGTTTCGCTCAGCGTTGCCCAATCACCACTGCAACAACAGCCCCGATGCGGAACACCACTTGACATGGACGGACCTTGCCGCCGGCATGTCGTCCGGTATGCGGGGTCCATGCACCAGCTGGTGGAGGAGAGGCATTGCCGCCGGCAGTCGTTCGACCAGGAGGTGCCCCATGGCAGATCTCTCCGACACGGGCCACGAACCTGTCTGGGAAGGCCATTGCCGCCGGCATCTCATTCGGCACGGACAGCACACCCGCTCCTGCTCCCTGTTAGCCCCGCTCCGGGCAGTCAACACATGCAAATACGATCCGGCACGGGAACTCTTGTGGCTCTGGCTACTTGCCTCGTTCAGGAGGATCAGTCCCTACGGCAACCACGCCGCTCTTACCGGCCATGCCAGATGTTCTTTGCGCAGCAGCCTGCGCTTAGATAAAGATCTCCTATCACAGTCTGGCAATTGCGTCCAACGACGCCGTTGCCGCCGGCGACCCATCTTGGCACGGCACTCAGCGCCTGGACACTGGGTGCGCTGCCGGCGACGAAGAGTGCGCACTGGCGCGAACGGCGTCCTGGTCTGGTTGTGCAACAGCGAGAGACTGATGGCAATGGCCTATCGCAAGCTTTCATGATGCAAAGATCTTGAAGCATACGCAATAGCTGCCGGCGTCTGCCTCTGGAACGGCGAATACGGCCGCAAGGAGGCGAGAATGGAAGTGCACGCCGGAGGAGACGGCGACTGCGAGGGATGCAGCGGTCAGGTTGCGGTAGCCAGGTTCTATCACACTCAGATCAGACGTGATCAACGTCGCCGTTGCCACCGGTACGTCCCCGGTGCGGTCATTAGAAGCGACTCTGAGCAATCCCCATAGAAAGGACGCATCGTAGATCGGGATGAACGCCGTTCGGCAGCGAGCCGTGAACAGTTGATAGCGAAACTTAACAGTATCACCGTCGATCAGGTAGACGTGACTTCGCCGTTGCCGCCGGTACTGGCCTCCAGAGAGCTTCTGGTTGGTCTGAAGACACGCAGACGGCGTATACCGGAGCAAACGGCGTCTGTGCAAGGCCCAAATGTGAACCTAAGATAACGAACACCTATCTTGATTTGCGACGTGAACCTGAACATCGCCGTTGCCGCCGGCACTTCCTTGTTGCGGTGAGCTGTGGTTGGTCTGTAAGTACAAAGACAACGCATACCGGGGCAAACGGCGTCTGTGTGATGCGCCGCTTCGAGACTGAGATAACGATCGCCTATCAGGTTCGGTCGTAGTGTTGCCTACAACGCAGTTGCCGGCGGCAACGTCGCACCCTCCCACGACATCCAATGATGAGTTGAATCTCTGGCCAACAAGGCCGGGGGAATCGGCGGCAAAGCAATACTTCGCTGGAAACGGCGCGGTGACAATCTGCTTGGCATGGGCCGCACGGCGGCCTCCGCCTCGGCACGCGATCGGCAGCGGCTGACGACGGTAGTCGCGATAACAACTTCCTATCACATGGTCCCGCCAAGCTTTTCTAGCGGTCCACATGGACCCAGCTGACCAAACGCCCCTGTCCGGTACCGCAAGTGTCGCCGTGCCGCCGGCGTGTGCGGCGAGTGCGGCCGTGAGTGCGGCATCGAGCTGGTGGATCATCCGGCATCCTCCCAATCACCCATCCGGCGAGCGTCCCGGCGGCCCTTGCCCCTTTTGCCCAATAATGAGCTTTCCGGGTCGGATAAACGCATCAGCTGGTAGGCACACATGTGCCCGAGCCGGCGGTAGACTGAGGGGTAGCTCGAGCGGCGCGTACATCCCGTTTGATGAGGGGTGCGATGGGACATGCTAAGATAAGGTGCTCGCTCGTGATTTGCCACGAGGAATGGGACATGGCAAGTTCCGGCGGCAGGTGGGTTCGCTCCTGACCGAAGTTTTGACTGATTGACCGTCAGTCACCGCGGCCATGTCCGCGGCCCAAAGCTAACACCACGTGAGCATTGGCGCGAGCGAACGCGACTGTCTTCTGACAGATCTGGGATGAACTCGAGGTGCACATCCAGATTGTCTCGAGCGAGCAACAGGCAGCGGCTCGCACTTCTCCATGCGAGCGGGTGCGAGTGGAGAGTCCGGGGCCGAGCTTCGTTGCACTTCGGACTTGCCCTCCGCAACTCGGGGCTCTCCGTCTCCAGGAAGGCTCCAGTCCGCCCGTCGTTCTCTCCATGGATCTCCACCTGACCTCAGATCATCATGCCTCCTCACCTCCTCCTCCGCTGCGGCAAAAGAATGGAGGAGATGGTGCGAAGCTGTCACGGAGAAACCAACAGCACGAAGATCACGATGGCCCAGATCTGCCCCGGTCGGCCGCCGAGCAAGCCTGCTACAGCCTCTGCGGAGTCTCCATGGGGGCTCGCTTGCACTCTCTACGAATGAGAAGCGTGCGGACGAGTGTACCCGCTGCAGCCGCGGAGTTTCACCGACTTTCAAGCTGCAGCGAAGCAGGTCGCCGACAAGGGGTCAGCAAGAAGGCCGATGAGGAGAAATACAAACAATCTCCATCACCGACCAGTGAGCTGCCGCCAGATCAGTCTCTCCAGGAGCAACGCAGGAGGGTCTAGGGGTGACAGGCAGCAGAAGCTGCAGCTAAGTGGAGGGAAAGAAACGTGCGGGCAGACGCAGCCTGAGATGCGGGCCGAGGAGGCGTAGAGGGCTGAGGGTTGAGGGCGAGTCAGACGCCACCTCGGCGCCTCGCAAAGTTTTTGGACGTTTTTGGACACTTCTGCGCGGTTGCCAAGCCAGCTTTGGCTCGATTAAGCAACAACGGTCAGGCTGATAGGCTGCAGTTGCGCAGCCTGAGCAAGCCCTCCGTAGCATCCGCGTCAGGCGTACGGAGGCGCTCATGCTGGCTGACGCTGGCGCTAGAGCTGCCGAAGTCATGCCGAGGTGAACCCGACGGCCTGCGCCGAATTCTCCTCTGTCCTCGTCGCCACTGGCTATGCGTCTGCCACTGCTCACACGACCAGTTGATCTCCGGCCGCGTGCGGTTCGCGGCTTTGCGAGATCTGAATCAGCATCTACAAAAGTGGAGGTTCAGTGGAGGCGGCCGACGTCGCCTGGGCGGGCGAAGAGTGGGAGACATAGGGGTGGCGGAGAGGTCACCGACCGTCACCTTGCTCGCGTGTTCGTGGTATGAGACACGAGACAGCAGAGAAGGCACGGCCGTCAGAGCGTCTGCATACTGCCGCTCCACAGGTCGGTTGATTCCCGCACGAGGATGACTATGCGTGGAGAAGCTCGCCAAAGACGGCTTCTTGCCCCAGAGCCATCAACAAGAAGTGGGGACGAGCTTAAGCCGAACGCTCTGTGCGGGGCTCAATATTAAGGCCCGCCGACTGTTGCTGCGCCTCCGAACGCCCACACGGACGCCAACGCCTGACGGCTGCCGGCTACGGGCGGAGCTACGTCTGCAACGGTGATTTCGAAGAGCTCGCTGAGGAGATCGTCGTATCGTTGCTGGCGCGCCAGGCGACGAGAAATTAGAGTTTATCCGACGGCAGCAAAAGCAGAGTGCCAGAGGAGAGCTACGGTGAAGACAACGGCGAACTGGTAACGGCAACTTTTCGAATCTGACCTCAGCATCAGGGTGACATCTCAGGGATCGGCGGCTACCACCCCCCCAAAGTGTCTTGACATTGGCCATGGACTCGCAGTGATCCGAAGTCTTTTCCACAGCATGCATGCTTGAAGGCCGCACGCTCCCTATGCACGAGAACAGGAGGACCGATAATACGGGAACAACGATCAGCTGCCAGTGACACTCGCAGACAGCGGTCAAGTGGAGCGGAACGGACCGAAGTCATGATGCTCATGATGCATCACTACTCCGTCACAGGAAGTGGAGCTTCTGGGAGAACGTGCCTGGTCGCCCGTGACGATCGTCATGCACCCACTACAGTGAGCAGATGACCACCGTAGAAGCTACTTTAGGCGGGATGACCACACTTGGCGGAGACACATGCCACCGTGGCGCGTCCCGTGACAGCCCGCTGGTTCCAGTGGAAAAATTTCCCCTCGCCGCAAAGCTGCAAAAACAAGCCAAGACGCCGCTCGTTGGGCCAAGCCACAAGCCAAGAGTGTCAGCTGGGCCCAGCTGATGCGTCAGCCGTCCGTCCGTCGGTTCTGCACGCGCTCGACTAATCAGCGCGCGTGTTCAGCGTTGCAAGATCCGAACAAGTGGATACGAGTCTCTGCCAGCAGAGTTCAGGGAGAGCAGGAAGAACAGGGTGCGCAGGGAACAGGGGCCAAGTGGGGCCACGTGAGCCCGCAGACTGTCTGTGCCGTGGCCTTGCCGTCTCTGCGCTTCCGCCTGTGGGAACCGGCGGCAACTGGGGCCAACCTGCCTGCCCAGGTCTGCGTTAATTTCCATTGCTGAACCAGCGCCGTGTCAAGAGCGTCCGAATCGAATCGAAGCCCCCTCGGAAACCCCGTATGACAGCATCGGCAGCTCCTGCGATCCCCCAGCGTCCAGGGCAATCCCGGGGCGGCCCTCACTCACTAAGCAGCTCTTTGTCACTGTTCCTGCACCTACAATACCAAATACCTCGAGTTACCTGACCCGGACCTGCGCTGCCAGAGGTCAAATCGAAATTTGGCCGAGCTTTGCTCGCAGACGGTACCCACCGAAAGTGGGGAATGGCACTCGGATTGGAGGCACTGCCAGACTGGCCTCAGGCTCCCAAACACAGAAAAATTGCCCAAATCCGCCCACAACAACGGTCCCCGCCCCCGCGGAGAACCGCTCGCGTCTGCGCTGCGCCGCGCCCCATTGGCCCAGCTGCCCCGGCCCTGGTCACTCGACCAAGGATGAGGCCGGGGAGCCCGAGGCGCCAGATCCAGGTCGAAGAAAATCGACGCTAGCCGTCGCCGAAGTCTGATTGCCTTTTAGTTCGAGCTTGCTCATCTCTCTTTCGTTCTTCCCATCTTGTTCTGTGTCTTGACCTGCTTACCCTACACACTCGCTCACTTGCATCGACACTTGACCGACACACTACCACCTCACTTACACTCTTTCCGCCCACCCCAGTAACTCCTCCTTCATCATGGGCCCCGACGTCGAGAGCGTCCCGATGGAGAAGAAGATCTCGGTCTCGGACACCGAGTGCTCGCACCCCGCTAGCTCGCAGTACCCTCACGAGGAAGTCGGTTCGCACTTCTCCAAGGAGGTGGGCAACACCCGTCTCGAGGTTGTCCTCGAGGACACGTTCGAGGAGGATGCCTTCTCTCGCCAGAAGGACCTGAAGACGGACGGTGACTACCTCGACTTCCGTACCATGGGCTGGTTCAAGGCCGGTCTCATTGCCACTGCCGAGGTGAGTATTCAATCTGCCTCACTTCAGCCTCTCTCTGCACATCATGCACATCACGGGACCGCCTAGCTCACCGCGCTTCCCACACTATTGGGTTCAGGCAGCTGTCTCGGCGAGGCACCTCCGGGTGCTATTTTTGCAGTTGGAGCGATCAGCAGACAGGTCAGCTGTCATTCCCCCCGGGTGCCAGCGGCGGTAGCGGCTTTCCTGGCGCTCTGCGGCGGTGGCTGATGGCGTTTGGGCTCTTCGGCCCGGGTTGGCTGATGCGAGAGGCTGAAATTTCAATGACGCGCAGCCGTCTAAACTCCGGAGAATTGTCGCTAATGCCCTTCCAGAACATTGCCATCGGTATCCTTTCGTTCCCCTCGATCTTCATGCGTCTCGGCATGGTCGGCGGTGTCATCACCACCGTCGGCCTCGGCATTCTTGCGTACATCATGTGCTGGATCCAGTGTGACTTCAAGCTGCGCCACATGGGTGTCATGCACTTCGGTGACGCCGGAGGTGTCATGTTCGGCAAGTGGGGTGCTCGCATCTTCGGATGGGGCATGGTCATGAAGTCGATGGGTCTTGCTGGTTCGCACATCCTTGGTGGCCAGACCGCTATTAGCTCGATCTCGGACCACGCCATCTGTCTCGTCTGGTTCGGTTTCTTCATGTTCATCGCTTCGGTCGTTCTCTCGTACGACCGCGAGTGGCACAAGATGTGGTGGATGTGCTTCGTCTCGCTCACCTGCATCTTCACTGCCTCGATCATCACCATGGCTGCTACCGGACACCAGAACCCCAACATTCTCACCAAGGGCGGTGCCCCCATCAAGTGGCACGCCTTCGTCCAGGAGCCTACTCTTATGGACGTCGTCGGAGCTTTCACCAACATCCTCTTCGGTTACGGCGGTAACATGGCGTGCTTCTCTTTCATGTCCGAGATGCGCAAGCCCAACGACTTCAAGAAGTCCTTCGCCATGTCGCAGACCATCGTGTGCTGCTCGTACCTCATTGTCGGCGGTGTCATCTACTCTTACGGTGGCCAGTACACCACTTCGCCCGCTCTGACCATGGGCTCGCACACTGTCCGCATCATCGCCTACTCGTTCGCTCTCGTTACCATCCTTGTCTCCGGTGTCCTCGGTGCCAACGTCGGTGCCAAGTACATGTACATCAACACCCTGCGTAACTCGCACCTCCTTACCTCCAAGTCGTGGAAGGCCTGGGGTATCTGGATGCTCATGGTCGTGATCATGTGGGTCGTCGGCTTCATCGTCGCCGAGCTCATCCCCTTCTTCAACGCCCTCCTCACCATCATCTCGGCTCTCTTCTCTGTCTGGTTCATCTGCGGTGCTGCCGGCATGCTCTTCCTCTACGACAACCTCCCCGCTCTCGGCAAGTACGCCAAGGATCCCAAGCCCCGCGACATGAAGGGATTCAAGAAGAAGTTCTTCCTGGCCTGCTCCATCCTCTCCCTCATCATCTCGCTCGCCATGACCCCTCTCGGTCTTTACTCCGCCATCCAGACCATCATCGACGGTTACCGTGACGGTATCTTCGACCACCCCTTCGCCTGTTAAGTGCGGAGCCGGGCTGAGCGCAGCGAGACGCAATGCTCTCTTGCGCTCTTCGGGTCTAGAGCACCTAGAAACTTATCTAGAGCGCGAGAGTCCTATCCTAATCTCACCACCTACTATAAACAAGCAATAAACACATCTATTTCACAACCTGGGAAAGTCTTGAATATATCATATTTCGGAGACGTCTGCCGCCCGCGACAAGGGTTGGCTTTGTATTACTAGCTAGCATAACATGCAATCTTCACAACCACACAGATCCACACAGCGAGCACAGTCATCGAGGATGCGCAGCCGAGTGTTGTAAATGAGATTTGCATAACGATGAACTACAGCTGATACCTCAATATATAGCCACGGCGGCAGCGCCGCCGTGGCCGTGGCTGCGCTCTGATCGCTCTTCCAACACCGAGTACATGATATTAACGATCTAAGGACTGGAGGCTGAAGTTGGCTGAAGTCATGCGGAACGGAGAGCCAGGCGCATCTTTCGGCTACATCCGATGAACGCATGAGGTCATCGGCGTGAATGCCGCCATCAGCAACTTCAACGTGTCAGCGACGTTGCATCTTCCACATACTCGACGATGACAGCGCATCAAGCACCTATCTGGAAAACGGGGGATGAGGCACCCCGTCCCCCTCCCAAGGGCGACATTACGGCGATGCCGTGGATTCCTGAACCCGCACGGCCACTTGTTTTTATCAGTGAGTCACCTCACCCCCATCACCTTGCCTTGGCTCTCTCTGCGCACACTCTGCACAATGATGTTGCTACAGAAAGAAGGGGCACAGGAGTGGGAGTTCGTGATCCTGGAGGAAGGGCTAATGCTCAGATGCCAATGTCGTCGACGTCGCAGCCAACAAGGTGCACTCTGGGATGACGGTTCGGATTGAGGACGGTGTCTTCAAGTCCGCCAAGAAGGCGGATCAGGCTGAACTCGACGAACTCGCCAAGGATACGAAGGCGAGGGTCGTAGATGTGGGTGGACTGTGGCTCTGCCCTGGTCTCGTTGATTGTCGTGAGTACTCCTCATCGTTCTGCTGACGTGCGCATGATGACCGGGCTAACTTCAGACGTACACATCAACATGTCTGACGGTGGAAGAGACTTTGTCGAACCCCAGCTCCGGGCAATGTATACTCTCAAGTCCATGCTGGCACGCGGCTTCACGACGGTCCGTGACGTAGGCGGAGCGGGCTACTTCCAAGCTCAGGCCGTGAAGCAGTGGTTGACACCCGGTCCGCGTCTGTTCCAGGGTGGTCGCCTGCTCTCGCAAACAGGAGGACACGGCGACGCGCGCGGCCGCGAAGTGGTTGACAGCGCCCCTTCGATGGGTTGTTGCTCGGGTGACGGACCGCTCATTGATGGTGTTGCTTCCGCGGCCCACATCACCCGCGACCTCATGCGCCGAGGCGCGGACCACATCAAGATCGCGACCAGTGGCGGCGTGTCGTCTCCGACCGATGCGCTCGACTCGATCCAGTTCCTCCCCGAGGAAATCCGGACCATAACCCAGGTCTGCAAGGACATGGGCGGACGTCTGACTACGGCTCACGCATACACCCCCGCCGCGATCAGGAGGGCGGTCGAGAATGGTGTCCGGGGCATAGAGCACGGCAACCTCCTCGACCGCGATACGGCCAAGCTCCTGAAGGAAAAGGACGTGTTTCTGACCCCGACGCTCATCATCAGTACCTGCAAGGGCCGACCTCCGCTCAGTGATTCTCTTCCAGACTGGCAGAAGGAGAAGAACGAGATGGTCAGGCTGAAGGGTCGGGAGGCGATCAAGATTGCCGAGGAGGAGGGTGTAACCGTCTGCTTCGGTACGGATCTGACCTTCGGCATGGGATACCTTCAGAGCGAGGAGTTCCGTATCCGAGCCGGCATTCTGCCCTCTCACACGGTGCTGAAGCACGCGACTGTGAATGCTGCGAAGCAGCTGGGCGATGACAAGATTGGAGAGATCAGGGAGGGGGCGTACGGCGACTGCGTCGTGCTCACGCACAACCCGCTCGACGACGTCCGTGTCCTTGACAGCGGAGGCAAGGGTATCTGGGGAGTTGTGAAGGAGGGCCGCGTCGTCGTCGCCCGCGGAAGGGTGAAGGACCAGGTGAAGCTAGATGTCGTGCTCGGCGTGCCGGATGCGGAGTAGATCCAAAACGTTATGCATAGGTTGATCGTACAGCTTCTGCTCACAGACGACTCCGCGGGGCGATCCTCTGCGCCGCATCGGCAATCGCCTCCTCACACATCTGAGCGACGTTGACGTCAAACAGGACCTTCTGCATGTCCTTGAGCTGTCCCTCGATCTTGCCCATGTCGTCGCCATACTTCCCCTGCCAGTCGTAGATCTTGCCCAGCTCGCGACTAGCCCGCACGAGCCAGAGTCCCCTCTCTCTCCTGGCCACATCGTATGCCTGGAGTGCCGCCTGCAGATGTTTCGGTCTCGTGACATAGTCGCTGGCGAGAATGGCACTGAGTACCGCCGCGTCCTCGATGCCCATGCCTGCGCCTGCTCCATTGTGCGGGCTCGTGGCGTGCGCCGCGTCGCCGAGGATCGCAATGCGGCCCTTCGCAAAGCTCGGTGCGGGATGACCGAGGTCAAAGATCGCCCACACGGGCAGCGTTTCATCGCACATTGACAGAAGCTTGCGAACTGGCTCGCCCCACGTTCCAAAGTCGCGCAGCGCCTGCTCCCGCGTTCCGGTACGGGTCAAGCGCTCGTGGTCGCTCCACTCGTTCGGGTCGGTGTAGAACGCGACGACATTGAGTGTGGCTCCATGGTTGACAGGGAAGGTGAGTACGTGCCCGCCAGGACCGAGGTGCATGAAGCTGTTCTGGCCGAGTTCGGGGCCAACGGCGGCAGTGGCGGCGTCGATGGGGATCAGGCCGCGGTAGGCGTACTTGTGCGTGTATGTTGGGTTGGCGCAGGGGTGCCCGGGGAACATTGAGCGACGGACTGCGCTCTTAATGCCATCGCAGCCGAGGACGGCGTCGGCGTGTCGGACACTGCCATCGGCGAACCTGAGCGTCACGCCCTCGCTCGTCTCCTCGAGCGACGTGAGCAGCTTGCCAAACTCGACGATCCCCTCTTGCGGGAGGAGCTTGACGACCTCGTCGAGGAAGTGAGCGCGGTGGACAGCGTTCTGCCCAAACTCGTTGCGGGCCGTGAAAACAATCTCGCCCGCATGCCCACTCGGATCGTACCCGCGCACATAGTCGAAGAAGACGTCGGACTTCTCGGGCGCCGTGTTCCGCGTGCACACCTTCAGGAAGGCCTCGTAGATGTCGGGATGGCACAACTTCATCGCCTGCAGAGCGTTCGGGGTGAAGGAGACGCCGGCGCCGATCTCGCCAAACGCCGCTGCGCGCTCGTACATTTGCACCTTTATACCGCGGTGGTAGAGCGAGATCGCAAGGGCGAGACCGGCGATCCCGCCACCGACGATCGCGAGCGTGAACGTCTTCCGGTTATCGAGGGGCACGCGCTCCATTGCCGCGTGTCTGCCGTGGTTGTTGTGTGCGTGTGCGTGTGTGCTGCGAGCAGTGAGTAGGGCGAAGGATGCTCAAGTGGGCGGTGAAGCCCCGAACTGGACCGGAAATGTGAACGTAATCAGGACGCCGATCGGGCGAGACACAGCCGAGGGCCGACCGGGGCCAAGTCACCGATCTTGATCTTGAGCATATCCTTGTACAATGTCGCCCTCTGGGGCCCTATGCATATACTGATACAGGTCTACTTCTTCCTCACGCTGAGGACGACAACGTCGCCCTCATCCAGATTGACGCTCGCGAGGGAGCTCGCATTGTTCATGACCTTGCCATTGTAATCCAGGCGCAGGCGCGAGACAGGCAGATCGGCGTCGACCGCCCGCTTGATACGGTCACGCAGATTGCCGAACGTCAGATTAACTGGAAGGTCGGGCACGATGATTGTGCGCCCGTCAAGCTTCCACTCCGGCTTATCCGCCATCGACGGCAGTTGCACCTGAAGCGCGATAGGCTCAGGGTGCAGAGACATCCAGTCAATCTCGCTGTACAGCTGCCCGTTCGGCAGCTTATCGACGCGCGACTTCTTCAACCGCGGCTGCGGCGCATCGTCGTCGTCTGGCGCTGCACGCGTCGGGGCGCTCTTACCGCTGTCCTTCGACTGGCCGGCCTTCTGCTTCGCGATACCGGGCCCGACCTGAGGACCGACAGTGTTGATTGGCGTGTCACTGATACCACGTCGCTCGCGCTCGCGGCGCGCAGCGTCCTCAGCACCGTATCGCGACTGGAAGGTGTCCGAAACCTTGGCGGCGGAGTTCGTGTGACCGTCCCACACGACCTTCTCGCGGTCGCGCTTGCGCTTGAGCGCCTCTTCCTCGCGCTTCTTGCGCGCTGCCTCGTCCTCCTCGTCGCCGAACATATCCGTACGGGCGGCAGCGAGGTTCTTGAGCGACTTGGAAACGTCCGCTCCGACCTGCAGCTGGGCCTGCTGCTGACGACGCTGCTCGAGTTCGCGCTTCTGGTCCTTCCACCGCGGGTCGAGCAGCTCGATACGGATGTGCTCTGAAAGCTCGTTCTCCGGAATAGACTGTCCACAGTAGGGACACTGCGCGGTAGCTACAGGCCCACCGCGCTGGATACCCTTAGGTACGTAGTCCTTCCTGATCTTGACACCGCGGGACTGGAGAGTAGCACGCTGAACGTCGCGGGCACGGGCCTGCTCGCGCTCTGCGACCAGGCGAGCGTTGCGCGCTTCCTCGGCCTCGTCATCGTCGTCCTCCTCCATGTCGACCTCCTCAATGTCCTCCTCCCCAGCAGCGGCGGCGGGAGCCTGCGCAGCCGGCTCCTCCATAATCATGGCGGCCATGCGCTTCTCCGCCATGCTCATCTGGCGGAGTTTATCGATGCTGCTCGGCGGCGGCAGGTCGAGGTCCATGTCGGCCTGGGTGAACTCGATCGTCTCAACCGTGACGAAGTCCTGCCAGTCGATCTCCGCGAACTCCTTGGCCTCTTCATCGCGCTCCTTGGCCTTGTCGTCCTCACGCCTACGCTTTCGCTGCTCCCAAGCCGCCCGTCCCTTCGCCTCCTCCAGAGTGTCCCATTTGGCCCGCGGGTTCGCGTCCTGAGCGATAAGACCGGCGACCTGTCCCTCAGGAGGGTGCATGACCTTCTGGTACGACTCCACCATGCGGTTGTAATAGCCGTAGAGCGAGTGGGTTGGTCGCAGGAAATCGAACTGATAATTACGTCCCTCACGAACAGACAGCGCTGTAAGGAAAGAACGGCCACGTCGGGCGTGGAACAGAGCCGTCAACCGCAGGATGTCGAGGTCCTGAGCGGTGACGCCGGGCAGGTCGACCTTGAACTCCCATGACTTGGGCTCGGGAATGGGCTCCAAGTCCTCAGTCTGATCTCTCGGCGCCGGCGTAGCCGAACCACCAGGTGTGCTGACCGCCGGCTTCAATCCCTTCGCAACGTCCTCGGCGTCCTCGACACAGACAGCCTTCTTCCACTTGTAGTACTGGTGGTACGGGTCTTCGTCGGCCAAGAAGGAGAATCGAGGGTCGCTCGCCTGCGACTCGCGAATCTTGCCCTCGAGAGCGTCGGGATTGCCCGTTTGCGACACAGCAAGAGCAGTCTTGTCGATAATCCCTGCGGGCGTCAGTCTAAACGCACGCATTCTCAACTCACTCCTCATCTCCGGTGGAGGGTAGATCAGGCCGACCTTGAACTTGTCGCTGTGACGAGGAGGACGGTATTCACCGATGTCCTCCTCGGCGCCGGCCGCTGCCGCACCGTTTTGTTTCCGGAGCTCATCCTCTCCTGCGTACGAGTTCACAGGTTTGGGGAGGTTGAGTGCCGGCATGTTTTGCCGTTGTTGTTGTCAGTGATGGCGACCTCGAGGTCACTGTATCGAAGTTGAGTGGTGGTGAGTGGCGATCGGCGGGGATTGCGGGATTAAAGCCACATGGCGGGCTGTGGCGTGGTGACGCGTGTTATTTGTTTTCGTGGGAGACCGATCCCGCACTCCCACGTACGTACGCACGCATCCACAGGAAGGATCCGCCAGGGCCAGGGCAACAACATGAGCCAGCGCCCAAACATTGCGACCGTCAACAAACAGTTCCCTTCTTTCCACATCTCCTGCTCACAACCCCATCATGTCCAGGCAAACGGCCATGCCGCCGCCTCCCCTCCCAGTCCTGTCCTCCTCACCGAACCGCAGTGGAATGCCGTCCCCGGGCATGCTTGCGCCTAACAAGTACTCGCAGCGAGGATCCATGCCGCCCCCAAAGCTGCCCCCACCTTCGTGCAGGTCTAGCACTTCGTCCCGCCCCAGCTTTGCTCTGTCCGATGGCTCAGACAACAACTCGGTCTACGGCAACCCCAACAGCAGCAACGAGCGGATTAAGACTCCCCTCCAGGACTCGAAACAGGACAACATCTCCACCATGGACGATGTGGAGGCTCAGTTTGCGAACCTCATGGTGAGCTTTCTTATACCGAAGATGATCTGACGAACACAGGATACCTTGGAGGTGCCTTCCAGTGTCCGTCTCAAGTTTGGAACGGTCGGGCGTGACGTTAAGCAGTCTATCCTCATGTCGAGCCAAACATCAAACCCAGCCATTCTGGGAGCACTCGGCCTGCCCGCTCCGATCCAAGGGAAGGCTGCTCCCCAGAAACCTAAAATGAAGAAGAACTCTTCAGCGCCTTTCCTCCGCAAGTCCAGGTCTTCTGCCTCCCTCGATGGTGAGCCGACCCAGGTCGGTGGCACTTACAACTACGGGGGCGACCAGTTTACGATTGTCGCTTCGCCCTCGGCTCGTCCTGCAGGTCACTCGAGGGGCCAGTCTGTCGATGTCGGCCGTGCCTCCACCCCGCTAGGCAGACAGCGAGGTTCCGTTCCTCCCTCACCCCGTAAGGTTCCGCCGAGCCCGGCACGCAGCGACCGCAGCTTCAGGGGTAGCACAGGTCCGGCGGAGCTGCCGGAGAGCTACGTGCAGTGGCTGAAGTCGTCCAAGGCCACGGATCTTAACATGGACGTGGGCAAAGCGAAGAAGTTGCGTATGCTGCTTCGGCACGAGGCGACTGGCTGGGTTGCCTCCTTCATCGACGCTGGCGGCTACGACCGCCTCCTCGACCGCATTCAGGACCTGCTTGACGTCGAGTGGCGTGAGGAGCAACACGATGACAAGATGCTGTACGAGCTTCTGCGCTGTGTCAAGGCGCTCTCGACGAGCGAGGTGGGCAAGGCCGCCCTGCGGGCAAGACACCCTCGACCATTCCCCGCCCTGTCCCAACTGCTCTTCTCCGAGAAGAAGCCGGGCGAGCTGGCGTGTCGCCAGATCATCGTGGAGATGTGGTTGTTCCACTTCGAGTTATTCCCTCCGCAGTCTGAGGTGCAGAGATCTGGTTCAATCCGCTTCGAGACCGCGAACCAGGTGGACGTCGTCGACTTCGTCCGCAGCCTGCTCCTCCCCCAGAAAGAGGACAAGGCCAAGGACTACCACGACTTCATCACGCAGGCGCACCGCCCTCGCATCTTTAAGGCATGGGTGCAGGAGATGGCCGACCTGTGTCGCGACTACTTCTGGATCATGTGCCACGGCTCGAACACATTGTGGAGGTTATCAGAGGTTGACGTGAACGCGGTCGAGCGACCGGTCGCCCCGGGAGGTGCCACCGGAGGAGTCGAATTTGAGGCGATGGGCTATGCTGTGAGTGTATCGCAGCGGACACATCTGACAACAGACCATTCACTTCCGCCTCCTGAACACGCTGGTGCAAGCGACGGCCGAGCAGAACATGGACAAGGCTCGTCAGCTGCACCATGACCTGCTGATGTCCGGTCTTGACCGCATCCTTGTCGTGAGTTGGACCCTTCAGTCGACAACTGACAGCAGACATTCCGCAAGGCGTCCACAACGTACTACCCGACGCTGCACCTTGAGCTGGCGCGATACGTCGATTTCCTCCGCCGGGTAAGCCCGGACCACAAGCTCCCGTACTTGATCGGTAAGATGGTCGGCTCGCCGCCCGAGGAGCTGAAGCGACACCGCTCGGCGCAGGAGTGGCTGCCGAGATCATGGGACCCGTCGCAGAGCCCGGCGCGATGAGCCTCGGGAGACGACGGCATCGACGAAGTCGCCCATCATCACAGTAACATGTCGAGAGTCCATTAGAGTCGAACTCGCACCCCTCGGGCTGGACTTTGCGAGCGATCACCCATACATCATACCATACGACACACGACCCGACCCCACATCACCCCAGACAGTATCCCTATCCCCTTTCCCCTGCTTGCGTGCTTTAGTTGTGCATTATGAGAACAATGTAAGAGATGAAATCGGCTAGTGCATGTAGACTTGATGTCAAATGCTGCTGGTCAGAGAGTTAGATGCGCAACGTGGTCAACGAGAGCTTCGGAAACACCGCTGACGCAAGCGCTCAACGGGAGCAAGTGTCAGAGGAATTGTCAACTGTCCAAGGAGCGAACAGGATCAGCGTCACCGCAATCAACCCCAGCCTGTCGAGATTCTACATTTTTGCATGCTCAGTGGTGGGTGAGGGGTATGTGGGATAGAGTATCCAGAATGGAATGCTAAAGACTTGATGTTGTAATTCGTGATGAGAGTCTAATCGTCCTTCCCAGTCGTCGTCACAGCGGTGATGAGTTCGGCGTCGGTGGTCTGTCCGGTGACAGGTCAATCCAGGGGTGCTTCCTATGCGCGATCGGGGAGCAGAGACGCCTAGTGGGAAAGGTTGCGCTTGCCCTTAGCCCTCCGGCGGGCGAGGGTCTTGCGTCCCAGACGGGTGCGGAGGCGGGAGAGGAAGCCGTGCTTGTTCTTCCTCTTGCGCTGGGACGGCTGGTACTCCATTCCCTGCTTAGTTCCACGAGCCATGAAGGGGTTGGGGTTGATACGCTCGAGCAGGCTCAGCGTCGTGGGGCGGGTCATGCGGCTGGCGAGCGAGGCAGAGGCGGGGCGGAGCGCGCGGGCGCGGCGGCGGACGCCGAGGCGGTGAACGTCCTCGCGGCAATGAGGACTGGTCGGAACACGGCGCGGGGCATTGTGTGATGGTTTGGTGTGTGCGAGGAGAGAAGACGGACTTTTAACTGATCTCGTGAAGAAAGTCGGCGGCGGGTTGCAGCAGGCGAGAGAGCCAGGCACGGCCGCCGACCGCCTTTGGGAGGGTGGGAGAAAATGGCCAAAAAGAGGTGGAAAGAAATTCGAAAGACGCACCCACCCAGTCCTGCTGGTGGAGGCAGCGGATGGTTGTAGATTGTTGTTGGTGACGTTTTGAGGAACACACTGGGTTTCGATCACCATCCACCAGTCCACCAGCACATCATGAGCGCTCCCCCGCCGTCGACTGGGCAGACGCCCGCCATTATCACCCAGGCCCCTCCGCCTGCGACTACCCGCGAGAGCCGCATCGCTACCCACTCCCACATCAAGGGCCTCGGTCTCGCCGACGATGGAACCGCCATGGAGACGAGCCAGGGTCTCGTTGGACAGCGTTCGGCGCGCGAAGCCCTCGGCCTCCATCTCGACCTCCTTAGGCAGGGAAAGCACTCGGGACGCCCGCTACTGCTCGTCGGTCCCCCGGGGACGGGTAAGGTGAGTTGATGCGAGGTCCAGAGCAATGCAAAGCGCGAAAGGCGAGCTGGGCCAATAGGTACCAGTCAGTCGAGGTGTCCTCCAGCAAGCTCTGATAGCTACTTAAGCTCGATCGATGTTTGAAGACTCGTGAAGCTATTCGCATCCTTTCTAGACACTACGCTGACGTCAGACTGCCCTCGCTGTCGCGCTCTCGCAGGAGCTCGGCTCGCGTGTGCCGTTCTGCGCCATGGTCGGCTCCGAGGTGTACTCTGGCGAGGTCAAGAAGACGGAGGTGCTCGGAAGCGCCTTCCGACGAGCGATTGGTAGGCTTTGCTCTTGATTACGCCCATCTGACATCAGGCCTTCGCATCAAGGAGACGAAGGAGGTGTACGAGGGTGAGGTGACGGAGCTCACGCCATCGGAGGCTGAGAACCCTCTCAGCGGATACGGCAAGACGATCTCGCACGTTATCGCTGGCCTGAAGACTGTCAAGGGAACAAAGCAGCTGCGCCTCGATCCGTCGGTGTATGAGGCGATTCAGAAGGAGCGTGTTGTCGTCGGCGACGTCATCTACATCGAGGCGAACACTGGTGCTGTCAAGCGTGTCGGCCGCTCGGACGCCTATGCCTCTGAGTACGACCTCGAGGCGGAGGAGTACGTCCCGCTCCCGAAGGGCGAGGTGCACAAGCGCAAGGAGCTCGTGCAGGATGTGACACTGCACGACCTGGACATGGCGAACGCGCGTCCCCAGGGCGGACAGGACATTATGTCCGTCATGGGACAGCTGGTGAAGGGCGGCCGGACCGAGGTGACGGACAAGCTGCGACGGGAGATCAACAAGGTCGTCGATCGCTACGTGGAGCAGGGTGTCGCCGAGGTTGTCCCTGGTGTGCTCTTCATCGACGAGGTGCACATGCTTGACATGGAGTGCTTCACGTACCTGAACCGTGCGCTTGAGAGCCCCCTCTCGCCTTATGTTGTTTTCGCCTCGAACCGCGGCATCTGCACGATTCGCGGCACCGACGACGGACCCGGCGTCATGGCTGAGGGCATCCGGAGTCCGCATGGTCTCCCTGTCGACCTCCTCGACCGCTGCATGATTGTCAAGACGGAGCCGTACGCGCGCGACGAGATCCGCACCATTCTCGAGACGCGATGCCGCGTCGAGGGTCTCAGCGTGCAGCCCGCTGCGCTCGACCAGCTCGCCGACGAGGGCACGAAGTCCTCGCTCCGTTACGCGCTCCAGCTCCTGACGCCCGCCATGATCCTGGCCAAGACGGCGGGCAGGTCAGAGGTCACGACCGACGACATTGGAGAGCTCAACGGCCTCTTCCTCGACACGAAGCACTCGACCGCCATGCTCAAGGACATGGACGCGGCCGAGAAGAAGTACTAGATAGTGGACCATGTATTAGATGCAACTGTGACTCTGTGCGTGTGGGGTGACTGCCGTGCGCGCCATGCATGACATCGGCAGGGTGAGCAGGGGGTTCGGTGATCAAGATAAGTAGTGTGCGTAGGCGTGCGAAAGGAGCCCGCGCACGTGCGGTATCCTACGGTGGGCCTAAATTTGCCGCCAGCCAAAAGTCGGACGGACACTCGACGGACCACTGTGCCGGACTCCGCCGTGGACTCGTCATCTCTACGGCTCGAACTGTCCGTCTCCAACTCGTAATCGTACAATCCTTCACGAACAACGCAAAAATATGCTCCTGCGAGGAATACCGCGGAGTGTCGCGCCGGCGCTGCGAGCCGTGCGTCCCGCGCCTGTCCGACTGACGGCGCTCCCGACACCGACTTCGATGCCGACAAAACTCGGCGCGGCTGGCACGGCTCGGTTTGCCTCGAGTTCCCACCCGCTCGACCGTGTCCGTCGCCTTGCCCATGCGTCGCAACTGCCTGCACTCCAGAAACTCCCGAGTGCGGCGCACAAACCGCCGAAGCGCCGTCTCGAGGCTGCCTCGGCGCCGCTGCGTAACAACCCCGCGCCGACGCGTGGTCCCATTCTGCAGTGTATCGCGCACACAACAGCCGAGCGCTACGATCTGCAGCGTCTTGCTGTCCTTCTTCGTCGGATGGGCGTGCGGTGGGAGGAAGTTCCCGAGGGTGACCGGGAAAGGGCTTTCGTCATCGGTCCGTGGAAGGGGAGGGGTGGCGCCGAGCGCCTCGTTCGCGGGAAGGATGTGCCGAGTTCAGGCGAGGAGGAGCTGGACCCCGACATGGGCTTCGAGTATGGCGAGCGCGGCGAGATTTGGGTCTTCAACTCGGGAAGCTTCGTGACCTGGGGTCTGACGGAGGAGGAGGGACGGGCGTTTGAGCGCGACGTGCTTAAGCGTCGAGGAGCTGGAATCGAGGTCGAGCCCCTTTCGCCGGAGGAATACGAGGTCGAGGAGGTGGACTTTGTCGTCGACCCCAATGACAAGACACAGATTGTCGGAAACCTGATTCTACTCGGCGGACCGCCTGAGCTGTCCACCTTCCCTCCGTCCCCGGGACTTGCCTCCCTCCTCGCCCGTTACACCCTCTCTCTCTCCCTCTCTCGATCCTCCTCGCTCAGTGTGCTTGAGGGCCGTCTCGACCGCCACATCGCCTCTGTATCCAAGATCCCGCGAGCCCTCGCGCTCTTTGGCCAGCAACCGCTCGAGCGCCGCGACGTGATTCGCAAGATGGGCGAGCTGATGGTGCTCCGCATGGCGGTGAATACGCGCGGCGGCGGCCTGGAGGAAACCCCCGAGTTCTACTGGAGTGAGCCCGAGCTCGAGTCGTACTTTGACTCGGTGGCCTCCGAGTTTGAGATCAAGGAACGCATCGAGGCGATCAACAAGAAGATCGACTACGCGCAGGAGGTGCAGAACACGCTGCGCGCGCTGCTCACCGAGGCGTCGGGACATCGCATGGAGCTCATCATTATCGCCCTCATTGCTGTCGAGGTCATCATCGTGCTCATCCGCGAGGGTCCTGAGCTCTTCGAGCATATCCGCCGCCCGCTCGTTGAGGCCCTCGACTCGGTGTTCTACGGCAAGGACGTCGTGCAGGCTAAGAAGCAGCAGGAGAAGGAGTATAACGAGGAGCACCCCGAGATCTGCGGGAGCGGGTCGACTGTTCCTCTCCAGCCTGCTCCTGAGCGCCGTCTTGTCTAACCTTTTGCACGCACACCCTCACCTCTCCACAAACACCATCACTCTACCATCCCACCATTCTGTATTACTAGCACAGATGCATACCACGGACACACAGCAGCAACACACAGCAGCAGCGCGAGTCAGACAAAGTAGCGGCAGCGGGACAAGCCGAAAGCATATTGGTACATCAGACAGACTATACACCGAGAGGTCATCGGTATTTTTTCTAACTACTACTATCCGCACTGGCTGCGGCGTCTCCACAGTGTGCAGGACACGCTCGCTGCGCTCGCTTTGCCCTCGGGCAAGCTTACCAGTCGTTCTTGCCCGCCTTCTGGCGGAGGGGCACGACGCGGTTACCCTTAGCGTAGCCGGCGCCGTCGAGCCAGGGCCAGTTGGCGGAGCGCTTGGCCTCGAACGTGTCAATGTCCTTGGCGTTCTGGAGGGTGAGGCCAATGTCGTCGAGGCCGTTGACGAGGCAGTGGCGGCGGAAGGCGTCGATCTTGAACGGGATCTTCTCGCCTTTGGGGCGGACGACGCACTCGTTCTCGAGGTCGACGGCGATCTCGGCACCAGTCTCGGCGTCCTTGTACAGCTGCTCAAGGGCGTCCTGGGGCAGCTCGAGGGGAAGCATGCCGTTCTTGAAGCAGTTGTTCTTGAAGATGTCTCCGAACGAGGGAGCCATGACACAGCGGATACCGAAGTCGTTGAGAGCCCAGGGGGCGTGCTCACGCGAGGAGCCGCAGCCGAAGTTGGGTCCAGTGCACACGAGGAGCTTGGACTTGGTGAAGGGCTCGCGGTTGAGGACGAAGTCGGCGATCGGCTCGCCGGTCTTGACGTCGTAGCGCGCGGGCCAGAAGAGGGCAGATCCGAGACCGGTGCGGAGCAGAGTCTTCAGGAACTGCTTGGGAATGATCTTGTCGGTGTCGATGTTGGCCTCCCACATCGGCGCGGCAATGCCCTTGACCACGGTGAACTTGGGCTGGCCCTCGCCCGAAGGAGCGGGCTCGGCCTTGGCCTCCTCGTCGGGGTCCTCGCGCTCCTCGCCGGCAGGGGCGGCCTGGGCGGGGATGAGGGGCTCGAGGAAGTCGGCGTACTTGGAGATCTTGATGCCTCCGTCATCCGAAACGTGCTCGCCCATGAGCTTGCGAACGTCGGTGAGGTGACCAGTAAGCGCAGCAGCAGTAGCCATGGCGGGCGAGACGAGGTGGGTACGGCCACCAGCACCCTGACGGCCCTCGAAGTTACGGTTCGAGGTCGAGGCGCAGCGCTCTCCAGGCTTGAGCTGGTCGGGGTTCATGCCGAGACACATCGAGCAACCAGCCTCACGCCAGTCGAAGCCGGCCTTCTTGAAGATGACGTCGAGACCCTCAGCCTCGGCCTGGCGCTTGACGAGACCGGAGCCGGGGACGACCATGGCGTAGACGCCCTCAGCGACCTGGGTGGGGCCACCGTTCTTGCCGGAGGCGACAATGACGCGAGCGGCAGAGCGCATGTCCTCAATACGACCGTTCGTGCACGAGCCGAAGAAGACCTTGTCGACCTTGACGGACTCCATCGGCTGGCCAGCCTCGAGGCCCATGTACTTGAGGGCCTTCTCGGCGTCCTGGCGCTTGTTGGCGGGCATCTCGGAGGGAACGGGGACGTTGCCGGTGATGGGGACGACGTCCTGGGGCGAGGTTCCCCAGGTGACGGTGGGGATGATGTCCTCGGCCTTGAGCTCGATCTCAATGTCATACTTGGCACCCTCGTCAGACTTGAGCGAGCGCCAGTAAGCCTCGGCCTTGTCCCACTCCTCGCCAGCGGGCGAGAGAGGGCGACCCTTGAGGTACTCGAAGGTGATCTCGTCGGGGGCGATCATACCGGCACGGGCACCGGCCTCGATGGCCATGTTACAGATGGACATACGGGCCTCCATTGAGAGAGCGCGGATGGCGGAGCCGGAGAACTCGATAACGCAGCCGGTTCCTCCGGCGGTACCGATGACACCGATGATGTGGAGGACAATGTCCTTGGAAGCGACACCCTCGGGGAGCTTGCCCTCGACGTTGATGCGCATGTTCTTGGACTTGGCCTGGGGGAGGGTCTGGGTAGCGAGGACGTGCTCGACCTCGGAGGTTCCGATACCGAAGGCGAGGGCGCCGAAGGCACCGTGGGTCGAAGTGTGCGAGTCACCGCAGACAACAGTCGTACCGGGGAGGGTGAAGCCCTGCTCGGGACCGATAATGTGGACGATACCCTGGCGCTTGTCGCTCATGCCGAAGTAGGTCAGGCCGAACTCCTTGACGTTCTGCTCAAGAGCCTCGACCTGGGCACGCGAGTCGGCCTCGTTGATGAACGACGAGACATCCTTGAAGGTCTTACGGGAAGTGGTCCTGGGAGTCAGCTGAGCTCATTCGTGGAGGTTGAGGGCAGCTGCTTGCCTGCCAGCGACTTTTCCGAGTCGTTTCAAGCGTGACAAACACCCGCACGGCGATGTCCGCGAAGAAAAGCGCTGAATCCGCACGCCCGCTCCACCGGTTCCGCAGCAGCGGCACGCAGCAACGGTAAAGAGTGCAGTACTCACGGAATGTTGTGGTCGACAGTGGCGAGGGTGCAGTCAGTCCTGCGGACCTTGCGGCCAGCGTTGCGAAGGCCCTCAAAGGCCTGAGGGGAGGTAACCTCGTGAACGAGGTGGCGGTCGATGTAGATGAGAGTGTCACCGTTTCCGGACTTGACGACGTGGTCGTCGAAGACCTTGTCGTAGAGGGTTCTCGGGGCGGACGAGGTCATGATGGGAATGGATATGGGGAAGAAAGCGGGGAAGGGGCTGTTGACGGTCGTCGTATTATACTCTGAGCGACGATCGATGTGGACGCGGTGGACGCGAGGAGTCGAGTTGGAAAGTCCAATGTAACCGGTTCTGGCGGGCAGTGTTTTCGGGTGACCCCACCCGAAAGCCAATCACATTGCGAGTAAAAGTCACCTTAGACCCCTCCGTCGGCCGAAATTGTCTCCCGCCCCACGTGGCGAAATTATTTATGCGACTGACGCGCCTGCCCTTTGCGGATCGTGTGAGCATCGTCGTAGTCGCTTGGTGCAACATGGCCTCCGAGGCGTCTGGTGAAGTGCTTAACTCGATGCGCAATGTTGTCAGTGACTTGGAAAACGAGTCAGATTATGTTAGTCTTTCTGGAGTTATCACAGAAGTAGGGCGCTGTCTGTGCGGCAGTCGCCGGGTTAGTCGTCGTCGGGTATACGCTGCGGCAGAGTGCGGAGGCACAGTAGCCAGTCAAAGACTGAGCCATACGGGGTGGGCAGTCCTACCCCTCCTGAGTCCGTAGAGGTGCAGCAAAATGATCTTTTCCTTATGAAGCCAGCGCCAGCACCTCGGCAGCCGTGTGCATGCTCTCCGCTTCAAATAATATGTTTCGTTCGCTCCAGGAGAGGTGGCTATCGGAAGCGCACATCGCTTGCAGGGTTCGAACTCAGCATCACGTGGATAGGAAACCGGATATAGCCCAGCGGGGCGCACGGCCCACGTGAACATCTTCGCACCCAAGAAGTGCCTTCTTATTTCAGTGGTAGAATATTTCTTTCCTAACTACCGGTGAAAGGAAACGGTCGCGGGTTCGACCCCCGCAGAAGGTTCATAGCTTTTTGGAGATTTCTGGGTGTACTATGCAGCAGAGAGTTGATTAGAGAGCACGCCAGGAAGGTTGAAGAAGTGGTGTTGTGAGCTGATTCAGTGATCTGCTGCTGTGTGATCGGCGTCAGGTCCGGGAAGGGCCATGTGTGCGTGTGCGTTCTGGGCCTAGCCGCCACACTCACAACTTGCCACGACAACGAGCGCTCGTCCCGCAATCCTATGTGTGAATCAATTATCCCCGGTCAGCTTTTCATACTGTTGTCTAGGCTATGCATGGACACGGGGACAAATGTGTTTCGCTCCCGCCGTTGTCCTCTGCTGCCCTAATCACCACATCCGTCCTACGCAATGACCAGCTGGCATTAGCTCACGAACGTTCCCGGTCAGCTCACCCAGAGTGCCTCGCGATGCAGCTTGGCCAATTTCTCCCCCTTGCCCTTTGCCGCTTTCTTAGCTGCGCCCTTCTCCTTGCGCTGCGTGCGCCACGCTTGTGTCCTCGCCGTCGTATTCGCGAGTACGTCGTTACGGCCGTGGTACGTCACCTTCACGGGCGGCAGGATCGTGCTCGGCTCGATGACAAGAGAGGCGTACGGAGTCAGCTTGCCTAGGGCGGAGGAAGACTTGGTTTCAGATGGAGTGGCAGATTGGGCGCTCGCGGGGCGCTTGGCGTCGGTGACGTAGAGGTCACCGTCTTCGTCGTCATCTTCTTCGTCGTCTTCGGGAGCAGCAGGTACTGTGGCAGAAGCAGGAAGAGTCATGCCCAGCAGAGTGTGCAGCTCCTCCGTCCCAACAATCCTGGGATCAGTTTTGCCCCTAGTCCTGCGCAACTCACGAAGCCTCCAGCCGGTGAGGGCGGAACAGCATCTGATTGCCCTGTTCCAGCACAGCTTCGACCGCCCTACGTCGGTCAGAGGCGGCATGCACCTGCGCCCCGGCGCCTATGACAGCACCGAGCACGGTGCCGACGCCCGGTCTGGAGTCAGCTGACGACAACCTGCATTGGACAGCTCTCTGTCCATCACACATACATGATCATGCTCGCGAAGCTGGCGACGGTGACGGCCTGCGCTTCGGGGCTCCTGCACATTGCCACATTTAGACTGTCGATGAAGGCTATGAAGGCCTCTTGGGGAACCGGCAGAGTGTCAGCATAACCCCGTATGAAGGGGGAGTCGGGACTGTAGGCTTGTTGCGGGAGTACGAAGGGGCGAGTGAGCCCGGCGTGCGAGCAGGTGGACTTGATTGATTGCTTGCTTGCTGCGTCGCGGCCAGCCGCACGGACGAGAAAGGGTGTTAGGAGAGTGGAGGCCATGATGTCTGCTTGGATGGGCTAATACAAACGGAGTAGAGCTTTTGTACCCTGTTGGCTATCCCGGTCGATGACGAATCGAACATGGGGCGTAATGAAGCTGTGAGAGCACGGGGCACCCAGTGTCTGACGTTCATCGCCAAGAGGGCTATGCTATAGATCACCCGGCAGAAACACAGTACAGCCCTCATACTGCTTTGCTCTTTGTTGAGTAGCATGCTCGGCACTCGCATTTTCTGAGGTGGCAAGAGTGGCAGAAGCCCTCGATTTTGCGTATTTAACAACAATGGACGAATGGCGGAGTTGGCCTGTGCCTGTGTTGTTAGCCTCAGTCTGGGATGCCGAGAGTCCATGTGATCATCACGGCGTACTAGTCCGTTTCCACTCCACCTATGACCGAGCCTCCGCCTCCCCACTTCTCTCTTCTCTCCTCATCACTTACTGATCATCATGTCTGAAGCAACCGGAACGAGCTGGACGTCAGCCAGCAGGGTGTCCACACCACCTACCTCAGTCACTTCGTCATCCTCAGACTTCTCCGACGATTCGGTAACGAGCACCGAGTCCGAAGTCCGATGGCGCCGCCGCGCAATCTTCGGGCGGGAGGAAAACCCGCCGACGATGTGGGACAATCTGAGCCAACATCGCTACATGGACTGGCGGAGCGTGGATACCGGAAGCGATCACGAGGAAGACGGTGGTGACATTTGGGTGCCCGACGATTGGGTCGCGAGAGACGGATGGCCACCGCTCGCGCTCCTCGGCGCCAGCGATGAGGGATGCCAGCGTCGATCTGTGCTTGTGCATTGGACATGGCACCCTGAGCCTCCGTTTCCATCTACACCTGAATCCGTTCAGGCCATCGAGGACGTCATGGCGAACACGGAACTCGAACCGCTCGCCCCAGCTATCGGGAGGGTGCGGTTCCACAATGTACCAGGGCTGGAGCAGTACGTGCTCGCCAATTTGGACAGTGAACCGCAGAGTATGCAGTGGGAGGGGCTCTGTTTTCACCGTATCGACTATGGGACTTGCGGTAGAGATGTTGTCGTGTTCGAGAAGAGGTTGGGAGAGATGTTGCTGGGGTGTCCTGGTGGAGGACCGGTTTGGGAGACACTCGCCCAAGGACGGAGGTGGGATTGGCTCGTGAAGGCTCACCGACGGCGCGATGCGGTGAGCTGAGACAGTAAGCTGGGGTATTCGGCTGAGCTGCGCTCTAAGTAGCTCAATGGCGTGCATAGCCTCCTCGAAGTGATGCATTGGTGTTCGAAAAGCATTGGCTGAGCTCGAAGACGTCGCGAAGGATATCAAGAGACCGAGATCGGGATCTTCAAGATGGCCGGTCATGCGAGCGTAACGTTGTCTGTATGTCCTGGTCCCCTGTCACCCAGCACTGAATTGCAGCACATTCGGAAGCGTTACAGGTCCACGGCTCCCCCCAGGCCCCAGGAATCGACATGGCGCTTGCAATGGATCATGACGGAGAGTCTGGGCTCATCTCCTTACGGCGACCGTTGCTGGTACTATGCGGAGCACTGGCAAGGCTACCACAAAGCTACAAACGAACGCGCGGTATGGCAACATGGCAAGAGAACCGCCCCTTGAAGCGTGCTCGTGTAACTGTCAGAGGCAGCCACATGACCAATGTTGGTCTCATAGGGGGCTTGCCCGCAATCACAGGGCCAATGGTTACCACAGCGACACCCGCCAGCCACACCACGTTCCACAGAGGGGAGGATGCCGCTCCGCCTAAATGCATTTGCTTGCAACGACAATCCTACCCCCCCCTGCTCGTTGGTCTTACCCATGAATTGGACACTCCAGTGGCGAGCAACGAGACACATAGTCCCCTCCCGGTACCTGTCGACAGTGGACGGCCCGCGGCAGATGCCGATGTGGTGGCTCTTCTTGAACGCCGACTTTGACCCTATGCGTGCTTTCGGCGGTGCCAGCATCATCGCTGTGGCTTGGGTCTGGGCCAGCCAGAACAGGCGCGGCAAATTGACACTCCGCTACGCCGCTACGTAGTCGTTCCCTTCCTCCACCCTCTCTGGTCCGTGCGCCGCCGGACGTCGAATTCGCCAGATCGTCGTAAGGAGCCGGAACCATGAGGCAGGCGAAGCGGGAGAAGCCGGAGATCCGCATGTCACGACCGTAGTCTTGCTGTGCAAAGGGATGGCGCATCGGCACATGCGACGTACAGTGTACATCAGGCAATTTGCGACGCCGCTGCACGACGCTGCACTACGCCGCCAGTTCCAGATTCGTAAGGTAGGGAGGGGGTGCGAATGTGCATCAAGAGCATACAACTCGCACAGCCCGGTGGAGAGCCACGCACGGACCTCAGTGTGTTGACACCGAGAGAGATCCTACGAGCTCGAGCCTCACTGGACCGCATACAAAGGCAACACGTTCCTCCTTCCTCCTCTCTTGCCTCGTCATCACCACCCATATCCTCACGGCCTGCCGACAGCCGACATGCTGCTCAAGACGCTCGCGGCGCTCGCGCTCCTATTCTCCGCCTCTGCCGTCCCCGGCTCGGAGTGGGGCGGCGACCACTCTCCCGCTCACGCTGTCGCTCCCGCGACCATGCACGCGAACGCCAAGACCCCCACGGCCCGCCTCTGCACCGAGGAGTTCTCGCCCAACGGCCAATACATCGACCACGGCTGCGGCATCGCGATCCAAACCCACCGCAAGCGGTACAGCGGCGTGCTGTGCGTGCGCACGCATGCGGACACCAAGGAGGGCGACGACGTCTTCCTCGCGCCGTGCGAGGCGCTCACGACCTCGGGCGGGAGGTGGGACATGCTCCTCGGCTCGACGTCCATTCGCAACATGCAGGCCAGCGAGCCGGGATACTGCCTCGCGGCGTCTTCGGACCGGACCCGCGTCGTCATGGCCAAGTGCAAGGACTGCGAGGACCAGAGGTGGTTCACATCCCTCAGCGATGGATATGTGGGCAAGATTCAGTGGGGCGGCCCCGAGAGTAACCTCTGCCTTGCCAATCCTGGGTCTGGGCGTAATGTTCGCGAGCTCAAGCTCGACTGGTGTAATGACTTCCCCGGGCAGGTGTGGGAGATGAGCCAGCTCGGTGAGGCGACGGGATAGGCGGAGGGATACCCTAATAGACGTATGTCTGCATAGCTTAGTTCCAGTGCATGCATGGACGCTGTAATTCGTATCCGGCTGGATTGAGCGGGGAGCACGACTGTGTCATGGGCCATCGAAAGGGAGATGAACATCGGGCTGTACGAGGTCGGACGGACAGACTGAGGGGTTCCGATGCTGCGTCGTCCGCCTGGTCTCTTCAGGAGATGGCGGTTTGCTGTGTTCAATCGTGAAATGCAGAGCTGCTCGGAGACCCTCGTCGTGTCGAGGTTGAGTTGCAGATGGGCGATGCCGAGGATGCCAAGTCGAAGCAATTTGACTCTGCTCTGCCCTCAACGGCTGTTGCGACGGAAGAGACGATTGGCTCGAGATATCCGACTATCTTGAGTTCATCTTCAGAACCAAAGTCCGCCCCACGCCCTCGCCTCCTCCTCTCAGCTTCCATGCATCGTCTTCCTCGCTTATCCGGCACTCGACAGGCTCCAGCCTTCGCAAATCTCGAGCCAAATCACAATCTCAACGTAAGGCCTGTTCCTCCGATGTGCTTCCGCGGCAGATCCAAACTCTATTCACGGGTTCGGCCCACTATCATCGAGGTTACCCCGTCCAGCCACAGTCATCCCTGCGCATACCCACTCTCTGCGTCTGCTTTGCATGCGTAAGAGCGGAGTTCTGGAACACGCTCTCGCCACTGTAGAAGAATCACCCTGCATAGGCAGACCCTGGAGTTCTCATCTACAGCTTCGCATGATCGGGGCTGCGTACCCAGCACATGACGGGAACCGAGTGATCACCGCGGGTGTCACGTCGCCTGCGACATGGCTGTGTGACTTCCTGCATCGGTGTTGGGATGCATTCATCGCTGTCGAGGGCAGCCAGGGCATGCAGGACAGCGTCATGAGCTATTCAGTTGACTTCGGGAGGCAATCAGAGCAGCGGGTCCGAGCGTCTCTCACGATTCAGTCACTCGCATATCCGAGACCAGTGCTGGATTCGCCGACCAGGTTGCCCGCTTGATAACCCCGCTGGCGAACGGCTCTCGGTCGATCGACCCCATTTCTCGGAGCGCGGAGCGGAGCCGTGCATTCGCGGTGCTACTAGTCCCCGACCCAAAGCATTCAGTGTAGCGGAGCCGAGTGTAAGTGCATGAGTGCGAGTGCACTGGCGGCAAGCCCAGTGCAAATGGCGCAAGTGGGACTGGGGGCATGTGCGCCGCAGGCACTTCGCACCTGCCCGATCTACCTGGCCTGCTGATCACAATAGAGCAGTTCCCGCTTCATGGCGCATTCGATGGGCGCACGTCGCCCGGGGCACGACTGCACTGCACTTGATCTTGATCTGTCGGTGAAGCGGAGTGATCGATCCGAAGCGCATACACTGCCTGCAGCATGGAGAACATGCACGAGAGAAACGAAGTACGCATGCTCATTCCCACAGCCCATCGATGCAGTGGGCAGGTCCAGGAACGGAGGAACGTAAAGGCTTTCGTTACTAGCCCTTGTGTGCCAGGTCCGCGCTAGCGTGACTTGGGGCTCGGAGTCAGGGGACACTACGTCGTTTCATATATAACGTCCCCCGGACCAGTCTCTCTGTCTCTTTCAGCTACCGACCTCTGTCTCGTCCTCGCTCTCACGACTCCTTCACGAACAGCGACACCCTCAGCTATTTCCTAGTCTGCACTCCGGCTCACGGGTGCTCTCTCTTCGACCCCCGCTCCTCGCCGAAGTCTGGTCGACGCTACTATCAGTAGCTCGCCTGCAGGCCCTCTTGCCCTCTCCTCTCTTCGCTGCCTACCGCTCCCTTCTCGCTCGTCCGCCCGACAGCATGCTCTTCTCAACTCTGTCTCTCTTCCTCGCCGCCGTCTCGGCCGCACCGATCAAGCGCTCCGAGTGTGTGCCCAACTACGCTCCCGACGGCACCTACATCGACGAGGGGTGCGGTATCGTGATGCGCGCGAACGGCGGTCTCTGCATGCGGACCGACTACGACACCCAGCCCTCTGCGCCGGTGTATCTGGAAGAGTGCCTTGCGGGGCAGCACGGCCGGTCCGGTGGTCGCTGGAGTGTGTCTCTGGGCGACACGAAGCTGCGCAATATGGAGGCCGCGACGCCCGATTACTGTCTGACGGCGAACGAGGCGCGGACGCTTGTTGTTGCGCAAAGGTGCGAGGAGGGCAACAAGAGCCAGAACTGGGAGACCTCCCTGCCCTGGGGAGACAGCCAGGACGCCCGCATCAAGCTCAAGGGCGAGGACGTGTGCGTGCAGGCGAGGAAGACGGGCAAGGGTGACCAGATCGAGCTGGCCAAGTGCGGGTGCTTGACGGATCAGATCTTTGATGCCCCCGGTTTGGCGCCGTAGGCATCTCGACAGTCTCAGTCGACGAACCATCCCGACGGGCACAATTATCAGGACAATCATACTGTCAATCATACCCGAACCTCTCAACACTTAATCAGTTTCGGTGCAGCGACGTAGTGACGTAGCGACGTAGCGACGAGCACACGCCCACCACCCCCACAACGCAACACGATATCGCATGTATAGAACAAACAAACGGACTATGTAACCTCGCCCCACGCTCCCCTTGTGTATGAATGGACAGTACCATGAACTTTTCCAAGAGGGTGTCCGAGACACCCGGACGCCCGAGGCGTTTGAGGGACGCGCCGATGGCTGTCGGATGGCTGTTGGATGGCCGTGGGTGGCTTAGAAACGGGGCACCGTGCATGCGCGCGCTCGTCGCTGGGCGACCTGTTTGACACACTCTACACAGCTTTCGGCTTACTGGACAGACATCCCCGGACTGTTGGAAGTGACGGCGGGGCTGTTGTACTGAACGCCTTTGTCGTAGATGTCAGCAATCACTTCGGTCTGTCCAATGAGGTCGGCGGAGCTGTGGAGCTGCGCACTCTGTATTCATGGACGGGTGCTCGCTTCTTCCTCCAGGGATCCTGAGGCATTCCAAAGACCCATCCTTCCACAGTACGATGACCGCGTTGCTGAGAGGCTCCGGTGTGAGGCGAGAGAATATCGGGAACGTCGGGTTCCGCTGATGACAATCAGAGCTGTGACACTTGCTGCGGAATATCAACACAGCCGTCAATTGCAAGAACGCAGCGATAAGCCAGCCTTCTCACGTCCATCACACTAACACTAAGCTCGGAGTTCGGAGTAATCCAAGCGGCGCGCAGCGTCACGCCGATGATCGCCGCCGGCTCGGGAGGTGCATGATCGCCGCGATCGTCGCCAAGCCGTTCTGGGCCGCAGCTCTGTCATCATTTACGTGCCAAGCCTGCCTCATACCACCACATCTCTATACCATGCCTCCAAAGCTCCAAAGTCTCGCCCTCGCCAAGCCTATGTTATGGACTAGGCACTGCAGATCGCCGAAGCACGCCGGAGCACGCCGAGGCATCGCCGGCGGACTTACTTGGAATCATGTCAGCACAGCAATCGAAACACACGTGCGGAATCAGATAGATGTGCAGGATGTGTCAGCCCGACGAGCCGAGATGGCCGAGGCACCTTGCTGTGGTCGGCAACCAGACGTCATAGTGCGGAAGTCCATAATTCCAGAAGCAGCGGAGCACGATCAGCCGAATCATGTTATAAAGCTGACAGCCGTATCGGTCATGCCCTTCTCTGCATCGTTCACACCCATCTCTTCTCCAACATTCTATAAAAGACCACCCGACGCCTCTTTCCTTTCTCTCCACCTCCACACTCAACTTACACCATGTCCCGCGCCACAGCCTTCATCACCGGCGCCGGCCCCGGCACGGGAGCCGCCATCGCCCGCCTCTTCGGCGAGAGCTACAATCTGATCCTCATGTCTCGCTCGCTGCCCGGCTCCCTCCCCTCGCTGAAACTCGACAATGTGCCCGAGTCCAACATCCTCCCCGTCACGTATGACGGCACGCCCGAGTGCTACAAGAAGGCCGTCGCTGACGCGGCCAAGAAGTGGCCCGGGTCCGAACTCAAGGTCGGCATCTGTAATAATGGCGGACCGTGGATTCCGGGGCCGTTCCTTGAGAAGACGAGCGAGGAGTTTGAGAGTGAGTCTGACCCCCTGCGCCTGGCTCTCCCTTCCCCTTTGATCGGTCATCGTCCGATTACCCCGTATGTCAGGAGATATAGCTGGGCTGAGGGTGGAGAGGGGGACAAGTCGGCTCGCTGGCGCTCACGCTGGCGCTCACGCTGGCGCTCACGCTGGCGCTCGCATCGCCTCGCGACCTCGCTCCGCTCGGCGCTAACACGCAGCAACGTACGAATTCGCCCGCCAAGGCTTCGACTTCTCCCAAGCCGTCATCCCCGCCATGCTCAAAGCGGGCGGGGGCACGCTCATCTTCACCGGCTCGACCTCAGCTTTGAGGGGAAGTAAGGGATTCGCCGCGATGAGCCCCGGTGCCTTCTCGCGCCGTTCGCTGTCGCAGTGCCTCGCGCGCGAGTTCCAGCCGCAGGGCATCCATGTCGCCCACGTCGTGGTGGATGGGCAGATCAACACGGAGCGCGTCGAGAAGATGATGGGCAAGGTTGGGCCTGACGAGAGACTCGACCCGAACGATATTGCCGCTACGTACATGGATTTGGTCAAGCAGCGGCCGAGCGCTTGGAGTCAGGAGATTGACATCCGTCCTGCCAAGGAGAAGTTTTAAGCCCGCCCTTGGATGGACAGTTGGGAGACCTGAACCGAAAGAAGTACACCGCGTATGCATTATATGCTCTTAGTCTGGAGGAGAGGTCATGGCGAGTTCAGCTTGCCCTCGGCCCACTGGTAGACGCGGCCTACGACCTGGGCCCGCCCGTCGACGAGCTGGCACTTCATCGCTCCCCCGCGCACCGAGACTTGGTGCGCATCCAGCGTCGTGCCCTGCGCATCGGCGGTTGCGTTCTGCACGCCAGTGACGGCCGTGATGCGCGGCGCTCCGGGACCAGCGAGGTAGTACTGCGTCAGGAGGGCGTGGGCGGATCCGGTCTGGGGTCAGCTAAGGCAGCACACCAGCTCTGAATCATATACTCACAACGGGGTCCTCCGGAATACCGACAGCGGGCACGAACACGCGCGAGTTAATGCGGACGCCTCCCTCGCCCTGGCCGACGACCTGCGTCAGGACACCATGGTGCTTCAGTTCGGGAAGGAGCTTGCTCGTGTCGACGGGCAGGTTCTGCAGATCCACGTCCGGCGTGAGCTCGGCAATGACGCCCTCGCCGTGCTCGATCCGGGCAAACTGGACAAACTTGTCCGGCGTAAGGCCCGTCGCGCGCGAGATGACGGGGCCGAACATGGCCGCAGTGTCAGCGGAGGGTTGCGGCGCCTCCGCGATCGGGAGGGAGAGGCCGACGTCAATAGCGCCGTTCTCCAGCCCGTTCAGCGTCGCCACGATCGTGCCCCGCTTCTGCGTCTTGAAGCTGAGAGCCTTGAGGGAGGGGAAGAAAGGGAAGAGCACGCCGGCGGTTGCGAGCGACGCGTGCCCGCACAGAGGGGATTCCTGTTGTCAGCTCGCGCAGTGTGCATACTCAGCTGAGTTGGGAGGAAGACTTACCATACCTGCCGGTGTGAACCATCGCATCGAGTACTGCCCCGCAGCTGCGTCGATCTCCTCACAGAAGGCAGTCATCGGAAGCGCAAAGTCCTTAGCGACATTGGACATCCACTTCTCGTCGGACGCACGAGCATCGCCGGAAGGAAGGAGGACGATGGCCGCCTGGTTGCCGCCGTGGGGAGTCGAGGCGAAGGCGTTGGCGAGGTAGAACTGCAATGGAGCCATTGTCAGTGGGGATCAGGGAGTGAGTGAGAGAGAGAGAAGGAGAAGACAGATGCAAGATAAGAAGGGATTGTCGAGTCAACCCTGTCTATGATCCCAGCAGCGGACCGAGATCTCGCTGATTCATGTTCGGAATGGTGCGAGCGAGTCGAGAAGCAAGCCGTCTCTCCCTGGGTCGTCGCTGATCGCCGGTGACTCATGACGCACGACAGCCAGGGCGCATGCCTGGAATGCGCAAAAAGGCACGCCAGGCCAGCACGCCAATCTGATAGCGCGGGAGCAAATATGTACTATAGTACATGAGCACCATGCGGTCGACCCACATGAGCGCGCGCGTTTTAGTTCCGCGCCTAAATTACCGCTCCTGGTGGACATCGGCGCTCAGGGCCGACCCCGTGACTTGCCACTGGACCGCACACGCTACATCCGTGTCCCTTCCCCGCAAACAACACACTCATCTCCCACTCGATCATCCTTCCCCCCCTTTCATCACCATCTTTCACCCTCTCACTCCTCAGACTCCGTTGTAAAATTAGCACGACGCGACGGCCGACGCACAGACGCGAGAACACGGCCCAAAAGCTGCGACTGTGATTCACTAGACGCGCTCCGGTCAACCAGCACGACTATCTCGCGGCGCGAGTGCCGGCACTCAACACCATGGCGCCCCGCGCGCCGACACTCCTATCCCTCATCTCCTCGACGTCATATCCGCCATTACCGAGCGTCGAGGAGCTGGAGCAGCTGCGCAATGCGCTCGAGGCGCAGGCCGCTAGCGTCGCGGTGCGCTCCGCAGCTGCAGGCGAAGACAACCGCAAGAAGGACAAGAAGAGGAAGGACCGCGAGGCGACCGACGACCGTGAGCGCGCTGCCCTTGCCGCGAATGAGCGCTCTGGGATGGCTCTCGACGCCGTGGAGCGGAGAAGAATGGGCAATGACGACGTGAAGGTCAAGCGGGAACGAGGTGAGTGTAGCTAGGTGGTGTTCGGCTCCAGCTGACGGCAGAATCCCCTGCACCGAGCAATGCGTCTTCTGCGTCGTTCCGGCCACATGGTAACCAGACGACGTACGGCAACGGACACAAGAAGAAGAAGGTCAAGCGCGTACTTGATTCAGAAGACGAGGGAACACGTGAGTTCTACTGCCTCCAGCGAACTGACAGTCAGCACACGCTACTCCGCCAGCACACGGACAGTCAACGTCGGGCCTAAAGCTGAAGCTGCCGAACGGATCGAACAACAAGTCGCGGCCGTCGATTGACCCGAGTCCGACACCGTCGAGCTCAACGCTGAGCGCAGGTCAGGGTGGAGGGAACATTGACTGGAACCTGCCGCCGCCGCCGCAACGAGCGCTGGTCCCGCCGCGACCCGGCGTGCAGAAGCCGCTGAAGCCCGGACCGAAGCGACAGGCAGATGTCGACGAGGACTTCAGCGACAAGAAGGCGCCGTCACAGATCGCCGTGCAGACGTTCTGGCAGAACATTGAGCCGTACATCCGCGACATTCGCGAGGATGACCTCGCCATGCTCAACTTCAAGGCGGACACGCCCGAGTCGTATGTCATTCCGCCCCGCGGTCGGCACTACACCGAGATCTGGGACGAGGAGGACGGCAACCCGCCGGGCACGACGCCACGTGTGCCTGTGCCCGCCATGCGCCAGCCGACGACAAACCAGCCGGTCGTGCACTGTGTTCCGACGGATCTGCGAGATCCGAACCTAGCGGAGGAGAACCGAGGTCTGGGCCCCATGACGGAGCGTGTTGTCGCGGCTGTCGTCGCCGGAAACGACCTCGCTGACGCTGCCAAGCAAGAGGCGGCTGGCAAGCCTGAGCCTTTCGAGGAGAACCCGCAGGCGCCCCGCGTGGACGTCGTGGACCTCGAGGACAAGGTCAAGAAGGAGCTCAGGAGCACGATGCTGCTGGGGGAGCATGAGGAGGTAAGCTTCCAGATGTAGTCCGAGCTGACATCAGTTTGACGCTGCAAATCGCGACGATGACGAGATCACGTCCGCGCTCAGGCAGTGCCAGCGCTTGCTGCTGCAACAGACTGCCATCAACGACGAGCGCAAGGCGCGTCTTGCACGAGTAGCGAAGGACCGTCTCGCATACGGAGAGTACCAGAACGTGCTCGACGAGATTGAAAAGTCGATCGAGGCTGCCTGGGCGAAGCGCACCAAGAAGCACGGCTCTGGTGGCAAGCAGGTGCTCCAGGGCGGTGTCATCTCGGGCGCAGGACGACCACCGGTTCCTGAGTCGTTCAAGCAGAAGCTCAGCGTGCGCGACCGATGGATCAAACAGGTCGGCAAAACAATGCTGGACCGGCCCGCGGGTGAGGTCATTGGCACCCCCACGAAAAGCATCTACGAGGGAATCGGGGAAGGAAGCGAGGAAAAGGACGAAAAGGCGGTGGACGAGGCTATGGAGGTGGACGAGGCCGAGGCGGACGAGGTCGAGGGCATGGCCGTGTAACGACACACGAGATCTGTAGGAGAGGCTTTTGAGAGGACACATATTGTACACGGCCGAGCGCGTTAGAGAGGGCACGCGTTACGTGACGGTCGTCGTAATATAGCAGCTGATAGACGAAATGTAACACTATTTGTTGGCCACTCATGTTGTGCGAGTCAGGTGAGCGGAGTGCGGGGTCCGACTGTCAGAGATGCACGAAGGATACTTGGTCGGCATCTGGAGATTCAGGAATGTCTACGTTGGTTTTGTTATCATGTCGGCGGGGAGGGGCCAAGGCGATTGGCGGAAACCAGGTACCGGCGGCATGTTCGTCATCGGTTGGGGGCGGGTTCAGGTCGCGCAGGTGGTTGTACGGGCGCTGGGCGGTCTCTTGGCTTGGGTCAGTGGTGGGATTCCCTCATTCCCTCCCAGGGCCCTCTCCAAAATCCAGCGATTCACTACTGCCTCCTTCTTGACTCCTCTCACTTTTCCTTCACCTTCCAACACAGACTATAACACCACCATGTCCGTCTCGTCGGGAGAGGATACAGCCCCCGCAAACTCGAGCCCCAGCACACCCGAGATGCGCCTAACCGTCCCCAACCCCGCTCGCAAGACCAAGCGCCGCATCGCAGTCCTCACCAGCGGAGGAGACAGCGCTGGCATGAACGCCGCTGGTAAGTCCACAAACATACCTTGGGCTCTCAACATCCAGCGCACTGTTGTGGCCCCCGGCTGCCTCGTGTGCCGGTGATCGAGCTCGGGTCCCTCCGGCCTCCCTGTTGCCGTGTGCATGGTGCTGACCTCTAGTCCGTGCGGTTGTTCGCCAAAGCATTGCCCGGTAGGTTTGGCATCTGGTAGAGCACGTTTGTTCGTTTTCGCTAACAAAGTAGCGGCTGTCAGGCGTACATCATCCGTGAAGGCTGGGAGGGCCTTGTGCGCGGTAACACTGACGACCCGACCCCGGCCGCTTCCGTCCGGCCGTCGGCGGCTGCCTCGCCCGCGTTCGGTGCCGTCCCGCCCACCGGAGAACTTCCACCTCGACTCAAGCAAGTCGGACGCCGACGGGGGCGACGAGGCGCACGGCGTCAACTATGCCGACCCCACGAGCATTGCCGACCTGACGGCGTCGCCGCTGCGATTCGGCTACGGCGGCCTCCTCCGCGATGGTGCCGGCGAGTTTGACGAGGACGAGTTCCAGGGCGCCGTCAACGACCCGAACACGACTGGCAAGACCCTGCGCGGCAAGTACATTGTGCGCGTTGGATGGGACGACGTCCGTGGATGGCTCGGCGACGGCGGTACGGTCATTGGAAGCTCGCGATGCCCCTCTTGTGAGTTGCGCCCTTTATTGGTGGCTGACCCGCCAAGTCCGTACCCGTGAAGGCCGCCTGAAGGCCGCGCGCAACCTGATCCGCTATGACATTGACTCGCTCGCCGTGTGTGGTGGTGACGGATCGCTGACCGGCGCCGACACGCTCCGCGCCGAGTGGCCGTCGCTGCTCCAGGAGCTGTATGACAATGATGTCATCACGGAGCAGCAGTACGAGAATCACCGGTACCTCAACATTGTCGGTCTCGTGGGATCCATCGAGTGAGCTATCCGAGCCAGAATTGAGCTGACAGCAGCAACGACATGTCGATGACCGACCTGACCATTGGTGCGGTGACGGCGCTGCACCGTATCTGTGAGGCGATCGACTCGATCTCGTCGACTGCGTCGTCGCATTCGCGTGCTTTCGTCATCGAGGTCATGGGCCGACACTGCGGTTGGCTCGCGCTCATGGCCGGTGTCGCGACCGGCGCCGACGTCGTGTTCATCCCCGAGAACCCGCCGCCTGACGACGACTGGCAGTCGGACATGTGCAAAGTGCTGGACCAGCACCGCAAGGTCGGCAAGCGCAAGTCGATCGTCATTGTCGCCGAGGGAGCGATCGACAAGAACCTGAACCCCATCAAGGCCGACTACGTCAAGGACCTGCTGACCGACCGCCTCGGTCTCGACACGCGTGTCACGACGCTCGGTCACACGCAGCGCGGCGGTGCGCCCGCGGCTATGGACCGTATTCTGCCTACGCTGCAGGGTGTGCGCGCGGTGCAGACGCTGCTCGAGGCGACGCCGCAGACACCCTCGTACATGATCGGCATTGCCGAGAACAAGATCACGCAGGTGCCGCTCCTCGAGGCGGTCGCGCGCACCAAGGAGGTCGCGGACGCGATCGAGAACAAGGACTTCCCGCTCGCCATGTCGTACCGCGACTCCGAGTTCCGTGACATGCTCGACGCGTTCCGTGTTAGCAGCTCGCTCGCCGAGTCGAACAAGGTCGAGGAGGACCAGCGTTTGCGTATCGGTATTATCCAGTGAGCTGCCGGTCTTGCTGAAATAGCTAACATCCAGCGTCGGTGCCCCCGCCGGAGGCATGAACGCGGCCACGCGTCAGGCGGTGCGCTTCTGCTACAACCGCGGCCACACTCCCTTGGCGATCTACAACGGTTTCGACGGCCTGCTCGAGGACAATGTGGCTGAGCTCTCGTGGCTCCGCGTCGACAACTGGACGACCCGCGGCGGCTCCGAGCTCGGCACGAACCGCACCCTCCCCTCTGCCGACATGGGGCAGGTTGCGGCCGCACTGCAGCGCCACAAGATTGACGCCCTGCTGCTGATCGGAGGCTTTGAGGCGTTCCACTCTGTGCTCCTGCTCGAAAAGGCGCGCAAGGACTACCCCTCGCTGCACATCCCCATGATCCAGATCCCGGCCACGATCTCGAACAATGTCCCCCTCACCGACTTCTCGCTCGGAAGCGACACGTCCCTGAATGCGCTTGTGCAGGCGAGCGACGCCATCAAGCAGTCTGCGTCCGCGAGCCGCGACCGTGTCTTTGTCGTCGAGACGCAGGGCGGCATGAGCGGATATATTGCCGTGCTTGGTGCGCTGGCCGTCGGTGCCGTCCTCGTCTACACACCCGAGGAGGGTATCTCGCTGCAGCGCCTGCTCGACGACGTCGAGTTCCTCAAGGAGCGCTACCGTCTCGACGAGTTTGGCAAGTCCGAGGGCCGTTTGGTCATCAAGTGAGTAGCTGTTCAGTCGCGATGAGCTAACAAGCAGGTCCGAGAAGTCGTCCAGTGTGTACACGACCGACGTCATCACCAAGATCTACAAGGAGGAGGGCTCCGAGCTGTTCGATGCGCGCTCCGCCTCGCTCGGCCACACGCTGCAGGGCGGTGTCCCCTCTCCCATTGACCGAACTCGTGCGGCGCGCCTGTCCCTGCTGGCGATGCAGTTCCTGGAGAAGCACGGGCAGCCGAATGCGCAAGCGTACCACCCGCGGAAGCACGCCAAGGCCGAGCCCAAGACGGAGACAGCGGCCATGATCGCGATCCGCGGGTCCAAGATCGTCTACGCACCCATGGACGAGGTGCTGAAGCACACGGACATGCAGAAGCGGCGCGGGGACAACACGTGGTGGAGCGGCGTGAAGGAGCTCGTCGAGGTGCTTGGCGGTAGGGCCGGCGTCATGGTCCACCTCGACAAGGAGTGGACGAAGAAGGTCGCCGAGCGCCTCGAGGCGCGGGAGAAGGCCAAGGTGGACAAGAATGACAACCAGGGAAATGAGGCTAACGCGTGATTTAGCTTAGGAGGAAGAAGTCGTTTAGGAAGATTCTGCAGTGAAGGTGTGCCCGGTGTGGGAGGCTGGTCGAGCGCGAGCGCGGCGAGCATGGCAAGCTGAGCGAAAACGGCAACCTTGCCCCACATGCCCAGCATGCAAGCAGAGCTCGCTCGCCGCGAGCTCGAACTCGGGCGGCCTCAGACACTGTGACGAATGAGAAGATGGCAAGGCCCAAGCTAGAGCAAGTACTGTAGTCAAGGCGCAAGTACGTGATGTGCAAGTGCAACTAGTGCAAGTAGAATGTAACAAGAGTCCGCAAGTGTCGCAAGTTTTGCAATTTGCGCGTGTGCGCCAGCAAATCCTGCCGCAAGTCAACATCCTCCCCGCCACGCCTGTAGCGCTGCTCAACATGGCGCAACTGCAACGCCGCAAGTCGACTCCATACTGATGCCCCGCGCTCCAGCAGTCGCGTAATTTCTAAAATATGCATAGTAACCTACACCGGGTATCTCTCCTTCTCTCTCCAATCCTCGTTCGCGGCGCTTGCGGCGCTCGCTGCGCTCGCGGGCTCACTCAGGCACACTCCCGACCATAGCCTTGATAACGTAGTTTCCCTCCTCGTCCCGTCCCTTCTTGAGGGCCTCGAACGCCTTGCCCGCCTCGTGGAGGGGATATCTCTGCGTGATCATCTTGCCGACATCGCCCAGCTTTCCAGACCCAAGCAAAGCCAGGGCTTCGGGGTACGTGTTGGCGTACCTGAACACGCCGACGAGGTCGACTTCGCGAATAAGGCTGAGGCCCACGGGAAGCAAGAGCTCCTGCGTGCCCATGCCGACGAAGACGGCCTTGCCGCCCGTGACGCTGGCGAGGGGCGCGAGCTGCATACAGGTCTCGACGCCCGTGCACTCGATGACGGCGTCGAAGCCGTCCTCCAGTCCCCTTCCCTTCACCACGTTCGACTCGCGCATAGTGGCCCAGTTGGCCTTGGCGAGCTCGAGGCTCTCCTTCCCACCAACCCTTGGGCCGCGGGGCAGCGTGTATGTGCCCGTAACCCAGCCCCTCTCCTGCGCAAAGGAGAGTTTGGACTCTTCAATATCAGTAGCGATGACTTCGGAGGCGCCATACGCCGTCGCGACCGCGCAAGCCAGGAGGCCCACGGCGCCAGCGCCAATGACGAGGATGCGCATCCCGCCCTCGAGGCGGGCGCGGTGCCACGCGTGCAATACCACGGCAAGCGGCTCCGCGAGCGCGGCGAGCTCGAGGTCCATCCCCTCTGGCAACTTGTGGAGGAGGGAAAGCGGGTGGTGCATGTACTCGACCAGCGTGCCGTCGAGGTGCGGGTGGGTCTTGGCGCTGCTCTTGAAGCGCAGGGAGGGGCAGAGGTTGTACCGCCCCTTCGTGCAGGTGGGGCAGGTGGCAGGGCAGGCCGACCTCGGGCGCGACGCGGTCGCCGACCTTCAGAGCGCAGTTCGGGGGAAGAGAGGAGGGCAGGGCCGTGATGATCCCACAGCTCTCGTGCCCCAGCACGAGCGGGTGCTGGAGGACGAAACTCCCGTTCGCGCCATGTGCGTAGTAGTGCACTTCTATGTCAGCCACGCATAAGGGGGACACGTACAGTCACTCCCGCAGAGTCCCGTTGGACCCATCTTGATAGTGGCGCAGCCCTCGGGGGGCGCCTCGACTGCGCGCTCCTCCTGCGCTGTCAGCGAGGCTGTGAGGAGAACTCACAATCCTCAGGTCCAGCGCGCCGTGGCACACGGCCGCCTTCTGCGTCTTGGGCGTTGGGGCTTGGGTCATCCTTTCGCTGTCGGTTCAATTCGGTGGAGTCTTCGAGATGTTAGAATGGAAGGCGTTAGGCTGCTGGTGATGTACGAGAGTGGGTGAGATGCAGAGTTACGTAGTGGGCTGCAAGGACGGGGGGTTATATCGCAGCAAAGAGCTACACCGCTCCAGCTCCGGAGGCCGGGCCGGTGGCCGGTGGGCGGCACGGCTCAGCCCGGCAACGTGCGCTTGGTCTCGCTCGTTGTTCTGCTTCGAATCTCGCTCTGCGTGTTTATTTTGGCGCCCGCAAGACCGGCAACGCGGGGGCAAATGTCCAGTCAACCCGTCACCTCCACCAGGACTGACGCGCGACGCGTTCTGAGGTCATATTTCGCCCCCCAGCCACAACAACGTCCTTCCTCGCTGCTTACCTTCCCTCTCTGTTCGCACTGCATCGCACCTCATCGCGACCGACAATACGATCATCTCTCGGACCTAAGAAAGGTAGAAGTAGACACCATGGCGGCTCTCTGGGTGGACAAGGTGAGCTCCATGGCAGTTCTCTATGAGCTGACGACAGTACCGCCCCCGCACGCTCAGTGACATGGCGTACCACTCTGAGCTGAGCGAGCGGCTCAAGTCGTTGGTGAGTACTTGGGCGCAAAAAGATGAAATGCCTGCACATAGCTGTTGGGCGTTCCACGCGATAGCTAATTCCAGGCGTCATCCGGTGACTTCCCGCATATCCTGTTCTACGGACCGAGCGGCGCGGGAAAGAAGACGAGAATCATGGCGACGTTGCGCGAGTTGTACGGCCCGGGAGTGGAGAAGGTAAGTGTGTCCACTCAACCCATGTCCTTTCCACAAAAGGGGTGATGGCTCCTCGTGCCCGCTTCGCTCGCTGCGCTCGCACCCGCTAACACTCTCAGCTCAAGATCGACCAGCGCGTCTTCGTGACCCCGTCAAACCGAAAGCTCGACGTCAACGTCGTGCAGAGCAACTACCACATTGAGCTCACGCCGAGTGACGTCGGCATGTACGACCGTGTTGTTATCCAGGACATTCTGAAGGAGATTGCGCAGACGCAGCAGGTCGACCTCAACGCGAAGCAGAAGTTCAAGGGTGAGTGACGAGAGGAAGCCTAGCTGCCATCTCCATGGGGTCTAGCTAACTCCCAGTTGTCGTCATCAACGAGGCCGACTCCCTCTCGCGCGACGCGCAGGCCGCCCTCCGTCGCACGATGGAGAAGTATATGACGAACATGCGCCTGATCATGTGCGCGAACAGCACGTCCAAGATCATTGCGCCAATCCGGTCGCGTTGTCTTCTCGTCCGCGTCGCGGCGCCGACAGACGATGAGGTGAGCTACCTCATCGACGATTAGCTGACATCAGATGTCCTCCGTGCTGAACCAGGTCGCGAAGAAGGAACGATTCACGCTGCCTCCATCCGCGTCTGACGCTATTATCGAGGCCGCGGACGGCAACCTGCGCAAGGCGCTGCTCGTGATGGAGGCGATGCGCATGCAGAACCCGGACCTGAACGGCGACGTCGACGTCGCCAAGCCGGACTGGGAGCTGTACTGCGCCAAAATTGCCGAGAGCATCATGCAGGAGCAGAGCCCGCAGCGTCTCCTCGACATCCGTGGCAAGATCTACGAGCTGCTCTCGCACTGCATCCCGCCAGCGGTCGTGCTGAAGGTGAGCTCGCGGCCTGGCGGTTATGACCAGCTTGCTTGCTGTCCGTGCACCATAGCTGACCCCAGACCATCGCCGACGGACTCGTCGCCCGCGTCGACGACCCGCTCAAACCCGTCGTCGTGCACTGGGCCGCGCACTACGTGAGCTGCTTCTCTGTGCCGCTCTAGCTGACCGCAGGAACTCCGCATGCGCCAGGGCTCGAAGAAGATCTTCCACATCGAAGCTTTCATCGCCAAGATCATGAAGGTCGTGAAGGAGGCGCACTTGTAAGTTGCCTCATCTGCCCCCCAAACTGACCACCGCAGCATGGGCGTGGACTTCTAGATAAGAACGGGGGACTGTAGGGATTGTGCATTATGTATTTGTATCTGGCTCTGGAGCACTGCCTGCAACGCTGCTGACCAGCTGACGGGAATGCGCGATTGGAGGGGCGCAAGGAAGCGTGCATCAAAGGAAGAGCGGGAGAAGATCGTTGCGCCCCTCTCCTCCACGCACGACGTGGCCGCTCGTCCATGTGCAAGCTTTCCTTCCGCACCTTCCACTTCACCTTCAGCAACAAAGATGTCTCCGAGAACTGCGTGAGTTGCGGCGACCTGTAGGGCGAACTGACAGACCAGTGACCGAGCCACCTTGTCGGTCTTGCCGTACGATGACCGCGACAGAATGGCAATCAGTGAGTTGAATTTTGTCGAGTGAGAAACTGAACCGGCAGGAATGAGCCACGTCGAAAGCGCGCGGAGCAGTTACAGTGAGCTGAATGGCCCATCGTCAAAGCTGACCAGCAATGGCTGCAAGCTCCCGACAATTGAGCGGCTTGCGAATGGGCAAAAGTTAGCTAGGCGGTTGTCGTTTAGCTGACAGACCAGGCAACTCGTGACGCGAGAGCAACGAGGATCGCTGTTGTCAAGTGAGCTGGAGATAGCTACAGGAGACTGAGCTCTAACACTACAGAGCGCACGTGCGGTCAGGTGTATGTCTCACGCAGGTTCACAGAGAAAAGTGAGCTATTTTGCGTAGGCTGCGAAGAAGAGCTGACAAAGCAGTCTCCCTGCCTCGTCCGCGGCGTAGAGAGCACAAATCAGCGTGGCTGGGAATCGTAAGCTTCCTTGGGCAGTGTGTAAGCTGACAGCGCAGGATCCCCTGCCCCTTTACACGGAGCGCAACTGACGCTTCCGTGGGTTCGATTGCGGTGAGTTCGCGGGCTTCGGCATTGAACTCTGGCACTGAAGTGCGACAGCGTGGGGGGCGATCAACAGCGTAGTAAAGACACGTCAGCTACCTGTCAGCTCCACATTAGCTGACGCTGCAGTCCACTCGTAACGATATCGATGGAACAGCTCCCACCGAAGTCCTGTCATGAAATAGTGACTGTGAGCTCACAGTTTCTGTCATTATAGCTGAAGGTACAGGTCCTCCCCATTCGAGAGCACTACGCCACATGGTCGCCATGGCAAACTGGTGTGGCGTGAGTTCCATTCCTTCGTTCCGAACTCGAGGCTTATGCTGCAGTGTACCCATACTCCGGGCCATCAGGGTGAGCTGGACAGGCCCTTTTGTGGGCAGTAAGCTGACCCGACAGCTGAGCTACGCTGCGTCAACTGAAATGTGACGATTGGAATACTGTGAGCTTATGCACCGCCATCTCTGAGCTGACCCCGCAGAGTCTACGTCGATACGAGGGCTTCAGGTCCCTTCGTTGGGCAACGAACGGATTGTGAGCTGGCAGACCTCAACTCCGGCTCGGCGACTAACATACAGGCCTGTTGAGGTTGAGGTGAGAACAATGGTAGGTAGTGGCTTCGTGAGTTATGTGGACCGTCATGGAGAAACTGACCTAGCAAGTGGCACTGCAGCGTCCTGTTTCGGTAGCGAGTTGAAGTGGCATAGTGGTGGCTTGTGAGCTGGCAAGAGGCTACATGCAGCTAACAACCAGACCAACCCTGCACGTCCGCCATACCAGCTGCTGTACCCTCAGCCAGTAAGCTAAAGCGCGATCTGTTCCGACTCCTCGTAGACGTCAGTCTTTCTCTGCCCTCTTCGATGTGAGTTCCCTATCGACCTCAGTTTGAAATCCAACGCTCACATAAAGTCTTGCACGCCTCGAGAGAGACAAGGGAGCGGCGCAATACGAAGTAAGCTTCCTTGTACGCTGCGGTAGCTGATAAAACAGTCATTGCTTCCCATATACCCCTGGTGGGCATTACAGTCAGGTTTCGGCGAGCCGAGAGTTCAACAGCTTCTCTTGAAACTCCGCCACGACCGCTAATGGGCCAGCTTGCCCCGCTCAGACTGGAGAGTGAGTTCGCCTCCTATCATTGCCGAACTCCTCACCTAACCGGGCAGCTGTGCGCAGCCTCAAACTACCGCAAGGACGAAAGGAGGGTGAGCTTCCCGGCCTCGCTGTTGTAGCTAAGCGTCAGATATTTGCCTCTAGCATAGTCCGCGCTCGGTGGGCTGCGGGTGAGTTGTCTGGATCTTAGCTCAACTCGATGCTTACGCGCCAGATCCACGAGATCAGGCTGAGGTGAGTTAATTGGAGACAGTCACCAACTGACAGTCAGCTCGCGTCGGGAGTGGGTGATGAGAAGGTAGCTACGCGTCGGACTTCCAGGTACAAGCTAACGGACAGTCTACCAAGCCGTCACACTTCTCACAAGCCCGATTACTCTTTTCTTCCTTTGCGGTGAGTTCAATCTGATATCCTGCGAGCGCTGTTGTGGCAGTGTCCTTGATGCAGCCGCAGTTATAGATCTCTTAGTGAGTTAAATTTCGGCTTTCCTCGTCGCTAACTCGTCTCTCAGTTTCAGCATCTCCCAGATTGTTAGTTGAGACGACTATGTTGAACTAATCGTCAGGATTACTCCCTGTGAGCTTGGACTGTGAGGAACAGACCACAGGGCGGACTGAACCCGCCAGGGTGAGGTGAGCTACCAAGAATGGCTCAAGCTGACACTGACAGGTCTCGGACTCACCAGTCTCGGTCTACCGGGCTGTTCGGAGTGCCACGTCGTCGTGAACGATGAGTTGTTCGTGGCCATCCCGTAGGCCATAAGCTCATGCGTCAAGCCCGAGCTCGCAGCCTGAGGGAGGAGCGAGGGCTAGGTGAGCTGTCCATGGCACATCAATCTGAGCATCAGCTAAACGACAGACTGTAGCCTTGGTCGCCTGGTCATCGCCTCAGTATGTAATGAGCTGAAAGTCTCGCGCTGAGATGACCATCCACAGACTGTTGTCCTCGCTATGAAGAAGGCAGATGGAGGTGAGCTGGTCGTCCCCTGCGATAGCTCAGTCGCTGACGTGACGCCCAGCCCTCCATCGATAGTGAGTACGCGCAATTAGTAGAGGAAACTATGCAAGAATGCAGATGGCTCTATATCTACTCAACCTTAGCCTGGGCGGCAGCCTCAACGTCCCGGATCTCCTTCGGCGCGAGCTCAGTCAGCACCCAGGGCCCGCGGTTGGTCATGGCAACCTCGTCCTCGATACGGACGCCGAGGCCCTGGAAGTGTTTCGGGAACTTGTCGTCGAACGGCACGTACACTCCCGGCTCGATCGTGAGCACGTTGCCCTCTTGCAGCAGCGCTGAGCGGTCTGCAGAGGGGCAGTCGTGCAGGTCCGAACCGACATGGTGCGTCAGGAAGTGCGGGTAGAGCTTGCGCTCGACGTCACCCGTCGAGAGCGTGAAGCCGATTTGGCGTAGCTCTTGGTACAGCAGCGAGCAGCCTGGGTGTCAGCTCGTCTTGGAAACGTTCCTAGCTCAGAAGCGGGAGAGATGGACTCACTGATACGGTGTAGCTCGTTCATCGTCACGCCCTCGTTCAGGACACAGCGCTTGACACACTCCTTCTGCACGTTCAGCACAGCCTGGTACAGGTCGCGCTGCGGATCGGTGAAGCGTCCGTTGACGGGGAACGTGCGCGTGATGTCCGACGCGTACATATGGAACTCGCCTCCGGCGTCGATAAGCACCATCTGTTGTCAGCTCGTCCTGCCAATCCCAGCTTCATGACCGCCTCAAGTTATTGTACTCACGTCGTTCTCGTCCAGAACACAGTCGTTGCGCGTGTAGTGGATGACGAGGGAGTTGGCCCCGCTGGCAACGACGGGGACGTACGCCGGCCGCTCGCTCCCGTTCAGCGCGCACTCGTACTCGAACCGGGCGGCGATCTGCGCCTCCGTGCCGCCGACCTTGGCGAAGCCTATGACCTTCTTGTGCGCGAGACCCGAGATGTCGGCCGCCTTCTTCATGAGCCTGAGCTCGGCGTCGGACTTGCGCACGCGCAGGCGGTGCGTCACCTGCTCTAGCGGCTTGGCCTTGTTGCCCGCCAGCGCGGCGGCGAGCATGAGGTGCGGAGGGTCGCGGGCATCGAACTTGTGCTCTTCGGAGGGGGCGAAGAACTTGAGCAGAGACGAGCGTCGACGCGGGCTTGAGGGTGAGATAGGTTGAGAGGCGGCCGATGGTGACGGGGAAGGGGGAAGGGAAGCGTATATGCTCTCGTAGCCAAGATAGCGCGAGAGGTGTTCAGAGAGGTGGCTGTTCGGGTACGCCTCGTCGGCGCCAAAGGTGGTCACAGCCTCATCAACGCCGGTACGCTCACCGGACCACAGAAGCTCGTGTCGGTCTCGCGGAGGAACGAAGAGGATGTACTTGTACCCTCTCGGCGTGGAGGGCGCATTCACTGAGGTCAGGAGGGAAGGCCGGTCAGCTCACCAAGCACGACCGTGGCGTCCGGCTCGTCGAAGCCCGTCAGGTAGAAGAAGTCGGTCGACTGGCGGAACTTGTAGCTGTCATGTCAGCTCCTTGACCGTCGAAAAGCTGCAGTAACTTCGATTAACTCACAAGATCTCTGTGGACTGTTAGCATGGTCTTCCTCACTTCCTCGAACGACGTCATCACTCACGCTGCGACACCAATCGGACCGTTCCTCCCATACAAACGACAACAGCGCCGGCGGGCAGGCTCTCCATGAGCCGTCTTCGACGGTCCTCGTACTCCTCCGGTGTGACACCGGGTGTGAGCTCTCCCTCGCGTACGAGATGGGCGTGCGTCTTCGCGAGCGGCTGGCCCATGACTGGCGGCTTCGGGTTCTTGATCCCGGTGTACGTCGGACCTGAGTAAGCCCTCGATGCCGGTGGGCGCGCAGCGGGAGCGGCAGGAACACGGCCAGCGGCCGCATTTGGTCGTAGCGCCGGCCGAATCAGCTGGGGTCGGAGGGCGGACCGCATGGTGGAAGGAGATGTTGTGGTACCGAGTGTTCGGTGGTCTGACTTTTCTAACTTTTGCCCGAGGTCAGTCGGCTCAATGGTCAGGCACGGCTGTCACCGTCTTGAGCCGATACAACCTCCGTCACCGTCGCGTATGGCAACGCCGATCGCATTCCAGTTCAACGCAGGAGCATTCTGTGAACCAAAAGCGTGCACGATATCCACTGCAACGTTGCTCGCTCGAATAAAGGTCGACCTTTCTGCGAGGGAGGTGATAGCGCAGCCGGGGGGCGCAACCCTCATGCGCGTATTTACGTAATCTGGCGAGATGGCCGAGCGGTCTAAGGCGCTGTGTTAAGGTGACTCCTATCATCTCCGCAGTCTTCGGACGTGGGTTCGAATCCCACTCTCGTCAAGAGGGTATTCAGTTACCCCCTTAAGCCAACCTTTTTTACGATGGCAATGGTTTTGAAGGACAGGGAAGAGGAGGCAAGGCGTCGATGGTGTATGGGTCAGTGGAGGTGATCGGCAGTGGTGTTTCAGTGACCTCCACCGACCGGATGGTGGACGGAAGCAGATGGCGTCAGGCACTACTGTCAATGTGAGCGACTACCTCGAAAGCAACTGTTGGGAACAACACATCATCAACACGCACACCATGGAAGCAGCCGACACAGCACCCAGCTCACCAGCACCGGCGCCCGAAAGCGTTGCCGATGAGACGATGGAGGTTCCGGCTGCCGAGTCCGAAGCTCCTCAGGAGACTACGGCCGAGCAGCCGCAAGCTGGACCTTCGGAGAAGGCACCTCGACGCGTCTATAATCGGAAAGTGAAGGTAAGCCGAAGCTCAAGTCTTCGCTGACAGTAGAAACCGGACCACACAATAGCGTACACGACGGCCTATGTCCCTTCATTGTGAGCTGAAAGTGGAGATCTTGGAGCTGACTACAGGTACAATATCAAGAACCCGGCAGGCGACTTTATGATGAAGGAGAGTAATGTGGAGGTTGTTCGTCAAATGGTTCAGGCCAAGCACAAGGCTGAGAAGGAGGCGGAGGAAAAGGAGAAGATCGAGAAGGGAGAGATCCCACCGCCCAACGGAGAGGTTAGCGAGGTGCCGTCCGTTGCCAACGGGACAAGCACGCCGGCGTCGGCGACGCCAGTACCTGCAGCATCCGAAGCGCCCGCCGAGAACCCGCTGTCCAAGATCCTCATCATCCACCCCGGGTCGCGGTATCTGCGCATAGGACGCGCATCGGACTTCTACCCGAAGGAGGTGCCGAACTGCATCGCCTGGCCGGCCGACCAACCTGGAGGATCTGAGCCGCCGGTGCCCGGAAAGAGGAATGCCGAGGAGAGCGTCGACGACAGCATCGGACATCTGCGCGACTACCTGCGCAACCGGTTGCGTGCGAACAAGCTGACGACGGATTGGCGTGATGGTACTCGTGTGAACGCCGCGAACGCCAAGGCAAAGCCGGAGACGCTGCCGGAGCACTCTGACCCGCACCGTATCGACTGGACGGAGCTGAACGGACGCAAGTTCTTTGTTGGCGACGAGGCTATCAAGCTCGCTGAGAGCTCTGGGTTCAGCCTGCGGTGGCCGATTGTGCAGCGGAGCTTCAACACGCGCGACTGGGACAGCAAGCAGCTGCTTCTGAACGACCTCACACTGATCCTGACGGAGAGCCTGCGGACGGAGCTGGACATTCGACCGATAAACTTCAAGGAGTACTCGGTCGTGCTTATCGTCCCCGACCACGGACAGCGGGTGTACGTGCAGGAGCTCACGAACATTCTCCTTCGCGTGATGGGGTTCAAGGAGATTGCGATTCACCAGGAGTCGCACTGCGCCATCTTCAGTGCGGGCATGTCGAGCGCGTGCGTCGTCGACATTGGCGCACAGGAGACATCCGTCGCGTGTGTCGAGGACGGTATGGTCAACGCCGACTCCCGTATCAGCCTCTCATACGGAGGCGACGACGTCACGATCGCTCTGGCGGCGCTGCTGCAGCGCTCCTCATTCCCGTATAAGGATCTCGACCTCGCGCGGACACAGGACTGGATCATGATGGACAACCTGAAGAAGAAGGTGTGCACTCTCGAGGAGCACCTCGTGGCCAACACGAGCTGGGACTTCTACGTTGTTTCCGAGGGCCCAACGAAGAAGTACATGTTGCGTACGTACGACGAGAACGTGCTGGCGCCGCTGTGTTTCTTCGATACGCGCATGATCGATTTCGAGGGCAAGCGCGACGCGGCCTTCCAGATCGCGAACCCTGACGTGACCGACCTCATCAAGTCGAGCTATGACGAGCCGGTAAGTTGACCGACTGTTGTTTTAGCTGACATCAGACTGGCGCCATGAAGGCCTGCTGCTCGCACCTGTTCCCCTCGCGCGAGGACGACACGGACATGAAGGAGGCGACGCCGGCTGCGTCCGAGACCCCTGCACCTGGTACGCCGCAGGAGAGCCCCGTCAAGCCCGTCAGCACCAAGGACACGCCTGCACTGTCTGTTGCGAGCACGCCAGGCCTGCTGCCTCCGACAGCCAACCCGAGTGCGGCCGCGACGCCGGCGCCGGACGAGGACGATACACCCGTCTACGACATCGAGTACGAGGCGAGCAAGACGCCACTCGACGGTGCGATCAGTGCCGCGATCGCCCAGTCTAGCACTGAGGGCCGCGTTCGTTCCGCGGCTAACAACCTGCTTCTCATAGGCGGCGGAAGCAGCCTGAAGGGCCTCGCCCCGTTCGTCCAGGAGCGCCTCGGTCCTTTACTCAGGCAGAAGGGATATCCCGTCGACCAGGTCAACGTCGTCCCCGTTCCGCGCGGCGTCAACCCCAAGTTTGTCAGCTGGAAGGGCGCCAGTGTTATGTGCAACCTCGAGAGTCTCAGCGACATGTGGATCTCGCGCGAGGAGTTTGAAGCCCTGGGAGCTAGGTCGCTCAAGGACAGGCTGCCCTTCATCTAATTGTAGCAATGCATATGGAGATAGATGATATTTGATGACTTTAGATAAACCGAAAGATGTGCCCGCACTCTCCTGCTCTTCATCTTCATTGTTCTTCTGATCCGACGCTGACTTAACCCAAGAGGATACTATCGGTGCTCGACGGGCTGGAGTTTCTGAACGGTCAATTAACGATTCGGCCGAGAAGGCGCTCAACCACAACTCACAACACTGCTGCCTGAGAACAAGCGCTCCTCTTCGGCATCCGCCCGGCGGCGGTGGTGCGTCCCCGGCGGCTTGAGGTAGCTCTCAAAGCCCTTAAGCACGTTACCCGTCGTGTGCGTCTCGTCGAGGTAGACCGCCTCTGTCGCTGCGATCTGGGCTTCGATATTCGCCTGGGTGTTAGCGCGCAGCGGCAGAGAGCAAAGTAGTCAGCCGGCAATGGGTGACGAGCAGCAACGTGAGCTATCCACACACGCATACTGTGCCAGAAGCATCACGCGCAATGGATGGCATGCACGAGCACACATCGCTGTGTGTGACGGCTGTGTGATCGTGTGCGTCAATCCGCGTGTTTACGACATTTGCCACCCACTGTTGCACGCGTCAATTGTTTGACTCACCAAGCTCATCTCAAGCGCCCGTTTCCGTCTCTGCGCTGCCTCAATCTCGTGCAAAGCAGCGGCCTGTGCCGTCTTCGCATCTGCCGGTGGTCCTTGTGTACTCATGGCGCGTCGTGTGGTGTCCGTCGAGACGGTGTGTAGTGTATGTGTTTGCAAAAGTCTCCGGGGCGCCGAAAGCCTGACTACTGGAGGCGGAAACTTTCATCCGGCGAGATTCGAAACCACAGCCCAGTGCGACGCATTCCGCGGAGCCTTCCGCCGCAGGTGCCGCATAAAGTCGCCGGGGTGGCTGAGTGAGCTGGCCCTCACAGTCCTCACCGCAGGCCGAGCGGAATCAGATAACCGATCGAGGTCGGGGAGTCACTCACTCCACGCCGAGTCGAGAGTGACGTCTGCATCTTATCGCTCCGTGCGTCCATCACCTTCCACCCACTCACCATGTCCGCCACGCCGTCTGCCGCGCCCTCGGTGCCCGCCAGCGCGATCCCGAGCCAGCGCACGTCCCCCGCGCCCCGGCATCCGGAGCATATTCCTCAGTTCCCTCCGGGAACCGACATTGACCACCTCGACCCGCCCTTCCTCCACACGAAGGAGCAGTACCAGAAGCTGTGGGACAGCGTTGACACGCTCCTCCTCGACTGCGATGGCGTTATCTACCACGGCCCCATTGTCGTCCCGGGTGTCAAGACCGTGCTCCAGCTCGCGAGGAAGCAGGGCAAGCAGATCATCTTCGTGACCAACAACGGAACGAAGAGCAGGAGGATGTACAAGAAGACGTTTGACAAGCTCGGCATTGAGGCGCATGAGGTGAGCTACTGATCAGGTAGCTTGGAGAGCTTTCAGAGGCTGCTGACAGAGCACTCTCCAAGCTGCGGCTGTAGCGCTGCAGCTCCGCGGCAGATTCAGACGAGCTGACTCCCACAGAGCGAGATCTTTGGCTCCGGTTACGCTTCGGCCGTGTACCTCTCCAAGGTGCTCAAGTTCCCGCAGGACAAGTGCGTCTACCTGCTCGGCGAGAAGGGTCTCGAGGAGGAGCTCGACAGCGTCGGCATCAAGCACAAGGGCGGCACCGACCCGGCCGACAACGTCGTGCTCACTAGCCCGCCTGACTTTTCCTCGTTCGAGAAAGACCCCAGCGTTGGAGCTGTGCTTTGCTCCATGGACTTTGGTATCAGTGAGTCTTCTGCGAGGCATAGCGTAGCATGGTCACGTCCAACCGCAGCGGCACCGAGACGGCGTCACGATGCACGTCTCCGGGCGCAAGCTGTTGGTCATTGCACTTCGGCGTTTAGCTAACCTGCAGACTACAAGAAGCTCTCCAAGGCGTACTCGTACCTGCGCGACAACCCCGGGTGCGAGTTCCTCCTCACGAACCAGGACAAGGTCTACCCGACCGGCGGCACGACCTGGGTCGGTGAGTTATGACGCGCTCGATAGGAACTGACACCCAGGCTCCGGCTCGCTCTCGTCGCCCCTCGTCTTCGCACTGCAGGGCAAGAAGGAGCCGACCGTCGTCGGCAAGCCTAACAAGCCGATGATGGACGCCATCATTGCCGAGCACCACTTTGACAAGTCGCGCGCACTCATGGTTGGAGGTAAGTCTTCACGATCTTGTTACTTTCCCAATCGCATCTCGTTTTTCTTCGTTCTTGAACGCTAACGGTAACGTAGACAACCAACTCACGGATATTGCGTTCGGGAACAACAGCGGCATTCGCACGCTGCTCGTTCTCGGAGGAGTTACGCACGAAGACCAGGTGTGGGGACCGAAAGCGAGCGATATCAAGCCGACTTATGTGATGAACTCGTTAGGAGACTTTGCCACGTTGGCCGAGTGAGACATGTCTCAGCTCCGCGCCCTGCGGGCCTGATCGGCAACTGTGCCTACGTGCGCCCTCGTAAGTTGCCCGCGCACTGAAATCTAGACTGTAGCCTCCATGCATAGACATGAACGACGACTGGCCCGACGGCCAGAGAACGAGGAGGAGCCGTAGTAGGGGTTGAGGAACGCACAGGGATGCTCACGACAGGTTTCGAACGTCCGATGTGTCGCTCTCCAGCGGCCAGCGAGGAGAGGGCGCGGGCCTAAGTGGTCCACGGCCTCTGTGCCCCTCGAGTTGTTGGCCGTGGGAAACCATGAAACTAGCCAAAGCTTCCTCCGACCATGGGGTGAATAGAATGTGCTGCATCGGACACGCCTATGCGAACAGGCGTGGGAGACTTCCTTGGACTTTCAGCAGGTAAGCCTCTGGCTCCCAGAGTTGGTTGCTCAGCTCTCCTCATTTCTGACAACGTTGGCCGCAAACGACAAGGTGCATCACTAGGGCCTACATGCTACAACGTCCACGGGGAAGCTCTTCCGGCCATTATGCTGATCCGAATGGCCGTGGCCGGGGTGTGGCTGGATGCAGTTTGGGCTGCTTATCAGCTTCGGAAAGTACCCAGCAGCTCACGTTCTAGACCGTTGTCGTAACCTGGACACAGGCCCGGTATTGCGCGCGTACTGAAGGTCAGCTGCCGACATTTACGAGGAAGCTCGCGCAGTGGCAGTCGGTCGTGGGTTCCAACTGATTGTCAGTTCTCACAAGAAGACATAAACTCACAGGACATGTTTTCGACCACGACAGCGACCGATTGCGGTTCAGGGAGCGTCCTGCATATTAGCTAACCTGCCGGCGGCTCCTAGCTGCTCACTACTACTCGATGATGGTTGCTGGCCTACCGTGTTTGACTTTGGAGGATATCTACTCATCAGTTCGTGGTCTATCAACCTCAACTGACCGGACACAAACCGGTGACAGGTCGGGACTGGACATGAGCTGGTCAAGGGGCATTGGAAACTCACTTCTTCTGCATCGGGTGGCCGTTGGCCTGCGTGTCAGTTCGCGCTGGCTGAAGAACTCACGGCTCAAGGCAGCTCGCGATAGTTGTGACGGGACACTTGTGCTGGCTGCCGGTTTAGCTAATGGTCGGCGATGAAGGTCAGTCAGCTCACGTCCACCTGAGCAGCAGCAAATCTGAGACCGCTCTCGCAGAGCTTAAAGTTCACACTGGGGAGCTGTGCACGTTAGCTTCAGCCGCGGAAGTTGTTAGCTTACTCTACCTCATCCCCGGGCGGCTGCTCGATCTGATATCTCTGATGCTCAGCTGTAGAAGAAGGAAGCAACCTAGCTAACCTGCGCGCACATGGGGAGCTCGAGGGCCTGGCGCGTCAGCTCTTAACTCCAAACTCGTGAGCTTACGAAAGTACCTGGAGTTGGAACCGCCTGATCTTCATTCCGCAACATGTTCATGGTCGTTGCCAGAGTTAATCGGAACCGACGACTCTGGCTCGATACACTTCCTCTCAGCAGCCTGCTGCTTTGCAATTTCGGTAGCTCACGCCTGGCTTCAGCTGGTGGAGAGGATCTTAGCTCACCACCCTTTCATCGCTGTCGAAGCTCTCATCTGCGCAGGGTAGCTCTTCGACTCAGTGACAGTTCACCTAAAATTACGCTTACGATTTACTAACGGGACGCTAGCTGACTTCACTGCCTCAGCTCACCATACATTCATTGCCCATCAGCTCATAGCTTGGGTATAACTGGAGTACCTTACTCTGTCGTCAGTTCGTTACCGCGGTAAGCTGAACTCACCTCCCGACCCTCGCCAACGGACCTCATGCACAGCCTGCCCGTCAGCTCGTCGCGAATGCCGGGGAGCTCACGCACGACGATACCCAACAAGGCATCGGCCGCATGGCCGTTGCCGGTATACATCGCAAAACTCGCTGAAGCACTTGTGCCAGTCAGCTTATCGGAAGAAGACAGGGCTCACGTCTGGTCTCAGCTCCCCTTCTAATAATCAGCTCATCTCTTCCCTGCTCATCGGATCCGTTGCCTGCACTGCTCAGCTTTCCCTCAGCGTTAAAGCTCACGGTTGAGTCCGAGGATGCGCTGGCTGGATATCAGTTGACCTGAACCCCGCGAAACTCACTGTAACCTCCGCGGCAGCCCACCGTAGGATAGGAGCTCAGGTCTGGTGTCAGTTGCAGCCTCGACTCAGCCAACTCACACCCGACTCTGATGAGGAGTCTTCATAAACGTCTTCAGGCTAGCTCAGCCAAGCGCCTCTTGCCCACATCTTCAGTCAGCTTCGCAAAGACCGTCCAACTGATTCTGTCGTGGCTGATTGTCAGTTCACGGTAAAGCATGTCCCTTAAAACTCACCCATGCGGCGCTTCTCACGGCGCTTCTCAGGACTGTCGGTCAGCTTGGCATAAGCCCTCGGAAGCTCACATCTGGCGTCAGTTCTCCAAAGTTCGGCCAACTTACCTGCAGCCCTCGCGAGTATGAGTCACTTCGTCTGGAGTTGTCAGCTTGGCATGACATCAACAGCTCACCAGCTCAAGTGGCAGGTACTGCGGGGCCGTGTCATGTGCGACACGCCGGCTGTAAGACAGCTGCCCAACACCCTCGTTACTGGCGAGAGAGTCGCTGAGAGTCAGCTCGATGAGGCTCTAGCAGCTCACCGAACCATCGGGCAAAGTTACCCTCGAACCTTACGACCTCGCCTGCCTCTGTGTATGAGCTCAGCAGAATTCATTGCAGCTCACGTCTGGAGTCAGCTTGCAACAGATCTTCCAGAGTGACCGCCTCCATGGCTGGATGTCAGTTGATCTCTATGGGCACGTGGTAACTCACACGTACGAGACCCTGGACTGTCGGTCAGCTCAGCGATATGGATCTTGAAGAAGCTCACGTCTGTTATCGGTCCCACATGCCATTCGGCGAACTCGCACTCGGCTCACGCTGGGCACCCCGACTTCTCTTGGCCGCTATCGATCAGCTCAGCGACAGGACCGGCAAGCTCACCTGTGGTATCAGTTTTCAGGGAAGTTTGCCAACTGACTCTCCCCGCCGCTGGGTGTCAGTTAGCACTTGTGTGGGAGCTCTGGAACTCACCTGCGTTGTTCTGGCTGCCTGTGGGTTAGCTGTGTGGCCTGGACGAAGCTTACGTCTGGTGTCAGTTCGGTCCGGAGCAGTCAGCTCACCTTCAGAAGTAGCGTTTCTCTCTTAAAGGTCAGCTCATGTAGAAGGCCTCATCGGAGCTCACACCAACCTGACGTCGCTGATGTCAGTTCAACGTACATGGCCGATAACTCACGACCTGGCGGTTCAAGACGGGCCGCCTGCAGGTCAGCTAAACCCTCACAACACTCAGCTTGCCGTGCAAGGTCTGATGTCAGTTGCCATCTCCAGACCAGAAACTCACATCTCGACGACTGACCCAACATCCCGCTATCGCTGCAGGTCAGCTCAACCACTCCACAAAGCTCACGATCTAGAGACAGAGGCCCGCGACGGCCTGTTGTCAGCTCGGAATTGCCGTGGCCAGCTCACCTTCCAGCCCTCAGGTTGTGCTTCTCTGCAAGTCAGCTCTGATCGTCCACCGCCAGCTGACCATGCACCTGGAGTCAGTTCAAGCGGAAGCCAAGCAACTCACCTTCTTCGCCTTGCAACCATCGAGTCAACCATCTGACTTCGCCTGCGGGTCAGCTATGGCCTCCCAAACAACGCAGCTCACAGCGTGACCCACCCAGCCCTACGTTCTGTTGTCAGTTCGAAGGCACGCATCCAACTTACCTTCCAGACCGCACGAGCAGCCTCGACTTGTGCTTCTCTGCATGTCAGCTCTAATCGTTTCTCTCCCAGCTGACACTGGTTCTGGTGTCAGTTCGTGTCGGGCTTTCATAACTCACCTCCAGCCCTGACGACCCTCACACCCCACCCCACCGCGACCTCTGTCGATCAGCTAACCGTCACCATCACAGCTCACAATGCCCCACCAAAGTACTGTTGGCCTGATGTCAGTTTCTAGTCGGGGCTGGACCAACATACCTTCCTGCCCCTATTTGTCGTCTGCTGTTCAGCTCTCATTCCCACCACCAGAGTTCACGCCGTGGATATCCCGGTCTGGTGTCAGTTCATGACTTGGGTTAGCGAACTCACCCCCGGTCCTCACGCCTAACCCCTGCTCGTCAGCTTATGAGCGGCTCCTCGGCTCACGCAGGTTCTGAAATCGCTGGAGCTCAACTCACCTCCCCGCCCCTCGTCGTCCTGCTTGTCAGCTCTGACGGTTACAGCGGCCGTGCAGCTACTCACCCTTTGTGGGTCTGCGGGTCAGCTCGTCGACTTGTTTCCTAGCTCACAGCGCGGGACTGGTGTCAGTTAGACGCGGGCATCGAAACTCACCACGAAGACACTCTGAGGTGAGTTAGACCACAATGGAACAACTCACTCGTCTGTCTCTCAGCTGTCTACTACCACAAGGCAGCTTACCTCGAAACTCGCGCGGCTGAGATCAGTTGAAGGCGATCGGTCAACTCACTCATCTGTCCTTAGCTCGATCCGGCAAGAAAGCTCTCCTCGACGCTCTTCGGACCCCGCCCTGATGGAGAGAAGACGGAGAACGACTGGAGTTGCTGAGAGCTCCTTTCACCACGTCACTGTCAGCCGGCGATGAAACATCCGTTGCGCCCCCGTGCAACACATTGTTCCACTCACTCCTCTCGATCCTCTCACTCCTGTCAATCCTCTCACAGTTCAGACGAGATCCACATTCCACCTTCTCACGCACGCCTCGCTCCTCGCTCCTCGCTTCGCTATCGCTCGCTCGTTGCTCGTTGCTCATTCCTTGTTCGGACCATCGGTGCATCCATGCACGCTAAATTGAGAGCTATAAAAGTGAAAAAAAAATCTATGTAAAAAAACCAATCCGGCGACGATAATCAAAATATGGTTGTAGATGCAGTTTTATTGGGGGGGGGGGGGGGACATACGATAACGCTGACACTTTTCCTCTTCTCCTTTACTACTCCTGTTACAAGTCTCTATGCTGGAACCTCTTGTGGAGGTCCCGTCTTTTCTAAGAGCGTTCATGCAGCTTGCAGCTGGCCTCGGCTTGCGGCGGCATGCCCCTCAGCCTTAGGCCTGCTGGCTGAGCTGCTGAATAAACGCCGTGCGCTCCTCGGGCGCAAGACCGTCGAGGATACGCTGGAAGCCCTCGAGGACGCCCTGCTGGTTGGTCTGGGCCCAGTCGACGACCTGGTCGGCGCACCACTCGTCGCGGACCTGCTGGACAAAGTTCTCGACCTTGTCGCCGTTCTTCTCGAGGAAGGCGGCGACCTCCGAGTCGGAACCCTCGGACAGGAGCTCCTCGGGCAGGAGCTGCTCGTACAGACCCTTGCGCTCGGGGTAGGTGAGGGTGGGGTTGGCCGAGGCGAGCTTCTTGAGAATGCGCAGCTCGGAGAGCTTGCGGCGCAGGCTCCAGTAGATGGCGCGACGCGAGTTCTCCCAGTCGCAAGGGACACAGTTGGCCTTGGCCTTCATGCGGCCGGCGCGGTCGTGGAGGTCGGCAAACTCGCGGGCGATCTGCTGGAACGTGGGGCCGAGGTGCTTCTCGCGCGCCTCGAGGGCGGCGACGGCAGCCTGCTTCTCCTCGGGCGACGACTTGGCGTTGTCGACGGCAGCCTTGAGCTGGGCGTACTCCGAGTCGAGACGGGCCATGGTCGCCTGGACCTTGGGCTTGCGGTACTTGACCTCGACGATACCCTCGGGCTCGAGGACACCACCGCGCGACTCGTTGTCGACAAACATGGTCATGTGCTCGGGGTTGATCGAGGGGTCGAGCACGACCCAGGCACCACCACGAAGCTCTCCGTTGGGAACCAGGTAGATGATGATCGGGTGCTTGTAGCTCGAGAGGCCGTCGACAATCTTGGCACCCTCCTTGAGGATGGCCTGGGCCATGTCCGACATACCGCCAGAGAAACCACGGAAGTTGGCGAACAGCAGAAGCGGCAGACCCTCGCGGTTGGCGTCCTCGATGGCAGTGGCAGTCTTGCGAGACGAGTCGGGGAACCAGACGGTACCGGCGAGCGCGACCTTGGACTCGGTCGAGTTCTCGTTGGCAGGGTCGGCGGGGTCGACACGCTCGATCGTGCGAGTCTCGGCGGCAATGACGGCGACCGGGATACCGGCGACACGTCCGCGACCAGTGACAATGGTCTGAGCCCATCCGCCCATGGTCTCGAAGAACGAGCCACGGTCGAGGATACCAGTCTGGAAGTTGCCAGAGGCCTCGTCGTAGCAACCGGCAAGGAAGTTGCGGGGGTCGTAAGGGCCCTTGGTGGGGGTCCACTCGACAGCACGGTCCCAGACGTCTCCAGTGGGGAGGATGGGGATCGCCGTGTTCTTCTTGGCCGGGATGAAGGTGAGGTAGTTGACGATCTGGAGAGCACCGTCAAGGTCCGAGCCGGCAGCCAGGTGCGAGATACCGTTGCGGTACATGATCTGGGGACCACCGAGCTGGAGGTTGGAGGTGTAGACGTCCTTGCCGAGAACCTTGTTGATGGCCTGGGCACCGGTAAGGATGATGGGCTGGCCCTCGACCTGGACGACACGCTGGCCGAGACGGACGAGGTAGGCACCGATACCGACGGAACGAGCAGTGACCATGGAAATGGTGAAGATGTCGTCGTAAGCACGCGAAGTCTCACCAGCAATGAGACCAGAGCCACGGAGACACTCGACACCGAGACCGTCCTTGTGGCCAATGATGGTGGTGATGACGTGGCGACGCTCGCCGTCGACCTCGACCTCCTTGGTCATGACGCTGCCCTCACCCATGTCGTTGAGCTTGTCAAGGTTGGCAGGGGTGAGGTACAGGTAGTCGAAGCCCTTCTCGGGCTTGCCGGGCTCGCGCCAGGCAACGTCGAAGAGGGCCATGACCTCCTCGGCGAGACCAATACGGGCACCCGAGTTGGCCGAGAGGTAGACACGGGGGAGACCCTGGGCACGGGCGTACTGGGTAGCCTTGTAGAAGAACTCGTCCTCGGCGGGACCGAACGAACCAATCTGGAAGGTGATGTCGTTGGAGATGACAACGACGCGACGGCCCTTGGGGTACTCGGGGGTCTTCATGGTGAAGACCCAGGCGACCATACCGCAGGTGTTCAGTCCAGGGGGACGGTTGACCTCGGTGAGCTCTCCGTTCTCGTCAAAGACAAGCTCGGAAGCGGTGAGCAGGTCCGAGGGGATCTTGACGTTGGGAAGGAGCGTCTGGACCTGGCGCCAGACCTTGTCGACCGCCTGGCGGAAGAGGTCGGGGAAGTCGTAGACGTAGGTCGTGCCGACAACGTGAGCCTGGTAACGGCGAGGCTGGAGCGACTCCTTGGTGGCGTAGGGGAAGTTGACCTTCTGGAGGTGGAACTGGCCCTGGTCGCCGATCGACTTGAGAATAGTGACACCCTTCTCGTTGGTGAACTCCTGGTAGGCCTCAAACTTGACGACGAAGCCAGAGACGTTCTCAATGAAGGCGCGGATGGGGGTGACGTTGCCCTCGTCGTCCTCAATGACAACGCGGATCTCACCCTGGGTGACACGCTGGCGCCAGAGACGCTTGCCGTGGCGCTCGATGAAGCCGGCGAGGGCCTCCTGGACGTCGTCGAACGTGACGTTGAGGGTGTAGACGCAGTTGACGAAGAAGTGGTTGCAGTCGGCCTGGCGGTGCTGGTTGGTGACAATCTCGAGGGTGTCGAGAATATCGCCGATGAGGCGGTCAGTCTCCGAGATGAGGTACTCGGTCTGCTTCATCTGGCCAACGAAGCGGCCGGGGCGGAGAAGGGCACGGACGAAGAAGCGAATGTCCGAGGGGTTCTCGCGGCCGACAGCCTGGTAGACGTGGATCTGGCGGTTGCCCGACTTCATGGGGGTGATCTTGAAGTTGGACAGACGTCCGAGCTCAAGCTGGTAGGCGAGGGCCGGCTCAATGTTACGGATCGCGGCCTCTTCCTTCCAGGAGCCGTCCGAGCTAGGGCGGAGGGTGACGTACGAGGGGTACTGGCCCTTGCGGCAGATGACGAACGAGATGCGGCGAACACCGGTAGCGTCGACCTGGGCGCGGAAGTCGTTGACGAGGCGAGTGAACTCCTCGTTGAGCTCGGCGTCGGGAATGTCCTCGTCGAAGAGACGGAGGGCAATGTTCATGACGTGAGGGTGACGGGCGTCCTTGCCGTACTTCTCCTCAAACTCGTCGACGTTGAACTCGGGGTAGTGGCTGAGAACGCTCTGGAAGTCCTGCTTGAGCGCAGCAAGAGTGTCGTACGAGGTCATGAGACCGAAGCGGAGGGGCTCGTTCTTGGCCTGAACGCGGAAGTTGAGGTCGCTCATGGAGGCAACACGGGTAATGTCGCGCGAAGAGTCGACGCGAGGGGTGACGGGCTCGAGGCCGGGGCCGCGGCCGCCCATCTTGAAGCGCCAGGTGACGACATTGGGCGAGCCGTTCTGGGTGGGCTCGTAGTCGAGGTGCATAACGTTGTAGACGCGGTAAGCACGACGGACGTAGACCTCGAGGGCAGCGAGGACGACCCAGGGGTCGGGGTGCTTGAAGAAGGTCGACAGCACGTCAAAGACGGTGTAACGCGAGTCGGTGACCTCCTTGAGCAGGTCGGGCGAGGGCAGGCGGTGGCCGCTGCCAGAGTCACCATAGTACGAAGTCGTGACCGAGGCCTTGAGGATGCTCTCGAGCTGCTCGAGACGCTCCTGGTAGGTGGGGAGCGAGCCGACGATGAGAACCTCCTTAGCCTTGAGGACGGCCTTGGTGGTAGCACGGCCGTCGATGTCGGCGAGGCGGGTGAGAGCCTTGTGGACGCCCGACTCGGGGGTGAGCGAAGCCTTGGGCGACTCCTCCTTGATGATGTCAAGGACGGCGTTGACGAGCTTGGTCTTGCCGGCGACCTTGGAGTGCGAGAGGACGAGCTTGACGACAGAGTCGAGGTCCTTGTTGTCGTCACGGAGCTTGAGGATGACCTCCTCCTGGGTGTGGGTCTGGTCGGCGAAGGCCTCCTCGACATCAGAGAAGTAGTTGACGAGGTCAGAGTAGATCTGCCACTCGTGGACCTTGAGGCCGTTGGCAAAGGCGTCGATCAGGACCTGGAGAGGAGCAATGGCACCAGTGACCTGGGCGCGCTCGTTGATGGGAACAATGTTCTCAATGTACTCCTTGATGGTCTTGTCGAGCTTGTTCGAGGGGAACTCGAGCTGGCCCTCGTGGCACTCGTCAATGATGCGACGAACGGCATCCTCGAGCTTGGCGGGAATACGGCCAGAGAGGGCAGAGAGAACGTCGTGGGCGTTCGAGTAGGGAAGCTCGGGGTTGCGGAGCTCCTGCTGGACAATGGCGAGCGAGGAGAGGACCTGGGCCGAGTTGTCGTATCCACCGAGGTTGTCATAGAGGACCTCGAGGTTCTCGCGGAGGCGCTGGTGGGGCTTGGTGCCGTAGCGGCCGTTCTTGAGCTCAAAGGTGGGGAGCAGGCCCTCGAAGGGCTTGGCAAACTTGACCTTGGAGGGGTCGTCAAGGGTAAGGATACCCATGAGCTCACCCTGGGCAAGGTGCTGACCGGGCTGCTTCATGAACTGGGCGATACCAGACTCGGAGGCAGTGACGGGCATGATCATCTTCATGACCTCAATCTCGGCGTAGGCCTCGCCAGCGTCGACGTGGTCGCCAGACTCGATAAGGTAGCGGACCAGCTTACCAGGAGAGGGGGAGCGGAGCTGGGTGGGGTCACGCTCGTCCTCGATCATGGTGGTCTTAGCGTCGACGGAGAGAACCATGGCGCCGACCTCCTCACGCCAGTAGACGGTGTGGGAGGATCCGCCGAGAGAGATCAGGAGACCGCCGTCAGAGAGGGGGCGGGCACCGACAAAGATGCGTCCACCGTTGAGGTAGAGGGTGAACTGGAGGGGGCCAGACTTGGCCATGGCGAACGAGTAACGAACATCGTCGTAGATGAACTCGGTCTTGAAGAAGGTCTGGAGGGTGTCCTTGGTAGGGATCTGACCACGCTCGAGGACCGACTTGAACTTGGCGAGACCCGCCTCGTAAGCGATGTGCGCCTTGACGACAGCGCCGCAGATGACCGACAGGGTGGTGTCGGGGCGCTCCGAGGTCATGCCCTCGGCAATAAGGCCGTCGAGCCACTGAGTGGTGAACTTGTTGTTCTCAAACTCGGGCTTCTCGAGCAGCTTGATCAGGTACTCGACGGTAGTGCGGAACTCTCCACGAATGCTCAGCTCCTTGAGGGCGACGACCATCGACTTGCGGGCCTCGGAACGCTCCATTCCGTAAGCGAAAATGTGGCCGAACTGCGAGTCGGCGAATTCATGGAGACCACCGGCCGAAGACACCGAGAAGTAACCCCAGACATTTGAGTTGGAGCGGAAATTAAGTTCCGTAAGGGCACCCGACGACGGCTTGAAACCCGCATCCGGGTTTTCTCCCGTGATACGGCACGCGATAACGTGACCCTTGGGGCGGGGCTTGCGCTGCGTCGTCGCCGAGGCAGGCTTGTCACCGTAAAAGTCGATCTCGGTGGCACCGTGGGGGTCCATGCCGTACAGCGTACGGATGTCGCGGATGCGGTGGAGGGGGATACCCATGGCAATCATGAGCTGGATGGCGGGAATGTTGCATCCAGAGACCATCTCAGTGGTGGGGTGCTCGACCTGGAGACGGGGGTTGAGCTCGAGGAAGAAGAACGAGTCGTCCTCGTGCGAGTAGAGGTACTCGACAGTACCGGCCGAGACGTAGCCGACCAGGCGGGCGAGACGGACAGCGGCCTTCTCCATGTGCTCGAAAGTGTCCTGAGGGGCAATGGTGACGGGGGCCTCCTCGATAATCTTCTGGTGACGACGCTGGACGGAACAGTCACGGCCGAAGAGGGAGATGGCGTTGCCGTACTGGTCGGCAATGAGCTGGACCTCGAGGTGGCGGGCGGAGCCGGCGAGCTTCATGATGAAGATGGGCGATCCGGGGACCTCGGAGACGACGGCCTGGAAGGCGTTCTTGAACTTCTCGGCGTCGTCGACCATACGGATACCCTTACCACCGCCTCCCTCGGAGGCCTTGATCATGACGGGGAAGCCAATCTTGTTGGCGCGGTCGAGTCCCTCCTCCCAGGAGTGGACACAGGCGTCCTCGTAAGCCTTGTCGGGGACAGTCACGAAGCCCTGGGGCGAAAGGACAGTGTCCTTGATGCCGGTTCCGGACCAGGACATGCAGGGGACGTCGGCGGACTGGGCGACGATGGTGGACGAGATCTTGTCACCGAGCGAGCGCATGGCAGAACCGGGGGGACCGATGAAGACGATCTTGGACTTGGCGAGCGACTCGGGGAGACGGGGGTTCTCGGAAGCGTGACCCCATCCGGCCCAGACAGCGTGGACACCGGCGCGCTCAGCGACGTCGACAATGAGGTCGACGTTGGCGTAGTTGTTGTTGTTGGATCCACCGGGAACCTCGACGAAGGCGTCGGCCATACGGATGTACTCGGCGTTGATCGCAAGGTCCTCGGGCGTGGCCATGACCGTGAACTCGATCATGCGCTCGTCGCCAAAGGTCTCGTAGGACCACTTGCGGACGGATCGGATCTCCTTGACGGCACCGATACCATTGTTGGCGATAAGAACCTGGGATCGTCAACGAATCGTTCTCGTAAGCTCTCCGTACCTTGGTGATGGCAGTGTGACCGCCCTGGTTCTGAACAAAGTCGCGGACGCGGCTGGGGGGAGCAGCGTCGAGAGATTCCGCGCCTGGTGGAGGTTGAGTGGAGGTGGAGCCAGAAAAGTGAGGTTACCCGAAGCATAAGCGAAATTGGGGCCGGAAGATGCATGGGAAATCGCAAAGTCAGCACAATGTACAGCGGAGACGGTCAAGAACGGTCCTGCAGATGCATAGACGCCCACCGCAAAAAGTCGGGACGTGAGGAGACCGTTCGTCGGTGACTCACCGATAAATTGGGCGACGCGGCTGTGGTCGTACTGACCACCGTTAGCGGCGGCAGAGCCGTTCGTAGCCATGGCGAAGACGGAGCTGCTGCTCTAGACGAGTGACTGGGGCTCTAGAGATGTTGTCGAACCTCTTAGCCTGGCAGCTGGGTCCTTTTGGGAGCTTGCTGTAACAGGGGCGGAGGTGCGATGCGGCGTTGAGGAAAGGAGGGGGAGGGAGAAGGAGGGGAGAAGTCGGGGGGTTGTGCTCGGGAGGGAATGGACAGTGCACAGAGGAAGAAAGAGGGTTAGAGAGGGGGGGTAGGGGCGAGTCGGAGGCGTTGAGACCCTTTGTAGAAAGAGAAGAGGAGATGAAGGAAGATGGTTGTGATGTTGGGTAAAGGTTATGACATGGTGAGCAGGCAGCACCGGCGGTTGCAGCACTTGCTGGGGGACGGAGGAAATGACCGCGCCGAGCACAGGGGTACGCGAGCACATGCCCCACAAGTACACTGGGCAGCCAAAGGGGCGACAGGCCGCCTGGCTGGCCTGGCTGGGTCTGCCTGGGTGAGCCTGGGTGATGGATAGACGCCTGGCCACGAGCCGGCCGCACCCCATACAATCGGTATCTCCATCGCGAACCCCATCATTGGAGAAATCTAGATATCTCGTCCCTACGCCGTGCCTGAGCAGCCCCTGGGACCGTCGCTGCCGAGTCTCGAGTTTCCCACCAGCCAGCCCGGCCAGCCCAGCCAGCCCAGCAGCTCGCCGCACTTGATCCCTCCCCTGGGTCGCTGCTGCTGCCGCCCTTGTCCCGAACTGCGCCGACGGTTGCTCCGGCCAAACAGGGCCAATCACCTGGGGCCGTATCTATCGCTGGGGTTTTTCCAGGTCGCCAGTCGTCGCCAGGTGCTGACGACCACACTCTACTCTTACGGCCTCGCTCTCTGCCGCCAGTCTCTCGTCTCTCGGCCTCGTCACTGACTCGCAGGGTACTTTGCTCACTGAGGCGCATGCATCCTTTCCTTCGCTCCAGCCACTTTCCTGCAATCCATGCTTTTCATAGTCATTCATTGCTCTCGGGTGCAGGTGCAGAAGGCAGACCCACGGTCGTGCATGGTCGTGCATGGTCGTGCATGATCGTGGTCCAAGGTGTGTCCCAAATTGGGCATCCGCTGCATCACTCGGTGCACTCGGGCAATCTTTATCTGTGCGACTAAAACAGGGCACACGATGCACAGGAACAATTACGACCTCCCCTCTTGATCGCTCCGCTCCTGACCCGGCGGCCTCTCCCCTGCCTCCCCAGCTGCTCATGCCTAGCGTCATCCACCCTCGCCTCGTGGCCGTCGTTCCTCTCGCGTCTTTTGCTTCAGGTCCTTTAGACATTTTTCACCTCGCTGTACTGCTGCCGCATGCGTCGCAACCACTGCTGCTGACACGACTGACACGGAAAGGCTTCGCAACCTCTCCATCCCTGGCCCTCCACCTGGTCGCGCCTGATGGCGCACATTCGCCGCACGGTTTGCACCTGGCATGGCATACATCGTTTCGGTCGTACACTGTCTGGTCAGGGCCCCGGGTCGTCCTTACGTCGCCCGCGGGTGAGGGTAAAAAATAACAACAATATGTGGGGATCACTGATGCAGCACGCATGATCGCGCGCTGCCTATCGTTCTGGCTCTTTTCGTGTGAACCTCCCGGATAGCCGAAGCTTCTTGAGCCTGGCCGTCCGGGGATGGAAGGAGATTTAGGGGTTTGAGAGGTTGAAACGGGCAAGGTGACTAACCACTGCGCACTCGGAAACGACGCACCAACCAGGATCGGCACTTCGGCTCAACCCCTTATTGGCCCGTCGTCTGCCCCAGTTCCCCATATGTTCTGCCCATGCCGCCCATGACGGCCACGGCTCCCTCCGCTGTCTAACCTGCTTGCTTCTACTGCTTCTACTCCCCTCGCCCCCTGCGGCCGCGCCCGTGCTGCGAGCCTTGGATGCGAGCCCAGTCGCTATCCCGCTCTAGCAAAGTCGCTTCCTCCATTCTCTTCATGTCGTTCAGAGCCTTGCCCAGCACCCATCCAGACTGGGCACCGGCTCCGCGCTTGCCGTTCGTGGTCGGGGCAGGCGCTTGCCCACTGGCGATCGCAAGCGCTGCACTCGTGCCGGGAGCCGGTCCTTCCTTCTCCAGCTCGGCAGCCTTGCCACGTGGTCCACGTTTTCCGCTCTGAACGTTGTATCCGTTCGGTAGGGCCTTGACGATCAGCGACGACGAATCCGTGTACAAGATGTCGTCCGTGTTGATGACCGCGAGAGCAGGCGCAAGCATGTTGTGGAGGAGGAGGTCGTTCGACTTGCTGCCGTCCTTGGGGCTGGCCGACCCAGAGTCGGCGCCGCTCTGCAGGTTGTGGTGGTTGGGCGTCGCACTACGCGACGACGATCGCGGCTCAACACGAGATCGGAATGTGCGCCGCTGGTTACGGGGGCGTGATGTCGTTTCCAGGAGGGTTTCTGCCGTCAGCTTCTATGAACATACGCCAACATACCTGTCACAACATCACCTCCTTCCTTCTCCTCGCGCAGCTTGCGGCGACGCTCCTCGATGGCACCGAGCAAGCGCTGACGGATCTGATCGCGTGCCTCCCAGTACATTCCTTCGATGTTGTCGCGCTCGCTCTCGTACATCTTTTGGGCTTGGCTGACTCTGGTCCCGTGTTAGTGGAACGGGCGGTGGAGTGGAGGTCCTCCCCCTCAGGGTGCCTCTGGAGTCACTCACTTGTACTCGTAGTGCGTCTGCGCCGCCTGCAGGAAAGCATCGCGCTCAACAGTCTTGGGGTAAAGACGGAGCATGTACTTGGATGATGTCGGGGGCTGCGTGTTGACGGCCTTGTTCTCATTATGGTACTCCTTGTACTGCTGGGAGAACTTTCTGTCGTTGTCAGCGTCCGGCCACCTTCCTCATCCACGACATCAACAGCTGCAACGTGCCGTGGGCCACGGCCCCTAACTCAGTGGAACGCATCTGCGCGTCACTGAGCCTGGATGGACTTATTGTACTTACTCGTCGCGGTTGTTCCAGCTTCCGTTGTGAAGCATCTCAATCTTGTTCACTGTTTCTCTTCGCTTCCTGTCGCGCTTCGACTCAGCCGCCTGGGGCGGAATAATCGTGGGAATCTGCGACGCGGACGCCGCTGAGTATTTCGACATGGTGCTGCTGATCGATGCGGTTGTGGATGGGGAAGGACAGAACAGGACGACGATGTTATCGTTCAGTCGTCGGCGTCGGCCTGGCGGCAAGAGTGAGCGGTGATGATTTGATACCGCTTAACGCAGTGCCTGAACTTAGCCCCGGAAATACACGTCACCGAGATTCGAACGCCTCGCATGCCTCCGAGCTATGACGCTCGACGTTCAAGACGCATCGACATCGTCGGGCTCCTTCGTCGTCCTCCACATCGGCAACACCATGTCCAACAACGCGGCGAGTTCATTCCGCTCCCAGCTCTCCGGTTTCCGATGGGCCAACTCGGTTCAGGACGACTCGGCGACGACGGCGCCCGCATCCCAGGGCAACGTCTTCAGCCGTAGCTGGAACAGCGTCAGCGGTTACATTCCTCTCCGAAACGAGGGAGCAAGCCGAGAAGAGGAAGCGTACTTTGCTCTTTCAGTGGGTACAAGCTGGTGCTCGCTGTATGACATAGCTAACAATACAGCGATGGGAACGGTTCGTGGTGTCACTGATCTACCATACTAACCCTCAGCTTCCTCGGTTTCATCGCGTGCTGCATCGGCGGCATGGCATGCTTCGGCATCGCCTTCCTGTTCCTGCCTATGCGTGAGTTTCGCTTTCTAGGCCCCGACTAACCCTCAGTTGCGATTAAACCGCGAAAGTTTGCTCTTGCGTTTACGCTTGGCTCATGTCTGTTCATGCTCGGCTTCGCGATCCTCCACGGCCCCATGGCTCGTAAGTTTCCAGGTATATGTCCTAACTGACACCAGACCTGAAGCACATTATCTCGAAGGAGCGTTTGCCGTTCTCGATAGCGTACTTCGGTTCGCTCGCCCTGACGCTCTTCTTCGCCATCGGCGTGCGCTCGACGATTGGCACCCTCGTCGCTGCCATCGTCCAGGTCGCCGCGCTGCTCACGTACCTCGCCGCCTACCTTCCGGGAGGTGTCGTGACGCTCCGCATGGGCTCACAGATGCTCCTGCGCGGAGCCGGAAACGTGCTGCCCGTGTAGTTGATGCCTGTCGAGTTGTCAGTCGAGCTGTACTATGTATCATCTATAGAGCTGCATCTGCGCAAGCATCGGGGACATTGCATAAGCCGTCAGAGTGCGAAGATTAACTGATGAGCTATTTCTTGTGTGCTGCATGTGCTGCAATCGTCGTTGTTGATCTTGGTGCCACCCTAGGTGTTTGCTTCCGCACGAGCCATGACGATATGGACGGTGGAGGTCGATCCGAAAGTTCAGGTCTCGATCAGCAGTCAAAGCTGTTTTGTTGTTGATCGTCAGACTCACCATGTCAACAACAAAACCTACCGTCCCATCAAAGGTGGTACATACGTGAGCTTCTATTTATACGCGATAGCTGACGACAGCCTCTCTCACGAAGCAGGCGTCAATGTCATTGCCTACAACCACGGATCAAAGTACCTCCTTTCCGGCAGTAGCGACCGCACGATCCGGCTATGGAACCCGGCAACAGGGAAGGAAGTCAAGGTGTACCGAGGGCAAGCGCATGAGATCTTGGCCCTAGATGTGTGAGTGAGGAACTCTCCTGTAAGGAGCCTTCGTGACTGTCGTCTGGGCCGGCCGTCCCCGCGGCTGGTCATACACAGAACACAGCTGACATCAGTGCCTCGGACAACGCCAAGTTTGCATCATGCGGCGGCGATCGCGCAGTCTTTTTGTGGGACGTAGCTTCTGGACAAACAATACGAAGGCTGCAGGGACACTTTGGCAAGCTGCACGCTGTCGCGTTCAGCAACGACGCCAGTCTTTTGGCGAGCGGTACGTTAGCTAGGCGGCTTGGGTTCAAAGCTGACACCCAGGCGGTTTCGACGCCAAGATCATGCTGTGGGATATGCGCGCATCGACACGAGATCCACTGCAGACGCTCAAGGATGCGACTTCGAGCATCACATCGCTGAGCATCCCGCCAGACTCCGTCCAGATTATTGCCGGAAGTATGGACGGCCACGTTCGCGCGTACGATATCCGCATGGGTCAGATGACTGAGGACCTTGTTGGCTGTAAGTCTTACTCCAGCTTTGTCGAAGTGGCTGTAGCTGACCGAGCAGCCCCAGTAACAGCCGTGGTACCGTCACCTTCCTCACCAAAGGACACTCTTCTCGTTGCGTCACAGGACGGCAAGCTGCGCCTCTTCGATCGGTCAAACGGAAGTGTGAGCTTGCCGGTCTGGTCTCGAGCTGACATCAGGTCCTGCAGACATTCTCTGGTCACGCCGTTGGGCAAGGAAGGAGCCGACCAGCGTTCAATCGTGGCGAGTCGGCGGTTCTGGCAGGCGGTGAAGACGGCAAGCTCTGGGCGTGGAACGTGCTTGATGCGAAGCCGCTGGCTGGCTTCCCGCAATCACCACACCGGAAAGCGATCACGAGCGTCCTCTGTAATCCGAATGGGAAGGAGATGGTTACTGCGTCGCTTGGTGAGTGCCGGTGGGCTGGTAGTTAGCTGACGACAGACGGGACGATCAAGATCTGGAGTAGCTAGTAGCAGAAGAGGGGGCAGCGAGGGGAGGGTTATACTACACTTTGTGAGTTGTAAGCTCGTGTCCTCTTAACTAACATCAGAACGACTTCGACACTTGAGGGATAAGAATCGACTGTATGCATTAGCTATTATCAAGCAGAAGTCACTCGATGTCGTCGACCTACACACCGTATATCGCACTCGAGGCAACAATACTCGAAAAGCAGCCGGTGATGGAAGACCTCAACAACTTAGAGAGCAACACGCCCCTCTGTTGATGAACGACCGATTGTTAAGACATGACCAAACACCAGCGGATGTTCTCGGTGGATGGGACATGGCCACTAACAGCGTGAGCCTCGACCTAACCTCGTGTTTCTGCACCTTTGGCGGGCTCTGGGATCGCCGCACATCAAGAAAGACGGGATCTCGGAGCGTAACGGGTGCACCAACACAGCTCACGCGGGCGTGCAGACTGTTTCGCGAATCATGCGCAGGCGCTGCACTCGAAACCCACCGCCCGATCAGGCAGGTTTAACTTGCGCACACAGCAACGACTCCGGAGAAACCGCAACACTTTCGTGTGTTTCAAGTCGCTCGACTTTGCTCCTTCCCAGCGCGCAAGTGACGCAAGTGCCGGCAAGTGTGCGCAAGTGGACAGGCAGCTGCACAGTTGTGCTTGTGCCGCGGTGAGGCCGTCGCTTCACCGTCGGCTGCAAGACAATGTGCGTCGGTTGAGGAACGCGACAGAGGGCACGGACAGTATACAAGTACGACAACGGTCGTATCTTTGGCACAATGGAGTATAGCAGCCTCCCATTGGGGCTTGGCACTTGCAAGTCCAGTTGCTCTATCCACCATACGTCAGACATTGGGGTAATGTCACTGCGCATCTCGAACGGCGAGATGCTCATCCTTTACTGGCCACGCTGACTGTCACTCCTGGGTGCGAACCCCATGGGATTTCGCCGCTGTCTGGAGCACACTCTGGGCAGTGCTTGGCTGCATGTGCGCTCCCTCAGGCTGTGCGGTGTCTGGTTGAGTTTTGATCAGAATAAATATGCGCCTGGATCCAGCTCTCCGTGTCTTTCTTCTCCTCATCAAGCTCGTTGATCACTCATCGAACGCTCCTTGATCTCGAACTCTACGTCACCTCGAACCCAATCTCACTTTCCTCCGCACATCTACTCTCACAATCTCGCACTATTGCACCCGGCACCGTCATGGCCCGCCTGAACATGACGTTTAAACGTGAGTCACGTTTCCGTTCTTTGGGTCAGGGTTCGTCCATATTAGTCAATGGAATCTCGCTCGTGCAGCGCACCGTGCGTCGGCGCATCGGTGAGCCGGTGAACCTGACGACGGTGACATAACAAAGGAAGCCAACGCCGTGCGGGGTGCGGGGGGACACGGAGGGTGTGTGCGCGATTTAGCTCGGTTATCGATCGATTGGATCAGGAATTCCGCGCTTTCGAGTTCGTTGGGCGTGTCGCTTTGAGGACGTGAAACGGAGTCCACCCTAAGTGCGCGTTTAGCGGGCGCTCGGGCACCCAACACCAGGGCTACCCCGTCATGCACATGCACATCCGACCTTCTGCGATGTCCGAATGCGGTGGCGACCCGCAGCGAGCACCAGTCGATGATGACGACGAGGCGCAGGGCGCGCACAGCGACCAGGGTGCCCAGGGCGGCATGGCGCGGGGCCGCAACAGGCACCACGACATGCCGTTGCCCGATCAGAGGTGTGCCGAGCGGGGTCCGGCAGAGGCAGCGAAAGGAGGCATGTTGTTTGCGGCTTGGCGTCGGCGTGCGGGCTGCTGCAGGCCGACGCACCGCGCGTGGCGCGCGGAGACACAGCGCGATCGCAGGAACCCAGGATCGATCGCGGGCTATTTCGGCACTAGCCGCTAGTCTTTTCCAGTCAACAACAGGCATGTCTGCAATGGCCTTGCGTAGCGCGCAGCCTGCGCCGTGCTTGGCCTTGCGGGTTTGTCGGCTCATCAATCATGGATGCGCGCTCTTCCGACAAGCGTGTGCTATTCGAGGTTCTTCGTGCTGCGTTCATGCGTCTTGATTCATCACATCTTGCGATACCCACTGGCGTCGACGTACAGGTGCTGACTGGCTCTCCCAGGTCTCGTCACATCTCTCACCTCGCTCCTCAACCCCCGCCGGCGCCGTCATCACCAGAAAAGACCTTCGTCTTCGACTGCCGCGGTCTACTCCCCAAGTGACAGCAGCTCATCTATTCAACAAACACCGTCTCTTCGGCCGTCGAGTAACGAAGCACCCGCTCGCGACGTGTGCAACTCTACGTCCCCGGAAGCGAGCGCAATCTACGGTCCTCCCCCATCCGATTCAGTGCTGTCCACCTCTTTTCCCGGAACTTCTACTGTCGTCCCAGTGCTCAATCGCCCCGCGGCAGGGTATCTCACGAGCGCTAGTGAGCACAGCAGGTCATCCGGCTACTCCTCGGACCCCAGCGACCCCCACCACGGATACCACCTGCTCTTGCTCCAGTTCAAGCAGGACCAAATCTCCAAGAATCGCGACGGCCGCGAACACGAACAGTGCCCCGTGACGCTGGAGCTTTGGCTGGATTGGCAGCGGTTCGCTGCACAACTCCCGCCTTTCCGGTCGCAGAACGACTCCTTGTCATGAACTGGCCCACGAACTGGGTCGACGCCCAGGGCCTGCCGCTGTATCAGCTCAATGGGACCGTCCCCTTCACCGGGCCGCATTCATCGACGCACAACCTCGCCATACCGCCGGACCAGGCGGAAGACGCATTTCCTGCACAATACGCGTACAGCCCCGAGTCCGACACCCAGCCACTTCCCGCAACACGCCGGGGCAGCCACGGAGTTCGCGATGACGACGATGGCCACCGTTGGCAAACCCGTCCCGCACCTCAGATCCCTCGCGGGCCAAGCGGAGATGCCAATCACTTTTGGCAACTCCACGGCCCTCGGCGCTACACGTACGGGTGTACGCTGAGCGTAGTGGCGGAAGAGAAGGGCGCTGAAGATGACTCGGGGCTGGACCTGTCGGAGCAGTCGTCGACCGAGTCCTCTTCCTCTGGCACGTCGACGGAAACATCCACCTCGGAGGCGACGACCTTCAACCACCTATCAGCAAAAACGTCCGGTGACAGTCCCGCGCCGCAAGATCACAGTCCGAAGCAGCTCGACCCCACGGTCCACCTGTCCTCCGAGCGCCGGCTGAGCATCGACATGTTCTCGGACGACGACACCTTCTACGACGCTCCCTCTCAGTTGGGCTCGCCCTTACCCGTGGACTGGTCTTCGGATGACGAAGGGTACGAATCTGCAGAGGCAGGATCGGATGACTCAGTTTTCGACGCCGAGATTTGCGAAGCCATCCATTGTCGTCGAGAATCGATGTTCTCGGATGACGACGAAAGGTTCTCCCTGTTCAGTAACTCGCGCCGACCGTCACTCGCAACCGACACCTCGTCCCGCCGCCCGTCGTTCGCCACAGCGCACGAGTTCTCATTCGACTCCCGCCGCCCCTCCTTCGCGACCACCATTTCGGACGAAGCGATCGAAGACGACGACGATGACGATGGCGTCTCGCCCGTCTCCCCCACGACCGGCGACATGCTCATCAACATCTGGAAGTCCAAGCGGTCCAGCATGCTGTTCATCGACCCCTCGGCACCACTACCTCTCCCGTCCCCCGCCCTTCTCGACACCCCGGTCAGCCCTCGAGTGCCGCCCAGTCCTGGCGCCGCGTCTTTCATGTCCGCTGCTCGCCCCGAATCAGTTCTGCTTCCAGACGATGCTGAGCCGGAATGCTGCGTGAGCGAATCTCCCCAGCAGATTGCCCTCAGCTTGGACTCAGATCTGGCAGAAGATGAGGAAGACCCGGACAATACCCTCGCCACGCTCAAGGACTTCGAGCAGGAACCTGCCAGCATCGCTCGCGTCACCGCTCGAGTTTACCTCTCCGGACGCGTCGCGCCCGCTCAGCTTGTGTACTATGAGCTGATGCTCGCTGCATCGGAGACAGCGCAGTATTCGCGCCTGTCGCGTGGGCTCCCACCTCCTGGCACGAAGCGTCGCGGGCCGCCGAAGGCCATCGAGGTTTCCAACGGCAGAAATTCTCGCTTTTTCTCATCGCATGCTGTCTTCTAGGCTGTCTACCTTCCCCCGCCGTCCGCAGCCTCTCTCCCTCCCCGTACGCATAAGTGCTTCGGCCTCAGAGGCTACTATGCTCCCACCTCCGTCCTGACTCCAGTTGTATCTGAGCCGGCCCACACAGCTGTCTGCACACCGCCTGTAACCGTGTATCGATAATCTCCAGTACCATTCGCCAACATCGCATAATTCACCTCCCTGTATATTCAGTGCCGGCCATCCGTTCTGCCTGCTCTCGCCCTGCTCGCTTGCGCCCGGCCGTCTCCGCCCTCTGCCGCTGTCGATCGATGGACCAGCACTGCGCCCGGCTCAATCTGAGGACCGGATTCATCATATTAGAAAAACTAAACCTATGCATAGAATGCACTCCATCATCATGACTGGCTGGACTCACTTTCACGTCTGACTGACCACAGGCGACCTCGGCTGATTGTTCATGAACCCTATGCTCCCAAATTACCGGGCTAGCCTTTCGTCGATCCCCGAGAGGCTGAACTTGCATCGGGCACCAGGACGGAACATGAGCTCCGATGCAACAGCTTCCTTCTTCCCAACTTCACTTGTCGGCTGGAGTACTTGCGCGTGTGGCTTCTTCCTTGCCACGATGAACACACTTGCGCGAGGTGGGGGCGGACGCTGGCAAAATCCTTTCGACTGGCTCATCTGGCCACTCCGAGAGTTACGCGCAAACTGTAAGTTCCCAGCGTCTATTCCCCTAATGTCCAGACCCATGGCTCATTTTCATCACCGTCGAGGCATACCTTTTGAAGATGGCCCTGTACTTCTGGTACTTCGTCCTCTTCAGAGCTCCCAGGGAGGAGATCATGGCGCAGTAAGCATTTATCTTCTCGTGCTCCGGCTAACAGATTTCCAAGCTATCTTGCCATCCCAGTCGTCACAATTTTCCTCCCATTGAGCATGTGGCGCGTCCTCATCATCTACTACATGTTGACTTTGAGACGCATGCCCTCCGGGCTCAGCCTGGCGGAGGCAGAGGAGGTGACGCGCCAGCGTTATCAACGCGTGATTCGGAACGGAGGCGGTGTAGCAGGCTGGTTGTTCGTGTTTCTCACCTCCGAGTCGCTTTAGGATGCATCATGATGGGAATGATTAGAATTGTGACTGAACGAGTGGAGGGTTGCAACTACTGTGTGATTGCCGTGTGGCGGGCTTGCCAGCGATTTGACCGAATCAATTTCAAAGACCTGCCCATGTACTGTATGGCATGCACCCCACCGGCCCACCGGCCTTCACAGAACAACCAGATCAATTAAGAGGCTGTGGAAACGGTTGGATCACCTCTGTCTCGTATCGATGCGACATGGCCTCACAAGGATACCTGGTGTGGCGCGGGTCGATCGAAGAGTGCTGCGGGGACCACCAGTGTCAGCCCTTGGGTCACGGTGAGGTCCAAATCTGAGATCTACGTCGAAGCTCTGCTTCACAAGATGCTGCTCGGGTTTCGCGTAAGCCTACATGGTACACAATCTCTTTTGAGATTCCTATCTACAGTTGTGTCTCGGGTGCCAGGATTGCGGCGAAGGCACAGTTCTGAACTCGCCTACAATGTTGGCAGTGGGTGGAGCATGCGGGTTGGTCACCGAGCTAGGCCGAGCAGAGGGTGGGCGACAGCTCCATGGCGCCCAACCCCCCCATCCCTCGGCGAGGGTCGAAAATGCTCGGCTCACTCCTCCGCCCTAACGCGAGAGAAGCGGGCTGAGAAAGAGAACCGCCTTATGTAAGGGCGCAAGGGCTCCCACGAGGGCCATGAGACCTATGGCTATGTTTCCCAGGTCGCCCTTGGCGATCAGGACGATGCCAGTGACTACAGCGGCGATAGCCGCGAGAGTGGAGAGGACGCCCTCTTCTGTCAGGATTGATAAAGTGCAAAATGCTCACCAGTGGCGCTCGGTCGGGGCTTCGGGTGCTGTGGCTCTTGATTGTCGGGTTGCTCGTGGACGGCTGGGGCGGCCTGGGGCGGGGGCGGCGCTTGTAAGTGGTCGTTGGCTGGGTAAGGACAAAGGGTTAGAGGGGCCGATCTTAGATTCGTGCTTCGGCGCAACGTCGATCGCTAATCTTGCGTGCTGATTGAAGAAGACGAGGAGGAACTCGAAGAGGAGCGTTGGTTTTCGGGCATGGTTATGAAGTGATGATCGTGTTATGTTCAACTGGTTGGGCGATCGCCTTATATGCCGCCCGAGGCTTAACACGACGTTCCGAGCAAGTGACATAGCGTGAGCTAAAGAAGTAGCAAGGCTGCGGCAATGCGACAGAGGCTGCGACAGAGGCTACGAAAGAGGCTGCGACAGAGGCTACGAAAGAGGCTGCGATAAGAGCTGCGACGGAGGCTATGATAAGGGCTGCGACAGAGGCTACGATAAGGGCTGCGACAAGGGCTGCGACAAGGGCTGCGCGACGGGCTGCGATCGGCGTATCGTATGAGGGACGCTCGAGATGCCCCTGTTTGAGCTCGAGCCCGTTCTCGGAATGGTTTTTAGGCAGACAGAATCGACAGAAAGGCGTAAGGTAGGATGTATCCACTGGAGCGCTGGAGCTGTCACGACAAGCCAGATCACCGACTGTCTTAATATGAGAATATTTTCTTCAACCGTTCTCCCTCGTGTTGCTAAGAAGATTTGTTAGATGCGGGTGCCCCATTAACCTAGCTCACGCAGTTTCCGGGGGTTCAAGATCCAATGGTAGCACAGCTAGCACAGTGGTCGAACGTGAACGTGCATGAGAGACTCTGTTCCATCGGATCCCGTCCTAGAGGGCCGCGGTGCCGTTCGAAGTTTGCGGTGTTCTAAATCCGGGGCTCCACCCAGTCTGGCATCCTGGCAGTCGGGGCGAACATGCTCCGAATACACCACTAATTTGGAGCGCTCGTGTGCATGAAGCAAGCGCTTTGACACGTCTAAGCAAACCTTCGTCTTCGTCAATGCGAAAATGTGCAGGAACATACAATAGGAGAGGAACGGCATTGTGCTGCAACACGTTCGAGAGGACAGTTGCCATGACCGGCGAGCAGTCTCTGCTTCGGGGTACAATTACTTGAGGACTCTCTGTGAAGCACGATGTACCTACCAGGCGGCACATCTGTGAGTCACAGAGCTGGCGATTGGCAAAGCTGCCCCGTCCGTGGGAGAGGAGAGCCCCAATGGCATTTGATGGCGTTGTCTGTACCGTTCCTCATTGCCTCCTTGCAGCGCTTACATCGGGTATCGCTGGCGCTGGCTCTGTGACTCTGTGACCCCACGAGACGCAGCGCAGTTCCGCCTCCCAGCTACGTTACAGGATGCAGTCTCCCTCCGGGCAGGCTGCAAGGTTGTACTGTGATGTAGGGGCGCGGTGGCTGCTACTCAGGCTGCTCATTCACTAAGCATGCTGCGCACTCTTACACATAATTTGCACCAGATCTCCCGCCCTTGGCCCTTGGCTGGCGTCCGTCGTCTCTATAGGCTCTATCGATCTATCGCCTCGAGAGATCGAGAGCACAAACTGCTGCGTCCTCCGATGTTCTTCGCCGCAACCTTGAAGAAAAGCTCATCACACGACTAGGACGCCCGGCAGTTCGCAACTCGCAACCTGCGTCCACCACATCCATACTGCATCTTTGTCATAACTATCTCTTCGCTGCGACTTCGCCGTTCGCCACCCTTACATGGAAAGTCTCGTGAGAACATCCGGTCATGGACTATGTCAACCACGCAGTCTTCTGCCTAGGATCATGGATAAGGAGGAGATTGTACGAGGCAGACTGTACGTGTCGGAGGGATGAGCGCCGTAGGTGCTGAGCTTATGACAGACGCATGGCTGGCGTTTATCGTCATAGAGTCCTTCTTTCTTCGCACTCTCGCTGTGGTTGTGAACGAATGCGTGTATAATCTGACGAAACAGGAGCTCCTCGAACAGTGAGATCTTTGCTTGCCCATCAAAGGCTGTGTGAGGCTGACGCGCGTCTTGCAGATACTGCTACATTGTCATTGCCACTGCTGGATCGTTATTCCTTATGCTTTACGCGGCGCTTGTTTACTATCACGTCACAGCTCGTAGGCGTCCATGGGGCACACCGTCCGAAGTAGTTACCGCGCAGCGCCGGTCCGTTTCCGATTGGACTTGGGAAAATCCGAGCATCGAGAACTTGGCTGCTGCCAACTTGGCGGGGCTGTCTTGACAGTTCCCATGTCTGACCTGCAAGAGGGCCGTCCAGACATCATAGTGGGGAACGGGTATTTCCCGAGCGTGTTATAGCTGTTTGATAGTCTGCTGATATGGGAAACTATGTAGGCCCATCGGTATGCGTCATGAAACTAGTTTATACATACACTCATGGCTCTGTCTTGCTAGGGTGCGTGAAGACCTTCATTGCCTCCAGCACCTCACGTTCCGTCGAGTGAGACGTACGCGCATCGGGCGCACGGCGCTTACTCCATTCCGGCACCACGGGTAAGGGCCGAGCGGGGAGCGCCGGACCGCTGCGTCTTATCGCCGCCGACTGCACTCCCGGTCCGGGCACAAGACGGGGGAGGCCGCGATCGCGCCCGCGCCCGGCTGCGCCAGTCCACTTCGTCGCCGCTCCCTAAGCGATCTCGCCCTCTGTCTCGTCGAACACGTTCTCGGGCGGTGGTGCCTGGTCCGCCTGCGCGCGAATGCCGAGCACGCTCTCGTCGACTTCGGCCTTCTCCTCTGTCTCTTCCGGCGCATCGCCGAGGCGCTCCTTCTCCGCTTCCTCCTTCTCGGCGTCGGCTTCGAGCTCGTCGATCGTCAGTGCCGATAGACGACGGTCTTCCCCGATGATGGGAGAGTGCTGCTGTGGCGGAGGGCTTGGCGGCGCGTCCGTCGCAATGCCGAGCATCTCGCGCAGTGCTCGGTTCTCCTCCTCGAGACGTTGAATCTCCATCTCGCGCTCCAGAGCCCAGTCGCCCTGTCCTTCGGTTCCGAAGTAGCCGCCTGAAGAGCCCGGAACGAAGCCAAACTCGCCTCTGCGCCGACGACTGCTGGACGTAGCACCGCCAGAGCCGGTGCCTCCTGAGCTTGTCGCACCTGCTGATCCACGCTCGGGTGACCGTGTTGGTGAGCTCTGCGGGGAGACGGATATCGCTGGACTCGTCGACGCCGGACCACTCGCGCGAGGCTCCTCTAGCGTCAAGCTGTCGAGGAGGTCGCCATCGACTTCCTCGCCATTGGATGTACGGAGGGCGGAACGCAGAAGAGTCGAAAGACGAGTGAGAAGCAGGGAGAGAGAAGTATCGTCATGAAGCTGGGCTGTCGAGTGTGCCGTCTGCAGGCTCTGCAGCAGCTGGGAGTAGTAGCTATGCAACGCAAGATCGTGATGCTGGCTCGCGTGCTGGTGTCAGTGTGGAGCTTGAATGATAGAACTTACAGCAACGCCACGGAACTTGCCCATCACCGTCTCAAGCGTCTGCTCATACTCCTTCAGCAGGGTGTTCAGCTGCTTGTTCTCGTGCTGCAACGTCTGGTTCTCCAGCACCAGGTGCGATGCGAACGCCTCGAGCTCCGTCTGAAATTCCTCTGCACGTCAGCTGCTGTATGAGTAGAAAGCTAGCTTACCGTCACTGATGTCGAGGTTGAACCGGCGGAGAGGGAAGCCAGCACCGACATGCACCGCTTGCCCTTTGACATTCTCGGTGCGCGCCTTCAGCTGCTGCACGAGGGCCCGATTGTTCGCCAGTTGCTCTATTCGTCAGCCTGAGCTGCAGAAGAGCAGACAGGAAACTCACCTGTGAGCTCATTGACAAGCACCCAGACCTCTGCAAGGTCCTCTTCGTCTACTTGATGCGGCATGCCGTGCGGGTTGGATGGATTGAGCAGTTCGCAGACGACCACCCCGGCCATGACGAGTATGGTGGTGGCCAGGGCGCCTGGCGGCGGCGACGGAAGCAAAAATGGCCTGCAGTCGTTATCACGCGCCTGGCTTCCTCCCGTGCCTGAATGCCGAGCTTCAAGGTGACGCGACCTTCACAACGCGCCTGGACACCGACCGGGTTGTCGCCACCACCACCTGCATCAACATTTTCCGACGACACAGTCACGCACCGGCCACGACTCAGCACAGCCCTCGACAGAAGCTCAGAACTCAAGAAGCCCGACAGATGCCGCCACCATGAACACAGTCGCAGGGCTCCAGACCGCTCTGAGCAACATCGAGTCTGAAAAGATCACTGAGCGCAAAGCCGGCCAGGACGCCCTTCGCGAGATCTTCGCTAACAGAGAAAACCTCCTCGTCTTTCAGGAAACTGCAACTCTGGAAGGTGGAGCAGGATGGGTCGCCCTTTTCCAGAGCCTGTTTCAAGGTGTCGTCCTCGAGAAGAAGGTCGTTTTGCGGAAGCCTGCGGCAGTCGGTACGTACCCTCCACATTCTACCTCCACCGAATCCCCATCATTGAAAGGAATCGAGCTGACAACGACAGCCGAGCGAAGGCTGATCCAGGCTGCGAACTTGGTCCGCACGACCGCGGAGCGAGCAGTGAATTTACTATCGCGTCGGCCATTCCTCGCCTTGTTCACGCATATGACGACGTTGCTGGTGCACGATGGGCGCATATTCGAACTCATCGCGACGGACTACATCAAGGCGCTGCGAACGCTCCTCTCCTACCCGCCGCATCTGCAGCATCTCGATGCAGGAAGCTGGCGGACTCTTATGAGGATTTGCTGGGCAGCCTTGCTCGGAGAGTACGTGAGCCTTGAGGAAGACGATGAAGGCTCGGCAAGCGATTCTTCTCTCGCGCCAACGCGCCAAAAGGTTGCGCTCTCCGCATCTGTCGCCAACGAGCTCATGACGCTGATTCCGATTCTCGTCGCCAGTCCAGCAGCGCCCCTTCTTCCGCCGTCCCATGAGCATAGTGAGCCCTCCGATGCTGGGTCTGGGTCGGGGATCTTGCAGAAGATCAGTCGCTACATTAGGAAGCAGAGTGGTGCACCGCTGCCACTCGAGATCTTGCGCACCCTCAATACGGTTCTGGGCGAGATGGAACTGAACTCAAGAGAGGACTTCCAGGCAGCGTCACTCAAGTTGTTCCCGCAGCTTGTGGACCAATGGATTGCAACGAGCCGAACGAACCTCGGTCTAAGAGAGCACATCGTCATTGCCATGAGGATGATGTTGCCCTTCATCACGCACATCACTGTCAAGGATTTTGATCAGCAAACCGCAGTGCGAAGCGCGATGGATAAGTTCATTGACAGCATTACCAAGGAATCTCGAAGTCGCGCCGGCATTCGACCACTAGACCTCGATTCTCTGCAGCTCGTGTCCGTTTCGACTCAGGCGCCGTCAGCGCGACGAGGGCCGTTCGAGCTTACCGGTCTAACAGCGGGGTTCGAGTTTGATGCCTCACAAGCGGTGTCATGGGCTGCAATTGAGCTGTACGCCGACTGCTGCTTCCAAACGTACAAGCAGAATGCTGTCCCCTCCACGCCTTCGGCGTCCGCCCGCAAGCGTCAGAGGATGGAGAGCAGCCTAGACAAAATCATGCACCTCACTCTGGGTAACGATGAGTCGGAACGTCGGATAGCTCTCCAGGTCCTCGTCTTCTTTTTCAACAAGCACTGGAAGAATCTCGCCCCCGATGCTCGAGATTCGATCCGACTCAAGATGCTCGAGCTTCTTGACGATGAGGACGCGGTACTTCAATCCTGGGCGTACGTTGGTCTCTCGTCCCTGGCGCACGCTGAGAACGCGATGGAGGCCGAGGAAATCGCCAACAGATCCTTGCCTATGACACCGGCGGCTGTGGCTGCGCGTCGACGGCAAGAGCAGACTGCTTGGGAGAGAGTGTGGACGCATGCGGTACGTAAGACGTCGTTCATAGCGACATCTCGAGCCGCTTGTCACGCAGTGGATACGATAATACAAACTGGGAAGGTCGACAGCGCGCGCTGCGTGAAGGACGTCGGCAACCTCTTGAGAAATGTGGACATCCAGGGACCTCCGACAGTTACAGATGCCGCGTGCGCTTTCCTCACGACCGCGGTTGAAAGTGTGAGGGCCGACGCCGGTCTTTACGCCGCGAATCTGGAAGAAAAGGTGATCGACTGGTTTGCAAAGACCTATGAAGTGGATGGTGGGAGCCGATTGCGCAATCGCATGGGGTCTGCTACGACTGCTGGCATTCTCAGGCTACTGGGCGCGATTTGCGGATTCTCGAAGGCGGCAATTGCGGATACGACAGTGGCGGAACATCTTGTCGACAGCCCCGTGGTTAATCGCCTCATCCACGAGTATCAAACAAATGGCCTCCGCCAGCTGATTCTCTATGGCACCATGCCCTCTGTTCCAGGAGATGAAATGGAGGCCGCGGTATCAGTCGGTATTTCTGCCAAAGAGGACAGCGAGTCATTAGGCTTCCTCGAGGGTCGTCCTCGCAAGCTGTCGGACTTTCTCCAAGCTACCGCTCAGATCACTGTCAATGAGTGGTCACCCAAGGATCAGCGTTCCTCACCTTTGACAGTCATAAGGCTGCGCAAGAGTCTGGACGCGGTTGCCCTATTGTTGACTTTTCAAGCTGCCGTGCAGCTCAACGGGTTTCGGCCGGATACGACTGGGTGTATCATGACCGCCGTGAGGCTACTCGACACGGTGCTGCCTCATTTAGGATCACTGTCCGAGAACGTCGCCGCGCAGCACCTTGTATGGCGTGGTGTCGCGCCGCTCTACAGTCGTCTCAGCTCCAATATTGATGCTTGGCCGATCCTGCTAAAACCAGATCGGCCATCAGGCATTCGGAAAGACAAGCTTCCTCCACGGAGGTACGCCAGTCACATACCCGAGGATGGCGAGCACAAACCTGGCCCATATGATGACCTGTTGTCCATCGTCTGGCGAAAGGGTGAGGTGAGTCAGCAGGTGTTCCCCCACCACGCTAATTTACAGACTGCAGACGCGCTTCTGCGACTGATCGAGGTCAGTAAAACGACACTGGAGCAAGTCCGACCAAGCACGGTGGCAACATCGTCTACTGTAGTCGGGTACAACGACGACGATGACTTCGGCCCGATCATCAATGCGGAGGTTGATGCCATGCCTCAATCGTTCGAGGCGAAGGAGGCGCAGAGGACGATCGCCTCTCTTACCAAGACTCTCGTCGAGCTCCGTCTGCGCGGCCCATTGCTCGCCCATCCTGATCGTATCCCTACCAAGGACAACGATTTGTTCAACTCTTTGGCGACAGCGGACGGCACTCGATTTCCTCAGCTCGGTTTCGTCATTTGCGACGCCATCCTTGAAGGCTCTCTCCGCCTTTCCGGAGCTGCTGTGAGCCTCATTCTCGACGAACTGCACGATCGCCTCACAACATATGCGTTCAATCGCGATGGTGACACGATTAAGCTTGCGATACTGTTTCTTGCCCGTTCAGCATCGATCTGGCTTGCTCCCAAGTTCGGCCTCACTGATCTAGCTGTCGAACAAGCGAAAGAGATCGTGCGCCTGGCATCAACTGGCCGCCTGCACTCTTGGCAAGCACGACTTCATCTCCTGCTCTTCATCGACGAGTATCTCGACTACGACCCATCTTACGGCGCGTGGTTGCAATTAGGCGACACCGACGAAGCCGATATTGAGATGGGCGGTCACCATGAGAGCGACTGGGGGCCTCTGAGCTACGTTCTGAAGGCCACGTTAGATGTCGATGCCCGCGTCCGATTCCGCGCTGCCTCGTCAGCGGCTGCTATTCACTACCTTCCGGACCTATCCTCTGAGCGCAAAGCACAGGCGTACCTTGACCTCCTGCCCAAGCAGGTGATGACGGTGTTCAACTGGGACGTCTTCTTGACCAATCTCGTCTGGAAACTGAACACTTGCATAGCGAGCGCTTTGCTGCGGTCGGCCACGATCTTTCACCTCTACGAGGTTGCCGACTACAACCCCGACTTCCTGTCGCATCTGCAGCCAGGTCTCGAAGCCGTGGCCCAACGATTGGGGCTGTCATCTCTCCAGCCACTCTACATGTCACATGCTAACACCATCGTGACTCAGCAACTCCAGAATCAACAACTACCGCTGCGCCTCGGTCCGACCCTTTACGGCTGTTCTTCTCAGAGAGAATTCGCTCAGCTGTGCCTGAATCTCGTCGGCTCGACCATCCTGGCCACTCGACAAAACACGGCTTTCTTCGATGCTCTTTGTGAAGCAGCCGATGTGCCGAAGCAGCGAGCTTTGGGACGCTGCGTACCCGCTGCAGCCGCGATGGCCGTCACCTACTCCTTCTCACAAGGCGAAACCGGGCGTGTGACCGCACAGCAGACTGCGAACGCCGAGGATGTCCTGAAGCAGCTCCCTTCTCCCGATAGTAGGAGCTGTGCCGAGTACCTCGCCGCCCATTCCGAGATTGTCATGGCCAGCTTATTTCCTCTCATTGATCTGGCGCTCTGCAATTCGGATATCGCCTCGATGCTCGCCGGCTTTAACGATGACGGCAGGGCTTCGCAATGCTATGTCACTCTCACGGCCCACGATGTTGATCCACGTCACGCGCCAACCGTCCTCGAACCGCAATACTCCTTCTGGGCCGTCCTTCAGGCTCTCTTGTTCCTGCGCACGAGGTTTCAGGAGACCCTTTCGCGGAGGCGCATGGTGTTCTCTGCCCTGATCAAGCTTTTCCACTCCATCAACAGCTCCTATTTGGTGATTGAGCAGCGACGCTACCTTCGCTCACTGGCCCTGCTGGCTTCGCTGTATCCTAAGGAGTTTCAGCAACCCATGGTTCTGCAACAGTTCCTGCACAATATCATCAACCTCTTATCGAGCGAGGATAACGGGCCCATGCTCTTGGATCTCATTAGGTGGGGCTTCGATCAGTTGGCCGCTACGAAGTCTGTACCAGATGGCTTGGTCGATCTCCTCGTAATGCTGAGCACGACGTACACCAAGCTCAAAGGGGATTCCAACCTCAGGGAGACGGCCGACGGGCTCACCGCCTTAATCAGGGACCGAGCCAAACTTTAGGCAACAGAACAAGGAGATCGCCCCTGCGCTTGAGTACGCTATCGTGTTCTGGCCACCTGAATGGGCAAAGTACTTCGAGGAGACTTTCGAATTGGGCTTCGTCGATGTGGCGAATATCGCTGGGCGGCCTGCGACCATGAATCCGATGGCACTGTGCAAGCGGCTCTCTGCCTCCGCGATCATCGGCAACAGGGCTCAAAATCGCGATACATTCATGTCGTCGACCTTTTGGCATCTCAAGAAGGCTCTGACCGCTTCTGAGTGGGATCGCAATGGCATTATGGCGTTTTTGGATTTGATCTACATGTCGAATGGGCAAGTCAAGGCTCCGGACATGCAGGCCATCAAGTCCTTAGCTGGTCGCTCACAGCTCTCGGATCTTGCCAAGGATTACAAGGATCCGAAAGTCGTGCTTCGGATCACGGTCATCGACAAAATCGTCGAGCAGACCTCTGCAGACGATTATCAGCTCCGCACAACTGCTATCGAAGTGCTGCAGACGGTGCTTCCGGTCATCAGCCAGATGTCGGAGCGACAGAAGATGCCAACGCGCTTGAACGAGCTCGCCGGTTTGCTTGTCCCATCGACCCCGACGTCCAGCTCCCAGGAGCAGGCTATAGACACCATACTCGAGGAAACGAAGGCCTGGGTGGTCAAGTCAAGAGTTTGCGACACTTGGGCGCGGGATATGGCATTGCTGCTCAGCACTCTCGCAGCCAGAGACGACCCGTTTTATCTCTCACTGCAGCCCTTGCTGTCAACGCCGGGTAGTACCACGACAGGCTTCCTCCCTTACCTCGTCCAGGCTGTCCTGTCATGCGGGTTTGAGGAGCACTCCGACCAATCTCTTCATCGTGCCGCCGTGCTGTCAGACCACTTCTCTCAGGTGCTGCAGTACCCGATGGCGGCGGCGGAGACACTCGAGGCAATCATCAACGTCGTTCTACACCTCCGAAACTTCCAGCCGCCACACCTCTCGAACGATCTCGCATACAATCACTGGCTGAGCATCAATCCGCTCATCTTGAGTGAAGCGGCTGGCCGTTGTGGCGCCTTTGCAAGCTCACTCCTCTTCCTGGAACTGTCCAACGATTGGAATGATGGTGCGGGCTGCGACTTGTCGAGCCCCCGTGTCCAGAATGTAAGTTGTATGACCTGACTGTGGCTAACGCCAGATCATGTACGACATCTACAGCAATGTCGAGGATCCCGATGGATTCTACGGCATTCAGAATAATGATGTGATGGATTCGCTCCTGCGCCGACTCGATCACGAAGGTCAGCCTCTCAATTCGCTTGGTTACAATCTAGCCAACGTGGAGGCCGCCCCTGGACTCAAGTCTGGCCCGTCCTTGATGTCTTCGATGCGCAACCTGCATGACCTTGGGTTTAACCGCCTCGCTGGTTCAGTCCTCCAGTCGTCTCGTCAAGCCCTAGGCGACTCAGAGGCGGACCCGTTCTTCCTCGATTTAGCATGGCGCATGAGTGACTGGGACGTTCCCCTCACGCCAGATATGACCGCGACTCCAGCCGGGCAGTTTTACTCTGCGTTGCGAGCCGTGCATCGGGAGCGTGACCGGTCGGTGGCGCAGCAAATCGTCGATGGTGCAATTCGCAGTGAGATGGCGAGGCTCGAGAAGATCGGTGTCGAACGCATGACCGAGGTCAAGAACGCAACTCTCAATCTCCTATGTCTCCGAGACATCGCCAAGTGGCTCTCAGAACCCATTCAGCAAGCGGTCAACGAGGGAGACTTTGCGAGCGGGCGTTTGGCTGAGTTCGTCGACCTCAGCTCGTCGTTTGAGTGAGTCTAATCCGCAATGCAACCGCTGACAACCAGCTTCAAGCAAGCCGAGAGACTCTCCGCAACACGACTGTCTCTCATCCGATCGTCGCGAGCACGCGAAAGCCAGACCATGTTCGGCGATCTCATGACAGCGCAAGGAGAGGGCCTTGTCGACCTTGAGATTTCCTGTCAACTGCGCCTCAGCCATCTTGCGCGCAAAGAGCTGGACCTGCAGGCTGCTGTAAACGCCGTCATGGCGGTCAGACAGTTGGAGGGAGCAACGCCTTCCGAACATGCCGCTGACGAGTTTGGTCAAGTGCTCTGGGCCAAAGGCGAGCATGGGCTCGCCATTCAGCACACGCAAACGCTTTACGACGCAATTCAAGCGTCATCCAAATCTGTCAACCAGGCAAGGTCTGCGATTCTTCTTGGTCGCATCGCGAACTGGACATCGTTAGCCAAGCTGAAGGCGGCGGAAGACATTCGCGCGTCGTTCCGTGAGGCCATGAAGCTCGCGCAGAAGCACCGGTCGGACACGACGGAGCAGGCGCAACTTGCATACGACTTTGCCGTATTCGCGGATCAACACTATGTCGCCTTGTCCAAGTCGCCCGAGCTGGAGCGACTGACGGTTGTGATGGACAGGAAGCGCGGCGAGCTCGAGAAGCTCGACTCCATGCGCAGTACACCGAGCAGCAGTCGGCGCAAGGCAGACAAGGAGGATTTGGAATTGGAGGAAGAGCGCGCGGCTAAGGAGAAGATGGACCGAGAGCTGCTGCGATACCTCTGTTTCACCTTGGAGAGCTATGCGTCTGCCATCGCTTTAAGTGACAAGCACGACGACAGCATCACTCGTATGGTGTCGGTCTGGCTCGAGCACGACAGCACAGAGCACGCGCAGCGAAGCTTCAGCTCCCATCTCGGTATGATTCCAACGCACAAGTTCATCTTCCTTTCGCCGCAACTTGTTGCGCGACTGGATCGGCCCAAGCAGCTGACGACGTTCAACGCCAACTTGAACGACCTCATGCTGCGAATGGCCCAAGACCACCCATTCCACGTCCTCTACCAGGTCATCACCCTTGCGCAGGGCTCTGACTACAAGAAGGGCGACGGCGCCGGACGCACAGCAGCTGCAAGCGAAATCCTGGCCCGCATCACGACGGACAGCGAACGGCCCATTGCTCAGCGTGCGGGCAAGGAGATGGACGCGTTCTCGTCGGCTGCAGTTCAGTGGTGTAACTTCGACTACGAAAAGCGCCGTATCCCGAAACCCAAGACTATGGCTCCAGCACCAGTGCCTTCCCAATGCCCATTGATGCCGTTCAAGAGGCTTAGCATTCCTGTTGCGACGTTCATCCCGCCGATCGACCTCACGTTGCAGTATATGAACGTGCCCACGCTCGAGCGCTATAGGTCCAACTACCGGCTCGCTGGCGGCCTCCACCGCCCAGCTGTCATGAGCTGTTATGACTCGCTGGGCAAGGAGCATGTCCAATTGGTGAGTGTATGTTCTGACATCGCTAATTGTGCAGTTCAAGGGTGACGATGAAGTGCGCCAGGACGCGGTGATGGAACAGGTGTTCGAGATGACGAATCGACTTCTGGCCCGCGACAGGAGAGCTTCCGCTCGTAACCTCAAGTTCCGCACGTACACCGTCGTCTGTCTTGCGAACCGGAGCGGCATCATCGAGTTTGTGGGCAACACGCAGGCCATTGGTGACTGGCTCAAGGACGCCCATATCCGGTGAGTATACTACATGCGTTGCGTCAGCTAACCCCAGGTACGGCAAGAGTACAGATCTTGCTCCAGATGCCGTACGGGACTCCCTGCGCCGCATTCAAGTCAAGGACCCCGACAGTCCAAAACTTGTCGACACATGGAAGGCGAACATGAAGCGCTTCCACCCAGTTATGCGGCACTTCTTCACTGAAAAACGCCGCGAGCCTCTGGCGTGGTTCCAGATGCGCCTGAACTACTCTCGCTCCGTCGCCGTCACGTCCATGGTTGGCTGGATGGTGGGCCTCGGCGACCGACACTGCTCGAATATCCTGATCGACAAGTCGTCCGGCGAACTGGTCCAGATTGACTTTGGCATTGCGTTCGAGCACGGTATGAAGTTGCGTATCCCGGAGCGCGTACCGTTCCGCCTGACGAACGATATTGTTGACGGACTCGGCATCACGGGTGTCGACGGCACGTTCAGACAGTGCGCAGAGCACACGCTTCGCGTGCTGAGGGAGAGCAAAGAGCTGATCCTGACTGTTCTCGAGGTGTTCAAGCATGACCCTCTCTACACATGGTATGTGTGACCAACCATCGACAACTAGCATCAGAGCTGACACACAGGACGTCTGACGCCACGAAGATGCGCCGCGCAGGTGGTGGCCGCAGCGACACGGAGCGTGGGCAGGATCAAGCCGATCGCGTTCTGTCGCGCATCAGGGGCAAGCTCGGCACTGAGCTCAGCACCGAGTACCGAGTCAACCAACTGATTCAAGAGGCTCGTGACCCGGAGCACCTCGCGAAGATCTTCGTTGGTGAGTAGCTGTCTGGTGCAGTGGTCACAGAGCTAACAAGCAGGCTGGCAAGCATGGCTGTGATCGACGTTATGATGGAGATTGAGATACCCATGAGAACGAGAACGAGAACGAGAACGGGAGAAATTGAGAGAAGGCAGGTGTGGGGCAGCCCCGGCAAAAGAAGCAAGCAATACCACCGCATTGGTATATCCCCAACGTTTGTAAGATGTACGCATAGAAAAGGACTTGTATCATGCACTGCTGTACCTTAGTACCGTTTGCTTCGCCTTGTTGCTAACGACATAGTCAGTGATGCTCAACTTGATTCGCAACGATAACCATTATAGCCCTGACATAACCCAATCCCACTACAGAACCACACCCTTGACATTGTTGATGTCGCTGACCTTGATGTTGCGCATGAGAAGTGTGAAGGCGAGAGCGAGCGCCATGATGGCCGTGCCGGCTATCAGCATGCGGCTCTGAGCCTCAGCGTACGCCATTTGGATCGCCGTCCTAACGGGGTCACCGATAGGGAACGACAGCTGCACCTCAAGATCGGAGTAGATGCTCTCCCAGTCCGGCAGCACCTCCTCAGGAAGGTTCGCCTGAAGCGCCTGGGGAAGGGTGTGCGTCCATACAGCTCCGGAGATGGAGTTGCCAACAGCGCCGCCAATGTATCCGAACAGACCGAGTAGGGCGAGAAGCGCCGCGGCGTCGTTGTGCTTGCCGGCAGCGAGGACGGCGACCTGCTGCACCGATGTGAAAGAGGAGCCGGCGAAGGCAATGAGGATCTGCGTGAACACAATCCAGCCGATGCTGTACCCGGGCTTGCGGAAGTGGATCATGAGTCCCTCGCCGAGAATGTACAGCGGTACCGTGACCAGCAGGACAGGCTTGAAGTATCCGGTCCGACGGATGATGTATCCGATAGGGAACATCCAGAGCGCAGCGATAACGTCGTAGATCGAGCCGATGTATCCGCTCGTCGAGATCGAGAGGCCATACACGACCTGGAGGAAGGAGGAGAAGTACGACGCCCAGCAGTAGTAGGCAATCTGCCACGAGAAGCAGAGACCACACGCGCCAACCACGGTGCGGTCGGACAGCAGGCGGGCCGGGATGAAGGGACGCGGCACGAAGCGCTCCACCACGGCGAAGGCGATGAGGCAGACGATGCCGATGACAAGCATCGCAATGATGTGAGGCGCACGCCAGGTCTCGGCCGCGGACTGGGCGAGCGAGAAGGGGAGCAGGAAGAGCACGAGTCCAGCACAGAGGAGGAAGATGCCGAGCACGTCAAACTCGACGACGTAGTACGCCACCGACTCGAGGAAGGTGCGTCCGCTCGCCTCGCGTTTCGTGTCGAAGCCCTTCTTCACGGCCTGCGCGCGGTGGTACCGCAAGAACGCGAACATGGGCAAGCCCACGACGGGCAAGATGATCGCAAAGGCTCCATATCCCCAGCGCCAGTTGGAGTCGTAGAAGCGCTCGCTGATCGGCGGACCGGCATAGGCCGTGATAGCCCAGGGCGAGGCCGTGAAGGCGTAGGCCAGCGCTCGGTTCTTGAGGTGCGACGTGTCGGCGGTGAGCACGTCGATGGCGAAGATGATGCCAATGAAGCCGACAGAGTAGAAGACCTGCGCCGCGCAGTATGTGTAGATGTTCTGGCAAGCGGCCGAAAGAATCAGGCCCAGAGTAGCGAGCACGAGCATGCCGAGGTATCCCCAGGAACGGTCCCAGAGGTTGAGCACCTTGGCCGCGACCATGTACGCGCACGCGGACATGACGTTGGCGACGATGGAGATGACGGGGATCAGACTGTGTTCGGCGAACTCGGACGTGATGTATGCTGACAGGTTCCAGGTGATACTGCTCTGGAAAGCGTTGGTCGCGTACAGCAGCCAGAAGCTGAATGTCAGCTCAGCTAAGGAGGGTGTGACTCACAAGACATAGAGCGTGATGAGAGAGGCCCGGTTCCAGCTCTGCGTCATAGCCTCCGCTTGCCGGACACCATCTTGAAGCTCCTCTGTCGGTGTCGGGGGAGAGGGGTCGGTCTTCTCATCGTACAGCTCAGCATCGGCGCTCTTGCGCTCCTCGCCCTCGACGGCCGCATTTTGCGCCAGCGTGAGCGTTTCGTTTGCCCTCATGTCGCCGTCTTTTGTCGTGAGTCGTGGTACCTTCTGCCGCCCACAGCGGGCTTCTCCTTATGTATAACTCGCAAAGTTGAGTGCATGGGCCGGCGTCGGCCTGCTGCGGCCATGGTGGTCAGAAAAAAACAACAGTGAACCTGTGCCATAGGCGCCGCCGGCGCTTAAGCTTGCTGCTTGATTGGAGGAACCGGCCGAGCGTGCCTGTCAGCCGATATCTGATAACTCCGGAGGGGCTTGGCGACTGGTGAGAGCGGCTTGATCCGCCGCCGACTTTGCCGCCGCTGCCATCGCTGCCGTCGCCCGAAGATCTAGACGCCGGGCGCGCTTCTGGCGCTAGATCTCCCTTCCTCCTCATCGGCCGATTTCGACTTTGCACTCTTGTTCACACCACCACTAGCAGCGCACCTGCATCGCAACCGCACCTTTCGGCCTTCTACATCCCACAGACTGCGAGTGCGGCTTTCTTCGCTTCTCACATATCGCAAAATCCTCATGCGCCATGGCCGACTCTGACTCGCCCTCGATTGCCGGCACGCTGGCCCTCTACCCTCTCCCGGGCGGTGGCCAGCGGCCGTACTTCACCTCTGGTGACGAGTCCTCCTCCCGCGCAGTCCTGTTCATCGGCGGACTCTGGGGCGGCTTCCTGTCGACGCCGTTCCTGCCTTCCCTCTCAGGTGCTCTGAAGGAAGCCGGCTGGCAACTGTAAGTGTCCATAATTTGGTATAGCTAACAATAAGTGTACAGATCTACTGGTCAGGGGTCTACGAAGGGTACGGCACGGGCAGTCTGAATCGAGATGCGGACGAGATGGAAGCCCTTGTGCAGCACCTCCGCAGCAAGGGCGTGCGCGACATCGTGCTCATGGGCCACTCCACCGGTTCGCAGGACGTGATCCACTATCTCTCCAGCAAGCGCGACGAGGTGCAGGGCGGCATCATGGTCGCGCCTGCTTCGGACCGGGAATTCTTCGAGCGTGACCCGGACGCCGAGTGGGCCGCGGCGCTGAAGAAGGCCAAGGCGCTCATTGCCGAGGGCAAGCCGAGGGAGACCCTCATGGTCTCCGGCATGCGCATGAGCGCGTACCGGATGCACTCGCTTGTGGGCGTCGGTGGCGACGACGACTACTTCTCCTCCGACCTGCCCGACACAGCCGACGGCGGACCGCACGTTCACCCGCTCTCGACGTCGTTCGGGAAACTGTCTGCTCCGGCGCTCGCACTCTGGTGCGAAGGCGACCACTGCGGGAACGGCGACCAGCGGCCCCTCCTCCGGCGGTGGGAGGCGGCAGCGCATGGCAAGTTGACCTGGCACGTTCTCGAGGGCGCGTCGCACATGGTCTCGGAGCCAGCTCCTCAGGCCGATCTGAACATCCAGGTGGTCGAGTTCCTGAGCAAGATCAAATCAGGAAAAGCCCAGCCGGGTCCAACTCGTGCATGATTCGGCGCCAGTGCACCTCCTCTCCTGGCGGGGCGGCGTCCCGACGTGCCCACACCGCATGCATGAGTCGAAGGGCGTTGCGCGTGTTCCCAAAGTCGGCGTCGGGACCTAGCCTGTTCCGGTGGAAACGCGCTGCAAACGCGGCACGCTGCGGCTCTTGCGCATGGCAGCCTGAGATCGTGATGGGGAAGACGAGCGCGCGGTCGGCCGCGACACCGGCGGCGTCGAGCGCAGAGAGAGATAGGAGCACGTCCGCTACTGCAGATGCTAATTCCGCGGTGTATGGATAGCACCCGTCCACGACAGTGGCGAGGAGCACCCGGGAACCGTGATAGAACACATCAGCGACGAGGCGCCGGGCGGGGTCGTCGAAATGTTCCCTCGCTTCCCGCTCTGAGAGGAGCCGTTCAATAGCCGATGACCGATGCAGGAGTTCGCGCACTGAGAGGCAGCCGGCAGCGCTCTGCTGATCCTTCCATTCTGACAGTGCGACCGTCTCCGCGATAGCCAGGCGGGTAGTCGAGTCGCACCCCATGACCGTTTCGCGGAGGTATCGGTCGTCGGTGGCCGTATCGCCGGCGAGTAAGCGTCTGTAGAGCGAGATGAACGCCGATGCCCTGCCCTCTGTGACCGAGGCGAGGATATCCGTCCATGCCAGAGGGGACAGGAGATGTCCCAGCTCGCCCGGATCGAGGTGTTGCACGGCGCTCAGACAGGCGCGGCACGTCCGCACGGCATTAGGCCAGCCAGACCGATTGCCCCCCGCGAAGAGATAGAAGCTGGAGATGGACATGGCAGCGACGATCGTCTCGTGTCGCCCCAGTCTTTCCGGCGGCAGAGCAGCCATGCTGGCTATGCTGCGCTGGAGACTCTGCTGCGCCGTATCTGTATCTACTGCCCCGCCGACGAGCGCCCTCCGCGAACCGACATGCAATGCTCCCAGAGCGACTAGCGATTCGAACACGGCCTCGTCCGCGTATGCCAGTGGTGCCACTAGGTCGGCGAGAGCTCGCCGCTCGAAGAGCCACTGGTATGGCATGATAACCGTGAGGTAGTGCTGGAAGTATCGGAGCGAGGTCTGCGAGGCCGTGAAGGCCGTATACTGCGCTGCTGGCTGTGGGATCAACGGCGGGCATAGCAGACGCACGAGGGCGGGGTCTAGGTCTTGTCCAGCTGCGGTGGCAGCGGGGAGGAGCTGCGCGAGCTCATCGAGTAGAGCTGCGCTCGAGGGCGGCGTGCGGGGTATGATGTGGTTGGGGTCGGCGTCAGACACTGGAGGCTGCTGGGACACGGGGTCGGGTATGTCAACCGCCGTAGACGTCGATGCTGGTGGATATCGCGCGGCGGCCCGTTCAGCCCACATCTGGCTCCGCTTGCTGGTCTGTGTTTCCGTAACGCTCTTCTTGCTGCCGTGTCAGCTTCATCCCTTCACATGCACGTACATGTTGTCAACAACGCTGTCGACCGTGTCTCGATCGCGCATCCAGTTCGGGCGTTGCACTGAGAAGCCGAGACACTCGAGTCCCAGCCTCTCACACGTGCGGCACTGTGGTCGCGTCTCGTCACATCGCTGCCGTCAGCATTCCACAAGCGCCAAGTGCTGACCCACCTTCTTCCTCAACCGACAGGTCAGACATCCCGTCCTCGTGCGTCGTTTCTTGGCCGTCCTCTGTGCCGGCGGGGGTGGAGATGAGCCCGAGGCGACCGGTGCGGCCGGCGCGGCCGGCTCACCCGGCCGTGGTGATGTTTCCCGAGACGATGAGGGCCCAGACATGGGTGACGAGGTCGGCATGTGCTGAGCAAAGCACGGAAGTTATCAGATAAGAGCGATGCAAGCATGCACCTCCACCTCGAAAAGTCGGCCAAGACCCACGGTTGAGGACGGCTGTACCCGACATCGGAGGATACCCTGAACGGCGTCTTCAGCCTCACTCAGGCCTGATCCCTCCCACGGCCGCCACTCGCTTACACATCTTCCCAATTTCGGGACACCTGAATGCAGTGCTGACTGACAGATGACTGAGCACATGACGATCACGAAAGCAAACAGGTGTCGAATGGAGACAGGGTTGGATGCCGGCTGCTTGCGTAAGTCTTTGGACGTGCAGTTGTGACTGGAGGAGATCGTAGGCTGGGGCAATGTGCCCCACAGCGTGCACAGGAGGCGTTTGGGGACCTTCCCCCATATATCGGTCGGTCGCTTGGGGAGTCCGACGGCGTCGGGATTGCTATTTCGGCTTCCCCAGCTGGGAGTGTCGATCCTCCGTACTGGAGCTTGTCGCGTCTCATGTTCGCACCAGTCGACTGGCTGCAGTCGCCGGTTCACGGCGACCGGAGAGTCTGTCGAGTCAACTCGGAGCCGCAGATCCACCAGGGGTAAACGGGTGGAGGTGTTTGGTTCCAGGGACGATCAGGCACGGGATCGGTTTCAGGTTTCAGCGTCTGTCACCATCCTCATCAACAGCGCTTGCGTACTTTGCTCTACACACCCACCTTCGTCAATGCACACGGCGACACCTCCGTTCGCACCGTGGCACTCATCCTCAGATCCTGTACTTAGCCTCGCATCCGTTTGAGCAAGGGTGACCGTGGGAGACATTGAAACTAGCAGAGGCTTCCTCCAAACCCGCCACGAACCACTTCCAGCCCTCTTCACGAGATATACACACGTCGCTCTGCCTCTCGACTTCGCACCCTCGACGTCTGTCCGCTGACCAACCCAGCACTTCGCATCCCTTGCTGACACTGCGACCGTGGGAACAGTGAAACTAGCAAGGGCTTGCTCCAATCCCGCCACGAACCACTCGTCCTCTTCTTCACGAGGTTCCCACTCCGTTGACACACACACCTCAACAACCGCTTATTTGGGCACCGTGCATCCTCTCTTTCCCTTTCTTCTAAGGCCAAACCTAGCACAAAATCCACTGACCAACCGTGGGAGACATTGAATTTAGCAAAGCCTTCCTCTAACCCTGCCTCGAAACACCCAATCCACTTCTCACGACATCTCAACTGCGTAGACACACACACCTCCATGCCATCACTCATCTGCAGCCAATTTGGACAGTGGTATGCAGCACCTCGCACTAAACATACATAGTAACCGTGGGAAAGCATGAATCTAGCCTAAGTCTGCCTCCAACCCGGACCACACAACACGCCAATATCTCCTCACGAGATCACTGCCCCATCATCACGCCCACATCATGCACACCACTGCAATCGGTCCAACCCAGCCACACTTGATACATCTGTCATATATCCATGCCCCTCTCTCGAGTATTACAGTCTGAACCCATGCACTGCCCAGCAATGACAGTTGCACAACCCCTAAGGCTGCAGAAAGTCGCCGGCGCGACCAGCTTGAATCGCCGGCCGGCCCGTTTCTTCAGATCTTGAGAATGTAGTGTAACAATACTCGGCAGCTTCAGCTCACGCTCTCCGGTTCGCCTGGAACGGTCACTCTCACAGCAAACAACAAAGACGCGGCTGACGAGCCTACCGAATGACAACTGCTAAGGCCGCCAGGACGCCACAGATCCCGGTCCCCTTCTCCGACCCTTCTTACTTTGTCTTCCCTTAGTGGTCCCAGTGTACTGAGCATCTCCCAACACTCTCTTCTGCGGCCAGATGTGACGGCTCGTGCAGTGGCTTCGTGCCTCGAACAGGCCTCCCGAAGAGACTACATTCGGCACATCGACGCGCATCTCTACGGATGCATCAATCGCTTCTGATCCTACGTGGCTGCCGCTTGGGGCTGGCGCCACTGCCCGCACCTCAGCTGTCACACTCCACGCTCGCGATTGACTCAACTGGGGCTTGGAATGACGCTTGGAGCACAAAGGGGAGAATCTTGTCTTGATGGGATGCATGCGAGATGGTCCGGATGGGAGCTAAGGCTGGGCTGAGTAGACAGAACACAGACATACAGAAATGAGATTAAAATCGCGATGTAACGAACGGATTGGGGCTATAAGGGTAAGGTGTAAAAACGTGCGGGATGCATACACGTGCTGCAGCGACGGAATGAAGTGTCGTCTAACATTGTCCAGAGAGTAAAACTGAGAGAGAGGAGAAAGGGGCATGAGATGGCGTTGGGGCTTTGCGGATGTGGTTTAGAAGAAGGCGATGCCGGCGACGAGCGCGGCGAGGGCGACGCTGAGCGACGCCGCGAGGGCGTTGGCGCCGCTCGCGTTCTCCTTGCCCGCCTCGGATCCCGTGGCCTTGGCGTCCTTGTTGCCGCTGCTAGCGGTGACAACGGGCGCGGAGCCGGTGACGCTGCCGACTGAGGCCTGGTACACGGTTCCGGTGCCGGTGGCGGAGAGGATGAGGGTGTTGGTCGTGTTGGACGAGGTCTCAATGTACGCCTCCTCGTTTCCGAGGCCGAGACACTCGATGATCGACTTCATCTTGTACTTGCCGCTCGCGATCGCCATGGGGAGGAAGTAGCCGACGGCGAGATCGACAGTTTGGCTGTAGATGTCGTGCTCGAGCACGATGAAGCCCGTGTCGAGCTTGGGCACGTACTCGTCCAGGATGCGCTGGAACTTGGTCAGCGACGAGGGACCGGAAGCCGTGCCGCCGACAATGCGCCAGTCGTCAGTGTCAAACGTCGTGCCCTGGTAGTCGGTCCACATGACAGGAGTGAGACCCATCTGAGCGGCAATCGCGCGCACACGGTCATCGAGGTCACCATAGGGAGGGCGGAAGGTGTTGGGCGTGACACCGACGACGTCCTTGATAGCCTTCTTGGTCCAACCGAGCTCGGCGACAATCTCCTCGTTCGTAAGCTTGGTCAGCGAAGGGTGCGACCAGGTGTGGATCGAGAGCTGGTGGCCGAGCATGTACTCCGAAACGACCATCTCGGGTCGCGAGACGACACGCGAACCGACGAGGAAGAACGTGGACTTGATCTTCTGCTCCTCAAGGTAGTCGAGGAGGAGAGGCGTGTAGGGCGACGGTCCGTCGTCGTACGAAAGACCCCAGGTGTACTGGTCCGGGCAGACAGTGATGTCGGTGTCGCGGGTGCAGCCGCCACAGGTCCACCAACAACGGCCGTCCTTGGTAGCCTCGGGCGACGAAGCGCACTCGCCCGTAGTGACGCCGTACTTGGGCACCTTGTCCCAGTCGATCTCGCTTACCCACTTCTTGACCTCGGGCGAGTTGACATCAGGAATGGCATCGAGAGGAGGGTAGTCGGTGGACTTGGGCGTGGTGGGGATCGCAGGAGCAGAGCTGACGGACGGAGTGGCGCCCACCGCAAAGGTCGTGTGCAGGGCAACCGTCTTGTCGGTCGGGGCGCCGGAAGTCAGGGCCGAGAGCGACCTGAATGTGTCAGCTCGCCGAATGCTGCGCGCGCCTGCAAGACGTCATTGTGCGTCGTCAATGTCACGGGTGTCACCGAGCTGGGCGTCACCAGCGGAGGAAGCGAACAGATGGGCAGACGCAGACGGGATTGTAGAGGTCCACGGTGGAGGTCTTACTCGGCCACCATGGTGGTGCCGCTTGAAGACTTGGCATCACACCTCCAACGAACCACACACAATGACCTAGACTTGGCCGTGCGCCTTGAGGGCAGTGTGTGCTGGGCGCTATGAATAACGCATGATATGCACCTTCCTGCGCAGCCCGCAGCACACAGCGATGACCACCTCGCCCTGGTTGCACTTACGGAATCACAAAGCCCTGGGGACCGGTCTGGGCGGCACTCTGAGGAAGCGACGGATCAATCGCAACCGTGATGGCGGGGTTGGGGGCAGCGGCAGCAGCACCGGCAGGAGCGGCGCTAGTGCTGGCAGCCGCAGGAGCCGGGGCAGCAGCAGCCTGGGCGTTGACGACGGAGAGGAGAGAAACGAGGACAGTGGTCGCTAAGGCGGCCATGGTGATTGGTATGTTCTAGAGAGCGTGGGGAGGTCGAATGTCTGTTGCCGGCGGGGTATTAATGGGTTAGGTCGTGATCAATGCAGGTGATGAGGGGGACACACGATCAAGCCGAAGGAGTGCAAGTGAACTGTGGAAACGGTTAGAGAAGAAGTTGGGATAAGAAGAAACGCAAAGAGGGGAAGAGCTAGGTGGGATCAGAGCTCGTGGTGATACACAATCCACGGTCAAAGGTCACGGCGCAACAACAGTCAGTGTCTCTCCTTCTCCACAGGCGCGCAACCACCACGACGATGCACACGGCCAAGGGGGGCAGAGGGCAGCGAGCGCATGCAGCCGACAGACGGGTGAACTTGGCGGCGACTGCCTGACATGGCCCGCGGGCTGGCGCCTGTTGTGTGCTCGCACAACGCACGGTGCACCGGGTACCGGCCACCTTGGACCCTCACTCCCTATCCCTCGCCGGCAACAGGAGCAAAGCACCGCACGCGCCAAGCCTCTGTGGCTGCGGTTCTCTTTTCCAAGCTCACTTGGCGATTCGTAGTCCGCGTCAGGGGACCGTTGCCGACCTAGGTTCCATCCTGCACGCCGTGCACGGGTCGGAAGATGTCCTCGCCCTCTGCACGACCTGCGCATATGCTGCGCATTGGACCGCAGAAGTTGCGAGGGGCACCGGAAGTGAAGTCATGTCCGAGGAGAACGTGATCGCAGGGCGTCATGAGCGGCGAATCGAGTGCTGCGCGCGGCGAGACAGGCCATTGAGCGGCGGACGATACTGTGGGCGGCATGGACATGCCGCAGTGCCGGGCGTCAAAGCTCGGCATCGACTACTATTGTTGTCTGCGGAGGGGCAAAGGAAGAAGAGGGAGCCTGGTCTGTGCACGTTCCGGCCGTCCCTCCCGACGCGCCGTGGGACAGAGGATCGGGCATGCGCGCGTTGAACTCGATTGAGTAGAGGTCTGCCAAGCCTTGCGTGGACGGATCCGGCGCCCACATGGAAGACAACTGGAGCGATGGTTACGCCTTCCTCGCAGCTCCTACACGGTGATCAGACAGGGGAGGCGGCATCGTTGGGGAGAGTGTGGCAGCGGGGGATGAGCGGACAAGGCAGTGTGCGGTGTTCATCGTCGATGGGATGGTCGAGATGGACGTTGTGGTGTTTCCAGTTGCACGTTTCGGTCCGCAGTGAATCTTGGACTTTTCCTTGAATCCTTGGCTCTCGATCGCCTCGCGCCGCACCGGATGACGCGTCTCAGGCACCGTGGAACGAGCCGTAGCCCAGCACCACACGATCGAGGTGAGGAAAGTCATTCGCCACTGGCAATCTCCCAGCTCCCAGACTAGTGTAGATGTTGCAGTGCGCTCACGAGGTGCGTGCATAACCAGCTTTCAAGCCATGGTTTCGATATTCATGCATGACATTTCGTTTGGCGAACGACATCCCTGCTCCATGTCATAGTCTCGACTATGAGGGGCTTCCACCCCATTCACGTGTGAGACAGGCCACGTGGTTTAGTCCGCAAAATTCGCTAACGTCCTCTCACGAGCTAGCGGCGTTAAGTCCGACACTAATAAGGCACGAGTTTGGGCGGCTGAGGAGATTTGATTCCGTGGCTCAGGGCTTCGCAGGACTGGCGAGGGAGCGCTGGCTGGCTGCAAGTGCATACGAGACGCTCTCCTCTTCTCCCAACCATCAACCACCAAACTCGACAAAAGATGGGCGCTACCAGGTGAGCTACCCCGACGACGACGATTATCGCGACGAACACGACGACCCGACCTCGACCGACCGCGAGCGCTTCGACGATTGAAGAAGGATCAGGACTTGTGTGAAGGCGAAATTTCGATCGAAAGTTTGGAAGGACGGAACAACAGAATTTGTGCAAGCAGATGGACGAGCATCGGAAACGTTAAAGATGTGTTCGCCGCGATAATCGTCGTTGGAAGAGGAGCTGGACAATTGGTTTCTGACAGACGCAGGCTTTACCAGAAGGGACGCATCCTCGGCCACAAGCGTGGAAAGCGCAACTCGCGCCCCAACCAGTCGCTTGTCCAGATCGACGGTGTCGACTCGAAGGAGGCCGCCCGCTCTTACCTTGGCAAGGTGAGCTTACACACGGACACGAGAGCTACGGGGCGATACGACGGATGTCAATGGGAAAACAGCTGGAGAGAAGATCAGAAGAAGTCGAGAGGGAAGGAACCATGAGCGCTCGATCGTCCTTGCTCTTGCGAGTCCTGCGAGATCGTCGACGGCGCACACAGGGTGAAGAGGAGCGTTGCTGTTATCTGCCATCCGTTTTGTCGAGCCGAGCTCTCGTCGCCTAGCTTAATCGCCTGTGCTTCCGTTAGCTAACATCCCAGCGTATCGCCTACGTCTACAAGGCCAAGCGCGAGATCAACGGCTCGCGTGTCCGCGTCATCTGGGGCCGTGTCACCCGCCCCCACGGCAACTCGGGTGTTGTCAAGTCCAAGTTCACCTCGAACCTTCCCGCGCACATCTTCGGTGCCTCGTGCCGCGTGATGCTCTACCCCTCGACCATCTAAACACCCCCACATCCCCTTTCCCCATGTACCCGTGACACCGACCTTTTTTCCCTTCGGGGGCTCGCGACGGGTGGCGAAGCCACAGCGAGTTTGCATAGCGCAGCCATTGGGACTTGTACGAGAGAATGTATGGGTTCCGCAGATACCACTGGAGCGGGTGCTGAGAGCACTGACAGCGAGGACCGGGGGGCACGGAGTTGGATCTCGGGAATGATGAGGAGCATGAAGTCGGGAGTGTACTAACCGGTGACTTGAGCGAGTGCTTAGGAGGTTGTGATCGAGCAAGGATTGCGGAGAGTTAGTCCGCGGATCATGAGCATTGGCGTTCGGACTTGAGTGTAGGGTTGCAGATCTGAGCTTGTTGACACTGGCTGAGGCGATCGAGTCTCACACTTAATCAGAACGAAACGACCATGCCCAGAAGTCACAATAATGCATGATAGTGGTACAACAGAGTCTATTCAACGCCTTGGCCTTCTTCTTCGCAGCCTTCTTCGCCGCCTTGAGTGCGCGTTCCCGCTCGTCGAGCGCATTCTTAGGCTCCTCCTTGGTCTTGCCCTTCGCCTTGGGTGGCGGGGGAATGTCGCCAGCATCAGTCTTGGCAGCCTTCTTCTTCTTCCTCTCCCCAGGAGCGGGCGTGGACTCCTTCGACGTCGCGGGCGTGGCATGCTTCGAGCCAGCAGGTGTTGTATGCTTGGAAGCTGACGGGGTTGCGTGCTTCGAAGTCGAAGGCGTAGCATGCTTCGAGGCGGACGGCGTGTGGGCCTTCTTCTTGTCCTTCTTCACCAGCTGGGGCTCCGTCTTGACTCGCTTCTTGGGGACGGACTCGTCGTCTGATGATGCTGGTGACGACTCGCGCTTCAGGCTCACGCGCTTCAGGCCCCGCACCACGTCGTCCTTCTCCTTCTCCTTCGCGCCCTTGTCCTTCGTGCCGAATCCAGCTGGTCGTCGGAACGTGCGGTCCTCGGGCTGCGGTCAGCTCTCATTGCAAGTCGTGAGGAAGCTTACTTTCTCGTCCTCGTCCATGCTCTCGTCCGCCTTGCCATGCACGCCTGCTTCCGCCAGATCCTCCTCGTCGTCTTCCTCCTCGTCGTCTTCATCAGCGGCCTTGGTCTTGACGGCGCCGAACGTTCTCCGTCCACCCGAAACCTCGGCCTCCTCCACGAACGGTAGGTAGCTGCCCACGAAGCTAACCTTTGGTCTTGACGGTCCAGCGGCAGCATTGGGTCGTGTTCCCTTGAATCGTGACGGGAGAGTCCACTTCTCGGCCTCGGCGGCAGCCTCGGCAGCCTGTGCTGGTGTCGGTGCTGATGGCGCAGAGGGCGTAGTCGGGGCAGGAGTCGAGGCAGCAGATCCGGGAGTCGATGGCGTGGCCTGCTGACGCGCCTTCGCGCGCTGCATGAACTTGAGGTTCAGCGTGCCGCTCGACAACGACATGGCTGCAGAGTTGGTTGGTGTGTAGGTAACGAGTGATCGGTGGGACGCAACACGAAGAAGCGAGTGACGTCTGAAGATTTAGATGTAGGTACGGAGACGGTCACATCTCCGTGTGCCTTGTGCCTGGGCATTCCTCGCACATCTCCCAGCAACCCCAGATTGTCACCGTTGTTGTTCCCCGTCTCATATCAGCATCATCAACAACATGAGCACGACAGACCCCGCACAGCAAGTGGGACCGCGCCCCGCGCTTCTTCTCGCCGTAGCGACACAGCAGCATCTCCTCTCCGAGCTCTTCACGGTGCTGCAGGCAACTTCATCCGCGCCCAACGCAGACGCGCTTCCCGCCCTCCATGCCGGACTGGTACAGAGCTCAGAGCGGCTGGACCAGCTCTCCGCCGAGCTCAAGGTTCACCAGGCCGCTTATGCTGAGATGCTTGCGAAGCAGAAGAAGGCAAAGGAGCTCGAGGACGAGATCCGCTCTGTCATTCGCGAACTCCACGGAGCCAAGGTCGACCTCGAGGAGGTCGTGAATGAGGGCGCCAAGGTGCGAGAAAGCATCGAGCAGAGTGAGAAGGGTGAGTTCTACGGATGCCTCGTGACTGTTTGTACTTCGATAATGGCGAACAGTCGCACGATATCCCACAGAAGCGAGAGACAGCTGCGAGTGACGTGGTAGCTGATTCCAGATCCCGTCAGCGTCGATCAGCTCATCGCGCACGCGCACGCACTCGCCAAGACGACGAGCGCACCTGTGTCTTCCTTACTTGCGCCGGTCGACAAGGCGGCGGCTACGCCGTGGCCGAACGAGGCGGCTATGCGTCAGGGACTTTTGTTCCAGCTCGAGGGATCGATGTCTGGTGTCGGCGACGTGGGCGTCGTTGGAGACGGTGAGTTTTATTAGGCTGAGCCTAGCAGCTAACAATCCTTCGATGCCTTAGCTAACAAGCAGCAGTTACTGCCCCGGAACCAGCGCAGCCTGCGCCCCAGGTCGTGCACGAGGAGCCTGGACGACGATACGACCCCGGTGCCGTGTTCCAGCTCGACCTCAACAGCGACGACTCGGACGACGATTAGATCTAGGCTGCGTTGCTCGCTTCCGCTCGCCACACTTGTACATTAGAACCATGTTGTATGCATGCAGTGGGACATTGAGAGTGCGACCCACGAAAACCAATGAGAGAGTGGGTATAAGAGGAAAAAGTAATACAGTCTACAGGCTCTACCAGTTGTTGAGCATCTCGCGGGACAGGGGCTCGGTCTCCATCTCGTACTCGACGTTGACGTGGGGCCGCCTCTTGTTGGCGCGTTTCGGGTCCTTGGTCGCCTTCCGCTTGGCGCCAGCTTCCGGCTTCTTTGGTGGCTTGGGTGCGGGCTTCTTGGCCTCTGCTCCCTCGTCGCCCTCTCCGTCCTCCTCGTCGTCGTCCTCCTCGTCTTCCTCGTCCGACACCTCGAGATCGGACGGGAACTCCTGTCCCTCGTCGTCGTCGGACTCGGCCTCGGAGTCGAACTCGTCGAACTCGGATCCAGAGTAGTCCTCGATGTCGTCGTCCGACTCGTCGTCCTCGACAAACTCGCGCTCGCCTCCCTCCCACTCCTCCTCGTCCAGCAGCGAGTCGTCCTCCTCCATGTCCTCCAGCTTGCCCTTGCCCTTGTCCATCTCGAGCACTTGGCGCCACACGTCCTCGTTCACGTTCAGCGGCGCATCGCCGTACGCCTTCGATCGCAGACGCTCGAGAAGCTCCGCCTCGATGCTCTTCTCCAGCTTGGCCGCCGCAAGCGCCTTGCGCTCACGCGTGGCTTCACGTCGCTCGAGCTTCTTCTTGATACCGACGAGCTTCGGCCTGTTATGTCAGCTAATTCACCGTTTTCCAGCAAGTAAGAGAGAAAGACGTGGGTGGATCAGAGGGTGGTGCATGAAGTCTAGCCCATTTTGTTGCCTCGTACAGCCGGCGCAAACCCGTAGGAGAGTGCCGGCTGCTCTTGGCTGTCGCGACTTCTGAGTATCTTCATATCCACACGCCATGAGGGAAGGAGGGTATACGTACTGCTGGGTCATGGAGAGTCTGCGCATCTTGATGAGGTACTGCGTAATCTTGGTGAGACGCTGCTTGCACTTGTGCGTGATGAAGTTGGGCCAGTAGATGAGCTCCTTGTCGATCTGCTCGAGCGCCTTGGTGTAGTTGGACGAGAGCTTGATGCGCTCCCACATGTTGGCGGGGGAGTGCGCACGCTCAATGGTCTTCACGTAGAGGTAGAGGACGCCCTCCTTCTCTCGAACAGTCGCATAGCGGGAGTTGGCGAGCGGGCATGACTGGCGCGAACAGAAACCGGTGAGGTTGTACTCGTTGCGACAGAAGTTCTGCGTGACCGTCTTGACCTTGTAGCTGCAGAACTGCTGGTTGATCACCTGCCAGATGATCTCATCGGACTGGAGTTAGCTTGTGCAAGAATAGAGCAGCCCACCTGCATGGTGTCGGCAACTCAGGCGGTCGTGTGGGGTGTATGCAGGTGCGAAACAGCGCAGAAATGTTGTGTCCACCCGTAACCGTTCTATGACGGTGGACTCGCGCCGTTCTGAAATTTGTGACGGCAGGCACGCCACGGCATTTAGGCGCGACTGCGTTTTTCACGCCTAGCCGTATTTGCCACCTATGATCGCTGCTTCGAGTGTCACCCGGACCCGTCCCTGAGATCCAGAATCCCGCGTCACTGGGACGAGACGTAGCCGGCCGATCGGACAGCGACTGGCGAGCGTTGGCTTTGTTGACGTTTGTCACACTTCCACTCGTCACTCACACATATACGCCATGAGTCTCCGCCTCCTCTCACGGCCAACGACATCGCTCGCCGGCGCGGCCCTCGCCCAGTGTTAGTGCCGCACTATGTTCCCAGCTGACCTCAGCTCTGCGGCCCGCTGCGCGAAGTGCGCGCAGCATTCGGAGACTGCACGCCACGGCGCCGGTGGCAGTGGCGCACTTTGACACGCACCTGCTGGTGGAGAAGCTGCAGGCCAACGGCATGACGCGCGAGCAGGCCGAGGGCATCATGACCGTGCTGGCCGAAGCGATCGAGGAGAGCATCAAGAGCATGGAGGCCGGCCTCGTGTCCAAGCAGGAACAAGAGAAGCAGCGCTACACGCAGAATGTCGACTTTGCGCAGCTCAAGTCTGAGCTCCAACTGCATGAGAAGAACGACCTGACGCTCATGAAGAGCGAAAACGACCGACTGCTCGCCGACGTCGAGAAGCTGAAGCAGCGTCTGCGTGAAGAGATCACCCGTACCCAGGCTGGCGTTCGCCTCGATCTTAACCTTGAGAAGGGAAGGATTCGCGACGAGTCGGCTCAGCAGGAACTCAAGATCAAGGAGGTCGACACCCGCATTGAGTCCGAGATCGCTGGCCTCAGGACACAGATCGAGCAGGCCAAGTTCTCCATTCTCCAGTATCTCGTCGGTGTGGCCACTGGTTCCGGTGCCCTGCTCCTGGCCTACATGCGTATGATGGTAAGCTGAGAAAGCGTTCTGAGATAGCTGACATTGCAGCGATAGTCTTTCCGGCACGACGGAGGTGGGAGATGGGAAGGAAACTGCATTTGTTATCCGGTGCTTTAGAATCAGTAGAAACCACACCGCACCACTGCACTACTCATACGCATGTGCATATGTATCGGGCCTAAGTCCTTAGCCATAACCCCATGGTCAACTGCTGCATGCTGGTTCTTGCAGACGTCTTCAACCTCTGGCGATTGACTCGACCTGGCCGGAGCTGTGCGGAAGCGGAGTTCAAACGACATCCGCCCTTCATGTCGGTGCGTCATCGGCCAGATGACTAGTTGTTGACTTGCAGCAACCCAATCCACCATGACAACCGACACGTCCGCCCCAGCGCCGGAAGCCGAGCGTGCGCTCCAGCGTGACCTCGACCTTCTCCAGACGCTGCCCTCAGCAGTCCTCGAGCGCCTGATCGACCCGAATGCAGCGCCGGCCCCACCGCCATCGAGCGTAGAGGAGCAGCTCGCAAAGCTCAAGGCGTCTTCCTCGGCCGACGTGTCTGCTGCTCCTTCCTCCGACCAACCTACCTCCACCGACCCTTCCTCGACTGATGCCTCTGCAAATGCCAAGACGGCGAAACCCAGTCCTGCGCAGCTCTCGGACGCCGAAGCGCTCAGCGAAGCGTACATCAAGGAGATGCGGGAACGGGGCGCTGAGCTTGCCCGGGACGAGGAAGGTAGCGGCCGATCGCTCGAGTTCCGGAGTCGCATTGAGCGAGTGCGCGAGGTCGCGGAGAGCGTACAGGGCGCTGTGGAGGAGTATGCCCGGACGGTGGGAGTGTGATTGGGTGAGTTGGTGGTCCACGGTTTCTGAGCTGACTTCCAGCTTCTCACCTGCGTTGGGCTACTCGGGTTGAGACGTGAAATGGTAGAAGCAGAATCGTAAGCTCGGTGTATCGTCACGCTGAGCTGACAGGCAGAGCTACTTGCAACAGCTTACTGCACAACGCCTGTCTCAGGTAGCGAAGGGTGAGTTATCTCTGCCATGACGTCTAACCCTCCTCAGTCTCGCAACCCAGGTTCACATTGTGGTCCAGCAATCGGCGGAGATATCAGCTGTTCCTCCCCGTACTCGATGAGGGCGTGAGTTGGCTACGCGGCTTCACCACAACTGCCGACTAGCCCCCGGACGTAGAGAGGGGCGCAGGGGTCGGTGTCTGGCAGTGTGTGAGCGCATGTGTGGGCTACCAGGCTCCTCCCTTAGCCGATCGGCAGAGCCAGCAAGGCTCGCGAAGTACTATAGACGTGTAGAAGAGTAGGCGTGTGGGCGTTCCCTCCGTCAGACAGCAATGTATCAACTTGTAATCTTCTTTCTCACATCCTTCTCTCCTTCTCTAACTCGGAACCGCCTGCTCTCGGATTTTCTACGAGGCTTCCACATAGCGACACAGCTGTCAAGTGAGCTAGGCGGAACCCCTCTTTAGCTGACCTCAGCGTTCTCCCTTGGAAGGTCAGTCGCAACCGCGGTGACGTGCCAGGCTGCACCAAGTCCCGCAGCTGCTAAGATGCGGAAGCTGATAACCAGCGGCGGAATACACTGAGGGCCTCCAGACTTGATGAGAAAGATCGCGTTGGGTGAGTTGAACGCGTCGTACGGTTAACCCTCAACTGAGCTCAGCCACTCCGCTACGCACCGTATCTTGCCTGACCATCCTTGAGTACCGAATCCAAGACGGACTCTGTAACCGATGAGCTTGAAGTTGCGAGTAGTTCTAGCTGACCTCAGGTCGCTGACCAAGCGAGCCTCGGTGGAATAGGGCGCCTCCCCCGTTGCTTTAGCAAGTGCAGCTTCGTTGCGTCGGACTCGTGACAGCTGACCTATGGTTAACACTTCGGTTGGTGCGCAACACCATGTGTGACTGTCACAAGGGCGCAACGCTGGGGAAGAAGTTTTAACATCCAAAGGTGAGCTGGAGGACGTCTTGTTAGCTAACCTGCAGCTTCGTGCGCTTGAAGATTCACTGTAGCCAGTGAATCGGCGACTCACGGCCAAGATACCCACTTCAACTTCTATCAGCTCACAGCAGAGTGAGTTAGCGTGGGCATGCATGGAACTGACAGCCAGGCGATATGTGAGTTGTTCCAAACGTCGTTGGCAACTGACAAACAGACATCAACACTACGTAACTGTCACCCAGACGGTGCGATCGTGGCGCAACGTGGCAGATATCGCGAGCTCCGTATCGCGCTGACTAGCTGATCCAGCCAAACCTAGCCCCACGGGGTAAGTTCCGTCTCCCAGCCAGAGAACTGACCAGCAGGTCCGGCTGTGGTTATCTGTCACGCTTATAGCGAGAAGCGTGGTGAACAGCGCTTTCCGTGGCAGCTGACCTCTACTGTGAGCTATGCGAAGTGGTTAGCGATTGACGCTGACGACAGACCTGGAAGTGCATAAGTTCTTGCAGTATAGTGACAGATGCTGCCGCCGCGTTAGGCGACGGAGTTCCGCAGAGTGTGAGCTACCCTGCCTCGTAGATCGAGCTCATTCCAGGAACCCATGATACTGTGTGGTTCTGCCACTTTCGTCCATGAGTTCGTTCGCGAAGTCTGGACATCGAAAATTGACAAGCAAAGCGTCGCATGCACTTCAATCTCGGTCGGGGGTAAGCTCGAATATTGGCTCTTTCAGCTGACTCACAGGCAGCCACATGTTGCCACAGTAGAGTGACGACGGACCGGGCGGAAGGCAAGCTCTCCATTGCGTGCCCTGGAGCTTATGATCCAGCAGCAATCTGAGGTACTTTGATGACGAAAGAAGGCGAGCTTTCCGCCCAACTCCAGCTGCATGGCATGCTGCTGAGGCGAGATAACTGGTGAATGGTTGCGTATCAATGCGCTCGAAAGCTGACGACCAGAACATGTCAGTTCAGGCACCCTGATGAGGTGTAAGGCACCAGCTGGTTGGAAACTCGCGCTCAACGTCCTGGAAACGCAGAACGAGGGGGACTCGCCTTCGGCGAGCAGCAGTTTCGCGTAAGTTATCCTGATCTAGATGCTAACTGATGAGCAGATCCGGCTTTGGACGGTCAGTTGGAGAATCTACTTTATGAACTGGCCCGCGCACTGGCCAACGCAGTGCAGCTCCAGCTGATGTTTGCGGTGAGTCCAAGCTGCTGGGATCTGCAGCACGAGTTGACTCCAGCTCCCTCGCTCGGACCAACTACACATGTCCCCACTGAATCTCCCTCTGCGACACTCTCTGAGCTCTCTGATTGACTAACAATAGCAGCGAAGTTAATGTCGGAGCTATCAAGTTGTAAGTTTACGTATTCGGACTCAGCACTGAAGCACAGCTGGGGACCTGTCAGATTTCGCTGTGTCACGGAGGTGATGCTCAGTCCGCAACTCCAGGTAGATTAAGTGCGTCGAAGCTGACCGATCGTTGTCTTGAGCTGACCTCCAGTTTCTGTGTTTGACGTCCTTGCCTACAGATGCTTTGCGTGTGCGAGTAAGATTCGACGGCCCTGGCAAACTAACAAGCAGACTGATGAGCTTCCGGCACTGACCGAGGCCGGCCCAGCCGTAGTGGCGGCTTCACCACTCACCCTGGGTCCAGGGATGAGCTCTCTATCACCAGCAATGATTAACTAGCGTAGCGTCCAACTGCCCGGTTACCCAAGGCTTTCAATTCGCTTGTGAGTTGCTTTAGCACGAACAGTAACTGACGAGCAGCCCGAAACTGTCAGTTATTGGTAGACCGCGAACTGACCCGCAGAACCCCCGATATATGGAGGTATGGTAAGAGCGGGGGGAGCGGAGTAGCTCGGAATCCATGCCGAACTGATCATCAGCTCAGCGAGGCTCTCGGTGCGTCACTGAAGGTGTTGAAAGGCTGGGTGCTCTCGAAGGCTCCGACGTCAATGCGGGAGAACTGACTCCAGTGCCGCTGCGTTCGTTCTTGTTAAACGGTGAGGAGCGCAAGCTGTGAGGCCAAAACCAGCTGATTCTCCAGATTAGCTGTGTGCGACATGCTCGTGAGTCCAGCGGTCAGTGGGACGGGCAAATCGTGCTATCAGACCGTCGCACTAGAAGGAGCCCGGTGAGCTAACGCGTGCTTGCTCAAGCTGATAAGCAGCTGAGAATATCAGTGTCGCATGAATGGCGACAGTCTCCATTCTCAGCCATGCAGCCGTAAGCTAGAACGCTCCTTCTGCAGCTGACGTCAGTGACGACGGCAGGCGTCCTTATGCCGGCGAAGACGCTCTGCGATCTGTGAATAGGGCGACCATGCAGGTCACAAATTCTGTCAGCCCGTCGCTGGCTGTCATGTGTGAGTGACCTCCCAGCTCAGTGCCATCCGTAGCCCGTACAACCCGGAAGGAGTGCATGATGCGATGCTCTAGCGTTACAGTTGCGTTGCGATGAACCTATCGTTTTCCCTTTTTCTTCTTCTTCTTGCCGCCGCCGCCTCCGGTAGCCGGCTGGGCTTGCGGCGCTGGGGATCCTTTCCGAGGGCTCGATCCTCCCTTCTTCGGGCTGCCCATCGGGTCGTCCTCGGTCATCGGCGTCGCGGGTGTCGCCTGCCCAGACTGCGTCGGCGGGGAGAGAACAGCCCGGCGCTTCACGTTCGCCATCTGAGACAGGAGGCGCAGGTTCAGAGACTCGAAGCGGTTCAGGATGATCGCGCTGTGCGTCTTGTACATGAGACACTGAAGTCAGCTTAGTCGAGACAGATCGGTGGAGCTGGTGCAGTGCTTTTACCGACGACTCCAGAAAGCACACTCCCAGCTTCTGAGCTGCGACGCAGCTACTCACAGTCGTGTCATCGGTCACCTTCAGCACGAGCTGTCCCGTCTTGGGCACGAACTTAACAACATAGCGAGCCTGTTGTCAGCTTCAGAGTCTATCGCAACAAGGCAGCAGTGAAGGGTCAGTTGCAACGGGATTGCTGCGCTACTTATGGCAGATCCCAGAGCTGCTCCCGTTCAAACAGCCTTCCGTTCTCCACGTCCCGGCCGACGCGAGGAAGACGCACCTTTCGTGGTGACTTGTTGTACAAGTCGATCACCGCCTGTATCTGTCAGCTTCTCGTATCAGACCACGATAGCTTACACTCTCAAACTTTGTCCAGGTGGGGACGTAGACCATGGCGTCAGTCTACTCCTGGTTGGTGGTGGTGGTTGTCGATATCGTCGTAGTGGTCGGCGACTTGAAGCTTGCTCTGACGACCTCGCCTTGGCTCGCAAGTTCAGGAACGGCGCGGGGTTTATCAGTCACCAGACTGGAACACGTGGGTCCACGTCATTATTCTCCAAGCCCTCCACTCTGGAACTTGGATCTGCGTGCTGCCTGGTGGAGGAAGGTCCAGGGACACCCTTGAATGATCAGGGCAATATTCACGGTTGGGCACGCGTCCCGCGCGCCAGACCCGCCAGCGCCAGCGTGCATCTCGAAAGATGGGACCACCTTGCTGCCGACCACAGATCCTTTGAGAGCAAGCTCGCTCCTCTTTGACTCCTCCCTCATCACCTCTCACGACTAACCACCATGTCCGGATTCCTCAACTCGATCGGGTAAGTCGACTTGCACAGCGCAGACTCGCCATCAGAGCTCTCGACGTCTTGGGTCAGCTCTCTACCAGCTCAGCCAGACAAGGCGGCAGCTGTATCGCACGGACCGCCAACATTTCGAGCGGCGCCAGCGATTGCAGCAAGCAGAAGCGGCCACGACACCGGTCGGTCTGTCGAGGGTGCTGCCGAGCTCCGCTGCCCAACTGGCCGCTGAACGCAGCTTCCAAATGCTCTCGGGTAAAGCTGACAGGCAGACGTCTCCGTGCGCCCAAGCGCTCGCCGGTGCTCACCATGCCGGGCGGCCAGCAGTACGACGCTCCGCTGGCGTCTCCCGGTGCCGAGTTCAGCGGCCAGCCCGCGTCGCCGACAGGGCCGAAGCCGCTCTTCCTCTGCCAGCCTTTCGTTAAGGCTGCCCTCGTCAAGGGATCGTTCAAGACCATCGTTGCGCCGCCCAAGTACGTCGACGTCAACGAGTGGGTCGCTATCAACCGTGAGTAGACTCACGCCGTTCCATGTCGGAGGTAGTGATCTATATGCCGTTCAGCTACGTTGAATGGAGGAATTAGCTGACCACCAGTGTTCGACTTCTACCACAACCTGAACCACTTCTACTCTGCCCTGACTGAGTTCTGTACGATCCACAACTGCCCGACCATGTCGGCTGGCCCGACGCTCAACTTCCTCTGGCCGGACCAGAACCAGCGCCTCGTCTCGCTCCCCGCGCCGACGTACATTGACTTTGTCATGTCGTGGCTCCAGAAGTTACTCGAGGACGAAAACGTCTTCCCGACAAAGTCCGGTAAGTGTCGCACCTAACAGCTTCGTTGACCCGTGGCTGAAGCTAACATACAGGTCGCGACTTCCCCACCTCGTTCGCGTACACCGCCAAGCACATCTACAAGCACCTGTTCCGCGTCTTCGCGCACCTCTACCACGCACACTTTGAGCAGGTCGTCCATCTCTCGATCGAGGCGCACTTCAACTCGCTCTTCGCGCACTTCCTTGCCTTTGGCAAGGAGTTCGACCTCCTCGTCATGAAGGACCTCATGACCCCGCAGGGCATGGGCCAGGGCGTCGCTGAGCTCGCCGAGCGCTGGCGCGAGATGGGCATCCTCGAGGCTTAAGCGGACGTGAGCACGATCGTAGCGAGTGTGAGCGTAAGTGCGAGGAAGGCGAATGGTCGACGACCCAGGACCTGGGCCAGCGGGTCGCCGGGCATCGAGCGACCACGGGTGGAGCGTCTCAGACCCACTCGCGTACGAGGAGAGAGGAGGAGCGAGCTGGCGAGAGCAGAGGAGCAGGCGTAGAGAGCCGCGAGCGCGAGCCACCAGAGCAAGCGCACATGTTGTAATTACCTTTTCCCTCTCAGGACCGAAACAGAATACCCTTCATTATTCCCCAGCGCCCCCAGCAGCAGCACCAGCACTGTGCGGGCCACCAAATAGACCACCCAAGATCTTGCTTGTGAGAATATGCATCGAGGTCTGACTACACATGCGCTATAAACTCAGTGATTCCAGGTATACTTGTTCGGCTTTGTGCGCTTCATGGTCGAGCGCTTGTGGCGGAGCGAGATGCGCTCCGTTGGGTTCATGTCCTTGCGCCACTGGACTGAGTTTGGGTTGACGGGCTTGAAGTAGTCGGTGATGAGGGCTGGACGCTTGGACTGGAGCCACGGCTTGACTTCCGACCATTCGAAAACGTCCTCCCATTCCGTCGAGAGCAGCCAGTCGTTCATGTACTCGAAGTGGACACGGTCGACGTACTCTTTGACACGGCCGGACTGGACGCCGTATTCACCAGTGAGGCGGCTGGAGAGTGTGTTACGGAACTTCTTCTCAAACGTGGCGTGAACGGCGACGCCGGTCGAGATGGGTCGGACATACTGCTCTCGTACGGCTCCAGCGGGGACAATGGCGCTGGCGTTGACGATCGTGACCGCGCGAAGCTGGTGAAGCAGCCTGGGGGCGACGGTATCTGCCAAGTCGTTCCAAAATTTCTCCTGCCAGCATGACGGCTGCTTCTCGGCATCGCTGGTATCTTCGCTGTCCTTTGTTTTGCACTCCTCGCAGAGCGGAACGGGCATGCAACAGGTTGGCGTTGCGTCCGTCCTGGGCCGGGGAGTCCAGAAGACGAGCGTCAGATCTTCAACGTTAGGAGGGACGGCCGAAGCGAGGCTCCCTATCTCTGGGCGCTCGAGTTCCCCGGGTTCCATGCATGGTCGAACACTCTCGATGCCATCGTGCTCTTCCTCAAAGCAGTCGAAGCTCTCGGCGAGGTAATCCTCCACGAGGGATCTGTTCGCCTCGTTCATGGAGTCGACGTTGAGCACCAAGACCGCCTCCTTCACTGTCTCAGCTGCTGAGGGGGGCAAGAGGTCTGGGTCTACGTTGCCGTAGATCACAGGCACATTGCGGAGCACGAGCTTGTCGACTCTGGCGTTTTCGAGAGCGTGGTGCAGAATGTGACATTGCAGGGGCTGCAGGTATGGTCCTTCCAGGGGTCGATCGGCAAGCCTCCATCCTGGGTTGAAATAGTCAGCATGCGCGCTGGATATGTTGTCTTCGTCGTCCGGCAAGGCCAGGTGCACGTTGAGCACACGGCAGGAGGAGATGAATGGCGAACCGGTTGGCGAGGAGAAGGGTTCTCGCTCCCGATTGCAACAGTGCGCGTGGGCAAACAAACGCATGTAACTAAGGTCCTTCGGGATTGGCTGGTCTTCGTCGATGTCACCAATTACGGCGACTGCTTCCAAGATGGCATTGTCGTGGAGGAGAAAGAAGCACGGTTCAGCCTCGTCTCCGAAGGCGGCGATGTAGCGAAACAGATGGGGGCGGGCAAGAGTGTTGAAGGCGGAGTTCACGAGAAGGCATTGACGCAAGGCGCGAGGCCGGAGGTGTGAGAAAACGGCGCTGAGCACTTCTGGGGGAAGGTTGGTTAGGTGGCTCCTCATGGCGGATAGAGGACGTCAGTGGGTGGAGCAATGTTGACAACGAGGGGAGGGTGAGTTGCGCCCGAGTAACTACGCTACCGTTTGTGGAGTGTGTGCGTCGCCACCCAGTGACTGTGACGCAGCACTGGATCCACGTACAAGCCCCTGTCCGACGTCCGCCTGCTTAGTCGTCCATGTGTGCTTCGCGGCCCTGGGGCATGAGGTGCGCCCAGAGAGGGAGACTGTCTTTGGGGATCAAGCCCATGGAATCTGCTGAGGCAACGCCCGTCTCTTGTTAGGATCCAATAGTACATGCGAGCACTTTCAACAGAGAGAGAGACCAGACTACGGCTTGAACTCGAGCCAAGGCTTAACCTCCTTCGGGCTGAACACGTCTTCACTGTCTGTCGAGAGAAGCCAGTCGTTCATGTACATGAACTTCACGCGGTCGACGCAATCCCTCGCTTTCTCAGGCGTCACGTCAGCCTCCGAGGACAGGTGCGCGAACAGCAGCACGCGGAACTTGGACTCGAGTGCGTCGTGGGAGCCGACACCGGCCCAAATGGCGGAGATCACCGGGCGGCGCTGAGCACCTGTGGGCACGATGCCTCTGGCGTTCACGATTGTGATTTGGCGGAGCTTGTGAAGGAGCAGCGGTACCACCGCCGCTGCCAAATTGGGCCAGAATTTCCCTTCCCAGCATGAGGTATGTTCGACATTGGGCACAGAAAGATGATCGCCGCCCTCTTCGTACGTCTCTGTGACGTAGCAGCACATCGGAGCGACCTCTCGCGTGGGCTGGTTTGTCCAGAACACGAATGTCAGCTCATCGACGTTCTGGGGGACTGCAGACCCGATGCTGCCTATGTTTGGAAAACATAACCTTTCCCGGTCGTTCATACAGATTGACCCGTCGCACCCAAACCTGCACCACTCGTGCAGGCGTTCGTCGTTCGATAGACCCATGGCCTCGATGTCGAACACGATGACCGCCTCCCGGATAGTCTGTGTTGCAGACGGGGCTAAGAGATCCGGGTCGACGTTGCCGTACACGAGCGGGACATTGCGCAGCACGAGTTTGTCGACCCATGCGTCTTCCAAGGCGAAGTGAAGGAGTTGGCATTCGACAGAATGCACACAGATGTAATCGCCTACAGTAGCGTCGAAGTAAGAGCCATCATAGGAGTTCGGCAGGTCTGGAAAATGGTAATAATGTGAGCTTGCTACGTTGTCGATGTCGTCAGGGCATTCGAGCATGACTCTGAGTACTTGGCAAGAGGAGACGAAAGAGAAACCTGCAATTGAGGCGAAGGGGAGGCGGCTCTCTTCGTAGCACTGGGTGTGTGCCGTCACTGTCAGGCAGCTCAAATTTTCAGGCGCATGGTCGAGACCGCGTGAAGCATGCTGCTCTGGGGTGGCTTTCAGCAGTGGGAATGAGATCTTTTCCCCATCGGCGATGATGCAGCGGGTAGCGTGAACCATAAATGCACGTTGAGCGAGAACGTTGAAGGCGGAGTTAACGAGTAGGCATTGCCGTAGGGCTCGGGGTCGCAGATGGGCGAGTATGGAGCTGATAAGCTCCGGGGGAAGGTTGGTCAGGCTGCTCGCCATGACGGGTCGGTGACTAGTGACTGGATGGGAACGACGTTCAGATAGAGATAGTAGCTAGGCGCATGGTTCACCAAATGTTGAAGGCCGGTGGAGGTCGATGCACCGTGGATTGCATGTCAGCTATTGATCGACGACCATGCGTCCCAGATTCGTGAGGGAAGATGAAACAGACCACGTAGCGCGCCCAGCAACTGTTGCGACGGCAACTTTCACCAAGCACAGTGTCGTCAGTAGTCAGTAAATGTTTGTCCTGCGCATTGCTGTGCGTAAAGACGGGTCTGAAGAAGAGTGATGAAGTGTCTGGAGCGGCAGCGGGAGTGCTACAGAATGGGCACTCCATGCTCGATCTTGCGTCCATCTGCTGGCCAACCAGTCACAGTCGAACTATCTACGCTGTGATATCGTAAGCTCCCACTGCGCAGCTGCTTCAGTTAACATTAACTCACCTTGGGCAGAGTGCGCAGAGAGCACATACGACCGCGCGTGTGTCTTCCTCCAGCCCGTGCTCGGTGGCAAACCGCGTCAGGGGCGCCGGATGCCACAGTCACGTGACTCCAGAAACTTCAAGGACCGTCATCCATGAAGCTTGGAGATTTCAGTTAGCGGTCTGACCCATCAACAACAACACTTGCAGACACGATGGTCAAGGTCAAAAAGGGAAAGACGAAACGATCAGCGCCCATGAAATCGGCCCCGGAGTCGTCCAAGGTCACGGACGTGCCGGCTATCATCGGTGAGCAATGCTTGACCTGAGCTTCTGGAGTGAAGATGAGGTGACTGGCCAGAAGTCACTGCCCCGTTACGATCTTTCTCTGGCTGCAGCTCCGAAGGACACAAAACTGACCGACAGACAAGGCCCATGTGCTTCTGGCCCAGTCCAACTTCGAGCTTGCGATCAAGTTCCTTGAGCGTGCGCTGTCGCTAGAACCGGGAAACCTCGAGGCGCGAGAGCTGCTGGGCGTTGCGGAGCTCGAGGGTGGAGATGTTGACAACGGTCGCCAGCACCTTCTCCAGCTTTTCCCGCCGCATACTTCTGAGGCTCCGACATCACCAAGCCCGTACCTGTACCTCGCGCAGACGGCCGGCGACCCGCAAGAGGCACTCGGATACTACACGACGGCGGTTGCGATGGTCGAGAACGCACTCGGCAAGGGCAAGGGACGCGCGGAGGAGGGACCAGAGGAGGAGGAGCTGCGGAAGATGGCCGTCACGGCGCTCGTTGCCATGATCGAGATCTGGATGAGCGACCTGTGCTTCGAGGCGGCAGCCAGCGACAACTGCGATGCGCTTATCGCCCGCGCCATGGAGATCGCCCCCGGAGACCTGGAGGCGCTCATGACGCTCGCGTCTATCCGCATGAGCCAGTCCAAGTTTGACGAGGCGAAGGACACTGTGCTCCGCATCTACGCTGACCTGGAGGGAAGAGATCCTTGTGAGTTTACCTGACCTCAAACGTAACTGACAGCAGTCGACCCCATGCTTCCTGAGCTTCCGGCACGATTGCAGTTCGCCCGTCTGCTGCTCGAGCACCAGCTGCACATGGAGGCGCTCGACGTTCTTTCGACGGCGCGCGAGGAGGATAGCCTCGAGGTCGAAGCGGCGTACCTTGAGGGCTGGGCGTGGTACCTTCGGGCAGAGGCGATCCTCGAGAACCCGTCACTGCTGCAGAAGACTTCGGAGGACGAGGACGAGCCGTTGACTGCCGAGGAGTGCTTCTCGGAGAGCTTCCGGTGTCTCCTCGAGTGTGCCAAGTTGTTCACGGAACAGGAGTACCCCGACGAGGGCATCGGAAGTCACGTGCAGGAGCTCATCTCGAACCTGGAGGCGAAGGGCGTCAAGCCGGCCGTCGCGGAGGAGAAGCCGGAGGGCGAGGAAGGAGCGGAGGCCGAGGGTGACTGGGAGGATGTGCAGGACGGCGACGTCAACATGGGCTAAGTCACGCAGTGAGCTGTACGGTAGATAGATTACAACACCTTCATGTCATAATGATTTCATACAATGCTGCAAATGCTGAATGCGTTGGGTATGCTATGAGGATGTGTTGGCCTTCTCAAGCGCCGCCTTCGCTGCCCGCGCCTTTGCTTTGGCAACTTCGTTCGCCCACCAATCCTGCATGTCCTGGTTAACGTGCATCTTCTTGACGCTCGGGTCCTGCAGCATCTCGAGCTGGTAGCTGAATCTCCGCAGCTTGTGCTCGATTGCAGCGTAGTCACGGGACGTCAATGGCGGGTTGTGGAAGGTGTACCGCAGCTGGAGGAGGAAGTTCGGTCGCTCCTCCTGGTACAATCAGCGAGAGGTCCTCTTAGGCGAAGTAGAGCTGAGCTGAAGCGGTTGCCCGAACGCCTGGTACTCACCTTCGACTTCGACATGGCATTCTTAACACCACTGACGTCAGCTTAACTTCGGAGACGCCCAAGAACTCACGCCTTGTACATCTTGAGCACTTCCTTCTGTAGTCCTGATCGCGCCATATTGCCGTTGTAATGTTGACAAGGTTCGATCGCCGCCTTCTCGAAATCTCGGAGAAGACCAAGCGGTCGCTCGAATTCGGCGCGCATCATCACACGTGGCTCTTATCTGCGCCTCCCATGTACCTCCAGGCCGCGCGTCACTGTCTGCTCACGATGAACACTTGCGTCAAGGTGCTCGCCAGCTCTCTCAGCATCATCACAATCCATCATGGACACCTTGGTCGCCCAGCTTTCCGGAACACAACAGCGGGAGAAGGCCGAGAGCGGATACGGCAACCTCGACGCGCGAGGAGGCGTTGCTGGCATGGAGGTGCCGGGCGTGCCGGACGTGAGTAGCTGACGTTGATGATGTGCAACGCGATTGCTGACTTACTCCCCAGCCCCTTGCCTTCCTCTCACTACACACCGACAGCATGTCGACCAACCCGGCGGCTAAGATCAAGCTTGCCCACGGTACGACGACGCTGGCTTTCCGATTCAAGGGTGGCATCATCGTCGCCGTCGACTCGCGTGCTACCGCTGGATCCTACATTGGTGAGCTTTCAGCTCCACCTGTAAAGCTAACGTAGACAGCTTCGGGAACGGTGAAGAAGGTCATTGAGATTAATCCGTACCTGCTCGGAACGATGGCCGGAGGTGCTGCTGACTGTCAATACTGGTGAGTGATTAGCCCTCGCTTGATGAGTCCTGAGCTGACGTACGCAGGGAGACGTACCTCGGTATGCAGTGCAGGCTGCACGAGCTTCGCAACAAGGAGCGCATCTCGGTGGCTGCTGCTAGCAAGATCCTGTCCAACATTGTTTACCAGTACAAGGGAATGGGTCTCAGCATGGTTGGTAGAGCTTCTTCGTTTCGAGCGAGCAGTAGCTTACATTACAGGGCACCATGATCTGCGGATGGGACAAGACTGTGAGCTCGAGTCATCCAACAGTATAGCTAACTGGTTAGGGACCTGCTCTCTTCTACGTCGACTCGGACGGACAGCGTCTCAAGGGAGATCTCTTCTCCGTGGGCTCGGGAAGTACCTACGCCTACGGTGTTCTTGACCAGGTAGGGTTGCAGTTCTGACCCTGGCTAACGTGCAGGGATACAAGTGGAATCTCTCGGATGAGGACGCTCAGGAGCTGGGCCGCCGCTCGATTTGCGCCGCCGGTCACCGCGACGCCTACTCCGGTAACACGATCAACCTGTACCACGTTCGCGAGAACGGATGGGAGTTCATCGGTGAGCTTCCACGCCCTCACTTGGTTGGCAAAGCTGACTTCCAGACAACTACGACCTCAGCGAGCTGTGGTACAAGTACGACGAGGAGAAGAAGAACAATGCCAAGGCGAAGAAGGCGCAGGGATCCCAGGGCGAACCTATTGCCGTTGAGTAGAAGTAGAGACCGTGTATGCATACGACAGAAGTATAGCTAGATCGTTGCACTCTTGTCCCTGTATCTGCAGGCGACTTATTGCTCCTTATAGAGTCTCTGAAAACGGTGAGGGGCTCGATTGCTGTCATGTCCTGTATCGTCTTAGGCAACCGTTGTAGTCGAGCGGAAGCAAATTCGCAACCACTCTTCGCGACCTCCACTGACGCAGAACTCGATCGCCGCCTCCTGTGTTGTTCCTCGCCTTCAACCAAACCATCCAGTCATCGCGCACGATGGCGGGAGTTCAGCCCCCTTTCTCAGCCGGTAAGCTGATCTGTCTTCCAACGTAAGCTGACGACGCAGAGGCGCTGAACCGGTATAGGTTGACGCACAATGACCGCGAGTATCGACCACTCATCAGGCGGCTGAACAAGACACCCACGGTCGACGGGCAAGAGGATGGAGACAAGGAGATGCTGCATCTGGATGTCGAAAAGTGGCGCCTGCACGTTGAGCGTTTGATGGCGAGCGCCAAGTCCATGGAACGTCAGAAACGTGAATACGAGCGCAAGAAGGATGAAACTGGTAAGCTGGGACCTGCCGTCTAGGAGGAAAGCTGACATTAGTCTCGCAAACCGAGGCACTGCGTGCGAAGCTGTTGGAAGAGACAGCGCTGCTCCAGGCGAAGCAGACAGAGCGCGCGCGGAGGATGAAGTGCGATGAGGTCGCGCGCAAGATCACAGCGCGAGGAAAGACGCGGGTCGAGCTCGACGCGTGAGTTACTGATACATGTTCTTAACTGACACGCAGGCAAATCGCATCTCTTCAGGCTTTGATTGTGGAGCATCGCGCGTCGTACGAGGCGGTGCTTGGCGTCGCGCAGCAGCGCGCAGACACCTTCGGACGAATTGCAGCGCTAGTGGACGAATGCCGCGGCCTGAAGCTGGCGCTGTCGGAGGAGGATGCGGCAGCGGAGAAGCTTGTCGAGCAGGCGGAGAAGGAGCTCAAGGCCGAGAAGGTCAAGGAGAAGACTGAGAAGACCAAGCTTTCTGCCCAGACGCTTCCGTTCCAGCCTTCCGCCGCGACCCTCTCGGCGCCGACATCGCGCCAGCACTCCGCCTCGCCCGGCCCCGCGCATGGTGGAGCGCACGCTCACCCCCTCCCGGCGCGGCCTGTTAGGAGCGGGCGCCGCGCTGCTGCTTCTCACGCCCCGCACTCTGCGTCCGGTCTCCCGCCGCGCCCGGTCAGCGGGCTCAGGAACGTGAGGCATATGCACTCCGGCCCGCCGGGACTGGAGGATGGAGAGCTGGGAGAAGACGACGGCGCCGGACAGAAGCGCAAGGCTGAGGAGCCCCACGGACGGAGCACGAGGAGGAAGTAGTGTTGTATTTGTATGCATTAGAGACACATCCGCGCTTGCACGAGGAGAGCAGGTCGATTGCACGTGGTATCTGCACAGAACGAGGCATCATGACTAACAGCAGACTCGGTTGTCGCAACCATGCAAGCCTGTCCCAGCTTGGATCAGCCTGAAAGCACCCTAATATTGCGATTAACCTTGTCCTTTGATGAACCAGCACCGGCTGATCCGTGGAACGGTGAATTGGACACTCAACCAAGCTTCAGCTCGAGGAATGCAGACGACGCTGTCGTAGAATCGCTATTAAGTGCACTTTATCTCAAGACTCTCATGCCAATTCACCCGTGCTGGGCATTCCTTCCCACAGCAAATACTGAGGACCGTACGACGAAGTCAGATGATGAAGCCGTGAGCATTGATCGTAGGGCGGCGTACGACCTATCTTTGGAATGTGTATCGTACGAACGCTGACCTAGAGCCGTGCCGAACTCACCCCGCCCATGACGATGGCGGCCGTGACAAGAACGTCAACAGAGAGGTTAAAAAGAGATAGAAGCTGCCAGTGAGAGTGCTGAGGTGATAAATGAGCCACAAGACATCAGTCCCCGGAAGATGAGGGGAACGCCCAGATAACATGGGCGGAATTGGTCGAGACTCTCTGCTGGAGATTTCATGCACGCTGGGGCCAGCTGCTACCGCGATCTTACTATCACACGGACCCGCGTGGGTTCACGAACATTCGCTGGACAATGCTTCGGCCGCACGATTAGGAAATAGTGGCTGGTTCAGCCGTGATAGCAGGCCGGGCAATGGGAGATGGCCGGCATGGTCTGGCGGAGAAATCACGCGGACGCTTCAGCGGTCACCGACCAGCTCCCATGCGTCCTCATAGCCGTTCAGCCATACATCGCCGATAATGCATAGACAACATGCCGAGGTCGCCGAGCAGCACCTTCGTGAGCTATCGGCATCCAGAGGAGCGCGCTGCGTAGGAGGAAGAGGCAACGGCCGATCACCAGCGTGAAGATACGCGGACGGAGGAATCGGTGTCTAGATTTAGAACACGGTCACCGAGCAAGTGCCTGGCTCGTGGCACTGCGCGGCTGTGACAAGTGCCCAGTATATGGTCATGATCACCTCCTGTGCTACATGTACGGCGCCGAATCGGTATGCTGCAACAGCGGGAACTAAGTCGCCGGCGACCAATGCATGCGCAAGAACCCGGAAACGGATGCGCGATGGCCGGATCGCGCCCACGTTGTTATCGGCGAAACTTGAGGATCGAGGCCCCCACAATCTTCCCGTATCTGAATTCGTGAAGAACTATCTAGCCGCCTGTCAAACGAACGCAAGCGGAGTTTAATCACGCGCGGCCGAGAGTGGAGATCTCCCGAGAGTGCCGCTGGGTACAGTCCCGAACAGCTGATGTTCAACGATGCCGGCGCCGGGACGGACATCTGGAACCGGCGCTGATACAATCGTCACCGAGGACTGATTTCGGGAAAACCAAGTCCGCCAGCGCACCACCACAACGACGATCGACGACCAACCAGAAGATCTGCAAGATATTCCCGGACATCTAATCTACGCGATTCCGCGAGCGGAGAAACTATGCGCAATCGCGAGGTATGCGGGGCTCAGCCCGTTAAGAAAGAGCGCGGCCGTGTGAAGTCCGTCTGCGATCGACAACGTCGATCGCTCGCCTTTCCAGTGGCTGCCGATCGGCAAGAGTCGCCCGTAGTGCTTCGTTCACACAGCGCGGGACCGGGATGCTTCATCCGGATCATGGCGGCTCCGCGATTCTGCTCGCCGGCACAGCATACCAAAGGTGACCAGCCGGATCTTCGAACATCTGCTTTCCGTGGCGGCCGTAGATTCCAGACAAGAGCTCTACCGGCCGTCTCTCGTGCGCTGAGATGCATCTGCCGAGATGCCGAGCTACAGAAATCGCTCAGATGCCGCTGCTCACGGCCGTCCAGGAGCACTTTCACCCGCAACGGCCGCCAGAACATCACGATGCCGACCTGCCGAGCTGTAGCGCGGACGCCAGATGTCCATAGTTGCGGGTCAACTCGCACCCCGTAGAGCACAGATGGCGCACTCATAGCCGTACGAATCGAGTGAAGAAGTACGTGCCGAGATGCCGGCCTGAACAGAAGGCCGCGAGACATCCATCATTCCCTTCCACCGCGACTCGCAACCACCGGAACGGGAGACGCTGAGATGCCGATCGCTCATGCGCGGCAATCTGATTTCCACATGTGCGGGAGAATATGGTCTCGACAGCCCTACTGTGTCACTCGCAGCCGTTATGATCCGGCAGAGGCAAGCATGCCGAGCTGCCGACCGCCTAGGTGGCCGAGAGATGTAGGTCCTCCGGGGAACGCTCGGCAGGCGATCATCGAAGTCGTGCGATGCCGAGATGCCGCACTATTTTTGCGGTCGCCAGATGTCCACTTCTGCGGGATAACTCGCGCCCAACTTCAGAAATGGCGCAGTGACGGCCGCCAGAATCGCGTAGATGTGGCCGTGCCGAGATGCCGGCTGCCAGAGGCGGCCGTGAAATGTCCTCAATCCCGGGTACGCTGGACAGACGGCCGCCTGAACTGACCATGCCGAGATGCCGGGTACTTCTCCCGGAACTGTCAGCGCCGAATGGGTGAGCTTGGAGCCGGACGGCCGCCATCTTTGAGGTAAACGGCCGCAATGATAGTGACGGAAGCCGACTGCGACGGGGGCCACCGGTGCCCAGAAGGTAAAACCTGTTATCGATGACGAAGAACGATGTCAAGTGACCGATCGCTCCCGGCTTCCCGCGGATATGGGTCTTGCGCTTCTGCCTCTCGACGGCTGTTTATTGCTATCGGTCCCGGAAGCGAGCGACGTCCGCCGCGAGTCGCCGAGCAAGACTGCGACGGACGCCGAGTGCCACTGATCGAGACACCGGCTTCACACGAGACTGGTGCCCACGACACTACACCTGTTTCACCCAATTCACTCACACCGCTCACCGCGGCCGCCATCGTGACTACGGCCGCCGTGCGGACTTGCATGCGCCGGAGTGCTATGTACGGCCGCCTTCCTACCTTCCTTCGACGGCCGTTGTGCGTTGAGATCACGTTTCGGCGACTCCCGGGCAAGCGGTCGGGTGCCGTCTCGGGAGCCGAAGAGCGGCCGACGACCAGCCACTATCAGCTCGCCGAGGTGCGGCGGGTGCCGGAATCGGTGACTCACCTTGCTTGGCATTACGTTGCATCGCTCATGGCGTTCTGCGAATGCATCATAAGCTCACAGATGTTTACCGACGCACAACTCCAGCAGCCCTAACCTTTCTGTGCAGCATATTGGGCTCTGCTGCAAACGGTCCTTCCTGATTTGTCCGCGCAAATTTGGGACTTTACATTAGGTCCAGTTGTCTCGATAGAGTATCTCTTTATCCCTCCTCGATGCTCACTTTGTACCCAGCCTGGCATGAGTTAACGGCTCTGAGAGCACGAGCCTGTGTTCCTATGGGTGTCGTCATACTGAAGTAGCATTTGCGACGTCTGCACCTGCCCCAGAGCGTTATCGTGGCTCAACCATCTCTCTCACATCTCCTCGGACCCGCCTGACTGCGTACCAGCTACCTGGCAGGCATCGCAGCGATGCACGTTCACACCTCTGTGTCCCAATGAACGTGTCTAGGTCAGAGCGCGATCATCGCTCAGCGTCACACAAGTGTCACGAAGGAATGCCGTGACGCGTGAACGCCTCATCTGCGATCGGCCATTACGCGCCAAGTTGCGCCATCGTCGACGCCAGAAACGTACCAGAAACCCGCCACGGGGCACTCACCCCTCTGTGCCAGGAGTACGCCAGGGGACGGTCACCGTGGGTCAGGGGGCGGCGGTGTTCCTTCCGGCGCACGGTTGCTCGTCGAGTATTCTCGGCGCCTCATTCCGTACGCGCCCAACTCGCCTCTACACTACCGTGGGACTCTGCGAAAGATGATCCAGAAAACCTCCCCCGATCTCACAGGAGGAGCAGTCTGGGGAAAGCAGAAGAAAGAGCAAAAATGGACACAGAGAGGTCACGCGAGGCCACGTACTGAAAGCCGTGGCCGCTCGAATTGGTCGAGCTCGTATGGGCATCGTCACTGGGTACGTGGAAGGCAGCGCCACGGCGAGGTCAGCTGACACTTGCCCGCCACCTGGTCTGGATTTCTGGAGCACTGGAACACTGGAACTGTTCCACGTTCCACGTTCCTTATCGTTCCACGTCGCTCGGTCGCTAGCGAAGAACAAGCCTCGAGTGAGGCTCGAGCTTCTCACCGGCGCCACGGCCAGTCACCTGATCATCCCTTCCGCTAGAGGCATTATTGTTCGCTTCTCCGCCCGTCCTGCACAGCAATGAACAATCGCACGTATCTGTAATCAAACCGTTATCTGTAATCAACGCAGAATGCCAAGTGGGCAAGCGAAGACTGGTGGGGGAGAATGGGGAGGTCCGTGCGGATCGTCCGTCGATCGGAATCGTTATCTCATTGCTCCGGACTGGGCCCCTAGCCGGCCCTGCCTCCACCCGCTGTACTGCCTATATCCTCCTCTACTCCTAGATCCAACAGGTAGCGATCTGGGGTTTGTCTCGGAGCGCCAATTGCGCAACTCGGGCAACTCGGCGTTCGTGCAGGTGTGCAGAATTCTCAGAATTCGCAGTACTCGAATGCGAACGGCGACTTCTCACAACTGGGGCAAAGGACCGGCGTGGCTGCGACTTAGGCTGCCGGGGCGGCTCCGTCCGAGCCAGGCTCGCAGCTTGACGTCACACGACCACTACTCCAGAGATGTCCAGTGGATTCAGCCGCTGGCGCGCTGGCGCGCTGGCCGTCCGGCAGGCAGGTATACTCGGGCGCAGACGGAGCCCGCTGCGCTCGCAGTGCAGATACGATCATGTGCTCCGAGTGAGCAGTAGCTCGCCGATGTCGCCGAATGTCGTCAGCGCCCCCTTGCCGCCTACGTCAAGTGACATCCCGCCTGCCGTGCACGGCAAGCGACAAGAGCGATACACGCTGCAGCACGAGCTTCCTCACGAGCTTCTGTGTGTCGATTCCAATCGCATTATCGCAATCATGCGCAAGCGAGCAAGGTGTGAGGCGCAATTCTCCAGCGTGGCCGGCAGGAGCCCGTGCCCTGTACCCCGGCGCCAAGGAAGTGGGGGATCTGCGTGCCCACTTGAGTCCATTGAGTAATTGTACACTTGAACCTGCAATACAGCTTGACTATGGACCGAATCGAGGCCACCTGTGCACTCCTGTGCACACTGAGTGCAGAGCAGCTGAGTAGGCGAGTCAGACGAGCAAAACCCACCCGGAGCCAAACCTGGCCAATGGGCATACCCCAGGACACATGTCGATGCGGGGTCCCTTCCTCTGAAGACGGCACAAGGCCCGATTCCACCAAATGCCTGCAAACCGTATTCGGTCATATGCCAGAGGGTACAGAGGGGTGTGACGCATGCTGCTTCTTTGGCTGCCCTACATACTTAGCCTGCAGGAGCTGCAATTTTGTAATTCTGCTGTGAGCGTGGCGGTAATCGAGTAACTGTAGTGGCCGGTGCTGAGGCTGGTGAAGTATGATCGGAGCGCCCGGCGCCGCTTGCACGCCCGCGCGCCCGTGCCACCCCGCCGGCCGCCAACGGATCGACACGACCACGCAAGCATACAGCGGGCGCGGACGGACGGTAGACGGCCAGCGGACTCGTATCGGTCCGTATGGTGCCGAGCCGCAGGCCACTGGCTGGTGACGGAGTACCGTGCCATTGGGCCGGGCGCATAGGGTAGCTGCACGAGGGTACGACGGTGTGGGGGTCTGAGGGAGCAGAGAGGGTCATAGGGACGGGTCTCAATGGGGATTAAGGTTGCTGTGGCCGTTGTGGAAAGCTCGGTGGATCGGTGGCGACTGCAGAGCTTGCAGCGCTGCAGCGCTGCAGAATGCGCAGAATGCAGTCTTGATCCTGACGGGTCCCTGATGCAAAGATTTGCAGTTCGTGAGTGGCAAATACGTCTGCGTCGGTGCACCCGCTTACAGCTGCGGCCTGGCAGCCCGCTGCTCCGTGCGCCCCGTCCACCCCGTATGTTCCGTCGGTAGTGCGGTGGAATGGAGGGGATGTGTGATCTGCATCTTAGCGGGCGTAGCGGGACGTCGTCAAGGCGATATGCGACAGGAGCAGAGTAGATAAGCATCAACAAGAACGCGTCGTCCCACTGCATGTGCAACACGTCCATGAGCACGCGCACTCGTCGTACATGACACACGATCCAATTGCCTCTTGCAGTATGCAGCAACAGCTCTTGGCACATGTTTCCCGGTCGGTTACGGCCTGGCACGGTTGGAACGGCGGCACACCCGTACGCCGGTACGCCGGCTTTCCAGGGGGAGGGACCAACCGGTTATGCCATTCTGGGCGGTCTGAAACGGCCCTTGGGCGATTTGCCACTTGTTTACAAACAAAATCTTCAATTAGGTCGTCGACGTCAGTCCTGGCTGGCGTGGGATTCGCTGGCATTTGACGTATTTGCCTTTCAATAAGTCGTTGAAAATCTGAAAATAGGATTCTCGACTGGCCGATTGGACGCGGGCCTCGTGCCTATGACACGCTCACCCAGAACTGCCGGCTCACCGCATGTTCCTTCCGAGGGCCTTGTGTGGACCTTAGCTTGGCCACCCGCACCCGCATAACCCGCATATGCGCGGTATGCAAGTACGAGATGGCACCTGATCAGCTGCTCAGCGTCTAAAATTTTTGACGTTCTCACAGTAGCCCACCACCGAGCCGCAAACGGCATCGCGAGATCTGAGACGCGTCTGGCGCATGAAGGACGCTGCGACTAACTGATTGCCAGACTGTCGCTCCAACAGACTGCGGTGGGGCAAACCCTGCATGGAACCATCTGCATCTGTCATGAGCTCATCTGGTGATTATTCTGTCATTTCGTGCATATGGGCAATACTGAATTCGACATGCATGCCTTCCGTTTGATGTTTGTGCACATGGTCCACAGCCACTGCTTGAGCTTGTGCTTGGCCACCTGCGATTTCCGGCACCAAGCCCGCGCACCAGGCGTCTCAGGATCTCTCGGACTCAGGGACCCTTGCACCAAGATCAGGGTTTGGACGAGGACGCACCAGGCACAACTCTGAAGTCTTCAGCCGACCTGCCTGACTTGGCAAAAAAATTCCAGACTGTGTCAGGATCCAGCCCTGCTCACGTCGCGAGAGGGCGCAAAAATCCTCGATCCCAAGCGCGGCGAGCGCAGCGAGGTGCCGCCCGCGAGAATTTTTCCTACTGGCGATGGTTAATCGCCGGTGTTCGCTGGCATTAGCAATGCAATTAGGCCAGGAGAGTCTTGCAGGGCATGCAGGCTTGCGTATACGCAGAGAAGGGTAAGAAGGGTAGGTGTTCCTGGACAATGGTTGGCTCGGTGGGACACCCGCACCTGACATGCACAGCGCTGGCACTGGACCGGGCTGGCTCGCTGGCAGCTCCCCCTGGTGGACTCGCTAGACTGACCGACGCCCCCCTGTCTCTAGCCCTGCCCTGCTGCCTGCTGGCTGGCTGCCCAGCCCGGTCCTGGGCACACTGGCGCGCGCAACCGCTGCCGCTCGCTCGACTTTTGTTACAGGTCGACGGCGACCACTTGCCATCAGCCAATCTCATTCACACCCCACCCTTTCCCTTGCAATCCTACCTTGATCCTTTGACCACATCTCTCCTATACACCACTCATCCTTTGCTCAATCCTGTGCCCGCTCCTCATTACACTTCCTCTGATAATCTCTTATCATCACAACAACCACAACGACGTCCGCCATCGCAACGTCGCCATCACATTGTTGTCTCCCAGCCAGGCAACACCCATCGACCTGACACTATCCCCCCATCACTGAGCCCATGTCGGCTACCTTCTCGCAGCCTTCTCCCGACTCGACTTGCACCCCCGCTCCTTACAGCCCCGCCCGACACCTTCTCGCCAACAGGCTCGCCCAACCGAAGCCCTACCTCTACCTCTTCCGAAGCCAGAACCACTACAAGATAGGCCCACTCACCGCTTGAGAGGTGTGTGTGGGTATCTCGACAAACTTCAAGTACCATCAACAACACAGCGTTTAGACATCGCCCCTCTCAAGACGCATGTCAATCACGATGAACAGCCACGCGGGGAGGAAAGGCAAACGAGGTGAGTTGCATCCACAGCCCAACAGCGCCGTAAAGTGCAGATTGGAGGCAGGTGTCTGCTGGCACACGAGCAGACTGTCACTGCCAAAAGTTGCGCACACGTGCTGTTGAGCTGACCCTTCCTTCCCTCCACAGTCAAGGAACGAACAACTCACACGACTTCCCATGCAGGCCCAACCTCCCCCTCCCAGTCCATTCACTCCCCCCCTACGACATCATCCAACCTTCCTAAAATCAAGCTGAATGTGCGCACCTACTCGCGTGCATCGTCCGCTGCCTCGTCGTCCCGTGCCCGCAGCTCCGCCAGCCAGCAGCGCCGGCCTGCGGCGTACGATGACGACTCGGACTCGTCTTCGTCCTCCGACCTGACGCCGCCTGATGATGACGATGAGAACGATGACAACGACGTCGACGATGACGACTTTGCCGTCGCTCGAACAAAAACGAGAAAGCGCGAAAGCCTCGGAGCCATTCACACCTCGGTCAAGGACAAAGGAAAGGGCAAGGCACTGCAGACTTCCCCCGAGAAGCGGTTAGACCACCGAGCCTCTTCCTCCAACCCGAGACCAACGACCACCGGCCCGAGAGGACGCGACCGCAAGCGTGAGATCAAGCTTGGCGAGGTTGCGCGAAGGCGCGCCCGTGACGACAAGTTTGGTTTCGGCGGCGACCGCTTTGACGATGCGGTAAGTTTTGTTTGCTATCGTCGAAACTGTATTAATCTCAGACCCCGACGCAATCGGCCTTCGCCAAGTCCTCCTACGTGGACTCGGACTCAACCTCGTCATATGGAGACGACGAGTCTGAGCGCGAGGGGACCGGATCCCTCAATGTCTACGACGAGGACGAGACTGAGGACGAGTTCATGGAGGGATTACCAGAGGCTTTTGCCGGCCAGGAGATTGAGGACCTGCAATATGGCGCGGGACCAATCGATTCTGGTGACGAGGACGCCGATCCACAAGAGCTGTGGTGGCAGGAGTCGGAGGAAGACGACGAAGACTTTATCGCCAACCTCACCGGCTCCGACATTGACCAGCTCCAGTCTCAGTCCTCGGTTCACGCCTCAGAGTCTGACGTCCCAATGTCTGACTCGGAGTCGACGACCGACACTGACGATGCCATGGACGAGTTCGGCTTTCCCCTCACCTTTGGCATGGACGACCCCCAGCCCGCCGAGGACCAGCCCCTTATTCTTATGGAGAACTGGGACGGACAGTTCGTTCTCGTCCAGCCCAAGAACGAGCGCTCCAGGTCAAGACGTCACGGAGGATCCCGCGGCGCTGGTTCCACCACAGACAGCGTCGCTGCCTCCCTCTCTGCCGGCGAGCAGCAGCTCGAGCTCGTCATTGACGCCGATGCCGAGAACGAGACGGACACAGACTCGGACTGGTGCGACTTTGACGGCGAGGACGACGGAGGCGACACGACCGACTCGATGGCCGAGGAGGACATGCCCATGCTCGACGGCTCTGGGTTCGACGAGCTCATCGCGACCCAGCAGTTCGCCGCTAACAACAACTATGGGGCGATACCTCCGATCCCCCTTCCTCCCCTCGCGCCTGTCGATGAGAACGGTGCCCCAATGATCATTGTCACGGACACTGCGTTCGACGCTGCCGCCCCTGCGCTGCCGCTCACCCCTGTCACCGCCGCGCCTGCCCCTGTCACGCCTGCGCCCGTCGTCGACGTTTCCGCTCCGGCTTCACCCACTGCCGTTGCTACGCCTTCCTCGGCTGCCAATGGCAGTGCCGTCGCAGCCCCTGTCATGGGCACGTTCCACGTCAGCCAGGCTCCCTGCGCGCACGCCGTCATTGACGGCTCGAAGACAACGACCAAGTCGCCCTTCGCGCGAAGGCGGAGGAAGGTTGGTGGCGAGACTTCGTCGCAGACGTCGAACAAGCGCCGCTCGTCGCTGAACACGACGACGACCGACCCCTTCTCGCCCGTGCTCAAGAAGACGCGCTACTCGTCGATCCCTGGCCACCCTCGGTACATTGCCGCGCGCCGTGCCGCTCAGGCTCTCGTCGACCCGCTCGACCGCGAGTCGACGCCGTCGGACGACGAGCCCGCATTCTCGCTCGAGGACATTATGGACGCCTCGATGCTGCGGGTCAACGACATTGACTCTGGCGACGAGTCGACGGACAAGCAGGAGGACTCGCGCCACATGTTCCGCTTTGACAAGGTGCCAGTGTCAATGTACATGCGGCGCAACTTCAACTCGTCGGGCAGCAAGCGAAGGCACGTCGAGCCTGACTCGATGCCGCTGTACGCTCCTGCGCGGGGCGCTAGTCGGACGACACTTGCCGAGACGCTCGCAGGCCCAGCTAACCGCATGCTGATCTCGCCGATGCTCGCGCCGCAGCAGGCTGCAGTCTATGACGAGGCGTCGAGCCGCAAGGACCGCCGCCGCGCGCGCAAGGCGGGTGCGGATATTCGCCCGCTCGCCATCTAAATCCCATCACCAATTGCATCACACACATCCATCATCCATTCCCATCCTCTACCTCAATCAAACCACCCTGTCAACCACCCTGTTTCCACCATCTCCAATCCGACTCCACCGCATGAAACGACGTCCACAAACCTAGATGGGAACCAAAAGCAAGAAAAGTTGGAAGAGGACAAAAGAAGAAGAAGCTATATCCAAAATTCTCTGGGACGCCGTGTGTCTGGGTTTTATCATTCTCTCTCTCTCCTACTGCATAAATCTGTTGCCTTCTTCTCCAAAGTCTCCGATGACACCCTGTGAAAAAAGTTAGTCCTGTTTTGAAAGAAATTTTATCTATATATAAAAAGTGTATATCAGTGAGGTATGCAAAGGTCAAAGAAGAAAAAGCGGAGGCGCGAAGCGCCGCAGTGTGCTCAGTTGAGTGGATGATGTAGCCGATGAGCAGCGGGTGACACTCCGGTAGCGGCCCGGTCCGCGCTGAGGTGATTGGAAGGTATGATTGTGCAAGCCGGGATGCTGGGAAGTTTAGCCAGAACTCAGCTGTGAGCCAATAGGGAGGTGCATCGGCGACTAGATATTGGCCGAGAGAGATCTAGTCGCACGGGTGGGCGTGCGTGCGAGAGCGGGTATCAAGCGACTCGAGTCGTCTGTTATCGGCCCGTTGCGACGTCCCTCTGGGGTACAGATCTTTCCAGCAGTCCTGCTCTCTCCGCGTATTTGAGCTCCAACTTTTCCCACTTCGCCCACTTCTCTCACTTCTTCAACTCCCTCCCATCGTAGTCCTCCACGACTACGCGCTCGACACACAACTCTCGACTCGTCATCTCCCAAGACAATCAGAGGGCAGCATGACACAGCAAGAAAGCAAGAAACCCCTCGGTCTAGCGTCCCGCGCAGTGCACGCCGACGACAAGATCAGTGCCCACCGCGCCGTCGCGCCGCCGATGCACGTCAGCACGACATTTGCGTACGACAAGGATCCGGCAAAGCTCGTGCCGAACGAGAATGTGGACGTAAGTCAGCGAGCGCAGCGAGCGCACCTCCAAGCGAGCTCCAAGCGAACTCCGAGCGGAGCGAGGGGGGCGCGAGTGCGCGACTAGGTCGTGCAGGACGTTCAGCTGTAGCTGTAGAAGGGAGAGCGATGAGACTGGGTAGAGGGGAGAGGAGAGTGTGGGGAGAGACGATATGGGGAGAATGAGTGAGCGCTGACGGTACAGCCAAACAATCCGAACGACTCACACATCTATTCGCGCGAATCCTCCCCCAACGCGTCCCGCATCGAAGCCGTGCTCACCTCCCTGATTGGCGCGCCGACACTGGTCTATGCCTCAGGTCTGGCCGCTCTGCATGCGCTCTTCGTGCATCTGAACCCTCGCGCCATAGCCATCGGCTCAGGCTATCACGGGGCGCACGCCATCGTCTCGCTCCTCAGTCGTCTCACGGGTCTCCGCATTCTCACCCTTGAGCAACTCGACGAACTGGAAAAGGGGGACGTGGTTCATGTCGAGACGCCAGTGAACCCCACAGGCGAAGCGAGGGATATAGCCTACTACGTGCGCCGGGCTCGTGAGAGGGGCGCCTACGTCACGGTCGACGCGACATTCGCGCCTCCGCCGCTGCAGGACCCGTTCATCTGGGGTGCGGATGCGGTGATGCACTCTGGCACCAAGTATTTTGGGGGCCACAGCGACTTGTTGCTCGGCACGGTTAGTACGCGACACGAGGACTGGATCCAGGGGCTCAGGGAGGACCGCGCCGTGCTCGGCGCTACGGTGGGCAGTCTCGAGGGCTGGCTGGGCCTGAGGAGTCTGCGCACGCTGGAATTGAGGGTTAGGCGCCAAAGCGCCAGTGCTGAAAAGTTGGTCCGCTGGCTCGAGGACGAGCGGAAGAAGGATGGACCCGTTGGACAAGTCGTGGCGCAAGTCAAGCATGCGAGTCTCCAGGATGGGGACTGGATTAAGGAGCAGATGCCGAACGGCTTCGGACCCGTCTTCGCCATCCTCCTCCGCGATGAGGAGAAGGCTAAGGCTCTGCCCAGCAAGCTCGAGTTGTTCCACCACGCTACGAGCTTGGGCGGGGTTGAGAGTCTGATTGAGTGGAGGGCCATGAGTGATGAGACTGTTGATAGGAGGTTGCTCAGGATTAGTGTTGGTGTTGAGGATGAGGCGGACTTGAGGGCTGATCTGCTCGCTGGGTTTGAGGCGTTGTTGGGTTAGGTCTAGACTTTACTTTTAACATGTTATGTATCCCCCACTCCCCACTCCTGCTCTGATCGCACCGCGTTATTATCACTGACTGTGACTCACTCGCTGAGCTCACCCGCGTCGCACACTCACGCTCGCTTCGCTCGCCCTGCCCCTCGGCGCTCCCTCGCTTCGCTCGGTCGCGTATCATCATATGCATGCATGTGCCAAGACAAACCCGGTACTCGATCGACCCAAACCAAAGACAGTGAAGAGAAGAGGGGGTGTTCTACGCGGCAGACTCTCAGAGCCACAGTCCGCTTTTGAAGAGTAACTCGATAGAAAATCCCGAAAGAGAAAACAAATAAGAGACGTAGTTTCGTTATGTTGTATAGGATTATTTGGAAGGGACGATGGGACGGGGCGACCTTCGAACAAGACTGTCCCCGACCTCGGGGCTGATTATAAAGCAGAGAGTTGGAGAGAGAGAGGGGCAATGTGATTATCCGTTGTTTGTGGGGTAAGGGGGTATTCCGGAAGGGGGTATAAGAGGTTAGATGGTGAGTGACTCGATCAGAGACGCCACCCACTTGGCCATGCTGCCGAGTCGGTCAATCTTGACGCCCTGGAACGACATATCGCTGAGACCCTTCATGCCCAGGTCCTCGAGCACCTGCTCGCGAGCGCCAGAGACGTTGGACCCGAGCGACGACCCGCCATATTTGCGGTCGCCGTTGGCCTGGGCGCCAAACGAGTACGTCGAGTCGGCCATGGCGCGCTCAAAGATCAGCGTGACGGCCGAGAGAATCGACGTGCTTGCCGTCGTCGTGAGCACCGCCGTCATGCGCGGGATGAGCGAGTCGTACGCCATTGCGACGACCTCGGGCATCTCAATGCTCGCCTCGGCGAGCAAACGGTACAGCACGAGCTTCTCCGTGTCCGTGCTCGCCTGGCCAAGGATCGTGACAATGAGCGTGACGAGGAGAAGCGCCGTCGAGTTGTCGGGGATGGCGAGCAGGTCAAACACGGACAGTGTGCTGAGATCGCGGAGCTCCTCCTCGGCAACGTCGACGCCGGCAGCCGTGAAGAGACCCTTCAGGTCGGACGGGTTCGCCGACGAGATTGGAAGCAGCGAAGTGAAGAACGCGACGCTCTGCGCGCCAATGAGCGGGCTGTCCTCCGAGTTGAGGTCCGTCCGCGTCGCCGTCGACAACCGCAGGAACTCGGTAAGCGTCGCAATGGTGAGCCGCCTCGTGTTAGGGTGACGGACACCCTTGTACATGATCGCGACGAGCGAGAAGCACGGGTCGGTGTCAAAGTTGATGCCGCAGATCTGGTCGAGCTTGCGTGCAGAGTCCCCAACAGCCTTGCGCGCAGCAAGGAGGTTGTCGAACAGGCCGTTCTGGAAGCTGCCAATCGCGTTCATGTGGCGCACAGTCGTGAGCAGCAGCTCGAGCGCCGGTGCGAACAGCGGGATGTATGCGAGCTGCAACACCGCAACCGCGAGCCAGAACATGGTAGGCGCGTACCGGCTCTCAGGGACGAGGCCGGGGATGACGCGTGCAAGGCAGCGCAGCATGCTCACGATGAGGACCGTGTCCGTCTCCTGGAAGTGCGTGAGCGTCGTGCTGAGCGCGACGAGGACCTGATACACGAGGTCGTCGTCGACTTCGTCGGAAGCCAAGTAGCCGAGCGCAGTGAACGCCTGAGGCTGCGTCGCCGGGTTGTGCTGGAAGCACGTTGCAGCGACGAGACCCATCCATCGGGCGCGCCAGGCATTTGCGCAGTCGGTCGAGATGGCACCGGCGCTAAGAACGTCGCCGAGGAACTTGACAATCATCTCGAGCGAGTCGAGGTGGCTGACGCCGTTCTGGTCCCACTGAGGCAGACCAGAAAGCTCAAGCGAGCCGGCGCTCTGGCTGAGGCCAAACGCGGCGATCATCTCGGGCTGCTGCAGGCGCTGCAGGAGGTGGAGCAAGGAGGCGCTGTCCATGTCACTCGACGAGATGGACGCGAGCGACTGCAGAATGTTCACGACGAGACCGTGCACAGTCTGGCGCATGAAGACGGGGCCAATGCCAACGATGAGGGTGATCGTGTGGAACAGCTCGGGGAGGAAGAGCTGCGTGTCGATGGCATTGGATGGGTTGAACGCGAGCGCGAGGTTGATCCGTGCGAGCGTGCAAATCTCGTTCCACGACGCGCTGTCCGTCAGGCTCGCCGTCGGGCGGAGGTACGTCTGCGCAATCGTTTTGCGGAGACGAGCAACGACCTTGCCCTTGACGGCGGTGCAGTTCAGCGACACGAGAATGTCGGCGACCGTCTCGGCCTTTTCGGAGCCGGGTCCAGCGTTGACAGCCGAGTGGAGTAACTCGGTCACAACAAGATCGACAAGGGCCTCGTGCGACGAGCCAATGACGCTCCAAACATGCTCCTGCAGCGTCAGATGCAGACGCCTCTTCTCGGCGACAGTGAGCGAGATGAGACTGCGCACAATCTCGGCAACCTGTTTGACGCTCTCGACGCCGTCGTCACGCGTGGGCTTGGCGAACAGCTCGAGGTTGTTCAGCCATGGGCCAACGTAGTGTAAGCACGCCGTCTTCTGGGGCGTGTCCGCCTTGGCAAAGCCAATCGTCCACTCCTTCAGGAACTCGAGGGTGAGGTTTGGCGCCGAGGTCGCGAGCTGCTTCGACAGCTTGTAGACATAGGACAGCGAGTTTGTCGGAATCAGCAAGCCACTGTTGACCTTGGAGATCTGCGACGACAGGTCGTACTTGAAGAAGGAGCAGAGCTCGTTGACCAGGTTGTAAGCGCCCATGCGGAGGACCTCGTCGCTCGACGACATGTTCAGGAAGGCAACGTTCAGCAGCGTGCCGGGCACGTCGCTCGGTCGCAAAGCACGATCCTCGGAGGGAGTGTCCCTCAACCTTCCTCGGGCGGTACGGATGATCTGCGCCATCTCGTTGCGCTTGCGCGAGATAAAGGTGACGCTCTGGTTCTGCGAGTGCTTCACGATGAGCTGGTCAGACGACACGCCCGTGCCGGCCACAATGTCATCAACGTCCTTAAGGTTGATCACATCGATGATGTAAGCCTTGAGCGACGCGGTCAGGTCCTGCTTCCTCCACGAGGCGACCTGGAGACAGTCATCGCCAAGCTTGACAACGACCGGCACCTGCATCTCGTGGTCGGACAGACACAATAAGTTGGTGAACACGTGGTCCGCCTCGTAGGCGAGCGCCATCGTGTGGTCCGGAAGCGCGAGGGACGTGAAGGGGATGAACTCGGCGAGCTCGGCAGGGCTGCTGGCAGCAACGACGCTCTTGCCGATCGTCGTGCCGACAGTGGACAGGTCGGCAATCATGCGGCGAAGGCGCTTGCGGGCGTACGAGTTGGGGTTGTACAGCGCCAGCGTGTGGACGAGCGGCAGGATACCCGGCGGGCACATCTGCAGCGAGCGGCGGAGCCAGGCGATCGGCATCTCAGTCGTCGGCGAGAAGTCTGTCAGGTCGATGACGAGGTCGAAGAAATCGGTGACCTTGTCGAGCAGCGAGAAGACGTGGTATGCGAGCAGGTCGTAGTCGACCAGGGCAACGCGAGCAACGACAAAGTAGAAGATGCGGCGGCCGTTCTGAGAGGCGGGGCCCTCGTAGAATGCGGTGTTAACAGACTCGGTGCTGCGGCCGGCATTGTGACGCATAAAGTCGTCGTAGACTTGCGACCTGGTGCTGCTGCTGAGGTTTGACATGTCCGTGGGCGGGCCAGTCTCCTGCATGAGGCGGCGGAGCGACTGGAGCATCGACTTGCCATCGAGATCCAAGCGAATCGACCGGGTCGAGGTCGATTGCCGGCTGCGGAACGACGGAGGAAGGTTGTCGAGCGACGACTCCAGGCGGCTGATGTGCTTGAACACGAATCGCTGGATAATGAGGTTGTCGCCATCGGCGTCCAGCGACCGCTCGCTCTCCTCCTGGAACGTCTTCGTAGCGTGCGCGACCTCCCAGCTGCGCGGGCGGACAGCAACGTCGGACAGGAACTTGGTAACCTGACGAATGTTCTCGGATAAGAACTGGTTCAGAACCTTCATGTGTGCCTCCTTGTTGCCAAACAGGACATTGTTCGCGAGGTTCTGAATGACCTTGGTGATTAGCAGCAGAGCACGGCGGGTGTCGCGCGTGTCCGGGTTCACGTCGAGGTCGATGCCTTCCGGGGCGACAATGGCCGGGCAGAAGAAGCGGAGGAAGACAAAGGATCCGACGGCCGAGTGCCTCGAGTCGGGGAAGCGCTCCTCGACGACCTCCCAGATGTGGTGGCAGAGAGCTCGGAACAGAATCGGCACACGAGGCGTCGACTGATAAATGATGTCCAGGAGGGCCTGGCACATCAGCCTCAGGTGCTCGGCGTTGCGCTCTATGTCGTCGGCACCGGCCTTTGAGGGGTCCAGCTCGAACGAGCACTCGGCGGGCTTCTCGGACAGCGAGTGAATCAACGGCTGCAAGGTCGCGCGGACGTAGTTGTAGCCGTAGGTCTTCGCAAAGATTGTCAGGAGACGGGTCGTGATCGAGTTGGCACGGAACAGCTCCGACTCGTGGTTGGTCTGGGCAACCTCGCGCTCAATGAGGACCTTCATGAGGCTGAGGAGCGTGCCCTTCGACTCGAAGACGCGGAAGAGCATCATGGAGATCTCGTCGACCTCGCCTGGCGGGCACGACTCGCAAATGGCCATAGCAAGAGCGAGGTTGGGAGCCGTCAGGGCGTCAAAGTACGCCTTGGGGGCGGACGTTCCGCCCTTGGTCGCAAGACCACCGAAACGGGTACCCTGCTGCAGAATGTTGGTGATCAACTGCATGAAGGCCGTTCGGATAGACGAGTCCTCGTGGTAGCCGAGCGACAAGCAGTGCTTGAGACCGACATCGACATTGGCGGAGAGAAGGTTCGACAGAACCAGAATGGCGAGAGCAGGGTAGCTCTCGCCGGGTCCGACGCGCATGCTGAGGTTGGAGACGGACGCAGCGACCTGCGACGACTCAGTCTCTAAAGAGTTCGAGCGCTCGAGCACGCGGACCAGCATGTGGTAGTAGCGGTAGAACAGGCGCGACTTGACCACCAGCTGTGTCTCCTCGTTGTCGTCGCCGACCTGGCGGATAACGAGGCCGTCGGTGATTGGAATGAGCGCACGAAGACAGGCGAGGTCCAGGTCGCGCTGGAGCTTGTCATGCGCGTTGCTGTGGAACTCGTCACGGAACGACTCGATGGACCACTCGCACATCCACTCGAGGAGGGCGTTGCGGAGCTTGCTGGCATTGCCGAGGACGACGAACTCGGGCTTGCTGAAGACAGCCTCCATGAGCTGACAGAACTTGATCTTGATCCTGATGTATGTGTCCTCGCGACCGAGACGGTGAGTGTACTGGGCGATCATGAAGAGGAGCTCGCCCATGTCAACCTGAACACCGCCAGCGTTCTCGCCAGGGTTGACGCGGTCGACCCACAAACGAAGCACAGCGATCGCCTGCTCGGTGAAGGTCGTGTATGGGTCAGCAGTGTTGAGGCTGCCACTCTTGGCAGAGTGCGAGAGGAGCTTTGACATCTGCACAACGAGCACGCGGCACAGGCTGAGCGGCAGCTCGTTGCCGAGGGCGTCCTTGATGGACTCGCGGACGTGGATGGAGCTGCTGACTAAAAAGTCGACACACTGCCTGAGGAAGGACTCCACTGCGCTGTGAGCGTCGGTCGCTTCGTCATAGACACGAGGGAGCACACCCTTTCCGACAACTTCAGTGATGTTGGGCGGGAGGGACATGTCGTGGAAGCAAACATTGCTGGTGGCGCACAGGAAGGCGATAAGGTTCTGCCATTCCTTCGATTCCTCCTCGGTCAGGCCGTCAATGTCGTTGGCCAAGCCTCTTCGGCGGAAGTCGCCACGGTCCGCGGCCTCGTCGCTCTCGGCGGCGATAATCTTGGCGGTCAGCGTCTTGACGCGTGCAGCAAGTCCGAGCCAGACAGTGCTGAGCAGAGTCGACGGGCGGACGTGCTTCTTCATGATGCGTCGGATGGCGCGCTGCTGCTGCTGTCGTCCGGTCGCAGGCGGGAGGGAGCCGAGCTCGGCGAGCATCTGGCTGTGGCCCGTGATCTCGTCCATCTGCGCCTGGCTATTGCTGATAGCCGAACGCACGATAAGCATCAGCTTCGAGAGAGCCATGAGAGCCGGCGCGGCGAGGTTGGTCTGCTCGACATCGGGGCCGGTCAGGCTCGTGATCGTGGCGACCTTGGCAATAAGAACAGCGTTCCTCGCATTGGGCGCCTTGGCGATTTCCGGGAGGACCGAGACGGTCTCGAGAACAGCGTAGATCGTTTCACGGAACGCCCCCGCCATCATCGCCATGTCATTAACGTCGCCAATCTGGAAATCGATCAATAATTGCCGACTCGCGTCAATGAGGATCTGCCAGATGGCCGGTGCGGTCGTCGCGGTGAGCTGGGTCATCGCCGCGTCCGTCTTGGCGCCACCCGTCAGGCTGTGGAGGATGGCGAGGTTCGTCTTCGACGCCTGGCTTCGAATCGTCATGGAGTTGGTAGCCGCCGTTAATGACGAGATCGAAATAAGGAGCTGGCCGAGCGTGTCGTTTCCGTCGCCAATGCTCTCAAACGCAAAGGCCGGGTCGGTCGCGATGAGGTCGAGCGTCTCCCAAATGAGGTCGGTCTCCGTCGACGGGATTTCCAAGCTTGGTCGTCCTGGCCTGCGGGAGGAAGATCCGTTGAGGGACGAGTTGACATGAGACTGGGAGGTCAGCTATCGCAAAGAGTTCGTCAGCTAGAACATACCTTCAGGATTGCCCGCAGGGACGCGGCAACGTCTGCACGGAGAGCATTTGCCGACTGCTGCCATGGCAACCTCTGCCCCTCCAAGACGATCGCCTTGCACGCGCGCACGCCGATAATCTTGCTGATATCCGACGAGTCGTTCCACAGCTTGGGGAAGATGTGGGAGGCGGTCTGGCTCGGGTTGTACCGGTACAAGGCCACGAGGCCCTCGACGAGCACATTCTGGTCATTGATCTCGGTCGAGAGCGACGAGTAGAAGAGGGCATTCTTCAGGTCGCTCTGGAGATCCGGCAACATCGATCGGATACCGGAGGAGTCTAAGCGGGGGCTCAGGGACACGCCTGCACGGACGAGGTCGACGTAGCAGACGGCGCAGGCCTCGAACGACTTGCTCTGGCCCAGCCCTCTTCGAAGATTCTCCATGAAGCTCGCCTTCTTAGCGATGCTCGAGTTTCCCCGAGAGCTTTCCCCGAGGGCAATGCGCTTCATAGATTCCGGCGACAGAACCAAAAGCATGGCCATCAACGGGTAGAAGACCTTGACGCGCTTGTTCGATGCGGTCGCATCCGACATTGACGAGAGCACGTCGAAGAGCACATCCGGGCTGCCGTCGAGCTTGCGCGTGCCCTCGATGAGAGACTGGTACTCTGCCGGATACACATCGATCCAGTTCCAGATGGCGTTGCGCAAAGCCGAAGCCAAGGCGGTTTGTGCTGGTCGCTTAACGTGAAGGAACGGGGTCGAGATCTCCTGGAGGGCCTGGGCCAGCCTAGATGAGTCAACATTAGCCCACTCGAGCAGACGCAGTTCCACTAGCTCCGGGTTCTCTTCCAGGGTTGTCGTAAGGTGCGCGACCCGTGCTTTGATGCGTGACAGAACCAGCGGCCAGTTGGAAGCCGACAGGAAGAAGACGATGCGAGACGTGCACTTGGTCAGCTCCTTGATAGCCATTGGGATTGAGGACGCGGCGGGACCGATCAGCCGCGCGTCTTCCGATGCGAGTGCCGTGATGGAACCGGAAGCCGACGCCGACGGGTAGGAATGCTCCTGAATAAACTTCGGTCCTAGTGAGTAGCCCGTCGATGCAGGGTGCTCCTGAGCCCACGACGCAACCGATGCGGAGCTGGGCGACTTGCCGTCGCGCGGAATCTGAGATAACGCGCCGCTCAGCTGTGCGCTGTCGTCCGACACCATTCGCATGTAGATGACCAGGACGCCAAGCAGGTGACGCGCGAGATGGTCATCCAACGGGGGCGGATCCGGCCAGCATGTTGGGAGGTCCGAGGCCGTAGGCGTCGCAGCCGAGGAATTCAGGCGCCATGACTCGGACAGACATCGCACGAGAAGGTGAAGAACGTAGAGCTGAGAGTGGATCGTGTCAAGCGGAGCGTCAACGAGGGGGAGGTTGTTCGAGTACTGCGGCGTCAGTTGGCTCAAAGTTGCGCTGTTACATACCTTGGACAGCGTCTCGAGCGCGCTCGCAAGCGCATGTACAACCAACGACAAACGAATGCGAGAGATCTGCAGCAGGCTCTCAACCGTCGTCTTCACCCCGTCGTCCAACTCCATCATGGCGAGTTTTATTCCCGAGTTGCATGGCAGCTGTGTAGGTATGTCAGCCAACAGTCCGCATCCGAGATGTGCATCGAGCTCGCGCGTGTGTGTGTGCATGATGAAGCCCTGGTGCGAACACGCAACGCGTTCGGCTTGACCTCGTGCCGGGCGAAAAGGGATCAGGCGCGCATTGGTGCAGCCTGGAGGAGGTTGGAAGACCGAGGGAGGTCGGTGCTTACTCACCTTATTGACCAAGCGAGAGACGATGGACGAGACGACCTTTTGTTCGCTCATGAGGGACTCTTGACGTGATGAATAGGACGTGTTAGCAGGGGACGCCGAGGTCGACGCGGATGCCGAGTTGGATGCGACGGCGGCTCCGGCGTCGTGCAGCGACAGATTATCGGTGTGCTGGATGTCGAGCGATCTGATCGTTCGCGAGGACGGGGAAGCGAATGTCTGCCCGGATGACCGACGAAGCGGCATCCTGGCAGCAGCCGCGGAAAGAGATGGAGAAGGAATCTTGACGGGTGCTGCTGGGTCGCGGGTTCAGAGGGGGGTTGCGCCGGGTGTCAAGAAAGAGGAAGAGGGGTGCGATCAGATGATCATGGGGAGGCGGAGGGGGATGCGTGCAAGTGAGAGTCGCGAGTTCACTGTATGCCGTATTAATATGAGGTAGAGATTGCGCGCGCGCTGACAGTCGGTCGAGGAAGAGGGATGTGGTTAAGGATTATAGACGTGCGTGAGCGTAGTGATACAGGAGAGAGAGAGGGCGAGCGAGTCGAGTGTCGATGCGCGAGCGGACGGGCGGGCGTATGGGATTCGATGTTTTGGAGAGGGAGAAAGAAGCGTCGAGATGGATGATGGGTGTCTGTGTGTATTCTGGTGGTGGTATGTGTGAGAGATGAGGTGTCGGTTGATGGAGGAGGGTGAAACGTCGGCAGGTGAGAGGGAAGGGGGGTGCGGTGGCCTGTCTGCCTCGTGGACTAGTCGGTAGCTCGGGAGCCGGACTAGCCTATCGAGCCGGAGGAGGGTGGAGTTGTGGGTGATTCTTCGGTGGTGTACACGGAGACGAGTGTCGAGTAGTGATCGTGGTTTGGATGAGAGGATGGAACTGGAAAGTCGAGAGACCGAGTGAGAGTGCACTGGCCACGCAAAGGAGCGCGCAAGGAACGGGTCGAGCTTGGATGAAGGTTGAGTGAGCTTTGTGGTCACAGCGGTGTCCGATGCACTGGCCCGGTGGTCAGATGGGTGGTGATGTGTCGGGTGCTTGCCCTCGGCCCTTGGGGCGCGCTCAAGGGATAAGGGAAGGGGGAGAGCGCGAGCAATGAGCTTGATGGCTTCAGGATCGCGCGAGAGAGACTCTTTTCCCTGCAGTAAGGGACCACCGTTGGACGAACAAAGAAACACTCGCAGGAGTGGTGTCCCTGGTACGGCGTGCGCGTGCAGGAGGGGCTGCTTCATTTGGATCATTTAGCCAGTTTACTAAATCGACACTTTGAAATGCATCAGGTAACTAGGACGACTGCGATTGGATTGTTTAAGCCCAGATTAAGCAAGCCATGCCAGGCCAGCGCAAGCCGCGGGACTCGTCAAAAGGGACACACGCCCATACACCCGAGGCGCACAACCCAGGGTCCGACTCTTTCGCAAAAGGCACGCAGCCCTGCGATTCTGCAGCCTGTACGCCTTAGAATGAGACTTATGCCCAGGGCACGCGAGGGCACGCCCAGGGTCGCCCAGGGTGACGGGTCGTGTTGGAATTGCGGGAGACCAAAAGTCGGTTCACCTAGACGCGCCCCCACCACGAAAGCTTTCACCGCGTCGAGCCCTCTCAAGCTCTCCTCTCTCCGGACCAACCTCGTCGCTGCCTGCAATCTGTCCTGGTGCCGACCGGAGTAATGCCCCGCTGTAGCCTGCCGCTGCACGCCCGCTCTGCGTGCCCTGGCCGCCCAGCCGGTCATCCGGGCCGGTACCAGGGAGCGAGGTGTATGGCATATGCTCGGCCAGTGTGCAGACAAGATGGCCGGAGGAGCTGCTGGTTCATGCACCGAGCTGACCGAGCGAGCAAGAGCAGAAGGAGCGCAGAGGCGCAGAGGGAGTCCGCCCACTATTCCTGGGTGCAACCTGGGTGGTTGGCGCGTCGCGGCGTGAAGGTCTGTGCGTCGTCGAGATTCAGCATCACGGCGCTCATGCGCTCTTGCGCTCAAGAGGCGATTCCATATTCCCGTCCCGAGGATTTGTATTGCCTCGCTCACGCGCTCACGCGCTCACACTTATGCGCCCCTCGGTATACCGCCGCGGGGTGCGTGCGCAGCTCACCATCAGGCCACCGAGCATCGGAGCAAGGAAATAAAGACCGCAAGGAGCGCGAAAGGGCATACGGTATGCGGCTTCACTCTCGATGCATTGTCTGCTCTCCTCAACTGTAGTATGACATCTCCGGGACGCATCACGGCAGCCCGGTACGGAAGGGAGCAAGGGCCGACGGGTAGGTCTAGTGACCCGGCGTGCCCTCCTCGGTGGGTCGTCATCGGACCCTCGGACCCTACTCCGGCACCCGCGCAGGCTGTCTTACAAGAGGCGTTTACGTTGCACGTTGTGGTGTTCGTGGATGTCTCATGTCTCAGCCAACTAATGCTCCGCTCGGCCGCTCGGTCGGCTTCGATGTGGGGGCTGCCATCGGCGCTCTATCTCGGTCCGCTCGGCTGAAAATAGAGCCATGAGCAGAGCTAGGTACGCAGGTCATGAACAAGGTTGGCCGCTGCGTTATGGACGTTATCGTCTTTCGAGTTTCACGCGAACGCGCACTGGATAGTCGAGGACAGCAGTACGGCGGGATAAGAGGACCTTCTTCGCCGACTCAGGGCTCGATCAGGGACGCGCTGGCCAGCACGGCCAGCATGCAGCAGGCCAGCAGGCCAGCTGGCGAGCTGGCTGGCGTTCATCTCCCCAGGAGACACCCGTGGGAGACTTTGTGATGTATCACGTGATCGGGAGATGAGCACCAGCCGATCCAGCTGGAAGCGTTGACATCACCGATGTCATCAGCTCGCCGGGTTCGATCGACAACAAACTAAAATGGCGTTCATCGACCAGACACAGGACTTTCGGAGTCTGATAGCGGAGGGGTCGAAGAGTGGCCCGTCAAAGACGAGGCCGAAACCGCCCCGCAGGCAGTCGGAGGAGGAGAAGAAGGACTCGTTTCTGAAGGAGGCGTACCAAATCGTAAGTACAACAACTTGTCTCCCGGCTATAAACCACACGACATCTCAGAACCTGCCTCCAGCTCGGCAACTGGAGCCAAGCTGACATCAGTACGGGCACCTAACCGATTTGGAGCGGCTGCTGCGGCAGATCCGCAAGCCCTACCTCTCGACGGCGGAGGCGCCGCCCCTCCACCGTCGTCGGCCGGGCGCCGCCGCCGGAGACGACGACACGCTGAAGCGCTGGGAGAACACCAAGTACCTCTCTGATCGGGAGCGGGACGAGATCGACGTGCGCGCCAAGATGATCCTGCGGCGGTGTCGGGAGCGAGTCGGCCAGCTGGAGCAGGGCGAGAAGGGTGAGTCGGGCCTTCACTCCTCAGTCCTCAGGATCAAGCGTGGGCACGCAAGGGATGATGGGCGAGGAGGGAACTGAGGCTGGTTCACAGCGAGCGTTGCGAGCGTTGAGCTGACACCGCAGCGCGGCAAGAACGCGTCATCCCGCAAAACAAGCTGTACAAATTCCTCCCCTCGCTAGCGCCCACAGAGGACGACAGCGGCACGGTGCTCCTGACCGCTCACCGCGCGAGCGTGTTGTGGACGCTAAACTCCCTCCTGGCGCGGCTGACAACGACCACGTCCGATCTGCAAGAGGAGCGCGCGAAGCGGCGCGCCGAGCGCCAAAAGACCCTAGGCGGGAGCGCGGAGCGCGAAGCGCTGTTGATGGAGAAAGGCCAACCATTGGGTATGGGGCAGCATTTCCCCAACATAGCCTCGATGGGCACAGGCATAATACCCGAGAACGAGCCGAGGATCGAGGAGCAGCTGTCCCAAGCCCAGCTGCAGGAGTTTGAGAGCGAAAACTCGGCACTGCTCGAGCACATGCAGAGCCAGCTCGACTCTGTGCTTTCTGCTGAGAAGAGCCTGGTCGAGATTTCGCAGATGCAGGCTGAGCTTGTACGGCATCTCACGCAGCAGACGGAGATGGTCGATCTGCTCTATGACCAGGCGGTGGCTAGTGTGGGGCAGATGGGGGATGCGAACCGGGAACTGCGCAAGGCGAGGGAGAACAGCGGCCAGAGCCGGCTCATGCTCCTTGTGTTCTTGCTCGGGATGAGTTTTGCGCTCCTCTTCCTGAACTGGTACTCATAAGAGCCCGTAGAGTGAATGTATGATCTAGCAGCAGAGGCGTGGGGTATGGATACATCTCTAGGGTTTTGCAAAACGTCTAGGCAACGAGACTTCTATCAAGTGTTCATATCATTTCGAGCGCGCAGCGCCCAGAGTAAGCATCTCAGTGTCCGACCCCTCCTAGGAGCGCACACTCGGGCTCCTCTCCCTCGCCGCTCCCCTCCTGACTCCACCTTCGAGCAGCGCCAGATCATCCTCCTCGCTATAGTCCCTCAGCAGGGCCGTGGACTCCAGCGCCTCAGCGGCCAACTCGCCCTCCTCGGGGTCGCATCCCTCGTGCATCTCGAGCTTGCGCATCTGCCGCAGGGTGAGCTTGTAGATGACCAGTCCGGTCACGACGGAGAACACGACCGTGGCGACGATGGACGCCATGTTGAGCCAGAACTGCACGGGGTCCTTGTGTTTCGGGTTGTCGGGGTCGTCGAGCATCGAGCTCAGCCTGCTACCGATGAACACGGGGATGAAGAGTTTGGGCAAGTAGAGTGTGTTCGCGAGCATGTACTGCCAGAACTGCACTGCGTCGATGGACTGGAAAGTCAGCTACCGTGCGCGAGCCGAAGCTGATTCATGTAGAATGAGACTCACAGCGAACAGACCATTGCCGATCGCCCACGGCAGGGGACACCACCGGATCATGGCGACGAGGGGCCAGCCGCGCTCGCGCATGACGTGGCCGAACGCCTGCCACTGCTTGTTCTTCCCAGAGCCGAATTTGCGCATCCACTCCAGGAAGAAGGTGCGCACGGAGAGGAAGGCGATGGCCGCGCCCGCCAGAGAAGCGAGGGAGGCGACGAGGAAGCCCGGCCACACGCCGTAGGCGAAGCCCATCAGCGTCATCGAGCCGGAGAAGCCGAATAGGGGCGGGTGCGAGGAGAGGACTGGCGTTAGCTGTGTTCCCCAGGGCATACAGCTGTAGCATGAGGGAGAGTCTGTCGAGCACTAGCACTAGCAGCCCTAGCGCAAGAGCCATACTCACTGATGCACGCCGAGAGAATCAGCATGCCCTTCCATCCCATATCGCGCAGGCGCACGCCGAGGTCGTTGAAGAACTCGCCGATGCGCTTTGGCGTGATCCACATGATGATGGCGAACGCGAGGACATGCGCGCCGAATATGGACCTGGCGTTAGCATTGTACTTGTACTGCTGTGATCGTTCGTTCTGATCGCCGGCGTCGAAACAGTCTCCGACGAACGACGAACGTGCTGCAGCTCACCAAAACGTTATCTGATATGCAGTCAGCCACGGCCTGTGTGAACCCTTACTCCACTGTGTGACTCACCTTGCTCCTCCGGTCTAGTTTGCGGTACGGGCGCGTCATGCGAGCGACGAGGGCTTCGCCGCGACTCCGCAGTGTTGGGAAATCGAGTTCTGTCATTGCTTGGATGGGCGATGATGCGGTAGCAAGATGTTGCCGCTCAGCTCCAAGATCCCAAGAGATGTGCACCCGTAAGCCTCCAGCCCTGTGCACATAGGCTCACCTGTGACAGCACCGCAGGCGGCAGGCGGGACGCGCACCAGCAGCCAAGGCGACGGGAAGGCTGCGGAGCCCCGTAGCCTTGAGGGTAGGATTGGCAGAACGCGGGAACAAATAAATGAGAGGCCAGGAGCCAGGCACAACGAAGGTCTTGCCACCGTTTGCGCTACTTCGCGACCGACCTTTTCATCGCTTGCTTGAATCCGCCCACAACCCCGCGTCAATCAGCAATCCACGTCCGTTTCATCCAAGAAACAGACAGAGCTTGCGGAGACGTCACAACCTTCCGACCGACATCCGCCAGGCATATCGCGCTTGGACTGGATCGATTCCCGACGAGGAAGGCGGATTACGAAGCTCCCCCGAGAGACCGATACCCCTCCGCCGAAGCCCGGTCGACACCCAGCGCTCTCTGAGTCGCTTGTACCTCTGAGCCCAATATGGTGAGTAGCTTGTGTTGTGGACATCTGAGCTGACAACAGGGTGTTCCCGCCCTCTTCCGATGGCTCTCCAAGAAGTACCCAAAGATTGTGCAGCGTGTCGTTGAGGATACGCCGACAAAGGTTCGGCAAGATGACGGCTCGATCGTCGAGATTCCCGTCCAGTACGAGTCGGCGAACCCGAATGGCTTTGAAGTCGATAACCTCTACTGTATGTTGCTAGGACTTCGAGGCGCTAACAGACTCCAGTGGATATGAATGGTATCGTCCATCCGTGTACGCACCCTGAGGGTCGTGATGCCCCGCCGACCGAGCAGGACATGATGGTCGAAGTGTTCAAGTACACCGAGCGTGTCGTGAACATGGCCCGGCCGCGCAAAGTGCTCTTCATGGCTATCGACGGTGTCGCGCCGCGTGCCAAGATGAACCAGCAGCGCTCGCGTCGTTTCCGTGCGTCCCAGGAGGCCGCCGAGAAGGAGGAGGAGCGCAAGCAGCAGATCGCCATGTTCGAGGCGATGGGCCAGACCGTCTCGGATGAGACCAAGAACAAGAAGTCGTGGGACTCGAACGCCATCACGCCTGGTACGCCGTTCATGGACCTCCTCTCCGCCTCGCTCAAGTACTGGGTCTCGCACAAGCTCTCGACTGACCCCGGATGGAAGGACGTGAGTTATCTTCCAGCTCGGCATAACTGACACCGCAGCTCAAGGTCATTATCTCGGATGCGTCGGTCCCCGGAGAGGGAGAGCACAAGATCGTCGACTGGATCCGCCGTGAGCGCACGTACCCTGAGTGGGATCCCAACACGAGCCATGCGATCTACGGTCTCGACGCCGATCTCATCATGCTTGCGCTCGCGACCCACGAGCCGAACTTCCGCGTTCTCCGTGAGGACGTGTTTGCTCAGAGCTCGCGCGGACCCCGCGTGTGCGACAACTGCGGCAAGGAAGGCCACATCAAGGCCAACTGCAAGGGCGAGAAGAAGATGCCCGACCCGAACGTCGTCGCCAAGGCCAAGCCCGAGGACCCGAAGCCGTTCATCTGGCTCGACGTGGCCTGTCTCCGTGACTACCTCGCTGTCGAGCTCAACGTCCCGACATCCTTCCCCTTTGACCAGGAGCTCGCCATTGACGACTGGATCTTCATGATCTTCTTCATCGGAAACGATTTCCTGCCGCATCTTCCTTCGCTCGAGATCCGTGAGGGAGCCATCGACACGCTCCTCGAGATCTGGAAGCGGGAGCTTGACCGCATGGGCGGATATCTCACTAACCACGGCAAGGTCAACCTCGGCCGCGCGCAGATCATTCTCGACGGCATTGCTGCGCGTGAGGACAACATCTTCCAGCAGCGCAAGGAGCAGGAGGACCGCCAGGAGCGGAACGCCAAGCGAAGGAGGAAGGAGGACCACCGGAGACAGGACATGGAGAACGGTACTTGGAAGAATGACAAGGACCAGCCTCCTGCGCCCGGTAGCATGCAGATGAACGGCCAGGACTACGTCCAGGTCAATCCGTCTGACACCGCCCGTGGTGGCCGCCTCCACCCTTCGCTTCCCAGCCGACCGGAGGCTGCCAAGGAGGAGCCTGCTGCGCCGCCCAAGCCCGTCAAACCCGGCAAGAAGATGTCCTACGCCGAGCAGGCCGCTTCTCTTAAAGCAGGCCTCGCCGCCATGGAGGGTAGCAACCTCGATGTTGTCAAGAACCGCCGTGCCATCCGTATGGCCAACCAAAACGCCGCTGCAGCCCTTAAGGCGGAGCTGGAGGGCGGTGATGAGAAGGACGACAAGGCGGAGGGCGACGAGAAGGAGGACAACGCCGATGGCGACGAGAAGCACGACATGGAGGTCGATGCTGAGGATGCCGAGGAGACCCGTGGAACGAAGCGCAAGGCCGACGACGACGAAGATGGCTCCGGCAGCGAGACCGGCAAGGACGACGAGGAGGGTGCCCCGAACCCCGGTGATGAGGTCGTGCCCAAGAAGAAGCTCCACGTCAACCCTGACGGCACCGTCGAGTACGAGGACACTGTCCGTCTCTGGGAGCCTGGATACAGAGAGCGCTACTACCGCCAGAAGTTTGGCGTTGAGCTTTCGGACAAAAAGTTCATGAGCGAGATCACCCGCTCCTATATGGAGGGCCTCTGCTGGGTGCTCGAGTACTACTACCAGGGTGTCCCCGCCTGGGACTGGTACTACCCATACCACTACGCGCCGTTCGCGCAGGACTTCCACGACGTCGGTAGCCTGGACATCAAGTTCCGCAAGGGCAACCCCTTCACGCCGTTCGGCCAGCTGCTCGGTGTCTTCCCCGCCGCGTCGCGTATCCACCTTCCCGAGCCGCTGCAAACGCTCATGATTGAGGAGGACTCGCCCATCATCGACTTCTACCCCAGCGACTTCGAGATCGATATGAATGGCAAGAAGATGGCTTGGCAGGGCGTCGCGCTCCTCCCCTTCATCGACCAGCACCGTCTGCTCGCTGCGCTCAAGAGCAAGGAGCCCGAGCTCAGCCAGGACGAGAAGCGCCGCAACACCTGGGGTGAGCCCCGCATGTTTGTCGCCGAGGAGAACATGCTCTTTGACCCCTTCGTCAAGCTGTACGGCCGGAAACCGAGGCCGGATGGCAAGCCCCTTCCGCCTGTTGCGCTGGACGCCGAGCGCTCGCAGGGTGTTGTCGGTGGTACTCTGAATGACCCCCTCTGCGTCCCCGGCGCCAGCATGGACACGCCTCTGCCGTCCATCGATGACTGCCCCGACCTCACCAACAACCGCGCCATTTCGGTCCGATATCTCTACCCTCCCCTCAAGGGTTCGCATCGATCAGTGCTCCTCAAGGGCTACCGACCGCTGCCGACTCGTCTTAACCAGAACGACCGGCAACGTGTGAAGCAGGGTCAGTTTGACGGCCCTGGCGGTCACGGCCGTGGAGGACGGGATCGCGGTGGCGGTGGTGGCGGCCCCGGCTACGGTGGTGGTCCGGCACGAGGAGGACGCGGTGGTGGCTACGGCGGTCACCCTCCTCGAAACGACGGTTACGGAGGCGGCGGTCGTGGCGGCTACGGAGGTGGTGGCTACGGCGGTTACAACGGCCCCGCTGCCAGCTACCGTGACCCGTATCCCCCTCCCCGCAACGCTTATGGCGGTGGTACTGCCTACGGAGGCGGTGCTTCAAGCTACGGCGGCGGCGGCTATGGCGGTGGTGGTTATGGTGGTGGTGGCTATGGCGGCGGCCAGTCGAGCTACGGCGGCGGAAATGGAGGCGGCGGCTACGGCGGAGGGGGTAGGAACCCCTACGGCGCTCCCCCGCCTCCCAACCCGTACGGTGCCCCGCCGCGCGGCGGCCGTGGCGGATATGGAGGCGGCTCGTACGGCGGCGGTGGTGGTGGTGGCCGCGGTGGATATGGCGGCGGAGGCTACGGTGGTCGAAGGTAATATTGTCAAATGTAGTACAACATCTTTATCCTTGAATAGAGTACAAATCTGCATGTATCGTGGGCACAAATGCCATAGCTAGAGACAATGCAAAATGTGGGAGACTGCCTACCGTTCACGAAACGGAGGAAGCCGATGCGGGAGACGCGGGTGGAGGAACACGTGATCGCTCGGCACTGATGGACGTGACAAGTCGGGTAGCTAGGACAAGGCTAAATCGTGCATCACATCACCCACCACGATCGCGATGTTGTCAGGCCGCGTGCGCAAGACGTACGGCCGGCGTGCGCCTCGCCCCCGCTCCGGGTCCGATAGTGACACCGAGACCGACGAGCCGGGATCGAGCGCACCGCAATCGCAAGTGACGAGCCCGCCTCCGCCGAGCCGAAACGGGAATGGGGTCCGGGAAGCCGACGAGAGGAACGACGTGCTCGGCGACCTGAGCATTGTCAGCGCTAACAGCGCTCTCTCTGCAGCGAGCAGAGTGTCATCGTCGCGATTCCCATCGGCCCCACGCACAGGCTCACCGGCATCGAGCTCGTCTTCCCTCCGCCGAGTATCGGGTAACACAAACACGCCTCCACCTCTGAAACGGCGCCGGACATTTGATGCGTCCGCATCAATGCCGCCTCCCGCTCTGTCCAAGCCATCATCCAAGCCTACCACGCCGACATCCTCGACACGTTTACGGCCACGCAACTCGCCCGCGCCGCCTGCGAGTCCGCGGGACTTATCTGCGCTGTTCGCAGCCGTGTCACCTGCCCAGTCTGCCAAGTCAGATGATGGCGCGCCGGCGCCGCCCCGTAGGAGGAAGATGCTGAGCAAGGCGCAGAGTATGGTCGTGCCCCCGTCGCCCAAGGAAGATAAGGAGAAGACGCGGCCAAAGCTCCACAGCAGCCAGAGCTTACCGATCTCCCCTACGAAGATGGATGTGGAGGAAGACGAGGGCGAGGAGAGGGACAGGGATAGGGAGAACACCCCGCCCCGTGCCCTCGCGCCCCTCCCCGAGCCGACTAGCGGAGGCGCGAAGCGCACCTATGGAAAGGGAAGGAGCTACCTCGCCGCAGCGGTTGAAATGCCAGACGATGAGCCGCGCGAATCGTACGCCGAGCTGCGGAAACGGTACGAGGTGGACAATGGCGAGCACCCCGTCCTGGACGGACTCACGGGAGAGCGAACACGAGGCAGCGAGTCCATGCTCTCCATCTCTGGCGGACAGGGCAACCTCATGGACGAGCTTATGATGGCCAAGGCTCCGGAAAGTGTTAGCGACATGAGGAGCAAGGGCGAGAACCGTCAATTCATGGATGAGGTCGCTTACTATCTCGAGGGACTCGGCGGCTCGCCCCCCATGCGGAGAACAAGGTAAGCTGGACGTATTGGAAGTAGCTGACATCAGCGCGCTCGACATCCTCGGCAGCATGCAGCGCGACCAGGAGTGGCTTACGAAGATGAATGTGTGTGGACAGACGGAGCCAGTGTTCGAGGCCCTCTCAGCCGCTAGGGGCGACGACGAGATCATGGACACGGCGTGTCTTCTGTTCCTGTACATTGTTCAGCATTCCGGAATCAGCATGGAGCAGGTCCTGGTCGAGCACCCGACCGCTGTCATGCAGGTTATCGGCAAGGGTCTTGGCATGTCCTCCGGTCCTCTTGACAAAGCTTACCCCGCCAAGGTCAACGCAATTGTGAGTTTCAGGTGCCATTGCTTGTGTAAACTGACGATGAGGTCACGAAACTCCGCACGATGGGACGGAACGTGGAGACGCAGTACGAGAATGAAGGGCCCCCGACGCGATACATCGCTGCATCGGTCCTGTCGCACATCCTGCAGAACCCTGACCGGTGGCCAAGTTTGCAGTCTGCGTTCGAGGAGGAGGCCGTCGGCGTGAAACTCTTACAGGCGCTAGACACAGAGGTGTCGCCGCTCCGCTTAAGAGTAGAGCTGTACTCGAAGGGACTCGTGAGTTACAAGGATGGTTTTCAGGCTAACTCCCAGGACCTGTTGCCGAAAGACCAGTCGGTCGATCTGCCGACGATCGAACACTGCCTGAGGGCACTGTCGCACCGTTTCGTCATGGCGAGCATCGGGGAGGACAACCTCCGATTGCAGCCGCTGTATGACTCCCTCGTCGTGATGGCTGTAGCGTTGACAGACGAAGATGACGAGTTACGTCAGACCGGTAAGTTTGACCACGCCTGTTTGTCACTAACGTTCAGCGGCCCGATGTGCTGTGCTCGCGCTCGAGGTGTTGACACCGGCGGTCTCGTTGACACACGTAAAGGATGATGTGAGCGCCGAGGTTGTTGCCTCACTAGGCCGGATCCTCCTCCTGCGACAGGACATCTGCGACGCCGTGAGCACCGAGCACACGACGCTAGCTGGTATCCAGTCGTTCGTGCTGGCGCTCTTCGGCTCGATGGCGCTCGCGGGCCCCCACAATGTTTCCCTCCTCTCCTCTACCTGTAAGCTACCAGTTTTCTCTCCTAGCTGACAGCAGTCGTGTCCCGCTGTAAGAAGCGCGCTTGCGCCCTGACGTGCCGCTGCTCGCCGCGACCACTCGCATACCACCTCGCCGAGATGTACATGACGTCGGCCGAATCAAGCGAGGACGACACGGCGCTCACCGACTTCTTGCACGGCTATCTCGCGCTGCTCGTCGCCAAAGTAGTCGTGCACCACGGACCGGCCGCAACGGCGCTGCACACGCTCCTGCCTGGCGACACAGTCAGGCAGAAGATCGAGGGCGTGCTCGACACCCTCCGCGACTTTAACTCGGTCAACGAGGAGTTCGTGAAGCGCGTCACGGCCGACTCGCAGAGTCAGACGTTAGAAGAAGAGCAGCACGACGAGACGATAGAGGGCATCGGCCGCGCGATTGTGGAGATTGAGCGCCACCTCGAACTGCCGGACGAGAAGCTGTGAGGTGCTATGACGAGAGCAATTATTGTATGTTTGTACCACGCCACGCATATGCATAGTCAACCTGTCTGTGTCTGGTACGTGCGAGCTAACTTTGACTTACAATGCGATCGAGGGCAGGGACGCATGGGGGCGCAAGTCGATCGCCAGCGTGGTTTCTGACTCAGATCTATGTCACATACTCCAGACAGATTGTCGATAAAACAACTGCCTTCCTTTTGCAAGCTCACCATCTACCATTCGAAACACGCTCGTCGACTACACCTGCCGCCATGCAGGAGCACCTGACCAGACTACCGCCAGAGGTAGTCAGTCTCATTCTCGGGCATCTACGACCTCGCGCCCTCGGGCAATGTCTGCTCGTCAACTCCGCCTTCAAGGCCCTCGTCTTTCCTCTTCTCTCCCGCTTTGTGCTTATTGACGAATTCTACGGAAGGGTTACATTCCCTCTTCTTGGCTGCTACCGATGCAGGTGGCGAGGCAGCGACCGTCCGCGGTCCTTCCCTCGACACCTCAGCAGCCTCACGGTGCTACCGCATGAGCATTTTTCAGCGCCGCCTGAGGGCGAGACCTTCTTCAACTTCGCCTCACCGCCCCAGGTCTCATCATGCCGGGTGCTAACCGTCCACCTCTTCGCCCCGGACGACTATGACAATCTGAGCAGCGCCCACGTCTTCAATGGCTATCCCGGCCCAGCACCTGAGGCAGAAGACCTCGAAGACGGGCACTATGTGCGCCCTCTCCAGTGCTACATGCTCCACTTCGCCCTGGAGAACGCAAGAATCGACAAGCTCGTGCTCCGCAACGTCCCCGTCGTGTGGGGCCGCGTCGATCCCGACCTGCTATCGTTGTCCGCGCTCCAGACGGTCCGCGAGGCCGTCATCGTGCTCAACGCGGATGGCATGAGCGACATCCACACCGGTATAATCGAGGACTGGAACTGCAGTGAAGACGTCGAGGGCGAGCCAGTCTGCGCGGAGCTCTTCGAGTCGCTGGCGTATCCATTGAAAGGGAGCATAGGCACCACACTGCCACGCAACGCTGAAGAGCTCACGTTCGTGTTCTGGACCCCCAAGCCAGCGCAAGAGGTCTCTCCGTCGTGTTGCTCTGCATCGGGACGCCCTACCAGGTATAACGACGAGAGTGGGGACTACGGCACCTTTGACCGTGGAGACGAGCACGAATCCTGCTGGGAGGACGGCTTCTGGTACGAGCTGGCCGAGGCGGTCGTCCCCATGCTGCTCCACAAACTTCGCCGGGTCACAATTGTCAACGCAAGCAGCATCATCCCCACCTAAGCCCAGTGGCGGCCTACACTCTCGTCCATCCAAACAGGGGTCGCGACGCACGCCAAGCTCGAGAAAAAGTTCCGCGAGGCGCTGCACGACGTCCTGGAGGCAGAGTACGGCATAGCCGCCACGCAGACGTACCTCGCCCGCGTCAAGTTTATGTACATGAACAACTGGCTGCTCTCGACCGAATGGGAGGACGTCTTCACCTGGCGTGACGTTCGGCCGTGGCTCGAGTTCAAGCGTCCGGCACTCATCACGGACTACTTCAAGCCCCGCAACCCCGACGCGGTCTGGTGGCGCAAGGAGATGAGCCACGACGAACGCATGGCGCTGAGGCACAGGCGCTCGATGATGAAGCGCAGAAAGCCCAACAAGTATACCTGGCGTCATTAGGTAGCCGGCATTCGGCAAAGCCGGCATGATATGCATTCGTCGGATGTGCGGCGATGCCGATCAGGAATCTCGTCCGCGGCTCTAACTATGTGACTGTTGAAAGACAGGCTCGTCGCGGTGTCGATTGATAGTGAGCACAAGTCCATCGGAGATGCTCAGTTCCAGTCCGCCATGGTACGTACGGCTGTTGTTGCCCAGCCGTTCCAACTCGGGTCAGCCGACATGAGCAGATCTTGCGAAGTGAGCGGGTTGCACTATCGCACTAGTGGATTGCGAGTGCAGAGCACATTCACAGCAGCCGGACCCTCGGCACCAGCGGGATGCCAGTGTGTCTCTCTGCGATGCCGTGATGAGCTGTGTCAGCTGCTGTGAGCAGTTGTGAGCATCCAGAGAAGAGAAACAATATATCAGTGAGACCCACAACGCAAGGAAGACGGTGATATCGCCGACGTTCGTGCGCACAAGACCTGGGTGACTCACCGTCACGCGCTGCTGCGTGCTGCGTTGTACAACATGCATAGTCAGATCTACATTCACCACGAGTTGACAAAGGGAGAGCGGAGCCAGCCGGAGTGCTGCGCGCGCTGCGGCTCGGTGCTGTCGAGCACGTCCTTCTTGGCGGGCGCAGCGGGGCCGGCGCGGCGGTTCAGCGCGGCCGCACGCATCGTGTCCTCCACTTCCCAGCGCAGGCCCTCGTCCGTCCGCCGCCAGCCCAGGTCGAGCACGAAGCCTAGCCCACCGAACCGCAGGTCGACGTAGTGCTTGGGCAAAGGCGACTCGGTGTGCACAATGTAGGGCGTAGCCTTCGTGGCATCGCCGTCGGCGGCCGCGTCATCGGCATCGCTCGCGTGCTCAGCCAGTGTAGCTGAGTCGCTATCGTCCTCACCCCCCCCGTCATTCACGACCTTCGTCGCGCCGTCGCTCTCCTTCGGCCCGAACGAGCTCATGCCCATCTTCCACTTGCCCGGCCACCAGCCGAGCCCGTCGACGGACACCTCGTCCTGACCGTTGACGACGTCGTGCCAGACGCGCGACATCTCTCGGTAGCCGACGAGCGTGGGGTCGAACAGGCGCAGACCGTTCAGGTAAAACGCACCGCGGTTCGGAATCGGTGAGTCGAGCGGCAGAGTGTTGTCAGGCGGGGGCACAGGGGAGGGGGAAAGGTGGGTGAGGAAGGGTGACGATGGGGATGTCGAAAAGAAAAGAATGGCAATCTGCTGTGTCAGCTCGTCTGGCGAAAGCCTATAGCTTGCAAGGGGAGCGTCCACTCACAACAGTGGTGCAGTAGCCGCAGGGCCGCATCGTCCAGTAGGCGATAAACCCGAGGACCGCCAGGAGGAACGGCGAGACCGACTGTAACAGGAACGCAGCGATGAGGTGGCGAGCGAGGGGCGCAGTAGATCAGCGAACATGCGGCGCACGACGACGGTCATAACGACGCAGCGGAGATGAAGCGATTGCACCATGGGAGTGGAGCAGCCGAAAGAGGCGGTAATGTTGGCGCGCCGATGGTGGACAGTGTGCGAGATATGAGATCGTGTGCACATGGGTGGGACGAAGCAATCGTGTCAGCTCATAATCTGCGTTTCCACGTATGCGGGGGCGACTCACCGGCATCGGTATAAGGAGCGAGAAGATCAGGATTGGCCTTAGGCAGTGCATGTTGGCACGTAACCCAGGCTCTGTGGAGTATCGAAAGGTGTGGAGAGATGAGCGTTGTCAAGATTAATCGAGCCAACGGATAAAGTTGAGTGGTCGGTTGGTCGGTCAGTGATTGACGCACCGACGAATTCCCCACCAAGAACCGGAACCGCCCTAGCCTTTCATGATCGGCGGTGCCCGATCGCAGTCCCTCACTGTTCACCACTTCCCACAATTGTCTCCTTCTGCGGCAGATGCAAGTACAACATGACTACTGCTAATGCATAAGAATTGATATGTCTATTGAAAGCACCGTATCTCATCGCACGACATCGCTCTACCATCCTGAAAAGTCACCGAAACCGCCAGGCTTGCGCTTCTTCTTCTCGCCACCGAACTCGATAGGCGCGGCCGCCGGCTTCTTGGCCGAAGACGCCGCGTTGAGGTACTTGCCCACCCCAGCCTCGTCTGCCTTGCGTTTCCGCTCGTCACGCTGGGCCGCCGATTCAGACTTGTCTCCGAGATGCGTTCCAAGCCACGTCGTTCGGTCCTTCTCACGGGCAGCCTGCTTCTCTGCTCGCTTCCGCTGAGCCTCCTCGGACTGGTCGCGGCGCGCAAGCTTCTCCGCGAGTTTCTTCTTGAAGTCCTCAAACGGATCTTGAAGACTGTTGTCAGCTTCGCGAGCCAAGCAGAAGCTTACATTTGCACACTCTTGATCACAATATCCTTTGTAGGTCGGTCGCCACCTGGTCGGACGGGGATTCTCTCAATACGGTTCAGAACGTCCTCGCCGCCAACAAGCTTCCCAAATACAGTGTGCTTGCTGTTAAGGTGTGGCGTCTCGCGGAACGTGATGAAGAACTGGGAACCGTTCGAGTTCTGTCCACTGTTCGCCATGGAAATGACACCTCGACTGTCGTGCTTGAAAGCGCCCTTCTCCATGTACTCGTCTCTGAAAGGCTCGCCCCAGATACTCTGTCCACCTCGTCCTGTACCAGTAGGGTCACCACCTTGGATCTGACGTCAGCCTGGGAGTTGATAATGTTAACTCACCATGAATCCCGGAATGAGACGGTGGAAGACGACATTGTCGTACTTGCCCTCTTTAGCCAGCTGAACAAAGTTGTAAACCGTCTTCGGTGCTCGATCGCCATGAAGCTCGACGTTCAATCCACCGTAGTTTGTCATGATGGTGGCGTAAGCCTTTGATTTCAGGCGCTCCTTCTCCTTGGTCGGCTTCTTCAGTTCATCAAACATGTACTCCTCCTCGTCCAGCAGCTCCCTCTCGTTCTTGACTTGCGGCGCCCATGATGTGCTGGTAAGGGAGGCCGCTTGACGTCCTGTGGTGAAGTTCGTAGCGTTGTCTAACGTCAGATAGAGGCGGAAGCACTCTACTTACATGCCAGCTGCTCTTCTTGTCGCTTGGCGACCACGCCTTCCTTCTCCTTCTGAGGTGGCGGCGTGCTCTCCGCTGAAGGCTGCTCGGATCTCGTCTGCTGTGTCAGTAATGGCAGAGGGGTCAACTCACCTTCTCTGCCAGCATCTTCAGCACCTTGCTGGCACCACCAGCCGCGTCCACGTTGATGCCCTTCAATGGATCATCAGCCAAGTCGTCATCTGGAGTCAGAATGCTCATGAGATAACGTAACATACCTCCAACCTTCTTCTCGTTCTTACGGTAATCATAGTCCTCCAGCATCCGCGCCTTCAGGTTGTTCGGGTTCTGGATGGTGATGATGTCCGCCCTAGTGAAGGGCTCATCGGTCACGAGATCTCGCCAAGACTTGGATTTGATCGCGAGGAGCTGCAGCGATGCCATGTCGAACACATTTCCCTTTCCGTTAGCTTGACCTAACACGTTAGGCTCACCGTGTTCTTCAAGAAGACGATGTGCACATGGGGCGAGAAGACCTTGAACGTGATCGGATCGTGGTAAGCTCCCTCAGAATTCTGCACAGTCAGCGCTCGAATAGCGTCTTGATCTCACCTTGAAGAAGTTCAGCTTTATAAGCTGACTTGTCTCAAGAGGCTTTCCCGTCACTGGGTCTTCACAAGTCAGCAAGAAGGTCTCATTCTGACACTCACTTGATTTGTACTTCCTGATGTAGGGAATGATGTTCAGGAGGTCGAATACATCGGCGCGGCGCTCTTCTCCTTCAGGGGTGTCGGCAATAACAGCAACAGGATTCTTGAAGGGCTGCAGCGAGAGCGCGCAAGAGTCACTGGGTTCAGCTCAACCGTCAACTCGCAGACTCACAAAGGAAGGCGGAGAACCTGGTTGTTGGCCCTTTGCTTGCCACCACTGGACGCGGTGTGGTGACCCGCGGCGTGTTCCGCGTGGGTCACGTACATCTTATCGGAGTTGTTGCCCATCTTGACTAGCTTCCCCTGCGATTCGGGCCTCCAGGCTGGATGGATGAGAGATTGTTGTGACGGTGGATCGCCATCCGAACATTCGCTCATCTTTCAGGCTGGGCGGCGTCGAATAGCGATCACGTGATTCCGCGACCTCCACTCTGGCGTCCGATAAGCGGCTAAATGCTTGTGCGTGTCATGACGACGAGCGCAGCAGCAATCGCATCGACTTACTTGATCCTTTGACTCTTTCCCAAGCGCACGACGACTTTCATCTTGCCGTCAAGATGAACGAGTTGGTGGCTTGGGCCATCTTCATTGGCTACTTCTCTATCATTTTCGCATCGTTCGGCTTCGTGTTCACCTCCATCTTATCGCAGAAGTCCCCGAAAGCCCTTCTGGAAGGCAAGCCGTTCACCTTCATCCGGGTCGCAATCGGCGCTCTGATCTGCACATGGCTTTGTAAGTGGAAGCTTGATTCTGGAGTTCGGTTCAGCTGACAGTGCAGTCATGTTCAAGTTCATGGAGGTGAGCAGATCGCCGTTTGTGCAGCTGACATCGAGTGGTCGTACAGAAACTATGCCAGAACACAGCAGCAACCCACGATGGGCCAGTGGCTCGTCAATACCTCGCTTTTTGAGCAGGCTTGGCGTGCTGTTTGTGACGGTATCCCCAATTGGTGGTGGAGCAGTTTCATCTGCACCGCAGCCGTGTTCTTCTGCGCAGCCATCTACTACCAAAGTACGCTGCATGACCTCATGGAGAGAGCTGACCGTCAGGCGCTCACAGGAACATCAAATACCCCCTTGCGTACATGGTCCTCGGGCAGCTCGTCGCCATCTCCGTCGCGATCGCACTGTTTATCACGGCTATGTACACACACGAGCCAACGAGTGTGCGCCCCAAGGCTGGCATCGTGCTGTGGTTCTGTCTGCTGGACGCGCTGCTGACGATGATCGTCATGCCGATGTTCGCCAGCACGGAGAACTTCATGCCCGCCCTCCTCTCGATCCACTTGGCAGTCATCGTGCCGCTGCTCTTCGTCCCACGATCTGGCAAGGCCCTGCTCGGCATGTCGTGGAAGATCCTGATCCCCATCCTCGTGGTTCTGGCTGGCGCGGTCGCTATGGTCAACACCAGCGAGGTGCTCCGCGTGATTTCCAGCGGCGAGAGCATCGCTGAGTATCTTCTTGAAAATGCCGCCTCGCACCCAGCCAACTCTTCTGTGTCCTTTGATGTCGTGTGGTGCGTTATCGCTTTCGTTTCGTGGTATCTCCTGAAGGGCAGCACTACGTCCGCGCTGCTCAAGTGTGGAGTGATGGTTGCAGGAGCTATCGCTGTTCTCATTTATCACGTTGGCGTCAACTGGCTTCTCGTTGGAAGCGTGCTGCCGATCTTCGCGCTACTTGCTTTTGGTATCCTCCACCTTGCCCTGACCAGGCTCCGAGCTCGTAACGAAGTCCACCGCGCCGCTGTTCTGGGACGGTTAGGCATCAAGGAGCACGGCATTGTTGCCGGTACGACGACTGTGGCTCCGCACATGGCCAAGCCGCGGCTGGTTGTTGGTTTCTGGCACCCCTACTGGTGAGTAAATAAGGAGCTTAGCAGGGCGATTCAAGCTGACCACAGCAACGCCGGTGGTGGGGGTGAGCGTGTGCTCTGGACGGCGATCCAGTGGATCCAGCGCGAATTCCCCGGGGTTATCTCTCTCGTCTACTCTGGCGACTATCCTGAGGCGTCGAAGGAGGAGATTTTGGCCAAGATCAACGACAGGTTCTCCATCGACCTCAACCCAGCCACACTCGCGTTCGTGCCACTTCCGGCCCGCCACTTGATCTCTGACACATACTGGAAGCGGTTTACTCTGCTGGGCCAATCGCTCGGCAGTGTCTACCTCGCGTTCCAGGGCCTTTGCGGCAAGGATGGTGTCTGGGGCGACATGTTCATCGACACGATGGGCTACGCCTTCACACTACCCTTTGTGCGACTGATCACAGGTGGTGATGTGGCGATCGGCTCCTACACGCACTATCCAACTGTCAGCGCCGACATGGTCAAGCGTGTGCGCGAGCGGGTTGCTGGAGTGGAGAACAACGGTGCTGCGAACAGCTCACTCAAGACATGGGCCAAGCTCGTGTACTACCGGATATTCACGACGCTGTACGCGAATGCGCTGTTGTTCTCTGAATACACAATGACCAACTCTTCATGGACCCAGGCACACATTCAGTCGCTACTGAGTGCTGGCCGCCGATCTTTCCTCGCCAAGCTCCTCCTGCATGACGAAGGTGGCGCTGGCCCGCAGTTTGGGAACCAGGATTCGGCGGGCCAGACCGAACTTACAAACACCTCCCAGTGTGAAGTCGTGTATCCGCCGTGTGACACGACCGAGCTCGAGAAGCTCGGCGACCTGGAGACTCGAGACCGCGAGTTGGTCTCGCTCGCGCAGTTCAGGTACGTCCATTCCAGCACTTGTTCTCATTCCTCATGTTTAGTGTGGGAGCTCGAGCATGAGCATATGTCAACACATGCTAACACTCGCAGGCCCGAGAAGGACCATGCCAAACAGCTGCAGGCGCTCGCCATCCTCTTCGAGAAGCACCCCGAGTACAAGTCCGGGCCTGGCAAGGTCCATGTCACGCTTATGGGCGGTTCCCGAGGCCCAGCTGATGAGGCACGTCTGACCTCACTGCGCGAGCTTGCGTTAGAGTTGGGTTTGACTGTGAGTTTGCGCACTCGTGTATGAAGAGCTCGGTGCTGCACACATAACGCTGAATCGTGCCCATCCCGGTGAATAGGAGGGAAGAGCTGACGGCAACAGGACCATGTGACCTTCCTTGTGAACGCGCCCTACGGTGAGGTGGTGCGGCAGTTGGGCCGAGCGTCGATCGGCCTGAATACGATGCAGGATGAGCATTTCGGCATCAACGTCGTCGAGTTCATGGTAAGCGAACCAGTGCGGTGGGCGTGAGAAGCTAACACGCAAGGCTGCGGGGCTCATCCCCATTGTGCACGCGTCCGCGGGCCCGCTCCTCGACATTGTGGTTCCGTACGAGGGCCAGCGAACCGGTACGTGCTGTCATCTCCTCGGTGGTCGCCGGCGTCTGTTCGTGGGCTGCCGTACTCGACGCAATTCCAGGAACCGAACAGAGTGCTCCCAGGCACAATGCGCATCCCGCTCATATTCACCTCCCACATCGCTTGCATACATGCTGATACACGCAGGGTTTCACGCGACGGATGCCGCCTCGTTCGCAGATGCGATGCACGAGGTGCTGTCGCTGTCGCCCGAGCAGCAGCTCAGGATGCGCCAGGCGGCGCGCAAACTTGCATCGGAGAAGTTCTCGGAGGCGGCGTTCGAGCGCGGATTCGCCAAGGGCTTCCACCGTCTCTTCCGTCACGTCCAGGAGGTCGAGAACAGGCAGGCCGAGGAGGCTGCCCGCTCAGCAAGGCGGCACGAGTACCTGCCAGCCGAACATGCCTCGCAGCACTGAGTGCCAAGTCGGCGCAGCAGGACTGGCGACGCCATGTTTGCTTCCCGTGCAAACATCATCCCGCACCGAGCTTTCGTTTAATAGATCATCGTATCCAACTTTTCAGTGTTCAATCCATCAATCTCCGACCAGACCTATGCGCAGCGTTGGCCAGAGTACGTAGCCAGTTACCCGCCAACATTGCATGCTCATTACGAGTGCCTGATGCACCTCCATATGTGCGTTCCAGCGTTGTGGAGTCGAGCGTAACATCGAGTGCATGCTGGTATTTTGGGTCACTTTGGGTCGAAGGAATGAATTACACGGGAAGCTCCAAGTCGAGGATGATGACGGTCGAGTCTGGCCGTGTGGAGCCGGGTCAAGACTTGTGATGGCTACGGTTTTAGTTTTTGGGTGCACATTCAGTGGTCGTCGGTTCCCAGGCTGAGCGGTGTGAGTGGCATGACCGTAGTGCTTCTGAGCATGCCCGTCCAGACGTCAGGCCGTCCGGTTGTCAGCCTATCGAGCTGCTGGGCCCAGTGTCTGGCAGTACGCATTCGTCCACGAGGCAGCAGGCAGCAGTTAGCTCGATCGTTCTGGATCACAGCGAGGCCGTATGCAGCGTGAGAAGGCCGTTGGCCTTTGACTGGAAGCTCTGCCCATGTCTCTATCAGGCAGTGATAGCACGCAGGCAGTCGCTGGGCTGTAAGGAGAATTCGGCTGACAGGAGCTGAGGAGACAGGAGCGGAGCCGCATTCGCCGCGAAACATATGGTGCCCTAGCATTTGGGCAATGATCGTGGACGGGACGTCTCCGACCTCAACGTACATGCAGTTCGATGGAGCGCGCCGAGGCTAAGGCCTCTGACCAGCTGGAACAAGCAAATGAGATGGACAAGGTTGAGCCGGTCCATTATGCAAAACAGGCTTGACGCTTGTCGCGCCGACGGGGAGAGCATAGCTGGTCGCTGCCGTCACTAGAAGCTTGGCGAGGATCCAGCAACTGCCACCACCGCACAAGATCGTGTCACCCTTCCATGTTCGGAGGGCGGCAATACGCTTCGGCGCAGCACTCGCTCACTCGTCAAAGGACACTGGCAAGCTCCGCCCCGCCTGGAAATCAGCGGAGACGGGCAACGGGGCGTTGAGGAACAAACAGTGCGGTAGCTCCCATAGGGCGCGTAGACGATGCCGTTCCCCAAGGCAAAGGAGCGGCGGACACTTGACGGCATAAACGGAAGAAAGGGAGGCGGTCTCACGCCTCGCCGCCCGCTTCCACGCCCCGCGAGGTGCCCGCCGACTGCCCGCTCCGGTCTGCCGTCAGTCCGCAGGTGCAAGTTGCCACAGTGGGAAACATCTCGATTGTAGAGTTCACACCGCCGAACTCTCCATGCCCCCGGTCCCAGTGTCACTCGTCGTGCAGCGTGCCCTTCATACAGCATAGTTTTGGGGTTTCAGAGGTGCTGTCATCGGTCATTGCTGCTTCTGTCTGGCGGTTTACACTTTGCTTCAAAGTTTTTCACTGTAAGTTCGCTGATGGTTGTCGGCGTACTCCTGCTGGACGATTGGACGGTGCTTCGTCTGTAGGGCTTGCTTGCGTCATGCATCCCCTCCCGAGAAGCCCGAGAAGGGCGGAGGGGCATGGAGACTTGGCGTTCAGAGTTTTCCTCACTGTGCCAGAAGTAAGAACAGTGGGCGTCGACGCCAGCCCATCTGGCAGGAGTGCCGTTTCCAAGGTCCTCCCAGTGCACGCCGCAGTCATGCCAGACAGGCAAGGCACGCATGCACGCACAAGCATCAATCACGCTGTCTTCGATCTCTTCTAGTCTTCAAGCTTTTAGCACCGGGGTGTTTGTTCTGCATGTCCTGCAGTACAGGCGCCCACTAATTGAAGGTGCACGCGCAGATGCCTCCGAAGCTAAGCCCGATCATGTCGAATGGAGCCGTAGTATTGTTCAGTTGAGGCAACCTGGTCCAAAGGTGAAACGGCGCTATCTTTGCGTCAACCGCGGGCGACCAGGGATACTCAGCAAGGGATCAAGCGGTGGCGTACCGTGTCCGCGCGGGATTCTGCCGCATACGGCAGGACGGCAGGTGCCGCTGTCGGGCTCAGAATGTGGGAAGCGCGCGCGCGTGCACTTTGTCGCACTTGTCCGAGGTGCGAATTGTTTCTCTGCCAGACCGTGTCAGCTTCCCCCTTCATGGTTCCTCCTTGCACCCTTCAGTACTTCGCCAGGGCTCGATCAGGGTTGGGATCAGGGAACGGAGAGCTCAAGGGTCGTCTCAAGAGCCGGGACTACGGCATCCTCGCATGTCCTCTGCATTCTCAGTTCGGTTGAGAGCGAGCCAAACATGGACCTCGATCAAGTGGAATCCCGGGAGCAGGCAGGGAGAGGTCCTTGGGGGTCTGCCCGCTGCTCCCCGTCATTTCTGCAGAAAGTGTCAGATGACGAATCGCCCGCCGAACGCTGGCTGGTTCAAACGCTTTCCCCTTGGCTTGTCCCTGCGCGCCTGGCAGTCTAGCTGAGCCCTAACTCTTGTTTTTGCTTCTTTGCGGGCATTTCTGTCTGGAGAGCTGCAGAGCTTCAGCAGAAGAGAGACTGGAAGCGGCCGATTGCTGATACCAGCTCGGACTTGGCGGAGACTGCGACTCTCCAATGCGCCAGATTGGATTCTGCCTGCGACATCTGGGCTGAAGCGAGCCTGGGAGCCACCGGGCGCGCCGGGCAACCCGTCAATGCACGGGTTACGTTACCGCACCAGAGGAACTGCCGTCAGAGGCGCGAACCCTGTCCTTCGCCAGCATTTACGGGTTCTGGGTGCTGTCATCCGTCAGGGCGGGTCTCAAAGCATGCTTGGGGGAGCTCGTCACGTACGAGCGTCCGCTGGTCGGTTTGGAGTACTTGATCATTGGCGTCGTTGCTGTTCTTCACCTTCTCTACGCCTTCGTCTTTCACACCTCCATCCTTGTTTTCATCTCGCGCGCGCACAACTTTGTCGCTGCCGACGCATTCAGCGACGATCCTCGACTCTCCCGACTGAATTGCGATAGCCTTTTCCCGGAACCTCCTCCTCCATTCTCTCATTGCGACCTCGTAACTTTCGTCTCCTCCCTTCAAACAAAAGCCAGCTCGTGCGACGCAGTTCTCTTCCCGAAACGACGCACTCCATTTCGATCCAATTTCCATCAGCAGAGCACACCGGCACGCACACACGCACACCGGTCTCAACTGAAATATCCAGCGTTGAGACGATCATGCCCCATACGCCGACGCCACAGTGTACCTGCTCCTGAAATTGAATAGGTGAATACAAGCTAGTGAGTTGCGCCTTCCGAACCAGAGGTTACCACACCTTGTTCCCCTTCTGCCGGGTCTTGCCATGACTGCGCAGTGATGATATTGGAGAATCCCGTGAGAGTAAACGAGGATCGTGATGTGCCATGTGCCTCAAGCGAGCGCTCATCAGTCTCGGCGAGCATCATCGGCGGGTAGCGCCAGTTTTGGAGCCCACTCCGAATGAAAAATGGGATCGGTGGGACCGGCGAGATCGATGGGAGTGTGTCATTAGTTCCAGGGCGACGGGACCAGGGGAGTGCAGGGGAGGTGTATTCACCGATCCAGTCTGCTGCACCGAGTCAGTGCATGCAAGTGGCGTCTGCGTCTGACATGTCTGGACTTTTGGCGCTGATCGTCGATCCCGCCGGCGTTCGCGTGTCATACACAGAGTTGTCATACGGGCCATGCCTTATGCCCGACATGCCTGGCATGCCTGATCGCTGCTGCTCATGCTGCCCACTCTGCACGTCATGCAGGATGGACACGAGGGTGCGAGGGGTGCGATGCAGCTGCTGCGGCTGATTCACACACACGAGCCCGTTCTCGCGTCCCTCCCAGTGACTATTAATACTACCTTGGCTGTCTGTCCGCTTCGCCCTCCCCGTTCACCGTTCATCTGCCCATAGCTTTCGAACATCAGTGACTGACCGGCTCAGCTCGCTTTCATTACCTTCGCACAACCTCGACTGCCGTCGACTTTTGCTTTTCTACCTCTGCTCCTGCTTTCCCCTACTTGGCTCCGCTACCTCTTTCGGCCACCCCTCCGACGTCGAAAGGTTCACGTCAACTTACACGCACGCACTCCACTTCACGCACGACAAGCTCAAGGCACGCACGCCTGCATTCACGTCGGGGTCCTTCCTGGCCACGGTATACGTACCTGCTGTTCCTGCTTCAAGCTGTCGTGCCTCTCGACCATTCCCTCGTTGCGCACACCCCACCACGGCACTGCGCAGGTGGCCAAGACGCCGTGTCCCTGGCCCCTCCAACCTTGCCATCTCACGTACCTCTACCACGAACCGGGGTTCCGTGTCTGAAACGCTGATTAGGGTTTCATTTTGGCTCAGCCTCAACCTCAACTTCTGGCTCACGCTTTGCTTTCTGCTTTCTGCTTTTGCTTTGCGTTGGGCCTCTCGGACTTCACAAGAAACACACATCGGAGCTCTCGATCTGGGGTTTCCACCAAAGCCTGTCTTTAAAAGTGCACGGTGTTGCTCGAGTTGTGCACAGTCACTCCTCCTCACCCTTGTTCATTCCTTTACCTCAGCTGCACTGATAAGACGGCCCGCGCTTCGCATCAGCCGCGCCCGTTCCCGGCCCATCACTCACGCCCCTCACGCCCCTCGTCCGCGCCTGCGCCCTCGCCACGCCGCACGCCGCACCGCACGCACGCCCTCGCCCTTGTGCCCCCCGTGCCCCCGTCCCTCGGCACGCACTCAGCACACCCGCCCGTTTCTGCAGCTAGTGACTGCGGACATCGAGTTCATTGTGCTTTAGCAGTTGGCTGTCGTCGACTTCTTTTCCTTCTTCTCAACATCTCTTCACTTATCGCCTGTTGCCTTTTCTTTTGCCTGCCCATCTCTTCGGCCGCCGCCACTGAACACTACTCTCGCCAAACTCACCCACACTCCTTACCTTTCCTGCCATTATGGACCAAGCCCTCGAGACCTTGTCTGCCTCGCGCGGAAGTCTGTCCCGAGCCGTCGAGTCGGTGAGTAGACCTCTACCCCTTCTCACAGCTGCCAGTCGGCCCGCGAGCTAACCCCAGATGCCAACACCAGTGCTCCTGATCCTCTTCTTCAGCGTCATCATCATTCTGCAGTGTCTCTCAGCCACGCCCGCCGACGACCTCCTGCCCGTGCACGAGTGCCGCCTCATCTCCCTCCCGGGCGTGACGAAGAAGGGCCACGCCTACCTCGACGTCGGCACGCGCCAGCTCGTGTTCAGCGAGCAGAAGCTCGACGCCTACGAGCGCCGCGAGGAGCGCCGCGAACAGCGCAAGCTGCGCAAGTACTACCGCCTCCGCGAGGCGCTGCGCGAGTACCGCAAGGTCTCGAGGCGTATCCCGGAACACCCCGAGGAGGTGCTCGAGGTAGTATAGGCTGCCCGGGTACCTGGCCCTCAGGCCAGGTTGCCGCACCGCTGGTCGCTTGACTGTCAAGGCTTGAGACTAGCGGTGAGGCGGGGCGCACCGCAGCGGCCATGTACACACAGTGTGCCCGCAACGAGCGCCCGCATGACCACCTCACACACACCGCTCGCAGCACCGCAGCACCGCATGTCTAGACCATAGACGTGCCCGACACATTATCAGAAGGATCACATCATTGGCATCTATCATCGCGCCCCTTTGGCGTCCAAAAGCATCGCATTCACATCCACTTCATCACACCCACACCCACCTTAGGACAATATACGCATCCCCACCCTCCCCCCTCGCCTCCTGCCCACGGGCTTGTACATCTTTAGGTCCGGTCGGACATTCATGTATCCATACGAGGTCACTGTGTCCCGAGCCCGAAGCCCGAAGGGCGAAGGGCGAACCGGTCTCCTTGCAGAGGGAGGAGACGCAAATGGCACAGTAGGACGAGACTGATGGCACGAGGCTGCGCGGAGTCACACGCCGACAGTCTGGCACACGGAACATGAGCTGCTCGAGTTGCTCCGCGACACGCGCGACACAGGCTGCAAAGTGTGACCTCCCTGCTGCATGCTACAGTCTCCACGCAGGCCACGCCATGGCCAGAACATGCTCAGCAAACGTTTCCGATTGATTTTGGGCTCCACAAGCCACTGGTTATGCACAGCAAGCACAGCGTACGGTAGTTGCTGACGAACGGAGTCCCTCTCCCCTCTCGTCTGAACTGGCACGGCGTGGAGAGTGGAGAGGCTGTGGAGAAGCGGTGGTGGCCTGGAGAAGCTGTGGAGATACGTGGAGCAGAGGGAGCAGAGGATGCAGAGGGCAAGATGAAACCTGGAAACGGCATTCTCGGTGAATTGTTCTCGCCCGTATCCATGTTTCCACCATTCACCATTAGTGTACGGCTGGTCACCTGTCCACGACTTATAGGCGTCTCATGCATATTGCCTTGGTCGCTGGTCGCTGGAACACTCAATAAACTCCGCGCACCTTCGCCGCTCGGTATCGAAGCATGTGAAACAAACGCCAGGCTTCCTCGCGCTTCTCGGCTCTCTCGGCTCTCTGCCCGGTTCGTGCTTTGCGATAAGCTCGCGGAATCGTTGTCGGCGTGTTTCGAAGAGAGCAAGCACCCAAAGATGATACGACGACTCGCCACTGCCGCGCTCGCCGGCATGCTTGTTGCGGACTAAGTTGGACAAAGTTGCCCGGCCACATGCCAGCGCTGCCATGGGCATGTCCTGGCCCCGCTGGAAATCACAAGATTAGATTTCTAGGTATCCTCGGCTGCTACGCTCCGCTACGCTCAGCCTTAACACTTTCTCTAGCATGCATGAAAACTCTATGGTGTTTGCGGTGTTTTACAACAACCCTGCGAACTTTACTGCCTCTTGCAGACTTGACTTTTGCGTCTGGCCCGACCGCAGCCGGACCAGCGGCATGACTTGGCTTGCGGCCTGCCTGCCCACGGCACGGCCTCGCCTTCGGCTCGGCCTGCTTACAGACCCGAGGGCCTCGCGACACTCGTGTCGTAGGCGCGGATGAGGCGCGTCTGCTCCTGCGTGCCGCTCTGCTCGGTCTGGGAGAAGGCGAAGCCGCGCTGGCGGCGCATGCGCTGCGTCGCGCGCACCTTCTTGATCGCCTTCTGGAACTGCTCCTGGCGCGGGCGGTAGTCGGACAGGTTGAACTTTTGGATCTCCTGCACAATCTGGTAGTCGGCCGGGTGGTACGTGCGCTTGTAGTACTTCCAGCAGTAGTCGCGCAGCAGGCACACGACGGGGAACAGAATGAGCACAAAGTAGAACGTCGCCTCAGACCACAGACGGTGCACGATGTTCTTGTACGGCAGCGAGAAGCCGATCAGCGGCGCGACGAAGGCGTACAGCGGAAGCGCGATCATCGTGAACACGAACGAACCAGGGATCGCGGCGAGCGTGTACTTTGTCCAAATGTCCGAGATGAGCGCAGCCTTGCCGAGAACCGTGAGCAGGACAGCAAGGTACAATGTCGTACCCCAGACCCAGAGACCAGAGTTCTTGCCATCCCACGCGATGAGGTCCGCCCAGAACACAAAGCAGCTGAACGCGAACAGGATAACCGAGTGGTAAATCGCGTTGCCAACCCACTGGAAGAAGATCGCAGGCGTGAAGAAGTGGTTCGACTGTCCCAGGTGGTACAGCTGCGGGTAGCGGTCAAGCATGCGCGCCGAGACAAACTGGTCGAAGATACCAATGACAAGCGGCGGCAGAATAGTGAAGATGACGTTGTAGTACGACATGGACCAGCCTTCAAACGAGATCTGTCCACTGAAGTCGTTGAACCACGAGTACCAGAACAGACACAGGGCGAACGTGATGTTCTTGTAGAACGAGAACAGAATCAACTTCGACAGGCGCTGGTAACTCCAGGAGCCGTGCACGAGCAGCAGCTTGCGCAGGTAGCGGAACTGCGAGATGGAGACATCGGCAGAGCGCGCAGCCTGCAGACCCTCGACACCAGAGATACCGACACCGATGTGCGCAGCCTGGATCATGGACACGTCGTTGGCGCCGTCACCAATGGCGAGCAGAGGGGCAGTCGTAGCCTTTTTTACGAGCTTGACAACGAGAGCCTTCTGCAGCGGCGAGACACGACAACAGATAACAGCCTTGCACATGACGGCGAGCTCGAGCAGAATGTCGGAGCACTCTTTGTCCAGGGCAAAGGCGAGACTGCGGCCGTCAATGATGAGAGCGAGTTCCTCGGTGTCGCCACCCATGCGCTGGTTCTTGATAGCAAACAGACGCTTGGTGAGGAGCTCGTGGGTCTCCGCCTGCGTCTCCGTGTTGATGATGACAAGGTTCATCGACTCGGAGATCAAGCGACACGACAGACCAATGTTGATGGCAGTCTCCTGGCGGTCACCAGTCAAAATCCAGATCTTGATGCCGGCCTGCTGCAGCGTGTGGATCGTGTCGGGAACGCCGTCCTGCAGGCGGTCCTCGATAGCCGTCGCACCAAGGAGGTTCAGGTTCTGCTCGATGATTTCGGCAACCTTGTCGAGCTGCTCGCCACGGTTGGTCATCTGAGCGGCAGCATTGTCGTAGAGCGCGGCCCACTCGCGGTATTCCTCCTCGGGGATGTCACGGTATGCGAGACACAGCGTTCGGAGACCCTCGGTGGCATAATCCTCGAGATGAACAAGGGTCGACTCGGTGAACTCCTTGTTCTTCTCGCCGAGGCGCTCGAGGATGACAGTGTCGGCTCCCTTCGTGAACAGCTTAATGCGTCCGTCAGGGCTGCGAACAACGACTGACATGCGCTTCCTGGACGAGTTGAACTCGCACACGTTCAGGATCTGCCACTCCTCGGTCTGTCCGTTGACGTCAATGAAGATTGACTTGGGCTTGCGGGTGTGGAAGCGGTAGCCGAGAAGCTCTGCGCCGGAAACGAGGGCAGCCTCGTCGGGCGACGAAGCCTGGTAAACCGTCTTGCCGTCCTTGACTTCCGGAATGACAGTGTGACAGACAGCGAGCAGCGAAAGGAACTCTCGAATAGTTCGTCCCTCCTCGTTGTCTTCAAGGGCGCGCTGGCGGAGAACATCAAAGCTCTTCTGCCCCTGCTCCTTCTTGTTGTCGTCCACTTCCTGGGCGTACATCGTTCCGTAGATCGAGCATTCCCTGAACTCCATCTCGTTGCAGGTGAGGGTGCCAGTCTTATCCGAGAAGATGTATGAGATCTGGCCGAGCTCCTCCACGAGCGACGATGTGCGACAGGCGGCCGGGGTGTCGGTCTTGGCGTAGTACATGTCGAGGTCCGAATTGATGAACTGAGCTTGTTGGTACTTGACAACTTCCATCGTCATGATGAGCGAGATCGGAATCAAGTTGTTGTACAGAATGATAAAGGTCAGAATGTTCTCCACAAACTGGCGCGCCTTATTCGGCATGTTTGCCGGGTCCACGTAGAGGTACCAGTCCTGGGCGGAGAAGAACCATGTTCGGATCGAGTTTCCAATCGTAGAGATCAGCGAAAGAACAAGCAGGAGGATGAAGAGGAAGAAGATTTGGCGGTTCACCTGTCTCTCGACAGCAGTGCGCTTGACTGGCGGCTCCGTGGCATTGCGCATGAGCTTCGTCTGGTGACCGGCGTTAACAATGATGCCGTAGACCCATCCCGTGTTACGCAGTTGCGCGCCACGCAGCAGAATCTGATTCGGGCCGACAGGGATCTTGTGAGGCGCAGCTCCGGGCTCCGGGGAGTTCAGGTAGATAGTGCCATCGTACGTGTACAGCGACGAGTTGGGCGCCTCAGAGAGGACGTGCCCACGCAACATGGCTGCCGATTGAGGGTTCTGAATAGTAGCCGTGTCAGGGCTCGCCTGCTTGATCTTGAGGTTGGTCTCTCCGTCCAGGTTCGCGGTCTCAACGTAGGCGAGACCTTCCGGCTCAGAAGAGCTCAGAAGCACCATGTCCGCAGGGATGAAGCAGTCTTGCTCCAAACGAACGATGTCTCCCACGCGCAGCCTTCTCCATGGGCGGGTGTGGAACTGGCCCTCGATGAGGACCTGTGCTGGCGTATTATTGAGAGCACGGTCCGAAGTATGACGCTTGTAGTCTTCCTTGATCTCCTTGAATCCGGACGCAATGATCACGACTGCGAGAGGAACGATAGTGGTGTAACGGCCTGTCGGGGACACGTTCGGGACTTGCTGGATACACGCAGTGAATAGGAAGAACAAGTTTGCCGATCGCGAGAACTCGGAGAACAGGAATTTCGGGAGGAAGGTGATGGGGCCGTACTTGGCAGTGCTGACCGAGTTGTTCTCGAAGCCCTTGACCTTGTTTCCTTGAGGGTCGTTGATCATGATCTCTCTCGGGGCTCCTTCGAACTTGTTCTTGCGACCGAGCATCTTGTTCAAGCCGAATGTCCAGTCGACATCGGTGAGGTAGTCCTCCTTGATGCGTTGCCATCGCCCTCGCTTATGCCGAGCAGCATAGGGACCGTCCATCGGCGCTGTGAACTGGTAGGCACTGATTCCTTCATCGTCGGCAAACGGGTCATCGGCTTGAGGATAGCCTTTGGAACTTGATCCTCCGGCATACGACTTGTTTTCAGAAGACGAAGGACCGCCTCCGCTCCAGCCAGCTGGTGATGCGCCAGCCTGAGCGAATGGTCGGTCAGCGTCGAAGAGTGAGGGTTGGGAGGCGCCAAAGCCCGGGTTGTTGACACTCAGGTTGGACGTCGAAGGCATGTAACCTCCCGAGCCACCCTGCATTGGTTGGCCAAAGTCGTCGTCACTGTCAGGTCAGAAGCAAGGACGAGTTGCACACTCACTCGTCGAAGAACGGGTCGAGCGCATAGCCTGGCTTGTCATCTCTGGACTTGCCACTGGGAGTTGCCCCCTGCGATGAACTGCCGATGCCGAGGAGATCGGGTTCCGAGTCGCCGAAGGGGTCGTTGCTTGTCCGAGCCTTCTGCGGCTGCGGGGCCAATATGTCGTCGAAAGGGTTAGACATGGGGAAGAAGGTTCAATGGGAGGTTAGCCCTACGCGGGCGTTTTGTCGAGTTGAACCCCAGTTGCCGAGAACGGATGATGGAGATGTGGGGTGATCAAGGAGCTGGTTCGGGCAAAGGCAACATGAGTTGGTGAACGTCCACGGATGAGCGGTGAGGCTGCATCGTCGCCGCCACCGCGGTTCACGCCTGAAGCTGTACAGCGCGGACTGCGACGCGTGGTCCTTTCCACCGTGGCAAAGTGAACGAGGGGACAGGGGCGCAGGGAATGTGAGGACGCACAGACGGAAGCATTCGTATCAGGTACTGCATTGCCACGTGTGTTTGTTTTGATCCTCGTCCGCTCGCGCCGGTCGCAGCGCCGGAGGCGTCAACAAAACAAACAACCAGACACCCTGCCCCGTGTGGATGCCGACAGCCCTACCGCAAGCAGCGAGGGGCACACTAACGACAGCAACAACAGCACTCAGACGAGGTCACCTTCTCTTGTCATCACTCTCTACCCCACGTTCACTCCAACCTTTCACTGCCGCTCCTTTCCGCCCAGCCCCGCATCCTCCACACTCCTCCATCTCCCTCCACCACAGGCGACTGCTTTCCGGCATGTCTGACTCTGAGGGCTCCGACTTCAACATGGTGTCGGACGGCGAGTCCGACGGCTACGTCGAGGCTCCTACCCCTAAGAAGGCGCCTGCCAAGAAGGCCGCCGCCGCTCCCAAAGCCAAGGTGAGTCGCTTGACCCCTCCGTACACTGACATCTCAGGCTGCCCCCAAGAAGGCGGCTGCCACCAAGAAGACTCCTCTTGCTACCAAGAAGAACCTTCCGAACGACTCGCTTTCAGAGGACGATGACTATAACATCTTCACGTCCCCGGCGAGGCCAAAGGTTAACGGAGCGGAGGACGACGACGCTCCGAAGAGCGCCAAGAAGAAGACTGCCTCGGAGATGTACCAAAAGGTGAGCGCCCGCCACTCTCCTTATGCTGACCGCAGCTCTCGCAACTGGAGCACGTTCTGAAGCGTCCTGACACGTACATTGGCTCCGTTGAGCCTCACACCCAGCCCATGTGGGTCTTTGACTCCGAGAACAAGGCTATGGTCAACCGGTGAGCATCAATCATTTGCGGACTGGCTTGCTGACAATCAGCACCATCACCTACGTTCCCGGCTTCTTCAAAATCTTCGACGAGATTCTGGTCAACGCCGCCGACAACAAGATCAATGACCCCACGATGGACACCATCAAGGTGAACATCGACCGTGAGAACAATTCCATTTCCGTCTGGAACAACGGAAAGGGAATTCCCGTCGAGATGCATTCCAAGGAAGGCATCATGATCCCGGAGCTCATCTTCGGAAACCTGTGAGTAAGACACCGATATCGGTAACTGACAGGCAGCCTCACATCGAGTAACTACGACGACGACCAGAAGAAGCTCACGGGTGGTCGTAACGGTTACGGTGCCAAGCTCGCCAATATCTACTCCCTCGAGTTCACCGTTGAGACCGCCGACAAGAGCAACATGAAGAAGTACAAGCAGGTCTTCTCGCAGAACATGGGCAAGAAGACGACGCCCAAGATCACGGAAAACAAGAAGGGCGAAGAATGGACGCAAATTACATTCAAGCCGGACCTGGCTCGATTCAGCATGACGAACATCGATGACGACACCTACGCCCTCCTCATGAAGCGTGTCTACGATGTCGCTGGTACGGTGAAGGACATCAAGGTTAACCTGAACGGCGAGCGCCTCAAGGTCAAGAACTTCAAGCAGTACGTCGACATGTACGTGGCGGCGAACAGCGCCGCCCACACCGCCGAGGGCGCGGCTGTCACCAAGCCCACTGTCGTCTACGAGAACGCTGGAAAGCGTTGGGAGGTCGCATTTGCGCTGTCGGACGGCGAGTTCAACCAAGTGTCGTTCGCCAACTCCATCGCTACGACCAAGGGTGGTACTCATGTCGACATGATCGCTACGCAGCTGGCCAACAAGCTGTAAGTGAAAAGCAGCAATGCTCTGGCTGACGTGAAGGCAAGCGTTTATTGTCAAGAAGAATAAGACCGCCAAGGTCAAGCCGTTCCAGATCAAGAGCCACATGTGGATCTTCGTGAACGCGCTGATCGAAAACCCCTCCTTCGACTCCCAGACCAAGGAGACCCTTACGCTGAAGTCGTCTGCGTTCGGCTCCAAGTGCGAGCTTTCCGAGGAGTTTATCAAGAAGGTGGCTAAGTCTGGCATCGTGGAGAACGTTCTTGCCTTCGCCAAGTTCAAGCAGGACCAGGCTATGAAGAAGACCGACGGAGCGAAGCGTTCCCGTATTGGGGGAATCGCCAAGCTTGATGACGCAAACTGGGCGGGTGGTCGCAACGCGAGCCAGTGTACTCTGATCCTCACCGAAGGAGACTCCGCCAAGTCGATGGCAGTGTCCGGCGTCGGTGCTATTCAGGGCCGTGACCGTTTCGGTATCTTCCCGCTTCGTGGTAAGCTCCTCAACGTTCGTGAGGCGAACCACGACCAAATTATGAAGAACCAGGAGATTCAGAACATCAAGCAGATTCTCGGTCTGAAGCACAACCACAATTATACGTCGACAGACTCCCTCCGATATGGCCACCTCATGATCATGACTGACCAGGATCACGACGGTTCGCATATCAAGGGTCTCATCATCAATTTCTTGGACCACTTCTACCCGTCGCTGCTGAAGATCCCCAACTTCCTCAATGAGTTCATCACCCCCATTGTCAAGGTTACCAAGGGCAAGCAGGAGCGCATGTTTTTCACGATGCCGGAGTATGAGGAGTGGAAGGAGGCGAACAACAACGGCCACGGCTGGTTCGCCAAGTATCTCAAGGTATGCTCGTGACTCCATGCGTCGCTAACAACCCCAGGGTCTCGGATCCTCGGAAACGCCAGACATCATCAAGTACTTCAACGACATCCAGCGTCATCGCCTCAGGTTCGGCACTTTGGAGGATGAGGACAAAACCCTCATCGACCTTGCATTCAACAAGAAGAAGGCAGATGACCGTAAGGAGTGGCTCAGGCAGTTCAAGCCCGGAACCTTCCTACAGACGGACGACATCGACGAGATTCCCATCTCCGACTTCGTCAACAAGGAGCTTATCCTCTTCTCCATGGCCGACAACATTCGTTCCATTCCGTCGGTTGCGGACGGCCTGAAGCCGGGTCAGCGCAAGGTCATCTTTGGTTGTTTCAAGAAAAAGATCAAGAACCAGATCAAGGTGCAGCAGATCGTCGGTTACATTTTGGAGAACACAGCCTACCATCACGGTGAGACGTCTCTGTACTCGACGATCGTCGGTCTTGCGCAAAACTTCATTGGCAGCAACAACGTCAACCTCCTGGCTCCCCACGGTCAGTTCGGTACGCGTTTGCAAGGTGGTAAAGATGCTGCCAGTGCTCGTTACATTCACACTAGCGTGTCGCGCATCACCCGCACCATCTTCCACCCAGCGGACGAGCCCATCCTCAACAACCTGTTCGAGGAGGGACTGCACATTGAGCCCGAGTACTACATGCCTGTGGTTCCCCTGGTTCTGATCAACGGAGCGGATGGTATCGGCACCGGATGGAGCACTTCCATCCCGAACTACAACCCGAAGGATGTCGTTGAGAACATCCGTCGCATGATGAGGGGAGAGGAGCCCGAGCCCATGGTCCCATGGTTCCGTGGCTTCAAGGGCACTATCGAGCGCCTGGACAAGGACAAGTTCAAGGTCAGCGGTGTGGCTGAGAAGATTGACGACAAGACGATCGAGATCACCGAACTGCCCGTCCGCAAGTGGACCCAGGACTTCAAGGAGATGATCGAGCAGATGACTAGCGGTTCTGACACGCCCAAGGTCGTCTCCGTTATCAAGGACTACGAGGAGAATCACACCGACACCACTGTCCACTTCAGGCTCCACATGAAGGAGGAGGGCATGAAGAAGGCGGAGGCTGACGGCTTCGACAAGTTCTTCAAGCTTTCCACCACTCTCAGCACCAGCAACATGGTCTGTTTTGACCTGGAGGGCAAGATCCGCAAGTACTCCTCGCCCGAGGAGATCCTTGGCGATTTCTACCCCAAGCGCCTCGAGTACTACGCACTCCGCAAACAGTACCTCGCTGATGACCTCAACAAGCAGTTCGACCGCCTTTCCAACCAAGCCCGCTTTGTCCAGATGATCATCAAGAAGGAGCTCTCCGTCTCGAACAAGAAGAAGGCTGTCATTGTCCAGGAGCTCCGTGACCACGACTTCCGTCCCTTCCCCAAGGGAGGTCCCAAGCCCGTTACTGCCGGGGAGTCCGCCCCCACCCTCGAGGAAGAGGAGGAGGAAGAGGACCAGGGATCGGACGCCGACTACGACTACCTCCTGGGTATGGCTATCTGGAACCTTACCGAGGAGAAGGTCAAGAAGCTCCTTGAGCAGCGCGACGCCAAGGAGCAGGAGCTTATCGAGCTTCTGAAGTTGACTCCTCAGGACATCTGGAGCAAGGACCTTGACGAGTTTGAGGCCGAGTGGGAGGCTTGTCTCGAGGAGGATGAGGCTATCCGCAGGGCCACTAAGCCTAAGACGGCTGCGGCTGTCAAGAAGGCCGTCAAGGCTCGCAAGCGCGCCAAGGGCGAGGACACCGACGACTCGGAGGACGACTTCAAGCCGACCAAGAAGGTGACCAAGCCGCGTGCGCCCGCCAAGCCTCGCGCCCAGAAGGCAGCTACGCCCCGCGTTGCCTCAGCTGCAGCGTCAACAAACGCTTCCCCAGCAAAGGCTTCGGCAGCCTCGTCCACCAACACTTCTCCCCAAAAGCGTGACAGCGCTAGTCTCTCAGACGACGAAGAAATCAAGCCTCCGCCCAAGAAGGCGACGACCTCACGTGCGAAGACGCCCTCGGCTTCAATTGTCGAGCTCGACTCGGACGAGGACGAGAAGCCCGTTGTGAAGAAGACCGCGGCGAAGGCGAAGCCCAAGCCTAAGCCCAAGACTGTGGACATTGACGACTCTGATGACGACAGTGAGTTTTTAGTCTGTTACACAAGCTAACAACAGTGTACACGATTTCTGCGCCGAAGTCGACCTCGTCTTCGAAGCCGTCGTCGACGGCAGACAAGCCCAAGGCGGCGACGAAGAAGGCGCCTGCGAAGGCTCCGACAAAGGCAGCGGCGAAGAAGGCGGCGCCCGTCCACGACTCGGACTCGGACGCCGAGGTCCTGCCCAAGCCCAAGGGCAAGGCAGCGGCGAAGGGAAAGAAGAAGGACGCGAGCGACTTTGAGGACAGCGACGAGGACGTCCCCCCGCCACCGCGGACGACGGCGCGTAGGGGGCGTGCGGCCGCGGTGAAGAAGCCGACCTATGTCGACCTTTCTGACTCGGACGAGTAAAAATGTTTAGAGTGCTCAGCAGTTTGGCAGTTCTTTGGTTTAATGATTAGCTTGTTGTGTATACCCGCATGTAATGCAGCCTCCGTTGGCCCTTTGCTTGCTCTCCGTTGCTCGCGTCTCCTGCTGTTGCACCATGGTGACACAGCAATCATGCCTCACAGATTACGGATCGGTCTCACAGTCTAACAAGCATAGCTACACTCGCTTAACTAAGTGCGTATTTCTTCCTCCTCTTCTCCAAGTGATAGCGCTCCGCCTTGTTCATGTCGCTTCTCCACTTGGCTGCTTCCGCGTCAACCGGCTTGAAGTAGTCTGTGATGAGTGCCGGCCGCTTGAACTCAAGCCACGGCCTGACCTCCGACCAGCTGAAGACGTCGTCCCAGTCCGTAAACAACAGCCAGTCCTTTGTGTACTTGAACTTGACGTGCCCAACACACTCTCTCGCTTTGTCGGGTGTGACGCTATGATCGGAACAGAGATGGTCGTACAGCTGTACGCGGAACTTGGTTTCGAAGACGTCGTGTCTGAAGAGGCCACTTGACATCAGCTCGAGGGTTGCCTGGGGCGGTGCTCCAGTGGGGACGATGCTGCTGGCGTTCACAATGGTGAGCTGGCGCAAGTTGCGGAGAAACAATGGAGCGACCGCCACAGCCAGCTCTCGCCAGAAGCCCTCTTCCCAGCAGGATTCATGGGGTGGTTCGGACTCGCGATCGCCGTCCTCGTCCAGATGGTGTTCTTCCTCTTCCATGCAGTCCCAGAGTTCGCGGACGTAGCAGCAGGGCGGAGCTGATACCTCTTCTGGGCAGTACGTCCAGAACACGAAGGTCAGAGACTCGACGTTAGGGGGAACGCCAGACCCGATGCTCCCTATCGCGGGATAGGCCAGCTCTTCGGGGGCCTCCGAGCAGATAGGGTCGTCACCGCCGCCATACCAGCTCTCCATTGCATCTCCGTTCGACGAGCTCATGGAGTACAGGTTGAAGGCAATGACCGCTTCCTGGATTCTGTGGGATGTTGTCAGAGGCAACAGGCCCGGGTCGACGTTGCCGAAGACAAGAGGAACATTGCGGAGTACGAGTTTGCAAATGTCGGCGTCCTTCACCCCAAAGTGGAGAAGTTGGCATTCAAGGGGGAGGACGCAGACATACTCGTACGGAATGTCTGTATCGTCCTCTGAAACCTCGGAGAGTTCCAAACGGGCGCTAAGCGATAGTGGGAAGTAGTCGGAATGAGGGCTGGCAATGTGGTCCCGGTCATCCGGGGAAGCGAGTAAGACCTTGAGGACACGGCATGAGGAGATAATTGGCGTTTCAAGGGAGGCAGCGAACGGGGTACGACTGCCCGGGTAGCAGCGCCAGTGTTTACCCACTGTCAGGCAGCGCAAGTTCTCGGGGATACGCTTGGGAACGGCGGACGACTGGCCCGGGGCTGGGTTTTGCTGAGGACGATACAACTGACTAAGCGCCGTGATGGGCGGGGAGGCGTGAGTTTGTGGAACGAAGGGTGGCACCGCTTGGGGAACAGACTGCTGCTTCTTCTGCTCTGCGGTGGATTCTTTGATGTGAGGGAATGTCATCCCTTTCCCGTCCGCGGCGACATAGGCTGAGACGCAGGCGGCTAGAGGGCGTTGGGCGAGAGCGTTGAAGGAGGAGTTGACGCGCAGACAGCGCCGCAGGGCCGGGGGTCCGAGATGCCAGAGGATCTGGCTGACCACTTCCGGAGGAAGTCCAGTCGAGCTGTTGCCCATGGCTGTAGAGTGGACTGCTACTGAAGTTGCGATGTCGACCAAAGACAAAAGTCTGCAGGCTACCGTCCCCAAAGGATGATAGTTCGGGGCGAAGGAGCACAACGTGGTTGTGTCCCGCTTTGCGACAGATCGACGCGATCATCACAGGTGCCCTGCGCCCATGTTGTGCAGATTATGTGTCGAGGCTCGGCCACCCTCCGTCAGGCCACCTAAAGCAGCCTTCGGTTCCGTAGACGCTTTCTACGTATCCAGGACGTTATGCGGTCTACACTTCTTTCGCTCTGCAGCTTGTACCTCAAACACGTGTTCTTCATACAGGTTTCCTTATCGACAGGATGGCTATCTTTACAAGTGCGAGGTATCCTCAATCAATGACTCTGAGTCCGACACAGGCTCGTCCGACTCCCAGTCCGACTCTGACTCCTCGTCATCGGCCCACCTCCTCCTCCTCTCCTCAGGGCGATGGCGATGCTCGTCGGTGAAGAAGTTGTGCGAGTGCGGGTATTGGTAATAGTACTTCTCAGGGCCAAGTCTCCAGAACTCCTTGTAGCGGAAGATCTCCTTGGCAGTGAGAATGCCGTAGGCGCCCTCAGACTCAACCCAGTCCTTCATGGTGGTGAAGCTCAGCTGCGTGCTGCGGAGGTTGACCTCCTCGATTTCAACCTCGGGGTTCTCCCACATGGCGTCGTGGTACGCCATGCGCATGATACCGTCGAGCTCGGCGTGCAGACAGATCTCGTCGCCGTACGACTCCAGTCCTGGCATGTTCCGCAGCCACTCGGGGAGGTACTTCCTGCGAATCTGAGGCTCGATCACACGACCAGGCTTCCAGGCATGGAGAAGGGAGAGGCAGTCGAGGTTGACAAACTCGAAGTCAATGCCAGCGTACTCGGGTTTGGCGAGCTCACGAGCGAGGTTGCCGAGCAGCCTGGGCGCCCACCAGGCGCCACGCCGCTCGCGATGGCGGCACCCCTTGTCCCACTTCATGCTCGGGTCCTTGGGCTTGAAGACGATCGTGACCTTCTTAAGCCGGCGGTCCTTGTCCGTCGGAATGATGCGGGCGAGGTCCTTGGCCTTGTAGTCGGGAATGCCCGTGGCGTGCTCGCCGCAGAGACCCATGTCGTTGCACTCGAACGACACCTTGCAGCGGCCAGGATACGTCAGGACCCACACCATCTCCTCGACCTTGTGGTGAAAACGGTCGTAGACCGCGTCCGACACCTCACCGTACATGAAAGGGACGTTGTAGAGGACAAGCTTGCCGATAGTGTTCACCTGTGCGCCGACGAGGTCGCTGAACCCGCAGTGCGTGAACTGAACTGTGAGGTCATCGGGCCGCACAGCGTTCACGCCGTCTGTGTACGGTTGCTTCGAGGGAGTGGCGATGTACTCGCCGTGCATGTTTGCGACCTTATACCCGTAGATTGGTGTGGGTTGCTCGAAGGGAGTGCAATCAGGGTCGTCCTCGATGCGCCAGTAGTTCTCGAACAGAGGGCTACTCTGCAGCGTAATCTTGAGCACCGGGAGGTGGCTAGGCAGGCCGTAGTTGTAGGGGTTCTTCGCGGCCTCGAGAAGCTTGGAAATTCCAACCTCTTCTTCCGTGCTGAGGTGCTGGCACTCCCGGGGATGGTGAAGGCCGATTGAAATCTCTTTCAGAGGCGGTTGCCTGAGGCGGGAGCCGTGGAAGGGGTGCAGCCAGTATGCGTTTGAGAAATGGCTCCAGAACGGGGTGTAGGTCTCCCCGCTCTTTGCAGCCTCGGGATCCCAGCGACGCTGGACGCGGCCGCGGTTCAGAACAGCGAAAGAGCGCAGCTCCGCGGTTGCCGCATCATTCCAGCTTCTACAGATCAATCGGCACTTGTGGAGATCGTCCAGCTCCAGGTCGAACATTATCATGTGCAGGAGCTCCGTGGGGAGGGTGAGACGCTTGCGCTGATCGGTCAGCTTCATGTGGGACAGGGTGAGGGAGCTGCTCCGTTGCAAGGAGGGAGCACTTCGGCTTCTTTCAGCGTGTCAAGGAAACGTACCAGATTGTGAATGTCCATATCCGAAGGGGTAGTATTCAGAGTCATCATGTTGACCTCGAACGTTTGCCTGAAGGACTTGCTGAGAGAGGTCCGATTAGAGGATGCTGATGCTTCTGGGGATGCATCGACGACACTGCGTGGCCGCTCTTATGTACTGTGGATGCAGCTTCAGCAACACCGTTGGCTGTGCATTGGTGGGCGGTGATGCACTTAGCAAAGAACGTACTGGGGGCGATGATGGGACGCCTGCCACACACTCAGAGGGAAGCTGCCAGTGGTAATCGAATACTCTGCCATTGTTCTTGGGAACCCCCCATGGTTGTCCATCACACCTATTCCTTTCTAGACGAAGAGGCGGTGGCATTCAATTCTCACAGCTTAGCAGATTGCTGGGCAACCTGCGAAGTGCACGTTCATTGTTGGGACATAGCTCTCACTTGACTCCGATGAGCATTGTGCATCATGACGCTGCAGTTGCCTCTATGTATCCCGGACACCCAACTGTGCATCACAGCATCACAGCGGACATAAACGGACAGATGAGGTTGAAAAGCATGCATCCTTTATCGTTCGCATGGCTGAGTGCAGCGAAGTTATGCATTAGGGTGCACTGCAGCATGCACATAGCCACAGCTCCGCTGTTCAGGTGGCGGTCCCGGTCAGAAATTACCGATATTCCCAGAAGAGGGTGCGCTTCAGTACCAGTTATAGACAGGAACAGCTCTCTGCCGCTCTGACACAGTCACTGACCACGAGAGATAGGGTCCAGACACCTCCTCGAGTCGGTCCTGAACGCCAACTAACAAGTGACAGGGGTCACTGAGTTCTCGGCCAGATCTCTATGTGGCCGGAGCCAAGTCTCACGGACCTGCAGCTCGGGAAAGCAGCCGCTTAACGTCGAAAAAGCGAGGGGGCTGGCGCTCACGCACGGACCCTGCCCCTTCATTCACTGTTCTTTGAATCCACTGACCATGCATCTGGTGGAGTTCTTGGTGCATGCTGGCTGCTGCATGAGGAGGAGCGTAGTTCCACACAGAGTGTGGGTGGGTACCCCCATCAACTACTACTGGCACCGGTGGCCAGCGGTTGCGCGTTAGTCGATACAAGTTGTAAACAAAGGGCCGATTAGCATTTGTTGCACCCTCAATTAACACTCTGTATTTCAGGGCTTCCAGCGACAGCGGCCACATGCCGCTTGCGCCCTCTCCATCAAGGTTAGTCACCCTTCGACAGGTTCGCCTCCCTCGCGAGATTCTGAATGTCCAACGTCTTCCCCCTTTCACATCAGCTTTCAGCTTTGCTTCGATGACTGAGTCTACGAGCCAGCTTCTCTTCTTTTGCCAGCAAGTGAACCTGCCTCGAGTGAGTTCGCCGTTCATCGATCCCTACCAGTCGCGAGGGAAGTCTAAACAGCACGGTGTCGCTCCCCTGTCACATCGTTCAGTTTCCCTCGCACTCGGGAGAGCTCCTGTTCTCGTACTCTCCTCCCCCTTCACACCCGTCCCCTTCAGGTCGCAGCACTGGTCGCACCACAGACCATGAACTTGCGGCATGCGGCCCATGTGCATGGCCCCGTCCTTCCCCGCATTCTCCTCTGCAGCCCCGTGTTCCCCAAAGAAAGTGTTCCATAGTCCGTGCACTGTGCACCGTGCTCTTCTCTGATGCCAGACCCGCCAAACGCCTTGGCGCACACACACCAGGTTCCTGTCCGAGATGCCCGAGAATCCTTTCAAAGAGGTCTAGCATGCCCCCGTGCCCAAGTCACGGGTTCCGATTTGACCGACGAAGGGGGATGAGCACAGGTACCTGATGAACACAGACTGTTCGAAGATGATGACAAGCACGTTCAGTCGTGATCTCACCATCCCAGCTGCCCAGCCAGCCTCTGCACAATCATCACTGTCCGCTTCCGCTTCTGGTCTGCCTTATCTTCGCGGGAAAACGACAGAACAACGCGTGGTCCGAGCGGAGCGAGAGCAGTTTATAAGCTGGGTGGTCTGGCACCATGTCGACGCTTCTCTGCTCGCCCCAGAACGATACGACCACGCACCCTCGCAGGCTAAGCTTCTTGTCACGTCTCACCGCCTTTCACGACATTCACGACCCAAAAGACACTGCCACCATGCCCTCCGTCTCCGACTTCCCCGAGCTGCAGGCCCTCCTGGCTACCAACGAGAGCTGGGCTAAGAACACGGCTGAGAACGACCCGGAGCTCCTGCCCACGCTGGCCACTGGACAGAAGCCCGGTTTCCTCTGGATCGGATGCGCCGACTCGCGTGTGCCCGAGACCACGGTGCTTGGCAAGAAGCCAGGAGACGTCTTCGTTCACGTGAGTGCATTGAGGGCGGGATACTTTGCCGTGCTCGGAACTCCGGCTAGTGGACGGAGAGCTGTCGGGAACGGAGTGGCAGGGACGGGCCGCCTCGTATCTCGGTATCGCGAGGACATCCGCTGGCGATAAGCTTCCGACCCCTCCTCCGCTATGTTCCTCTCGGATCTATTCCTGATGTTGTTTGCGGACTCTTCTCGGACACTTGAGTCCGAGCACTCCGAGGGAATGGCAAGAGCTGGGCTCTGCTTTGCACAGTGCGCGTCCGCAGTCTCCCCCCACTCTGGAAAGCCTGCGTCACCACTAGCGTTGATTGTTCATCCGCCACACCCAGCGCATGGCTTTGCTCAACTGAGCGATCATCCCTTCCCATAGACCCTCGCTGGTTTAAACGTGCTGACGATCTTAGCGCAACATCGCGAACCAGGTAAGTTTCAGGTCAACTATCAGTATCGGCGTCAGCAAGAGATAGGGTCGACCGGGCGGAACACGCAGAGAAGCGCACGGACCATTTTCCTGGGCCCCAGACGACGCCAGACTCGAGAGAGTCCGGGCGCCCCGGATCTGGGCACTGTGCACGCCCGATGTGTACATCAGTCGTGACCTCGTTCAATGAACGAGGATGAGGGCGGCTCGAGCTTGGACCGACCGTGAAGCTCTGAGCGCCGGGGAAGTCCAAAGGGGGTCAGATCACGCACCCAGTACGGCATGACCGTGCGCCAGAGCAAGCCCGCTTCTCCGTTGAGACTCTCCGTTTGCGGATTGGCGTTTGAGCACATTCCCCAGATGCCGGTGGCCGAACCCGACATGGGTAATCCGGGGAGCAGAGGTGGCACTCGAAGGCGTTGGGCTGCGAGAGATGAGATATCCGGGGCCATTGGGGGGATGGTGGCCTGAGCGCCCGCCGAGTTGCCCGCCCGCCAGGGCAAGCAAGGAGCGCTTGCACAAATCTCGTCCACGCTCTGAGTGGGGGAGGAGTTTTGGTGCCGTGTGAGGCGAAGAGCGCGATGAGTGCCGAGGGTTACGACGAACAAGGCGCGGGAAACTCACTGACTCTCAGTTCCACCTCGACGATGCGTCCGCGAATGCGCTGCTGAACTACGGTGTCCTGCACGTTGGCACGAAGCACGGTGCGTTTTACCCGTCCGCAGTGGACCCCCATCGCAAGACAGAACTGACCCCAGTCATCGTCACGGGCCACACGGCGTGCGGCGGGTGCATCGCCGCCCACTCCCTTCCGGCTGACACGGAGCCTTCGAACGCTCTGCTCGAGTTCCTCGGCCCGCTGATCAAGCTGCGTGCCGGGCTCGGCGCGGATGCGACCGTCGAGGACCTCATGGTCGCGAACGTGAAGCAGGGTGTCGAGAACGTCTGTAACTCGGCGGTGAGTGATTCAGCTGGTTTGAGTGACACGGAGAGCTGACTGGCAGACGATGCAGGAGGCCTGGGCCAAGGGCAAGGACGTCTACGTCCACGGTTGGGTGTACGACCTGGCTAGCGGGCGCTGCCACGACCTCGGCATCTCGCGTGGTCCCCCCTCGGCGTAGTTGGTCAGAAGTTGTAGCATCAGTACGTGTCAAAGTTCAATGTTCGTCTCAACAGGTGCGGCGGGGTAGCGCGTCCGTTGCGTGTCTCGTGCAGTGGGTCAAGCTTATGCCTGCCGCTTATGAAGGCACCTAGGTGAGTTATCACTATCGGCGCATGCTTGCGACATGTCCCCAGTCATCGCAACATATCGGCCGGCTAGGCCCCGGGCGTCGGAGGAGTAAGTTGCACCAGAATCCGGGTGTTACCAACCTTTCGTGAACCTTGCGCCGTATTCTGGCCTGGACGCGATCTTGCTTCCGAGTTGGAGAGCAAGTCGGGAGCTCGGAGACACGTCGCGCTATGCTGTGCGTACGCTGGTCCGTCAGTTCGGAGTCGACGTCGAGCCAAGGCAGGAGGTTTATGTACTCCCAAACTCACTTCGCTCACTTGTTCCCTGTCCTAACCTCTCTTACGCTCCAGCCAATGCCTACCAAGCACGGGAATGGGCGCCCTTCGGACGATTGGGTTTTTGAGTGGCTTGCGGCCACTTGCGGATCAATGAAACGGGCGGCCTGTCGGATGGTTCTCTCTGCATTTGGTGCGCGGCAGTGGGAGTGCACGTGTCTGGGCCCAGAACGGCTCAGGACGGGCGGGAAGTCGACAGAGAACACCCCAATCAGCATCCAAATCCGCCGGCTGTGCAACAGCGTGCCAGAATCCTACCCGACGATCCCGATCGTAACAGAGTGCGTCTATCTGGGTCAGGATAGTTTCTCCTGCGAGGTCTGCGACAGAATGGTCGGTTCGAGTGCTCAGCGTTGTCCAAACAGTTCTGCTGGAAGCAGCGACTCGTTGCCTATGTGCAGTCAGTTTACGCTGCCTCTGACGGCTACGGTCGCTCGCGGTGTCGGATGCCTGTCACCTTGCTTCCCGATCCGACTCGCTTCCAGCCCTCCACTTCTGTCATCACGCACAGCTGCTGATCGGACAACGCCTAAGATCTTCCTCATAGAGCGAAGACGCCGCTTTTGCCGGACATATCCCGACAGAGACTCCATGCAGGCAACCCAGGACGTAACATGACCTCAACAATGATGCCAGCAAAGGGATCCAGTGGAGTGCTTGGCGTCAGCGAGCGTTCATCTGCTTCCGAGGGTCTAGTGCGCCAAGACGCCCAGCGTTCACTTTCAGTTCAGGCCAGGGCTACTTGTGTGACGTAACGGGGTGCTCGGCGCGTCAGTTCGTTGCCAGGCAGAAATCTACGAGAGGTGACTGGATGCCCATTGCACATCCCACTTGCGCAGCGTATGTGCTCGAGGGGTAGATCGGACGTGCGTGCGTGCCTGCGTTAAGTTGAGCAATCATGACAACACCCACTACTCCGATGTTGTGGCCCACTGTGACTGACCTCGAGTCGGCCAAGGGGAACAGGTTTCATGCCGCAGCGGTGATTGCCCGTTCGTCATACGTCAATGATTGTCTGAATCGCTTCAAGCTCACGAGGTCGCCGGCTTTGGCTGTCCCACTTCTCTCTGCGCAGCAGCTCATTCACCCCCGTTGCTGGCCTCCAAGCCAGGGAGGAGAGGTGAACCCACATTCTGCCGTCCAGTTGACACAAGTTACTCGCGCCGCACGCTGCTCAACACGCTCAAGCTCAGCTTCATCTGGAGAAGGTACGCAGAGGGGCACAGGTGCCTTTCTGCGTGCCTTTCCGTATATACTTCCGCCCGGCAGCTAGTGTCGGTTCGAACGCTTCAGCACTGAGAACACATCTCTGGTACGAAGGCTACAGAGTTTGTCACGCTGCCCCCGCTACCCTCTTCCCCCTTGACCTCGCCAGAGCTGGCTTCTAGCTCTGCGTCCGCTGCCAACTTTTTTGTGGTTGGGCGCTCGCTTCTCCGTCGCAAAAGCTTCCCCCGCTGTGTCTATCCCCCGACAGCATTCCCCGTCACCACCTCAAGATAGAACAGCATGATGCAAGACCTCGTCTTCCCTCCTCGTATCGACATCTCTCGTCAGCCTCGTGTCATGACAGGGATGAACGCAAGTGCAAGCAGCAGATGACGGTGAGCAGGGAGTACTGCTCCGCGGCCCTCGGCAGTGTGTTCGGCCTCCACTGTGTCGATTATGATTTCACTGCTCAGGACAAAGCCGAGAGTATGTAATTCTCCTTTCAGTTCAGCGTCGTCGCGCTGCAGCAGTACCAACAGTGATACCGGCATCCTGGGCCAACCACAGGGCAAGGCTTGGCCACGGGACCTGGCTGACTACGGAGGATCGAAAATCATCAATCTAAGGGTCGCGACACAGATGCCTAAGGGTCCGCAACTGTCGCGGCGTCATGCGCTCGACCAGCAGCGGAGTGTCTCTACGGCTCGCTTCAGTGACGCACATGCCTGGTTCAACTTCGAGTTGGATGCAACGCACCAGACCAGGGGAGCCCAGTTTGGGTTGGAGCTTGAGCGTATTGCATTGCATCAGGCTGAAGCATGCACAACAGAGGGTGCAGAGGGCCCTGGGTGTCTTCCTCGGCTCAATGATGCTGCTCTTCCGCCCAGCTGCCAGACTGCGCGCTGCCTTCCTCGCCCTCCTGTTCGCCGGCCTCACCCCAGATCCCAGAAGTCCGATACACCGTCTAGCGCAACGCTTATCCTCTTTCGCTAGCAGCGACACAGCTCAGCGCCGAGCCAGTGGGACCTGGACCCAGACCCTGGGCCTCGATCAAGCGCCTCCCCTCCTCTGTTGCTCTGCTGCTCCCCACCATCTTCCTTCCCCCGTCTCCACCGCCCCGCTCCCCTCGTTGCTGCGACTCTGCGCTAGACTACCGCCGTGTTGTCTTTCTCTTCTCTTTTCTCTTCTTCAACATCTTCTACTCCCAGCTCTCTTAAGTGCCTAATCTTCAGAGACTTACCTTCCTCTTCTACCCCACCTACCACACACAATACTCCTCGCAACCAAAATGAAGGCTGCTGTTCTCCTCGCTACCCTTCCCCTCCTCGCTGCTGCGACTGTGAGTACTCCAGAGCAGAAAGAGCTTCCCGTTGAGCGGATTGTAGCTGACGAACAGTACGAGCAGCCGCTCGAGAAGCGCCAGTCCGGCTGTCTCGCCCAGTGCACCGGTTCGGTGGGCTGTGACGCTCTCTGGGGCTGTGTCTGGGAGAAGTGCCAGGTGAGTATCCGTTCTTTGTGGCGATCGGCGGTGACTGCGGAATGTGAGCTGACATCACCCAGGGCTCCGACTGGGACGACGCCGTGAGGCAGATCGGCCAGCGCTGCACGCAGGGCGGCGGCGGTGGCGGCGGCGGCGACAACAACAACCAGGGCGGTGACAACAACAACAACCAGGGCGGCGACAACAACAACAACCAGGGTGGTGACAACAACCAGGGAGGCGGCGACAACAACAACCAGGGCGGTGGTGACAACAACAACCAGGGTGGCGACAACAACGGCCAGAACGGCCAGGACGGTCAGAACGGTCAGGACGGCCAGGGCGGCCAGGGTGGCCAGGGTGGCCAGGGTGGCGACGGCGGCCAGGGCGGTGGTGACCAGAACCAGGGCCAGCAGGGAGGTGACCAGAACCAGGGCCAGCAGGGTGGTGACCAGAACCAGCAGGGCCAGCAGGGCCAGGACACTAGCGGCGGCAACGGCGTCGGCATCGTCGGCGGCGGCACCACCGGCGGTGACAACAACGGCCAGCAGGGCCAGCAGGGCGGCCAGTCCGCCACTCCCTCCGGCTCCTCGGCCGGTGCCTCGCAGACTGGTGCTGGTGCCGCCGGCCAGTCTGGCTCTCAGTCTGGCTCCCAGTCGGGTTCGCAGACCGGTGCCGGCGCCGCTGGCCAGTCTGGTTCGCAGACCGGCTCGCAGTCTGGCTCCCAGACCCCCGGTGCTGCCGGTGCCGCCGGCCAGACTGGCTCTCAGTCCGGTTCGCAGTCTGGCTCCCAGACTGGCGCCGCCGGTGCTGGCCAGACTGGTTCTCAGTCTGGTTCGCAGTCCGCCCAGTCTGGCTCTCAGTCCGGCTCCCAGACCGGTGGTGCCGGAGCTGCTGGCCAGACCGGCTCTCAGTCCGGCTCCCAGTCTGGCTCCCAGACCGGTGCTGGCGCCGCCTCGAGCCAGTCTGGCGCTGCCGCCGGCCAGTCCTCGACCTCGTCGTCCCAGGGCCGCGTCAACCAGCTCACCTCGCAGGCGGGCTCTGCCGGCTCGGCCGCCACGAGCTCGGCCGGCAGCGCCGCCGGGGGCGCCGGGCGCCGCCGGTGGCGACGGCAACTCGGCCTCGGCGCTCAAGATTTCCGGTGTCGTCGCCGCGATCGCCGGTGCCGCTGGCTTCCTCCTCGTCTAAGCCGCAGCGAGCGAACCGAGAACTCCAAGCTAGTCCCGACCCCGAATCACACACTAATAACATTCTCCACCTCCTTTCTTTCTTCTACCTAGACCAAAACATGCTTTTTAGTAGCCGCCCGATTCCCTAAGGATGAAGGGCATCGATACACGTACAAGTTGCCATATTATGAAATATGAAGTGAATCAGCCGAGCCGGTTGAGTGTATCTTCCTGTCTCGTGTCCTCGGCATGAGGCAGACATCACCGAACGATGATCAGGTACGTGCCGGCGTGCCGGTGCCAGTGACCGATGGTGACGGCGTTTTGGAAGGAGGGGGTTACGTTGCCCTCTGTTTGCGGTTCTCACGTCGTGTAGCAGCTTACGCATAATGCTCGAGAGGGACTTACGCATAATGCTCGAGAGGGGTTAAAGTTGCCTCTTGTCGGAATGCAGTGATACATGTGTGTTGTACAAAAACTCCTGTCGCTTGTCGTCTATCTCCTCTACTCTGCCCATCATTTAGCAGCCACCGGCGCCGGATTCCGTTTCGCATCCCGTTCCAGCGCGACCTTGACCGCGCCGAGCGTCGGCGCAAGCACGGCCCGGATACGTTCGGGGTCAACACGCTCGATCTCGCCAATAGTCACAATAGCGTTAATCTTAGCCTCCGTGCCCTGGAGGTATTTCAGCATCTTGGCGGCCTTCTGCTGTCTCTGCTGTGGCGTGAGTCCGCCCAGCGCGCCGGGCGGAGGGGGGTGGATGGCTCCATAGTATTGGCGCAGGAACTCGGTCGTCGCATTGTGCAACAGGCGCATTTCCTCAATGATACTGGCCGGGAGGCGGGAGAGGGGCTGCGACGCCGCGTTCGAGGCGAGATAGAGATCCCGAACCGTGCGCGTCGCGACGGCCTGGGCGTCGCGCTGGAATGCGAATGCGGCGGCCGCTTCGGGCGAGGGCTCGCTGTCCTGCGCCGGGTTGGCGGGGTTGGGGAGACACACGGCGGCAAAGTCTGGCGACCAAGCCGAGACCTTGGCCGCCTCCTTCTCGACTAGGGCGCGTTTCTCCTCCAAACTTGAACCGGGCAGGAAGACCGTGGATGCCGACGCGGCGACGTCTGGACCCCGCACATCGAGCGCGATCGGGGCCGCGGGCTCGGCGGCGTTCAGCTCCTCGAGCTCGATCTGCGACACAATGTCCTCTGGCGCACTGCTGCCGCCGGCTTTGAGCAGTTTCTCCGAGTGGTCGTTGAACCGTCGGATCAAAGGGAGGGACTCGCGCTGCTTGCCCGCCTGCATCGTCACGTCCCGCCTGAGCGTGGATTCGCCGTGATCCTCCTCCGTCGCAGCCAGGTCCAGGAACGTCTCCACGCCGCCCGTGATCTCCTTCCGTGGTGCCAGTTCCCAGTCCGGATCCTCCAGGTATGCGTCGAAGATGTCGTCCTTCTTGCCCGCGCTGCCGTCCAGCGCCGTCTTTCGCGTGGAGGCACGATGCCGTTCCCAAAGCGTAGACTCAAAGTAGCGTTTCCAGAACTCGGCCTCTGAGAGCGGCGGGACGTGCTTCGCATAAGCGTCCTGTACGACGGGGAACTCCTCAAAGATCTCCCGCGTCAGCTCCTTTGTGATGTTCAGTTTCAGCGGCCCGCTCTCGGCCTTCTTGACGCCGACGCCCGTGCCACCCTTAAACGCGGGCTGCTGCTCGTTCAATGCGAATCGGTCGTCGAGCAGGCGGGAACTGCGACCGGGTCGTTGGCTGTGCGCTATCTCCTCGGCGCGCAGAAGCGCCTCGCGCCCGCTCCAGAAATCGTCCTCGCTGATTTGCTTTCCGAGAACGAGCGCGCGGTGCAGCTCCTTCAGCGTCGGGTCGCGGCGGAGCACGCGCTGTCGCAGAATGTTCGTCCGCTTCCGACTCGCGTCGTCCTCGTGTTTCCGCTTCCGCACCAGGGCTGACGGCGTGCCCGGCGTTCCCACCGGCGTCGAGACGGCAGGCGAGGCTGTGCCCGACCCAGAACCCCCCGCGCCCGAGGGGCCGGCGGTCGGCGTCCCCGCTGCCGGCGTTCCGCCCGCTGGCGTGCCCGCAGCGGTACTGGCGGCGGCACTCTCGGCCGTCTTGTTCGCCTGCACGAACGGGATCAGGAGGTCCTGCACCCGCTGCCTGTCTGCCTCCTTTTGCGGACTCGTGAACTTGAACGTGAGCCCACCCTTGGGCAGATCGTCCTTGAACAGCAGCTTCAGAGACGTATTCGCCGCACCGGCTTTCGAGGCCATCATTCCTTTTGCCGTCAGCGATCGGGTCGGCACGGGTGGTCAGTCGGGACGTACGGATCACGCGGTTCAGAGCCTGCTGCTGCCGGTCCATTTGGCCTGCGGTCGCATTCCAGGATAGCGTCGTCGACGTCAGCGTCAGCGTGCCCGCGACGCGGTTGAAGGTGGCGTCGAACTTGTGCACTTCCGACATCGCTGCGGCTGACGAGGACGAGGAAACTTGGAGCAGCACAAAGCAACAATGACGGCTCGTAGTGAGACTTATGCTGGGTGAGCGGACAGCCGACGGAAGCATTTCTCGAGGCACCTCCTACATGACGTGGGTGGCAAATTGCCGCCTGCAGTTGAGGTGTCCAAAAATACATGAGGAGCCGATACTATTCCTATGCAAGAACTATGGCTGCACAAAGGGACCCAGTGAACAAGACCTCGAGACATGGGCTATCGTTGTGCTGTGCTGATACAAAGGCGGTCGTGAGCGACTCGTGGGTGGGGGGGTGGGGATGTGAAGCTTCTCCAAAGAGCTGCTGTTGCTTTCTGCGTTGCATGACGATGGATACAGTTACAGTCGGACAAGCTCGCTCTGGCTAGGACTGAGAAGGCGACAGACACATGTTGGAATGTGTTTTGCGGATGGGTTGATGTAAAAAATGCAATAATGGTGTCTATGTGACGGGATGCGATGATTGTGACTTGGTTTATGTTGTAGTTGCGGTCGGGCGAAAGGAGCGAGCCTTCGACGATAGGCGATCACTCCCCGGTGGAAGGACGGTTCGTTCCAGCCGTCGCAGCTTCGCCTCGCGCGGGTCGGACGGGGACACGTTCGCCGCCGCTGCCCCGGCGTTTCTTAAAGCTGGGACGCTTGGACAAACCACTGCTGCTGTCCGACTCGAACCCCTGGTGGCTCTTTCGCAGGCTCGATCTCAGCCGGGCGTCTGCCTCGGCCAGATCCGTGGCAGACGGCTTCCGCTTGAAGTTGGACTCGTCGTCCGTGGCTGGCAACGAGGTCGCTGCTGTGGAAGTTGTCAATCCTCCTAATGACCGGGACAAACCTCCGCAGGAACCGGAGCTGCCAGTGTTGGCACTCTCGGCACTGCCACTGCGTCCGTTCGGCTTCACACCTGCGCTGGTGCTGGCGCTGGAGCTTGCAGAGCCGGAGCCGCTATCGGTGGACACCGGCTCGTTGTGCGCTTCGGTCGTGCCACTCGAGGGAAAGCCCGACATGGCTGCGTTCAAAGACCGAGTGTTCTGCTCGGCCTCCGTCTCCATGCGAGCCCTCTTCACGTCGTCGTCATCCAGGCAGGACAGATAGTACGAGATGATGGCACGGTGAACGAAGAGATACTGGCGCAGAGACTGAACCAGACTCATCCTCTGAACACGCATGCCCTTCAAGACGTCCAAGATCGGCTCCTTCATCCTGCTAATGGACGTCGGCTGGCGATGGGGACGGTGGCTCTGCGTCACGGGCACAGGTTGCTCAGAGTCGGGGCTGGGGACGTCAGCCATGGCGCAAATGCGGGTGATACATGTTACGTACCTGCTCTTGGTGGAAGGGGAGCTGTGGCGGGACGCCGTCTCAGAAGGCAAGAACAGCGACGAGAAGTCTGTCTCGTCCTGGTCCATCTCCGACGATCCCGACTTGGAAGACGGCTTGTCCAAGTCCATCCGAGAAACGGGGGACTGGCTGCTCTGCTGCGAAGAGTCACTGCCGCTGGAGAAAGAATCAGCAAACGACACCGACTTTCCAGGCTCCGAGACTGCGCTTTGGACGCAGTTTGCGGATGGACGCCTGTGGTGAGGGTCGATGAGGTCTCTGCGGAGAGCTTCCGCGATGGCGTCCACAAGGATGTAGCTACCAGTTCGACCGACACCGGCGGAGCAGTGCACAAGAATGGGTGGCAAGTTGCAAGGGTCCGCCACACCAGTGCACATCTCGGCGATGGCACCATCCACGTCCTTCTTCAGATTCAGGAGCACCTCCGGTGAGTCAGGCACGTCAAAGTCTGGCCAAGTCGTGCACTGGATCTGGGTGATCTTGCGAGGACCCTCATCGTTGTGCCACAGATGGAAGACACGCTTGATGTTGCCAGCAGGGGCTGGGCTCTCCTCAGGCACATGCGAGCCAAAATCGAAGCCAGACACTCTGGACTGGTCGACGACATCCTTTCCGCCGCTCTCAGACACAAGCTGCAGACGCAAGTGGCCATAAGTCTGCTCCGACCAGTAGTTGCCGCACTTGATTAAACCGCCCTCGAATTGTTTGGTCAGCCTGACAGTCAGCACATACCACACACGCCAAAACGTCATAGGGTTTGTCACTCACATCACGATCACGTGCACATTTTGCTCCCAAACAAGAGTCCAGAAGTCGCGGTAGGTGGCGTCCAGAGGTCCCTGTGTGGCGATATACCGCCTACTGGTTCCGCGGGGCTGAACGAAGGAGGCATTGATGTAATCCGATTCGTCCTCCGCGGGAGTGCCGAGGCGAACACGAGAAAAGTCGTACGGCCAGATGTTCTTGTAGCGATTCTTTGTGCCTCGCTCGACACCGGCAGTGATCGAGAACGGATAGTACTTCTTGCCACAGTCCCGAGCCATGAACTGCTCGACCTCATCAGCGCTACGTGCAGTCGTCGTGGCATCCGGCTCGCAGCCGTTTGTCCGCGACAACGTCTGCATGACCGCTTGCAGACGCTGCTGCTCGCCGAGCTCGATGCGATAGAATTGATCCGCGAGCAAGTCCATGCTGTCCTTCTCCGGCATCTGCACGAGCTCCCGCAGGAACGTCGGCAGTTCACCAGCGCGCTCAACGATAGAGGGCGAGAGCGCCAGGGGAATGCGCTCTGTGATTCCGCCATGCGACAATTCCAAATTCTGACGAATGTTGTCGAAGAACGGGTTCGCCGGTTGCAATCGAGACCTGGAAGGCTCGCCTGGCCGGATCCGCGGAGGGCCGCCCGCGGTGGCCTGCCCCATGAGAGTTTTGTCGATCTCAAACGGATTCGCGTGCACTTTCGCCGCCGTCGTGGCCGGAAGCTTCATGAACGGTGACGTCGTAGATCCCTGCGTGAAAGCCAGTCTGGAGAGGCGCCCAAGACCCAGTGGAGGCACTGTGTCACCTCTGGAAGGAGAATCCGGCTGATCATTCTCGTGCTCGTGCTTGTCGGACGACACCAAGTTTGAATATGTGCTCGCGGCGACTGCAGTGTGACCGCCTTGGACAAACCAAATCTTGCCAGAGTACCCGGCATTGACGAACTTCGTGGCGAGCGCCTGGATCAGGTTGCTGTCGGCCAGGCTGTTGCTGTCCTGATCGACGATAACAATGTCCTTCTTGTGCTGCCACTGCGAGATCGCAGTCTGAGAGGAGGGACTCAACATTTGTGTGAGTTTCGGCAGCGCAAACCCTGGTCTTCTCAGCAGCGTCGAGGGGATCGAGATAGAGCACGCTCCTTCGATGTGAGATGCGTCATAGGACGAGGGAGGTCGAAGGTCTAGAACAAGCGATTGCGCTCCATCGCCGATCACGTTGTTGAGGGCGTCGACAGCAAGGGGTTTGATTGGGCTCGATGACGATGTCGATGATGAAAGAGGGGATGATGACGAGTTGCCTGTCGAAGGGGCGGTGGGGGATCCGGCGGTTGGCCCAGACGGACGTCGACCGAGAGCCATGGGCGGTGGTCGGATTCCAGGGAAGCTGGTTCTGCGCGAATCGAAGCTCGACATGGCCCCAAGACCGCCAGCGCTGACGGGTCCGCTGGGCGCGCCGCTCTGGCCGTTGGCATCACTTGCTGATGTGGAACTCGGGCCAGGCGCGGGCGACTCTGAGCCTCCTTGACTCAGATTACGCTGGCTCCATGTCGAACCAATGTTGAGCTGCTCGAAGGGGTCACCGAGGACAGAGCTACGCAATGAGGACGAGGGCATCTCTAAACCAGGCGTGGGAGCCCCCGACATCGCCGCGAGCGCGTGCCATGGATTCCGAAGCGGCTTGGAGCTGGACGCCTCCATCGACGGCTGCTGACTTGCGGCCGCGAAGAAACCCGCAGGAGGGTCAGAGGATAACGGCGGCGGGGCACTCAGCCTCGGTGGTGTTGATGTCGGAGAGCGGCGAAACGGAGACGACTCTGGGTCAGGTGAGTCTGATGGGGACATGACAGGGGGGACTGGGGAGCGCGCTTGCGTTGAGCTAGGGAACCCGCTGCCCACAACAGGTCCGCTGGCGTTCCCAAAGGGGTGGAGAGTGTTGCGCCCAGTCGGGCGAGGGGGTGTACTCAGACGGAACGCAGGTTTAGCCTTCGCCGAGGGCAGCACCGAGGTTCCGGTGTTACGCTCATGTGTGGAATGAACCTGAGTGGTGGCGGCTCCGGACACCCCACCTGCATGCACGCCGGGCATCTTGTGAGGTATCGGATAGTCTTCCTCGGACTCGATGTTCATTGCAAGTCCAAGGGTGGTACACTGCGGTCTGAGCCGTGGCTAAGCAAGATCGCCTTAGAGGAACAGCGATGGTGGAGGCTCAATGGTGGTAGCGTGAAGGGGGGATGTAATGTGGGGTTGAAAGTGTGAACGGCCCCGTCCCTTGTCGGTCAACGTCAATCAAAGACAATAACAGCCTTGCGAGATGACGAAAGCTGTTCGAATGTCGTCGCAAGACACGGACGTGATCAAGGAATGATTGAGGGGAAGGAGAACTAACGAGTTCAGCACCCCCGCAAACACGGCGCACGGGCGAGTGAGGCGGGGGCGAATGATCGCTCTGGACGACAGAGAGGTGGGAAGACAACCGAATCGCAGTAGCCGGCTGCCGTTGTCGAGTCGTCGAGGAAGAGCGGTTCGATGTTCGGAGTGGTGTGTTGGTAAGGTGCGAGTGTAGTGTGGGGTAGTGTCAGAAAGGTCGAACGGATGTCAGGCCAGGAAGGTGTTGTGGAGGAATGAGACGAGGGGGAGAGATGAGGGTGACAAAGCCCACGGTGTGTCGAAAGCGGCGGCGGGGTGATACCAGCGGCAGTGGTGTGAGAGACTCAACCTCCGAGGGTGGAGGAAGGAAAGAGATGGCTCTTCGGCTCTGCAGCTCTGCGGGATGCTGATGCGGGCACTGTGAGCCGGGGGCGGGCTACTCGGGTGCACAGGCTCTGCGGATTCGCGTTCCAGTTGCAGTGCCGAGAGGAGGCTGGGCTGGGCCGGGCGCTTGTCGCTGACGCGGGGTGCGCGGGTGGTCGGGGTTAAGGAGGTTGGACCGGCTGAAGGGCAGCGCGGTGGTAGAGGGCGAGGGGGAGAGGGGAGAAAAGCGAGGACGTAATAAAACAGCGATGGCGGTGTGTGTGCTCGGTGTCGGGCCTCGGGGCGGCGGCGATTGATCGAGGTGGTATGTGGTCGATGCAAGAGTGCTGGAATGGAATGCTTACAGATGCAACCAAGTCTTTGTGGTAACGATAAGGAAGTGTGAGCGGATGGCGTACGGTGTGTGTGCGAGGCTGTAGGCGGGTTGTGTGCTGGTACGCGGGTGAGGCACACTACTAGGTGAGTGTGACTTTTGGCTGGCGCCTGCGGACGCTGGGCTCTGGCGCTCTGGACTATGAGCTATGAGCCGGCTGGGTTGGGCTGGTTACTGGCGGCGGCGCTTCAGGCTACGGGTTACGGGCTGCTTGTTGGCGACTTTGGTGTGCTGGCGGCGTACCCACGCCCCGGGCCACGGCTACGGCTTTGGCCCATGCATCCTAGACGTCAGACGTCAGACGATCAGGTCACAAAAAAGGTACGCCATGTCCTGACAGACCTGAGGAATCAGGAAGCGAACAACCGTCCTGCACCGTCTCCGACCCGTTACTAATCCCCAGTGCTAATCCTCACCTAGCACTCCCCAATGTCGTGCCCGACGTGCTAATCATCCAACCTAATCGCCACCCCGCGCACGCTCGGCGTGCCCGGGCTTTCGGTCTATGAACAACCATTGCGTCAGGATTGGCCTGCCCGGCCCTGGCCGCCCTGACTATGACAGCGTTCCTGACAGCTCTCTAGCTTTTTTCGCCTGCTCATTTGCATTGTTCCTCGGGCCTTGCCCCCACTCTGCGTCACTGACGGCCTGACTCCATGCTCGTCCATGCCACTCCGTCGTCCCTGCTGCCCGCTCTCTCCTGCCTGCAGACCGGTGCATGCGCGAGCCTGCGCACCCTGAAGTCGCTTGCGTGCGTCCTGATAATCTTTCGTATTAGCCCGGGAACGCACTTTGTTAAACCTTTCAAGCCCGAACGCAGCGTAAGCGACCCGCGACCCGGCAACCCGATGACCTTCGGGCTTGCTCAGCTGCGGAAATGTGAATCGGACGAGGCAGTCGTCCGAAGGATTGTACAGACTCGTAAGCGAATGCTCGCTCGATTACAATCCCGGGCAGAGAGCGACGAAGGGTAAGACGGACACTTGCATCCTGGGCCGCACGCGTACTACCGCACTCAGTTGTTGCTAGCGAGGAGACCAGAGTCTGCGGCACGCCCGGCGCCGGCGCACGGCCAAGTCTCGACCGCAATGTATCGCTTACATCTGCGACACCCGTGCTGGCGTTGGTTCCTGCGCTCGAGCGCTGCCGCAAGGCAGCGCGGGTCCGTAATGAGTAGATAGCAGTACTTAGCGACGTTAGCGCCTCATCCGCCTCGCTCGCTCGTCTCTTCTCCTCGGCAGTGTTCAAGTGTGACGCAAGCGCAGTCGCGGCAGTTGCCTAGATGCAGATTCAGCCCGGAGCGGAGATCTAACTGAGACGTTTCTCCTGCGTCAGCTGCCCCCGATCGTGCATGATCGATGGGCCGATGAGGCGCCTTCAAATCAAAGAGGCAACGTTACTGAAAGCGAGGGGCGGCCGCGGACATCTGGTCAGCTGAATAATATATGGTCTCCTGCGAGCTCCCCCACGGCGCTGAGACATGCTTGTTGCGCTCGCTCTCATTTGCTCGTGCGCTCGTTGTTCGGCCAAGTGTGCAGGACTCTTTGGAATACAGGAATGCACTCCAGGACACTCGAGGTTTGCTGGACAGGCAGCACGGCCAACCAGCCACAAGCAGCACGAGCACGCATCGGACTAAAACATGCACCAGTGACCTCAGTGGCGTTATGGGTCTCGAGCTGGCGCATTGCACGCATTGGCGCCTTCTCCACCTGGCCTGGCGGGCAGGCAGGCAGGCGCATCGGCGCGCCGGCGCGTTGGCGCACTGGCGTTCTGGCGCAGCAGTTTGGCGTTTTTCTGTTCCAGCTGTGCTTCCCCAATGCTTCTGCCACACACAGAGCAGTCCTGAGTTTTTTCTCCCTTCCAGCAAAGGCAACCTAAAGCTCGCTTATACCTTCGGTGTCCGTCACCGAGCCCCGAACCCGCATTCCCTTCCTCCGAATCCGCACGGAGCACATGACGACCGAACCCAAGGATACCGCGAGGACGCACACGCACACGATGGTGACTACCCCCCTCCGGCCTCTCCTGCCGTTTCTCGTCAAGCTCGTTTGGACTAAGCTTTGTTAGGTTTTTCCCGCCCAGGGCCCGAAAGGTCTGAACCGAGGCTAACACCAAGCCTTATGACGTCAATGGCTGTTGGGCTTGGTGACACACTGACGTCACTCCGGGCGCTCACTGGCTTCGCCGAACCTTATGGGGCGGAGAGGTTGTGACGTCACGTCTGACGGCCAAGCGAAGCTCAGACTTCGAATCACGTGAATAGGACACACGTGGACCACGTGAGACACTCATGGTTTACAAGTGTTCTTCGTGTCAGCTGTCAGTGACAATCTGATAAGATCTGGTCTGTTCAGTTACGTAACCGAGTGCTGTTCATTGGTTACGTAATCAACTCCAGAGGAATGCAGCGGCTTCCCCGATCTCGGGCGGGGACTAGGGCAAGCTCGTTCCACCGTGCCGCCCCACAACACCTGGTTCGGAACAGTTACGAGACCTCCGCTCGTTGCTGTGTTCGGCAGCGCTCACGGCCCCGTTCGGTTCATCAACGAAGGCGCCGAGACATTCCATTGCCCGGTTCCGATCTCTGCATGACGCGTTCGGCCCTTCCAGGCTCTGCCGTTGGCGATCGTAGTTGCCTGTCAGAAATGTCTTGGGATCTGAAGAGGGCGCGGTTTGTTGGTCGTTGCAGATGTGGTATTGGAGTTGTAGTGAGACGATGAAATAGCAGCGGTGAATGGGGCCGGAGCCGTGTCTATATCTGGCGCTCCGAATGGAGCGGTCCATGCTCGCCAGGTGCTGCGGGAGCGGAAGCGGCAGCCAACGGCGGAGACGGCGAACAGCGAAAGGGGCGGGTAGCAGATTCCAGTATTCTTAGCTGATGCAATCCTCAGACATGATACAATGGCAGAACAACAATGGCGGTCTCGTGGCGTGGCCGCCCGCTTGCCGCCTGCTGCGCCCCTGCGACGCTGGGTCAAATGTATCATCTCACAAATCCCCACCGAACCCGTCGGGGAAGGCGCCACCCATTCATGCCCATTCAGCGTCTCCCATGCCCAGCAATCAGACCTTGCAATCGCGCCACATTCATCGTTTTCCTCTGCCTAACGGACTGCGTGCTGCGTTCTCGCTGCGAGCGCAGTTTGTCGGCGCACACTAGGTCAGCCATTCCTCTACTGTGCGTTTCGAACTCTGACAGATTTTTCGGTATGCTGGGATGTTGCATGTCAAAGACGAGCGCGGCAGCGAAATCGGACCCGGAACCAACATCACAGCCTTGGGTTTCATGCCTCGAGCCAGGTTGGGTTGATCAGGTACGGTTTGGATTCCTGGGCGGGAAGCAGGGGCTTGGCCGACCAGAGAGAGTTTGGTGAAGCGGAGGATCCAGTTTTCTGGCTCAACTGGGGACTCGCGCATTCAGGCTCCTGCCTGCGGTGCCCTTCATTCGCCGCGTTTGTCTTCCTGCGCTTCACCTGAAGTGTAGACTCAACAGGGAGCTGCTTGCAAAGGCTGAAGCATACTCAGCGGGTTGACGGCCCGTAGCCGCCTGAAGGGCTGTCCCTGCGTCTCCCATTTCCGCCCCTGGGCTGGCGGTGCTGACTTCCGTCCCCTCTCGTCAGTGTTACGAAACGTCGAAAACCTGACCGCACCATAGCCTGCCATGCCGACGGGAGCTGGCGGCTTTGTATTCGTACGCCCCGCCCCCTCCCCGCAGAGGAAGCTCTGCTTGCGCCGCTGCTACCGAAGATTTCAGACGTGCGAGTGCCTGCACGCTGCAGCCCCTGTCGCCTGGGGGCGCGAAGGCGAGGCATGCGTTTGACCCACTCCCGCTAAGTTGCTGGCCGCTCCGCCAGCCTGCCCACTGCAGCTCTGGCGGTGTCGCAGTCGTCGCAGCAAAGAATGCATTCGCGTCCGGCTTTCCATTTCAGCATCTCACACTAACTCATTCACTATCCTTGATATCGGTGCTGCGGCGAACGCGACTGCCAGCTTATCCCTCCGACAGACTCCCCCGAGCCTCGATCTTCCCACGCCTTTCGTGCCCGCCAGCCCGCGTTGCTACGGCCGCACCGCTGCAGCCTTAGAAATCGATCGGCACTCCTGTTTGTGCAACTTTTCTTGTCTGCTGTGCAACTTCAGCTCTTCCTTGTCTCTCATAACTCGCTACGGTCCCTCTGTCGACCGCCAGAACTTTGTCCGCCTCACCACCCTTCCCCTTCCTCCGGCATGCTCGTCTTCCTCCTCGCTGCGCCATTACTGGCCCTTCCTGCCGCCGCAATCACGACGAACGAGGGCTCCGTATGTCTCGACTCGTGTGCCTCCTGGTCAACAACACTGGAACACTGCCGCAACACATTCAGCGATAAGAGTGAGTTCTCGCAGACGCTTGGGTGAGCTGACATCCAGACGCCCTGCAAAAGGACTACTTCTACTCGAACCAGTTCCTCGCCTGTCTCTGCACGGGCCAGAACCCGAACGGCGAGTACGGGAACACGACGATAAGCCAGTCGGCGAGCAACTGCGAGTCGTGCTCGACGACGCCAGCGCTCATCAAGAAGGACCTCTCCGTGAGTTGTTTTCGCCAGCTTGCCAGCACAGGGTGGGAGTCACCGCAGCCACCCTTGTTTCAAGTCGGCTGGGGTGTGCGCTAGTCGGCGACCCTGTTCCTCCGCCCTGCGTCTAGCCTATCGGTCCGCAATTCGACAATTCGGCGGGTGATGGCGAACAGCGCGGCGTGCGAGCCGGTGGCCGTGCGATGCGTTTTTCTGCTGTGCACGTGTGCTATGCTTCGGTTTGGAGATCCAGGAGCTGACAACCAGACGTTTATCAACCTCTGCGCCGTGCAGGCCCAGAACGGATCAGCAGCGAACTCGACGTTCTTCGCGCCTGTCAGCTACAAGACGGGCGACGACCAGGAGATCAAGGACTCGCTGGAGAAGCACAGTGCCGCCCTCCCCCTCGTCTGGAGCGGGGCGCTGCTCACCGCCGCACTCGGGGCAGCGCTTTCGGCCCTCTAAGCTTATTCTCGATCGCCGTCACACTCTGTGCCCGGCCAGTCACAATTCGCCCCTCTGCCGCTCTGCACGCACCCAGCGCGGCTGTCACCCGCGAACTGTCGCTTCCTGCACTTGAAAGTCACCCCGCAGAATGGCTTGCGACATCCACGACATTTTCACCCTCACCTGTACAACCTGATGACATCGACGAAAGTACGATATCGCAATTCGGCCGTCCGCACGGCACGCCGAATTGCACTGTAACCTACTCGACACTGTCCTGCGCTCCCCTCTCGAGCGACATCTTCAAGCATATCCACTAATCCATAGACACAACCACGAGCATTGTACATCCCGACAGACAACCACTAGACGGACACTCATAGACACTTCCGATGTAACATACCTCCCTATCTTCAAACGAGCCCCGTTGCCATGGCGACTGTGCCAGCTGCCTAATGCTGTGCCTCAGAACGCGTCTGGGGTGAAAGCCTAAAGGCCGTCGGGTCCGATCGGCGCACGCATGCGGCGCACGTTTGACCGACCCCCGCGCGGAGCATGCGGTGACGGTGAGCGGTCCCCCACGCCTTCCCCGCTGCCCCGTCCCGTCGTCGATGACGCGTGAGAGCAACTCTCTTGCTCGTATCAGCATGAGGGATCCAGCACATGGCCAATGCAGAACACGAGAGGCAGCAAGTCAAAACGACCAACTATGACGATCGCGCCCCGCCTGAATCGAAGCATAAATGTTGACTCTCACTTGTTCCTTCGCTAGATTCAGAGATGCATAGCATGTGATCGTCGTTGTTCGTCGTCGCCCGACTGGGCACGGCAAACAATCGAGCGGTCACTTGTGTCTGCGTATTTACGTAACGAGCACTGCTGGGTGGCAAAGGTGGAGGCCGCGTGAAACTCGCGTGTGACGAAATGTCGAGATTTCGAGAGGGGAGGAAGATCAATACGCATCTCGGTCTCTCACAGCCTTACCCACAACCAAATCTACGACGATGAGGCCAGCAATACTCCGCAGGGTTGCGGTAGCCTCGCAGCGTCGGCTAAAATCGACGGCGGCCAGCCAGCGCTCGGCAGGGAGCTTGCTCGCGGACTTTGACGCCCTTCAGGCGAAGCGACCAGGAGCGAAGGCGAAGAAGAGCAAGTCGAAGGCCGCCGTTGTCCCCGAATCTGCGCCTGAACCAGCCGTCCGGACCGCAAAGAGCGCAAGACCCGAAATTAAGTACAAGAACAGCATGGTGACGAAGAGCCAGGAACGCCTGGCGTTCTTTGCCGGCGACGAGGTCGACTTTGCCGGCGGCGACATTGAGGCGGCGGAGGACGTGCCCGGAATCGAGGTCGGACGCGTCGTCGAGCTGCGACGGTGAGTAAAATGAAAGCTAAGAAAAGTGCGGGCATAGCTGATGACAGATCGTACATGACGACCATTGGCGTCGTGCTCGCCACGATCATGCTCGATGGCCGAAGACGTCTTCTCGTGATGCGCGCCACGGGCGAGATCTGGCCCGCCGTGGAATCAGACGTGACCTTCGTCATGCCGCCCTCCTTGATTCCGAAAGAGGTGTCGGCAGGCTGTTGGTCACCGCAGCTGCTCCAGCTCTGGGCTACGGGGCAGGACGTGGGCATGGCGTCTGCGAGCGAGCAATCGGATCTGCTGGGCCGAAAGGAAGCCGAGGCGATGGCCGACTGCCGGCGACAGGCGTCAGCGTTCCTGCGTAAAGTGCAGCGCGAGACGGAGCGCATGGAGCGGCACCTCCTCGCTTATGGCGTGGGCGGCGCTGAGGGTATCTGGGAGCGGTACGCGGACGACGTGGAGCGGCGAACAGTCTCCGCGCACGAGGTGGCCATGACGCTGCTCAACCTGAAGCGGCCGATTGGGAAGAACACGCTCCCGACCTTCGCGGCGCACTGTCTCCTCATGCGGAAGCCCGAGTGTTTCGTCGCGGACGAGAGGGGCGTGTGGGCATCGGGGCGATATCTCGTTCGTTCCCGTCGCGAGCGCGAGCTGAGGCAGCGTGTCCGCGACAGAGTCTTCAGCGACGCACCCGAGATGCGCGCCTTTGCCAAGCACGCAGAAGAGGTGAGGGCCTCCCTCGCCGCCGACCAGCCTGCCATGGAGTGGGAGGACGCGGATCGCGAGTTTCTGCACGTGCTGACGCTCCCGATGGTCGAGACACGTTCGACGCAGGCGCTCCCCGCCGGCCCAGTGGCAAACAGCACGCTGAAGTCGCTCGGTCCTACGTTCCGTGAGGCGGGGAAGAAGGAGCAGGACACGATCGACCAGGCCGACTACATTGCAACGCTTGAGAGCGTAGGCATGATTCCCGCCAGCGACAGTCTGCGCGCCAGCATCGTGCGCGAGTCCGCGGAGCGCGCGGCTGCCATCGACGGGATCCAGCTCCCCGTCAACCCGGCTGGTCGCGATGGGCCGACCGAGTCGGACCGTCTTCTTGATGGACTCAGAGAAGACATGTCCTCCCCGGCGTTCGTCATCGATGACGCTGGCGCAAAGGAGCTCGATGACGGAATTGCGCTGGAGCGTGTTGGAGACGACTACTGGATCCACGTCCACGTCGCGGACCCGACACGCTTCCTTGCTCGCGGAGACGCCCTCGCGACCCAGGCCGCGTATATGGGCTCGACACTCTACTTGCCCGAGGGAACCGTCCCGCTCCTCCCGCACGAGATGGGCAAGGGCGCCATGTCCCTTGGTTCTGGAGACGGAAAGGGGCAGCCAACGCTCGTCATGAGCGCGCTCGTGACTGCCGACGGAGACGTCAAGGACACACGCGTGAGATTGGGCTGGCTGCGCACGCCGCGCATCACGACCTACTCAGCCGTGAACGAGGTGCTCGGTGTTCAGCCCCCTGAGCGCCGATACCCCTTTGGGCGCAACCCCGCTCTCTCTGGCAGCGAGGAGCGGGACGTTGCTCCGCTCTCTGAATCCGACGCCGCAGACCTGCGGACCCTGCAGTCTCTCGCCTGCAAGTTGCGCGCGAAGCGGACAGCCTCAGCGGGTCTCGAGTGGGACCAGCCGTACTCTACCTTCTTTGTCCGTTCCGCCCCGCCGCTCACGAACATCTTCAACCCCGCCTCCATCCCTTCCCAACCTACGGCCCCCCAGCCGTTCGAATACGAGTACGCCGTGGACCAGCTCGGCATGTCCCTCCCCAGCGCGCAAATGACGGTCGCCGAGCTCATGATCCTCGCGAACGGCATCGCGGCCCAGTTCCTGTCCGACCGTGGCGTGCACGCCCTGTTCAGAGGCAGTCTGCCTCCACGGGTGACGAGCCGCTCTCGCTCGACCGTCGAGGACCTGCTCGCGAAGCGTTTGCCTGGAACCGCCGTCCTGCCCCCGGGAGAGGTGGAGAAGGCGGCCCTCCTCTGGTCCCAAGCGACGGTCACGCCCGAGGCTCGCGAGGCGTGGCTCATGGGTCTTCCCGCGTACTTGCGCGCCACCTCGCCCCTGCGACGATACGACGACCTCCTGGCCCACTGGCAGATCAAGGGCGCCCTCGCCGCGGATGCGGGCATTGCCGACGCTTCGCTCAAGCCGCTGGAGAAGAAGGAGGTGGAGCGCGAGCTGTTCCGTGCCACGCACGCTGATCGCCGCGCGAAACGCTCAAACCAGGACGCGGTCGATTACTGGCGCGCATTGGCTGTGCGGGACGAGCTACGCGACCCGGCCCTCATGGACAACGAGAGGGGAAGGGTCGACCTGACTAAGCCGATCACGGTCCGCGTCCGTGACGGAGGTGGCATGACGCACGCGGCGGCCTTCTCCCCGGATCTCGGCGGCGGCGTGTCTGTCGAGACCGACCACGCTCTGCCTATCGGAGAAGAGGTCCAGGTCAAGATCTCGGGAGGCCTGACCTGGCCCAAGGCGGTCGTCACTGCCAAGCTGGCGTAATTACATTCGATTACACAATAGAAGACAACTTGTAGCAATTACTATTACATCATTATGCATAGCATCACTCTAGATCCACTCGGTGTCACTGTCCGTCTATCACGTCTACAACTCGCCACGCGGACGCGGCTAGAAGCCCATCCGCATCGGCGGCGGCGGGGGCGGCTGCTGGCCCCGTCCTCCCCGTCCGCCCTGTCCACCTTGCTGGCCGCCATACTGCTGTTGGCCGCCGTACTGCTGCTGCCCCTGCCCCTGCTGCGGGTACTGGCCCTGCTGCTGATATCCGTTTGCGCCGTACTGAGCGTAGTACTGCTCGTACCCCGGATACTGCTGGTATGCCTGAGCAGCGGGCGCGCCGGGCGGAGGTGGGGGAGCACCAGCCGGAGCACCGATCACGTTCGCCTGCGTGAAACCTGCCGGCAGGGCGGGGGCTGCCGGTGCCGGCGCGGCGGCCGGCGGCGGAGGAGGAGGGACGTACGCTGGCGTCGTTGCTGCGTGTCAGCTGTCTGCAAACGGATGAAAAGCTGCAGTCATCCAGTCTCGAGTGACTCTCTGCTGCCGTCGGCCGGGCGGCTTCTGGCTCCCACTTACATCCAAAGAATCCGCCCGACGTCTTCTTCGCCTGCGCAGCGAGCAGACGCTCCGCCGTCGTACCGTGGCGCTCGCCCTTGCCGTCCTTCTTGAACGCGTACTGCACCGAGACCTGCTTGCCGCCGAGGAACTGGTTGTTCATGTTCTCGATCGCCATGTCGCTCGCCTCGAAGTCGTGGAACGACACGAAGCCGTAGCCCTTGGATTCTCCCGTGGCTGGGTCGCGGGCGATCTGGAGACGTGTCAGCTACAGTATTCGCGGCCCAAGCAGCTGATGAATGAAGGGAATCGGGGGGGGACATACCTTGGGCTGCTCCGCGATTGCGCCGAACGTCGAGAACGTGTCGTACAGCGCCTGCTCATCTGTGCTCGGGTCGAGGTTTCCGATAAAGAGGTTGGCGCCGACGTCGAGCTGCTTCTTGTCGTAGCTCGCCTTGTTCACACGAATCGGCTTGCCGAACAGCTTGATCTGGTTCATGATCTTGCACGCGTAGTCGGCGTCTTCCTCGGACAGGAACTCGCAGAACCCGAAGCCCTGGTGCTGCATCGAGATGCGATCTTTCGGGAGGAACACGTTCGCTGGGGTCAGCTAAGCATAGAAGACCCTGAAGCTAAAAAAAGGTTAGATACGCACACACTGGACCCGCCTGCCTGTTCTCGTCAGCTCTGCAAGACCTCCTTAGCTTACAGCATCAGCTCCCAGATCAGTGCGTCCGTACACCGCTCATCGAGGTTGCCCTGTCTTGTCAGCTACCGGCGACAGGGGAGTAGCTTACCAGGTACACCGTCGCCTCCTGATTCCTGTCCTGTTCCGGCTTGTTCTGCATGGCGGCAGTTTTGGATGGTGGATGAGCAAAGCACGTCGTCTGTTATTGCGAGAGCTTGCCTGACGTTTGAATGGTACTTTCAGGTTGGGATCTGCCAATACAGTCACGTGACAAACGGCCACGTGTACGGTTCATGTCGTCGTGGTGCTGGGCGGTGGGTGGCAAAAAACAACAACGCAACGTAGTTACCGGAGCGGAGTGTGCACTGACATTCTTCCCACTCGCCGACCCTTTTGCCTGCACGCAGCCAGCATGACGACTCAGCAGCTGCAGCAACGCGACCTCCTCGTCCTGGTCTGGGTGCATGGGTAAGCTTCGTTGCCAGTTGGAGCTAACTCCAGCTTCAAGGGGAACGACGTAACGTTCGAAGGCTTTCCGGAGCGTGAGTTTTCAGCTTCGTCTTCCGAACGGTTTAGCTGACAAGTTCACAGGCATTGTGCGCATTCTAGAGGAAGCCCATCCGGCACTGAACGTGGTGTCGCACGTCTTCCCGGCGTACCAGACAAGAGGCGAGCTGGTAAGCTATCAAGAGCGATCCATTAGCTGACGACAGAACGCGGCCACCGAGGCTTTCGTCGAGTGGCTCACGGGCCAGGTCGTCGCGCTCGAGAATGGCGGCGGCGCAGGACGGGGCGCAGGAAGCGCCAAAGTCGTGCTCATGGGGCACTCGTGAGCTTCCCATTCACGTAGAAGCTGATGACCAGGATGGGCGGCCTTCTGATCGCCGACGCAGTCAGCCGGATCGTCCAGTCCACGCGTGAGAAGGATCCGCTGTGGCCCAACGTGGTCGCGACAATTGCATACGACACACCGGTAAGCTGTCTATCCCATCCAAGCTGACAACAGTATCTCGGCCTTCACCCGGTATGCTAACTTTTCCGCTTTGTAGCTGACGACAGCACGTATTCAAGCACCAACTCAGCCAAGCCGCATCTTATGCCGAGACGGCGCGCTCCGTCGCAGGCAACCTGGCCATGCTATCCCCATTAGCGCTGGGATGGGGATTCGGCAAAGCGAAGCAGGCCGAGGATCGGGCCGCCGAAGCCGAGTCAGCGAAGGAACGTTCTCCCGCCGCCGACCCGAACGCGCCGGCCACGCCGGCAGAGAAAGCGGGCGGGTGGTGGAGCGCCAAGACGGCCATGGGCATCGGCGCGCTCGCGATGGGCGCGGCGGCCGCCGCGGGGGCGTATTATCGCGAAGACCTGCAGAACACGTTTGCGACGGGCTGGCGCTGGGGGTTCGACCACATGACATTCGTCCGCAACCTGTGGGACAACGAGGGGCTCAGGAACCGTATGGCGAGGATTGAGGAGAATCGCGCCAAGCGGCATGTCGCTTTTGCAAAGTGAGTACGCGAGCGGAGCGAGCGGCGCGAGCACGACCGTGCGAGCGAGCGCAGGATCGCGAGCGTGGCGAGCGCCTCGACTCTTGGACGAAGCCAGTAGAGCTAGATCGCGTGGGCAGTTGTAGCTAACGGACAGCTTCTTCACCTGCCTTCCCCCCAAGCCGCCCCTCCACCCCGACGAGCGGACATTCACGATCCTCCCTCCCACGTCCGACCCACTGCGAGCCTTCTGGCGACCGCAATACAATTCGAAAGCCAAAGACGAAATCGGCGCCCACATGGGCATGTTCAACCCCTCCTCCAATGATGGATTTTACGATTTGGGGTTGCAAGTTAGCAGACTCATTGCGCGGCGACTGTTGGATCCCGAGGCGGCGGATGTGCCGCGTACCCCGCCCTTGGAGAAGAGCCCGGCGCCCGAGCCCGCTGGACCCGCCAAGAGGGCGAGGAAGACGAAGGCCAAGGCGAACGGAGCGCCCGACGAAAAGGACATTATCGACCTCACTGGCGAGGATTAGAGCTTGCCGCTGCTACACTCGTGCTCTCCCACGAACGCCGATACCGACGGCACAAACCACTAGATAGAAGTCTTGTTAAGTTAGTAGAACCCAAAATGCACACGCACGACCACACTCGCCCAATCAGCTGCACCTTCACAGGGCCTGCTCGCCACCGCCGCTGGCTCACTTGCGTCACGCCGGGCTGTCGCCCGGCTGTATGCTAAACTCGTACACTCGCATCGATTTTTTGCAACTACATTCCATGCTCATCATGCACATGACAGGTGGAGGCGTGGCCCGTGGCGCTGGCCCATGGGCTGTGGGGCCGGGCGGGCGCAGAATGATCTGATAATTGTATGGTGAACGAGGGGTTGAGGGGATCGAGGGGAGTTTGGCGGGACTTGGCTTTGCTTGCTTGAGGATAAAGGGGAGAAATGAAAAGAGAGAGAGAAAGAGAAAATAAGAGTAGAAATGGCATAGTTGGAAATGAAGAATTGTCGCGGAGGTCTGGTGTACACATGCGGAGAACTGAGGGTGGTGTTGCGACTGACGTCGCGACTAACCCGCACCCCACAGTCGCACGACTCCGTCGGCACCCGCACTCGCCACAATGGGCAGCTCGGGGTGCGACGCAACGTACGTGACGCCCTCGTCTGAGCGCTGGCGGTGTCCCGTGAGGTCCTGCAGCGACGTCTTGCGCTGCAGGTCCCAGAGGCGGACGCTGCAGTCGACGCTGGCGCTGAGGATTCCCATGGGCGAGAGCGGGGAGAGGGCAAGGCTCGTGATAGGAGCCGGGTGGGCGAGGAGGCCTGGGGCGGGCGGCGTACCCTCAGCGGGCTTCAGGTCGATGAAGTGCAGGTACCCGTCCTCGTGTCCCGTGACGACAAGCGGCATCGTCGGGTGGCTGACAATGGCGTTGACCTGCGAACCCTCCTGGCCGAGCGTCGCAACCTCGCGGTCCTCCTGGACAGAGTAGACCTTGACGAGACCGTTCGAAAGACCGATGAGGACACGCGAGTAATCCTGGTTGTCGGGCGCGAGGCACGTCGGCGTAACGCCCTCGCCAAAGTCCGAGTAGCTCGCCCGCAGCGTCCAGCGCCCGTTGCGCTCCTCCCAGACCTTGGCCGTGCCATCAGCAGACACAGATACAAGCGTGCTCTCTGCTCGGCGAGTGAGGCCGTTCGGCGCGGTCGAGCCGTTGCGCTCCGGTCGCGCTGGAAGCAGACACACGTCCCAGACAACGTCGGTGTGTCCCTCGAGAGTCTGGATCGCGGCCGAGGCGTCGTACGGGGCGTACGGGTCGTGGTCGCGGGGCGGCAGCTTCCACACGCGGATCGTGGAATCCATCGACCCTGAAATAACTACACCGAGGCTGTCTGAGAGCGTGACAGTCGTCACCGGCATGGTGTGACCGCGATAAGTCACGACTGGCTCGAGTTCAGATGAAGGGTGAGGCCTAAGCAGCGTTAGCACGGACGCGAAACCAGATAGCCGGTGTTTATTACTCACTTGGACGACATGACGCTTGGCGTGTCGAGCGCCCATACCTTGACCGTGCAGTCGTCGCCACCGCTAGCGAGCACGAGGTCGGGCCCCCGCGCGATGGCGACGCCGCGCACAATGTCGAGGTGGCTCTTCAGTGTTCGCCGCGTCGTCCAGATGCGGTCTGATCCTCCGTCCGTCTCGTTCTCCTCCTCGTCGATCAGCGTCAACGTAGCTAACTGTTCCTCGTCACTGGCGCGCCTTGGTGGCCAGGGCACCTTGCTGGCGGCCTCGTTTGCAGCGCGCAGCTGGTCGCGCCACGCAGCCTTGGACTCGGGCTTGTAGATGGCAGTCAGGACCTGTCGGGGCTGTTCCTGCTGCTGTTGAGTCTGAGCTTTACCAGGCTCCTGCTTCCCTGAGGCGTCATCGCTCTCGGGCAGGCCTACCGTGCGAGGTGCTGGTGAGGGAGGGGCGTCTGATGTTCCTGCGATAGAACTCCCAGCAGGGGTGGGGTCGGCGGGTCGGGGAGCAGCCGGAGGGGGCGCCGACGTCTCAGCTCCGGCTCCGTTGGGGACTGAATAGCTCTGCTGCTGCTGCTGGCTGCCCGATCCAGAGGAAGCGCTCTCCTCCTTGGGCGCTTCGGACTGAGCCTGCTGCACCACGGAGGGCGGAGCCTTTACGCTGAATAAGGAAGGCAGCGGCTGGTCCGGGAGCGTCTTCTTCGGTCGATCAAGAGCTCCGGGCGGCTCGCCGTTGGACGCCGCATTCTCGTCGACAGCAACAGGAGCTCGCGGGGGAAGAGGGTTCAGAGCTCCGGGCGACGTGAGATAAGTGACTTCCTGCAGACATTGCTTCAGGTACTCGCGGCTGCGAGCGCGAGCCTTAGGATCCCGCTGGGGTCCGCTGAGGTTCTTCCATCCGCTCGTGTCCGGCGAAGGCCGATGAGAAGCAACTTTAGACACGGCAGATCCGTTCGCTTTTGATTGCTGCGAGCGCTCTGTGCACGGATCAGCGGTCTGAACGGGCTTTCGGAAGGCTTTCCGGGCAACTCACCGATGTCATCGCCACCCTCACTGCTTCCGGGGCTCCCTTCCTTCTCGTCGCGGTTCGATGACGTCTCCTCGTCCTTGAGCGCGACGAGACGAGACGGAGGGATGGGCGGGGGCGTGCCAGATGAGACCGGGCGCGAGGTCGTTGATGCCTTTGTCCTGTGATTATGTCAGTACGAAGTTACTACAGCCACTGCAGCTGCGCGGGGCGTGTTTATGTGCGCTCACCTTTCCTGACGAAGAGCGAATTCAAGCATCTTGACGCGGCGTAGCAAATCGACCTTGAGGTTCTCGGCGGACCTGCGCTGCCCCTCAAGGAGGGCGATACGCGCCTGTGATTGTCAGCTCTGCTGCCTGTCTGTGACTGTTCCCGACGAGTGCTTTGTTCGCTCATCTGCGCGAAAACGCAAACTGCGACGGCACAGTGACACGCACCCTCATCTCGGCGCGTTCAATCTCCCACTCGTTGCGGTCACGCTCCCATCGACGCCACTCAGACTGCAGATAGTGCAGGACGTTGGCGAGGTTCATCTCGGGATTCTGGGCCGCCTGCGAGTTGCTTTGGCCGTCGGATGCAGAGTTAGGGCCCATGCCTCCGCCCTGAAGCTGCATGCCCTGGTTCTGCTGCATCTGCTGCGGGCCGGGACCGCCGCCGACGCCGCCACCCATGCCGTTCATCTGCTGGGGACCGCCGGCGCCCATGGGCGGACCGTTGGGGCCGCCCATCTGGTTACCATAGATCTGAGGTGGGTAGCCTTGCGCGTAGTCTCTACGCTGCTGAGGGCGCATCATGGTGGGCGATGGCCTTGAGAAATGTGGTGGTGGTGTCTAGCCGCAGTGAGGACGCGTCAAGCCGGAGGCGAGAAGCCTAGAGCACGACGTCTGTTCTCAGAGCTGCGAGAGCGGGCGAACAAGGACAGTGGCGATTCGTTTTGGTGGTGTTGGATAATGTGTCGTGTGGGTTGATGGCGACGGAGAAGACTTTGAGGTCTAGGCGTAGGACGGAGAGGACAGGAGGACTGGAGACTCGGGGCAGAATGTGCGATCCGAGTGCTTCAAGTCGGTTGGGCCCGTTGCGTCCGTCGCACGACACGGAAGGGGCAAAGGGCAAATAGGCGGGAGAGAATGGAGTGTTGAGTCTAGGCGGGGAGGTGGGACGTGTCGAGGCTCAGCGCACTGCGGGGCCGTCGCGGCGGGGGCGTTGCGGGAGTCGTGAGAGGCCGGGGCGGACGGACAATGCTGATGAGGGGGGTGATCTATACAGGGAAGAGTGGTGGATGACGGTCCTTGACGAGGAGAGAGTGCGGTGGTGAGGTGGATGCGGTGTGGTGTGCGGCGTGCGCGCTGCTGCCTGGTTGCCTGCCTGGGCTGGCTGGGCTGGCTGGCTGTCGCTTGTGTGCTAGTGCTGCACGCCTGGGTGTGCTTGGCTGACTGACTCGCTCCTCTGCGCTGTGTCCTGACCAGGAACTCGTGCAGTGGTGGATCCCCCATTAGGCCATTAGGGCTGGATTAGCCCCCGCATTCTAATTCGTTCCTAATGCATTAAACAGCGTGCCTCGGCGTTATCACGAGTGGCACCCGTCATCAGTCCCCACTGCAGCATACTATCTGGGCGATCCGCTGGTCTCTGGGTGGGTAAACCTGATTGCATCCAAGACTCCGAGTCTATTGTTGAGACAAGTTGAGAAAGGAAGGTCGTTTCCTACACGCCATCCTTCCAAGCGGCCTTCTCAGCACGCGCATTGCCCTCCATCTGCTTGCTCTGATCCCCCGTCACCATCCCCGCGACACTCTCCAGCTTGCCCTTGACGCCCTCGGCGCTCGGGACTGGGACAGAAGCGATGCCGTCACTGTTCGCCTGCTTGTACTTCCACTGAGCACCCTCAGCCTGCATGTTGCCCTCGTTCTGCATCTCCTGGTTACCCGTGACATAGCCGAAAGCACTGGGGTCAGCTCGTACGCGGAAAAAAGCGAACGTGTTGCGGTTCCAGCGAGTTGAAATGACCCCAGGAAGACGCCACCGCGTGGAGAAGGAAGGTGCACTCACGACTTGGCCTTGCCCTTCGCGCTGTCGACAGTCGCATCCTTCTTCGCCTCAAGCTTGGCCTCCTCGACCTCGACCTGGCCCTCCTGCTGGAGCTTCTGTCCAGACTCGATCCACGCATCTCCCGTGGCTCCGGGGAGGACGGATCCGATGGCCTGTTCAGCCATGCCCTGGAGGTTCTGCGGCGTCAGTTGGGATTCGGTCACCGAACATACCTTGAGCTGCCCAGAGATCTGGCTCGGCTCCTGCTTGTTCTGTTCGGACATCTGGTGTGTGTGTGCGCGCGCGTACGTTGCTCGAAGTGTGCAGATGCAAGTCAGCGGGTCAAGCGACGCGCTGCTGTCGGAATAAGCGGGACGCATGTAGAGGGGTGACTGCCCTTCCTCAAGTGTCAGGAACATGTGACGTCAGTCAACATGCCGCACACCCCCGCACAGTGCATCGGGCATCGGCGTGCATCCTTCTCGTGACCACTGCTTGCCCGCTTGATCTCCGCATGCTGAGTAAACGCCCACGCTCGACTGGCCAGTGATACACAGATATAACTCGGCACATCCATCTCGGTGTTGGCCAGTGCACTCGATGCGTCTCTCTGCAGTCCAGAGAGCAGCTTACCGACTTCGATACCACCAGGGCAAACTTCCTCCCGGATACGAGAACATGACCCATCCCCTTAAGCCGCCTGCGTGGGCCAAGAACTTCCCCGACTCTACTGCCAAGCCAAGCAGCCTGTTCAACTTTACTGGAACGACTGCATCGTCGACAGCGGCGGTGAGGAAGGTCCTCACAGAGAATGACCACGGATACGACATCTTCGAGAACCCGCCCCGGCGATGTGAGTGTGTCCTCTTCCACCTCCCGCTCTCCTTCCTCGTTCTGGGAGGACGTTACTCGGAGAGGCTAGCTACACGTGGCGTAGGCAGCTAACAGCAGACGCGCACAACCACTTCTCCCACTCAGCTCTAAGCCGCTACGCCCTCGGTGCGACTGCCCCGCTGATTGACGCCGACTGGGTCTATGACCGCCAGCACTTAGCCCCGCTCGATCCCATCGAAGGCGGCCGCGAGCGTGAGATCAAGACCCTCGACCTGCCCGACAAGTTCACAACGGACAACTGGGCAGACAAGAAGTGGTACGAGCGCAAGGGGTGAGTTCGCGCTCCGCTCTATCGAACTGACACCCAGCGCTTATTCTCGGTACATTGTCTTCTTCCACGAGGAAGTCGCCCGCCTGGGCCGCGAAGAGGCCGTGCGGCAGTACATCTTTGGCAAGGCCGGCAACGGCGAAACCGGAGGTGGAGTCGCAAGGAATCTGCTGCTGCTGTACGGCGGCGTGTTGCACCCGATGCTGCACATCGGCTTCGGGCTCGAGTTCGGGGACGACGTGCTCGTGGCTGAAGGTCTGGCTCTGACGTGTATCCATGAGCTGGGCGTGCTGCCGGAGCTCTTCCCGCCCAACTGGCCGCAGGACGCGCCCCTCCCCAAGCCCAAGGGTGGATATGCCGACAGCTTGCTCGAGATCTACTTCGAGTTTTGCCGGGATAAGGTCCTCGATCCCGGGCCCTACGACCCGGACCAGCTCATCAGTGCGCGACTCCGGAACGCGGTCGCGACGCCCGAGAAACAGAGCCGTCTGCGCGACCTCGTCGCCAGCTGGAACCTCGAGAATATGAGCGAGGCGGGGCTGCAGAGGCTCCAGACCGAGCTCGGATTCTGGGTCACGCTCCTGACCTCGGGCACGAGTAGGCCGGGGCACAAGCCCCGCATCGACTTCTTCCTCATGCACATGCTGACGTCGTCGCTGTTTGTGCCGAGCTACCTCCGGATCCTCAGCGATACCGACAAGCGCATCTTCCTGCAGGGCTACCTGCTTGCGGGACTGCAGATGTGCATGTCCCGCGGTAGCCCCAAGCTCTATCCCGCCAGCATCATGGGGTACACCGAGTATCCGGCCGGACCCGCGCCATTGGCGGCAGACAGGGCCGAGGACGCCGACAAATTGCACGCAATCGGCACGCCCAAGGATCGCAGGGAGGGCAACCCCTGGCTCCGGATCGTGGACAATGCGCTCGTCGCGCACGACAGCCACGTGCCCAAGAGTATCCGCTCGCTCGTGTTTTATGCCCAGCACGCAGGCGAGACGCCCAAGGGCGGATATCCTGGTGCCAAGAGCGAGAAGGAGATTGAGACAATGGGCGGATTGAGCGGGGAGGAGAAACAGTGGTGGAGGGACATCAATCAGGTTGACGGAAGCGTGTTTGTGCGTGGCGCTGGTGCACTCATGGATGTGCTCGGGTGGACGAAGGAGGGTACGAAGCAGGGCGAGTGGGACCGGTCCGCCCTCGGCTGGGACGGAGCCTGGGAGGGCGACGCGGTGACGGACCACTGGCGCCGGGCCGGCGACTAACCCCTCCCTCGCTGTATGTACGTTAGTAAACGTAGTATGAAGCTGCAGTGCCAGAAGCAGAAGCAAAAGCAGAAGTCAACTGTATCACATTACATCCCCATGCTAAAGTATAGGATAAAGTGTCTACTCGGTCTTCTCCTCGGCCTTCTTGTCGTCGGCCTTGCTGTTCATTGTCAGTTAATGCAAGAGAGCCGTCGAACTCACGCCTCCTCCTTGGGCGCCTCGGCGGCGTCCTTGGAGTCGTCCTTCTTCTCCTCAGCAGGAGCGGCGTCCTTCTTCTCCTCGGCGGCGGGCTCCTTCTTCTCGACCTTCTCGCCCTTGTGGAGCTTGACGTTCTTCTCGCGCGCGTCCTCGAAGGCCTTCTTGAAGAGGTTGGCGTCTGCGTGTTAGCTGACGAAAATCTGTCTCTTGCAGCGACTAAGAACGACTTCGCTCGACTTCGTCGAGCCCGAAATGACGACTCACTCTCAGAGTTGGCGAAACGGATGGCGAGGAGCTCCTCCTGGGGCTCGCCGTCGGCGTAGTCGGCGGCAACGTTCCAGACCCACGAACGGTCCGAGCCGACGTTGGGCTCGAGGGTCATCTCCTGCGAGACTGGGGGTTAGCTAGCACAGAAACGACAGCTTACTGATGTGGTTGGCGCAGACCTTCAGAGTCTTATCCCGGCGCATGACGAGACGGGCCTTGCCGGTCTCCTTGTGCTCGAGGATGCGGACGTCGCCGGTACCGCGCTCCTTCCACTCCGAGTCGGCCTTGACGAAACGGAAGAGCTTGGCGCGCCTGGGGAGTCAGCTGGATCATCGGCGACGGAAGCTTGTGCAATGCATGCAGGACTGTGGGGCCCGCAGATGAGGAGATGAACAGAGCAGGCGAAGGAACAGGTGAGATGTCCGAGCGCAGCGCTCTGGGCCTTTGTGTCGCCTTGTCCCTCGCCCCCTCTTGTTCTCGTACCTCTGGGTGGCGTGACCCTGCAAGCTGGCAAAAGCATCAACAAACGCACATCTTGAAGAGGACCTCCTCGTCCTCCTCGTTGGTCTTGGTCTCGACCGTCTCAGTGAGGCGGACGACGGGCTCGAACTGGGGGTCGTGCTCGTTCTCGCCGGTCTGTTTGTAGCGTCAGCGTCCAAAATCTCGCAAAACCACATGTGTCATCCTCTCGATCGCTCGAATCGCCGCTCAAAACTCTGATACTGACAGTCTTGGGCTCGGTGTCGGCCATTGTTGCTGGTTTCTCTTTTGTGTCTACTGGGTTAGCGAGCACTCTCGGCAGCGGGGAAAGGGCGCAATGGCATTGACTCACGGAGGTGTGGGAGAGGGGGGGACAGGGGACAGAGGTTGATGTTGGAAGAAAGTGCCAGAGTGGAATCTCGAACCAGCTCGCGACTGTCCTGCGGGCGAGGGCTACTCACGGGTCCTCCCCCTTCGCAGGCCTGAGCAAATCCGCCCAATTCATCGTCGATTAACCTCTTTGGCGCGCCTACAATCAAAAACGCGCCTAGACTTCCTTAAAGGATCCACGCGACCTCCATCACGTGATTGTCTTGAGCGGTACCGGCAATGGCACTGCGCGTGCCACGCATCACACCCTCGAGCGAAGCGCGACTATGAGCGGTTCCAGCAGCCACCAACAAGCCCAGCGAGCTGTAACTCCACTCTCTCATCTCACGACTGACGACCCCTAACGCCAAAACAGCAGGACAAACATCATGCTCCAGCTCCTCGTCGCCGTGCTGGCGTTCCTCTCCCTCTCCCTCGCGCACCGCATCGACATCGAGCCCGGCACAAAGGCATGCTTCTACGAGACGCTGAACCCGGAGGACCGCGTAGGCTTCGCATCGTATGTTCCAGCTAATACCAGATGACGGTCACGTACGAGGTCGGCCACGGCGGCCAGATGGACATTGACTTCTACGTGCGTATGGCCGCTGCAAGGCGCGCAGTGACGAGCTGTGACTTCGCTACCTACGCAAGGCTGACGATCAGGTTACGGCACCCAACGGCAACACGATCGCGACGCAGAGCAAGCAGGCGCAGGGCACGTTCAGCACGACGGCGACCAGCACGGGACGGTACACGTACTGCTTCTCGAACGAGATGAGCTCGTACGCGACCAAGACCGTGTCGTTCAACGTCCACGGCGTGCTGTACTCGGACACGGACGAGATGGGCCCCGTTGAGGAGGAGATCCGCGACCTCGCCTCGGGTCTCCAGCTCGTCAAGGACGAGCAGGCATACCTCGTCGTGCGTGAGCGGGTGCACCGCAACACGTGCGAGTCTACTGTGAGTATCCGAGCAGGCGTAGGCTGCGTCAGTCTACCTTCTGAGGGGCTGTCGCATGCAGAATACTGGCTATCGCCTAGCAGAGCCCAGCTCAGTGGTTGCACGGCCTAGAGCTGACATCAGAACTCGCGCGTCAAGTGGTGGGCCGTCGCGCAGATCGGCCTCCTCCTCGCCATGTGCGCCTGGAACGTGCACTACCTCAAGAGCTGGTTCGAGGTGAAGCGGGTGCTCTAAGCGTCCCCACCGAGGTGGTAGTAGATGTATACAGATTTAGCATATGGCGGGATAACTTCTACTGATGTCTAAAGAGGAGGAAGATCGGGGAGTGGTTTGGTTACATGAGCAGCGGCCTGGATCCCGACGCAATCCCCATGGTGACCTGGACCATCTTGAGCCGTTCGAGTAGAGCGACGACCTCGGCACTCTGCCCGCGGACGACGTCGTCATCGTCGACGCTGGCAACGTATCTGAGAATGTTGACCGCGCGATCAATGGTCCGCGGATTGATCGCGCCAGCGTCCACCTGCTGCTGTTGCTGTCCTTTTTGGCCAGACGCCCGGATGTCGGCAGAAATGTCAGTCTGGCCCGGAAGACGCATCTTGAACTCTGTCTCCGGAGCTGGTTCTTCCATCGCCGCCTCGATCAGGGCCGCAACGAGCAGACCGAGGAGGTAGACGGCCGCACGCCTCAATGCAGGGTGCTTAGAGTCGTTCGTTTTCGTCGGCTCCGCGTCGACAATACGAGGCTTCTCATCCTTGGGCTTCTCCTCCTCGACCTCTTCGTCGTCCACGAGCTGGATCTTGGGGTTCAGTTTCTCCCGCAGTGTGGTAGTCTTCATCTCGGGTTCTTCGGGCTCCGGAGCAGATTTTCCGCCCGTCACGGACTCGAGCTGGATCAGGTCCAGACAGCCAGACACGAGCTCGTCCATCCATGGCAGCATGGCTAGATGGGAGGACTCCACGGCGGTCGAGAGGAGCGACAGCGCCGAGGAGCGGAGGACAGTCGGGAGCGAGGCGTCGGGATACATCCGCATAAGGCGGGGGACAATGGTATCGGCTGTCTGTCAGCTCCGCACTCGGTTTCTTGTAGCTGTTTAATCAACAACTCACCGTTAGCAGCGAACGCCTTCCCGCTCCGCTCAATCACCATGCCGAGCACCTCACCCACGCGCAGCGCCTTGTCCAGCCTATCTCCGCTCAATTCTCCGCCAGGACAATACGCGTTCACGAGGGAGCGGAAGATGGGCGCGCCGAGGTTGTTACACATCTCCACCAGACCCGTCACGGCGTGCAGGTAGATGTAGCTGTCCGAGTCTTGGATTGCGCCCATGAACGCATCCATAATGCCCGGGGTCAGGGCTGGATCATAGTCGGGCGACTTTGTCAGGTCAGCCAGCAGCTGGAGGCCATGCGCGCGGACGGGGACGACGGGGTCGGACAGCAGCGTCAGCGCGCGCTGGTACGTTGCCCTCGTGCCCGATGCCTCGACCTTCTTTCCCGAATCGTCCGCGGGAGCGTCCGTGGTGTTCGAAGAGTCACCGACGGAGAGAGCTTGGCTGCGCCGCAGAAGCAGAAGGAGAAGCGCCTCTCGCGCCAAGCGGCGCACGCTGGATGAGGGAGAAGACTCTGAGAGTACCTCGAGATGGTCGTTGATCGGGTGCAAAATGCGCGCAGTGGCATGGTTCATATTCTCATCCTTCTCCAACGCGGCGATCAGGAGCGAAATACTCGTCTCCACGAGGCCGAGCTGCGCCACACCCTCCTCCGTGAGCTCTGGCAGCTCTTCTTCGTCTCCGTCCATCTTGGCATCTCCGTCACCCTCGTCTATCTCCTGGATGAGAGGGCCCTTAGGCTTCTTCTCCTCAGTAGCCGAGGCCTGAGTCTGCTTCGCAGCCTTCGCCTCGTCGCCGAGCACGGCCTCGACGAAGGAGAGCACGTTACCGGCGTCAGCCATGATCTTGTCCGGCCCCAGAGTCTCGATCATCTCCAGCGTTAGCTTCAGATACAGCAGACTCTCGAGTGGGTCGGTGCCGGCCGCGTAGCGCACGCGCCAGGCGTTGAGGACCTTCAGCAGAATGGCACTCGACAGATCCTTCCGGTCAAGCCGCTTCAGGAACTGGGCAAAGCGGGCGGGATTCGGCGCCAAGTTCAGCTGGTTCAGGAGAGCGTCTTCGCCGAGGTCCTCGCCTGCCGTGCGAATTGGCTCGTCCACGTCCATTCCCGCTTCCAGCTCGGCGGGGTATCCGCGCACCAGGGCGGCACTGTCGCCCTCTGGCCGCCATGCCAGCTGCGTGCCGTCCTCGGACGCCGGCCAACCGCGGCCACCAGTCACGATCGACCACAGACCGGCCACACCGTCAGCCTCAGAGGCCAACTTGCCCCAGCTCGTCAACAGCGTGCTGACGTCCTCGAGCAGTCCGCTCATCTTCGCCTTCTCGATACTGGTACCGCTGGGAGAGAGGGCGTCATACAGCGCAAAGATTGGCGGGAGAATGGAACGCATAATGAAGTCGACAAAGTCCGTGTTTGGCGGGGCATGCAGCATCAGCTGTCCCAAAGCCTGAACATTGCGCGCGACCTGGTTCGGCAGCACCAGCACACCATCCCCGGGCCCCGGGTTCAAGAAGGGATCGTGCAGGTGGTGGTCGAGCCAGTTCTTCGCGATCGGGTTCGTGTACCACAGCCGGTAGACAATGTAAGCCGCCGCGTGGGTGAAGACGATGGGGTGCGCTGCGCTTTCAGGCGCGACGAGCTCCATTAGCCTCTCCATCAGGGCGGGGATGTACTGCTCCTCCGAAGCACCTCGCGGCGGGCGAGCCAGTAGACCGACGATCTGGTCCAGCTTCTGCGCGTCGACAGCCTCGGGACCGATCATGTTGCCAGCCTCTCCAAGGACGTTTTCGATAATGCCGCGAACACCGCCCGGCCGTTGCAGCTGTCCGCTCATCAAGGCACTGAGCGCACTCTCGACGTACGCCGGGTATCGGCGGATCCAAGCCTTCGGCGGACGGTTCTTGCCTGCCTGCACGAACTTCAGCGCCGTGCCCAGCGCACCGAGAGATTGCGTTGGCGATAGCTCGGCGAGGACGGACAGAAGCTGGGTGCGGATAGGCGCATACGTCGGTGGAGGTACCGTCGGCGTCCATGCCAGCGTCACGCTCGCCAGCACGATCGGTGTCAAGTGCACGCTGATGAGCGTCGTGGTGATGGTCGTTGGTGGAGTGGAGTACGAGCTCGAGCTTGAGCTGGCTCCCGGCGGTGGCTTCACGACGAGTAGGCCGAGGAGTGTCCGGACGCACTCGGGGAAGGCGGGGTTCGTCGGCGCTCGAGAAGGCAGGCCGGCGATGTATTCTGTTGTCAGGGAGAGGAGGTAGCTCGCTACGGCGTGGGCAAGCAGCAGGCGCAACAACCTGAGGTCCGCCGTGCCAAGAAGGACTGTTCGTTAGTTTAATCCGCACTATCATCAACTCACACTCCTTCGCGTCCAATCCGCCCCGCGCCTCTAAGGGCCAGAACTCCTTCTCGAGCCACTCCTGCATGCCGACGACGATGTCGAGACTGCGCTTGCCCACAAGCTGAACAAGAGCGTCACGACGCGCCTTGCGCTTGTCCTTGTCCGAGTCGTCATCATCGCCAATCTCGTCGAGCTCATCGTCTTCCCCCCATCCAGGCTTACTTCGCCAGCTCGGGAGCAGCTCGGAGGAAGACCGCAGACGTTCGAGCAGTGCCGGAGGAGAGCTTGGCAGCGGCTGCGGCGGTTTCAGCAGCGCCTTCGCACTCGACAGCAGCGTCTTCAGGTTCACTGCGTCGGGCTCGGACATGACATGGGTGTGTTGTTGACGACTTGCTCGGTGAGCAGCAGCATCGTTAATGACGTCTGTCCGAGCAGATCGGCCAACTTCTGGCAGCCACTATCGGTGATCACGTGAGGGGAGTGAGCGATGGCTCAGCGTTCTGGTAGGAGCGGGGGTATTTTGTGGATGTGCACATGGTCGCCCACGCCACGCTGGGTGGACACCTCCGACAGTGTGAGTGCTCCAGCCTGTGAGCGTAGAGCTAGGGCCCGGTTCTTTCGCTCGCGTTAACCGACCAACGCTGACATCTCCTGATCCTGATCCGTTCGACCATCCCAACCCCGTACACGCCCACTTGACACTTTCTTCACGATACAGCCAACTCACCCGCCCTCCGGCTCCTCTGGCTCCTCTGGCTCCTCCAGCTCCTCCTCCACTCCTTTTCCTGCTTCCTCTTCCTCTTCTTCCACCTTCGACTCCCACGCTCCCGACACTCGCTCGACCCGCTCCCGCCGCAACACCCGATCTCCTCGCGCCGCCCCATCTCCGCTTCCACTCGCATCAGCGTCCCCTCCCCCGGACGCACTCACCCTCTCGCCCCCGAGCCCGCTCACGCCCGCCAGCCTCCGTGGCCCTCGCACGTGGGGCACGCTGGCGATCAGCTTCCCCGCCATGACTCCTCCAAGGGCGCAGGTGCGCTCGCCCCCCAAGCTGGACCAGTATGAGCTGCTGTACAACAGCGCAGTGCAGAGCTTTGTCCGGCGCGACCACGTCAAGACGCAGGCGACGCTTGCGCGGCTGCTCGACCTGACCCGGGCACTCCCCCGGACATCTTCGCCATGGTACGACGTCTCGTCGACCGCGGCGCCGCAGCCCGGCGACGAGTGGATGACCAAGACGCTCAAACTGGCCATTAGCGCGAATGCGTCGCTGTATTCTGACCCGCCGCGCGCACCCGGGGCACTGGCGCCGGACGTCGCGGACCGCCTCCCGCCGGCGTCTCCCCGGCAGATGCTGGGCTACATCCTCGACCTCTGCGTGAGCACGTACGGCTCGTCGCTCCTTCCGCCAGCGCTCGTTTCGACCTTCCTCCTGGCGAGTCTGAAGCTTCAGCCGCTGCAGGACTCGCTCGAGTTTGCGCACCAGCTAGTGGAGGACTGGCTCGCCAACCTACCCGACGAATTCGTGCTCGCCATCGCGGCCGACCCCCACCCTCCCCGCGGCACCTCGGGCGGGGCCGCGCGCAAAAAGCGCCTCGAGAACGCGCGCGAGGGGTACCTGAAGGTGGTGGAGATCTTCATCGGCGAAGTCCTCTCGCGCGAGGGCGAGTGGGAGATGGCCCGCGGCATGCTCGAGGGCGAGATGGTGATGGGCAGCAAGAAGAAGGAGGCCCTGTACCGGCACCTGCGGAACGTGCAGGCCAAACCCGTCTCGCAGGCTCCGTCGCCGGCATCCAGCGGCCTGCTCCCGCCACAGGCCATCCGGAGCACGGAGTCCGAGGCGAGCAGCGAGGCCACAGCCCGCCCGGCAGGACACCAGGCGCAGCACCACAGCGAGGCGAGCACGGTGCAGGCCTCAGAGGAGAGCGACAGCACTGTGCCTGCCGCCCCGCGCCCCGAGGTCGCCCGCCCCCAGCCGACGGGATGGCTCACGGCCGTCCTCAGCCCGTATCTCGTGGAGAAGATCAACGCGGCCGGAGGGCTGCACGTCGTGCTCGGCCTGCCGGCCGCGGCTGTCGTGGTGGTGCTCCTGATCCTGCGCCGCGTGCGCGCGCGCGCCGGCCGCCTGGCGACGAACGGAAACGACGTCCGCGAGAAGCTCAGACGGGTCCGGAATACGGGCCTCCTCGCGTTCGTGCAGTGGGCGCTGAGGTGGTGGGCGGAGAAATTGGCGGGCGTGTGGAAGCTGGGCACCACCATCACGTATATGTGATCAGTTCAGACCCTTCATTCTGGCCGCAACGGTGGCATGCCGGCCGCGGCATGACGAGTCATCTTGTCCTTTCTTTTCTTCTCCTACACCCTTCAGCCTCGTATAGAGCGGCAGCGGCCGCAGACAGCAGACACAGATAGCCGACACACAGTGCACCAGTAGTAGTAGACAGACAGACTATTCAGCAGCCAGCAGCGACGTAGGTAGCCGTGGACCGCTGTAGTAGTAGTTAAGCAGCAGTAAAAGCAGCGAGCAGAGCAGCAGGACAGCAGGGCAGCAGGTATCAGACGAAATGCATGAGATTCCAACACGGTAGCGGTAGCGTTCGTGCCTGTGACGAGGCAGGAGGGGGAGTTGTAAAAAGTTTGGTACAAGTTAAAAGCCGGAATGATTAGATTCGGAAAAGTGGGGATGGATTTGGATGGGGAAGGGGAGCTTTCGAGGTTGGTGGGGCTATGGAGTTCGGGGGAGCTATGGATGAGAGAGGCAAGGAGGAACCATGAGACAGACGAAGAGTGACCGGAGAGAGACAGTTTTAGCGGGATATACGGAGCCGGTTGGCTTAGAGGAGACCGGCGTTGCGCAAGTTGGCCTGGATGAGGACATCGTGGCAGGCGGAAATAACGAAGGCGAGGCCCTTGGTATCGGTCGCATCCGTGAAGTGGGGGTAGACCGTCTTGTCCTTTGCGAGAGCGGTGAAAGTCTCCATGAGGAACTGGGACGCGGCCTTGACGTCGCTCCCGCCCTTGTACTCGGGGAACAGCACGTTGAGGGGCGACTTGGGCAGCTTCTCCTTGAACAGGTCCATCTTGTTCAGGAAGAGGATGACAGACGTCTTGAGGAACCACCGGCTGTTGACGACCGACTCGAACAACGTCATCGCCTCGTGCATGCGGTTCACCGTTTCGTCCTCGTACAGCACCTGGTCGTATTCGTTCATCGCGATCAGGAACACGAGCGCAGTCACCGACTCGAAGATGCCGAGCCACTTTCGTCGCTCCGAACGCTGGCCGCCCACGTCAAAGATTCGGTAGTGCAGCTCGCCAATGTGGAAGTGTGTCTCCGTAATACCCGTCGTCTTGACACGCGCGCGCAGAATGTCCTGGTCCGTCGGCGTGTAGTTTGCCTGCGAGATGCGGTCGACCGCCTCAAAGTAGCTGTCGTTAGCTTCATTGGCTTCAGAATCTCGGTAGCTCTACTCACTACTCTGCCGAGTCGTTCAGCTGCAGCTCGTTCCGCCGCGCGTACGCTGATCGCACGCCCTGGTCCTGCCACAGTCCCATGACGGCGTCGGCGAGAGCCGGCGGCATTACCCGTCCCTCCACGAGATCCGGCGCGTTCATGATCGCCTCCCATCGCGCCTTGTTCGCGCCGTTGATCTGCAGGTCGAAGTGCGCCACTCCCTCGAGCAGCACTCGCATCGACTGCACCGTGTTCGAGTACACAATCTCCCGGTAGCTTTCCCGCTCTTCCGGGTCATACGGCCTGACGAAACGTTAGCGCACGGACCCCCTCACGCATAAGTCCGCCTCGCAGCTTGCTTCAGCCTCCTAGCGCCCGGCACGCCTCGCGTTCCCCGCGGCTGCAGCCGGAGACAGCCTCCAACCCATGCAAGCCCACTTGGGCCACTGGCCTCGTCGACGCCATTAAATTTGATGTGTCCAGCGACGTCCGAGCGCTGAGCATGCAAGTTAAGCGAGAAGAACTTTGGACGTACTTGTTGTAGATCAAGCGCATCTGCTTCAGAACGGTCGACTTTCCTGATTCTCCAGCACCTGCAACGTCAGTTCATGCACGATAGCCGCCGAACTCACCGAGGAGCAGCATCTTGACCTCCCGCTGCATCTCCTGCCTATCGCGTTTCAGCTGTTCCTCAATCTCGGCATTGCCTGCGACTAGTCAGTTCCGATAATTAGAGTTTATCAATCGCGATCGCGAATCGCGGATCGTGATCGCGGAATTCCGCACGATTCAATGGCACTCACGAGCCTTGGCATCGGCGTCCTCGACTGATTGCGTGCAACCCATCTTGAGCGTGTGTCGTTACGAGAGTGTGAGAGACGATCAGTCCAAGGGAGTCGCAAGAAGTGCTATAAGGTGGTGGTTGTGTGGGTGGACCTTGGCCTTCGGGGTCGAACGGCTAGGGAACTCGGGAAGGGGCGAGATCGGAGAATCGAGAATCCAACGTTTGTAATAGGAAGCGATCCTTGTGTAGAGTTAAGACGCCGATGTTTTCGAACGCGGCAGTCGGTATTCGTCCTTTCGGTGTTGGGCTCGACGGAGTTGTCGTTGATGAGTAACAGAGAGAGTTCTAGAGCGTAGAACGGATCAAGCAGAAAGAAGATGGGTTCGGAAGACGGCGCTGCTCTCTTGAGATTCGTTCGGGGCCGGTTAAGGATGCAAATGGCGCGGTGCTCTGCAAGGATACAGGAATCAAGGAAACACGATGTGAGGGGCGGCTGTCAAGGGTCTCAGAAAAAGCCACTCTCAAACGCCCAGCTCGTTAGAAAACGATGGGTTCCAAGATATCGGTGGGGGTCCGGCCTGCAGCGGCCAGGTGAAGCCTGCTTACGGCACGAATCGGATCTCTGGAATTGATCCGATGCACAGGGGTTACTGGGCGTTCCTCCAAGGCCGAGCTGAACTCGCAACCCTGGATTATGCGAGGGTTGTGAGGTGCGTCGCGAGAGCAGCTCGACGTCGCTCGGTACCTGTGGCTGTTGTCGTTTGAACAGAGCGCGGGTCCTGCTATTGGCGGCGGCTGGAAACCAGGAAAACGTTGGAATGCAAGTGTTCGGCACAAAGTCACGGCGACGCTAACGGTTGCTCAGCAGGGGCCAGACGAACAGGGTGAAATCGGAAAACGGCCAAGTTGCTGGGCAAGGCTGGCAGGGAAGACCTGTTTCGACAATAAAGATTACGGGGAGATAGCGACGTGCGCTGGTAGGCTGCTAGCCGACGGATAGGGTCGCAGGGTCGGAGTCGTTGGGGTCGTCGGGGTCGAGGATTGAGGACGTGTTGGGTGGGCCGTGGTTGCTGACGCCAGCTGTGGACTCGGGCAGTCGGTGATGTTTAAATGACAAGATGGCGAGAAAGCGATGAGGACGACGTCTTTGATGGGAGGGAGGGGAGAAGCAAAGAGGGCGGCTGCAACAATAGCATGTGGGACACTAAGCAATAGGCAGATCCGACGATGGCCATAGTGTCGCCGCTAACAGCCAGTCAGCCGGGCTGGCCGGTCACCTCTGTAACCAACAATGAAACCTTGCAGTATGCATGATACAAGCGGAAACGTGCAAGAGAGTGACGTCTCACGTCTCACCCATCGCCAGCAGTTCTGTCCCGTGGGCTGGCTGCTGCTCTCGTGCCCGCAGAACCAGGATATAGGCCGTCGGCCCGCAAGACCGCTTGCCACCTGGCCCGGAGTGCAGGCAGCCTACGCGGAGCGATGGTGCAGTCTTAGACCGTCTGGAAGAGCATGCCATACGAACAATAGACGCCGGACGGTTTCGATGGGGTCACCCCTCAGTGTGGCTTGCGGGTTCCGACGAGTCTGGGACTGCAGCTTGCTGGTCGGCCGCAGCGCACTGGTGGCTTGTAGGCCGTAGAGGGCTCGACTTTGAGGGGTCGCCGTAGACGGCAGCTTGGAGGGTGTATGGGGCCGAGCATGAGCATGGAGCGTCGAGGGAAGTGGAGGACGCAGTGTTGGCAGTGAAGACTTCGCGAGGACAGGAGTCGCAAGGGAAGGACGGAAGGAAGGAACGGAGGAACGAGTGGCAAACCCTGTTTAACCCCTTGGGTGAGGCGGCAGGGCAGCACGCCGACAAGCCAAGGCGTTCGAGCTGGGCGCACGGGGACGCTGCAAGTGCGCGCCACCTGCAACGAACAGCGCAATGCTCCGGCATCGTCGTGGACATCGTGGGGTGATGTGCAAAACGGCGCGATCCGTGCACTGCACAAGGCGTTGCCACCTCTTCCGGCTCTCCCAGCGCTCTCACAGCACTCGTCGACACAGCGCACAGAGCCCCGCTCCTCTGCGTCGTAGATGTGATCATCACGCCGCGACATCTCGAATGAGGAAGCAGTACAAATCGACCCATATTAAATGTAGCGGTCCGCCGTAGCGGCCCGCCGGAGCGTCGGTCTCGACTCTCGCCCTGTTCTCAACGTGAGACCGAGACGGCTTCTCCATCCTTCTTTGGTGCGGCTTCTGTTTGACTCTGTGCAGTGATGGGCACAATCCGGCCATCCTAAACAACATGCCAGACTGCTGCGACCTCTTGTGAGATCTACGCCAGGGCTTCCTTCCCGCGTCAAGCCACCAACAGCTCGCAGTCCACGAAGATCACTCCTCCCACTACTTAGCTTTCACCTGCGGCATTTCACAAAGTCGAACAACCCACTCTCGCCACCGATCTTCGGTCTCCGGCCCACTCAGCCGCCGGCGTCCGCGTCGCTCTCGTTAGCGATGCGGCGCTGTCCACCTCGATCCATGGAATGGATCGGCAATTGACAGACTGAACTGCACTGAACTGACAGATTATCGCGTCGATAACGGGTAGGAAATGCCACAGCATTCGAAATCACGTGAGTCGAGTCAACAATGACGTACTCGGATGTGACCGAAGCGTTTGGCCTCTGTCTGGATGGCGAATTCGCCGAAGCTCGATGGACGTCCTCACATGGGGTCGCCATCATCGTTACTGGCACTAGCTCGGTCACTGTTGCAACGTTGCCCACTCGCATCCTCCAACTCCAGCCATGGGCAGACCTGAAGCAACCGACCTCCCCGCGCCCAGTACTGCGCCGACCTCGCGGCGTCCCACCTGGCGCACCGTCGCGCGCATCGCGGCACTGGCCTATGTCGCCGGCAACCTGGCGCCTCTGGCGTGGGAGTATGCCGAAGGCCTATTCGCCCCGTCTACTGCTACGGGGGGCAAGCCGATCTCCCTCGCGGACGCAGAAGAGATATACCTGAAGGTGCCGTCGAATGAGAGTCTCTACAAGCTCTCGCACAAGTACACGGCGCACGCGCACCCGGCCGGCAGTGGGTGGGACTTTGTGACGGCGCTCCAAGTCAAGAACGACTGGGAGCGCGCGCTGGGCCTGCCCGAGACTGGGCCCACGGAGAAGATCTACGAGGCCGGCAGCGCCGCGTCGCAGCACGCGCTGCGTAAGGGCAGCGAGCTCGACGTGTGGATCGACACGTACTACCCGGTCATGAACACGCCCGTGTCCTCCTCGGTCGCGCTGCTGACTGAGCCCGTGTACCGCCCCAGTCTGCGCGAGGCCGTGCTCGAGAAAGACCCCTACAGCGTGCTCGCGGACGAGGTGCGTTCCTTCCACGGCCTGTCCGTGGATGGCCACGTCAGCGCCGAATACATCTATGCCGGGTACGGGCGCAAGGTCGACTTTGACCTGTTGCAGGCCAAGGGGCTGGATTTCAAGGGCAAAGTCGTGCTGGTCAAGTATGGGGGTGTGTTCCGCGGCCTGAAAGTGAAAGCGGCACAGGAGGCCGGTGCCGCCGCCGTCATCATCTTCACGGATCCCGGAGACGACGGCGACATCCAGGAAACAAAGGGGTACAAGGCGTACCCCGACGGTCCGGCGCGCGTGCCCTCGAGTGTGCAGCGCGGCAGTGTCCAGTTCGTAAGTTGGCCCTCTGCCTCCGACATTTCACTCACATCCAGTTGTCAAAGTATCCCGGCGACCCGACGACGCCGGGCGTGCCAGCGTACAAGAATGCGACGCGCGAAGCGGGCGGCAACTTCCCCTCGATCCCGAGTCTGCCCATGTCGTACGAGGACGTGATCCCGATCCTGCAAGCGCTGAACGGGAAGGGCCTGCAGCCCTCGGATCTCGACGCGTCCTTCGACGGCGGCCTCCGCCACCGCGGCGTAGAGTACTACACGGGTCCCTCGGACGTGCACCTGCACGTCGTGAACCGGGTCAACACGCGCGTCATGCCCGTCTGGAACGTCATGGCGCGCATTCCGGGCAGTTCGCCCGAAACCATCGTGATGGGCAACCACCGCGATGCGTGGGTGCTTGGCGCGAGCGATCCGAATGCGGGCAGCGCGTCGCAGACCGAACTCGCTCGGGGCCTCGGCGTGCTGCTCAAGAAGGGGTGGAAGCCGCAGCGCACCGTCATGCTTGCATCGTGGGACGCGGAGGAGTATGGCCTCATCGGCAGTACCGAGTTTGCAGAGGACTTTGAGGACTGGATCCAGGCCCGTGTCGCCGCGTACCTCAACCTAGACAGCAGTGTGAGCGGACAGCACTTCCATGCCGGCGCGAGCCCCAGCTTGGCGCACCTCGTAAAGGGCGCCGCGGAGCGGGTGCAGCGCGGCAACTCTTCTGTTTGGGACACGCGTCTCCCCGACACCGAGAGCGAGCTCTCGGCCCTCGGCAGGGGCAACGCCGACCTCACGGCCACCTCTGTCTCGGCGCTGGGCCAGACCCAGCCCCGCACCGAGGCTGAGGGCGGCACGGGTGTCCGCCCCCTCGGCAGCGGGAGCGACTACACGGCCTTCCTGCAGCGGTGCGGCGTGGCCAGTACCGACTTCGGGTACGGCTCCAGCCTCCAGTCGCCCGTGTACCACTACCACAGCGTGTACGACAATCTCCACTGGATGAAGATGTATGGCGACCCGTCCTTCCAGAAACACAAGGAGGCTGCGCAGATCTTGGGCCTCTTAGTGCTCAGGCTCAGTGAGCAGACCATCCTCCCGCTCAACACGACGCAGTACTGTCACGACCTGCATGGATACTATGCGCAAGTGGAGAAACTCAGGGACGACTCGGGTCTCAAGGTCCGCCTCAACAATCTCAAGGGCGCCATTACGCGTCTCTCCGAGGCGAGCGAGAATCTCGATCGCACGAGGGTTGATCTTGAGAAACTCCTGAAGAAGGGACGTAAGGACGCAAAAGTCATGAAGCAGGTCGCCCTCGTTAATGCCAAACTGCGCAAATTCGAGTCCGGGTTCCTCCACAAGAACGGCATCCCCGATCGCGAGTGGTACAAGCATCTCGTTGTCGCCCCGGGCAAGTGGCTCGGATACGGCGCCACCACCTTCCCTGCCCTCACTGAGGCTATCATCTTTGACAAGGACAAGAACAAGGGCCAGTTCCAGGCTGATGTCCTCGCTGGTCTTCTTGACGGCCTTGCGATCGAGCTGGAGAGGCAGTGAACGCCCAGAGTCAGTACTCAAAGAAACGAAAGATGCAAAAGAATTTGAAGCCATGATGCAAGTGAAGATGTAACAAACACGTGTCCTCTAAAACCAAAAGAAATTGTGAGTAAAGAAAAACAAAGATGCCGCACGAGCCAGAGGGCCACGTCGAGCCAGCTCGCGGCATCGCCGTGGACAGTCGCGTCGCTGCCATCGCCAAAGTCGTCCTCCACAAAGTAACCCGTGTAGCTTTTCTAAACCAGCTCGAGGTACTTCTCGGGCGTCGTGAGAGCGGGGTTGACGGCTCGGCGGTCGTCAACAACGCCGTCGTTCGCGCGGACCCAGGAGGGAACCTGCGGGCGACCAATGGACGCCGCGACAATGTTCTTCCAGCGGCTCGACTTGGCAAAGGGGTTGTACGGGCGCGTCGTCGCCTTAAATAAGTTGCGAGACGCGGAGGCGCGGATCTGCTCAATCGTCGTGAGATTGTACAGCAGCAGTCGGATGTGGTACCAAAACAGGAAGAGGATGGGTGGAAGCACGAGGATGCCGAGAATGAACGACACGGCCGCGCCGGGCGAGTCCTGCAGCGCCTGCTTGAAGCTCACATGCTCGTGGTGGCAGATCATCGAAAAGTGGATCGCACTGAACACGACAATGTAAATATCGGTGATGGCCGCCGTCACGACGAACACGATGAACGAAAAGTAGTTGCGCTGCCCGATGCACCCGTGCAGGTACGCGCAGTGGTGGTCGATGCCCTCGACGCAGTTGCCGCATAACCGGCAGTGGCTGCAGCGCGGCGGGCGGTACGACTTGCACGTCTCACAGTACTTGCACGAAATCTTGTCCTTGCCATCGGGGCCGACACGGATCTCGCGCGGGTTCGCCTCCCAGTAGACGTCGACGGGCGTGTAGGGCGGGTCGGGGTCGAGCTGCCGCGGTAAGATTCCCGGCTCGCGGAATGAAGCCGCGATCATCGAAGAGACAGTCAGGCCGAACAGGTACACAAACACAATCGTGATCGCAATGCCCGCGCCCTTCGCCATACCGTACTCGTGGCCGTGAACCCAGAGCCACGCGCCTGTCGTGCCGAGCCATACGCCCGAGATGCCCAAGATGATAATGATCGAGCCGATGAAGTTGACAGGCGAGTCGCCGCCGGTCATGAGCCGTCCACCACAAAGCCAAGTCGAACTCTTGTTCTCAAAGTTCTTGTACCGCCGTGTGCTGGTGGTAATGAGCGCGGACTGATCGGGGGCATCCGGGTACGTCTTCTGCGACACTTTGCGCAACGTCGCCGGGCTCTTCTCCGTCGACGTCGAGTTGGAGCGGACCGTGTCGACCAGGTGGTCACTAGACAGGTCTCGCCGCGGCGCGTGCGTCGGCGAGCTCTGGTCGTCTTCCCAGGCGCCCGCATGGCCCTCGATGCTCTCTCCTGGCCGGGTGGGAGTGTCCGGATGCCGGGGAGCGATGCGACTGAGACGCGGCGTCACAGCCGGGGAGTGGTCGTTGGCGACCGAGATGGACGCCGCCGGAGCAGGTCCCGTCGGGGACGCCGCACGCTGGGCGGCGGCTTGTCGTGGCGGGGCAGAGGAAGAGGCGGAGGCTGAAAATGGCGAAGCGGTCGTCGGAGGGGCCGGCGGCGGCTCGATCGAGATGTGCGAGAAGTCGCTCTCGCCCGTAGGCGTCGTGGCGTCAAACCCACCGACGGTTCGCGGCTCGGGTGCGAGACCGGTCGTGGACACGGTCGTATACCGTTCTCGCGTCTCCAACCGACGGGCAGCAGCGGGTTTCTGCGGTGCGAGGAAGCCTCGCGGGGTCGGCAGCGGAACAGAGCCTCGCGATGGTGACCGGAAGTTGGAGAAGCTTGTCTCGGATGGAGTAGCGGACAATGGTCGCGGTCCGGTAGTGTTAGAGATGGTCCGTGCCCGCGGCGTGTCGCTGGCACTCTGGCCCATGACCGGCGACTCGACATTGTACTAAAGAATTCGTCAGCATCGGTACGGATTACGTGGGAGAGTCACCCGAGGGGGTGGTATGCGATGCAAGACACGCTGTGTGTTTGTTACACAAGGTCGGGTCGCAGATAGCAAGATCTACTCACGTAGCGCCTTGTCCCCTCGAGCGAGTCACGCTTGGCACCCGCGGCGCCGAGAGGGGACACGGAGTCGTCTTCCTCCTGAGACTGGAGGCTAGAGCGGCGGGTGACGGTGATTTGGGCTCTCCTGGAGGGGAGGGAGAGGCCGTGTGGCTCCTGGGACGAGCCGGGGTTGAGGCCCATGGCGAAGAATAGATGTCGATGCGATGGTCGGGGGCTAAAGGTTTTGATGAGAGTGGGTGAAGGACGAAGGGGGGGAAGGGTGGAGGTTTTAAGGTCGTGTCAACAATTTAGACTAGCCGTTGCCACCTAGTAACAAAGCTTGAGGAGGACGGCTGGCGGGGGGAAGTGTGAGAGAGCGTGGGTGGTGGTAGTGGCGGGAATAAAGAAGGAGGAGGAGGAGGGGCGGACAAGAACAAGGAGCAAAGACGAAAAGGGGAGGGAGAAGGAGGATGTTGATGGTACAGAAGCTGGTTAGAACATGGAGAAAGCGGGTCGCTGCAGCAGAGAGGACAGCAGAGTGTGCTTTAGTGCCTTGTAGGGAGACCCTTAACGGGAGCAAGGGACTGGGCGGTGGATGGGCGGGCGTCTGCCAGTAGAGACCAGCGGTGCCAGCCTTGAATTCGGCAACAAGGCGGCTCAACCTTCCCTGGACGGCCTGCCAGACGGGTCTCAAAGGTCTGAAACCACCATCGCCATGACCGGATCGATCGAGACAAGGACATTCCCCACATCTCCGCGAGCGCCGCTTGATTCCAGACCTGCGATAACGTGCGACTAAGCCATGTGCCACACTCGGGTATACGTGGTACCTATGACACACACCAGTGGGCGCTCGCTCGCTCGCTCGACCGACCGACCCACCGACGCCATTACGCGCTGGAACTTCAGCATCCATCGACTTCCATCCTGCACTCCTACTCTCACACACATCAACACAATCCCTTCAACAATGAGTAAGCTGGAAACACGCTGGTGGGATAAAGCTAACCGCAGACGACGAATTCCAGGTCACCGCGACCTTCCTCAATGACAACCCCCAGAACCGTGAGTCGCAGCTTGCAACTGTCGGTTGATAGCTAACAACAGTGGTCTACAACGGCCAGAGCAACCCCATGGTTGTGACGATCTCGAACAAGGGCCAGAACAACTACACCATTGTTGGTTCGTCGTCCTCGTTCCACGACCCTGTCAAGCACTGGAAGCTGCTCAAGAACGGCACCACCACCAAGCACAAGCAGGCTTTGAACGCTGGCGAGAACTACACCGTCCCCTACAACGTGTACAGCGAGTGAGTACAGAAACATTGAGGATGGACTGGTGTGGCTGGAGGAGGGCTGGTGTGAGTCGGCTGAAGCTCGCGAGACCTTATCTAAACACTCGCACGAGCTGCGACTTGCCTTAGCGTGCCTTCCTCGGTCCCACACTTCGTGTGTCTTCCTCGCTCTAGTGGCTGGCCAGTCTTTCGCATTAACCAAGCTACTTCGCTAGAGTCCAAAGCTAACCCCAGGTTCAAGCCCCAGGACCTCGGCCTGACGGTGTGGGTCGACCTGAAGAACGGCAAGGAGACGACGCGCGTGACGGCGTACAACCAGACGATCTCGGTGCAGGAGCCTTCGTCGAGCAGCTTTGACGTCGCGGGCATTCTGGCCTGGACGCTGTTCCTCCTCGGCGTCGTCGGTCTGCTCTGGCTCGGCTCGCTCGTGTACTTTGGCAAGAACGAGGCGAAGCGCAACAAGCGCCGCGGCGACGCCGAGCTGCGCGCGTCGGAGCGCGCCAAGGCGGCTGCCAAGGCCCCCGTCGTCGTCAAGAGTGGGTACGAGGAGGAGTGGATCCCCACGCAGCACATCAAGGTCCGCAAGGCGGGCGTCACGAGCGACGACGGCACGAGCGGAGCCGAGAGCGAGGGCAAGACCCGCCGGAGGAAGGGAAGGAAGTAAGGGAGGTTCCGGGGTTGGGGTTTCATGCAATCATTCCTTTGTCATACGCAGCTGCGAGCGCAGCGAGCAGAACAGTGTTCGGCACACTGAACTGAGTTGGCTGATGGAACCGTCTAGGCTTGCTCTGACACGAACGCGGGGCACCGGAACTGACTCTTGGAGCTGAAACATCTCCTGTCCGATATGGACGGATCGAGTAGTTGGAAGCCCCTCTGACTCTTGTGACAACTTGACCCACGCCACAAGCGCCGCAATCTACACAATCCAGATCAGCCTGGATCATCTGAGACCCCAAGTTCTCACGACATTCGCCGTGTCTCGCTCAGTTCGAACCCGAGACTCGTCAGCTATCCCACAAGATCTAGTCGTGGTTCCAACTTTGTGAGTGGTTCATGTGTTGTTTTTGCATCTGCTTTTTTCCTACTTTCTGTTGTCTTACGCCTTGATGAAGTCTTTGACGCCGGCGAGCCACGAGATGTAGTCCTTCTGCTCCTTGTACTCGCAGTACTGGACGATGAAGTTGGCTGGTGGGTGTTAGCTAGTCTTCTCATCCGCTTCAGCTCGGCGCCTTTAGTCTTGGCTTATCACTCCTGGCCTCTAGTTATCAACCCAAGGCCACCCAAGGCCACCCGAGGCCTCGGCCTACGGCCTCGTCCAGACTTACAGAGCGCCTCATCAACCCCACGCTCGGCCAGGAATCCCGCAAACGCGTCCTGCACGCTCGTGTCGAGCGTGTCGTAGTGCGGGCCCATGTACAGGGATCGGCGGGTCCAGTCCGCGTCGGCGCCCGTCTTCTCAGCCAGCGCCTTGTCGTAGATGGCGACGTTGGTGATCTCGAATCCGTCGGGGTGCGCGCCGAGGTCGATCAGGAGCGACTTGGGCGAGGCCGACTTGGAGAGCAGGCACGTCGTCGTGATGCACGGCGGCGAGACGCCGTCGATCGCCTCCCCGTTCGAGTCCACGCCGTCCATCGGCTCGGACTCGTCCAGGTCCGAGACTTGGAAGGTGAGCTTGATGCTGTTCGTTAGCTAGAGCACAAGGGACGCCAAAGCACGGAATTGTCAGACACAGCGGATTCGGCAGAGCGCGAGGCGCACACTGGCAAAGTAACGGCGCGATCGCGCCTGAAGGTGACTCACGTCTCGTCACCAAACTTGCGGGTCAGGACGACATCGTCGTTGGCGGGCTCGTCGGCGAGCGACCAGACACCCTCGTTCAGCAGCTCCTTGAGGAAAGCGGGCTTCTCGTCCGAGGCGGCCTCGGTCTCGTAGGCGTGCTCAGAAGCAAGGGCAGCAGCGAGCTCGCCGTCGCCTGAGGGTTAGCTTGACTGCTCGTCATAGGAAAGCTGTTCCATGCCGTTCCCGTCCACTGCCATCTCTCTCCTCAAGTGTCTGACGTCTGGACCATGCCACATTGCAAGCAATAGCACAGCGCCGGTGGACAACACGGCGGAGTGGAATGTCCGCGAAGAAGGACAGCCGAGCTGAGGTGGACGGAAAGGAGGAACCACGCCTACGCAGCGGCACGTCAGAAGTTGCTCGAAACTCACTCTCGCCGCTTCCACGGGCGGGGAACGAGACGGAGAACGCGCGCATGGCGACGGGGCGGGCGGCGACGGCGACGCGCGCAACCTGGGCGGCGCGGACAGAGCGGAGGGCGGGGCGGAGGGCACGGAGGGCGGACATGGCTGTGGGTGGGTGAAGAACGTTCAAGATGCACAGCGACTGACGTACTGGCCCGAAGTGATGCCTCCGAAGGTCCATTCCGACTTTTACTTCGCACCCGTTGCAAGCACGTGGCTTGGCGCTGGGTGGCGACTGAGATCTGGGCACGGATGATGTCAAGCCCTGGTGGAGGTCGTCGGAAGTGGAGGTACAATCGATCGTACAGAGGGTGAAAGGATACATGCATGTAAACTGCTAGTTACTTAGGAGGACTTCTTCTGCTCAACCTTGAACGGGGGAAGGCCGGCGTTCTCCCTCAGCACGGCCGAAAGCGAGGACCAGTCCATGTCCTTACCGCCCAGCTCGGCCGCGCGCTCCATGTTCTTCTTCGCAATCTCGATCGTCGGCATCGGCACCGGCTTCCCGAGGCTCGCACCGACCCCGAGGATGTTGTTGGCGTCTGATGTCAGCTTTGCGTCGCATTCCAAGCTACCCGAACCCTATCGCTCGCCGAGCATACGCACCCTTGAGACCACCCTCGAGACGAAATCCGCCCTTGCCGTCAAAGTTGCCGCCCTCGATCTTCTTCGAGTACGCCTTGAATGACGGCGTCGGGAAGAAGGCTTCGATGAACTGCTGGAAAACGTGCGAGTCGATGCCCGTTGCCTCTCCAAGTGCGAACGTCTCGCCGAGCAGTTCGATAACGCCCAGAATCATCGCGTTGCCCATCAGCTTGAGCGTGTTGGCTGCTGTCAGCTTTGTGTATCGCGTGGCACAGCTGAACCCAACCTACCCTTGTAGACCTCAGTGCCAAGATTGAGAACGATACGAGCCGAAGTGTCCAGAAGCGGCTTCACGCTCTTGATAGCCTCCTGGTCGCCAGCGACGACCTGGATAAGCTGAGCCGCGGCGGCAGCGTCAGGTCGTCCGAACACCGGAGCGGCGAGATACTTGGCTCCAGTCTTCGCGGCAGTCTCGCAGTTGGCAGCTGAGTGTTAGCTCGAGTTCCCATCAATATAGCTTGCCAGACAACTCACAGCTCGTGTTAGGCTGGACGGAGCTCTGGTCAACGAAGATGCCCTTGAAGCCCGCGTCCGTGAGGGTCTGAACGACACTCTGGGTAGCAGCATCGTTGAGCACGCTGAGGAAGACGATGTCGGAGTCGGCAAGATCCTTAAGGTCGGTGGCACACTGCGTGTCCTCGGCGACATTCGGGCGCAGCTCGTCGTACTTGGCCTGGGTGCGGTTCCAGACAGCAAACTGAGCCCCGTTCTCCTTCGCCCACTTGGAGAGGTGCGGGGCGATGGCGAGGCCCATGTTGCCCAGTCCGGCGTACGCGATTTTGGTCATTGTGTCCGTTGTTTGTTGTGGTTAGTCGTGAGATGTGTGGTGAGGAGAAAGGAAGACGAAACGATGCGAGGAAGACAGCTGCAAGTCGGATGACGATCAGATAATCTCTGGTCAGGAACCGCGGAGCAACCTCGGTGCCGAGGGGTCCGGTGAACTTGCGGGCAATTCCTCCAGCTGCTTAGTACGACTCTGAATCGACCTCGTATGCATGCTGTCTCACTTTCACAGGCTGCACAGCCCCTCGTGTGCCCATCAACTTTCCTCCGCGACATGCATGCATGAGAGTGCTGACGCTGCGCCCCGTCACTCTCACCTTGTAGCTTCAGATGACAAGCCTTGATTATGACCGGATATCAGCAGCTCGAGATGGCTCGGTCCAATCGGATTCCGCGACCACCTCCGCTGATTAATGAGTCTCACACACCTAGCTCCGCTGTCCATCCTGTCGACAAAACTACAATCTACTCACGCCAAGCACTGCTGGACTTCTCTGGCATATCTAGACTCAATTTTCGAGACCGACGTCGCTAGTTGCGATGAGACGGAGTCCGATTCTCTTCGACCTCGTTCGGCGTCGGGTTTTGATTTGGAGCTATCTCACGCACCCCGCATCTCACCCTCTCCCGCGTACATGAATAGTGAAACCCCATACACAACTGTAGAGTCACTGAATGTGCTGATGGTACTGACACCGCCTCAAGTCACTCACGTGGATGGCGAGCTCTTGTGGGCCTCCGCCGCTTTGCCATTTCGGCCCAGGGTTCCGAGGCGGAGCGGGCAGCACTTGACCGTCGAGACCGAGCTTCGATGCCATCCTCGTCCAAACCGCGGACTCACCTTCATACGCCGATAACAGGCACCGGGGCAGCGGGCATCGTAACGATACCGTGCAGCTGTCCCTCCTTTGACCACCTCCGGAGCACTTTGTTCCTGGTGTCATTGACTGATTCACATTCCCTGCTCATTATGGTGCTGCTGCAGCTCTTTCTCAGCGAGCCCTCCGCGGACGGCGGAGTGGCAGACCACTAGCGACCCATGCAGTGTTGTGTTCACTCCGTCGAAGAGACAGTCCTCTACGTTCGATGTCTCACCAACACCTCATCACCGATCGACACCCAGCTCGACGGGCCTACGAGATGCGCGCAGTCAACGCTCTCCTGATCGTGAGGGCGACGCCCGTCTTCGCGTACTTTGAACAGACTCTCAATGTCCGCATACCTGACACCTCAGCTATGCACAACACCGAGCTCACCGGCGGAAGGGGTTCTCTGCAAGAATGGTACTTTGTGGGCTCGAGATTTAGCATCACGACGAAAAGTGGTGGCACGAACACTGGCGACTGTCGTAGCAGCCCCGGCGAGGTCACATTGGTTGACTCAGGATTCCACGAGAAGCAGAGGGCGACTCTTAACTCCACGGCCGACTCCGGCGATCAGCGGTCCTCCGCCTCCTTCGACTTCCAGCTGGGAGCGTTTGCCGCTCTACTCAACCTGAAGTACTACTGCAAGGCTGATGTAGCTGAAACAGTAGTAGACATTCCTGTCAAATGTCAAGCGTGAGTAGTAAAGGCTTGCAGCATTGACGGACAGTCCAGATGTCAACAAACTGCAGGACCTCATATCGACAACTGCGAGCGCTATCGTCGATGACGACCTAAATCCAAACTTCACCCTCTCCATCTTCTCGTCGCAGGATCTGATCGGCGAACTATATCAACCGAGCTTTGCGAGCAATGCACCAAAGCCAGCATTCGAAGTCAACAAGTCTGGGTCATTCCGGAACGCGAAGGTCTCGAATGAGACGGAGCTGCATTACAAGGTTCCGAGGAACACCTCACTATTGCACATCTTCGGTCCTGGCGCGGACAACCGCTGCTACGCCGCCTTCCGGCCACCACCTCCGTGGTGGAACTCCTCGAGTCCAGCACGCATCAACACTCACAGGCCAGAGGTGTCGGACAATGAGGACATGTTTTGGCTACCTCTCGATCCCGAAGTTGAGTATGAGCTTATTCTGGGTTCTTGGGAAAGGATGTACCAGTGCTATGTCGATGGCGTCACATCGTATTCCTTCTTCTAGTGAGTCAACAAGATGCGCTGTGACTCTTCTAACGCCAGCCCGGAGCTGCCCTCGCCGGATGCAGTGCCACTGATGTCGGACCTGGTGAAGAGCATCGGTGCCAGCAACAGGGGCAAGACCATCGGGTTGGGGGTGGGCATCGGCATTGGTGTTCCCGCACTAATCCTTGCGGTCTACATCTTCTGGCGCCGTCTTCGACGACGAGGGAAGAACGCCTCGAATAACAACCTAACGGACAACAGCGCATATGCCGAGCTGAATGCGTCGAGTAGCGCCTCCCAGTCGTTCCATGATCCTACATCCTTGGACGCGGTTCCGCATGCCCACTCTCCCTCCCACACAAGAGACACAGCGGAATCAAACAAGCCAGCGAAGCAGGAAGCGAGGACGGGCTATGCGGAGATGCTGCGCCAGCTCGAGGTACCTGCCTCTTTAGTTACCGCTTCCGATTCTACCAGCGCCTCTCCCGGCAGTGCGATTTCCTCGAAGCAGGGAACGGCTGCAGCAGCAACCTCGCCCTCCACTGCCGTGACAACATCTTCCCACACACAGCCCCGTGCGTCGCTGCCCCCACGTGAGCGTGTTGTGATTCAGCACGAAGAGGATGCAGGCGATGCTGAGCAGATCCGCTATGAAATTCTGCCGCCTATGTATCGCGAGGAATGGGGGCAGCAAGGACCTCAAGCAGATGGGTTGACGGAGCCTGCGGTGGGCGTGACTCCCACCGGCCAAGGACGTCCCCTCCGACGAGCCGAGGAGGCGCCGGAGCCCCCGATATCGCCCCAGGAGATGTTGGAGAAGGAAAAGATCCTGCAGTTGTAGATGACAATGCAGCAAATCTATCGAGCTCTTGCGTGCCCTCGATGATGCGCTGGGGATCGATGGCATTCCAGAAAGCATGAGGAATCCCGTCTCGGACCCCAGTCGAACTTACGAAGTCAGTCGCGGGAACCCGCAGTTGCAAGGGTCCGACTCGGACGTCCGGTTCAATGCGGGGAACAGCTCATTGTACCTGGTGTGCGGTGTGCCGTCAGCCACTACAAATTGCTGTGGGTCAAGAGAAGATCCTGTAGTCAACTGTAATGCCAGAGCTAATAGCCAGCAATCTATCGATATAGTAAGCCATTGCAAGACGCTGAAGACGCCTGAAGAAGGGTGAGTGAGCGGCAGACCGTGCTGTCGTCGGACATTTTAGCTCGTAGGGCGTGGCTGTGAAGTTTGAGAGTCTTGCTATGATCACTGAGGCGTCTGCCGTCATCGTGGAGATCAGTGAAGCCAAGAGCGGTGGAGGTCTCTCTGTAGTCACGGAAAATACCCTCCACGGGCGCTGTTGTTGGGGTGTGGATTCGATAAGAGCTATCGTCGTCTTTGCTGCCCGCTATCTGCTGCCGCTACCTGCTGTCAGTCGCTATGATCATGGATCAGTTGCCACAGTGCGTGCTGCAGTTGATAGATCCTGCCACTTGCACCGATATCCAACTCTATCCAGACCTCCTCGATCACCGTTGCGACGATTCCGACCCCGGCTCTTACGTTCTATCAATACCTCCGATGTGCACTAGCGCGACATCCGCTGCTGCACCTGGCCAATCTCAACGCAATCCGAGGTCGTAAGCGAGGTGAAGCTTAGCTGGGAGGATTAGACGAGCATCTGGACAATCACGTGCGGGGCCTGAGCCATGGGAAAGGACTTTCTAGCACATTGCTCGGTGAGGTGCCTGTCCGACATCATTGTGACGTCGTTGCCTGGGCGGATGCTCCAAGCAAACCGCGTCCCGAGCATGCAACCCTCACCATCTTGACCGAGGTGCTGCAGCGCGTGCTCCGCCGTGCCCCTTTATAAACGATGCAGGTATCTTTCCTCCGCCCCCGACCACCCATCTAACCCGCACCGATCATGTCTCTTTTCCGCGCCCGCATCGCCCTCCGCCCCGTTCTCCGCGCGCCCGCGCCGACGCTCACCCGCGGTCTCCGCAACTACGACGTCAACACGCCCTCTGAGACTGTTGCCGACAAGCTCCAGGGCTCCGAGGCTCCGTCCATCTACAACGAGCAGGAGGTCAAGGAGGACGGCAAGCCTACCAAGGTCGGCGCCAAGCTTGAGTCTCAGGAGGACCAGGCCTTCGCCCGCGCCGAGGCCAACGCCATGAAGGACAAGTACAACAGCTCGGAGGACGGCAAGATCAACGAGCAGGACGTCGACCTTGGTGTCAACCGTAACTCCGACAAGGTGAGTGCCCGAAAATAATCCAGCTCGCCAGCATCGGCTCTCGCCACTTGCCCAGTATTGGGTCGCACTTCACCGGATGGTTCCTCCGTTGAGTGCAATCCAATGTGGGCGATGTGTCTGGGAAAGCGAGATCTGGAGTGATGAGCGCAAAGAGAAGACGTACTGACACCCCACAGGGCTACAACGAGCCTGGAAGCCCCAACACCGAGTAAACTGTTGGTACTTCAGAAGTTCTTGAATGTATGGATGACCTTGGGAGGATGGGAGACAACGAAGCAGCCAAACTAGGCAAGCTCGCCACCTTCGCCTTGTGCAGGCGAGGCGAGCGCGAGTGGAAGTATGGTTGGACAGGCGCCCCTGAAAGCGCCATGTCCGCCGTATCTGGCGCAGCCTCGTGCATCGAGCAGATTTTGCTTCCAACGTGGGGGCGCTTGGGCTTACGGGAGATCGCCTCTTGACGGCCAAACCCGAGCCTGAGTCACGGTTCGGGCCTTGCGTTGCGCACCGGCTTCCAGAGATGTGGAGAGCCAGGCTGGCGATGGCTACGAAGTCAACAACGGCCTTGGACGGGCAAATGCGCCGTGCTAACTAGCCTACTGACAGCGAGAATGCGGGGTTCGGCGCACAGAGCGGTTATCTGCGACGGGGTGGAGGGCCACCCCGCAATAGCTGTGGCTGATGACGAGCACACGCCATCGCCCACCCACTCGGCGCACGGCGCACACCCGCACGGCTGCCCAACGGCACCGCACGGCACACACGGCCCTGCGAGATAACTAATGGCAGCGTGGTTGGACTGCGGGGTACGCGCGGACTCGAATCTGGGACAGAAAGTTCGAAATAGTCGGCGGTGCGTCAACGAATAGCTCTTGGATGGCGCTCGGATGGGCCTGGGATGGGCCTCGAACGGACCCCGGGAGGCCCAGATGGACCCCGAATACCGACGAAAGGTCAGATGCGGCCAGAGCAAAGGTCAGATGTGGGCCAGGTCGAGGTCAGATCATCACAGATCGAGGTCAGATCCCCGCGCGCACAATCACAGATGGGCGGCGAAGATCTGTGATGGTCCAGGAAAACATCACAGATTTGTGCGGAGTAATCGCGGAGCAACCCCGCGGGCTTGCGTGAGCAGCACCCTCAGAGAGCGAGGCAGGCGCGGGAAGCGTCAGTGGCGCTCGCTAGCGACGGAGAGATCGCCATGCGTTCTCGTCTGCAGGCCGTCAGGCGTTCGAAACAGTGGACCGCACCCCGCACGAGTGCGAGGGATTGAGGGCATTTTCCAACGTTCGCTGGAACATCAGTGATTGCTGGGCATTGCTCCGGCGACAATTCGATAACGGGTGCCCAGAGCGTGGCCGAGCAGTGGCCGAGTTCTGCACGGTATGCCAGACGGCTTAGGGACGCTCGCACCGAATTCGATAAACAGTCACCAGAATAACAGATGGCCAGGGAGGAGAGCCGTTGTGAGCCGCTCGTCGTGCTCGAGTCGCCGCACGCTGTTGGTCCAGAGCTCGACGGCTGTACCCCCCTCCCTGAGGGCGTCTGAGGGCAGGGGGCCTGCGTCGGCTGCTGCCTGTGCTGTTCGGCGAGTACGGCAAGTAACGATGTACAGGGGCTAAGCACGAGGGTCAGGGGAGCCAGGGGTCTGCCAGAGGGCTGGGCAGCTGTCTGGCGGTCTGTCTGGCTGGCTGGGCCCGGTGGTCCCGGCGGTGAGCAGTGTTATGCCGACCCCGCATGTGGAGAAGGTCGACTTGCTTGAGTGGAAAAATCTTGGCTGGCAGTGGTCGCCGATGAGTCCGAGCCGCGGGCGCGGGGCTCTGAGCGCAGAACGGCCATTTCCCACGGTGTCCCTGTCCGCACACGTGACATTCCTGCGGCATGGCGCACGCATGTCGGCTTTCGTCGGCGAGGTCCGGCAGATAAGCATAGTGGAGGTCTGTATCACGCCCAACGTGATGCGGGGACTCCAGCGAGCAAACTTGCAGCCAGCAGCCCACCCCACTCAGCGACCTCGTCGTTGCCGTCGTTCTTCGGACCTCGCACGGTGAAATTCCGACGCTGGAAAGAGGTCCTTTCTACGCTGCTACGACGTGCACAGGTATAAGTACACACGCAGAGATGCCAGCCCTCTCGAGGAATAGACACCACACCCAGCCTCGACTCCCAAGCAGCTTCAGCTAGCGTTCTCCACGAACCACCTCTCACCGCCACACTCCCCTCTCTCCCTCTCTCACATCAACAACAAGTGAGTCGACCTTAGAACCGCCTTACACACGTGTGCCGCATGTGCTAACAGATTTTCCAGTGGCTATCGAGACTGCTTCTGTTCCCACCGTCGGTATCAACGGCTTTGGCCGTATCGGCCGTGCGCTCTTCCGTCTGTGTCTTGAGCGCGACGACCTGAACCTGGTTGCCGTCAACCACACCGCCGCCTCGATCGAGCACCTCCTTACTGCTATCCGCCACGACTCGACCCACGGCCCCTGCCACCATGCCCGCGACATCTCGGTCGCCCCCGCTGACCACCCCGGCATGCTCAAGCCTACCGAGATCAACCCCAACCCCTCTGCCCTCCTCTACAAGGGCCGCCTCATCCACCTCTTCTCCCAGCGTGACCCCGCGAACCTCGACTGGTCCTCGGTCGGTGCCGAGTACATCATGGAGTCGACCGGCAAGATGACCACCGTCGAGAAGGCCGGTGCTCACATCAACCTCGCCAAGGGCAAGAAGGTCATCATCTCTGCTCCCTCCAAGGACGCACGCAACATCGTCTACGGTGTCAACCACGCCGACTACGCCGGCGACGACGTTGTCTCCAACGCCTCGTGCACTACCAACTGTCTTGCCCCCGTCGCCCTCGTCCTCAACCGCGCCTTCGGCGTTGAGGCCGGTATGATGACCACCATCCACGCCTCGACTGCCTCGCAGAAGGTCCTCGACGGCTTCTCGGCCAAGGACATTCGTTCCGGCCGTTCCGCCATGGGCAACATCATCCCCGCCACCACTGGTGCCGCCCAGGCCGTCGTCCGCGTCCTACCCGAGCTCGCCGGCAAGTTCCACGGCATGTCGGTCCGTGTCCCCGTCACCAACGTCTCGCTCGTTGACCTGACTGTCCGCACCACCAAGCCCTTCGGCTCCAAGGAGCAGCTCGTTGCCGCCTTCAAGGAGGCTGCCAACACCCCCGTCTCCGAGGGCGGCCTCAAGGGCGTCCTCGGTGTCTCTGACGAGAAGCTCGTCTCGTCCGACTACCTCTCGTCGACCGAGTCGTCGATCGTCGACGCCGACGCCTGTGTCACCCTCAACGACAACACCGCCAAGGTCGTCGCCTGGTACGACAACGAGATGGGCTTCTCTTCCCGCATGTGCGACCTCGCCATCTACATGCACCAGCGCGACCAGCAGTAAATATACCCGGCATCATACAATCATAGACTTCATCTTCATACCACAACCTTTACAAACCATAGACTTTCTGTAATATCACCTGTATGAATAATCGGGTTCATCCTTAGCATCAACAAACGAGACTTGCGGGGTCGCAACGCCATTCTGGGCAGCACTGACGCGATACTTAGTCCCTGGCAAAGCTCACAGAGTCATGTATGTCCCCGCAACATTCGCAACACAGTCGTCCCACGGACCCCCGGCTTTTCTTTCGGTATTCTCACGTTCGGGGGAATGCCGGTGGTGCGATGTAAGCCAAGCAGTGCGGGCCTGGGAGATACAAGCTGCGGGCTTGGGGTCATTGGAATACAAGCTGCGGGCTTGGGGTCATTGGACACCGACCATCGAACTCCGCATGCAGCCTCATGCGTTCTTGACGTTTGAACCCTGCCCAGCTTTGTATCATCAACCATAGCCGAAAGATAATCCGATGACCGCCCTTTGCCGCACATTAGTGCTCTACGAGTAAGTCGCCGGTGCACAGATGCAGCAGATGGCCGACCCCGCGCGGCGAAAATGCCGTGGCAGCACGCACTGGGGTGTTCGGACGTATGGACCGTTCGCTGGGGACAGAGGCTGGGGTAGAGGAAAATGGCCGTGCGGAGAGACTGGATGAAGGACCGGACACGTCCGACCCCGCATTCCGCTCTCGTATCAAGGACGTGAGTTCGCCGGACGGCACGTCCGGGTGAAGCTCGGATGTAAATAGGTCGTGCCGTCTATGCCGTGCCGAGTGCCTTGGGTTGGTTCTGCCTTGGGCAATTGATTCCAGCGGTCGGGAATCGGCACGGCAAACTCAAATCCAGACTTTCGCTCTGGCTTGATTATTGGGGAATCAAAAAGGGTGACCGGATCGCGATATCCTGATGGTTCAGGTATCGACTGGTAAGCTGGCGTCTCCAGAACCAAGCTGGCGTCTCCAGAACCATGTTCAAGCACTTTGATCGAGTATCACGTCATGTCGCGGTTGACTCTCCTTCTGACCAGTTTCGCAGTGGTTCACCCGAAGCCCCAGCGTTCGGCACAGACACACCATCTCAGCTGGAAGGCCTTACCCCACAGAAACCACTGAGTGCAGATCGGGGAATCACCCAAAAGTCTGGGAAGTAACTCACTGCAATGAGCGTGTGTGGGGCTTCGGGGCCAGCCCCGATTGATCCCGACTGAGGGCGCCATGGCTGATCGCCCTCTGCGTGCAGGGCGACGGTGTCTTCCTCGTCCAATCCTCCATGCGTGACTGATATTCACGTCACCCCCTGAACGTGAGTGATGACTCTGAGCAAGGCCGACGTGCTCTTCCTTGCTCTTTCCTCCTTCCTCGCGATCACTTTCACGCTTCGACGCTTCGACTTCGACGAATCGTTCAGTATGCAGAAATGCTTCTGTGAGCTTGGGCCCCGGACTACAGCGGCCCCGGGTCACCGGGATGAACACACAAAGCCTTCCGACGCCAGAGGAGCGACAGCCGAGACGACCCAAGAAGAACGTCACTGACACGAGGCACGGGGCACTGTGAGGCCCGTGCGTGCACCACTGTTGCTGTACGACAACATCCCACTCCACTGTACTCACAGCTTCTAATGCCTTCCGACCACTTCTTAACCCTCCGACACATCAAATTCGCCCTAGTGCCGATAGTCGATACGGCCTGGTTCGACTTGCAGCAGCTACGTTGCTTCTCGCCGTTGGTGTCGGAGAAAGGAAGACAATTTCTACTGCTTGGCTCGCTCTGGTCGAAGCTCGGTACATGTCAGCGCTGGATCACAAATCCCGTCGCCCATCTCCCATCGCGATTTGCCACCGTGTACCTGCTACTCACCTCCCTCAACGCCATTGCAGGGGTGACAGGCGACGCCACTCAACCTTGCCGACAAGCCAGGAGCAACGCCAGCGGGCTCGACTGTCGATAAGATTTGCGTGGCTTGGGCCTTGCGCATCGCGGCAGTGCTCGGCAAAGATGCCAGAATAGGCAGCACAAAGCGTGAGAGAAGAATGGGGCTCGAAGCACCTGGAAGCAAGATGAGGGGAACAAGGCTGGGATGACTGGACAAAATGAAACAGGTACGCTGGAATCACAAGCTGTACCTGGCTGGCAAACGATACACCTCCACCCACACAGCGACAATCTCTGCTAACTCTGCTCACTCCCCCTCCCAGCTGTGCATCGCAATGCGGGGAACTGCGGTTGGCGTACTAGCAGCGTCATAAGGTGACTGGGTTTCGAGCGGGGTGACTCCTACCCCAGCCCGTCGTTGTCCCCATCATCTCGCGTCTCTCTATATAATACAGTCCTCGCACAGTTTCTCCGTCACACTCAACTTTTACCCATCACACACACGACATGACCTGGCCACACTTCCACTTCCACCCTGGTCCAACGATGTGGTTCTGCTGGACGCCCCCCTCCCCGCCCTCGCCCCCTGCGACGCCCACGTACATCTGCCCCGGAAATGCGAATGGCGAGAACCATGGCAGTGAGTGACCGTTCCGCCCTACATGATCGACTGACTGTTGCCACCCGTGTGCCTGCCCTGTTGCCATGTTACTGACTCCAGTGCCCTGCGACTTCGTCGAGTGGGACGGCAGGTGGAAGCTCTCATACAACCTCTTCGGCTCCGGATCCACTGAGTTCGCCCGCGTCTACAATGTGGGCAGCTACCCCTTCTGCATCTCCCAGAGCGGCCTCTACTACTCGATGTACGGCGACTACCCCAAGCAAAACGAGGAGCTCATGGGGTGCAAGTACTGTGACCGCTTCCTCCCCTCCGAGTGAGCGAGCATCATCGATCACCTTCGCCTCCGACCTTCCAGACCCTTGACGCCCTCACGACCAGAGCAATGACCGACGATCTGTGTATACTACTCACGCACTCAAACACACGCCGTGCTGTATCCTTTCTAGAACCGCTGTATCGCACACCGTCCCAGACGGCCCAAGTAACGACCTCTTTTATGCAACTCATGTCCGCGATCACCGCCCTCACGGCAGGCAGCAGGCGGCACTGACGTTCCTGATGACAGATGGGTGGCCATCACTCAGACAAACTGACACGCTGACGCACACCCATCAGTCGGCCAGGGCGCCCTAGCACTCCGAAACACAGCCTGAGTGTTCTGGGTTTAGACTGCTGTGCAACAACGCTGGGCCAGACGATCGCGTGGCGTCTATTGTTCTGTGTCGTGCACAGGTCACCATTCCTGTGCACGCAACCCTTGAGCCACCTTGTCCCCAAGGTTCCCGGGTCCTCAACGTTCAAACGATGAGGGGTCCAGCACCACTCACCCCCAGGTACACGTTTATAACCGATTTAAGTCGTGTTCGTTCGAAGGAAGAGAAGCATGGCAGCTCCGGCTCCGAGCACTCCGCTGTCATCGGAGCTCACTCTTCAGGAGTGACGCCGACTTTATCACTGAGCAAAAGTCCATGCTTCTCGAGTTTGCTTCTTACAAGAAGTCTCAGCAGCGGTGATTTCTCAGTGGTGACGTTGACGGACTGCCGAGGAGCAGAAGTAACTGCGTTTCCCGACGACGAGCGCACAGCCTCAAGCCCCCGAAAACGAAGCAGCCACGGAAGTACCACCGCCGCCACCCGCGGGGGACAGGCACGGGCCCGCAGGCCATGTCTTGTTCGGCTGGGTTAGGATGCTCGCATGGCGGATTGGAAAGTCAGAAAGCTTGACAGGTTACGGAGGACCCTGGTTCGGAGTGTAGTACACTGGTCGCTGGCCCTGAGTGGCAGTTGTGGCATATCTGCTCACCACTACGTGCATCACTACCTACACTGCTGGCAGCTGTCCAGCCATGTCCATCACCAACGCAGTGAGAGAGATGCTTAGAGCAATACAATTAGCAGCTCTTCATCTGCCTTTCTGCATGCAACAGGTCTTTCGACGCCGGCCGCTCCTCTCCGACTTTTTGACCACTTAACCCGGTCCTGTTTACCGATTCCAGCACCCCTTCCTCTATCCTACAGTTTAGTTTTCGCCAATACCATTCTATTATGTCCGCCACCACCGCCAGCCTGCAACGCTGCGACATGATCTCCGGATACAAGAACCGCCAGTGCGCCAAGATGCACGGCCTGGGGTACTCGGCGCACCTTGTGTGCTCCAGGTCCCGTAACGGTCGCCGTGAGCTCTTTCCTCTCAGCCCAACTGACGGCAGGCAAGTGCTGGTTCGAGTGGCACCATGGCGAGAGGCACTGTATCTACTGTGGATGTCTTTGGGAGCACCGCGGTCTTCGCTGGTCTCGCAAGTAGGGCCTCGTAGGGTTACCGGGGTGGGGGGGGGGGCCGCTGACAGGAGGGTGGCATGTGAAAATGATCTTAGAATGAAATAGCCACAAATATGTAGGAAATTCGGGTTGCGTCTGAGCACTTCCCCTCGTAAATCGCTGTAGCTGCCGTAGCTACACGTTCAGCTCATTAGTCCCAGTCAGAAACGTCTGGCTACCGCTTCTGTCGGCCTGAAGCGCTACTACCATGTTGCCGAAGCCTGGCTACATTATGCTCGTGCCCGACGAACCAGTCAAATCACTCGCTATCCTCGAGACCCTGAGGCACCTCCGCCTTCCCTATGCCACCACTCCCAGCAGCACTCGTTATCATAATCTGTAAGGCGCCAAAACATGCGTCAGAAGAAAGATGAGATAGATCAGCAGCCGTCAAAGCCCTGCCGGATTCTCCGCAGCCATCAGCTTTCGAGCATTGCCTCGTTATATCAGTCGGTAGATAGTGTGACTCTTACGCTTAGAGCCGATTGATCACACAGTCATGGGTTCGAGCCCCATACGAGGCTTCCTTTTTCGCTTCTGCAGCGTCGTTTGCTTCTCGTTTTGATCAGAAGAGCAAAGGTAAAGCTAAGGTCGTCAATGGAACGTGTTGGTGTGATGCAGTTGGAAAGTGGAGGTGGAGGTGTTGAGGTCCGGGCGTTGGGCGTCGAGGGCCGCAGGGGATGGGGCGCTGAAGGGCCGTGTTCCATGCCGCATATTGCCTCATCTCAGTCAGCCATGCAGCCCATCACCCGTAGGCCGCCCGTAGGTTGCGCGCCCGAGGTAGTGTGCACGTACGTCCAGTGTTGATCGTCCGAGCCTCGAGTCCCGGCTATGCGGCCAGCGGCCAGTGCCCGGGGGATAAGAACCGAGCTCATGTCACGTCGCCCAGTCGCACTTTTGCCTCCCTCCCCCATCGCATTCACCATGCCAACAGCAGACAAGGCCGCGCAAGCCGGACCCGGGCAGATCTTCAAGTGGGACAAGCCGAGTGCGCTGGTACGAGCAGCGCAGCGGCGGGCGAACAACATCCCGCTGATTACCCCGCGAACCGGACCTTCGACGCCAACGACGCCAGGCACACCGGCCACGCCAACGACGCCGTCAACACCAAGTACGCCGACAGGAGCCAAAAAAGATCGACGGCGATGTGCGGCATACCCGCGCCTTAGTTCTGCAAGTGAGTGCCACCCACTGGGTGAAGCTGAGGGGACAGAATACTGCCAGCTCATCGGCGTACAGTGGACGACGAGGTTGGTTTGCAAGTACTGCGCAGTGCCAGAGTCGCCGTGATGACGCGGGAACGCGTGGCATGCCAGTCTCTGTGCGTCTTTCTGTGCGGCATGCCAGTTTCTGCTCGGCATGCAAACTCAACCCTCATGTGTGCATATGGGAGCACGCCGCCGTGCAGATACCCACCGGACGACAGCGTCAGGCGCCGATGGACAGTCGATTGTATGTATCGGAGGAGTGTAGATGCGATTGTTCATCACCTTCCACATCTGTCACACAGCGAAAGGAAGGCCCCGACCCAGCTGAGCGCAGCGCACAGTGTCGCCAAGTGATGTCAGCTTTGTCCACCGTGATCAGTGCCCGCCGCGTCAGTGCCTGCAGCGTCAGTGCCCGCCCCAGTCCATCAATGTCCAGTTGCCCGGACCCCTGGCATCAGCGCCCGCTCTCATGAACCCATCTACCCCAGACCATGTTCATCAGTGCTCATCTCTTCAACTCTCGTCCATCAGCAGCATCTCTCAACCTCAGCATTGCCCAGCATGATGTCGGGACGACAGCGACGACTGTACTCGACATCATCAACCTACTCGTACGCCTCGTCGACGTTCTCTTTCTCGTCATTCGACAGCATGAGTTCCACCGGTGGTTCTAGCGGTTCCAGCGGCTCGAACGGCGCCAGCGGCTCTAGACCCGTGAAGGAAGGCGGCGTCCGCAGCGTGCGTAGCATGAAGACGCGCTCGCCGGCCAAGCCCGCCACTCGTCTCCCACCTCGCCGTGCGTTCTCCGTCACGACGGCCGACGACTCGGACGCGCCGCTCAGCCCGCGCGGGCTGCGTTCCGGTGCCGGTGCAGAATTGCCGCGCTGCTCGGCGTACCCCGACAAGAACGCCCTCAGTGAGTAGTACTCCCGATTCCGGGGCGAGGTCCCCAAGAGCGCGGCGTAGTCCAGTCGAGCCCAACCGAGCTTGGCAGGAACGAGAGACATCACGATGAGACAAGAGCTAACGGCCAGACCACTGTTTCTACGCTCGCGCGAGCCAGACGACGTTCGAGTGGGCATGCACCTACTGCGGCAAGCCGCCGCCCCAGCCCGAGAGCGGTGGGATGGGATGCACGATCGCCTGAGCTGTCTCACTCTTCTCGGTGCCGGGAATGGGTGCAGGGCCTGGATCGGGGACGGTCGTGATCGACACCGAGAGACAGCCACGCGCAAGCTCGTCGACTGCACCGAACACTCTGAGTAGGGCAATGGTGCAGATTGCTCGGAGGCGAGGATGTGCGCGCAAGTTGTACCAGCACGCAGCCGTGCTGCGATGCTTAGCTTTGTTGTAGCTTTGTTGTAGAACGGTAGAATGAACTGTTGTGAGTTGGAAACCGGCCCTGTCTCCGACGGGAAGCGGTCGGCTCCGTCAACCGTCTACTTTCGACCGCCGCAGGTGCCAAGAAGGCGGCGCCGTTCGCTGTAGCCGCCGTCGGTACCAGCATGGAGCTGGTACGGTGGGAATGAGACATTACAGAGGTTGGATTTGTCGCGAACATGGGCACGGCACGGGGCGTGGTGCTTGCGATCGTGCGAGGGACGGGAGGGACGCGAGGGACATGAGGGACACGAGGGACACGAGGGACACGAGAGACATGAGGGACACGACGCGAGGGACACGCGGAGTTGTCTGATGCGCGGTGTGCATGCGACCGCATTAGCAGAGTGGACATCAAACAGCTGCCGTGAGAGGGGTGCGCGATGTATTGGACGTGAAGCGGTGGATGTTGAGACGTTTAAGGTGCGTATCGGCGAACAAAAGAGTTGCGGCCGCGAGAACTAGCCTTTGTGTGACACTTTGAGCCGTGTCACAAAGTGTCCACTCACGCGCAGTGCCTATTATAAGCCCGCTGTGGACACCTGTGGACATGTCACAATTCTGCTGTGACATTTTGTCACAGTCAGGAGCTGTCACTGTCTCCCATGTCCCTGGGTTGTCCCTCTACATGTCCCATTTTCCCACCTGTTCCCACCTGGGAAATCTGGGAAGCCCAGCAGGGAAAGCTGGGAACATGATTGTCCCTCAAATGTCCCTCCTGATTTTACAGAGCATTAAAATGCGCTTATCAAATGTCACATATGATCTCATCAGTCACAGTCACCTGACCTGTCCTGTCTTCCACCAGTCATGGGGTCAGCCCAGTAGACATGCATGCATGGGGCTGTCCACTATTGTCAGCCATTGTGGACCCCTCCAGCTCAGCACCCCCATTGCCCACCAATTCCCACAGTCTTGTTCCCCATCAAAATCCATCCCATCACCACCACATTCCACTCCTCCACTGCCCAGGATGGTCCAGGTGCAGGTCCCTGGCACCTGCCTCCTCTGCGGCCAAAATACGAAATTCCTCTCGTCTCATTTCGCGCAAACGCACTCTACCCACTCATTCTTTCCGCGCGGCGCCCGCTGCCCTTGTGGACACGTCGCCAGCGTTCTCGACCTTCGAAAGCATCAAGATGCGACGCCGTTGTGCCGGTTGAAATATCGCGACGACGCGACTCCGCCGCCCCGCGAGGTTCCTCCCCCGAGCAAGGTCGTCGTTGAGCTCCCGTCACCCCGCACCGCCGACTGGAGAAGGCAATATTCGCACGCCAACGCGCTCCTTCGTAAACGTGAGCGCGAGGCCATCGAGACTGTAACTGCTCGTGAGTTGCCGCTGGAACAAGAACGACGGCGAGAACAAGCCCTCCACGACCTCCGGACCCGCGATCCCACCCAGTACTCGCGCACCGCCGCCTATGTCCTGCTTGACGACGCGTACGGCAGCCAGCCGAAGCGTACGCCCAGCGAGGCCTCGACATACACACCGTCCGGCGACGAGCGCGAGGCTCACGGCGGCGGCACCGACAGCAGTAGCAGCAGCAGCTTCACGAGCGGCTCCGAATCTTCCGCTGAGGACACCGACGCCAACCCTAGTGCCCGCCGCCGACGAGCCCTAAACAAGAGGGCCTTACATCGTGCGCCCGGGCGCTCTGCGAGTACGGGGCGTCGCCGGGCTTCGCCACCGGGGGCCGTAGACGACTTCTCGGACGACAGCGACCTCTTCAACCGGGACGAGTACGATTATGACGTCAATGCCGCCGCTGTCGACGACGCGGGCGCCGCCAGCGATGGCCCCGAGGTTATCAACCTGGTCGATAGCAGCGACGAGGAAGACAGTGGGCGCAGGCGCCCCGGTCTCACGCCCTCCGTGCACTCACAGCCTGCTACTTCGGCACGAGCCGCTAAGAAGGTGGACGAGTACTGCAGTATGTGCATGAAGGTATACGGCACGCCCAAGGAACTCTACATGCACATGAACAAGGTGCACGACCAAATGCACATCAGCGAGGACGACTTTACGAGCAAGAAGCTCTTTGCTTGTCCTTGCGGGCGGGTCTGCACCCTCCGAGGTCTCACACGCCATCGCGAGCTCACGTGTACGCTCAGCGAGGCCGCGCGAAAGCGAGACGCTGTCTCGGGACTCGAGGCAAGGCGCAGGGCGCTATATGACGTGCCAGCGCCAGGGGCCGGCACCACCGGGGACGACGGCGCTGGGGGCGGCGGCGCTGTTCACAGAAACGCCAGCGGAAACAGGAGGCGGTCCGGCACCTGCAACATCTGCAACAAGCACATGGACGACCTGTACTGGCATATGCGCGAGCATAACCAACAGGGCCGCCATCTCGTGCCCGGAGATGTCACGGCTGAGCACTTTGAGGTCTGTCGTTGTGGCAAGATCCGTGGCCTCACAAAAATGGCGCAGATTATGCACGACAAGTTCTGCCCGTACGGCGGTCCTGACTCGAGATCGCCTGTCTCCGCACACCCGAAACCGGTCGAGCCTCGCCGACCTGCGGTCTTGCAGACAGCGCCCGACAAGCACTTCGGCCGCTGTAACATCTGCAAGCGCGAGGTGAACGACGTTTATCAGCATCTCAGGAACTACTCCAACCGCCGTCTCAAGCCCAAGCACATCACCTGCGACACAATGCAGATCTGCCGCTGTGGGAAACCAAAAGCTCTGACCGAGGTGGGCTTGAGAATGCACGACGCCCGCGGGTGCCCCTACGCCGCGGGGAAGGATTCCTCACCAGACTCAGCGCCGGAAACTGAAGCAGAGCGGGGTGCAGATCCTCCGGCCGACGTCGTAATTAGGTACCCCAGCGGGAACAAGAAGTACCCCGGGACCTGCAACATCTGCGATCGCCATTGCACCGACCTGTACATGCACGTATTCAAGAGCCATAGCAACAGGCGCCTTCGACCTGGCGATATCACCTGCGATACGCTTGTGATCTGCCGCTGCGGCAAGACCAGGGGCTTGACTGAGCGTGCGGTGGAGATCCACAACAGAACATGCAAGTACGCGGGGCGCCCGGCTCCTCCCCCTGCACCCACTCGCCTTCCTGTCGCAGCCGCCGTTGCCTCTCCCAGTACTGTCGCTCCGCCAAACGACGCTCGAGGCGGCACCTGCAACATTTGCCGGACAACCGTCAGGTGGCTTTACAACCACGTGAAGGACGTTCATGCAGGTGAAGTCTTGCGCCCAGGAGACATCACTGCCGATTCATGGATGGTGTGCAAGTGCGGCAAGATGCACGGTGTCACGGAGGGTGCTATCCGGAAGCATGCGACGTCCTGTCGGCTCGCCGGCGGTCTGCGGCTTCCGCAGGCGTCCAAGTCAACCGAGTCCCCTTCCGATATCGAGCGCCCCGCCAAGCGCCCCTGCAGGTCCGAGTCCGACACAGCATCAGACCCGGAGGACAGGGAGCCACCCAAGGATGTCTCTGTCGATGAGGAGGGCGGGCCCACGTTTGCGCCCGGCCCTGATTTGACTTCGCCCTTGTCGTCGCCTGCAGCTGGCGCCTTGGACGATGAGAGCAGCGACGCCGAGCTCGCGAGCGTCAGGGAACGTGCCAAGGGCAAGCGCAGGGGTCCAGCGACGACATCTGAAGCGGAGGCCTTCGAGGTCGAGGATGAGGAGGGGCTGACTCGTGTGAGCGCGAGCTCGAGACAGAAGCTCCTTGCCTCTCATTCGCATCTCGCCACCTCGGGTATCGAGGATGTCGCCGAGGATGAGGAGGGCTGGCCAGAGCCCAGTACCCGTTCGTCGCAACGTAAGGACCTCATCCCGAACAGTGTCGACGAGGACGCAACGCCGTCGCGCGTCAAGCGCCCACGTACATCCCGAATCCGTGACCCGGATGATTCTGTGACTGAGGAGGAGTCCCGCCCCACTGGCAAGCGTCTGTCAAAGGACACCGTCGATCTTCTCATGAAGCGCCGCCAATATCGTGAGGAGCACAGTGACTCGCCTGACGGCCCAGTTGAGGGCGGAGACTACCGACCCAAGAAGAAGGCCAAGAAGAGTGCAAAGAAGTCCGAGAAGGAGATCGCAAAGGGGTCGAAGCAGACTGCGAGAAAGACATCGAGGGACCGGCGCTGGGAAGCTGAAGCTGAGCGCTCCATGTCTGCGCGTGGTGAATCACCCGTCCCCGAGCACGTCAGCCCTCGTAGACGTGTCTTGACGCGCACACCTGCCTTCTCTGTGGCCGACAGCGACGAGCCCGCCTCGCGTGTCGCCTCCCCCAACGTGCCGGCCGTTGCCACTGTCACCACCGGCGACAGAGCGGCGCGTTCAGGACCAAGTTGGGCAGCGCATAACTCGCCTCCTGCCGACATCGAGAAGGACGCTGAGGAGACGGAGGAGATCCTGACGACTCAGTCGACGATGCCGTCGCCTCGTATTGAGGTTCGTATCAAGTCCATCAAGACCCTTCCTGTTAAGAACGCTGTCAAGAAGAGCGTGAAGCCGCAAACCTCTTCTACGCGCATGCGCCTGAGTGGGATCGACATTCCCCCACACCCCAAGAAGAAGGAGAAGAAACGCCCCCGCCATTCCGTTCCTGCTTGACGATCATGATTGTGATCGTCCGACATTGTACATTACTTTTGCTGTGCCATTCTCACATTGGTAGCATGTTCATCACACAGAGAGACACTCCCGTACGCCCCATTCGTTGTATGCACACAATTGCATTCCAGCTTCTGAGACACTGTGCGCACCTCACACTGTCACTCACACAGGCTCAGCGTCGTACTGGTGCACCTCCGCACTCCTGCACCTCCGGACCTCGGCAGCGACCCATCACCTTAGTTATGGAAGTGCCGCCCAGTCTGCCGCATCGCCCCAGTACATCACATGGTGTGTCGGATCCCACGGCCTCGCACGTCTGCGACAACGGCCGTCACCATGGGGCCAGTCACCATCACCGTGTCACCATGTTCTTCTTATCTCCATCACCATCGCCTCCGACACCATGACACTGCACTCCTACGGCCTCTGCTGTGGCAACAAAGCCGGCGAGAACGCCTACGGTGAGTCCTTGCCGGCTCAGTGCTGACACCAGCGCCCTGCGCTTTCAAGCAGAAGGCCTTCTTCCAGGTGTGCCAGTACTGCCAGCGCTACCGTGCCGATACCTCGGCGAGGGCGCTTCCATACCCTCCCTTGTACCCGCCTCCCAAGGCCGACCAGGGCCAGAATAAGTAACGACCCCGTGCTGTAGCTGGATACCCGATACATGGATTAAAACGTCTATATGTAGCTACTGCTGATGTAGCCTTAAGCCCTAAGATCTATGCCCTGGAGATAACAAGTTCTGATGGAAAACAAGTCATGATAATGATGCGCTGGGACGCGGACGAGATCACTTCTGCGCCCCTAATTCCGATGCAGGTGTCTCAAGCGGCGCCTTCTCGACCTTCTCGACGAGGACCGTTTCCGGCAGGCGGTCGACTCTCGTCTCCTCCGATGCGCTTGAGTCGGTCGAGTTGATGCTCGTCTTCTTCTTGGCGCCGTAGGCGCCCATGCCGCGCAGCATGACGAGCGCGATAAGCATGGCCGTGAAGCTCGCACCTGCGGCGAAGTAGAACGCCCCGTGCAGGCCGTGCAGGAGGGCCGTCTTGTGGTCCACGCCCTTTGCGGTCTCCTTCATGCTGATGCTGGTCTGGACGACATTGACGAATGCGAGTCCCAGAGCACCGCCGAGCTGCACCATTGTCTGGAAGAGCGCGCCGGCGACCGACTGTTCCTCTGGCAGAGCCAGGGTCGAGACGAAGATAGACCCCACGGAGATCAGGAAGTCGGCACCCAGTACTGCCAGCCACATCGCGTTGAAGGGGAGCTTCCAGTACATCTCGTCTGCGGGCGAGATGGCGAAGAAGATGTTGGCGACGCCGGTCGCGGCCAAGCCGAAGCAGATGAGGAGCTGGCCCGGCACAATGTGGACGATCTTGGCGACCACAACGTTGCAGATGAGTCCACTTATGGTGGACGGGAGGAAACGGAGCATGGCGGTGATGACGCTCGCGCCCTGGACGTTCTGGAAGAAGAGCGTCGTGTTGTAGAAGAAGGTCGTGAAGCCCATCCAGCTGATCCCGCCGATGAAGTAGGTCGCGGCCAGCTTGCCCTTGGAGCGTGTCCAGAGTGCGAGGCGCATGAGAGGCGGGCGGGAAGTGCGCGTCTCGACAAAGTGCTCCCAGCCGAAGAAGCAGGCGATCAGGAAGGCAGCGACAACAATGACCGCGATGATGTAGGGCGTCTTCCATCCCTGCGGGGCAGCTTCGGCGGACGAGATGCCGAACATGAGCAGTACCAGGCCGCAGGTGACCAAACCGGCACCGACCCAGTCGATCCGGCGGTCCGGGTCCAGGTGCCTGTCAGGTAGGACGACAAAGTATCCCGCAATAGCGACGCCGGCAGCCATGCCCGCGAAGAGCCAGAGTGCCGCCCGCCACTTGGGCTCGGTGTAAGCCGTGAGCAGGCCTCCGATCGTGACGCCGAGTCCGCCGCCGATGGGCCCTCCGGCCGAAAAGCAGGCAAACGCACTCGCCCTCGTCCTCCCCGTGAACGTAGAGGCGATGATACCGATGGCGCTGGGGATGGAGAGAGCAGACCCCATGCCGGCAAGTGCACGGGTGGCGACGAAGGCGGCCGTGTTCTGCATGAACCCGCCGACGAGGTTCCAGATGGCATACCACGCGACACCGATCACGAAGCACGTCTTGCGGCCGTAGACGTCTGCCAGTCGTCCAGAGAGGAGGAGGAAGCAGCCGTTCGTCAGTGCGAAAGCGGCGCTGATCCAGTGCAGCTCCGAGTCAATCACGTGCAGGTCGCGCTGAATGTCGGGCAGCGCAATCGAGAGCGACATGTTGCCCGCACCCGAGAGCGCCATCGCAAACGTCGTCACCATCGCGATCGCCATCGTGCGCCAGATCGACAGGACGGGGAACTCGGGCTCAGCAACGACCGCCTCGACGTCCCGGGTGCCGTCGGCTGCTTCTCCGGCCTCGAGTGCGAGTTCCGGGGTAGTGCCCACCCCCTCTGCCGTCACTGCCATCGGCACGTCCTTCTGCGATGCCATGCTCTGCCGCGTCGTCACGGGGTGCAGGTCCAGACGCTGCGTCGAGGACAGCTCCGGAACAACGTCATACCCCGGCCGCCCGTGGGGCGCCTTCTCGTCCTGCATCGCGACGTAGTTCGTAGGGTCGGGTCGCGTGGTATGATCGTCGGGTCGATTGGTTGGTCGGATTTGTTGTGGTCTTGTTGGTCGCCGTCGACCAGTCGGCACGTCTCGTCCCTTACTTCCACAAGCAGAGCGGAGTGAGTACAGGTAAGAACAAGCGACGGTATTGATAGTAATGAAGAGCAAATGAACAAACAGAGAAGAAGAGAATCACACAATGCAACGCAACGTAAAGCGTAAGCAGCGGGCGAGCGGAGCGGTGTATGGTCGTATGGTGTGCTAACGAAATCTTGTGACGCTACGGTCCGCTACGCTCGGCAAGGGACTGGAGGGACAGGGCCTGGGTCGTCGGCCGACGCCGATCTGCGGCGTCCACTCCACCACTCTGCACCACCCAGGCGGGGAATTTTCCGATAATATTGGGCGGCGAATTCGGAAACACCCCGGCACACCCGGCGTGCCCGGCATCGCTGATGCACAGTGATGGACATCCTCGTGATGTCTTGGCGGAACGCTTTTGGAACACCTTCTGAATGCTCAACGCTACCTTAGCAACAGCTGCCTGCCTGGGGACATTGGAATGGTTTCGAAACATATGTACATTATACTTTGCTTTGGGCCGTTGCTGGCCCATTGCCTTCTATTTGATCTACTGCTGAACACCCCCTCCCTTCGTTTCCCTTCGTTTCCCGTCGTCTGGTCCAAGTCGCCGCATTCGGAGAACCCGATTGCCACTACACCGCGAAACCCAGAGCGTTCTCAAGTTCCCGCAAGCTCTTCTCCTGGATACGCTCGTACAGCTCAAAGCTGTCGTGCAGTTTGACGGGGAGGATCTTCTGGAACGCAGTCTTGGATGCACTTCCCCTGTTGGGACTGGGCGATCGTGACCGGTCCCTCTCGTCGAGGTTGGACTGGAAGATCCCCGCCGCACTGGCGGGCAGGAAGTCTTCGTACGTGACGGGCTTGAGTGCGACGTGTCCACGGGCGACGAGCTCAGGCAGTGGCAAAGGCTTGGGCGGGGCGGAGACAAGGTCATACTCGAAGTATGCGAGCCCGTCGTCAAACATTCCCCGGTATGTGTCCGGGAAGGAGGCGAAGGCCTTGGCCAAGTTCTGCTGGTGCGCCTCATTGTCCATGGCGGCAGGCACGGTCGACATGAGCTTGACGTACATGGCGTGCCCTTTGCGGGTCAGAGCGCAGCCGCGCTGCTCGATCTCGCCGAATCGGGCGCGGTGGCTGCCACTGATCGACCTCCGCATCTCGGCAGAGGCAGGCGTGCCCGCGCCACTGGAAGGCGGGAAGGTGATCGGCTCCGTGAGGGCCTGGAAGGAGGTTTGGCGGAGGAGGATCTCGCACTCCCGCTTCGGCGGTCCCTCGATGATGGTCTTCGGCGTGATGCCCCGCGCCGACATGCCAGTTTGGGCGGCGTCGATGTCGAGTACGCGCGGAGTGAGGTGGTTGATGTGCGGGCCACGGAAGGCTGCAATGTCGGCCACGAGGGGGTGCGCAGCGTGCATCTTGTCGTACGTCTCGCGGGTGACGAGCGCAGTGTCGTGCCACTTGAACGTCTCCAGAGCCTTCTGGACTAGCTCCTCCGCATCCTGAGGGCGGACACCACCCTCGGCCTCGGCCTTGGCAACGATTTCCCGAACACGAGGGTGGAAAATATCCCTCTCGGCCAGGACGGACTCGACCTCGGCGCGGAGCTCGGGCTCGAGGAGCTCGGGAAGGAGGAGAGAGGTGAAGACGCGGAAGGGGTTGATGGTGAGCGCCTCGGCGTCGACTGGCCGGAACGCCGTCGAGTGAACCGGCACACCTGAGGGTGAGAGGTCGTAGTAACCCACGGGCTGCATGCCGAACAGACCGAAAAGGCGGGCAATCATCGCCAGCTCGTCTGGCTTGCCGAGGCGGATGGCGCCGTGACGTTCGACCTTGAGGCGGTCAGGGATTAGCTAAGAACGGAAGGGTGAACGTACCTTCGGGGGTCTGTCCGGACTTCGAGTTGACATCGTCAACCAGTTCCACTAGGTCGCCGTACAGCGGCACCTCGGAGCGGTACATGGCCGAGAGGGCAGCGCAGAAGCGCGCCCGGAGTTCGTCGGGTGAGACAAAGTCTGAGCCCGTCATGGTCGTTAATCAGTCAGTTGTGTGAGCGGGTCAGACTTCTTGGGTCAACTTTGCTTTATAAGTTCTTCGGACCTCCGTGCCGAACACCGTGTAGCACCGAACATTCCATGCATGTCATGCACAGATGCGTGGCGGAACATGGATGATAACGGGCAGATTCCGCTTGATCGCCGGAATTGATAACCCGAGGATTAGACTCGAGATAACCAGCCAGTGGCAGGCGTCTAATCTCACGTGGCTTATCGACTATTCCGTCACCGCTGCGGCATACTTAAGGCAGCCGCGGCTTCCTCCGGTGTTCGAGTCGTCCTCTTCGAGTTCTTGCAGTACTTGCGAACTACACCGGCACTCCAGCTGCGATGAGACTTATAAGACTTTGAGTCAACAAGGGTCGGGTCTCAACGTGTGTCTCGCGTGGCTTATCGCAGTCGTGTCTCCGTCGGAACGTCCATGCTTCGCTGCTTATAAAGAGCGAGTACGACTACAGCCCGGTTATCGACTATCCCTCCCTGCACTGCCACTCAACATTCCGTCAGAATAAGTCGTGCAACTCTGGTTCGTGACGATGCAAGTGAGACATCCCGAGTTAATCACCTCCTCCACCTCCCCACTCTACTCCACTCCACTCACCCACTGTTGCATGCCGAGTGAATGAATACGTGGCGTCGGACCGCCGTCGCGGCCTCGCCTCAAGTGGGATCGGCGGTGAGGGCCGACAATGCCCAATAAGGACAAAGTTAGCAGAGCGTGTAGCCTACCTCCGAGTTTCCAGGTGCGGATCGCATGCGGAATAGAGGTGATGCGCGCTTTTTCTTTGGTGCGAGCGAGGGTTGCGAGCGAGAGAAGAGGGTGCTCGGTGCGAGCTACGGCTTAGGCACGGCTCACCGATGTTGTGGTGTCACGCTTTAATCCTGAGATCCTGATGTCCTGCTGCTCGTTGCCTGTTGTGTTGTCAACAAATCCCTCAGTGGTGTTGCGCCCTCGCTGTCAAGCGTCGTGTCATCGCTGTGGCCGTGCCCTTGCTACTCAGGTCCGGCAGGTGACCGGCAGACGACCGGCAGGCACGGCATGCCCCTTGTCGCCCTCGTTCACCCACTCCGAGTGTGCGCCTCACTGCGCCCAGACTCACCCCGGATTCGGTGATCGTCCAGACGGCGCCACGACGGGAAGAAGGTGCAAGGAGGGGTCAGGAGAGACATGACCGGTTTTCTCCTTGTAGTTTAACCTGGCTGACGACGTTTTACCGCCCGCCGGCAAGAGAATGAGGCTGAACCCGTGATCCGCAGCCCCGCAAAAGGTTTAGCATCCTGGGTTGCCGTGCCGAGTCCTGAGGAATGGCGGAATGTGATTCGAGACCGAAGATTATCCTGGCCGTGCACCCAGAATCATGACCTGCGGTGTACAGTGGAGAGCGGTGGAGGGCGGTGTGGAGGCCTGGAGGGCAGGGGCGCTTAGCTCACACGACCGGTCGCGTACTGACCGATACCGTCGGCAACCAGCCTGTCCAGGGGGTCTTGGCGGACGCTTTTCTGTCACGTCCTCAATCATGGCCGCGTATCTCACTAGTCTGACGAAAATCCCGCAATGCTATCTCCTCCTATCCGGATCCTTGTTGTTACTCGGTATGTCGACCGTCCGCTGCGTTCAGGACGAGATAACGAGTGGGTTGTCTCACTGTCCCCGCAGTGACACGCAACTGAATGGGTGACATGACGACTTGCAAGGTTGTTCGCCAGGGATCCAAGGGTCTTTGAAGATCTCGGAGGGTAGCTGAGCGAGTGGGAGAGCGAGTTGGTGCTGAAGTCAGCAGCGAGACGACGTTGTTCCGTTGGAATCCGATATGCATGTCGAAAAACGTTTAAGGACCCACAGCCGCCGGAGCGTTTAAAGTTGATAAGACACAGCAACAAGATCTGCCGTAGCCTTCCGAACCCCTCCGCACTCACGTACTCTCACGTACGCATCTCACGACACCCCAGACGCAACAAACAACGACGCCATACCGACGATACAAAAGCCCTCTGCCAGCCTCCGCAGGTCTAGTGTCCGGTCGCCCGCCGAAATACCTTCCCCGCAATCCCCGCAGATCTACCACGCGAATTCCCTGGGCCGTTACGACACCGCCCCCATGCCTATCGCTGTGCAGCACGCCTACGTCCTATCTGACGCTAGCGCGCTTAGCTCGTACCAGCAGCAACACCATACATACCCATACCACGCCTCCTCGAGCTCGCCGCATCCACATTACTACCAGCCAACTCCTCTTGCGCATCCACACCACCCCCGCGTTCCCATCCCCATGCCGGCGAGCAATCAGTCTGGCTCAGAGTCGCCCCAGGCCAGCAAGCGGAAACGGAGCCGCGCAGGCTGCTACACCTGCCGCAGGCGCAAAGTAAGTTCCCGCCAAGTGGGCCGTGCGGGCGGCTGCTTCACCCGGCCTCAATGATATGCGGTTTCTGACATGCAACCCTACAGAAGGCATGCGACAACGTCAGACCAGTATGTGGATCATGGTATGTGCTTCACTCTCCATCGTTTGTGCGATCGTCGCTGACTGCATTGTAGCACTCGACTTGGCATACCGTGCGTCTTCCCCAAGCTCTATCGCAATGCCAAAGGCGAACTTGTCCCTAGCCCCCAGCCAAATGGCCGCACCAAAAAGCTCCGTGAGTGGCACTGTTTTCCAAAGGAGGGAATCTCTCACTGACACGCACAGCAAGGGAAGACGCCTCCCTTTCCCCAGTGCAGAGTACGACGTCCGCTGGTGGCTCGCAACACCACATTCCCTGGGAGACTCCGGGCGCGTCATCATCTTCCGCACCAAATGCCCCTGTCAACTGGACACAACCACCCCCTTCTGTCGGGCAAAGGAAGAGCGATGGGTCGATAGACGGCAACGAGGCTGACTTGACCGACTCGGCGCTCGACGCCTTCCTTGCCAACTTGGGAGATATCGAGAGCGGGCAGTCGTGGGCGTGGCCCCTATTTGGGGATGCGCTAGAGTTGGATCTGGGACCTTCCTCGGACAACATGTCGTCGTCAGCGCCAAACAGTCTGCCCACCCCTGCCCAGCATTCTGACTCGTCGGCCGGCAACAGCAATTTCCTGCCAAACAAGATGGTCACGGCCGCGGCAGTGCTGGAGCATCTGCCTGCGCTTTATGACGTGAGATAAGCTATCGTCTGTTACCATCTGACACACAGTATTGGGTTAATTCATTCTCCCACGTTCTATCGGTGTTAGGGCCCGGACATAACCCTGTTGTGAATGGGATGCTTCCCGTGGTGCAGCGCTCACCGTTGGTGATGTGTGCCCTCATCGCGTGGGCCGCCACACGACGCGCAAACACTGGGCACCCGTATGAGGATGTCGCTCGTGTTGCTACCGAAACAACAATATTGCAGATGGACCAGCTCGACATTGAGCGCGACCTAACGGATGACGAGAAGGAGGAGTACATGTGGACGTTCATGATCGTCGGCGGCCTCGAGATCGTTAAGGGCGACGTCAAGGCGTGGGCTTCGCGGCTGCCCATGATTCGAAGATTATTGTCCAAAACACTGGAAACGACCGACTTCAGAAAATCGCAGACGTGGCAGGCACTCTCTTACAATTGTGTCTACCACGATGTCCTCGCTTCTCTTACCACCACATCATCACCCGACTTCCCTGTCGAACTCTACAACCGCATCCTTGGCTTTGGCATGAGCGACCTCGAAATGGACTGCTACATGGGTGCGACGCGTGTTGTATTCCCGGTAAGTACCAGCTGCGTGATTCTGTAATGTTCAGCTGACGCCAGTTCCTCGTTGAGACCGCTGTCCTCGCTGGCCAGGTGTCGCAGCTGCTAAAGCAACCGCTCTCGCCCGCCCGCGACGCTCAGCTCGCCGAGGTCATGGCCCGGTGCGAGCCACTGCTTGCGCGATTACGCGCAGTCGATACGCCGATCGGTTTATTCTCTCACCCGCTCCCCATCGGGACCGACAAGTCGCTGCTTGTCGTCTCGTTCCAGATCTACCAGCTCTCTGCGGAGCTTTACCTTCGCTCAGCGGTGATGCGTGCCGCGGGCTCCGACATTCAGTGCCGCCTGCTGGCCGGGCGACTGCTGAATTACCTGCGTCTTATCCTCGACACGCCAAACGAGTCGCAAATGATGTTCCCGCTCTTCCTTGCGGGGCTGTACATCTCGGACGAGCGCGGGCGCGCCGAGATCTTGGGCATCTTCACGAAATTTTCGGAGCGCGTTCAGTGCCGCAACGTCTTCACCGTCATCAATCTGATGCTCGAGGTGTGGAAGCGCGACCCTGAGGGAGATCGCTACGTCGACTGGCGCGCTGTCGCCGAGGAGGTGAGTTTGGGCGTTACGGACTAAACTGATAAACAGATGAACGTCGGCATCTCCTTCGCATAAAAGTAACCTCTTTGTAACACAAGTAATGGACGGGACACTGCGCTGCATGCCCATTTAATGCCCAACTTGCTGCAAGCTATTTCTCTTGTCTTGAGTACCATCGCTTTCAGTGCTGATCATTGCGCCAGATAATAATTTAGAAGTGGCGCGCGCCTGACAGCAAACCCAGATGCAAGCAGCAAAGCCCGTAAGCAAGCGAAACAACAAGCTCGACCAAGTCTTGCTCACCGCCCACCTCGCAATCGGTCGCTTGGAACGGTGCGCTCGTCCCTGCCCCGAAACGAATGGTCATGCCATCCTTCGGATCGGGCGAAAGAACGCAAGGAAGGCTGACGTAACGTGCCTGGGGGATCCTGGACGATCCTGGGTGTGACACGGTGACTTGTGGCACCGTGCGGTGCACCACTCCTCCGAAGCACAAGTTCATGGGGAATCCCGCGCAAGCCATCAAGCATACTTTCGAGTATAATCTCTGCACAATGGCCCGCTGCTGTGCCTCCATCGACTCGAGGCGGGAAGCAAGGGCAACGAGGCACGCCCGATCGGCTTTCATCCTCCACGCCTTCCCCGGATGCCCTGGCGCTCCGAGATGGTGTGCGCGCCTCTTGCCTCGCCGTCCGAGCTGTTGGCTCGATACGCCGGGGTGGTGGCGGTGCTGAGGGAGAGCGGTCCGCGGTCCGCCAGGGGACGACGACTCGGAGGGTTATTCTGGCAGAACTGGTTCTCCCGCACAGATTCCGGCCAGCAGCGCTCGAATGCGGGGATGGATTCGCAATGCCCCCATTAGTGAGAGGCATCGTTCGGATAAGGAGAGGGGATGATTTCGAAGCTCAGGTTCGGTGTAGAGATATCGGACGAGAGACGTATGGTAGAATCGGAGGTGGAGGGAGTGGCGCTCACGACAGAGGCGTGACAGCAGTCTCTGGCCTCCATTAGCTCTCAAGCTCTCGTGCTCGTGCTTACTGACAGCTTCCATGCTGTCGATCTGGCAAGTTGAGCTGCACCAGTCATTACAGTTGTAACCTCTGCAGAAGCCGAACTCGCTGAACAGCCCTGATCTTCGCAGTTCGAAAAGGGGGACGGACCTGCAGGACGAGGTACGAGCGGTCCTCTGCACCACGTGCTGGCGACTGTTGATGCAGACTCCTGACGACGGCTAAGCCTACAAACGATGATCAGAAAGTAGACAGTTGAGATGCAGGCCAACACGCCCGGGGCGTCACCGAACGACATGCCGACAGATTGATGCATCGTCGTATCAATATGTCATCTTCACGTCGATGTGTCAACGTGTTGACGGATCAACTTGTCAAGTTGTCGATAGTTCGACCTGTGAATAAGCGAACACGTCAACGCATCAACATATCATGTAAACATATCAACATGTAACTATCAACTGATCAACTTGTCGACTGGTCGACGTATCAATTCATCACCTTATCAACTCTTTAACTTATCACCTCATCAACTTATCAACTCACGAGCTTATCAACATGTCAACTTCAACTTCCCGCCGTCTCAACATGTCAACAATTCGACGTATCAACGTATCAATCAACCGGCCAATCAATTCATCAACATATCAAGTATCAACACATCAGATTATCAACTTTTGAGTGGAACGCCAGTCAACATGGCAACAAACGTCACCAGACTTGCTGGCGTCGGCACCGAAGCTCACTCAGCTTTAGGGCGGACAATGTCAGTGGGGCTGTGACCGCAGACTCAGCACGCAGTTCACCGGTCGCAGAGCATCAAGCGGTGTCGAACGGCCAACTCGAGTGGCCCAACGATGACCCACTCCATCGTGGCTAAAGCTGAAGACCAAGCGTGGCGGCAGCTTAGCAGTGGCCAAGTCTTGTCCGGGTTGGACAACACGGGCTCTCATCAGGACGTAGAGAACCACCCCAGCCCTACCCTCCGCCCTCACCTTCTGTATCCTCCGAAGCTTACGCACCTCCAGTTGAGAAAAGACAAAAAATAATTCGACCCGAAGGTCGCCTCTCTGAACAATTACTTGTTTCATCCATATGCTGGGGAAATGCTAATCTTCTCTGTATCGTTCCAAATTTATCATATTGCCCGGCCGAAGCCGGGCGACAGCTGCAGTGCTGGGGAGTAGGGATGGGTTTGGGTGGGCGGATTCGGCGATACGAGACTGCACAGGATGTGGCACCAGAGCGGGGGATGGGATATTACGTTGATACCATAGTGGACGAAATGCGGAGACACTGTGCGGCCGCGTTCCATAACGAAATGCATGCATGTGTAAGCGAAGGAGTGTGTCGATGAAGCGGCCTGCATGCACCAAGAGCCTGGTATCATGCATCCGGAGAGAGACGGTTTGTGGTAGCGGAGCATGAATCGTGCAATAGTGGGCACGGCCTGACGTCGGGACCACCTCCACCTCCACCGGCCATCTCGCCTTCTCTGCATTACTGCACGCACTGCGATCTCTGCAAGTCATGCTAGTCCACGCTCTGTCCCTACGGCCCTACGGCCTACGGGCCCGCTGATCGCCGGACGTCTCGAGGTCTCACAGCTGCCAGGCTGCCTCCTTCCAGCCGATAGCATCAAAACATGATCGTCGGATATGCAGAGTGACTCCCACCCGAACCTAGCGCGCGCGGAAGACGCCACCGTGACGGGTTATAGTGGTGATCGGTCGTGATCGGGCGGCATGAATCCCGAAGCCGTTCGTCGGGTGGTCCACCCACGCCGTGCACGCCTCCACGTCGCAGCAGACGCCGACCACAGCCAAACTCAGCAGTCAGATCACCCAGGACCCGTGCAGCTAGACGGTCATGCCTGTCATCAAGGGGATTATAAACAAGTGTGCTGTACTACGATAGTTACTTGGCGAGGAACTTGGACGCGAGGCCCATGAGCTGCGCTGCGCCCGCCGAGCCGCCCTGGCCCGAGAGCGCGCCCTGAACCTGGTTCTGGACGAGGAGCTTCATAACAGTCGAGCCGGCCGAGTTGAGGACGTCCTGCTCCGACCCGCCCTGCGCGCCGCCGGCCTTGTTGAAGAGCTTGCTCGCCTCGGCGAGCGCCATGCCGATCAGCTTGGAGATCATCGACTGCTGGCCCTGCTCCTGTCCGCCGGCGTTGCCGGACGCGAAGCTCTTGAACGCCTGGATCGCGGCGGCGGCGCCCATGGACTGCGCGTCGAGGCCGCCCGCGTTGCCCTGGTTGTACGCCTGGTTGTGCGCCTGCTCGGCTGACTTCTCGTCGACGGACGAGTTGGGCGAGACGTTCGACTGGATGTGGCCCATCGCCGCCGAGAGCATGCCCTGCAGCTGGTTGCCGTTCGCACCCTGCGCGTTGGCGCCGGAGATGAGAGAGGCAAAGTCGACTGTGCGTTAGTAGGGGGTTGGGCAAGACGATCACCAGCGGCAGACGTCTGTGCACGAGATGTACTCACAGGCAGAGCCCTGGTTGGGGTTGAAGCCGCCCTGCTGGTTGCCGCCGTTGAAGCCGCCCTGCTGCTGCTGCTGCTGGCCATTGAAGCCCTCGCCCTGCTGCTGCTGGCCGTTGAAGCCCTGCTGCTGGCCCTGGTTCTGGCCAGAGACTGTGAATGTCAGTGACGTCCAAGTTTCCCACTCCGACGGGTCGCAAGGTGCCCCCACAGATCTGCCCGGAGCCCGGGTCTTGGTCGGGGCCGAAGTCCACTGAGATCAGAGAGACTCACGCTGCTGCTGAACCTGGTTCTTAGCGAAGTTGAGGAGTCCGTCCATGGTTGCCGTTGCCGAGTTTGAGTGAATGGGCGAAAGCAAACGATGGACACGCTGGCGTAAACGTAACTGTCGATCGCCGCTGAGCGCTGAGCGTCAGTGCCCGGTGCCAGCGCGTAGTGACGCGCTGGACCAGGGTCCAAGTGCATCGAATATAGCCGGGGTCCGCAGTCTCTTGCTCCCGTTGGTTCAGCAGGCGATCAGCTGCGGAAACGACGCCTCATAGCCCTGGAACGGGTTCGTGCATTGGACTCTTGCTTTTTTTGCTCAGACTGCAGATCTTCGCAAAGCATCGCAAAGCATGCATGAATGATCTACCGTAGGGAGGCCGGTGACAAGCTTTCTGCAGCAGAAGTGGGATCGCACGACCAGGGGAGCAGATCCAGGAACAGATACCGCGTGGCTAATCAGTGAATTCTGACGCCGGTTCGCTGCTTCGTTCGTTCGGACGCGAGTTACGCGAGGACCGCAGATTCAGACCGTAACTCATGACGGATATGACGGGCTATGCCTGACGGAGTGAACGGTCCGTCGTACCGCCGTACCGTCGTGTTCGTCGGAGACGAGCGAACGGGAGTATGCACGGAGGCAGAGTTCTGCGGCCATCTGCGTCTAAGGTTATGTACCCGGCCCCGAGCGCAGGCTGGTCAGCTAGCTGCACATATGCACATGATACGCGCGTAATGTTCGCCGGGGTGCGAAGTCGGATCTATACCGTCCTGCGCGGCGAAGTTGGCGCTCCAAGCCTTCTCACGTCCCTGCGCCGCTGCTCTTCGCATGCTTCTGCGGCGTGCACAGCTCCTGCATGATCCTGCGCAAGACTCCTGCACTATTCATGTGCTACTTACTTTTCTGCGGAACCGCGTGCGGGTCACTTGTACGCCTTGTTCTGCGCTTGTTCAGTTCACCGCGATCCCCGCAGAATTAGGACCCATAGGAGCGAATGGAGCGAATACCCCGTACCTAGGTGCTGAAACCTGGGTGCGCTGGGCGTGTGACTAGCCCACGTCCCAGTGTCAGATAAGAGCCCACCGATCGGCAGCTCAGTTCTGCGAATTCTGTGGAAGCGACATTTTGGAGCGGACAGGGAGTAGGTAGGGAGTGGGCAAGGGGCAAGAATTGGACCGCTGGCCGCCTTGGCTATATGCTTTCAAGGAAATCTGAGAACATTGCGTAGCCGCTATGTAGTGCAGAGTGTTACATTGCGCACATCTCGGCACAATCTGGAGGCTGCCCATTCAAGTCTTGCATTTGCTCCTGGTGAGAAACTCTGCCCCTCCTCTGACGGGAAGGTTGTGATGTAGCTGGCGCGCGCACTCAATATAACGCAAGATTTCGGGCCCTGCGTTCGCTTCATTTGCTACAGCCGCGCGACCGCGAGCCGCTCGATACGCTTGGCGCACACGGGCACTCGGGCTGGCCTGACATTGGTGCATCGGCGCATGCGCGCATGCGGCGCACGGGTACATGGGAAGGTGGGCTGCAAGGGCGAGTCTGGCGGTCCTGGCGCAGCCACTCACTCGTACATTGGCTCCGCTCATGTAGTCGCGTCGCATCGCGCACCGCGGCGCGCCGCGTCCGCGTACATTACACATTACATTACATGCTGGGGTGCGCACTGTGTCACTTGACGCTGGACTGAATGGACGGGGCTGGGGCGGACGACGCGTCCCAGGACTCTCATTTACGCCCACCTGAGAGTCATTGAGACTCATGACGAACGGCGATGCTGCAAATGTGCCAGGAGTTAGGTTGAGGCTTGGCGGTTCCCTTTGCAGGAGTAAGAGTTGTTCGCACACACAGGAGCCTAGCTCTAGCGTACAGGAGCCGATGGAGCGGGCAGGAGTCTAGGAGTCTGCCTTGCAGGGGCTGTTGCGAGGAAGGTGCGACATTGACGCGGTGGCCGGTGTCGGTGGAGGTTGCAGCAGAGCCAACGGGCTATGTCAGAACACGTGTCTGCCCTGGATCCAGGGTGGCGCCCCGCATCACGGCGCACGCTTGAGTGCATGATTTTCTGGCCTATCAGGGGGCTTGAATGGGAGTGATCTTGATCCAAATCGTGATCCAGCTGCGTGATCCCGAGGGACCAGCCACCCATCATTGCACTCGACTGGCTCCCCATTCAGCCATGATCCGACAGCCTGGCAGCCGAGAATTTTGGGCCAGGCTGAGTCAACTGCATACCTCGCCCTGGGCCCTGGTGCTGGGAGCTTGCACAGCCGATGCATGCATTGTCCATCTCATCTTTTGTGCACCACTACTTGCAACATCCATCCTCGACATTAACAGCAAGCAGCAGCAGTCGCTGTTGTTGTTTGTGCTACATCAGGGGGAGCCAGCATATCGCGCGTTCCTAGGAAAGCCCTGCAGCGCGGTTGATTTTTGCACGAAAGAAGGAAAAGCAAACACTACGACACAGCGGCCAACCAGCGGGCTACTCCCTAGAGCCGCGGGCCCAGCCAGCCAACCTACCAGTGACTACGCCCTAGTCCACTACCAGCCAACCTTGTTCAGGGTGCAAACACCTGCTCCATTCCTGAGCGCACCAACACTCGTCCATCCACTGCACTCCTACATCCTTCATCTCACACTCCACTCACATTACACCCTTGCAATCTCTCACTCTCAACCTCTTCTCCTACCTGTACTCGCACTCGCTCTCTCTCTTTTCGCTCGCTCGCTCGCTCGCTCTCGAACGCTCTCCCTCAACCCCTCCGTTGTTCGCCGCTCTTGCTCCAGTCCTGCTCTCTCTCTCTTGCTTCTCCCCACCAAACACCCACCACCAACACGCTCGACCAACACCCCACCCCCCTCTCTCTTGTACGCGATCCAACCGGGCACGTCTGCCCATAGTGACGACCTGCCATCATGGCCAGCGGTATCCCTGTAAGTTTTCTGTCTCTCTACTTCCTTTTGTTCGATCTGCCTCATGTACATGAGGGAGCTCGGACCCAGTCGAGTGTCTGGGCGCTACACCGCATGACCCCCCGGCTCCACCAGGGGAGGCGTCATGTTCTTTGTCCACCACCACCCCGTTCCCAAACCGCGGAAGCATAGCTGCGCCGCTTTGGATCGAGGGGGGCGCGGTCCCTGCACACACCCGTGTGTCGACGCCAAACACTCCCACTTGTCATTTACCTGTCCCTCATGAACGACGCGACGCGCCCATCGTAGCCCATCGTTGTCGATCTCACCTTCCCTCCTTCCTTCCCTCGTCGCACCTGCTGCGCCCCTCGTCATCGATAAACACCAAACATTCAAACATCGGCTGACCATGGTGCAGACTCGGCGCTTCGCCCGTCGCGTGGATGAGAATGCTCTTCCTGCTACTTCAACCATTGCGACCCGTTCTCGCTCGGCCAACGCTGCCGCCAACACCGCTTCCAACAACGGCAACAACACGACCATTCCTGTTATGAAGAGGACTGGCTCGACTGCCGGCGCCACCACCCGCTCATCCACCCTCACCGCCGACACCAAATCAACCCTCGGCAAGACCACCATGACCAGGCGGCGTGCAGCCCTTGGTGAGATCCCCCAAGCCTCCGAGAATGGCCCCAAGAAGCCTACCGCTGCCGGCAAGGGCAAGGTGTCGAGCGTCGTCCTCTCCAGAACACGCAGACCACCCAGCAAACCCTTCGCCGCACCACTCGCTCCATTGTCACTGAGCCCAAGGACGAAAAGGTTCCCATCAGCAAGCGCAAGCTTCCTTCGACGACCCGTCCCACCCGTCCCAGTGGCTCGCGGGCCAACTCGACCACGTCTACGTCCACCAACACATCGGACCGTGGCACTCGCGGCGCGCGCGCCATCCAGCCCACCACGTCCCTTCCCGAGGCTGGTCCCGCCACCAAGCGCCTCCGTCCTTCCGACGTCCTCCAAGTCGCTGACTATGACGCTGATGTTCCTGAGCTCAAGGTCGAGCGGATACAGCGCAGCCCTCGCCCGGTCGCGAAGGACGCTGGATGGACTGACCTCGACGCCGAGGATGAGGGTGACCCCACCATGGTCAGCGAGTACGTCATTGACGCTTTCAATTACATGATGGAGCTTGAGGTGAGTCACTCTTTTTGCACTGTGAGCAATGCTAACTCTCCCGCAGTAGACGACCATGGCGGACCCCGACTACATGGACAGGCAGGACGAGCTGCAGTGGAAGATGCGCTGCATTCTGAACGATTGGATCATCGAGGTGCACTCCAAGTTCCGCCTTCTCCCCGAGACCCTCCTGATCGCGACAAACCTCATCGACCGGTTCCTGTCTAAGCGCTCCGTGTCATTAGTCAAGTTCCAGCTTGTCGGTCTGACTGCCCTCTTTGTCGCCGCCAAGTACGAGGAAGTCATCTGCCCCTCAGTCACGCATTTCCTGCACATGACCGACGGTGGTTACGACGTCGGAGAGATTCTCCGCGCCGAGCGGTACCTTCTCACCACCCTTGGATTCGACCTGTCGTTCCCCAACCCCTTGCACTTCCTCCGTCGTGTCTCCAAGGCCGACGGCTACGATGTGCACGCGCGCACCGTCGCCAAGTACTTTATCGAGATCAGCTGCGTCGACCACCGCCTGATCGCATACCCGCCATCAATGCTGGCCGCTGCGGCCATGTGGCTTGCCCGCCTGTGCCTCGAGCGCGGACCATGGCACGCCAACATGGTTCACTACTCGAGCTACTCGCAGGCCGAGCTCCTGCCGTGTGCACAGGTCATGCTCGACTTTGTGCTCGACCCCGAGGTCGACCTGACATCGGCCTTCTTCAAGAAGTACGCCAGCAAGAAGCACCTGAAGGCCTCGGTCTACGTTCGCGAATGGGCCATGCACCGATGGCCCGAGTCCGCCGTCCCCGGGCATGAGCTCGAGGAGGAGTTTGGACTCGACGACCAGGTCCCTCCCCCTCCGCCGCCCAGCTCGGAGTAAAAGTTTAGTACACTTAAAAACACGAAGCCGAACTTCGACTCGATAGACCCTCCCCCAGCAACTATAGCGTTGTGCCGCCAGCGCCGACGCCGATACCATCAGCAGCATTCCACTTACGACCCAGCAACACATTCCTCATCCCCCCAACCCCACCCAGCATCGACCAACTCTTACTTCTTGGCAAAAGAACCCTTGTGTTTTTCTCTCACTCTTCAACTACCAACCCTCTTCATCATTTTTAATGGCTCCATAGCCTGGCGAGCCGTAGTCTGTTACGTTTGCATTGCATAGAAAGCATGTGTGCGTGTTATCAAAAGTGTTTAGGAAGACAATCAAATGCAACTGTGTGCCCTTTACATTCTGGCTGCGATGTTGTGTTGAGTGAGGCTGAGTGTTGAGGTCGGTGCGGGATGGTGACGCACGGAATGTCAGAAGGAAGTCAATCGCCACAGAGGAATAACGTAATCTCGCGTGGGAGTAGTATGGTCTTGTTTATCGACCGTGGGGAAGTTACACAAGGTCATGTAGAGTCATGAACGGTGGCTGGTTGCTGGGTGCGATCCAATCTGCTACAAGGAGGCATACGAGACCGAGAGCGCCACACTGAGTGGTGAGCGGGGTATGCCTATCGGCTGTGTTTGTGTGTGTGGACGTGTGTACGTAGAGGGGCAAGTCAGAGTGAAATCAGTGTACACTGCGGTGTGGGGTATGCCGGAGCGCGCTGCGTGATGTGTAGGTTCACCGTAGGCCGTAGGTACGTAGGTTCAACACGGACTGCGAGGCCTGTCGGATGGTCATGCGATGTTCGGAGCGAGGGAGGGGGGGGGGGGGATACATTGAGCAGTCCAGCGATCGAACAAAGTGTCACGGTCCGGTCATGTCATGACCGCACTGCGAATGTCATGTATGCATAAGATGGTCGTGTTGTACGTGTTGTAGCCCATGGCCATGGGTAGTTCGTTGTGACTACGTGTTGGGACGATGGGAGCGCAGTGGTGGGGTGTGTGGTAGGCGGACCGTGTGCATCAGTGTGCTGTGCAGAGGAGGTTCAGAAGAGCTTTGCGGTGCAGGCGGGCAACGACGGGTGGACTTTGGCGGGGATGAACTGCTGGCCGTTGTATAAGCTCCACATAAGCTCACACGACGCCCGATGTGCCGAAACCCAATCCTCACCAGCGTCGCTAGCGTCGGCCACTCAACTAGTCGTAAACGACCTGCGTCGAGATCCTCGACTCATGTCTTTCAAGAGAGGCAAGAGAGGCAAGAGAAGCAGCGGCCGCGAGAGAACTCCGCCGGCGGTCGGTGGACTTAATGGAGTGCTGGGCTCTGTCCATTGGGACGTGCAATGATGGGCGGAACCTTGATCCCAGACTCGACCCGGCTCATCCGCTCAAAGGATCAAAGGCTGACTGTCCACTCTTTCTCTGTCTATGGGGTCTTATGCGATGCCAAGCATTTAAATTCCACTTTCAGCACATCCTCATGCCCAAGCAGGCCTGTAACGGGGGGATGTCCCGATGGGTTTACCAGAGGCAGGGAGGCAGGAAGAGCATGCGCACGCGCAAGATCAACCTAAAAAAACCGTTGCCGGATCCGAGAACAGGAAGGATGTTGAAAGGGTACGGTCCGCTGTGCCGAGTACTGAGTGCGCCATGCGCGAAGCGACGGACGAAGCGACGACGACGCGTGCTTACGTCCTTTCTAGATCTGTGATTGCACGTGCAGCGCTTTTCTGTGCCGGACGTGTTCTGGACCGTGGACCACCAGTATGCTTGTTTGTTCTGTGTTTGTGTTGTTGAGCAGAGTCACACGCGATCGATGAATATCTCGTGAGAATGTCAGAATGCGGCTGCGGGTTACGACACGACTACGAGAGATGTGGGATGGGCTCCACTTCTGATCTCTCACGATCCCATCGTGGCTCCCTGTGGAGTCTGACTGCAGGACTCATAGAAACACTCTGTGAGCCCAAAGCCGCTGATCTGCCAAGCTTGCACGGCGGCCCAGAACGGACACAGGGCGGTCTTGTCGTCGCGACCGTCCACCCTTCTCTTCTGCGGCCCGAAGCCTTGATCAGAGACACGACGAGAACAAACATGAGACAAATGCAGGACACGCAGGACACATGCGCATTTAACTTTGGCAGGCCCCCGGCAAGCAATGCAAGCAAGCATGAAGGCTTCAAAGCTTGAATCCGCGATTCAGTAGCTAGGGAAACCGGGGGCGATCCTCCTTCGTTTGAATCCTGGCTGCGCGTTCTGCAAGTGTGCAAGTGTGCGTTTCAGCTCGGCGTCGACGCCCTCGAACTCCGCCGGCAGAGCCCGCACCCACCACATCACACCACCCCCGTTGCCAGCTGCAACGGACAAAGGGACAAGTCTGAGCCGAAAACGGCGGCAAGACGCCAGGGTCCCGGTCAGAAACGTCCAGTCATGACGGACCAACAGAAAGAGGATGAGAGGGAGGACGGGAGCTCTTGCTGTAATAAGCGTTGGGTGAGGGGGGAGGAGGGTGAAACGCCACGTCGGAAGTGCGCCAGGGCAAGGGCTAGCGTGCCTCCTGCGTACCTGCGATTCCCTGGGCCGTTGCCGCGCTGCACTCTGTTGCCCGGGTTTGCCTTTGGTCAGGCGCGCTTTCCGGGACGATTGAAAGAGGGCCGCGGACCCTGAGACTCCGGGCCCTGAGTGGTCTGCGATGGGAGGAGCAGAGGGAAGACTGGCAGACTGGAATTCAACGCACACAAGGATCACGTACGTAACAAACTTTATTCATCCTCATGCGCTAGCTTCCTTCCCCCCCCCTGTACCGTCTTCCCTTCCCTCGACTCTCTCACTCTCCACGAACAGCACTGTCTACGTGCTGTAGCGCTCTCATCAGCCTGGCCTCATGCAAATCTCATCCTCACCACCTTCTCACCACTCTGTTCCACTCGCAGGTCGCAGGCACTGCTGGTCGATACTCATCTCGTCCCGGGCCACACCCTTAACCCTTACTCTCCCTGCTTGTCCCTCGGCCCTTCCGTCTCAGAACTCAACCGACACACCGTACCCACCCATCGCTCCAGACACTACTCCCTCCCAAATCCATCCTCCCATCGTCTGATTCATTTCATTTCACCCAGTTGTCTCTTGTCCTTTAGCACCCCTGCGCCATCCTGCACTAGCAGTTGTATCGAAAACCCGCGGCACTGTTTCCCTGCCCCTCCCGCCTGGCCGCCTCGCGCCTTGAGCCAAAGGTGCGCCGCCAACGAGCACTGTCCTCCCTCCCTCGCGCGCGCCCTCACCTTCCCTCCTTCGACATTCGCGCACGACCGTTCCTTCAAGCTCTTTGAGGCCACCCATCGACGCGCGCACTCACTTCGGGTCCCTTGCAACAATCCCTTGATCGTTTGTCACGGCCTTGCCCAGCTGCCCAGCTGCCCGCCTGCACCGCGCCTGGACGCTGCGAGCGCGCTGTCTACGCCTCGCTTCTCTGTCCGAAGTCATCACCTTCTTTTCTCCCTGGCTGAGAATCGCTGCCGACACTAAGCTTGCTCATATCCTGAGCCTCAAGCCAGCCCGGCCGCTGACCGACCGAGAATCGACGCTAGAGCCGTTTCGTCCCTCGTTTCCTCGTGCTCGCTGCACCTTCCTTGCGACAGCGCTGCACTTCGATCTCATCTCGATCCCGATCTACCATCTACCACTACTTTGACCTTCCCCCACCACCATCTTGGTCAGCCCGTCGCGTGCTTGTCGTCTTGATCTTTCACCTTCTTTGCATCCACACACTCTCTTTCAACTACACGACCCGACCCGCATCTCGACCCACAGTTCGAGCCTCGACGCGACTGCGATACCCCCCTCTGGCGATCATCTTCCCCTGTCCCATTCAACTTTTGCCTGTCCGCCAAATCTCGACTCCATCATTTCGTCCACGATCCAGTTGTGAATACCCCTCGAGCTTTGTTGGACTCTTTAGTCGGCTGCAGCAATGACTCAATACGCGCCGTACCCCGGTGCCATGGCCGCCGACATCTGGCCGCTGTCCATGTCCGAGATGACCGACCAGCTGAAGCAGTCGCGCAATCCGAGATCGATCAGCAAGCCGCCATCACCGACCCTCGTCGGCACGTCGCCATACGACAACCGCGCAGAGGCTGCTGCCGGCGCTGCGGCCCTCGTTAAGAACCAGAGGCCACACCCGGATCGCACCGCAACTGAGCCGAAACCAAGAGGAAGTGCGAGCCGGTCGCCCATGCCGCAGCCGTTTCGGTCCGCGTCTCTCCCGACAGCTGCTAATGACACTGTCTCAAACGGATCACTCAATCCGAACGGATCCACGCTAGCCTTCCCTCAGCAGTCATTCATGAATGGGCCCCAGCGGCTACCCGCCATTCAGTCGCCGGAGCTGCCTTTCGTCGTCCTGACGCCTCCAGATGGTAAGTATTTGTGACAGTAGCCATGACTAACGTTCTACAGAGGAGCACGATGGACCAGACATTGCGCTCTTCCCCCACCCGGCTCCTGGAGCTGCCGAGTTTGCGGATGGAGGCAACGTGAAAAAGATTCTGGACGCGCCAATGCCGCCGCCGCGTGACGCGATGCCGCCGGGTAGCCCGCCAGAGGAGCCGGCGCCGCCGCCTCAGCAGCGCGTCGTACATCCCTATGCTCAGCAGCAGCAGACACCTGTTCAAGGACATCCGTACCAGCAGCAGCCTCAGCAGCGACACGTGACGGCGAACGCTGTCGGTAACGCCGCTCCCGCAGGAGCTAAAAAGCGTGACCAGGCCATTAACAATGTACCTGGCGCGTCTGGATCGTCGCCGAGTTTGGTCGAGCGACGGTCACCGGCGAACCAGCGTGTCGGCGAGAGCCAGTTTGACAATGAGTGGGCGTCGCTCGTGGAGAGTCTGCCCAGCCCGACGGTCCAGGAGGAAGACAGCCCTGTACCCCCAAAGCAGACGCCGCCAACCCCTCCGCTTCCCTTGGGACAGCAGCAACGGAACGGATCCAAGGAGAACGTTTCGTCCCCGCAGCCCCCGCTGTACCCGTCAAGAAGGGCGCCTGTGCCGCCACAAGAGGAAGCGTCTGGCTCTCGGGGTCGCTCACCGATGACTGATAAGCGGTCTGCATCTGCGCCCAACGTCCCGCCGACGACACCGAAGAAGGCCTCTAAGGAGGGTCAATCGGAGCCGTCAACGCCGAAGCAGAAGAAGGGCATGGACTCGCAGGAGGGAACAACGACGAAGCCTCAGCGAAGACGGACACTGTCGCTGTCTTCGATCTTCACGAGGAAGAAGAAGCACAACTTTGAGGACCTTCCTCCGATGCCCAACGGCGAGCAGGTACCCAAGAGCCCGAAAACGCCTAGGACGCCAAAGGGCAAGGAGTTCCCTGATCTCGACGAATCTGTATCCAAGGCCACGGGGACGACGCCGAGTACGAAGCGGGAGAGGCGCAAGACGCTCAAAGAGGTCTTTGGCATGGGCGGGTCGGACGGCAAGTCTGTCCGCAAGTCCAAGTCGAAGCCGGACCTCCGCAGGCGCAACTCGTTCGACCTCGAGCCTGTGCCTCCTCTCCCTGCTGCTGGCCGTCCCGGCTCGCCGTCTGTCGGACGAGCTGGATCGCCCGTACCCTCGTCCGCTGCCTGGCCTGGAGGAGCCCCCGCGCCCGTCTCTAAGACAGCCGTGCCGGAGGCTCTCGCCGCCCTCACCGCCAACGCTTCCAAGGACAAGCCCAAGGTTGAGGTCGTGCCCGACGTCTTTGCCGCGTTCAACTCGAGCACTACGTCGCTCATCAACACGTCGACTGTGCGCCGCCAGACGATGAAATCGCCAACGGGAGAAGACCACCCTCGCGTCCCTTCGCCGCTTCGAGAGTCGGTTGAAGAGGCCCCGTCGCTCCCGTCTGTCGTTCGACAGTCGCACGAGAAGCCGCTGCCGCCGATGGTCACGCGGGGGTCTGACGAGAGGCAGCGCCCGGCGCCTGTTATCGGGTGGCGTTCTGATGAGAGGGCGCCGTCGCCAATTGTCACCCGTCGCTCGGACGAGAGGAATCAGCCGTCGCCCGTTGTCACGAGGCGGTCGGATGAGAGGCGACCGCCGTCTCCGCTCGTCACGAGACAGTCGGATGAGAGAAGGTATGCCGCTCCTACGGCCACTGTCGCCCCGCCGTCAAACGAGAAGCCGCCACCGTCCTTCGTCGTCAAGGGCGGAGCGCACACTGGCGGTGCCCGCATGCCGAGCAACCAGTCGCACGATGAGGACCTTGCGGCGCGGCAACGGCACGCCGAGGCGCTCGCCGCTCTCGAAGGCCACGGCAAGAAGAGCAGGAAGGAGCGCAAGTCGACCAACGACGACAAGGAGAAGAAGAAAAACCGCACGCGCTCGCAGTCGCTCAGCAAGCGTATTTCCATGAGCGTCATTGGCGTGTTCAAGCGCAAGAAGGAAGATGGAGAGGCGGACGACGAAGACCTACCCGACGTCCCCGCTCTCCCCGCTGCTTACATCAAGCACTCTGCCTCGACTCCCAGCCTGCATCGCGGACCTCCTTCGATGGGCGGGACGGCGTCGCCTGAATCAACCTGGGGCCGTAGCACCGGTGCTCAGGTTCTGGCTCAGCTCGGCGGCCGCTCCCCGGACTCCACATGGGGACGCTCGCAGGGTCCGCCGATGCAGAGTGCGCAGAACGCGGCCGCACAGAACGGGTCGATCGGTTCGACGACCTCGCTTGCCAAGCGCGAGAAGCGCCTGCATAATATCCAGCGCATCCCTCCCCCTCGTCTCAATGACGACGAGCGTCTTGCCTCTGCCAACCTAGCCTCGTCGAACTCGGGCCACTCGCTCTCTGAGCGCTCCGCTTCGCCCGCCAGCGTCGACGTGCCCAACGTCACCCTCCCGCTTAAGATTGTGAAGCAGCCGTCGCTGTCGATGAAGAACAAGCCCGTCGTCATGGCCAAGTCTCCCGCCTCTGTCGCATCGCCGACGAGCATTGAGGGCATCCACTCGATCCCGAGTGAGGTAATCATCCACAACGAGGAGGACATTGCTTCAACTCCCGTCAAGAAGCTGCCGCAGATCCCAATCAAGACCGAGTCGCCGGTCGCGACTGAGCCGCCCCGCGTCGCCTCGCCCGATCTCGGATCGCCGACCATGGGGTTTGACCCGATGAGCCCCAAGACTGGCTCGTACAAGCGTCTCTCCAAGGGCATGCCTGCCGCCCTCGCCGCCTCGGCTTACCGCAAGCGGTCCATTGACGGCATCCCGGCGACGCAGTCCCCTGAGCTCGCAGCGCAGTTCCGTCATCTGATCCAGTCCGCGAGCCCGCCGCCGGTCCTCTCCGAGCTTCCCGGTGAGGGTGCACTGGCTCTCAGCGGTCTGCAGCTTAACACGATGTCGCCCGTCACCTCCCCGGTCGCGGAACACTCAGAGTTGTCGGCTGTCACGCCTGTGTTCACGACTACACCTTCCCTCCCTCCCCAGATCGCACCGCTTCAGATTCACCCTCTCACGCCGTCTCGAGACAGCCCGACGCAGTCCGGCACCCTCAGCCCCAGTGCCACTCCTGAGCGCCACGACAGCGGCGACGGAGAGCCTCTTTCGCCCAACACGTCGCTGCACTCGCCAGGCAACTCGATCCACAACATTGAGGTCGAGGTCAAGACGGCCACGAGGCAGAGCATGATTCGGTCGACGTCGCAGCCGATTTTGGCCGCTGTCGCTGCCGGAAGCGTTGTCTCGTTTGGCAGCTCTGGTGGTTCTACTCTTAGCCGCGTCCCGACCAATGACGACGGAACCGTCGAGAGCGACACGTCTACACCGACGCCATCTGGCTTCTCGTCGAATGACGAGTCGCCGTTTTTCCAGCGCTCGACGACCAGCGTCGACAGGGCGTTCCCTGGGGGCCCGCCAAAGTACTCGTCGCACATTGACGAGGGCGATGAGCGGGCGCTCAACAAGGCCGCTCACGAGGCGAAGAAGGCTTCCATGTCGTCGAACCATGTCTCGCGCTTCTCCATGGACTCCACCGACAGCCGCGCGTCCCGCGTGTCCGCGGACTCGGTGTACAGCCAGCGCGACTCGCGCATCTCGAAGGACTTTGAGGGCTTCATGCCGCAGGCTGTTGTCACCAGGGAGGCGCCCAAGTCGCGCCATGTGTCGAGCTTCTCGGTTGACTCTGCTATGAGCACGGCTGCGCTCATTGCTGACAACGATGTCTCGGACTCGGACTCCGTTGCCAGCACGCCGACGAAGATCTCGCCAGCACAGGGCCCGCTCGCCGTGCACCCCGTCGAGATGGCGCTCGCCGACACGTCCGAGGTACTCCTCACGCCTGTCGGCTCTGACGGCGGCGACATGGAGCAGCTCACAGAGTCCAAGCCCGAGTCGCTCAGCTCCCGTGCTGCCTCGCCTTCGCCCTCGGTTGCGTCGTCTGTCCTCCTCCCGTCTGTCAAACCGACGCCCGCACCCCAGCAGACTGCGGCCTCGACTGCGTCGTCGCTCTTCGCCATGATCTCCAACTCGGTCACTCAGGCCAGCGAGTCGGTCGCTAACGCCGTCACGGCTGTGCTCGGCTCTGATCAGAATGCCGCTACCCGCGAGGCCAGTGCCAAGTCGCCCACCGCGTCGCCTGTTGTCTCTGCTACGAGACCGCCTCTGCCGAAGGTGCCCGAGGTCAGGGAAGAGAAGGAGCTCCCGCCCTCGCCGAAGGAGACGGAGGTCATGGAGAAGGCTCAGACTCAGGTCGCTGAGAAGGCGCTCCCGCCTTCACCCTCGAAGTCCGAGGAGAAGGAGGACAAGGTCGATAAGGAGCTGCCTGCCTCGCCTGAGCGCTCTGAGGAGCGCGCTGAGGCGCCGTCTACTCCTGGCCCGTGGCAGACGATCCAGTCGTCTGAGAGCCTGGACAGCGTTAACTCGAAGGGTTCGTCGGCGTCAAACGACATCCCTGAGACCCCGACTACGACCACGAGCAACTCGATCTACGCCACTCCGACGTCAGGCATGTCTCCCGTGCGCTCGACGCCCTCGCACCGCGGCTCCATCATTGCGTATGACAGCGACGACGGAGTAACTCGCAGCCAGAGCCAGCGCCGTGGATCCATGCCTGCTGCCCTCCGCGCGACGGCTATTCGTCGTAGGACGACGAGCCAGCCGATCGCCTCTGTGGTTATGTCGAACCAGGAGCCGCCCAACCGCCTCGAGTTCTCCAGCCCCGAGCCTGGGTCCGGAAGCCCGATCGGTCTCGGTCGCCCTGTCGTGCTCCGCAGCGCATCCATGCCTACCCAGCAGCTTACCGAGTCGCCTCGCTCCTTGTCGGCCGAGCTCACTGGACCCGCTAGCGTCGCCTCTTCCCTGCCTTGGCTCGCTAAAACTCCGGCTGTCGCCGAAGTCGAGGAAGTGCTCGAGAGCTCGAGCTCGACACCCACGATCGACTCGGCGTCCGAAGTCGCCACCATCAAGGGTAGCGTCAAGGACGAGAGCCCCGTGGTTCCGGCCGTTACTGCCTTCCCTGACTCCAAGTCGTCCAGCGGCTGCAACGGCGGTATGACTTCACCCGAGCTCAGCGTCGAGTCGCGTGTCGACAGCCCGCTCGGCTTCAGCCTCAGTGGCGAGTCGGAAGAGGCGACGCACGCCGTTGAAGCCCCGCCTGCGATTGACAGCTTTGTCGTCCCCTTCCCGCCCGATGCCGAGCACGCCCCGCTTGGTGCCATGCCTCGCAGCCCAACTGTTCCGGCCAACTACACCGCCACCGCTAGTGCCCGTGAGCGGACTCGCCGGGACTCGGGCCAGAACATGCGTACCGTGGGCGGGTACACGATCAGCCGTCGCCCTCTCACATCGAACAGCGACACGAGCGTGAACGTGATTCACCCGACGCCGCCGTCAAAGCAGGCTCGTCAGTCGCTGCAGACGCTCCCGTCGGCCGTGGAGATGGACTTTTCGCAGCGCAGCAGCATGGGCCCGACCGGCCCCGAGTTCTCGCTCTGGCTCGAGTCGACCGCGAACTCGGCCCCTATGGAGGAGTTGGAGGAGCTCACGCAAAGTGCGGGGTTTCAGTCGGCCAAGTATGACCAGCGGGTAGTCTACGATAGCCCTGCGTCGACGATCTCGACAGCCTCGACCTCGCGCCCGATGCGTCGCCCGCTGCCCAACCCAGATGACTTTCGCAACGGCACCGCAAGCAGCCCCGTGAGGGACAATGCGTACGAGACCTCGTCCCTGCACTCGAGCTCTGGGTCCGACGACGGCCCTGCCCTCTGCACGCCCCGCACGCCCGACACGGCGCACCTCGTTAGCGACTTTGGTACACCGAGCAAGGCGGCGATTGTGGGCGTCTCGCCGGCCGCGACGGGAGCCAAGGCGGAGCAAATCTCGCGCGGCCTCCCCAACCGGCCCATGCACGTCGATATGGCGAACGACACGGAGGGCGAAGAGTCGTTCGCGACGGCGAGGGAGGGGATGGAATGACTCATGGCCGAGGCTGAGCTGTAGTTCAGTCTCGACCCTGGGGATTCAGGCGCCGCAAGGCGGTCGCGCAGCGGCCGCAGGCTACTCAGACTGCACCGCAGTTATCAACACCACCACCTCTACCTTTCATCACCATCTTGTCACCACCTCTTACCCTACCCCACCACTATAACAGCCATCTTGCGCGAGCGAGAACATCAAGGACATTTCCACTAATCTATCTCTTTTCTTGCCTTAGCTATATATTAACCTTTACTTGGGAATCGGAACGAAACGGCAAAACCGAGCGCGCGCTGGAGCGCGTGTAGGCTTAATTCTCCCATATCTTTTACTCTTTGTACGATTTAGCAACTACCCGAATATCTGGCACTATGTAGTTTTACACTGGACACTGGTACACTGGGCACATGTGGCACGAGCAAGGAGCATTGATGAACGGTAATATCGGAGCACAGGCGGTGTATGGAGGTGCCACCTACGGCTGCGTTCAGCGAGTACAGGCAGAGATCGGCTATGCTCAGAAACGAGGCATCGCACGGTGGCACCCTCGCGTGACAGCATGTACCTCGACTGCGGCGGGGACGTGTTTCCGCCTCCCGCCGTTCCTACCGTAGCCTCAAAGTCGTGCATCGCCCGCTCCTCCCCTCTCTCCTCGTGCCTCTCCTCTACTAACGCAAGCGTGAAGAAAATGTTCGTCTTGGCATAGGTATAAAACTAAGCTACTACACTTGAGCCTCGCTAGGCTGCGCTAAGCTAGGGCGTTAAGCTAAGGGTAGGGTAGATGGTGACAACTCTACTTTGTTGTATGGAATAGATTTCTATAACGTAGGAGGAGGAAGTTGAAGGTTGGAGGTAATCTTCTGATTGTACGCTGCAAAGAGCGTAGGTTTATTAACTTACGAAAGATGCGGTGGTGGTAGAGATGGGTGCAGGGAGGGGCGCGGGAGGGCGGGATACAAATTGGCATGGGGTTGAGTCGGAACTCTTGGTGAATGAACACTTGACAATGGGGTTTGACGCAGGTTAGAGGAGGAGCGCGGCGAGACCCGCCGCAGCGAGGGCGGTGAGGCTGGGCAGCAGGCCGCGGGCGGCCGACTTCTCGCTCGGGCTCGCGCTCGGGGCCGCGGCGCTCGAGGCGCCGGCGGGAGCTGCTGGGCGAAGGCGAGGCGGAGGACGAGGGATCGGGGCTGGGTGCGGCCGAGGCTTGCTCGTCCGTCACGACGTCGTGGGCGGCGTTCGGGTCTTCGTCGGGGATCGGCGCCTCGTCGAGCGGCTGCGCGGCAGGCAGGTCGGAGGGGAGCAGCTGCTGGCCGCCGCTCGCCGTGCCCGTGCTGTCGGCGGGGGTGTTGAGGCCGTCGGCGAGCTTGGCGAAGCCGACCTGCTGGTTCTGGTTGTCGCAGACGGTGTAGGCGTTCTTGAGCGCTGACGCGCCGAAAATCCAGTTGACGGGGTTGTTGCTGCTGAGGCGGCCAATGTAGAACGTACCCAGGCACCAGCCGGGGCGCTCCTTGACCTCGCCGGCGTTGAAGTCGGCGTTGGTCATCTGCAGCTCAAAGTCGCCGAACGTGATCTTGACGTCGTCCACGGTCTGGTTGCAGGGGTACTCCATGTACTGGCGGTGCGAGGCCGAGGGGCGCGAGTTGGGAATCTTCTCGTAGATCTTGTTCACGACCTCCTCTGGGCCGAGAATGTGCGTCGTGCCCGTGTCAATGGCGACGTTGGGCTTGCCGCTGAGGTCGACGTCCTGGCCGCCGACAGAGAGCTTGGACATCGGCACAGCCCAGTACTTCGGGTTGTCGAGGAGCTTGACGTAGTGCACGTCGCCCTGGTACAGCGAGTTGTCGAGGTAGCCGAGCGTGAGCCTGCCGCCGTCGTCCGAGCCGGTCGCAGCGTCGTCGTGGCGCCAGCGGCGGAGGTAGAACGCAAAGATCTGCTGCGGCCACTTGGTGGAGCTGGTAACCCACCAGGGGGTGACCTTGGCGTTGGACAGGGACTGGAAAGCAAGACCGAGAATGCCCTGTCCGTTGTCGCCGAGGATGTGCGAGCCCTCGTCAATGAGACCAAAGGTCTGCTTCACAACGCGGTAGCCCGCGAGCGAAACGTCGTCACGGCCGAGACGGCCGGTAACCGATCCAGAACCATAGTTAATGCGGAAGGTGGGCGAGCCGTCGGGGACGGAGAATGACGACGACTGGGCGCGGTCGTACTTGGAGCCCTGGCACTTGGTGCAGTTCGACTCCTGAACCCAGAGGTCGGCAGAGCCAGTGTCGAGGACGACGCTGAACTTCTGGCCCGGGTTACCAACCGAGATCTCGCCGGTGTACAGGTTGTCGTACTCGTGGTTGACCATGCCCATCTCGCCGGCACGCTTCTGGAGGCGGGTGAGCTCCTCGTTGAAGCGCTTCGCGTTGCGGCCTTCGTTGTAACGGACGTCACAGAGGGCAGCGTCGCGGGTGAGAGCGTGGTGCGGGTCGCGCTTGGCGTTGCCGTGGTGGCTGACGGTGCGGTGAAGGTTCACGACGGCGCCGAGCTGGCGCTTGCCGGCCTGGACGGCCGCAACCTCGTCCTCGGGGGTGTCGGGGAGGATGGCCCAGCGCTTCTTGCCAGCCTGGACGGCAGCAACCTCGTCCTCAGGAGTGTCGGGGAGGATGGCCCATCGCTTGCGGGCACCCTGGATCGCAGCGACCTCGTCGTCGGGCGTGTCGGGGAGGATGGCGAAGGGGTTCGCAGAAGCGAGTCCGGCAACAATCAGAAAGAGCGTCTGGGGAAGCATCGTTGCTGATGTTGCGTGTTAAATGAGTGTCGGGGTAGAATTAACTGGTATGCAGTAGACTACTGCTGAGTGCTGCTGCGGTCAGCACACCGTGCTTGCGAAACGAAGCAGCCGGAAAGCTACGACCGTAACAACCCGCAAACAGCCACAGAGCCACACGGCCACACATGGCCTCTGCATGGACTGCTGCGACTTTGGGATCACAACTTTAGGATCGAGCGACTCCAATACAGCGCATAAAAGCCAACCTGCGGCATGACTTACTCCGTAGTGATAGAGATTAGAGGGTACTCGGGAGGGAAACAAACGGCAGAAATAATGTCGAAGTCCGGGTCGTCGGTGTTGTTAACGAAGCGAACTTGGATCGGTCTGTGCGATGGCAGGCGTCACAGAAGAAGGGGAGTCTCGAGGCTGAACTGTGGTGCTTGGAGACTCTTGTCGAAGATGAACAAAGCTCGAAAGTAGTCGTTGTCGAGCGATTAAAGGTGAAATTGAACAAGTCAAGAGTCGGGATACCGGGAACAAGGTCGACAGGTATGTGTCGATCAGCGAACGAGTATTAAGGAGCAAGAGAGCGTGGGGGCGGGGGAGGTAAACCGGTTCGAGGAGCGAGGAACCGGAGCAAAACCGAGTTGAAAGGCAGAAGAAGGGAGGGAGAGGTGTCGATGGGGTGATGAGAAATGTAGGAAAGGGAGGGGATAGGATTGATGGGAGAATCACAAGGTAAGCGCAGACAGTGAGCAGGTTATCTCCCCTCGGCGGCAGCGCTGCGGCAGAGGTGCAAAGGCAGATGTAGTGCCAAGGCCCGTTGCATCGTGGTCCCACAGGCCTTCTTGGAGACGTGCCCGGCCTGAGGCCGAAGAGGAGAAAGCGAGGCACTAGCCAGGAAAGAACAGAGTTGGGTTCACGGGTAACAATAAGTCAAAGCAGGATTACCATGCTGAGGTCCTGAAAGCGTAGTGTACGTAGCGCCATGTCACCTCGGCAGGCTACGTGCGCTAGCCCGCTCGAGCTCTGTCAGTCACATCTGACGTCTGGCGTGAGATTCTGCTCAGGGGGGTGGAGGAACTGCGCATCAGTCGAAAGCCAGAAGGAGGGTCGTGGGATGAGTCGGCGCGCGGCGTCACGAGTGTCGGAGTGTTTGCAGCAGGATTTCTACGCGCGATACGTCAAGGGTGCTCGGATGGGGACGAGGGATCGAGGATGGATGAGACGCCAGTGAATGGACCGCCTGCTACTTGCAGTCTCACAATCGAGGGTCCTCAGGGATGGCTCTCAGGGCGCCCTGCGCCTGCCATGAGACAGGTCCGAGGTGTGGGATGCGGCTGATGCGTCGCGGGCTGATGGGCGTAAGGCTCTGCCGCCTTCGTCTGTGTCTGCGGGGTGTGTGCGTAGTTCTTCCGGTCAGCATGCTCGGAGCACGCTAATGAGCGGGGCCTGCCGAACCCTCTCGCGACCCTGTTTTCGCCCTGGGGACGCAGGGTCGAAGCGTGTTTGAACACACGACGGAATCCTCATCGAAGTGGGGAACGCCCAGTCCGGCTCCCCCGGCTGTACCCCGCGAGCCAGTCGAGGAGGGACTGGGTCTGCGACGCTCAGCAGGTTACGGTCGCACGATGGCTATACGAACTCTCCATGCACCGAGTGAAGCTTTGAGCTCGAGCCGAAGCCAAGGTTAGCTTCGTGACTTCCCATCGTGCAGTTGGCAGTCACTGGCGAGCTGGATGCGATCGGATGTGTGGTGCAAGTCTTGCTGAGTGCCACCGGGTGCCGGGTGACCTGGAAGGAGCACGGCAGGGATTGCAGAAGATGACTGAATTGACTGCGAGCTGCGTTCCAAACCACGCTTCCCTGCGCTAGTGAGCCGGGGTGGTCCGTAGGACTGTCTGTATCGAACGGGGGCTGCGCGCGAGTGCCAGCGGAGCGCGGCCAGCGCGTGCGCGTTTCAGCCATGCTAATCAATACGTTAGCTGCGCCGCACCCTGTGGCCAACTGGCAGATCACAAACCCATGCAAGGCGTTTGTTTCTCCGCACGGATCGGACTTGTGGGCGAAAGAAAAGGAGGCGCACAGCAGGACCGAGCCTTCGATGATGTATGTCATCACGACGCTCGCAGCGAGTCTACTGCGCAGGCCATCTTCTGCAGCCTGATTGGCGTCCATGTGCTCTTCTATTTGGCTCCGTTCGCACCACTGAGAAATGCGTAGCCCCGCTGCGACTTGAGATCGGCTTACAATGATGATCTGCGCCGCTCCCCTATGCTCGAATTGATTTGGGGCACTCGGGTCTTAGAGAGGTGATACGCAATTTCGAAAGCGATTAGACAACATCGATGCCAGTAGTCTGGCCAGCCGTGATCTGGGGCCATGCCGCAACCCCCAGACTCGGATCATCCATCTCGGATCGCAGATGCCGAAGCAGACGCACACGCACTCACGCCACAAAAAAGTCTGGCCAGTCCAGGCTATTGCTAACCCACTCGCCCACCGCCAACGACTGGGAACGGCTCCCATGGACCTGGAAGCGTGGAACTGGCGTGTCCAAATGTGCATGCCTTTGGAATTGGGGAAACTTGAAAGTGAGGCAGACTGGCTACGGAACAAATCAGTAGAGTCGCCATCTGCCGCTGTCTCGCAAGATTCAGTTCTGGGCGATGCTTAGCAGAGCTTGGAGAAAGCTTGGAGTTACCGCAATCTTGTGGCTTGCTAGAATGCAACTATAAGGCAGCAGGCTCAGCAGGCTCAGCCTCCGCCGAGCGCAGAGTTCGCCAAACTCACATGTGCCTGCGTTCCTCACTGGAGAGTTACGATGTCGTCTCATGTGTGCCTCTCATGCCGTCGCCATCGCTCGTCGTCATCCACTGGCAAAGCGGAGAGCGCGGAGAATACGACCACAGCTACAACCTAAACAAAGTTTTCAGCAGCAATAGATACGCAGCCGTCTCACGAGAATCCGGCTGAAAGTACGCAGGAGACACCAAGTAGGCACCCAAGAGGCGAAAAACAGGAACGCAATCCGAACCTTACACCCCTCCGGCGGCAACGAAGTTGCATGAGCAGAACGGGCATGCCCAGTGCCCGGTTCCAGATGCTGCGGGCTCCGCAATTCTGCCCGCTCGCTGTCGTGCGAGTGACGGCGGTTGGGGGTAACCGAGCGAACAAGCGGTGGCAACGGGGGTGCTTCGTGCTCCGTTCAACGACGGCGCCGGTGTAGCGCTGCCCAGGGCCCGAGACAAAGCGACAAGCGTGCAAACTTTCGGCGTACGTACATGTCGTAAGCTGACTATCTTTGCGTGCTTTTACAGTTTCTTATGTCCATCTCTGTCCCCATATGTGTGCCCATGTGTATGCGCGTGTGCCATCCGTCTGCCCCTCCGGTACAGTCGACGGCACAGATGATCTGCACTCAATACTCGATCGAACAACGACCCGAGGCCCGAGGCTCGGGGCCACCCTCGGGGCGGTGTGGGGATGTTTCACGCTTGCCGTAGTGGTGCGCGTCTCATCAATGGACGCGTCCATGGTACGGACGCCAAGAAACTCGAGGCTACCGCGGGTGCGTGCACCAGCTCGTAAACAAACGGCCAAGCCAATCCCGCGCTCTCGCTGATCACAATCGATCCTGCTCTGGAGAAGCTTATTTGTGCCACTTACATAAGTCACCATTGCTTCACGTGACATCAATCACGTGCTGCATTTGCTTCCGTTTCCGGCGTCGGCGAGTCTTGAGCGGGCAGGTACGACCCGCTTGTAGGTCCGGTTCGGACGCAGTGGCAAGAGCGCGCAAGTAGCCGGGCCGCGCCGAGGAATGATTAATCACCGATAATGCGGCAGTTGCCGGCTGTTGCCTGCCTGCCACATCGTGAGCGGACACTTTCTCACTACGGTGTCAGCAAGACGTCACGATCGCCCCTTCCCCTTCTGACTCCACACACTTCACGATACACCTACCATGGAGTACTTCATCGGATTCGACGTGTAAGTCGGGCTTGTTGACGGGATGGCGGCTCGGGAGCTCTCAAGAGGGAGAGCCGGGCTTCGGCAGAGCCCAGTGTGGGAACGCCGAGGGAAGACGAGGAAGACACAACGGCTGACAAACAGTGGAACTGGCTCGGCGCGCGCGTGTCTCGTCGACCGGGAGGGCACGCTTCTGTCTGAGCACTCGGAGGCGACGAAGACGCAACGCTCCTCGAGCGACCACCGAATCTTCGAGCAGTCGACGAGCGACATCTGGGACGCGCTGTCGGCGTGCAGCAAGGCTGTACTGAAGGAGTCTGGCGTTGACCCCGCCTCAGTCAAGGGTGTCGGCTTCGACGCTACGTGCTCCCTCGCCGTTGTCGATGACGATGGCACGCCCATGTCGGTCTCGCGCATCTCCAACGGCAAGGAGGACGACTCGAACCTGGGCAAGACGGGGAAGTCTGAGTTTGACGTCATCCTGTGGGCAGACCACCGCGCCGAGGAGGAGGCGGACACGATCAACGCGACTGCCGAGGCTGTTCTCTCCTTCGTCGGTGGAACCATGAGTCTCGAGATGGAGACGCCCAAGACGCTCTGGCTCAAGAAGCACATGGACTCGGGTCTCTTCGAAAAGGCAAACTTCTTCGATCTCCCCGACTACCTCACCTTCCGGGCGACGGGAAGCAAGGCGCGCAGCAACTGCTCCCTCGCATGCAAGTTCTCGTACGTCCCGCCGGGCACCGAGATGACTCACGGTGGAACGACCGAGATCTCCCACGACGGCTGGAGCGCGCGCTTCTTCGGCAAGATCGGCCTCGACTCCATCGTCGAGCGTGACTTCATCCAGGTCGGCGGCATCCCGGGCAAGAATGGCCTCGTACTCTCTGCTGGACAGCCCGTTGGCCAGGGTCTCGACAAGCAGGCGGCGGCGGATCTGGGTCTGAAGGAGGGTACCGCGGTCGGATCGGCCGTCATCGATGCCTACTCTGGTTGGATCGGTACAGTCGCTGCGCGCGCGACGAACGCAAAGGGAGAGGAGGAGCCCCAGCCGACGATGGAGGACGCGTCGCACCGTCTCGCCGCATGCGCGGGAACGTCGACGTGCCACATCGTCCAGAGCGAGGACGGCATCAGCGTGCCCGGAGTCTGGGGACCGTACCGCAACGCCGTGTTCCCGGGCAACTGGATGAACGAGGGCGGGCAGAGCTCGACAGGTCAGCTCATCGACTTTGTCATTACCACCCATCCCGCATACCCCAAACTGAAGGAGGAGGCGAAGAAGCAGGGCGTGTCGCAGTACGAGGTGCTCGGGCACCGGCTCGAGGAGATGCAGGAGCGCGCTGGCGCGCCTACTCTCACCCATCTCACAAAGGATCTCCACTTCTACCCCGACCTGCACGGGAACCGCTCCCCGCTCGCCGACCCGAAAATGAAGGGCATGATCACTGGCCTGGAGCTGGATGACTCGCTCGATGATCTTGCGGAGAAGTTCAACGTGACCCTGGAGGTGAGTGTGAGGCTGAGAGCCCATGAACCATCGGAGCTATTACCCTGGCATAGCTAACCCCAGGCGATTGCGCTGCAAACACGCCACATCGTGGACACGATGAACGAGTGCGGCCACAAGATTGACGCAGTGTACATGTCCGGCTCTCAGGCGAAGAACGGGCCGCTGATGCGTCTGCTCGCAACTGTGCTCCAAATGCCCGTCGTCATTCCCCCGAACCCCGCCGCCGCCGTGCCGCTCGGCTCAGCCATGCTGGGCCGTTTCGCGCACGAAGCCGCTCAGGCTGAAGGTCACGGCATCAAGACGCAGGAGGAGGCGGACCAGGTCGCGCAGCAGCACGGCGCACGCCTCTGGGACATCATGGTCGAGATGACCAAGCCGGCGAAGCGCATCGAGCCTCGCGATGGCGAGCTGGGTCGCCGCGAGAAGAAGTTGCTCGACGCCAAGTACGAGGTGTTCCGGGACAGCATCGAGACGCAGCGCCGATGGCGGGCGCTGATCGAGAAGGCCGCGAAGGAATGATCCGCGCGGAGGCTGAGCGAAAGCGAGGGTCAGCGCACGCTGGTGCCCATCCCAACAAGTATAATGTCCCATTTAGAAGAACAACGAAATGTATCAAAGTCAGAATCTGTCCGAGACGCAATGATCAAGAGCGATGCATACATGAGTTTCAATGTGGGGGTGGTACAAGAGTAGTGAAGTTGCTAGTGGTTTAATCCATTTCGTCGACCAGGCGGCGGAGCTCGCCCAGCTCCTTCTCCGGCATGGTGTAAGTCTCCTCCCCAGTCTTGGGGAAGCTCCGATCGCGCACATCGGCAATGTACTGCCTCACGGCGTCCGCCTCCTTCTCCCCGCTCTGCGCATACAGCCTCACAAACTTGGGCGCCTTGCAGTCCGCGTCGAACCCGTACGTGCCGAGCAGATCGGTGAGAACGAGTACCTGCCCGCTCGTCTGGTTACCCGCTCCAATGCCGATGGTGGGAATGCCAACTTTGGCAGTGATGAGAGCGCCGAGCTGGTGCGGAATCGCCTCGAGGAGCAATCCAAAGGCGCCGGCGGCCTCAAAGTCGCGCGCGAGCTGGATCAGGTCGAGGGCAGCCGAGGCTTGCTTGCCCTGCACTCTGTAACCCGTGCTTGCGGCGCGCTGCGGCATCAGGCCAATGTGGGGCATGACGGCGATGCCGAACGACGTCAGCCTGCGGACGAGGGGGAGCGTCTCAGCCCCGCCCTCGATCTTGACCGCGTCCGCGCCCGCTTTCACCAGCTCGACGGCGCTCTTCACGCCCTCCTCGACGCTCGCCTCGAAGGACCCGAACGGCATGTCGGCCAGAATGAAGGACGAGCCACTGCCGCGCCGCACGGCCCGGATGTGGTGGCACATCTCGGACAGCGTCAGCTCCGTCGTGGACTGGTATCCGAGCGCGACCTGCGCCAGGCTATCGCCGACGAGGATGATGTCTACCTCTGCGTCGGCGCAGAGGCGCGAGGTCGGGTAGTCGTATGCGGTCAGGACGGAGATGGGCGTGCCAGAGGCGTACTGCTTCTGCAGCGCGCCGACGGTGAGTTTCGGCCGGCCCTTGAGCTCAGCAGGACGCGCGGACATGAAGCGTTTCTGGACACCCAGGCCTGTCTGCGAGACAGCCGGGCGGGCGAGGGTCGACATTGGCCGCCGTCCCAACGCAAAAGCGGAGGTGGAGTACTCGCGCTCTCCCCTCTCCTTCGCCCGCTCCCACCCGGCCACGACGCGAGAAGCGCACGTCGGTCAGCTCCGCCTCGGCCTGTCTCCGCCCACGCTTCGAGGTGGGCATCGGCTCCGGTTCGGCGGGGGGCGGGTCGAAAGTGCCGAACATGCGCTCGAGCTCCTGCTCCATCTCCTCCTCCTCCGTCATGCCCTCGGGAGAGCCCATGACGGGCTCGGCGACGACGGGCGCAATGCCCAGCTGCTTGTACAGCGCATCGAGTTCGGGGTCACCTGTACTCTCGAATGCGAGGCCGTTCTTGCCCTTAACCGTGCGTGGCTCGGCGTAGACGGACTGGGTTGGCTCAGCGGGCTCAAGCAGGGGAGGGGGAGGGGCCTTGCCCGTGTTCGCGGCGAGCTTGGCCGCCTCCCGCTTCGCCTTCTCTTTGCGCTTGATGTCGCGCTCCTGCTCGATCAACTCCGCCTCGCTCAGCGTCTTCTTCAGGTGAATAATACCGCGGTCGCGGACCTCGATCTTCGCCTTCGACTCGTGCGGGAAGAGATCGCCCCAGGCCGTACGGCGCGCGTCGTAGTACTCCTGCTTGCCGGTTGACTTGGCGTAGCGCCTACGTTCGAGGTTACCCGAGGGCGCGCACATGTCCATGACGACGTGGCCGGAGCGCTTCATCGGCTGCGCAATAAGGCGGGGCCAGGAGTATGCCTGTTCGCGCAGGGATTGCACGAGCGCGGGGTCGTCGAGGGACTCGGCCGGCGGGACCTCGTACTCCATCGCGGCCGTGTTGACAACCTCGAACGCACCACTCTCCCCGCCTTCGACGGGAACAAGTTCGGGACGCTTGGTCGCCTTTGCCTTCTTCTTCGCTTCGAGCTCGGCCGCGACAACTCCGAACCGGCCAGCCGTCGCTGTGCTCTTTGGTCGCTCGCCGCGGGAGATGATCAGGTACGAGTACGTTATGTTCTCTTCGCCACGCTTCGCGTGCTTCGTCCGGCGGAGGAAGGGCGGGCGCTGAACCTTCTGGATAAAGCTGCACGCCTCACGGGTGCCGGCGCGGGGACAGGTGAACTGGTGCGGGCAGGGAGCCGTGATGTGCAGAGGGTGCTCGGGCGTGCTGTGCTCCATCAAGAAGGTGCGCGCGGCGTCCATCGCCTCCCACACCTCGGTCGAGCCGCGGTCCACGACCACGATATGCTCTGCGTCCGTCTCGAGCAGCTGCTTGAGGTGGTCGCGACGAGACTGCGCAGTCGGGAGCATCGACATCATGAACGTGCTCATCGCAACCTGGGGCGGCTGAGGTAAACCAGCGAACGAAATGTCACGCTTAAAGTCCATCTCGTCCAGGTTCACATCGATCGCGAGCGGCTGCGCCAAGCGCTCAGCGAGAGCGAGACCCCATCGTGTGCGCTGAATCAAAGTGAACTCGCGGATAGCGTCGACACCGAGCTCCTCGGTCGCAGCCCTGGGGGTCAGCTTCGTAAGAGCACGTCGGAGCTTACCAGAGTCCCGGGGCAATGCCGTCTGTCGTCTCGAGGATCGGGCCCTTGATGTCACCGACGCGGGTACGGAGCTCGCGGAGGACGTTAGCGACAGCGGCGTACTGCGCAGGCAGAAATGCAGCAGCACGCGCAAGAGCGTGCTGCTCCGTGTTGCGCGAGTTGGTCTTGTCGCTCTTTTCCTTCTTCGGCTCGAGCATTTCGAGATACTTCTCGCGAACGATGCGGCGGTTGTCGACCTCTGGATATCTGTCAGTTCGCTTTCCGGATGGCCAACTCACGCTCGACCTCATTCTGAACACCCTCGATTAGCCAGTCGGGAAGAACAATCATGCCGATGTTCTTCGTTCCGAACATCGCGGCCGGGGACCGGCGTGGTGGGCGGCGAGGCGCCTGCGCATCCTCCTCCCCCTCCTCGACCTCGGCGGGCTGCTCGGACGCAGGAACGGGCGTGATATCCTTCTCGGCGACGTAGGACTTCTCCCCCTGCTTCGCGCGCTTGAGAGACATGTTGACGTCGTTCATGAGTGCGGCAAAGCTGGGGTCGAGGATCGGCTCGGTGTGTGGCGGCTCGTCGACAATGGACTGCTTATCCTTCGGCTTTGCGTAGTGTCGCCTGAGCAAAGTCGTAGTCGGGTTGGACACGGCGTGCACCCGCGGCGCCCTCGGTGGGCGTGCGAGTATCCGTGGAATCATTGTAAAAGCAAGCACTTGGGGAATGAGGCAACGTTGAAAGCCAGATCCGCCGGCTTGGAACTTTTGCGGTCTCCTGCGTATTCCATGACCACCAAAATACTGGACGCACACGTGAGCCGGTGGAGGCATGACGGCCGCTTGGTGGAGGTGCCCGCCCTGCATCCTATGAGAGCCGCCGCCTTACGCACCGCGGGCCGGTAACTTGCATCCGGTCTCCATCGGTCATCTTATTTGCCGAACTCCTTGCTCGTACGAACATTCATGTGTCAGCCGTACGACGAACAACTATGCCGCGGAGCCTTGGCGTCCCCAACGACATCTTGGGGCTCGTGTGGTGGGCACCGGTGACACGAGAGGCGCCCGCCAATGGTACGTCGTCGCAGATCGTCAGAGCCTGCGCGTCTCTCCTCGCTCCGCGTTCTAGAATACAAATGCATCTCGTGCCAAATGCCAGAATTACCAAGAAATATGCGAGTGTGCTGATGCAAATAGTGAGTACAATGTCTATGCGTTGGGACAGGCGTTCGCCCAATGTCCCGATTGACCGCACTTGTAGCAGTCTGTGGTCAGTCGTATCATACTTGCATGCGACTCACCATCTCCTCCGCCTCCGCCTCCACTGCGGCCACCCCCTCGTCCCCGACCGCGGCCACGCGTGGCCCCACGGCGAGTGCCGCCGCGACCGCGTGTGGAACGACCAGAGTACCCTCCACCGTTCTGCTCTTTCGGGCAATCGCTGGCCCAGTGTCCTTCCTCGCCGCACTTGAAGCATCCTGAAGTCAGCTGGAAGAGGCTAAAACTTAGCTGCCTCACCTCCATCAGCCCCACCTGACCGGGCAGCTCCGCGAGACGTGTTGTTTGACCGACCGCCTTGTGGGCCGCCACCTTCGTTGGGACACTCGCTTGACCAGTGGCCCTCTTCGCCACACTTGAAGCAGCCTGGTTGTCAGCTATCTGCGGCCTAGAGTCAGCTAACTCACCCCCGTCGCCTCCTCCTCGAGCTGCACCTCGCGACGTTTGACCGTATGACCGCCCTCCTCCCCGGGAGCTGCCGGCTTCGTTCGGACAGGCATTTGCCCAGTGGCCCGCCTGGCCACACTTGAAGCACTCCCCGCTGCCACCACCGCCCCCTCCCCCGCCGCCTCCGCTTGGGCCCTCGTCCTCCTCCCCGTCATCCCACGCAAAGAAGCCACAACTAGCCCGCGCGCTACTAGGACATTTCCAGAACCGGCGTCCTTTGTTGGCGCCGTTCTTTGTCGTGTTGCGTACAGCTTCGAGCTCGCAGTCGCAGCGCACGATGCCCCGCACGCCCGTGGGACGGCGAGGCGGGGCATCATCGTCCCGCGAGGGGGCCGCCGGTGCAGCCGGTGCAGCTGTGCGCGGTCGCTTTGGCGCGGGCCCATCGCCACCATCACGGCCAGCCTCGTCGGCCCATTGCTGAGAAGAGTTAGCTTCCGATGCGGGAATGAAACTCACAAAGAACCCACACTGCTCTTCACGAGGTTTAGGGCAGGCGTAGAACTGTCGCCCTGGGTTTGCGGCACTGTTGCTCGTCCTCTCGACGGCGGGCGTGCCACACTGGCAACAGGGAGGCTCATTGTCTCCGCCATCATGTGTCCTGGTTGTACCACGAGTCGGGGCCGGAGCTGCTCCACGCCCGCGAGTTGATGTACTGCGTACTGCTCCTCCACCGCGAGGCGGTCCACCGAAGTCATCGTCATCGTCATCGTCGTAGTCCGGAGAATTTCGAGGTGCAGCTCCGCGGCCACCTCCACGACCGCCGCGTGTTCCTCTGGTGCCCCGAGTTCCACGCGTACCACCTCGAGCCCCGCGACCACCCCGCGCAGCTGCGCGGAGAGCTTCCTGCGCCTCCCCTTCTCCATGGAGGTAGTTTTTGACCGAATCGACGACCGTGTTAAACTCGCGCTTCGCCTTGACGTAGACCTCCCTATACTCCTCGAGACTCAGATCGATGACCTCGCCCTTGCGCTGCTGGCCGTCGCAGATGAGCTGCATGCGGTGTTCGGTCTCGCGCCTTAGGTGTGGCTTACTGAGAGAGCGGTCAAAGCCGATAGCGTTGAAGCCCTCCACTAGCCCAATGCCCAGCATAGACGGCACGAGGTACTTGGTCTTCTGCTGGGTTTTCGTTAAGACGTACTCGCGGTCGATGATCTTGGCGATGTGGTCCGCAATCGTGGCATCCGTCCCGATGCCGTTCTTGTCCATGAGGCCGACGAGGTCCGCCTCTGTCAGGTAGTTTGGTGCCGTCGTGACGCCCTCCTTCAGCATGCACTCGTCCGGCACGAACTGCTCGCCTTCCTGGAAGTCGGGAATCGGGTTGCTGTTCCACTTGTCGTACGGGTAGACCTCGAGGTAGTTGCGCGCTTTGACGATGACGCCGCTCGCATGGAAGTACTCGCCCGCAATCTCGATCTCAACCGTTGTCTGCATGCCCTCCGCGTTCTTGGAGCACGAGGCAAGGTAACGACGCGTGACGAACTCGTAGACTTTGCGTTCCTCACCCTCCAAACCCTGTGCTCCGTTCGTGGGGTGGATCGGGGGATGTGCCTTGTCGTTCTTTCGTCCGTTGCGGGGAGTCTGGAAAGCTCCGTCCAGCAACCTGGGTTGGTCAGCTTCCTTTGACATGGCTTAACTCACTTCTTGGCGTAGTCTCCCCACTCTCTATTCAGCTCCTGTTTGCGGATGAGAGCCATGAAGTCGAACGCTTTGTCATACTGGTCTGTCTCGGTACGAGGGTAACTCAGGAATCCCTTCTGGTAGAGCTTCTCGGCAACCTGCTGTTAGACACGTCCTACCTCGCCACTCACGTCCAAGATGCGTTTCGGAGTCATGCCGAGAAGTCGTGACCCAGACTGCTGCAAGTCAACCGTGGTCAGAGGAAGAGGTTTCCTGGTATCAGCTAAACAGGTCTTCAAAGCGCTCACCATTTCGTTGTCGGCTTCTCCTCGACCTTCAACACTGTCGCCGTTGGGTCCTCGATGCATCGTTCACAGAGCAGTACAGCGACGTCGAGGTCGAAGAGGTGATTTCTTCGCCACTTGAACTCGACCTTGAACGTCTCCCCATCCCCACTATCACGCTCGCACGTGACGGAGATGTACCAGAACTGCTCGGGAACGAACGACTGCACGCGGTTGTATTGGTCGACGACGAAACCGAGCGTGGGGAACTGACACGGACCATAGCTGACGAGCTTCTGATCACCGAGTTCTGGAACACGGATTTGCAGGGTCTGCGTCAGAAAGCGCGTAAACGCAGCACCGATACGGAGATCCAGCTCGGTGCGTGCTTCAACAGCTTTCGCCTGGTTCTCGTCGAGGTTGCCTGCTTGCCGACATGCTTGGTGTATCTGACTGAGCGTCAGCTGTAGAAGGGATAATAGTAGCTCACGCTGCAATAATGGCGCTGAATCTCGCCCGCTTTACGGTGATATTCGGGTTCGACCTGCGACAAACGGACTCAATCTCAGAGCCAATGTGCTCGCCTTCCCTGTCGCAATCCGTCCATATCATTAGGATCTGGGCGCGGCGAGCTTCGCTTTTCAAGTTGGTTTCGACCCTCTTCATATCCTGACAGGTCAGCTCAGGACAATCCGGTACCTACCGATGACACCGAAGTGACCACTGGGATGTCGAACAGCTGGAATGGGTCGCACGAGTGCCACTTGCGATAGTCGTCCGGAAAGTCCTGCCCGTCAGCGCCACCAACGACGAGCACTCACGAGGCTGGTCAGATGGCCCAATACACTAGTAACCGTAAAATCAGTTCCTCGACCTCCGCCAAGCGGGGGCGGGAGGTTGTAGTCAAAGTCATAGTTGCGAATGTACTGGTGCCCGCTCTGGCGCGAGGTGAAGTTGTTCTCGGAGAGGATGGCCGTGATGCTCTTTGCGATGCTGGGCTTCTCCGCGACACACAGAACCTTCATTCTCGCACGGGCATTTGCTGGCGTGGATGTCTTTATCCACGGCGCAAGTCCGGTCGCGCGAGCAAGTGCGGGCGGAGGGCCGTTCGAGAGATCCGTGAAATCGTTGAGCGATGATAACGTGTCGGACACTGCAAGCACACAAGTTGCAGTCCGGTCATCTCCTGTAGACCTCCACCGGAGTTTGTTTACATGTCACGTGGATTTGACCCCGCAGAGTGGAGGTGCCTGGGATGACGTTACGCCGTGGCATGCGTGGCGGCCGTTCTCTGTGTGGGCACATGTGGGCAGCGGCAATGCTTGATCTATCACGGATCGCATGTCGGGCAGAAGCGTACATGAACATTCGCGAGTCGATGCAAGCGGCAATGTAATGTGCAAGGAGGTGGGGGCTAGGCGCTGCGTTTCGGGATCGAGATTGGTTGGCTGCAATCGATGGACCGGATTTCCGGACATGGGCCGGAGCTCGACGCAATGCGGCTTGCGCGCCGGCACCAGGCCTGAACCTTGGAAATACCACCTGCACGCCTTGGAAAATAGGCCACGGTCCTGGCGCCGCACCTTGTGGATATGTCCGTGTATCGCGTTCGAAGCGTGGGTGATTTTCCAACAGATGTGCGAGCCGATAGCGGTATCCGCGGTACCTGACAACCCTCCACCGGGAATTATCATGCAATCCGTTGGGGGACGTTGGACATTCGACCGGATCAGCAAGCGGCACCGGTCCCACTTTGTATATAGACCTTGCAACGTGCATCCCGTGATCGACTCCCCGCACAATCGTTATCTCCCAACCAACGCTCGCACCAACGCAACTCCCTGCATACTGCTCTACAGTCGTCCTCGAACTGTAAGCATCAACCAATCTCACGCCTCCGATCAACGCTCAGGTGAGTCGAGTCGTCGTCGTCGACCCCGAGAAAGCGGACTGCGCGAGCCACACGGAGCAAGCGCCGTCTGTGTGAGCCGTGTGTGGCTTCCGTAGCTTCTTGTGTGTCACCGGAGTGTGTGAGAAGCGCACGGCTGCGGGAGCCACGATCCGCGCGCAGTCCGCTCGGAATCGAGTCGTGTTTCGGCGAGTGGATGCATGCAGATCCGGGTGATCCGGTGGATGACAGCTGCTCGCACCGCTGAAATGGAGACGATTGCATGCATCGATCAGGGTATGTGCGGGGTGGGGACTGACGACACAGAAGCCCGCATCATCTCGGCGTCTAGCATTGTCCGTCCACAGCCGCACTCGCCGTCCCATTTGCCGACGAGTCTGAGCTCCGTGCCTAGTTAGGAATAACTGCACGAAATTCGTCAATTTTTTTTCCAAGAAACCGACCACGCCTTGCGAAGTGCGTGCTTGCAGTGCTTCCTTTCACGCGGAATCAGAATTTCTGAATTTCTCGTGATAGACCGGGCCAACTAAACCCGCTCGCGACCTTTTCATCCAGTGGCTGTACCCTGGGTCCCCCGATTGCTATTGGCGTCTGCCACCGTCCCCCGTAAGCCCGTATCCGTAGCCCCGCCTGGCCCTCCCTGCCTCTCTCCGCCCTCTGCATTCTAGACACATACCCTGTGTAGTTCGACTCGGCATCTCCCAGTCTCACCGCCCGATTCTCCCCCCTCCTATATAACTCTTTTTTCTATTTCTCCTACCCTTTTCACCTCCATCAATGCCCCTTCTGAGGTCTCTCGTCTCCTCCCCCCTCCTCCGCACCTCCCTCTCCGCCAACACCGTTAGGCCCTTCGTCAGGATGTCGTCTTCCGTCCCCGTCCCCCAGGACTTTGTGAGTGTCACTGCCACTAGCGTCGGCATCGTGCCACGCAGACGCTAGTTCAGCCTCCTGCCAGAAAATTCAGAAATGCTGACCACCCATTGCAGAACAACATGCTGTACCAGACTCTGGAGCAGTACGACCCCGAGGTCAACGACCTCATTGAGAAGGAGACCTGGCGTCAGTTCTCCGGTCTCGAGCTCATTGCCTCCGAGGGGGGGGGGGGGCGCACGCACGTTGGACCATTTTACTGACTTTTCGCCAGAACCTGACCTCGCTCGCCGTCATGCAGGCCAACGGCTCGATCCTCACCAACAAGTACTCTGAGGGTCTCCCCGGTGCCCGTTACTACGGTGGTAACGAGTACATTGACCAGCTCGAGAACCTCACCCGCGAGCGTGCCCTCAAGGCCTTCAATCTTGACCCCGCCAAGTGGGGCGTCAACGTCCAGCCCTACTCTGGTTCGACTGCCAACTTTGCTGCTTTCACTGCCCTCATCAACCCCCAGGACCGTGTCATGGGTCTCGGTCTCCCCGACGGTGGCCACCTTACCCACGGTTACTACACCGCCAAGAAGAAGATCACCGCCTCGTCGATCTACTTCCAGTCGTTCCCTTACCGTGTCGACCCCCAGACCGGCTACGTTGACTACGAGCAGCTCTCGACCAACGCCAACATCTTCAAGCCCCGTCTCGTCGTCTGCGGTGGCTCCGCTTACCCCCGTGACTGGGACTACAAGAAGATCCGCGAGATCGCCGACAAGCAGGGTGCCTACCTGATGTCCGACATGGCCCACATTTCGGGTCTCGTTGCTGCCGCCGAGCAGAACTCGCCCTTCGACTACTGTGACGTCGTCACCACCACCACCCACAAGACCCTCCGTGGCCCCCGTGCTGGTCTCATCTTCTTCCGCAAGGACAAGGAGCCCGACATGGAGTCGCGTGTCAACGCCGCCGTTTTCCCCGCCTGCCAGGGTGGCCCCCACAACAACACCATCGGTGGTATCGCCGTCGCCCTCAAGCAGGCTGCCGACCCCGCGTTCAAGGAGTACGCTATCCAGGTCCGCAAGAACGCCGCGGCTATGGCCGAGGTCCTCTTCAAGCACGGTTACCGCCTCCAGACCGACGGAACCGAGAACCACCTCATCCTCTGGGACCTCCGCCCCATCGGCCTCACCGGCAGCAAGATCGAGAAGATCTGCGACGAGGTCCACGTGACGCTGAACAAGAACGCTGTGGCAGGGGACACGAGCGCGCTCGTTCCGGGAGGTGTTCGTATCGGTTCGTCGGCTCTGACGTCGCGTTCGATGAAGGAGAAGGATGTTGAGCAGGTTGCCGAGTTCCTCCACCGTGTCGTCCAGATTTCCCTGAAGGCGCAGGAGAAGGCCGGCTCCAAGAAGCTCGCCGACTTCGAGAAGGCGTACAAGAACGACGCCGAGGTCGCTGGCGAGGTCAAGCAGCTCAAGGAGGACGTCAAGAACTTCTGCACTTCGTTCCCCCTCCCCGGTGTCCCTGACACCACCACCATCAAGCGCTTCGACTAAGCGCATTCTGTAGTAGTAGTAAAAGATGCCTCTGCCTACAATGCAGCAGGTCTGGGTCTGGTTTCAACCATAGTTATTTGTACAACATCATTCATCTGATGAATATAGGCATTTGTCAACGGACGTCGAAGAGAAAAAGTCGCAGGTGGAGGTCGGCGTTCCTGACGATGGGTGCCACTGACACTAGTGCGCCCCGGTGTGTGTGTTTGAGTGATCGTCGCCTAGCTTGCGCCCTCTGCGCCCCTCTGCGCAGAAGCCTAGAAGCATGTGCCGTGCCTTTGCACGCGATCTACGACCGGCTGTGTGTGCAGTATGCGTGCATTTCGCGGGAATCCATCAGCTGCGCAGAAGTCGAGAAGGTGGAATCCCCGATGCCCGCGCCGGCTTGGCCGGGTAAAGCAGAAATCGCTCAAGCCATGTCGCGCGACCTCAGGGTCAGCCTGCAAGGCTTGGCTCACGGTCCGGTCGCGATATCTGCTCGAGCAGAGTTCCACATCGCTCATCTTCTCAACTCTCAGCAGAGAGCAACACTTCTACTCAGGTGAGCATCGTCTCTTCTCCCGTCGTCCCACTACTCCGTCTAACGGTGCGCTCGGAGAAGCGCGGCCTCGGGCACTCGGCTTCGGTCCGGGCCGTGGATGGCCGAGCCCGTCCAGCACCGCTCCGGCATATCTACTCCGCCACACGCATAGATCCAAAACTAACGCTCAGCATGGGGATCGAGAACAGCCTCACAGTCCACCTCCTCCGCAAGCTCTTTGCGGAGCTGCAGTCCCTCGCCGTCCTCGGCCTGACCAAGCTCGAGATCGATCCCAAGTCCCTCTCCAGTGGCTCGCTGGACCTCCCCATCGTCCCGGTCGCAAGGCTCGTGGGCCACCTCCAGAGCACGAATGTGCACGACACGCTCTTCCCCTTCGTTCGCTTCGGGTGCGTGCATGCCCTCCGTGTTGCGCTCGGGTGGGCGCAGGCGAGCAAGAATGCGCCCAAGGGACGGGCGGCGCTGCTGAGCCTCGCCGGATATCTCGTTATGGCTTGTGAGTAGCTGGATGTCTTCGCATGGGCCACCATGACCTGTGCCGCCGGGAAATATGAGGCTAACAACCAGGGGGCGGCAGCACGCTCACTAGCATCCTCCTTTCCACGCCACCCGCGTGGCTCCTCTCCTCCAGCCCGTGGATCGTTTACGTCTCGATCTACCTGCTCCTAGTCGCCAGCGGCATTTCGCAGTTCATCGTGTCCGCCGTGCCCTCCTTCCTGCTCAACTTCCTCCTCGCCGCGCTCGACGGTCTCCTCCGCGGCACCGGGAGCTGCGGCATGGCCTCGGCCGCAGTGTCGAAGGGCCTGCCGGCGTGGAGCGGCATTGTGCTCGCGCCGATCGCGACGTGCGGCGGCGGATGGCTCGCGCAGCTCCTGGGTATTGGGGACGGGGTCCCCCGTGCCCCCTCCTTCCTCAACGGCGGCGTCATGGGCACGCTCGACGTATGGGGCAGTATGGCCACCGCCGCAATTTATCTGGCTCTGACGGGTGCTCCGGGGCCGTGGTCGGCCAGCGTCCAGAAGGTCGATACGGGCAGCGCGCGCGCCGTCGCCATCATCTTCTTCGCGTGCCTCTTTGCTGCGAGGGTGTGGACGCAGAACCTCCTCACGCTGCGCAACAATGCGAAGAATGCGGCGATGAGCAAGCGACCCGTAGCGATCAAGGAGAAGGAGGTGGAGAAGGTCGAGGCCAGCGCCGAGTCGAGCGAGGTCGACACCGAGGTCGTCAAGGCGTCTGCTGTGCCTGGAACGAGCGCAGCTAAGAAGAGGAAGAACAAGAAGAAGAAGACTGCCGCGCACTAGGCAGTTGAAGGACAGCTGAAGGGCGGAGATTTGGAACCAACTTGATACATACACATACACTTTTATAGATATCTAGAGATATGGATCTGTCTACAGCCGACTCAGGCCAGCAGGCCCGCGCCCTCCTTCATCCACCGCAGCGTCACACTGACTCGCATGTCTCGCGGCAGCGTTGTCGTTCCCCCGGCTTCATCCTGCACGGTGTCTGCTGTCCGCCCCTCGATGCCGTGCGCCCAGTCCCACCTGCTTTCGCCCGAGAGCACGTACACGCTCCTCGGAGGCAGATAGACGTCGTACCGCTCTCCAGTTGCTGCGCCATACCCCGTCTCCTTCATGGCGTCGTCTGCGCGCTGCAGCGTCAAGACGCAGCCGCCGGTGAGCGAGACACCGACGATGCCATCTGCGTACCGGCGAGGAAGGTCGACGTGGGGTGAGATCCCTTGCCCGGGCGGGTAGAGGTTCAAGATCGCTTGACGGGCTAGGGGTTGTCGAAGGGCGGTTTCGAGTACGTTCGGGGGAAGAAGGGGATCGAGGAGCTGAATGAGCGCCGAGTCGAGGGACTGGATGTGGGACGGCATGGAGGACGGCGCAGGGGGCGGTGCACTGAATAGCATTGCTTGGTCACGACAGCCGCCGACGAAGTGGTCCGCCTCCGATATCGCGGTAAGTGTACTTACTGGGAGTTAGGCTTGAACTGCAACCTAACTCACTGGCTAGCTCGCGCGGCAGGAGACCGGGGAAGACGGAGAGACCGGGTATCGGGGGTGGGGTCCGGGACGCTATGACCTCAGCATTCTCATGGTCGTCGAAGAGGGAGCCAGCCGAGCTCACAGGGCTCGCCATGTCTTCCCTCTCCATATCGATGCCGCATTCCGGAGCGTCGATGCTCATTGTCCCAATGGGCAAGTGCACAGATCAAAGATCCCAGAGACGACCTCCACCGCATTGGAGACCTAAAGTGGAGGTACCTCCACCTCGCGCTCACTGCCACAGGATCGGCGAATGAGAGGGTGTGGCAGTTAGCACGGCAATGACTGGTCGATCGTCCCCCGACTTTCCGAGGGCAGACCCCAGAGGTCAGGCGCCAGGCCGCCAGAGCAGGTGCGAGCAGCCGCAAGCGACATTGGAGCACGTTCAACTCTGTTGTCACCTCACTCCTCCCCACTCAAAATCAAAATGTTCGCCAACTCTGTCCGTGTCGGTCTCCGTGCCGCTTCGCGCTCCTCTGGTGGGTACTACCTTGAGCGCGCTCGTCTCCTTTAGGTCCGATGTCGATAATCGTGGCTCCGAGAGGCGGGTTAGGAACAACTGTTCCCGTCTGTCCTGCTTCTCCGAGCCGAGCCGCTCCTATCTCAGTACCAGTTACTAACCCCAGTCCGTGCGCTCTCTACCCAGGCGCGCGCCTCGCCTGCCGCCCGCTACTCGGCCGGCGCCCTCGCTGCTGGTGCCGTCACCGGCTTCATGCTCTACAACATGGCCGGCAACCCCCTCCGCCTTGACGGCAAGGCTGTCCCCCACGGCGGTGCCCCCGGCACCGAGAACGAGCGCTCGTTCATCATGATCAAGCCCGACGGTGTCTCTCGCCAGCTCGTTGGCCAGATCATTGCCCGCTTCGAGGCTCGTGGCTACAAGCTCGTCGGCCTCAAGCTCGTTACTCCCTCCAAGGAGCTCGCCGAGAAGCACTACGCTGACCTCTCGTCGCGCCCCTTCTTCCCCGGACTCGTTAAGTACATCACCGAGGGCACCCCCGTTGTCGCCATGGTCTGGGAGGGCAAGGGCGTCATCAAGCAGGGCCGCGCCATGCTCGGCGCCACCAACCCCCAGCAGTCGGCGCCTGGAACGCTTCGCGGAGAGTTCTGCGTGTCCGTCGGGCGCAATGCGATCCATGGCTCCGATGGCCCCGAGTCCGCTGCCCACGAGATCGCTCTGTGGTTCAAGCCCGAGGAGATTTCTGGCAACTGGAAGCCCGCCAACTGGGACTGGGTCATGGCCGACAACTAACTGCGGCATGACCTCCACCAGACTAGGGTCACGTGACCGATATTCCTTGTCCGACCCTCCCTTTAGCTGGGACCTAAGTTAGCTGAACAATGCATTTCGCAGTGCAGACAACGCTCAAACTCATGGGTCATGACTGATCATACATGTTCTACCACAGACGATTGTATAATGTTACCTGCCTCTGCGCTAATCTATGAAGGGATGGGGTTGCTATACTACTTTAAGCGGGGGTGAGCCAGACAGCCGTGTCCTGGGGAACGCTGTCGGTGATGGGCTGGGAGGAGAGCACGACTTTTCCAGCGGGGACGGGGACGGGCTTCTCGCCAAAGTTGACAATGGTCTCCCATCCGTTGGGGCGCTTGAAGTGGATGACCTCCTTGTCCGAGTCGATCCACTCGAGCTTCTCAGCACACTGGAGCTCATGGCGGAGCTCGAGCGCCTTGCGGTACAGGTTGAGGGTCGAGTTGGGGTCCTTGTCCTCGACATCGACGGCGTGCTCCTTGTAGTACTCGGGCGCCGGGAGGTGGGCCTTGGCGCCGTCGCCGAAGCCCATGTTCTTCCCCTCAGCCTTCCAGGGGAGACAGATGCGGCATCCGTCACGGCCGACGTCGTGGCCCGGCGAGCGGAAGAAGGTCGGGTCCTGCCTCTCCTCGTCCGGCATCGTGACGACCTCGGGCAGGCCGAGCTCCTCGCCCTGGTAGATGTACGCCGAGCCGGGAAGGGCGAGCATCATCATGGTGGCGGCAGTCGCGCGGCGGAGGCCGACAGCAGGGTCGACCTTGGGGTTCTCGCCCTTGTTGATCAGGAACTTGCGCGACGTCTCGAGGTACCCTCCGTCGTCCTTGAGGGCGAGACGGGTGGCGTGGCGCACAACGTCGTGGTTCGAGAGCACCCACGTGCACGACGAGCCAGAGGTCTCGGCGTCCTCGAGCGAAATCTTGATCACCTCACGGTACTTGGCAACGTCGTAGGGGATCATGAGCAGGTCGAAGGAGAAGGCCTGGCCGAGACCGTCCTTGGCGGCGTAGAGCGGCTTGCGGCGGGACGAGACCCATCCCTCAGCGACAGCGGTCAAGGGAGGGCTGTACTCGTTGAACACCTTGCGCCACTCGCGGTAGACGTCGAACACCTCGTCGCGGTCAAAATACGGGTGCGCGTTGGGCGGCAGCGTGCCCTCGACCATCTGCTCGGACAGCGTTTTGATCTCCTCCCAGGAGAGGAGCGGCTCGCCCTCAGGCATGTGCTTGACGCAGGCGTGGGCGACGTCGATACGGAAACCAGACACGCCACGGTCACCCCAGAAGCGGAGCGTCTTGAGGAAGTCGTCGCGCACCTCACGGTTATCCCAGTTCAGGTCGGGCTGCGACTCGTCAAAGATGTGCAGGTAGAACTGGCCGTCGCCGACGGGCGTCCACATGCTGCCACCAAACATGGCGCGCCAGTCTGAGGGAGGCTGATCCTTGTTGGGCCCGAGTCCGTCGCGGAAGATGTAGCGGGCACGCTCGGGAGAGCCGGGCTTGGCCTTGAGCGCGGCCTGGAACCACTCGTGGTCGTCCGAGGTGTGGTTCGGCACAATGTCGACAATGACCTTGATGCCCGCGTCCTTGCAGGCCTTCATCATGTCGTCAAAGTCGGCGAGGGTGCCGATGCGGGGGTCGACATCGCGGTAGTCGGCGACGTCGTAGCCGCCGTCCTTGAGCGCCGAAGGGTAGAAGGGAGACAGCCAGATGGCGTCGACACCGAGCTGCTTCAGGTAGGGCACCTCAGACGTGATGCCGACAAGGTCGCCGATGCCGTCGCCGTTCGCATCCTTGAACGAGCGAGGGTAGATCTGGTAGACAGTCGCCTGGCGCCACCAGTTGGGGTCCTCTGGAAAGTCAGCTTGCGCTGTGAGAGAGCCATCGCCAGCCCCGCCAATTCGAGGCGGGGGCGTGCGAACAGACAAACAACTCACCGTTCTTGTTGAGCATCGAGATCGTCATTTTGCTGATTGAAACGGACGATACGGTGGTGCAAATACGATGAGAATGCGGCAGTGGAGCCTGCCCACTGCGCTCCTATATACCTGCCAGCTGGCCGGCTGTTCGAGCGGGGAGGTGGGGACGCATCGTCACAGACTGGGGTAGAAAGTCAAACTGCCAGTGTAATCTCGGAGTCGGGCCGAGTGATGTGTACTCGGCGGGGTCCGAAATCCCCTATGACTGCCCTCACGTTCAGGGTCCCGTTTATCCGGAGTTCAAGTCGTGCGGCTCCAGTGCCCTCCACTGCAAAGATGGGCAAGAAGCCGCTGTGTAACCTGCCGAACACATGCACGGCTTAATTGGCGATTTGGCTGCCGCCGAGAGGCCGAGCGGCATGGAGAACCCGCCGAACGGGCAGAGAGTGGCTCGCTGGAAACGCTCCGAAGCGCTCGACTGACTCACCCCGCAGTACGGTCGTGACTCACGTGCTTGCCCATGAAGCCGGGCCGTCAGTTGCCGGAGGCCGCCTGGCGGGCGACGCGGGGCGTTACTCGGACACACACCGATATCGACTTGAACCTCCACATCCCCGCGTCGGCCTCCACACGCTCGCGTGCGCGCAATTCCTCTCATGCAGTCATGGAGTGTCACCGCACGAGAATGGGCCCCATGTGGCCGAAGATGGCAGGGTCACGTTTGTGAGTACGTTGCGGCTGTCACGAGGCCGTGGCGGTAAGCCTGCGGGGAAAGATGTTGGATCCGCCAAGCTAGTGCCTTCGGTGTGGTAGCGTTTCAGCTGTGGCTTTAACAGCCTTCAGGCCCCGATACTATCCCGGTGGAGTGAACGGCGTCCCAGCCGCAAGCTTGCAGGTCGGTCTCTTTGCTTCCCGACCCATGAGAGTCGGTATGACAACATGCGAGCGGCATCTCGAATTCATTCCCAAAGATTGGCCACCTCGCGGATGATGTGGATTCAGCTGCACGTGCTCCCTTGCAATCAAGTGACGGAATGCCTGCTACCGAGACCGCCACTCCCGCCCTTATCTTGGGCATGTAATTATGATATGATGCAATATATTTCATAGATATGCTACCGTACCTTGAAGATGCCAAGTATTGATACAACAGAGAGCGTGCGCAGTGTAAAGAACCGAATAACCCGTCTACATGAGGTCAAAGTCGTCGAGCTGAAAAAGTTAGCTAACGTTCCAGGGTTGAAAGCTCACCTCGTCGTTGTACTTCATAATAGTACGCTTGCGAGCACTCGTGTCGACCCAGGTGACAAAGTCCTCCATGTGGCGGGTGATCAGCATGGCGGGGTCGGTGACCGGAGAAGGCCCGACGCGGATATGTCCCTGCTCGATGGTCCTGACCGCATCCGAAACGCTTTCCGCCATCTTGAGCCTCGTAGCGACAACCGCCAGACGTCGGCGAGCAATCGAGGACACGGTCACCTTGTTCTCAATGTCCGACGGCTTGGCTCCGACGTCAAGGATCCCCATATCGTAGAGCTTGTCCAGCATCTCCGCCTCTTTCTTCTGTCGGTACGGGTCGTTGGCCGGCAGAAGCGAGATGCGGTGGATCAGCGACCGCAGGTTGCCACAGATCTTGTTGTACTTGTGGTAATCTTCACGATCCTGGATGTGATACTTGTGCATCACACGGATCTCGCGTTGAGACGCATCCTGCTTCCACTGTGAAGATGTTAGCCAGCCACGCACTAATGGTACCTTTGCAACGGCAGACCTCGAGCGGGCTCGGAAATGAAATCGGCTGGAGAGCCGGAACGAGGAGCCGCGCGAAACTCTGGTGCACCACAGGCTCCAACGGGACTCACGTTCAGGAAGTCGACCTTCTTGAGGAGCTTCTTCTCGTGATGCTTGAGTTGACGCATGGTGGGCTGAGCGACGCGACCGAGAGCGCGTTTGAGATGCGAGGTTGGAAGCCGAGTAGGGAAGGGGAAGGCTGTTGTCGAAAATCTTGAAAGCGTCGCAGTGGACGTCATGCCCACGCGCCGCCGCCGCCATCGCCACGCGGAGAATTCTAATCACTTGATTTAGTCTGAAGGTGAGGTTTGGTCCCGGTTCTAATTGTCACTAGTAAATCCCGCTATTGCCGGCCGCCAGCTTAAGTGCTCCCCTCCTGTACGCGCGGTGGGACGCTCCTTGACAGGCGACCAAACCGGTACCAAGACCGTCGAACGTCGTCAAGCCCGTCCTCCTCGCCTCACCTCCCCCCCCCTCCGTTCTCGCGTCCTGTACGTCTCCGACTCCCTCTGACTGTCACCCCCCGACACCGAAACGAGAAACAGACACACGGCTACTTTGTGAAAGTGCCATTGTCTCGTTTCTACTGCCCCTCTACCTGCCAGGAGCCTGAGCACAAAGTTACCTGCTCGCCCCTTCGCTTGCCTTTGGGACTCCCTTTCTTCCAACGCTCTCGGATCCGCTTCGAATAGCCTCTGCTACGAGTCGACGAGCCGTCATTGCCACTGCCTCCAGCACCCCGCCAGCACCCTCCGCATCGGCAGTAACACCCCCGACAGCCATCTAGAAGGGCCTTCGCCGCAAAGTTTAAAGTACCCTCGAGCGCTGCTCTAAACTCAGCTGCCCCTTGCTTCCGCGCGCACACTTTCGGTGGCAACCGCACACAAGTCGACGACGGACCTCCTTGTGAGTATCATCGGTACCCCTTGCCCCCACTTATGCTGACTGTCATAAGCTCTGCTGTTACCGGCGAAGTGAAAACCGGTCTTAAGACAAGTCTACGCACTACTTAGTCGCACCTCCTTCCACACGAGCAAAAGCTGTGATCGGATCCTACTGCGTAAGTCTTCCAGAGATTCCCAATCGTGGTCGAGACTTTTCCGACCTCGAGATACTATGCTGTGGGCTGTGTGCAAGCTATGCGTCTGTGTGTTCCACGGTCGCCTAAAGCCAAATTTCTTGGCTTAGACACGCCGCAAGCACCGCGCTATCTCTTGATCGTCCGGCACACGGTTTGACAGCGAAGCCCAAAGCGCTTCGCAAAACCTCACTTTCGGCGTGTCTGCTCTGAAGAATATGTGTCTCCGGTCTACATGAGCTTGGAATTGATTGGGTCGCTCCGTGTGGTGCGCCATCTCTCGTCTTCCCTGTATTGCCTTCGCCACCGCCACGGGAGTTGCTGACATTCTAGACGTCCCTTCTGCAGAGAGTCCCAACAGCACCATGTCGCCGTCGACACAATCCAAGTCGACGAGCGTGTTCCATGCGCTAGGATCCTACGCGGATCGCACCAAGGATGCCACCGGCAAGACGATAACTCCCAACGGCTCGGCCTCGCACTCGCCCGCTGCTGTCTCGAGCTCCTTGTCGTCACCGACCCCCGCGACTACTCCCATGCCTTCCACGAGCACGAGCAAAGCTGCGCCTGCCGCACCCGCTGCTGCTCCTGTTGATGACGACGATGAGTCGTGGGAGACTGTTAGAAGCAGTCGCCAGAAGCCTCGTGTGGAGCGCAACACCGAGGAGAAGCGAGGTAGCAACTCGCGCAACTGGCGGGAACGCGAGGAGAAGCCCAAGGCATCGACCGAGGAGAAGGAGGAGTCTCGAAGTCGCCCCTCGAAGAAGGAATCGCGCCCTTCAAGTACTACGCCGTCGGCGCAGGCTTCGGCTTCGACTTCTCGCGCGGCCTCTGTAGCCCCTTCCAAGCCTGCTTGGGGAGGTTCGGCACCAGGACAGTCGGCGGTCGCGCCACCCACCGCCGCCTCCACTTCCAACGCCACCCCTTCAGCTGCCAACTCTGTGAACGGAGCGGCGCGACCGGCTGCTGCCAAGAACGGCGAGGCTTCAACGTCTTCCGAGTCCACCATCAAGGGGAATGCCTCCGACGAGGGGAGCTGGCGAGCTAGGCCCAAGGCGGAGGAGAAGCCGGCAGCACCGGTACCCAAGCAGGCTGCTGCCCCTCCCGCTGTGAATGCCTGGGACCTGAGGAAAAAGCAGGCCCCCACCCCCAATCACGGAACGCGCCCGTCCAGTTCCACTCCGCTTCAGTTTGGGTCTGTAGCGGCTTCTGGCTCGATGCCTACTGAGAACAAGTCGGCGTCGGAGTCTGCTTCGACTGAGACGACTAAGCCGAAGAAGAAGAAAAAGGAGAGCGCTCCCCCTCCTGTCTCGGACGTCAACATGTGGCCGGACGTCAACGCTGCCAAGAGCGACGAGAAGAAGTCCAAGCAGGACAAGAAGACGGGTAATGCTGCTGAGGCAGCTGCCCCCGTTGAGGAGCCGACATCGGGTAACGTCGCCGGGAAGAAGGCCAAGTGGACGCCCATCCCGGCAGCTGAGCTTCAGGAGGCTGCCGATAAGGCGGCGGAGAGCAGCCGGCAACGCAAGGCGAAGCGTGGACCGAAGGATGACTCGGAATCGAAGGGACAGCGCGGCAAGAAGGGCAACTCCGATAAGAAGGGAGGATCTCGGGCGCAGCGCTCCGGGTCACATAGTGAACCACATAACGCTCGCATGAACGGCAACGCCTTCCGCTTCAACGGGTCTGAGACGGGTGACGCACCTAACGGTGCGGAGTTTGCCAACGGAGCTGGCAGTACCCCGATGTCTCGTTCCGGCAGCGCCCTGGATAAGCGTTCGCCGGGCGGCACGCAACTGCCGTTATCCCCTGAGCAGGCGGGTCGTGACGAGCACAGCCGGCCAACAGGCGGCAATGCTTCCCAACAGGGCTATGGTGCCAACGCCACTCTCCCCCGCGCCCCGCGAGGACGGGACCGTGAGGGACGCGGATATGGCGGACGTGGACGCGGTGGATATCGATCGGTCTCGCAAGCCACCGGAGGAGGAAGGTACGACCTCTCGCCGCTCCAGGGCAATGCGGAGCTTGCTCATGCCTACACGCGCGGTTACGGTATGGGCTACAGCTACTACCCCATGCCTCCCGCTGGCTTCGTGATGCCCGTGGACCCGTCGCATGCCACCTACCCTGGTATGCCCATGTACGCTCGCGGCACTCTCCCTCCGCCACCTCTGCCAGTTACCCAGGTCCCTAACTTGGACCCGCTGCGGTACTGGGTTCTCGGGCAAGTCGAGTACTACTTCTCCATGCAGAACCTGGCGATGGACTTCTTCCTTCGTCAGCAGATGGACCTCGAGGGCTGGATCGACATCTCGATGATCGCGTCCTTCAACCGCATCAAGTCGTTGACCCCTGATGTTGCTATTGTCCGCGAGGTTATGGAGATGAGCTCCTTACTCGAGGTCAAGGGCGACAAGGTCCGCCTGGGTGGTGGTGAGGCTAAGCGCTGGGTGCTTCCGGACGCCAAGCCGTCGAGTCTGGAGGGCTCGGGCTCCACCCTGACGTCGCCGAAGAAGTCTTCTGAGGCGACTGAGATATCTCATGGCTTACCTCCTTCGGTGGACACGGGAGTGTCCGCCCTCGGTATTGAGAACATGATCCCTGTTTCTCCTCCTACCAAGTTCGATGTCGAGAACGCGCTCATGAAGAGCTCTGGGAGCGCCAATGTAAGCTCGACCGCCAGCGTTCTCGCCTCTGACGATGCCAAGACGATGACCCCCGCCACCAGCATCGCCGGTGACACGAATGCGAGCGACAACGATGATGCCTCCAAGGGCAAGTGAAGGAAAGGTGAAGCTCGGTTCGCTCGGTCAACGCAATACCTGCAAGAAAACCCACTCCCTTCCTCCATTTCATCACCACAACACATTTGATCAGCATCGCGCTATAGCGGCATACAAAGTGTAGCCTCGTTCTGCCTCCAGCATGTTACTCTCAGCACGTTTCCCATCAATTACCACACACCACACACACACACAACAACAAAAAGCCGATATTCATTTGTTCGACGCCCGCATAATTTCAATAAACCCCTTCCGTTTGCTTAGTGACACCGCAACCATTTCGTTTCATCTCAACCAGCACATTTCCCCGTTCTCATATCCTTAACATCTTGCTCTAGCAGGCTTACCCTAGCTCCTGCGTCTTCCGACCTATCAGTGCTACATCTGGCAGTGCGGCCGATCAGGAGAAGGTAAATAATTACTGTGGACGGGAAATCACCTTATCAAAAATCGCATTAACTTTCGAGAGAGAGAGGGAGAGAGAGGGACCTCGGGTACGAGGATGATAGGTCTGCATGTGAATGCATTTCGTGTACATGTACCGTGCTCCGTCTCATAACATGGATATTCATCTATCCCGATCTATCTAAACCGTACAAGTACAACAGAGAGACTTAGGCGAAGTGGATGCCGCGAAGGTTGAAAGCCTTCAGGAGTTCGAGCAGGTCGTTGCCAGACAGGACGGCGGCACGCATGTCGCCGAACGCGGGCCGCTGCTCGTTCTCGTCGAGCGTCTTGGCGGGGACAAGAGTCTCGGCGAGAACCTCCTCGATGAGGGCCCAGGCGTCAAAGTCATCGTCGATCATCTTCTCGTTCATGGCGCACCACGTCTTGTAGTTCTTCTCAATCATCTCCTTGATACCCTTAGCCTTGAAGTTGGCGCGGAGCGTCTTGTGCGACCTCGAGAAGACGATACGGTTGAGGCCATCAAACTCCTCAAACTTGACAGCAGGCGGGGGGTTGTACGGCTTGATGCGGACGACGGAGGACTCGACCTGCGGCGGCGGGCGGAAGTTGCCCTTGCCGACCTTCATGACGTGCTCGACGCGGGCAAACATCTGCACATTGGCCGAGAGACGGCACCAGAGCTTCGACCCGGGCTTGGCGCAGAGACGGAGCGCAAACTCGCGCTGGAACATGAGCACGGCGCACCGGATCAGCGGCCGGTGGGAGAGCAGCTTGAACACCAGCGGGGACGAGATCTGGTACGGCGTGTTCGAGATGCAGACGTCAAAGTAGGGAAGGTCCGCCTTGACAAAGTCGCCGAGAATGATGTCGAGCTTCTTCTGTTGCGGCCTGATTGTCAGCTGGTTACAGGGGACCATCAGCACTCACGTTCCGAGCACACGCTTCTGCACCTCGGCAGCCATACGCGGGTCCATCTCCACAGCAGTCACCTTTCGACACGCCGTCAGGATGCGCACCGTCAGGTTACCCGTACCCGGACCGACTTCGAGCACGACGTCGGTCGGCTTCAGCTCAGCCTTGTCGACGATTCTGGTTGTCAGCTCTGGCTACGGCGTATCACATAGCTGGCAACTCTTGGGCGTGCAGACCGCCTCGAGTCACAAGCCCAAAGGCATCAGTACTCACCCCTGAGCGACAAGCGGGTTCGTCAGGATATGCTGTCCAAATCGCTCCGTGTTGAACAGATGGTTGCGCGCTCCGCCCGCGCTGCCGGTCGCGTTCGTCCCCGGCTCCTGCGTCTTGCCTGGTCGCTGCGACGCGGCGATGACTCCATGGTTGCGCGTGAAAGTCTGTGACGTAGCCTTCGGCATGGCGTCAAGTTTGTGTGGATGGGATGAAGTCGATGTGAGTGTGTAAGACCTTCCTCGCGCGATCGCCGCTCGGCCGTCACTGCGATCACTGGTGGTGGACGAAGAATTCCAACTTTATCAGGTCACGTGTTTGCCACCCAACAATCTTGAAGCCGCCGGGACCAATTGCAACCAGCGTCACGGCTCGCTCATGACGAACATTTCAGAAAGTGGAGGTGCGACCACAGGGATGAGGTGTGCGCCTCTTGCTGACCAAGATTTCGACGACAGACTGCACACGAGATCGATATACGCCATGGACGAAGACGACTTTTTCGGCGGACCAACGCAGGGTGGTGCCCAGGACCCTCTCGCCGATGCCGAATACGCCCGCATCGAGCAGAAGTACTCTGACGTGAGTTTCGCAGTCCGAGGCTTCAACTGACACCAGGCGGGCTACCGCGAGGGCATTACGGATGGCAAGATGTCGACGCTGCAGGCGGGATTTGACCAAAGTTTTGCGACATGTGTCCCCCTCTCCCGGAGGATGGGGCAGATGCGAGGTGCCGCGAATGCTCTCCTCTCCCTTGCAACGCAGGCCAAGGCCGATGAGCAGCTCATCGCCGAACTCCGTGCAGTCATCAGCAAGCTCTCGACCGTCAAGCGGGACGATGTTCTCCCGATTGACCACGAGCGGATAGAGCATGAGAAGGAGCATCAGCAGGATGACAACGGGTTTGAGTTCGCGCAGACCGAGCAGCGTGAGCTCGAGAGCCTCGAGGACATGATGGGCAACATGGGACAGAAGAGGGCGGAGCCTGCTGTCCGCGGAGAAGAGCTCCTGGACGCGCTCGAGAAGGAGTTGACAGAGGTGCAGGCGAAACTCGGTTTCTAATAGATCATGTAATGTACCAAATAGTAATACAAAGGCTGAGGTCAAGATAGAGTGGTCACTCGGGTCAAGAGATTAGGCTGGGGGAATATCGCAGAGCAGACCGGTGTTCTACCGTTAGTTACGCCACACGCACGTCAGCTTACATCGATGTCAAAGGACGCCCACGGCACTTCCTCCTCGCTTGGAATAGGCTGGGACGCGCATGATGCGTGGGCGTACCGAAGGTCGTCCTTAGCGCCTCGGAATAGCGTCACGCGAATCGTACGCTCCGTTGTCCAGGCGTCTCCTACCCGTCAGCTCATTACAAACCCGATTTTGCAGCTACCCACCAAGTTGCGGCATCAGCACCGCACGGTCGCCGGTCTCGAAGGTCGCCGGCTTGTTGTCGACGGTCATGAGCTTCGTGGCCATCTGGGTCGTGGCGACCACCTGCTGTCAGCTAACGTCACCTCCTGAAGCCTACAGCGCATCCGTGGACGGTAGCGGCCTTGCCGAAGACAGTTTTGACCCTGCGGTTAGCTGCAAGTGTGCGATACTCAACTCACTGCTCCATTATTCTTCTTCGGGTATTCAGGTCTAAAGACGGCTGCCGAAAGTGGTAGCTTAGTGTGTCGACGAGGAGCAGCTTCACCTAACTCATCAGCCTGAGAGCTCCATCACGCACACACCTTAGGGTGCTCCGTCAGCCACGAGTCCAGCATCTGCAGAACGGTGATCATTTGGAGCTGAGTACCGACACGCATGATGTAGATTCCGCCGAGTATCGTGTCTGGCTCGTCAGCTTACGCAAGAGGCAAAATCAGCTCACCTGCATTGCCAAGTGATTCAGCCGCCGACCGCAGGCGGTCTTCGGTGATTGAGCCTTCAGTGTCTGACGTTAGCGATTCCGCATGAGGACGATCAAACCTCACCGATAAGAAGGACCTCCGGCGTGTCCTCATCAATTGTTCGCGCACTAAGCGCTATCCCGATAATGGCCCCCGTCTTCCCACCGCCAGGAGGGGCAGACAGCTCCAGAACCGCTCCTGGTCTGATACTTCCAGAGTCCTCGCGATCGGCTCCTCTTCCTTTGAGGTTGAGGCCATGAGGAGCCGTGTAGCCCGAGACATAGTAGCCGATCAGCTTGTCCAGTGACACAGACAACGTGGAGAAATACGTCGGGGAGACCTTCAGGAGTTGAGAAGCCGTCACTGACTTAGCGGGCGTTGGGAGATATGCCGGACGGGCTGAAGGGTCAGCTCGTCCAATCCGGTGCAGCTCACCAGATTGCTGGGTCACTATCCGTAAAACCTCTTCAGCTTGACTCAGTCCTATCCCTAAATCTTCTATGTCAACGGTGGACTGCAGCTCGTACTTACCGACAGCCAGATCTTTGGGCGAGGTGGAGGTCACATCCTCGACCGTCTGGTAGCCATGCTTGTCCAGAGCCTGCCTGTAGGAGCGTCTGACGTCAGTTAGCTGCATACTGCGAATCTCACTCTAGTTCAAGCTCCCGCAGGTTTCTACTCATCGCATTCTTGAGCCTGTCCTGATACCGAAGCAGCGATTGTTGTTGTTGTTGTTCCTGTCGGTAGTTGGTCCAACAGCTCGAAAGTCGCGTAAGTGATGTCACGTCCCCACGTGGCTCTGGGTCCGCTCGAGTCACGTGTCCAGGCCGCGCGTCTGCTGAGTGAGTCTCAACCGTCATCGTCTAGCCAGCAGCTTGCTGCATCATCGTCTCGCTGCAGTTCTATCCGCGCTCCTTCATCAGGCCTCGGGCAGAAAGATACCCCTCGAGACCATCTATTCAACATGGTGAGTGTGCTGACGGCAGATGAGTGGTGCAGTGGGAGGAGTTGCGCACACCGCGGAGCTGATCGGCTTCCCTCGTGCGCTTTGTCAACGAACTCTGCATCATCGCGCCGGGCGGCTGTCTTTAGGATCGGATCTAGCTGACCGACAGAGTATTATGGAGTACAACGGAGGCTCAGTCGTTGCCATGGTTGGCAAGGACTGTGTTGCCATCGCGGGTGACCTTCGACTCGGACAGCAGGCGACTGGTGTCGCCATGAACTTCGAGAAGGTGTTCCCCGTTAACGACACGCTGTACTTCGGACTGCCGGGACTGGCGACGGATGTCTTTACTCTGTGAGTGCTCTTTGGTGTGCCAGCTTGCTGGCTGTCATCGCAGGGCGATGTACAGTGTGAACTTGGCGGATCACCACATCCAACCCAGTTCATCGGCGGCAGGTGCCGGCGGCAGCATGCATTGCTCAGCGAGTTGTAGCTGACATTTGCAGGAAGGAGCAGATGCGTTTCCGTGTCAACATGTACCGCATGAAGGAGGAGCGCGAGATCACCCCCGTCACCTTCACGAACCTCCTCTCATCAACCCTCTACGAGAAGCGTTTCGGCCCGTACTTCATTGAGCCTGTCGTTGCTGGTATCGCGCCTGCGACTGAGGCGAACCCGAACCCCCAGCCCTTCATTTCTACCATGGACACGTAAGTGACCAAGCTTCCCCAGTGCGATGACAAGCTGACAGACAGCATCGGATGTATCACGACACCCAAAGACTTTGCTGTCGCCGGAACCGCGACTGAGAAGCTGTACGGTACCGCTGAGGGACTTTGGGAGCCGAACCTCGAGCCTGAGGACCTGTTCGAGACCATCTCCCAGGTGCTTCTGAACGCTGTCGACCGCGATGCCCTCAGCGGCTGGGGAGCCGTCGTCCACATTATGTGAGTGCAGCTTTCCTGCTCCAACCGTCAAGCTGACATGCAGCACTAAGGACAAGGTCGTTACGAGAATGCTTCGCTCGCGCATGGATTAATTCGTTTGTAGAGATAACATGTAGACATCAGCAGGACATGCCCGCTTCGCATCAGTGGGTTATAGTGCAGCACACTGCCATTCGAGACTGTTATAGTGCAGCACACTGCCATTCGAGAGTATACTTACATCCAGCTAACGAGTTTGGCTACGGCTCCCGCTGTAATATCTCTAGGGTTTCCCCGGTCGGTAAGCACAGATCTCCGACCTCTGCAGTTGTTTTACCAGCCTGTGGGAGTGCACGACCGGACGAGCTGCGGTGCAAAAAGCACAATGAATACATGGATAACTGACGCGGGCTAAGTGTATGGTATGCTACAAGGTGTACAACACTGACCGCCTGTGGTGCCTCCTTTTCTTTGCGCGGTACGGGGTGTCGCGGTGCGTTTGCCAGGGCTAGCATCGCTCCCTTTGGTGACCGAACTACCCAACTACTGCCAGCTCAGAGAGCCGACTCCCTCTCCCTTGCCTCCTTCTCTAGCTGCTTGATCCGCTCTTTCAGCTTCAAGTTCTCCTCTCCGAGTTGCGTGACCTTCTCCTGTAGCTTAAGCACGGGCGCGCTCCCTTCGCCACCCTCAAGTTCCTTGACGCGCTCCTGCAGCGTACGGATTGACTCGCGCATACTCTGCTTCATCGTCTGAGCAGCACGGACGTGTCGATCCTGCCGCGCCAAATGCTCCTTCAGGTCTTCCATCGCCGTCATCATAGCCCCGAGAGCAGGATGCGGCGGAGCGGTACCGCCCGGCGTCGTCGGTGGAAGGTTTGGCGTGGCAGGCGAAGCCGGTGCACCATCGCGGAGCTGCTCGACGCGGGACTTGGATGGTGTCTGTGGATCACGACCAATGAGAAAGGGATTCTGTTGTCAGCTTGATGAGAAGAAGAGTTAGCTTACAGGTTCGTCCTCCACCAACGTGTCCAGCTTGCGCTTCCTTGTATCCGTCATCGGGGTCGTGTCGAACCGGATCGCTCGCGGCGTGTTCGTCTGACTGAGCGCCTCCTCCTCCAATTTCTCCGCATCCACAGATCCCCAGTCGATATCCGAGGAGTCCTCGTCGCTATCCGGTACGCTCACCAGATCCTGCTTAGGCTCGTTCCACCGTCTGAGTCGCTTGCTGGGCGTCTCAACCCCAGCAGCATTGTTCAGCGTCGCTTGCAGGAGATGGTTCGGAGCACGGCTACTCGACTTGCTCGGTGTAGTGCTTGTGCTGCTCGGTGTCGTGCCAGTCTTGCGGGGCGTCGCGGACCCGGGCGTCGGTCGCATCAACCGACTGGGCGTGCCTGGAGCGGCACCCAGCGTCTGTCCTTTCGCAGGACTCGCGCCACCGAGCACATTGCCCCCTTTCGCGGCGCCGAGCTCGTCCTCCCACTTGAAGAACTTGCAGCGCTTCGGGTCCTCGCGATCACGAGCGCACGCGTAGTACCACCGGTTCGGGTTCGCCTGCGTGCGGCTCATGAACCGCTTGGCGGGGACTTGGTGCTGGACGTCAGTTAGCAGACGCGCGCAAAACTCACATTGCACAGGACACGCTGCTCATCGCCGTCAGTCGTCGAGCTCGTTTGCGTCCGTCCCCGGACTGGAACCGTGAAGGACGAGCGACTCATGGCGATGTGGAGGATGTTGTTGTGATGGGATCGACAGGTGGGTGACTGGACTTTTGGATTCGCACCAGCGTCATACGCACGTGGTGAAGTAGCCGATTTTAACAGCCCGAGATCACCCCCTCTGGCCTCTGGACAACGATGGTAGCTTCTTTGCATTCATCTCTTACACGGTCCAAACTGTTTGTCTATCTCGCTCTTCCGGCGCACTGCAGATGTGGGAGGCCCACGTCCTCGGCTGCAACAGTACCGACATGCATACTGCCGCCAAGGAGTCCGGCTCTAGTCCGACCAATCGTCCGAATCAGGAGGGCAATCTTCCTCGTCGCCGTACCACTCCTCCCACGGCCTATATCCGGCGTCGTAGCGTTGATTGTCCTTCTCCATATACTTGATCATCTGGTTCCTTTCGAGCACAATAGCCTCCAGCTCGATGACTTTAGCTCGCAGAACTTCGATGTCGGTTTCCTTAGACCAGTCCTTCTTAGGAAGCTTCTTCTGTCGCTCATACTCCCTAACCTGACATCAGCCACGTCGCAGAGGTTGCTGCTCACCTCAGCGCTGTGTTGCCACTTCCAGTTCTTCCCGATCTTCGACTGCTGCGTCTCTTTCGTTGACGTGGGTTGACTCTTCTTCGAACGCGTGGCCCTCTTCAGTTGCGCTGCGGCCCTTCCGGCCCCAGACTTCGCCTTAGACGAGGTCGCAGCCCCAGACTTCTTCGTACTCGAGTTCCCGGTTCTACTTCGGGTGGTTACCATGTCAGTGGGAGAAGTGGCGAAATGAAAGCTATTCGAAGACTCGAGTTGAATCATCGTCCTCTCCTGCAGTCACGGACCCCTCGACAATGGCGGCGCCGTTCAGGCACGGTCCTCCGATTCCTGAACATGAGGAAACCAGACACATCTCCGGTCGCTGCTGGTGTCATTCATGCGCTGAGTGGAGGGTACGAGTACGACGGTGACGGTGACGCGGTCATCAACCATTACGGGCGTGAGTACGAGCGATTTGAGTAGGTGTGGGCAGACGCCGTTGGCAGCTGCCTTGGGGTGCATTGCGTACTGTTCGTTGTCCGCGTTGGTCTGATATCGCTTTGCACGCCTCAAGGACTCCGATCCATCGTCGGCGGATGCTACCAACGTGAATGTGACTTTGGAAATCAGATGCATGTCATCTGACGAGGTTCTTTCATCTGAAGAGCATGACATATGTCATTCGGAGATCCGGTGGGCTTTAGGCTGCCATCAGCTGCCAGGCACGCCAGGCACGACATTGAATTTCACACCGATAAGAAGTCAGACGCGCGCGCGTCCGACCAACTGACCACCCATCGATCAGGAATAGCCGGCGCCGGCCGGCACTTCAACTCCACCCACTCGACCATGACCGAAATTGACTCGATGGCCACTGCGGCGAACGGGGACGCCAACACCAAGAAGCGAAAACTGGACACAACAGAGACGCAAGGCGGCGAGGTGAGTCCCACTGGGTGCAAGGCGAACGGCTTGCTGACTGTATGAGCAGGCGCAGAATGCTGCGGGCATCTCATCAAATGCGGCGACTTCCAACGGAAACTCTTCATCATCAGAAGCGCCAGAAACCGAGATCAAGCGACTAGAAGGCGCTCTGCGGAAAGCAGACGAGTCCATTCGGCAGATGCAGGCGTCGCGCGAAGCTATAGCGGGGCGGCTAAACGAGCTCGGGCGGAATGTCGTCATCAAGCCGTGGACGCAGGAGCATCTGAAGACGGTGGTAGAGCATCACCTCGACGAGTTCCAAGCCGAGTATGCGCTATGTGATGGTGTCGAGAGCCTACCGGACGACGCAAAGGAGGACGCGATCCGCATCCTCAAGATGCGCCGTGCCATCTACACCGGGTATCAGAGTGACGGCACTGGATATCGAGACGCAGACGGGAGCTGGATCGACTTCGAGCCTACCGAAGAAGATCTGCGATCATTCAGGTGGGAGGACGCCGATACCTTGTGGACACAGTAGCTTGTTGTATGTTATGTTGCAGCGCGAGCGCGCTTTCGGAAGCTTTTGGTGGCGACTGGGCTAAGTCAATTGCGACGGCATGTTCTCACAGAGGTAGGGTCAATCTTCCTGGGCATTTCAACATCACCCATTCACTCTCAACTGTCAACCCAGAGTATGACGGACGACCAGGTTACAAAGAAGCGGAAAGTGGACGTGATCGATGTGCTTGACAGCGACGTGCGTATCAGTGGCTCCATGTGATGTGGCCTTCCCCGGATTAGACTGACGTCAGGTGGAAGAGGTGCAAGCATCAACATCCTCGGGTAGCACCGGATCTGAGACCCCCAATGAGGGTTCCGAAACGAGAGAGGACGAGGTCAAGCGGCTACGAGCGGCTCTGAAGAAGGCCGATGACACGATTGCAACCATGGAGAAGTCTCGTAGGACGATTGCTGCCCGTCTCCAAGCGCTCGGCGAGGTGGTTCTCCTCGAGCCCCGAACAGCTGAATGGCTGCGGGAGAAGATCGCAGAGCTCGAGGACGATTTCTACTCCAACGTCTCGGAAATCGGCTGTGACGAGGATGCGACTGAGGAGCAGCGCTTCGATTCGACATACATTCAGCGCCTGAAGGATGCGCTCGAGGGCGGCTTCCCGTGCGACAAGAACGGGTATATCAACGCGGAGGGGAGGTACATCGCTTTTGCGCCTACGGACGAGGAATTGGAGGACTTCCGCTGGAGCGATGTCGGCTTTACCAACTAATAGGTGTGCGCCCTCAGCCACCTCCAGGGTGCAGATTCGTGACAGCCCAGATAAGATTTCGGCGAGTTCTCACCATCACACCATCTGCATCATGGCTCGTACCAAACAAACGCACCCCAGGGCGCAGCCGTCGACGACAGAGAAGAGAAAAGCGCCGCCCGCTGATGCAGTGAGTATTGAGACCTTGATGCGGGATGCTGATGCCTCATCAGGCAGCCGGCACTCCCACCCGCTCTACACGGAAAGGTGCCAAAAAAGTCAACCCCGAGGAAGTCGCAGCGCTTCAAAAGGCCTTGAAGGAAGCTGAGGAGAAGCTTGAGCAAGCTCAGGAGGCGCGGAACAAGATTGCCGCGAAGTTGGAGGCGCTTGGCCAGGTTGTTGTAGTCAAGCCCTGGACGGTCGATCATTTGGAAACTGATTGGGCGTCGAGCTTGGACGATTTCCGACAGACCTACGGTGAATTTGGCGAGTACGAGGACGAGCTCGACGACGACGATGACGCTAAAAGGTGGATCATCCGACTCCTGAAGATGCACGATGCAATCCAAGGAGAATTCCCTTCCGATGGGACTGGTTACATTGACGAAGATGGTCAATGGGTAGACTTCGAAGCGACAGACCAAGACCTGGAGGAGTTTGAATGGGTCGATGCTGACCCGCTCTGGTGACCCCATGCATGGAAGATGGATCTACGGCTGCAACGCCTGTTCTGAGCACGGGGCTCGCGAACAATGGAGAGCGCGTTGTTGACAGTCCCCACACTCATGGATCACAGGCACAGACGTACATCTGGCTTACGATTGAAGTCCGTGAACTTTCGCGTCTCTTACATGACTTTCGAGCCCAGAGCGCGTCCAGAATGAAACTCACAACTCACCTCTAATCAAGAAGTATGGCGACGACAAAGACAAGGAAGCGACGAGCCGACAAGAAGCGGCGCAGCAAGCTCAGCAGCGACCCCAACGATGTGTCCAACAACGGATCCGGTGGTGTTCCCGGGGACCACCGAACGAGTCAAGCCATGTCAAAGGCGAGCAAGCGACGCGCCAGAGCAAAACGCACAGCTGTTTCCGCGAGCAACCCAGTCGCCATCCTCGATTGCTATGCTACCAGCGCGACTGCTATGCAGGTGGACGACACCATGGGGATGCCCGTCGTCGCATCCAGCAGCGGCCTTAGCAAGCTCGCAAGCCAGCCCGAAGGCGAACCAGCCAGGAAACTCGTCGGAGGATCTGTCAATACGCTCCTGAAGGAGCCTATCGGTAAGACCCCTGGCAAACCCGCGGACAGGAAGAAGAAGAGGAAGAAGTCGAGTAAGCAGCGAAAACGTAGCAAAGCCGCGGACAACGGCGCGACGGCCATCAAGAGTATGCCGATCATTGGGAACGAGCCGGGCAGCAACCGCAAAACCCCCCAAAAGCCCCCACACAGGCCCGCCAATGGTTTGGCCAACAAGCAAGTCAACAAGCAAGCCAGCAAGCAGGTCAGCATGCAAGCCGATAAGCGGGCCCAGAAGATTTCCAGCAAGAAGCTCAGCGAGTCAACGGGCAAGCAGGCTAGCAAGCCAGCCG